TTTTACTTTTAACTACTCTTTACTGCGTCTAGGCCCTTTTAGGTTAGCTTAGTAAAGGGTAGGGTAATTAAAAAGAAGTTAGTAATAAACTACCTATAGTAGTTTATAAACTCTATAAAAACATAAATATCTTAAACAGTCTTTAGCATTAGCTACTTCTAGATTATCTTAATTCTTAAAGAGTTAACTTTAACTCCTTCTAGGTAAACTATGTACTCTAGGTACTTAGTCTTTTATATGTAAAATTTGTACTTACTAAGTTTTAAGAAAAGCTTTGCTTTACATAATTTTTATAGCACTTTTTTAACATAAACAACTTGTTCCTCTTTTGTGTTAGAATAGACTAGAATATTATTAAGGTATATAATACACGTTACATTAACTAACCCTGCTAGGGCCTAGTTAATATAAGCCTAAAAAGCTATAAAAGTATTAGTAAGACTAAAAGGCATAACCTAGTACTTAAAATAACTATATTAAGTCTAAAATACTGTCTTCTACTTATCTCCCTTATAAATATGTAACATATAGTACGCATTATAGATATCTAGCTTTATATACTACTTTACCTTTCTAAGTCTCTTAAGAGATTCTAAGATAAGTAGTAGTAAGTAATAATTTTTTATTATAATCTAGTTTAAGCCTTTATAATTTATATAAAGCTTTAACCCTTTATTTTTTTTTTATAAATAGGATTAGAGCTTTTATAAAAAACTTAAACTTCTAAATTTACTCTTTTTACAAATAATTATTAATATATTTATAAAAATGCTATAACTTATACTTTAATAAGTTATATAGTAGTTAGTAAAAAAGCTTTGTCCTTTTCTTTAGCTTAATAGCTAGATTTTGTAGGCTATGTAGTAGTACTTCTAATATCTTGTTAGACTTAACTATGTTTATATATTCTTTGTACTCTAGTCTTAACTTAAGCTCTATAGGTCCTAAAGAATCTTTAGTGTTATTAGACAGCACACTATAGACATAGACATTTATATTAGGACTCTACATAGTTTACTTAAACTCTGCTGCGTCTTCTAAGGCTACTTTAGTATACTTTAGCACACTATAGTCTTTTACACCTCTAAATAATATATGTCTTATATAAAAGTTTAGCTTTAGATTAAACTAATTAATCTAAAGTAAACCTAAATATATTAAAGGTCCTTTTAAGTCTATTACTATAAATAGCACTTTATAAGTCTAAACTCTTTTTTAGGAGTCTATAATCTTTACATTTATAACTATAAAGCTGTAGATAGCAAAGTCTAATTTATTAAGTGCTTTTAGAAAAATACCTAGCAAGGGCTTAATCTTAAGATCCTGCTTCTTAGCTATTATAGTAAACAGAATGTTTAATTTAGCTTTTTTATTTACTATAGCCTAAAGGTCTTTTAATAACCTTATGCTTACTATTACTAATAATAAGGTTAACTTTTTTAGGTATAATAAGTTTTAAAAGTTTCTAAGCTTTTTTTTATTACTTACTAAAGTAATATAAGCTAAAAGGAAGAAGCTTAGTTTTTCTAGCTTTACCTTTTTCTTTTTTACTTATTCTTATTAGACTTGTTTTTATTTTTGTCCTTTATAAGATAATCTAAGAAAATATAACCTAGCTGCTTATAATTCTAGTAAGTAACTTTTATTTTATTAAATTTCTGCCTTTTTTTAGCCTTTTTTTAGCTTAGAGGCTTTTTTTATTTCTTTTTAAGCTTTTTTAGGTCTTTATTAGCTAAAGGTAAAGTAGAATGCTTTTATGTTTTTTTTTTTTTAACTTTAGCCCTTTTCCCTTCTATAAGCAGTAGTAGGATATGTTGCTCTGCTCTTCTACCTAAGCTAGCGTTTCTTGCTTACTTTATAAGATATATGTTAGATCACGCTTAATTTTATTAAATAGTGCGCTACTAAAGTCTACTATTATTCTATCTAAGCTCTTCTTATTAACTTTAGTCTATAATAGCCTAAGGTAGGCTAAAAGTTTAGTTAAGAACTAATTAAGTTATTATTTATAGTTTTTTATAGTGTTATAAGCTACCCTTTTTTATTCTACTAAAGTACTTAATGTATTAAGCATCTTATTTTTAAGATCTTGCTATGTTAGTAACTATAATAAGTTAATAAGCTTTAAATAAGTGTAGTATGTCTTCTATAGTAATTATAATGTCTTATTAATGTATTATAGGCTAAAAAAGATCTTCTGTAATTTTTAAGCAAAGCTTAATAGACTTTTTTAATAATAGTCCTTATTATCTTTATACTACTAGTTGTAGTCTGCCCTATTCTTCTTTTTATATTAGTGTAGCAGTTTAAGACGCAGTAGGTTTACTTAGTCTTAAGTAAGTTTTAGTATAATAATATTTAATACTTTAGTTAGTAACTTATTAAGTGTGTTTATATTACCTACTTTAAATTAATAATAGATTTTTATTATTTTAGCTAGTTCTTACGCTTTCTGCTGCTCTTGCAGCTAGGCGCAGGCTTCTGCTAAAGCCTAATTCGCGGGGGTAGACTGTGCGTTGCTTAGTCCTGCACTAGCCCTTTTAACTTCTTCTAGGCCCTAAACACCTTTTAGATAGCTTAATAAGCCTAATCTATAAAAATTTCTATTATTCTTTTTACTTATCTTTTGCTTTATTTCTCTCTGTGTTAGTGTTAACTTTAGTTAAGTATTACTAAAAGTAGTAGTTTTAGCTAGCTTTTTAAGTAATTTTTAAGCGCTAGTTGCATCTAATTCTTCTTTAGCGTTTTACTTTAACACTATTACATAGGAATGTTGCCCTTAAGCAGTATGCTAGCTTGTAGAGCAATTTAAATGTAAAGATAGAATAGTAAGTAGCATAGATAGCACTAAGAGCAAGCTTTTAGAGAAAGATAAGAGTGTATTATAAAGAGACAAATTGCTGCTAAGCTTTGCTTGTTAGGATTTATGCTTATATACAAAGCACAGGTCATACAACCTCCAAACAGGTCAGGTGAGGCCATACTGGCCTGTTCTGGGACATCCGGCCTTACATTTATACTGTTTTTTATAAAAGCTTTAGATGTTTTGTATAAGGCCGGATGTTCTAGAACAGACTAGTATGGCCTTTCCTAACCTATTTATGGGTCACATGACCTGTGCTTCGTATATAAGCATGAATCCTGACAAGTGAAGCTTGACAGCGATTCGTCTCTCTTACAATACACTCCTATTTCTCCAAGACCTTGCTTTCAGTGCTATCTGTGCTACCTACTATCCCACCTTTACATTTTGCTAATGCTTTAATAGCTTACTTCTTTTAACGCTATATTTCTAGCTATTATAGTAATATTTATTAATTTTTAGTTTCAGTAATTTTAAATCTGCAAGCGCGTCTTTAACATAGTCTATACCAGTAGAGTTACTCTAATGTTAAAATTAGCAAAATCTAGTGTATCTGTGCGCTAGGCGAGATTGTACGTTAGCTGATGAAATTTAGTACTATTAAATTCTCTTTCATATTTTCAGAATTGCAGTTGATGGTCATGTGAATTCTGTATGCACTCAGGCAGGCTGCTTTCACAATGACCGCTAATCCTGAGGGTCCTGAAGTGGAATCCATGAAGCTCTGGTGGAAGCGCTAAGATGGATGTGGCTAGAGTCATCTCGTGATTGACTAGCTGAATATGGCTGGGTGGAGAAGGTGACGACCACACTCCACGAACACACCTGCTTATAGTCCTGGAGGCTCATTTGTTTGGCAATTACACCTAGTGCTCCTTCATCTTGTAAATATTGAGGGAAGTGCCTTCTACTAGTGCAAATTGTCTTCAGCTTGCCCGGTCTCTTGCTTAACCTTCACAACCCTCATCATTCATCGTCCATATCACTCATCAGCATCCCACTTATCAGCATCTGCACTCGCTCTGTCTATGAGTCCTTCACTTTTTGAGCAGATATTAAATCCCTCCAGGATGCGTGAGCTCATGTAAGTCTTTCAGTGTAGAACGCAATATCTGAACGGGAGAAGTAGAGCCAGAAGAGGAAGCCCTAGCGAGAAGCAGCGCCTCAGTCGTCAACCTACCCGGACGGCCTCCAAGCTACGAAGAAGCTACAATCGCAGCTAATCCTGCGGTTTCTATTTTAGTGGGGCCGGTCGATAAGGCGTTGTCCCCTCCCTTAACACCTGGAGCATATCCAGAGAGCGCGGCGAGTAATGATTCATGCGGAGAGGGGCTATCCGATCTGGCCACTCCCGAATCTCAGACTTTGACTTTTAGGGACAAAGGAGCCAGTGAAGCAACCTCAACACCCAGCACATTCGCTCCTGTACCTTCATGGACATCGAATATTCCACAAGCTGAAACAAACTCATCAAGCCTGTCAGATAGCTTTCCTAAGCCTCAACTGACCGTTGGGCCAGTAACAGGAATATCACAAACGGGCGGGATTTCTAAAGCTGCCGTTCCACGGCATCAAACTATCCAGCCAGGTCCGGGTATTCTGAAACAGACAGCAGCCTCGACTCCGGACGATAACTCACCAGTTTTTACCGAGATAGTGTCAGACGGCTCAGAATCAATCATCTCTACGTCATTCATCTTCAGGCCACAGTCCGAGGACATCAAAGGCCTTTCGAAAAGAGCAGGGAAAAGGCCAGTATCAAGACTAGAAACTGACCCTTTATACCACGGGCGCCAATCCAGTAGCAGTTCTTTGATATCCCCGACTTCCGAGAATCCACTATACAAGATCGGGTCAGGTACCTCAGAAGGCCTTCAACCACAGGCTCCAGTGGAGGATTTACCGTTGGAGGTCACGAACTTCCGAATTATTTTCGAAAATATGCTGCATTGGATCTTTCACAGGGTCAACGTTCTTGCGCTTCGGAGGCCATATCGGGCGGTTGAATGGTGTGACCTCTATATGTAAGTACTGCGCTTATTAGTGTCCACCTTCATGGACTTTGTAGAGTAGAGGCCATCCAACTTCCCAAAATTCTCTTTGCCTTTACCCGCATCTAAATATGGCCGCAAAACTAATGAACTGCAGAGTACCTAGGGTCATTCGACAATGTTGCCAAGACATGCTACAGCAACAGTGGGCTCGCCAATTGCCTATCATACAAGCACAGTCGCCGGCACGGGTCGCCACCGTTGGCCTCGAGTCCGCCGTCAATGAGGTTGCTGCTAGAGATGGCGCCCGACTTGTAGTGATAGATTTTGCGGCTGGAGGTGGCGGTCCCACTCCGATCTCCGAACGTCTTATCAACGCTGAGCGTAAAGCCAACGGAGATGCCCCACTCGAATTTCTCATGTGCGACCTGTACCCGAACTTCCCAGCTTGGAATGAGCTCTGCAAGAAATCAGACAATCTGGGTTTCATTCCGGAGAGTGTCGATGCTGCATCACCGCCGCCACGAGCTCTTAGTGTCAACACAAAGCGGAGGATTTCGTGGACAGACCAGCAACCAGAGGGCAAGAGTGACACTCGCATTTTCCGCCTTTTCAATCTGTCATTTCATCACTTTGATGACGAGACCGCGAAGAATATTCTCCACAGCACGCTCAGGAGCGCCGAAGGCATTGCCATTATCGAGTTGCAAGATCGTCGCATCGGCTGTCTGGCCATGATGGTTTTCAACTTCTTCCTCTCGCTATTGATGACATGCTCTTGGTTTCCGCCGTTCTGTCCAAATCGCCAGCAGCGCCGGCAGAACCGAATCCAGAATCTGCTCACTTATACATTCATATTGCCCTTTATCCTCTGCTGGGACGGTGTCGCCAGTTGCCTGCGTACTCGCGAGTTCGAGGAAGTTATGGAGCTTATCGGCGAGGTGCAGGGCGAAACACCACAAATTACCTATGATACCGAATGGGAATTCGTCGACAAGCATTGCGATATTGCAGGGTGGACTTTTAGTTGGAGGAGACAGATGCATACCGCGCCCTTTGGGTACGTGAGTTGGATTACGGGGGTTAAGAAGCAGAGAAGACTTGATAGCATGCAGGACAGCAGGAAGAGTAGCATGAAGGTGACATCAGCATTATCGGGGTCTGGGTCTGGATCGGGCTCTGCATCGATGACTGGAGAAAGCTCTTTGTCAGGATCTAGTTCAAGATTCGTGTCAGCACCGCCGTCGGCTTTTGGGTTTGCAGATGCAATGTAGCGTGGAGTGTGTGCTTGAAGCAAGAGTTGGGTTCCTGCTGTCTGGTTGGTATGAGGAACGATTAATGTACATCAGTCATCCGTGGAAGGCTTGTTTTCATATCACGTAAAAACATTCATAATCAAGCCTAGCGGTATGCATTGCCCATACGCTACCTAAAGTACAATTTCAAGTTGACAGACTGCTATGCGAGATACATTTACTCGGTGCCATTGGCAATTTTCGAGGTGGTCCACCATTGTCACCGATGCCAGGCGTCCCAAACTTAGTGATAAGGACATCGAGATAATAATGAAACACACACAGAGAGAGTAAATGAAATTGTAGTATCAAGAGGATTTACAGGCTGGCAGCGCAAAAAAGGGGCCTCGTGCGCTAACTTGCAAGCCATATTGTGACCCCAAGAATCAGATCTCCTTTTGCGTCCCACATTCGTTGATGCTCTTTAGGCGAGCCTCTGCATCTTCGAGGCCGCCTCCGAGGTGAAGGTTATCCTCTCTAATTATGGTTTTGCTAAACTTCACTGGCGAGGCTAGCCCAGTTCTAAGTCGCTGATCTCTAGACGCCGTTAGTACTCCTATTAGCATTATTAAGATCACTGCGAACTTTTACTAGACATGAGGAAGGAGAAACAAGAGAAACTCTTTATTGATTTGCTACAGATGTGAGCGATGCATTCAAAATCCCCATCAATCGACAGGCTACGGAGCTTCTGCGAGTTGAAGGGTGATCAGACATTGTCAACTTTGGAATGACATCGGAAGAGCGGGACTTGGCTTCACCGTTCGAAGGCATGCGTCCGGCATTAGGTTCGTCAACTGGGGTATCAGCTGGGTACACGTACCTGCTGTTGCGGGTATTTTTTGGCCTCTCGTCTTTCTCCTCCACAGCTTGACTATGGGCGGTGGGCACGTAGGCAAGTACGGGTTCTTCACCATTCCCAGCCCGGCTAGGACTTTGACCTTCCCCTCCTTCTTTATGAGAGGTAGCGTTGAATTCAGCCTTCTTCCCCGTGTTGCAATGCGCTCGTCGTTCTTTTCGCCGCGTACTTTTGCAAGGCCTTCCGCCTCATATTTGACGCATTTCTTCACATAGATTCCTACACCTCGAGTCAAGCCGAGCTTCGGTTTATACGTTGGTGGAATTCCAAGTGGTTGAGTACGCTTTCGTTTACGATGTCTGTGGCGCTGTTGTTCCCCTTCCTGGTTGTCTGCATTTTTCCCGGCAAAAGCATCTCTAGGAGCTGGACCCGCGCTACTGGTCATCATACATTCGGGCCTCTCATTTGCCTGCACATTTGGATCGCTGGTAATGTCATCATTATTTTGGTGCCCACGTTCGAGATCATCCCCGCTCTTCCTTGCGCACTCTTTCTTCCACTAAGCCTTCTAGTAACAAATAACGAATGCTATTCTGCTTGAGTGCAGGCTCAAGCCTTTTCCGTCCCTTTTGAAAGCGGAGTTTAGCCTCTGAAAAAAGCACTCGTGGGGCCATCTCAAGAGCAGGGTAATGGCAGGGAGACTGTGAAAGCAAGAGAGTTTATACCTTCCTGAGAGCGTGAATATTGAAGTATTTTAAGAGAAAGATAGTGAAGTGTCAATGTATGCTTACTCGTACAGATGACACTGGAATGTGTGAAGGTTCTTGCTAAACCATGATAACTGATATGCCTCGTCACTGCAAACGACAATAGCCAGCAGAAGCACAGCGAAGAAAGCGTGGTGAATGGCTCCTGATGCGTAGGTTGAACGTCCTGTTTGTCAGAGCACACGACTAATTGAAGCTGGAATTACCTCCAAGCCCACGTTGCGAGGTTCTTCTTTAGATTATCGTTCGCCGTATCCCTCATGGGAAAAGGCCTCCAGCACAGCTTAAGACATAAACTGGGATCCAAGATCTTTCGTACCGGGAGAGTCTGGAAGCGATTGGGTGTACGCAGGGTGGCATTACTGAGTTTGTAATTTCGCTTCGTGGATGTTCAAAGAAATAGTCATTGGTCCTATGTAAGTGCAGAAGCCTGTTATGTGAATCAGTAGAGAATATAATTCTTTGATTCCGAAGCTTGTTATTTTTAAGCTGCAGTTCATGGCTCACAAAGCAACGATCGTACAGGCTACTGAGAGGCGTTTCCATAGTATTCAGAAAACATAACCAAAGCCATGGAGGAGAAGGTTTGATATTTGTTTAGGACATGACGTGTGGACAATGCCTGCTTAAGGAACTTGCACGGCACGAACCATATCAGTTGGAGGCGCTACTACGGGACTAGGCGGTTCTCCTAGGCAATCAACTTTTCAGTGGGCTATGGGAAGTATGATGATGAGCGGGGTGGGATAATTCTGGGATTGGCTTGGTGTTGAGGAGACCGGCATTGGTACATCTCTACGCTGGTACCCCTGAGGTCTTGGCTCGATTAGTGAATGTGGAAATGAGATTCAGCCACATGTCGTCGATCCAGATCACAACATCCATCCACCGTTGGCGGTTTGCTCCCCCAATCGTCGTCCCGCTCATGACCCATGGACGGCATTCCACAACCGTAGTTTGCATAGAGCATTGAGCCTCCCAAGGATGTGGTTGTGGAAGAAGGCATGAAGGTTCGACAGCAGTAGGCGATAACGCTGGACAAAGCTGTGCACCCTTGTTAGTAGGCCTCGCCTTATTGTTGTTTCGTTTTGCGTATCTCATGTGAATGAAGCTTAAGTTTGAGGGGACCCGGATCGCCGACCTTGATTGTTGTCTTGTGATGAAAGGTCGCTCCTAATTGGACGAGACTATGAGGGAACATGCAGTTTCCCGTGTAAGTATCTCACATGCATTCGCAATCGTTCACGCCGCCCTGCCGTCCGCCGTCTACTAAAACACGCTTTCTGGAACCTAGCCCCGTCTCTTTCTCCGAGATTGTTCTCAGTACCCAATGACGAGGTCCATTTACCCGATCAACTTTTCGACCCCGAACGATCTTTGCCGAAGGCTGGAACTCCAGCTGGAAATGGCTGCCATAGAGACTATTCCTCTGAAAGGCTCGCGCCCTTTTTTCCTAACCTTAGTTTCTATTGCTAGGTAAGCATCAGCTTCCCTCGGCCACTCTCGCTCTTCGTTGCCAACATCATCAAGACGATAATGACCGGGAGTACACTCAATCTTCGCCAGCGCCAGAATTCAGCAGAGACCTCAACCCGCCCCCACTCTACGTGTCTTTAGATCCCCTTGAAACGCTAGAGGTGGTTACACGCTTTGCAGTTCGTAGTAGGGCACAAAGCGGTGAGAGAGCATGCGAGGACAGTTGTGTGAAAACCAACGTCAAGGTATCATCGTCGAATTTAAACATGCCTTCACCCAGAAGAGTCGGAGTTGATTCACTCCATAATCTGTCGACGGGAATTGAAAGAACCCGAATTTTGAAAGAAGGCAGCAATCCAGAACCCGGTATGTCCTGGCACCCCCCCCTTCTTCCTTCTCTTCAATTACCCATTGTCTTCGCTCGTAGTTCTTCAATCCTCAAAATACCCCTGAAAAGGCATAATGTTCGGCCCAGAAACTATTAGAATCCATCAAATCTAACGTGCTGTCAAGTGAGGCATGAACGCCGACGGACGCTCCAAACCGTGGCCGAGCTGTCGCCCCTAAGTCCCACATCTCCTGAATGGACGGGCATGCCTCCCACAGTGACAAACAACAACCCTGATGCCTTCTCTAGTATCGAAAGTGGCAGCCCAGGGGTGGTACCGGCTACCGCTCAATCAATTGATCAAGCATCTGGGAGTCAAAAGAAGCCCCGTCCACAGAGTTTAGGGACCAGACAACATCCTAGGGCAAACCCTTCCATATTGATCGCTACTGTAGACACCCCACCTATTCGACGCTCGCTCACCGTGGGCCAGGAGTCCGGGAACGGGCAAGATAGTAGCGCGGGTAAAACTAACCCAAATCGACTTTCTTTAGATTTTTCGCTACGCCACAATTCATCCAGAGATCGAAAAGTAAAGTCCCAGTCAGGGTCAAACCTCGATGTGATGGGGCACCAAGAAACTTCCAGGGAAGATTGGAGACACTCTGGGCCTTTCATAGGCCGACACCTTTCGATGAATCGAGACATTAAGAAAGGTAACCAACCACCTTCTAAAGGAAAACAACCGGTTCGTGATCTACCGCCCCAGGGCGAGTCAGCAGAACTTGCGGAAGGCTTCAATTCCAAACACCACAGAGAAAGGATTTTGCAGGAGCAATCAATGCTTGAAGCAAAGGCTCGTCGAAATCGTGAGAGACGTACAATTGCCATGGATAGCTCGTCCACACTCCCGTCCCTCTCCCCATTTCCGTACTTGCCGAAACCAAATACAGTACGCCTTAAAGGTCACACGAATCAGCAACTACTTTTACAAAATAGCCGGACCATGAACAGTTACGGTACACCTGGCTTGCTACATAGGAAGACTAGTCGATGTCATGTATATGGTCCTGAGCAGAGAAGAAGTTATGATGTCAACGCCCAACTACTCAAAAGGGCCAGCACAAGCAGTATGGCGTTCAACAAGGGGACTAGCAATTCACAGATGGTTTTAAATCGTTCCTCACGATCTATATCCAATCCCGACCCAAAAAGATCTCAGTTAGGATCCCAAAACCGTTCAATACCTCCCCTCCTAGGGCCACCAACTTCGCTTTCGTTGTCTAATCCCCAATCGCCGACTCAATATCCCTTTCCAAGCCCCCCCTCCCAAGTACTATCTGCTGATAGGAGGTCACGTTTACAGCAACTGCCTCACCATCCTGCTCCTCGCAACTCCTCAGTACATTCAACCACCTCGATGAAATCTTCGAAGTCTAATGGGTCTCTGCACTCAAGACAATCTCGGAGATTGTCGGGCACCGCATTTTCCTTCAGTCCTTCCAAATATAGTCGTCATCATAGGGGGGCCACTAAGGAGTATCTTGATGCCCTGGCCGCCCCCACTGTTCCAGCACCACCCGAAGCTCACGTAACCCCTGAAAGTGTCCCATTCCTAGCTGTACAAGAAAGAAAATTGTGCGAGAACTTTAAGGGAGAAACTCTGACTTCTGAGCGAGCAATGAGTATTTCGAGGATTCAGGACAGTAAAAGATCACTGGCAGGGTCGAGAATATCACAGCGCAGCTACGCTACTGAACAGAGTAGAAGGTACAATGTCAGTGTTGTCGATGTGGTCGAAGGCGGTGGTAAATGCGTGGAAGGCTTGACTCCCGAGAATGTGAGATTGCTGCGAGAAAGGGAGAAGTTGCTGAGGTGGAAGGCAGAAAGGGAGAAATCTGACTTTGAGAAGAAAGAACGTGAAAGAGTTAGAGAAATGGTGAGGAGAGCTAACGAGATGGAAGAAGAGAAGAGCAAGACCATGGCCAAAGAAAAAAAGAAAAGGGGCTGTTGTGGAATGCTGGGAGTCTAGGGGGCCAGGGGTTTTAGAATACGGCGTTAAGGGAATTTTGGCTCCGTGGGCCTAATTCCATGCTCATATTGGAGGTAATTGGATTTCGATTTCGTTCCATCTTTTCGCCTGATTAGATCTGTAGTTGGTTCTATCGTGACAAAGAAATCTTCAACATTCCCAATACGGCCTCTCTTCGAAACAAATCCTGCCGACACGGAAATTTACCGTTTGGACCTTTATCTAATTCTCAATTTCGAGGGCGTTCGCACGACATCGTGTTTAGAGGTAGTATTGCAGTCGACCGTCGCAGTCACGATGGAGGTCGCGGACTCGAAGTCACAGCCCTATCGTGAACGTACATATCCTTGCGGAGATTCGCATGAGGCTCGTATGTTGGCACCATGAGCCCCGACCGGACTCTTCACGAACTCAAACTCGTATATTCGATTGCACGACAGTCTCGACATTCTGAAGATGAGTACTACTAGCACGGACATTGCCATTCGATTGAAATACCGCAGCGCACCGCAGCTCAACAACGCATCATGGGAATATCCCGAAGCTGATTCATCATCTAGGTCCCACAGGTCCTGTTCCAAGTTACGGTGTCCGAACGATCTTCAGATCGTATTGGGCTGTTTTTAGCAGCAATCGCGGAGATTTCTCGCACGGGAGCAGCCGTTCGCTCGCTCGCCAAAACACGACACATTGCTGCAATGGTAGCTCCACTGGCGGTGCTGCATGAACCGCGCCCAATGCTACCGCATCTGACGCCTGGCGACAACTAAATCTTCAGGGATCGTTGAAGTCAGTCTTGTGGACAGGCAGGGTTCATCGCTGTCGTGGTAGATGCATGTTGGGGATTGAAAGAGGGGATTTGTGAGAGTTTGATGGACGGATGGGGACGTGGTTGAGATACGACCCGCGCTGTCACGAAGCAGAGATAGGTTTGTCATGTCATGCGGGAGGATTGTTGCGCACGAGGCGGGTAGGGGGCAACAGCCAATAGGAGAGAACATGGCTTTGAATTGAGTTTGAAGAACCGGTTCACCTCCCGAGGATTGTCTTCACAACAAAAGTCGTGGTGGGGTTTTTCTCATGCGGTCCGAAGATGGGAATGATCGCCAAACTGTGCTCTTGCAAGCTAGTAGCCTCACGGGACCGGGAGTCGGGACGGGAAATGAGGCGGTGCGCGTCATGTTGAGCTATCTAATCGTGGTACTCAAAGTGCGGTCTTGATAGCACGAGCTGCATGCTAGTTACATGTGACTGGGACCTCAGAGCAGTGCATCGCTGGTGGGCTGGTTGTGTTCTGTTTCGTCGAGCAAGCCATGGCCCAGCCTGTTGGCAGTTTGATTGTGGCCACGCGTCTATTCGCAGCGAGGATGTGGTTTACTAGCGCACTCGGAGAAATCTATGCCTGAGGCACATCTGCTGGATATATGCGAGCGGCGAATGTCACAATGTTGCCATGCCACGCCGTGCCGAGGTTTTCAGCAGCTTGCAGCACTCAAGATCCGAAGAGAGAAGAAATCGATTCTGCTCCTGAGCACTGCAGGAGTGCCTTGCATGCCCACACGAGTCGTTGCATTGTCTAAATGGTTGCTTTTTTTTTTACAATAACCCAGCACATCGCATGAGCCGAGAGCTCAGTGGTCAATTGCAGACGCGCAGGCCATTCAGAGGCGTGAATAATCAAGCTGCGATGCCAAATTAGAATAAACCAGACGCCCAGTGCAGCAGGTCGCAGCTCTCCCCGGGCAGCGTATATGCAGAGGCACTGAAATGTCCTGACAGGGTCTGTCCGGGGCACGCGGCGGAGGGCTTCCAAAGCTTCCTGGCCATCGCTAAACCTTGTTGGTCGTCGCTCTTCTCGAAATCACCACCTTTCCCCACGTCGATGCTCAGGTCCTGCGAGCCCTATCACCACAGCTAAAAACCTCGACCTGGTCCCTCTACGCCCTTGCTCCTGTCCGACCAGTCCGCCCTCTCCTCTCCCCCCCCCACGTCTCGACTTCCAATGTCTGGCAGCAGAGCCCCGCTCGGAACTGCGACAAGCGGCTCGCTGTCACAAGCCCACCACCGCAACCAGCACGTCGTACGGGCCGTTGTCTGAAGGCCTGTCTTCTGTCTCCCCGACGTGCCACCATGCCTGCTAGTGGGCGAGCGGCCTGTTCTGCTGGTCTAGGCAGCAGCAGCAGCACCAGCACCAGGACAACGCCCCAGGACCACGGCACCAAGCGCAACGAGAAAGCGAAGAGCTCGCAGTCGATGCAGAGCCCCCGCAGAGAGTCGGCCCAGAACTCTGCTGGTGCGACCCATCAACGTCCCGGGCTTAAGAGCCGTGCATACTCGGCGCCCATGATCCCGAAGAACCATGTTGACGGAACCGAGAACGACCATGATGACGAAGAAATTGCGGGAGACCCTTTCTTCCAGCGCTATAACTTCCCCCAGGCGGGTGCGCAGAGCAAAGAGGCCGGCGAAGCCTCATCCAGCTCTGTTGACGGCTCGTCCGACACCGAAGGCCCCCTCTCGCCCACGCACATCAAGAACCGCCAGGCAGGAGCTACCGACTCTCTCCCCAGCCCGCAGTCGCCGGCGCCTTCCGTAGCTGTACGTCTTGCTTCTTGCACTTTCCCTAGTCTTTGGACACTTTCGGCGTGCTGACGTATGCGTGTCCAGTCTGGAAACAGCGATTTAGCATCCGCAATGCAGGACATCAACATTGCCGTGCTGGGGGCCCGCGGCACAGGCAAGTCCTCCTTCATTCGACGTGCCCTCAATCTGCCTGACGCGCCGCCCTCGGCCATATTCACGCGCAAAATGACAATTGATGGTGGATACTATATAGTTCGCTTCTTGGAACTGTGCTTCAGTGAAGTGCATATCGGAGGCCGGAATAGCATCAACTGGCCCGACACCATTGATAACCTGGCAAGGCCTCGAATCGACGGAGTAATCACTATTTATGATGTCACGAGTCATGAGAGCTTGGCGCAGGTGCCGGAAATGCTCAGTCAGTGAATTTCTGCTTTTGTTGGGGATGGAACTCCCCCGCGATTTGCTGCCCAGTACAGTGATACTGACGCTAGCTTGGCTAGATGCGATATCAAGATCCTCCCTGCCGTTTGTGCTTGTAGCGTGTAAATGCGACACCCATCGAGATCATCGCCAAGTCGATCCCCAAGTAGTCGAACAGAAGGCAAAATCATTCCTAGGAGATGTGATTACTTTCCAGACTTCTGAGGCGTCACCAGAAGCACACAAACGATGTCTTTCAGTGCTGACTCGTGCGGTCATTGCGGCGAAAAGACGTGAGAAACGCTGCCCCATTCTGCCCTTCACATTTCCGCTGACTATCTAATCAGCTCGATCGCAAGCATCATCACGACGGCGAGCCAATTCTTCTGCCGTGCGTCATGTAACACCAAGAGAGCCATTTGCGGCGAGGAAACATGAGCGTGCTAGCTCCGAATTCTCCATGTCGAGGTACCGACCACGATCATCTGAGGCTAAAGGTCATAGGTATAAGTCCAGCGAAACGCCGGGGCATACATTCCTCGATCTCGACGAATCTCCAGGTTATGATTCGTACGATTCCGATGCCCAACCATCTGATGGCGAGCAGAGTACTGTTTCGGAGCAGCCTTCTAACGAGAAGGGTTATTCCTTCGATCAGCTAGTAGATCGCCTTCTTGCCCAACCCATGTCAAAGAATGACTCAAAATTCGTTGCAATATTTCTCTCATTATACCGCAGGTTCTCGACACCAGGCCAATTACTTGAAGCAATATTGAAACGATTCGAGGCATTGAAGAAGGATAAGAACCCCCACGTGATCCGCATTATTTCGCAGCTCCGCTATCTAGCTGTCCTACAGCAATGGGTCAGCTGCTATCCAGGTGACTTTGCCTATCGTACGACGCACCGCACGATTCGGAAGTTTGCTCAGGAACTGGCGACCAACAAAGAGTTTTCAGTAGCCGCGAAGGAGATTTTACATGATCTCGAAATGGTTCAGGAGGACGATGATACAGACTGGGCATGCAATGATCGGCAAAGATATCAAACCGAGCCAGTGCCGACTTTCCACAATGTTCTGGACGAAGACTCGGAAGACGATGAGTTTACAAGAGCGATTGGCCATCTTTCGGTATCATCAGCCGACCGCTTGTCCATTGCTCGAAGCATGAACACAGTCACGACAAACACATCGCGTAACACCCAGTCAACGACGGGCTCAGGGAGCTCCTCACAGACTCTGCTTCATCAGGTTGAGATGAACCAAAAGTTGGCAAAACAACTTGAGCCGAACCCTATCAAGCCCTTGTCAAAAATCCAATGGCATCAGCTTATGAACGAATCAGATGAAGCTATTGCTCGAGAGTTGACTCGAGTTGATTGGATCATGTTTTCTTCAATTCGGCCCCGCGACCTTGTGCGGCACGTGAGTATGAATGCAGAGGAAAAAAAACGGTGCAAGAGCTTGGAAAATGTCAACCGTATGATCGACCATTTCAATCATGTGGCATACCTCGTCACCAACTATATTTTGCTGCGAGACAAGCCGAAGCATCGAGCGTTGATGCTGGAGAAATGGATGCAGGTCGCTCGTGCCGTCCGTAAGCTCAACAATTACAACGCACTTGGCGCCGTTCTTGCAGGAATTAAAGGAACCGCCGTACACCGTCTAATCGCCACCCGGGACTTGGTACCTCAAACGACGGCCAGGGATTTCATGAAATTAGAGATCCTAATGGGTACGCAAAAGTCATATTTCGCCTATCGACTCGCTTGGGACAATTCTTCCTTGCATCGAATCCCTTATATTCCGTTGCATCGACGAGACCTCGTATCGGCATCAGAAGGAAATTCGACTTTCGTGGGGGACAAAAAGCCTGCACCGGCCTTCTCACCTCACCCTGGCATCTCTGTTTTCCAAGGCGCCCCTGGAAATCGAGATTCTCGAGAAGCGCCTCCCGGGGGCGTTGTAGGAAAGGAACGTATCAATTGGCGGAAATTTGAGATTATGGGTGAAGTCATCGTTGGAGTGCAACGTGCTCAAGGCACGCCCTACCCGACACTTCCGAAGAATGACAGTATCCGGAATTTACTCCTTGATGTCCAGATCGTGAAAGATGACGATGTAAGTGATCTTCCCCCCTTGTTAAACGGGACTCAGCTTATTGATCCACGCAGGATCTTTACGATAGAAGTGTGCAATTAGAAGCTGCAGGAGCTGGTGAACGACCTAGGTTTAATTGGTTCCGCCAGCGTTAGTGCTTTCAGCTCTTTCCAGTATGCTTACTTTGGTTTTGGTTCTTGTGGAACCATTGCTAAGATAGGTCACCAGCACGACTACCGCATCTGCCGCCTCCTCCCGCATCGCCGTATACAAGTTCGCACAATTACAATTACATGCGAATGTGAGCATCATAATACCTGCCATTTATCGTTGATCTTGGATATCTTCATGCATGATACCTGCCGTCTTCAAGCTTTGGATTCTGCAAAATACATGATTGGGTCGGCATCACCTTGGTCATTTCAGCACGTAATCATGTGTGGAGTCATTCGCATATGTATGACGTTACTATCCGGCCATTCCTTGGTGTGCGGCGTTCATACGCATTCTGTCTTTAGCGATATATCTGGTCCTTCTTGGGGGGGTTGGAGTTTTGCATTCCCTTGGTGGCCATCTGGGAGATTCGGTGTTGTAATGAGGGTGGGGAACAGTTAGCTGGATGAACTATTATGGCCGGCTGGTCTATGAGATATGAATGAAAAGTCTGTCTTGTGCCATAAGAATGACTTATTGGTAGGTCAGGTATAATGTCACCTCAAGCTGAATGAGGGATAGAGGAGGATGCATCAGAGCTGCATTGCCAATATCGATATGTTACAGGTGCTCTACTCTAACATATGCCTTGTATCAATTGCTGTCCACCAAAAGACAGATGGCTGCAGTGCTTCTTGCCTATTGGTCAAGCTTGCATGGGAAAATACCCTTTTCTGCGGTGAAGTCAGCCTATGCTAAATTCATATCTAGCCTGTGCCATGTCTACTTACCACGCTGGTCATCCCATCGCTCGGTCCATCCGTTCGGGCACAAGGATCGGTAGGCCAGTTTAAACTTATCATCAAATCAGTTCCATGTTCCGTCATATCAGTGTCTCGAGATATGGACGCACTTGGCGGCAGGGAGCAAAGTCCTCGCCCTTGGCTAGGATGCACTTGTGGTAGTCGACATAGTTCTGCCAACAGTGTTTCGTCTGGTTCTGGTTCGGGAAGCGGGCATCGAAGCCTGTTGGGCCAATCGGGTGTCAGTAAATCCTCCCAAGGTACATGAAGAATGTGCATCTATCGTAGGCACTGGCGAGATGGTGTATGGAAATCTAGGGCTTGGGCGTACCGGCTGTGAAGCTCGAGGTTAGCCGTGCTATCAGGTTCACAGAGGGTGTGTGAGGTGCATACCAGTGACGAACTTGAAGGGCTTGGTCTCAGTCTCTTCGTCGGACATTTTGTCTGGGATGGCGAGGAAGTTGATGGTGCTGGTGGGTGGCAATTGGAGGACAGAGCTGGGGGAGTGGGCGAGGTGAAGTTGAAGATGGTTCGATTGCGCTTTGTCCAATTGTCGCGCGGGAAATGCCGGCTCCGTAGCTTCAACCTACTGTGGAACCCTGTGACATGCCTCGCCTTTGCCTCGCACAAAGACAGTCCAAGACGCTCTCCACTCAATCCAATATGTATCGCACCCGAGTCCTCGCTATGCAGCCTACGCGCATGCTATACATGCGGCAGTCGCCCCGGATGATGAGACCGGTTCCGGTAAGCTGGACAACCAGTGAGAGGTCCTTGGTGGTACGAGACTGACCAAATCGTAGAAAGAAGAGCACGGCGGTACGTGTTGCAGCCATTGGATTGCCTCATGATATGAGGCTTCTCCGACCGTATTTGGATTGTGCTAAGAAAGCTATATACAGCCCATACAGTCTCCCAGCGCCTGCGCACCTTGAAGAAGATCCCCGCTGAGTTGATCCCCCTCGGTAAGTACCCGGCTGTCCTGGACTTCTTTCGTTGCGGGAAAGGTTGTGCTAACATGATTGACAGGCGTCGTTCTTGCGTAAGAAATACATCCGCCGTCTTGATATGCACCACCTAACGAATCCCCAGTGTCGCTGTTGGAGCTGCCATCTACTCCATGGGCCGGAAACTCTACACGGACAAGAACCTGCGATTGAAGAGGCAGTCTGGGAGCCAGTAGAGATATCGCAAATTGATTGGGAATGGGAATTTTAGAGCCGATGCAGCCAACTTGTACAAATTGAACGGTTTACCGACTTCAAATTCAGAACCGTACCTTTTTTTTCCTTTACGCCGAGCTCCTCGCCAATGCGTTGATTCTGCTCCTAAGTATTATTATGGAAGTTAAGGAGGGTTCCTCCATACTTAGATCCTCCCTGCAAGCCTTCTAAGATGGCCCCCGATTGCATGTCGCCTTTTAGCCCACAACCCAACTCACTCTTGGCACATGAAATCCAGGAGAAGGATTAGATCTCACGCAGCGGAGCAGACTATAGATGGCAATGCTCTTTACTCTGGCTTTGGACCTGCCTCGTCTAAACCCTCCAGTCCTTGCATGGGGTCCATAGGCTGGCTGCTTGAGCCCTCGCCTTCACGTTCAGCGACTTGACGATCCTCCTCGCTCACGTTGTATTTCGCCGCATAAGCCTCCTACATTTCTGTTAGATGCATTACCTTCAGATAACAATAATAAAAGCACTTGCTGTTTCCCATATTGCATTCTTGCTTCCGAGTCCCTCATTATGCTCTTTCTGAGGCTTAGCTGCCGCTACTTTGATGACACGTCCGAAAAGTTCGCTCTGGTCCATGTTGTAGATTGCTTCCTCCGCGTCTTCAGTTTCCTCAAACTCGACATAGCCAAATCCACGGTGCGGGTCCACTGACGAAGGCAAATCCGGTTTAGGCAAGGTCACGTTGACGACGTCTCCAAAGGGCATGAAGGCTTCATGCAAGACCTGGCTCGTCACTGCGTTGTCGAGGCCACCCACGAAGATAGTAGCTTTTAGTCGCGAGGCGTCCGCCATGTTGGATTTGGGCAGCGGGATCGTGCAGTGATTGTGTCAGGCGGTTGGATTACATGCATTTGTTGATTGGACAAGATGTCCAGAGGAAAGTCGGTCACGTGAATCTGGCCCACAGTGCGATAGATCTTGGCAGTCCGCTTTGATGGTCAGGACAGGTGTTGAAGCCGCAAGCACAGATCCAAAACATTCCAAGGCACCTTCCACGTAGCCGCCATCCGCAGAGGCTGCCTTCACCACTTTCCCATAGCTTTGTCTCTCCTTTATTCCTCCTGCATCCCCGCCCACCATGGTCCGTCTGCGAGAAATTCCCAGAACGGCCACCTTTGCCTGGTCGCTGGGGCCCAATCCGCCATTAATCGCTACGGGAACCAAAGCCGGGGCTGTGGATGCAGACTTCTCCAACGATACGACACTGGAGCTCTGGGAGCTTGATTTGGATGGCGTTGATCGGGGTATCGAGCTCCAGCCTGTCGCAACCATCAATGCTGATTCAAGGTAACTCTCGTTGGACTGGCAACTTTGCGTGTATGCACTTGCTGAATGGGACTGATGCTGGGTATAGGTTCAACGATATCGCCTGGAGCCAACCGAGCGAGCAGTATCCAAGGGGCATAATAGCAGGTGCATTAGACAGTGGGGCATTAGTTCTGTGGGATGCTGAGAAGCTACGGGCTGGCGCAAGGTAAACCCGCAGTTGCTACGCTATATGATGTGGAAGCACTGAATTCTTTCAGCGATGCTGTTATCGAGCAAATCAACAAGCACACCGGCCCTATCCAAGCGATTCAATTCAACCCAATCCGCCCACACATCCTAGCCTCAGCGGGGGCCAAAGGAGAGCTGTACGTGCACGACCTCGACGACCAATCCAAGTCCTTCCGACTGGGAAAGGCCGGTGCTAACCCAGACGAGTACACGACGTTGGACTGGAACAAGAAGGTCGCCCACATTCTGGCTACTGGGAGCGTTGGGGGCTTTGTCACTGTTTGGGACGTTAGGGGCAAGAAAGAGAATCTCACACTGAACAATTTTGGAAGGAGATCCGTCAGCGCAGTCTCATGGGACCCGGATGTTCCCACGAGATTGGTCACGTCTATTCCCTCTGACCAGAACCCTCTGGTTTTGGTCTGGGACCTCCGAAACTCGAATGCGCCGGAGAAGACCCTCCAAGCACATGACCAGGGTGTGCTTTCTCTGTCTTGGTGTGTTCAGGACAGTGATCTCCTTCTATCTTGTGGTAAGGACAATCGTACCATTGCGTGGAACCCGCACACGGGCGAATGTCTCGGGGAATTTCCTGTTGTAACGAACTGGACCTTCCAGACCAGGTTCAACCCAATGAACCCAAATATTCTGGCAACAGCATCCTTCGATGGTAAGATCGCTGTGCAGACCCTCCAAAATACAGGATCTGGAGGTGACCAAGCGAAATCTACCTCGCAGGCCTTGGATGGCGAGGACTTCTTCTCCAAGACCCATGTCGAGCCCCAGGGCGCTTCTTTCTCACTCCAGAAGCCTCCCAAATGGTTGAAGCGACGGGCAGGTGTCTCATTCGGTTTTGGAGGAAAACTAGTTAGGTTCGGTGTGGTAGATTCCAAGTCAAAGATCACCATATCGACGTTTGCCGTGGATTCCGAAATAGGATCCGCGAGTGAAGCGTTTGACAAAGAGCTGCAGACAGGCGACCTCATAGCTATCTGCGAATCTAAGATCTCGAAAGCAACCACCGAAGAAGAGAAGGCGGACTGGACAGTTATCGAGACTCTGATATCCGAGAATCCCCGAAGGAAACTTGTCGAATATCTTGGTTTTTCGGGCATCAAGACCCAAGCGCCTGTGGTAGCCCCAAAAGAGGAGCCCGTTGAAGCAAATGGAACAGCTAGCACCGATGAAGGTGCTTCGTTCTTCGATCAGCCCGATACTGGGGACAATTTCCTCTCCGACTTGGCATCATCAAAGGGCGCAAAGACCAACAACCCCTTCCAGATGTACACCGGCTCTGAATCAGAGGCTGACAAAAGGATTACTCAGGCCCTCATGCTAGGATCTTTCGATGCCGCATTGGATATCTGCTTAAAGGAGGACAGGCTGTCTGATGCCTTCATGATTGCCATCTGTGGTGGGGAGAAATGCATCGAGAAGGCACAAGCCGCTTATTTCAAGAAGCGATCAGATGGACCCAACTATCTGAGGTTACTTGCCTCGGTTGTCGGGAAGAATCTGTGGGATGTCGTTTACAATGCTGACCTCAACGACTGGAAGGAAGTAATGGCCACGATATGCACGTTTGCGGACGCAGTGGAATTCCCTGACCTTTGTGAGGCTCTCGGCGACCGCCTCGAAGAGGCCATCTCCGGGGAAGCAAGCTCTTTCCGGAAAGATGCGTCATTCTGCTATCTGGCGGGTTCAAAGCTGGAAAAGGTCGTTGTCAATTGGACGCAAGAGCTTCAGGAACGCGAGGCTGCTGGTGTAGAGCAGTTGACGAATGACACTGGCTTCTCCATCCATGCACGTTCGCTGCAAGACTTCATCGAGAAGGTCACAGTCTTCCGGAAAGTCACCAATTTCAAAGATGCTGAGCAGCAGAAGGGTTCCGATTGGAAGCTCAGCCCACTATATGCGAAGTATGTTGAGTATGCCGATGTTGCGTCTGCTCACGGCCAACTGTCGATTGCGGAGAAGTACCTAGATCTTCTTCCTGAGAAATACCCTGCTGCCGACGTAGCTCGGAATCGGATCAGACAGGCAACGAGGAAAGCCGCACCCAAAGCTACTGCTGCTATTCCCCAGAGACAGACACAGACCACTACTGCTCAGCGACCTTCACGTGTCGTACCAACATACCAACCTCCTGGAACTACCTCAGCGCCCGTGCAACCACAGACAACCTCTCCATACGCCCCAACTGCAAATCCTTTGGCCGCGCAGCCCGCAGCTCCAGGTTACCTTCCTGCAAATGCACGAGACCCTTATCGTCCTGCTGGCTATCAACCTTCTCATACATCAATCCCTACCCCCGGATATCCTGGCTATCAGCCGCCACAGCCACAACACCATCCCATAGCACCTCCGCCACGTAACTTTTCGAGCTCTCCGTCAGTCCCACCTGCCGCAAAGCGGAACGATATCACAAACTGGAACGACACCCCCGATTTTGGACCTCCAAAACCGACATCTCGTCGGGGCACACCCAGTCTCCAAAATGCGATAAGTTCTCCCTTCCCCAGTCAACAGAACATTGCAGCTCCTCCACAGGGACCCCCTCAACCAGGTGTGTCGCCAGCGTATCCTGTCTCAAGACCGACTCCACCTCCTCCCCCGAAAGGGCCGCCACAGGGCCCTCTTCGAACATTCTCGCCACCAACTGTGTCGACCCAGAATGACGGACGGCCATCGTCATCTGCTGCGAGCCATTACGCCCCGCCGCAGCCAAGCACCTTTGCTCCTCCCCAACCAACAATGATTCCGCGGGGGGCTTCACCGTACAACCCTCCACCCGCTGGAGCACCTCCATCAAATCGCTATGCCCCCGCTCCTAGCGCACAGCCTTCAGCAACTATGGGCAGTATGGCACCACCGCCTCGTCAAATTGCCCCTCCGCCAAATCCGTATGCCTCAGGTTCTTATGCTTCACCTCCGCCACAAGTTGCTCAGCCTCAAACCTCAGGACCGCCACCGGGCTTTGCACGACCAGGTCCCCCCCAAGCACCACCACAAGGTTCTCCACAAGGCCCTCCTCGAAGTGGCCCTCCACAAAGTGGTCCGCCGAGGCCCGAGTCTCGACCTGGCACTGCTCAGTCTCAGAAATCCGCTCCTGCTGCGTCAAAACATCGTAAGTAAAACAGATAACCGAGATCTCCTCACGAGTGCTGATTGTGATTAGCTGCGGGTGACCGATCCCATATTCCGCCATCAGCTCGCCCAATCTACGAGATCCTCAACGCGGATATGCAACGTGTCAAATCCCGAGCACCTGCGCAGTACAAGCAACACATAGCAGACACGGAGAAACGTCTTAACATCCTCTTCGATCATTTGAACAATGAGGAGCTGTTGAAACCTGATACTATCCAGGAGATGAACGAGTTGGCGGGTCATCTTCAGGCGAGGCAGTATGATGACGCAATTGCCCTGTTCACGGATTTGATGACAAATAAGACGGATGAGGGGAGTAATTGGATGGTAAGTTGTGCCATTTTATGAGATTCACTAGAAGTAAGCTAATTTAGTATGTAGGTTGGTGTTAAGAGGTTGATTCAATTCAGCAAAAGCACGCCTGCTTAGAGTGGTGGATTGGGCCATGGCAAGTGTCCTTGCGTCCTGGTATGTCAGGCTTTTTTGGGATGATCCGATGGTCAGCGGCTTCGAATGTTGGGTTTGGTGCGTACGGATAGCTTGGGACAGTGGATACACGGTTATGAGATGGTAAAAGTGCAATGAGAAGTGTAGACTACAGGATAATGCTAGGTCTCACATGTGCCATGTGACCGTTTATGATACAGTGACATCTCTCTTGTCGTCAAAAATCGAGTCATCCACTGGATCTATTATACATCCTCCAACCTAATCCAATCCTGACCTGATCTTCCAAAAACGCCCATAATAATGCCGTCGTACTCCTCACGCATCATCCCTACCCACAGTCTCCCCCATTACAGCCCCAACCTCATATAACTTCCTCCACTCCCCATCCCCCCTCTTTGCCACATACTCCTTCTTCTCAACATAATACCCCGGATCCGGCCGCCGCGCCGCCTTCATCTGTGCTTTTGTCTTAGGTGCAGCGACTTCCGAAACGTCAACTAATTCCTTGACTCGCATTATTTGGCCGGCAACGTCAGGGGTTACAGGGTGGTAGACGGTGGCCATACGCTTTTTCAGTCCAAGAGCGGAGAGCGTTTGGGAGGTTTTGAGAGGGAGGCCTATGGAGGAGCGGAGGAGGGTTATTCGGAAGTACATTTTGAGCGACGGAATGGGTTGAATGGTTTGAAGAAGAGTAGAGGAGCAGTCAATCGGTAGTTCAAGGGCCAAGCCAAGCGTACTCGGTTGGTTCGGTTATTCAGTTACGGAGGATGACGATTGGGAAGTCGAGATGTTTCTGTGTGCAGGACTTCGTGGGTGCGTTGCCGGGATTTCGGGTTCGAGAAGTGCAATTGGAAATCTGCGTGTAATTCGAAGACATTTGCACACAAGGCAGCTCTTTGGAGGTGGCCAAGGCCCGTTTGCGTGACACAGGCGTTGATTGTGAACATTTTTTGAGCAGTAGCGGTGGGTCCGGGTTGAGGTCATCAGATGCTTACTAAGCAGATCTTCCCCAGCCACAATCTTATCTCAGCGAGCTCAGACGGTCGAGGCTTTGATTAGCGCCACACTATACTCCTTAAAGTAAAGCTGTTTTCTCACAGTCTGCTAAGTTTTTTCTAAACTAATTAGAAGCTATAATTTTCTTAAAGCTCCTCCTATTTAAGAGACTTTAGTGCGCCTGTGTAAGCGCAACGCTTCTAATCCTTTTAACTATAGCTAGAAAATTAACTTCTTAATAATTTTTAGCCCCCCTTAGGTAGCTATAACTCTCTTACTTTCTCTATACTATTATTAGTACTATACCTATAATTAATTCTACTTTAACAGGAAAATTCTAGCTTTTGCGTGCATTTATTGTTGTCTTTCCACCTAACGCCTGCTACCTACCTACCTTGCTAGCTCTATTATATCTTCTATCCTAATAACATTGTCTTAAGGCTTTTCTACCTTCTAGCATTTTAATCTGCAGTATATTCTAGAGGCTAAATTAAGGTGGGTTAGTTAATCTTAGCTGTTATTAATAGTTAAACGCGAGTAGATAGACTAGTAGAGGACAGGGTTAAGAAGAACAGTTGCGCGTTAGGACGCGTGCAATGCTAAGCCTATAATTTTTACAGTTAGAACATTAGGAATTTATTTAAAAATAGTCTAAAGTAGATTATATATACCCTTTAAGTAATTAATTCTAATTATAGGCGCTGTAATAAGCTGTGTGTGATAGTATCTTGTATAGGAGTTTCTAGTAAGTTAATGGACAAAGCTTTGCACACGTCGCGCTGCACTAAAGTCCCTCAGACGGCAGCCAAGAAGGAAGAAGCCCCAGCAGGGGTCTGAAAGTATCTATACTATTTGTGTACTAGTGTCTTCTTGGCATGCCGTCTGAGCTAGCTGAGATAACCACAATCAAGGTTCGCATTGTTTTCCGATAACTAATCTGCACACTTCTGAAGTCTTCCTCCCCCTCATCTACGCTGGCATCTCTACTCAAATACGCCGGAAACATTTTCCAAAAAGCTCCATTAACTACTCTCCGATTTCCCACGGCCGGCTTCGAGAGACTACTGGTAATGATGTCTATCTTGAAGATGAGCAATTTGAAGAGTTCCTGTAAGCCCGAGGGATCTACCATGGGTCGCTCACTTAACCACTGTCTTTGCTTCCCATAATACCATATATTATATAGCGTCTCAGACACTCAGTCCACAATACATCACTTCTCTTATAGGTCTTTGCCCCCCTGCAAGGCTACAGTTCCTGTAAGCTGAAGGGCTCTATGATGGGCTGCCCAATCAACCTTGGGCTTGGCGTCCATCAATCCTATATAAATTATATAGCCCCTCGAACCCTCAGTCCACAATACCTGACTCCTTTCATAACTCCTACAAGGTTACAGTCCCAGAAGAAGTTTTATTGCCCTCTCACTATTGGTGATTTGTTTGCCCTCGAAATATCAAGTTTTGGTTCGGACTCACTTCGACAGTTTAGGTGGCGCGTAGCCTTTAGTAGGCATTAGCTCAAGTTCGCGAAACTGAGTTGACGAATATAGCGATCGTGGATTTAAACTCTAGAGGTGCACGCTCGTGGAGGTGCTTGGCAGATGAATAGAAAATGTATCAAACCCTGAACAAGAGCAGTCACGTTCATCGAGGGTATCCCTACACCAAGAGAGCCCCAGACATGTTCACAACTTCCAGGCCGGGAGGGGATCACAAGCGTCTCAAATAAAAGCCCATGTATGATAACGTTAGGAATCTTGCGAAGTAAATGACTAAACAACAACTATCAGAGAGCCGTCTCAAACCAGCCTTAGTTCAAGTCTTCCTGTGCTAGATTACCTGTACAACGAAGAGAAGCTTGTGCATACTGGTAAGTGTCAAAGAGAGACTTCGAGACCACTGATCTGAAATTTCTATAGAAATCAGGGCCGACAACATTCTAATCCCAATCCCTGACAAGCCAATTCTGGAGTCATTCATCAAGGTCGAAATGGACACACCTTCCTCGAGTAAATTCGTCAATTGCACACCCATCTCCGCTTCTCGAACGTTTGAAACGCCGAAACGGATAGGCAGAAAACTGCTTAGATACTTCAGAGCTGCTACTCGCGGTGATGTGATACGAAACTGCGACGCTCAGCCAGATAGCTGTGGTCGCCAGAAGGCATGCTGCAGACTGAATAGAGTTATCCAATCGACACTTGGAATGTCGGCGACATAGTCTAGGACCTCTTCGAGGATGAGACCCAAGGGAGGATAAATACGTGGCCAGAGCTCACCTCGCCAAAAAAAATTTCGCAATAATCAGTCCACTGCCATTAGACTTCCTTACGAGAGGAATACGAAGCAAATAATTCTTTGATGACAATGGTAGATGGATTGCAAACGTCCCAAGTCCAGAGGTTGCGTCAGTGAGCAGGGCAACCTACCAATCCTATGATGCACTGCTGTCACTCACGCGGGTCTAGTAACTGAGTACCACCCAAAAACGCTCGTTTTCCTCACGCGCTTGCATTCAACACAAACCCTCGTTTTGGGAAACCAAGTCCAGCTGGCTTTTGTGTTCAAGGGAAGTTGCAGTGAGTCAATTAGGACCGAAGAGATCCGGGAAAGTAAGTACCCGCTCGGCTCCCGCGAAACTAGGAATCTCTCATGTCAACGCCCACATCGATATTCGATGCCTTATTTGATATTCGATTCCTTTTTAACCAGCCTCACGGTTGGCAAATGTTGTATGCAGCCGCTTGCATGATTGAAGCGGTTACCTGTTTGTGTGTACGACTTTCATGCGATACGAATAGAACGCCGGGACAGTGGCGAATAGACTTTCTAACGCTTGCACGCGATCGTATATTCCATTACCAAACCAGTCTACCTTTATCAGTACTATGCAAACGGAGCGTTGTGAACTGTCAGCCCACCTCCCGAAGACCCTTCCATTCAACGCATGCACATTAGATGTACATGTTCCGTTCTTAACACCGGTTTCCGATGAGTCTGATTTGCGAGGCCCCAGTTATCAGCTGGAATGATGGCATGCTTCTCATATCGTGTCTGCCCTGCATAAGTATCTTTCTCGGCTTCAGTTCATCTCATGCTCTAAACTCACCATGCCCACCTAAAATCTACACTAATGTATACATCTAGAATCTTGAGTGCGAGCGTGTTATATTCACTCAAATGTCGTGTTTACTATACCTTCTGCATGCTGGAATGTCAACACCGTGTTAATACCCATATCGGCCCATGTCAACGTGTCAAGGACATTCACCCGTTTGTTGCCTTGACGCCAATCCTTCCCTAGCGATACGAACAACAAACAAACAACCACACAAGCATCCGAGCCTCATTTTAACTTCTGGCCTCGTGTGCTACTTGGCTCTTGCTGCGTATCTGATATCACTTGCTCACACCCTTGTCTGCAATCGGTTCATACATCCTGAACCCTCGACTAGGTACACGAACGAAATTCCTGGAATTTCCAAAGTGAATATCTTCACGCGTTCTTTGTTGTTGTTTACAAGCATCAGGTTATGTTGCTCGGCTGCCGGCGTTTGGTTGCACCTGGAACCGTCCCCGATGTAAGACACAGAGTTCGAGTAAACGCAGAATCGGATAAGGGAACGAACATGCTTGACCAGGCTCTCTCAACACAGTTTGAATGGACTAATGCACTACTCTTTCTGTCACTCAATATTTAATGAAGACGTTTATATTCCGAGGGTGGGCTACGTTTGAGCTTTTAAGTCATTCAAACCACAATTCCTCCAACTCTCTTTCAGCTTAGTCTACCATTCTCTCGTGCTAGAAGTACCCTTCCACATCGGCGCTCCTTCCTAGTCTCGATCTATTCCAGCAAATAAGCCTCTTGTCTATAATCTATCAGTGTTGATACTTAACAACATGCCTCCAAACGGTACGCTCCCTTCCTAACTCTAACATCTCTTTTTAGACTACAAGAATCTTCCCTCTCAGCATCACTCACAACTCCTTGTCTATTCATAAATATATCCTGTCGGCTTCTCTCATGTAAAAGCTTTACCAATAACGTGCCGCAGCGATGAACGAGCAGCAATTCTCCTACACCGGCCATATGTCCGCCCACTCCCATCTAGCGACTCAGCCAGCCTCTCCAACAACCACCCAAGCACCTCCCCCTCCAGTCCGCCTCCCCGCAAAGGTTTATCGTGTCCAGTTCCCAGGTTCCCAAACGCGGTACTCCTTCTCCGAAGGCTTCCGAGCCAAAAACCAAACTACGATCCTGAACTACACCTCCATCCTGACTGACTTCGGCATCAAACATCTGTACCGCCAGACCAACATCTCATCCCCCCTCATTAGCGTCTACACAGACGAGTCGCACGCCAGAAACGTCGCCCTCGCATTCTCCCGCAAATACGGTGCTGGGTGTATGGTTGTCGGAATCGATACGGGACACTTGGCTCGAGGCCCTGTGTTTCGCGCAGCAGACTTGTTGAAGGATAGGGAAGTGACTCCAGAGCAGAGTTGGTTGCATTATAGTGAGTATTTGGTTATGTATCGGATCCCGGCGCAGGCAATTCGGGAGGAAACGAGGGTCGGAGCGGAGTTGGTGACAGGTGGTGGTGATTGGAAGGCACCGGGGGGAAGGAGGTCCTCTGGTTGAGGGAGTGGTGGTTGTGGGTGGCTGGGAATGCTACTTAGGCCGGCCCTTAATCAGGAAAAATCGTTCATGGGATGGGGGAGATGTTTTGGCGTGCTTTTCCCCTCTTCTCTCCCTCCTCTGGTGAAGCCTTTGCATATTTCATTTTTATATCACTATCACTGAGCCTGTTTACATATTTGCATTCTTTTCAAAACTCGAGCTTTTGAGTTTTCGGGGTGTATGATTTAGCACCTTGAGGTGAAGCTTTACGCACTTGATGTTATTGTTTCTGTTCAGGTGTCGGCGGGAGTTGGTAATATTTCTTGGAGAACTTTCGTCCGTGTTAGTTTGATATGAATGTCAGTATCTGGTATTCTCAATTTGCATGTATGGAGAATCCCTGGGTACCCTTTAGCATATAAAACAGTTATTCTAGGAAACTATTAACTTCGTGTTACCATGCCCGTAGGTTTCAGTCTCTCCGAGATTGTTTCTATGCTAGACCAACAAAACTTGGAATCATCTTTGGTAGCCCCGGATATCCAGCAGGATAACAATTAAATGTCAGCTTCTGCTTAGTTTAAATAATGAATATAGATTTATGGGTACAGCGCAATTACTTAGCATTGAACTAGGAGGCACGAAAACCAAGTACTGCTCACCCTCAATTTCACTAGATTCCTTTCCCACAACTCTCTAGTTGGAATGACGGCATAAAGTTCGAGATTATATTCTCTCCATCAATCTTATAGTGTATCAGTCAAGATGACTCATTTTGCATCATTCAAGCTAGTTGCTCTTTTGGGCTAGTCACAAGGACGAACCGACCATGTTGTATATGTAGAAAGCGTCATACAGAGGGGGATTTGTCTCTACGGTATAATACTAGGCAAGCAGAAGGAAGGATAACTTTATTCCTGCCATCTCATCCTCGCCTTCCTTTCTCTCGTCGTTTACTAAATTGACCACTCTTTTGGGACTTTAGCCCGTCTTCTCTATCAACCGCGACTTCCTTGCTAGGTGCTCCCGGCTCAAACTATTCTGAGAAAATGGGTCATGCCGTCGAATTTTTAAATACTAATAATCGGGATGGGGAGAAATATTCAGACACGAAAGGATACTGCGGAAGACACTATGCCCACTTCAACCAGCAGACTGCTAGACGACGAAGCATCAAGCACTGATAGCACACGTCTTTACTCCGATGCTGCATAAAAAGACCTTGGCTATAGCCAGAGCTCCATCTCCGCACCACCCGCGCTGAACCTGGTGAAGGAAGAGAAAGACATCATCAAGATAGATGAGAACGACAAGCATAAAGCTCTAGTTAACAAGCCTCAGGAGCAAGATGAAATGGGGTATCCGTCAGGAAGTAAACCCATCTTCATCGTTCTTGCTCTTGTTTTCGCCAGTTCCCTAGCCTCTCTTGACATGGTAAGTCACTCCTGCTGCCATTCTTCGGCTTAATCTCAAGTGAGCGAACTAAGTCTGTGTACTAGACAATTGTAGTGACCGCAATTCCTAAAGTAACAGATGAATTCCGCAGCCTTGCTAACGTTTCGTAGTACGGATCCGTATTCTTCATGATAAACGGAGGCTTCCAGTTCCCCTGGGGTAAAGCATATAAATACTTCCCTTTGAAAACCACACTCCGAGCCTCTATCTTCGTCTTCGAGCTTGGCTCTCCCATTTGCGGCGTCGCCCTTAATCCAAATTCCTCGTCGTGGGCCGAGTAATTACAGGTCTGGTATAGCAGGTAGTGTAACGGGCGCCTACACTATCATCGCTTTTGCCGCCGAGCCCAAGGAACAGCCTATGTTCACCGGCTTTGATGGAATGTCTTATGGTATCGCTGCTGTTCTGGGGCCGCTGATTGGAGGTGTGTTTGCAGATAAAGTATGCTGGTGTTGGTGCTTTTACATCAATCTGTCGGTCAGTGGCATCTAGGCCTTCATTATCTTATTCTCCCTCCACACGCATAATGCTGCAAAACCCGTGGTTGGGAGCGGGAGAGAGAAGTTGCTACATATGTATCCAGTCGGCGTCGCGTTGGTAGTGGGGGCAATCGTATCATACATCCTTGCTCTGCAACGCAGGCCAACCCAAAGCTTGGAACAGCAGCCAGGTCATCGGCCTACTGGCTGGTTTCATGTCCATATTAATCTCATTTTGCATCTGGGAGGCCTTCCAAGGCGAGTGCGCCATGATCGTCCCACGGGTTTGCAAACATCGTTTGATCAATACAAGTTGTGTCGACACATGCTTCTTCTCTGAATCCTACTTCCTCGTCATATACTACCTCCCCATCTACTTCCAATCCGTCAGCAGCGCTAGCCCCACGATTTCAGGGGTATATAGCCTCCCACTCACCATCACTGTCACCGTTTCAATCACCTATAGGTGAGTGAGGTGGGGAATCGCACTCTAGCTCCCGATTATTGTCCGTCAGGGGAGTGCGGACGCTAATGACGTCTCGTTTGTAACTGCGATGATATTATGTATGTCACATTTTCCTTCGACCCCAGCCCTCATACCTGCAGCTAGTAAGTTCTCGGAAGTTTTCATGAACGTAGGGGGCACATGCTCCTCACAGTCGCACAATCCGCCTTCGTGAACAAGCTCCTTTCAACACTCCCCATGACCACTCCGGACGTCGATCCTACTGCTGTAGTAGTAACATGTGCCACGCAGATCCGTTCTGTATTCTTAGATGATTAGATCACTAGGATTGTAGTGGTGTATATGGTGGTATATATGGTGGGCCTCAAGGTGGCGTTGGCGATAGCTGTGGCTATTACGGGAATTGCATTTTTCGTAAGTCTGTTTGGGAGATGGAAGAGGTTGAGTATAGAGGCGGTTGAGGCCACGAGTGGATGTGCTTGGGAAAGGAGGATTTCTAAATAGATTCATTTTGTCAAGACCTGGCGAGAGGAGTTGTCATCTAGCTGCACCTGCTTGTGACGTTAGAAGGGAGAGCTAGTGGAAGACGTGAATTATAATCTATGTAAGATGTGAACGGTCTGAAACTTATTGTCCAAAGCGAAAAGAGGAATAGATTTAGATGGTAATGTATTAACGTCTCATCTTGCTTTGCACGACCACAGGTAAATGATAAACGTGCTGAAGTACATCATACATGTTCCACTCGGACCCCAACTTCCTGTGTAAGTGGCTATGGTAATTAACTACACTATGCTTAACCAAACCAATACCAACAGAATGTCATCTGCTATGTCAATAATATGGGATGGAATCCGAGTTAGGCTTTAGCTCTTGTCAGATCTCTTACAGTGCGCTCACTTCACACCTTTTGAACAACCGAGGAATTCTTCCACGCAGGTATTTTAGCATAGGTTCGCCTAGAGCTCGATTCTAATCCGCCGGAGAACCCGGGTTGAAGTTCCAGTCCCTCCGGTTTTCTAAGCACATTCACTTTTCAGCAACCCTTGCTTCGCATAGCCAGACCCAAGACGTTACTGGCACGGTGTTTTTGGAACGGTTCTATGCTTTCGAATGAGGTTGACCGCTAGGGGTTCTGTCGTTGGAGAAGCATGTTTTTCTTCGCTTTCTGAGGTTAGATTATCCCGGCATGATAGCTTGCGGGCTGTTCGCTTTATATTGTGCTCTAAACCTTTTTGGTTGTGAGGTGATCCTAAGGACGATTCTCTTGCGGATAGTTGTTCTGGGACGATCCCTCCGGGAATGATTCTTCTAGGGCCGGCTCGTGTCTGGTCTTCTGGCGTGAGAGCTCGAGAGCTGTTCTTTTTGTGTTTCGGTCTAAGTGTCTTTTGTTGTGAGGGGATATTTCTAGAGACGGATCATGTCTGATCTTCTGGCGGGACAGCCTGGATGCCGTGTGCTCTACGTTTCGGTCTAAGCGCCCTGTGTAATGAAGATATGATCTTGGCATTCCCGGAGGCCCTAAAGATTTTCGGCGCAGGTTAGTCATTACAGTATCACCTGATCCATCAAACGAATGGAGCGGAGTTGCAGAAGCGATAATCTGCAACGCTGAATTAAGCTGCGATTGTGCATTGTTCAGTTTGAATATAAGAAGGCGATTGCGCCGAAGGTCTTCGAGGGTGGCAGGAGGGGTAACGGTGGGAGAAGTAGATGACTGATCCTGGGACTTCAATTCTTCTTCTGAGGAGCTGTCTGCCTTGGTCGACACAGGTTCCGCTGGTGAGCTCTCCAATAATGCCGAAGAGTCCTCGCCGCGGGACTCTAAGATGAATGCAAGTCCTAATGAATGTGCTTGTGGCGTTCGTTCCTCTTTTGCACCAGCAATGCCGTCGTCATTCCAAAACACGGTTCCTTCGAAAAGGCGTCGTGCAGTGCGGTAAACAGTCGCTGATTGAGGTTCTAACTGATTATGGTGTGCCATGGTGGCGTTGACCTGGATTCTTCCACTTGCATGCCCAATCGTGATCATTCCATTTTCAACAAGGTCTGGTGATAGCAGCTGCTCGACAATGGTGCCAGGTACCCTTGCTGCAATGGCCGTGGTGAGAGCAGCAGTCAGGGGTATAGCCCGATGGGGTTGTGCGTCAGATATGAAGCGGACAACCAGATCCACCGCGGAACTCTTGACGGTCGCGCCGGAGAGAACTTCGTGGGTTGAAGACATAGAAACAATGCCAATCTTGGGTATCGTCCGCGGAACCTCATCTTCAGTCTTTGCCAGTCCCATAGCTACTGCCCCGGCTCTTCTAATTTTCTCTAGCAGCTCAAGCTTCTCCGATAGACTGTTGAGATCATTCGGAAGGATAGTTCCGTCGATTCCAACGTCATCAGCCCGCACGAATATTACTGGATTGGCACCATCTAAGCAGGTAGCTCTGAAACCCGCGACGATGTCTACCGTCTTACATGTGGGCAGCAGCTTTCCGGTCTTGGACCCAAAAGGCTTCCAGAATTCAAGCTGTATCTTTGCCCCGGTGCCAGTCACACCATCAATGGCACAGTTGCCTTGAACAGCAGCTTGTCCGCCGACAACATCAAATGTAGATTGGAAGGATTTCATTGTGTTTGTGTTCCGTATAGTGACAGCCACGGGTCCATCCCCCTTTTCATAAATACTCGCAGGTAGGAGTCGCGAGTTATATGCGTATGGCCCAATCGCACTGCTCATGTTGCCGCAGTTACCGGCTACATCAACCTCGTCGTCCTTGACACCTAGGCCAACAAAGGTGTAGTCTATATAATGCTTCTTGTGGCGTTCGACGAGGCAGATTTTGGAGAGAGATGAGATACCGGCCCCCATGCCATCGAGCTGTCGACCGTAGGGGTCGGGCGAGCCCATGAGCTGGCGAAATATAGCGGGCCATTTTGATCGATCCAAAGGGAGATGCTGAGGCTGAATGATGAGAGCGCGAGAGGTGCCACCGCGGTAGTAGGCAGCTGTTATGGGTCTCTGTAGTGACCGCCGAGGGGCAGGCGCTGGTGAAGTCTGGGAAGGAATATTCGCGGCATCGGAAGGTGCATCTTGGGAAGTGAGTAGTCGCGACTGGTGGCCATTTGGGGAACAACTCGAGCGAATATAGCCAATTATAGGTTGAATGCGCGATCTTGTGAGTACTGGTCTCATAACGCACCCCGAATTCACCTCCAGCAGATGTTGTGCATGGCGAGATGAGCTTGAGGGCTGAACTCGGAACCGAAGCCGAGGGCTTCCACTTGCATCACTCGGCCCGCACGGACATCCACTCATCCTCCGAAATTTTCTGAGCCGCCAACCTCAACACCACCACATCTCTCCTCGAATCGACTATGCTTCAAAGGAACCTGTTTCAAGCATCCCAGCGAGCAGTGCGCTCCCCATTGCGAACCCGATCCCCATTCGTTCCTATTAGTCAGCGGTTGCACATCACACGAGCGCCTTCCTCGACGAGATGGTACACTGAGCCCGCGGCGAAGGAGGGCAGTGGCGCCCCAGAGACCAAGCCCGATGAGCAATCATCTGAGACAGCTCAGTTAAAGGAGCAAGCGGAAAAGAAGGATGCGGAAATTATCGACTTGAAGGTTAGCATATTCTTTCATCTGACTTCTTAAACAGTGTTGCCTGAGCTTGGCTCAAGATCTATAGCCGTTGCAATGCTCTTCTCACACAATCATATAGATATAGTCCATCATATCAAAACTCAATTACTCACTCGTCCCAGGACAAATACCTCCGCAGCGTCGCAGATTTCCGCAACCTTCAAGAGCGCACAAAACGTGAAGTCCAAGCCGCCAAAGACTTCGCCCTCCAACGCTTCGCCCGTGATCTCGTGGAATCTGTCGACAATCTCGATCGCGCCCTCACCACCGTCCCAAAAGACAAACTTTCTCCCGAAAACTCCGATCTTGTGACCCTCCATGATGGGTTAAGAATGACGGAGAACATCCTCATGCAGACGCTGAAGAAACATGGATTGGAGAGGTTTGATCCATCGGTAGAGGGCATGAAGTTCGATCCGAATATCCACGAGGCCGTGTTCCAGACGCCGCAGCCGGATAAGGAGGATGGCACTGTTTTCCATACACAGCAGAAAGGGTTTATGCTTAACGGACGGGTTCTTAGAGTTAGTATCCTGCCAAAACTCACATCTTGCATCCCACTGACATCCTTTAGGCTGCTAAAGTCGGCGTAGTCAAGAACTCATAAAAGCGCCGCGCATTTTGACGATTTCCTTGAATATTGTATCACTATGAGTATTTGGTACGGCTCAATGGGCCTGGTGTTTTTAGCATTTCAGCTGGCATGTGTAAATATATCCCCTCTCTCGCACTTTCGAAATTTTTTTTTAGCGAATGTCTGACTAGGCGATCACCATTTTGTATACTACTAGAATACCTGTTACGAAGAGCCATGGTCATGGAGACAGACTCAGATTATTAGCATGTTAAGCATTCATGGAATGGTAATGTTCTAATCCTGCTCAATCCTACAAAGGCTTTTGGATGATTCTAGCCTCCCCGAACCTAGTAGTCTATCATATCCATGAGCGAGTGCCAATGTAGTGAGAGCCTTGGGAAAAGAGCCTTCCAATGGACAAACACTCTCCCAAGCCGAGAGATCCTGGTGCAACGCCAAAGCCTTTTTGAACTCCAGGCCATGCAATACAAATACAGGAGCATTTTTCAATGAACTTAGGGTAAGCCGGAGAAGCGGAAAGCCAGAAAGGGGCTTTTTGAGCGTGTTATGTCGATATTATCTCAGCTGCTGCGGGTAGCTTTGGTAACGGGAGAGCTTCTCATGGGATCTATGGGAGTGAGGATCAGTAGATGGAGATCTGTGGATGATGATCGCGTCAAGATCACCACTGATTCCCGTTCCCGGCACCACCATATGGCGTCGCACCGTACGGAGTAGCACCGCCTGTCCCACCCCAAACGCTGGCATTGCCATATGGAGTAGTATATCCTGGATCTTGTCCACCGAAGCCCGCACCATTCATCTGCGGACTCTGTGCACCGAAACCGTCAACACCATCGCCTTGGTCGCCACCTGTTAAGCTGCTAATGACTTCGGCGAGTTTCCGCTGCAGCGTTGTGATGCCTTGAAGAACGATCTGATCTGGGTCAAGGCCGCCGACGGTTTCCACATCGTAGAAGAAGCGCGTGGGGACGGCGTTGTAATCAAATTGCTCGTCTTCTTGGGGTCCGCCGTCAATGTTAGCGTTCTCTTCGTCAACAGGCCTGGAAGTTCATGTTAACACCACATTAAACCCCTAAGATTTCCATGAGATGTCTTACCACTCCTTCTTTGCATCCTCCTCGAACCAGTAGTCCAGATGCCTCAACTTGTTGTTTGGATCGTACTCGAACCCAATCGCAGCACTGGGCGCCCACTTTGCGTGTTCTTTCGCAATACCCTTCTTCGCAATACAGCGCATATGGATAGTCTGGCCCTTCCTCAACTTCACAATTGTGCTGCCCTGGCCCTCTGGATCCATGATTACAGGATTGCCGACCGTCTCATTTGGCCTGCCCGCCGAAACTACCAGATCTCGTGCGCAGACTTTCATTACCCCGTCCGTGGTGCACTTCGCGTTCAGCGTCAACGTCACCGAACACTGATCGCAGTATCCCTCACACTCACAATCCCTCGAGTATATGATATCATCTAGGCCCTTAGCGGAAAGAGGGATGAGGCCGAGGCGGTGGCAGACGAACTCGTCAGCAAGTGAAGAGGTGTTGTCGAGCACTTCAACGACATCGATAGCAATAGTAGGGATCTCGGCCAGCATGACCCGTCGCAGCGAGTTTGCCGTCTCGAGGTTGAAATTCTGGATTAGGAATTTCGCGCGCGTATTGTCAGCCTACAGCTGTGTTAGTATTCCGTGCGACAGACTGGGGAATCGTGAGGCCTTACATGGAGGAAGCGCACGTTGATTGCGCCGCCTTCGACATCGTAGGGATCCATGTTGTCGCTGTTGCCCGCTGAAGCGCAAGGCGGATTGTTTTGACAGGAAACGAGATTGCGGCGCAGTGGCGGGCGAGGCGTCGAGCTGACAACGGCGCTGGTTACGGGCGTTGTGGATCAGGAGGATGGGTTTAAGTGGGGTTGGGGATTTATTTGATCTCGGTGAAGGCGAGCCTTGAGGCTAAACACGGCGTTGCGCCACAAAAAGGGTTGCTTAATAACAAACCGCGCCACAGGTGCAACGCCACACCTCCTTTCACTACACGAAGCTACGTGATAAGGAGTTAAGCGGTGAGCGTATTCGCGCTTGCTTGGAGAGTCACTGATACTCCTCGAGCTGAGGTTGGCATGGTTTATCTTCAATCGCTCTCCTTCGGTCATATGGAAAGTCTTTTGATACTTCAACTCTAAGCGAGGAATATTTCAAAGACGTAGTAGTGTGTGTTGCTTGAAGCACTCATTGACATGACATACCAATGTGCTTTGATGAATTCTGATAGAGGAGCAGATCTGCATGCTCAGAAACTTCCATACTTCTCGCCCTTCTATATTCATCATACAATCTTACCAACACCCTCTTGGAATTCCTGTATCAAATACCGACGACACTGAAACTCGTCCAAGAGCCACATGATCAGGATGAAAGACGAAATAATTTCAGATGGCAAGCTTTGCCGTGTCGTCTAGGACAGGTCGGCGATCACACAAACCCCGCACATGCTCATCGAATCGTATCTGATGTAAATGCAATCCAAAACGGGGGTCAAACGGTTCCTGAGGGAGATTGACGATTAGCCTTATGACTTCACATTTGAGTAGTACAAGCTTTTGTCAGATCTACAGGGGAATTGTCCTAACTGCCGCATCTAGAATCTAGTGCGACATGTTCTGCATTTTGTCAGGATAGAAGCGTGGATTAATGGAAATACTGCAGCGCCTCGGACATCATCAATATTGTAAGTTGGGAAATTACGAAGGTAGAATTTGGTCGACAAAGCTTAGGAGACTTCTGTGCTTACAATGCACTGTGCGCACCCTAAACATATGCAAAGAGAGGAATAAGAGTGAGAGGAAATTAGGCGACACAGAAACCAGGGTGGAACGACAAGATCGGCCTTGCAGTGCGATATGGGTTGAACCGGTAGCTCAGAGAAGTGGGACAATATTCAACATCCTAAGGGGTAAGCCTAGACGTTAAGCCACCGTGGCCTTGACACATCCTAAAGGGGCAATATGCACAAGTAGGAAGCCCGAGTTTCCTCACCCGAGCGCACGACAAATGACCATTTCGAGGCTGAGTTCAGTATGACAGATGGCTACCAGACTAGGTGGCGGACCAAGACCCAAGTCCGCTGCGGAGAGGCAGTCCTTGAGTTTCTCGCCGCGCGTTCTGCCGAGCCCCGTGGATAAGATTTTTGTTGAAGGTCACGATCCGGGGCAGTGCAGTGAAAGGCCAGAAGGCACGAGAAAAGGGGAGAAGAAGGCGAAGGAAGTCAGGTTACTAGAGCAGATCCTTGGTTGAAAGGGGTTTCTGAAAGAAATGGACAAGACAACTGCAGCAGTTGGAAGCCAATTATAAGACTTTACAACAAAGATCAAACGACAAGATGCAGTGAATGTCGAAGTTCAAGGTTCGAGATGCAAAGGCCTCGGCAGCAGGGATTGGTACGCAAAGCGCTGGCTTAGCTTGGCATTTGCTCCGCCACGATTGCTGGTTGCGGAAAGCCATGTCCCGCGGCCTTGACCGTATCAGCATACATAAAAGTAAATGTCCCCTCCACCACTCCCTCAACAACTCCCACAACAGCAGAACTACAACTCCGCACTGCTACACAGCATCTTGTAGCACGTTTGCATGACCCACCAAAATGTCTGCAGAAATACCATCTCCATCTCGCTCGCGAGCATCTTCTCGTAATAAATCGCCACTGTCACTAGACCTCTCCGACCTGCCACCGCTCGTGCAGCCCTCACCACCCTCGAACACTCTCATAATCACAGTATGTATCTCCTACCACTACTATCTATGCCTAGCTAATGTATGTCTAGAATCTCCAAGAAGCGGAAATATTCAAGCCGTCGAACCTTATTCAGATTCGCGAACTCATCAGCCAACATTGCGCAGTCCATACATGGGCGCCTCTCAAATCCTTCCGTCGAATCGTCGTGTCCTTCTTTGATGTAGACTCAGCAGTTCAAATCCGCAAAAACCTTGACGGTGAATTTCTCATGGGTTGTCGGATCAGGATATACTTCGGGTTAAACACGCCTCTAAACCCCAGTGATCAACACTTGCCACTACCAAAGTCCGACAAGCTGTTCTTCATTTCACCGCCACCCTCACCACCTATGGGCTGGGAAATGCATAACGAGGAGGCTCCAAACACAATTGTCCATGCCGAGGATCTTGCTGCTGCGCTCGCGCGCCTACACGCAGACCATTACGACTGTCCCTTACCCCCAACGGAGGAAGGAAATCCGGAAAGGAGCCCGATAGTTCAGAGACGACGGACCGGCAGCTCTACCTTAGTCTACCATCCAGACGATCATGGCGACAGCCCCGATCTCCCAGCTATCTCAGTTGAAGACACTACCGAGAGCCCTCTGCCTATGACTCCGACAGCGGACGCCATGGAGGGCATCGAGGGGCCCATATCGCAGCAAAAGGCACAGGGGAAGGGAGTCTCGACGGCGCGGCCACCTGTCGAGTTCATGACATGATTGAATTCGGAAATCATGGGATAGCGTGATGAACTCATTTACTCTCATTCTGCAATTTGTATTACCTACCAAAACATCAACTGCCTCTAGTTGAGACGAGCATGTTACGGCGTTGGAGGCTCCAGGGCTTCGGGGCATGGATTCTTCGAATCGTGATACCGTGATACTGGGTATGGCTGATTTCGGAGCATTAGCTACTGCTCCAAACACTACTGTTAGTCGGGCTCGTAATTATCTGAGTCCTAGCAATATCGAAAATGCTTAAATAGCCAAAGATCTACCGTAAGAGGAGATTGGCCTGTCTTAATACTTCTTCCTCTTGTGTGAGCTATTAGTGACCCTCGTGCGTACATGCAACGATTAATGTCTCCAACAGTACGAAGAACGTTGCAACAGCATTTATTTTGCAGCAGGCGGAGACGGGCAGATTTAGATCTATTGATTGAATGTTCTACCGCGTCAATTGAGAGACCAAAGTAGCATACCAGGATTATGGGGAGAGAGGAGAGGGGGTTTGGGAAATGCTGCAGCGGGCCCAATTGTTACATGACATGACTTAGCTCAAGCAAACTCCCGGGACCGAGACTGGTTGACCATATTTAAAATCGTACCATCTCCGTATTCCATCTATATGTCCATATCCAATTACCGAGTGCCAATTCTACGCATAGCCGACCAGGCCCCAGGAACGCCTTTCAATGCAAGACATGCACATGTATGCTAAAAACGAAAATACTGCCCTATATATCTGAGGCCAACTATACAAACAAGAAGTCTCGCGTATGTACTTGTCGCTATTCCGACTGTTTCAACTTTCGATATATTTTCTTATGCTGCTCGAGAAAGAGAAAAGTGAGGATGGTATGAGGTCCGACTCGGATGAAGCTGGGTACCCATCCTTTGAACATCCACCGGAACCCCTCGGTGCGGTAGATGTCTGCTAATAGGTGGCCTATCCCTTTTTTATCATGGGCGCTCATGACGCGCGTTTTAATGACGTCTACGGGTGAGCAGATAGTCGTGGCAACGAAGCCCGCGAGGAATGATGCTGTGAAGTGTGTGTTTAAATTGTCTTGTAGCGGTGTGTGGGTCAAAAGTGCGCGCTTGAATCCGTCGTATGTAGCCAGCTGGCCGACTGTCATGAGAACAGCTCGAGACGAGTTCGGCCATACACCCCGCCATAGAGAGCGGATGCCTTCCTCTTTTGTCATACGAATGAGCCCATCTATCGCATGTTTATAGTTTCGGCGTTTTTCTGGAGGAAGCGCTGCATCGTGCTGCATTCGCACATTGAGGACATCTCCGGGATTGCCGGCTACACCACCAAGGAAGCCGGAGGCAGATGCCATAGCGACGAGTGTGAAGAAGGAGGGCTCACTTTTTGAGGTGGTGAATTTGTCCTTCAACTCTTCATAGACGCCAAATCGTGTCATGCTGTAAGTCAATTGACGGAGTTGTGCGGCAGAGAGCTGAGTGAGAAACTGGTTAGTAGTGCATTCAATGCCAAACATGGAATTAGGGTAGACATACACCACGATATAGACCCTTGATTCCATCGTCCTGTGCAACGTGCACAAACATCTGCAGCATATTCCTCCGCACGCCATGGTGCGCCTGTGTTTGAAGTCTGACCTGAACTGGTAAGCGCGTTATTGGCACGAAGTGAGCCTGTAAAAAGTACCTTAACTGCAGAACATGTTAGGATTCATTCTCCAAGCGCACACTGACAGAATTGACATACCTAAATCTAATGGATGCGTGAAGCATGCTGCAAGAGAACTTGCGCTTCCGCCGAACCAGAATGGATAGTGAATAATCGTCTTCTTGACATCCCCGCTCTTTTTCAATTCCGTGGCGGTCACCTGTTTTGTGAGAGTTGGCATCGTCGTAGTCGCATTGCATGTCAGGTGTAGCGAGGAGTGTTAGAACAGGAGAAGCGTATGAATGTGCGGCTGTCAGTGGACGTCACTAGAATTTAGGGCTTCGGCTTTCGGAATTTGGGTACCCTTGGCATCGCGTGTGCCTGAGCTGTTTTCGCCCAAGCACCATTGGACCACTTTTACAACACCACACCACAGCTCGATCGTCATGATGTGGATTGCTCCTGCCGCTGCGGTAGCTAGCTGTCGATTAAGTTGCACTTCTTTAAGAATAATTTCGAGAGGGTCTCCTACTCCATGGCCATGGCTTTTTTCTGTGCGATGTGTTCGCCGTGTTTCCTCAATTCCAGGTAAGCAGGGGTCACATGATTCATTCCAAGTCTCTGGACTCGGTACACTCAGCTTTCTTCTAAAATTTGTCAATGTCTGTTCTCCGGCACAGCGCTGTTTCTGTTCAGCGTTTATTTCAATGTGTTCTGGAGAAGATGTGGTATTTCAATTGCTCAAAGAGCATATTCCATTACAATTACCAAAGGCTGTTGTCTAAGAAAGACCCAGGGACTACGCCAAAGGAGGTCACCATAGAAAAAGACAAAGTCTACAAAACGGATGAATGGATGAACACACCTTCGACCATTCTCTCTGCAATTCCTCGCCGTCTCCATCTCCAACAAGATCATCCAATCGCCATCACCCGCCAGCTAATAGAGTCTCGGTTTCCGAATTACAAGTGTCACAACACGCTTTTCCCTGTGGTTACAGTGGAGCAAAATTTCGACTCCCTAGGATTCCCCGCAGATCATATTGGCCGCTCAAGGACCGATACGTATTACTTGAATAAGGATACTGTACTCCGCACACACACTTCTGCACACCAAGCAGACACCTTTCGCGCAAACGAAAGTGCCGGATATCTTATCAGTGCAGATGTCTACCGGCGTGATGCTATTGATCGAAGCCATTACCCTATCTTTCATCAGATGGAGGGGGCTATGACATGGGATAGGGATTCACTAGATGCAAGCACGAGTCTTAAACAGGCAGTATGGGCGGATGTTGCCAAGATACCAGCGCACTCTATCGATGTCGAGGATGCGAGTCCGACTTCCCACCCCGAACGCAACCCTCTCCAAGAATGTCACTCTGCCGAGGAGGTAGAAGCGATTGCCGCGCACCTCAAACGCTCCCTTGAGGATGTCGTCGTAGCCATCTTCAATGCTGCATCAAGAGCTGCAGTAGCAGCAGGGGAGACACCTGCATCCCCAGATGAACCCTTGAAAGTGCGATGGGTCGAAGCATACTTCCCTTTTACCTCTCCATCCTGGGAGCTGGAGGTTTTCTGGCAAGACGACTGGCTCGAAGTGCTGGGCTGCGGCATCGTCAAACAGGACATCATGAGCCACGCCGGGGTGCCCAATCGTCTTGGGTGGGCGTTTGGTCTAGGCCTGGAGCGCATCGCCATGCTGCTCTACTCCATCCCAGATATCCGCCTCTTCTGGAGCACAGATGCACGCTTCCTCTCCCAATTCAGCTCCGCAGCCCCAATCCGACGTTTCGTCCCCTTCTCCAAATACCCCACCTGCTTCAAGGACGTGTCCTTCTGGCTAAGAAGTAGCTCTAGCGCAGCCGGGGGCCTCAGCCGAAATGCATTAAGTCCCGTGGACTTCCACGAAAACGACGTTATGGAGATTGCCCGCGATGTCTGCGGGGACCTGGTCGAGGATGTGAGGCTAGTGGATGAATTCGTGCACCCCAAAACGGGACGGAAGAGCCTTTGCTATCGCACCAATTATAGATCCCTCGAACGTACCCTTACCAACGACGAGACAAATCAATTACATGAGAGGTTCCGGCAACAGCTGGTTGAAAAATTGGGCGTGGAATTACGATAGAAAGGGTTATTGTGGCTTTGGGAGAAGAGGGGCAGACATACGATGGCTAGACCAATATCGTCTTATTTGTATCATATATGTAGCCATGGTTATGTCTTTGGACATAGATGTACATGTAAACTACACTCGAGCCCCGCCTTTTTACCGGGAAAATAGGGGTTTGCAGCATCGCATCTCCCTTCATAGTAAATATGCTGAAAGAGATCATCGAGGTCGGTCGTCTGGCAAACACCCATCATGCACATCTTTGCGGGGAAAACGCCTTCGCCTCCAGAATCCGGCTTCACGGAGCCTAGATGAATTCGTCCTCTTGTCTACACCCCTGCATGACACGCTGTCCATTGCATCGCATTGCTTGCCAGCTTGTTGTTCGTTACCATATCGAGCAATCTGACAATCTGACACCAGTACGCAATCCCGTCGCTGTGCTACACCGCTAAAAAAAAATCTCCGGCACATCGAGGTCCGTGTCAGGCTGAAAGTCCGGATTCAGGACCACAAAGATCCATGTGACACTTTAATTGAGTCGATGGGGGTGGTCAGCAGCGCAGAAACAGGCGCAGACGCAGAGACAGGCGCAGGCGCAGATGCAGATGCAATGCGCGACCCGGCACCGGGTCGTGGTCGCTTTTACAGTGCAGAGAACCAGCAGTTATAATTAGCCGCACGGCGATGATTCGGAGGCCCGTCAAAACCTCCAGACGCTTATCGACAAGAGGAGAGATTGCCAAGAGCGAGGGCTGGGGATATATCAGATGACAGATATAGACGATATACCGGGCGAATAAGCTTAAGATGGCTTGGATAATGGGGAACTTGGGAGGTGAGTGTGTGGCGAATCAGCGGTGAGACATTAGCCCAACCGGAGCCCGTACTCAACATCAGACGGAGACGAGACGTCAGGTTCAAAGTCCGGATGGAGGAACAGGAGGATGGCCACGTTGGTTCGCATCGCCCGAATCAAGGTGTTTGGTGCTGAGTGTTGAGCTTGGTCGGGAGGAGTCCCGTGCTAGAGCCTGGCTGACAGGCTGAAGATACGCGGATTCCTGGAAACGAGAAACGATACGGACGCACTGTGCTTCGAGGGGCGCTATCCGTTGTCGTCTTCAGCGAATGCGTTTTTGATTCTGATTGTGGATATTCGGCCTCAGGCGCTCCGCTGTGCGGCATATATGAAAGATATTCAACTACCCAGTACAGAACAGCTCGTGAGGAGACGGTAATAGCGCACAAATTCTTACATGAGAAGGGATAACGAGGAAGAAAGAAACACTACACCGCGAATGAGAGTTAGTAATGAAGAAGGAACACTTGAAGCAATCCTGGCGGTTGCGGATGTAGGATGTCAGACGGACGGTTGGCTGTGTTGGTCGTCGGCCAAACTTGCCTGCGCTGCCAACGACAACGAGAATCTAAATATTATCATCAGCATGCTGCAGTCATGACGGTTGGAGGTGACGAAGGGAAGTTTTGAAAGGTTCGGAGACTCGAGATTGTGAGAGGACTACCCTTGCGTGCTGCCAAATAGAGCAGTCACGGACATCAGCAAGAGGAATGCAACCCCCACTGCTACCTTTGATCTGACAGACCTTCAATTGACGGGTAGAAGTATTGCAGGATGAAAAACTGATTCTTCTGAGGTTTCGATCGAGGTTTCAATCAAGGTGTTGCGGGGCAAGCCATGGCATCCAAGGATGGACCTTGAAGTGGAAGGAAACGAGATTTGCCTGTCGCCCCATGTCCTTGAACTCAAACTTGAGAAACACAGAAGAAACGCAGCAAGGTCAGTAACCGTCAAATTTCAACTCTGCTCGCCCACCAAAGCTGTAAATGAAGCCCCAGAAACAGAAGGCACACAGCGAATTTCCTGTCTTTCATGAGAAGGAAATACTAGCTATTTCTTTTCCAGGCATCTTTCATGCCCAAGGAAATGACGAGTTGTGATATCCTCCCGGATCCCATGACGTGTGTTTTAGGACCCGACAGCCGCACGAGGCGATCCCTCCACGCTCATGGAGAGGAAGAGGAGCTGGGATGCCTGGACCACCAAGGCATCTAAGATTCGCCCCAAGCACTTGAAGTGACATAGCCGAGTGCGGGATATATTCTTGCCAGGAAGCCTCGCGGGGATCATGATAACAGGATAGAAGGCACTGAATACTGAGTACACAAGGATTGAATAGACTATGTAACGGCAAAGAAAGACCAACGATATGAACGTTCAGCAGGTGGGCACCACTGGCAGAACGTGACAAAGAAATTTAAACCCGTTGCAACCGTTACTAGAATGAGGGAGAGAGTGCAGAAGATACAAGTCTCTGCCCAAAAGCAGGTCCTAGCATGTTCCGTGGTAAGTGCCAACCTGGGTCAACTGTGCTGAAGCCTGAGGGCGTTCGAGGTAACAGACAGGCTTGGTGGTCCATTGTTTCAAAGACCCAAGGCGAGTTTTCTGGAGCCCGTCACAGCTTTCCAACCCGCTGGTGCGGCGGTCAAACTTGGAAGCCACCCGTACTCTGTGCAGATTGACCCGTATTGAGAGAATCACGGATAGTCATTTGTGAGGCAGTTTCGTCTCTAAGAGGCACACATGCGAGATGTGATGTATGCGGGGTCCTCTCGATATGGAGCCCGCTGCTTTTTGTGACTACACCAACAAGTCTGTTTTTGGAAGGCCGGGCCTCCTGTGCGATCTTTGGCGGCATGCAAGCAGCAAGAATCTGCAAGATCACCCGAACGCAAGTACACAAAGGTACTCTTCGTGTCACGGAGTCGGCGGAACACACAAGAGGGAAGTCTTTGGCTGTCCATGAGTCGGTGTGAACGTCTGTGCATCTGGGTTGGGTCGCCGCTCGAAGCTTACTGTCAAGGCTTTCTTGGCGTGCCGTCGCAGCATGACTTGCATCAGAAATCAGAACTGCGTCAGGGGAGTCCGAGAACAGGAAACAAAAGGGTTCCCGATTGAGATGGATGGTTGCGAGCGACGCGAGGTGGCCAGCTGCAGCCGCACCGTTTCGTTTTGTTGCCTTCTTTTCTCCTGGCTCTAGAGGCTGATCGCAAGGCCGACAATTTCTACTGATGAAGGTTTCTTTGGCAAGGGCTCTCTCGGCGACACTGGCGAAGAAGCAATTCACGCAAATTGAGCCGGGACATGGGGGCAGCGCCTCAAGCTTGAAACATGCCAGTTGGCTCCCGACATCGACTCTGTGAAGGCGATCCGCAAATGCATGGAGGCAATAAAAACTGATAGGCGATCTCTCATGCTCTGTGCTGGCCTGGTGAGGAAGGCGCAGATCGTATATTTTAGATAGCTGCTGTAAATGAAGATGTGAAGAGGCGGGTTCCTGGATGCATCTCCCTCCATCGTCTGCAGATGCAGGTCTCAGGGTGGAATTCACAAGAGGGGAAGACTGAAATAGGCATGGTGCCGTGTCCGGAGGAGGGAAGGGACTGCCAAGAGAGCAATCAAGACCCACTTTGAACAGAGTAGAAGCTTGGCGATTCTTATTTCTCTTGTCGCTACGAGCTTCGTCGGGACTCGGAAAAGGCCTCAATCTGATTTGGTTCACGGAATGTCAATTAGTGGGTCCTCATTGGGAGCTTGTGACTTGACGAGCTGGCCCGCCGATACGTTTCGCACTGCTGGTGATAGCCGCAATACGAGCAGCTATTCGCGCTATCCACTCTCTGTAGCTGCTAGTGCACTCCCACAGAAGTCAGCAACCCTCACTATAGCGATGGCAGTATGGCTATGTGAGTGTGGTTCATTTCGCTTGCTGAGTGCTTGTCACTCTCCAGGACTGCCTCCCGAGTCGGGGACTGCAAATCCACGCCTGGCGGGCACTGGCGGGGTGCAGTTGAAGGGTCCTGGGCGAGGGGTTTTCGGGATTACAATACCTGGAGGTGCAGGCCATGATCAAAGTACTGAATGCTGGTAGCAGATGCGATGCTTGCCCTCTCACCTAAACAGGGCATTTCCCAGCGGGGCTACTCCAGGGCCATTTTGTCTAATCGACATTGTTCAAAACTCTGGCTACGCAGGTCGCTCGAGGTCCCCACAGTACTGCACACAGCGTTTGAGGCTACGAACAATGGGCTCAGGCCTGTCTCGCTGCCGTCCTCCTGCGCTCGTCGTCGTCACTAGAAGGCGCTCATGGTCTCTAGAAACTTCTGATGTGAAAGCAGAAAGCCACGCTTCTTCTCCGCCGTCAAGCTCGATAAGCAAGCAATCTGATTGGCAGGGGCACGGAGCTCGCGTGGCAGGCCTGGGTGCCAAACGGCAGATACCCGCATCCAACGTTTCCGTTGCCCCCTCCAGAGACTCGAGAGTCAGCGCCGCAGGCTTCCTGGCTTCCCCCCGCTCCTTCCGGGATGCCCTCTCAGGACCCAATTGAGCACCTAGCAGCGTCTTGCCGTGTCTGTGTGCTCCCCCACCTGCAACGCTGAAGGGCCGCGGGCAGCAGCCGATGCCGGGGCTTGCGGAGGAAGTCCTGCTGTTGTGACGAAAATTTAGAAACGAGACGGAAACCGATGGGCGAGGGAAAACGACGCAATTCCTATCACTCATTAATAATTTCTAGCCGTTTGCTTGCCGTCTCTTCCCCAAGCGGTGATGCTGCCGCATGCAGCTTGCTCACCCGGCGCCGCCCTCAGTAGCCCGTCAAGGTGAATGGAACGCTGGACAGATGCAAACAACAGAGCTGCGACTGCTGCTAGGCCGCATGAACGCTGGCTGCCCGCCGGCGCTGCAGCCCATCGTCATGTGCACGAGCAGTCGTGCAGAGGTGTGTAACTCTTCTCGAACCGTCGGGGCTCGCTTCATCCAAAGCATCCAAGGCAACGCAAGACCAAGCGGCCCACCGCCGCCCTCAACGTCCTCTCCTGCACGGCACCAAAAAAAAACTGCAAATCCCTTGACTCGCCAGTATAAGCATATCTATACAGGCGCCAATTATAGGCAGGGCTACGATGCATCCTCTCGTAGTGTGGCACATCAAACCCTTGCTCACCATGCAGGTTCCCCACGAATCGCCCGACATGGGAGGTCAGGCCCGCGTTTCACTCCAAGCCCGTCTGTTAATCTTTGGATGCGCCCCCGAAAGCCTGGACTTATCGCTTGCTATTGGTACTTTTCCTAGCAGGGGCACTCCTCGCCTTTGCATGTAGCAATAGCAGTTTGAAGGAGCCACACTTAAAGCACCGCAGTGCCATACTGCCATACACTACTGCAGGGAACGCCTACATGTTTGACATGCCCGCCTCCCGAGTCTCATCAACCTTGCAGTCAAGACAGTGAGCCACGGTCACTTCAAACGTTGGCCATGACACACATCGCCAATTGCATGCGGCCGGATGCCGATAAATCAAATGTTTATATAACCTCCGAAACGTCCTCCAAGAACCCAGTAAGTGATTGGAACCTTTCCTCACTCATCCAAATGAATTACCATCTACCCCGCCGATCAAAATCGCTGAGAAATATCCAGGCCGCGCCGGAACCAATTCGCCTCGTGGAGAAGGGTTTGGAGAAGAGCCCATCTTTTTTGAATTTACAGTCCTCTGGTTCATCAAGGTATCAATTGTGGCCATCGACAGCATCCAAAAGCCCCGTGGGACTGATTAGGCCGAGCCCTTCTTCAGACAAGCTCTCTGCTTTGTCGATGGGTCGCTCTCCTACCTCACTGAGTGATACTGCTGCGAATCCAGCAGAGAGTCTCCCTTTTTGGCAGCGGAGTGGCTCGCTTTCAAGGAGGAGAAAGGTCAGTGTGCCGGAACTGGGTGGCACTATGGCTACAGTTCAAGAGATGTCCATTGATTCTCGTAAGTACTGCAATTCAGCTCTGGGTTTGCCGTTCGTTAACGGCGCATAGCAACAATTCCAGGGCGACCACCACTCCGGAAGGCTTCATCAGAGGCATTTGGCCATGAGAGATCTAGCAGTGCTCCCGGCACAAGCTGGAGAGCTGGTCCATTTGGAGACGCTCTGATGTCCTGTGTGACTGGACCCATGTCTCTACCTTCAGAGCAAACAATTTCCCCAGCCTCCTCAGAGCTGCCCAACGTTACTAGATCAGAAACCACCCCCCTTCTTGGAAAGCCACTATCCCCTATCCTCAGTCCCAGTATCAACTCCTCAAAACCGTCGTTGAAAGTTGATACCGGAAGCATACTCGAAGCTGTCGAGCTGCCTCCTGAGGTCCCACCAAAATCGCCTTCTGTAGAGCGCAAGGGATCGCCTGCCCCTCTTCAACTTACTTCGAAACCCAGCAAGACACAACTGAATACACCTGCCCCGCTTAATTCTGGTAGAGTTACGCCTGTCTCTGCGATCGATACCCGCCGATCACCAAACGTTAGCGCTCCATTCCCGACCCCTATCTCTGCAATGTCGAATGCCTTCAGCGCCGCATCACCTTCAAGTGCGGTTGACCGTCGTGGCTCGCCGAGAGTTGAGAAGCGAGATCCTATAGCTACCCATAGCCATAACAGAAACATGTCCGATACTTCCATCATCGACCGGGGTAGGCCAGTACGAAGGTCGAGTAAGAGGCAGAGAAGTCGGACATGCTCAGAAGTAAATACCCCAGAGACTCCAGTGCAGGACAACTGGAAGCTACCCAGGGGAATGCGGATCTCTGATGCCACGAGGCAACTGAACGATGCGGACAAAGAACATCTCCACAAACAAGCATACGACCAGGCAGAGAAGTTCGAGGTTCTGAACAAACGCGACGTGGCATCACTAGCAAGGGTAAGTGAAAGCCCCCCTTTTATAGGCTGAACTGTGGCAACTAACGTCCCCTCAGGAGCTCAGAGCATTGGACGAACGCTGCGACTATCTTCGCAAGACATACAAGTCCTTGCGGGCAGGCCGCCAAAAGCTTCATGGTCGTATGATCTCGTATCTGAAGCGTGGTGAGACCGTTATCTTCTCAAGAGAGTCCCTTCTCAAGCAGGAGGAAGCCCTGGCTGAACTCGACATCTCAATCGACGAATTTATCCTCAAGCTAGAGCAAGCTGAGAATAGACGGTTGCGACTTCGCCAAAAGCTTCTAGAGCACGTTGCGGCGGCTCTCGTCCTGAACCCTTCTGCAAGCCCACGCGAGATGCTGGAGACTACACCGCCAAGGAGTCCGGTGAAGACCGAAAGCCCATCTCGGATTCAACGTAAAGACGTTGAATCGATTAAAATCTATGCCGATGGACATGTCCTCAATCTTTTCTCAGATATCGAGCAAGCCATCGGAAAAATGTGCGAGCAAGCTGCATGCTAACGACGAATACGAGACGACTTTGACCCAGATTTTAGATCGAAAAGCACACCGTATGTGGTGATTACATTAATATTTGGGACAACTTCAGACCCAGCTCATCTTCACAATTTCCTGTATTAATTTCTTCTTTCACCTTTTCCATGTCGCTACGGCCGCACTATCTTTCGTATTCTCTTCCATGTCCTTTTTATGCCCAGTTATGGATCGGCACTTTTTGGTGGCGGAAACGTTTTCGCCATGGTTTTTGCTTTTTGTACCATCGCAAAGGATACCCGGGCCGCCTTGCATATTTTGAAGCCCGTCAGCATATTCAGTCGGCGTCCGAGGCGAAGACGGAGTTAGGGTGTAGAGGCTTGTGATGTTTCATGTTTTCTTTTTGATTGCAGATGAATGAGGGAACATGCATCGTAGCGTATCATATTGAGATCCACCCTGCAGGGGTTTGAGAATTGAGAAACGATATTGCCATGCCAAGCAACCTCTCACAAGAAACGAAAGTGTAAAATGTTGTCGATTAACAGTGAACAAAAGCTAACTCTGAACTGTGGACGAGGAAACACGAAGATTTCGATAGCCTAATGATAACGTTTTCGAAAATCAGATACCAAGCGCAATCGAATCTGGGGATAGATCGTGCATCTAAGATCAAACAAAGATGAAGACGGCAGGAGGCAGAATTAGGAAGGAGAAATATTAAGTGGCTGGTTTGAGAGGGGGAAGCTAGGACGCGGGAGCTTGGACTCCTGGTTGTTTTGAATGAGGGCGGGATATTGGCCTGTGACCGGAGTGCGCGATGCGCCTAAGCGGATGATTTCGCCCTTCCCAAGACCAAATCCCCCACGATGCGGGAGGAAGCGTGACCAGAGGGCGGATGGATTTTTCATCCTCGTATTTCGAGGTGTGTGGTGTTTCGCCATGACGAATCGAGCTTCGGTTAAAGCACGAATCCGTAGGCCTTGGCATTTTCGGTGACACGTTCTTCCTTTGCCGATGTGGGGTTAGCGCCCCTCCAAGGAACTTTTTCAACTTCGATCTTTCGTGAAGGAGATTCATGTCTCAACATGCGGCAACACAACCACAATGGCCACCAACAGCATAAAGTTGCTCACCGGAAACAGCCACCCGCAGCTCGCAAAGCTTGTGGCTGAGAGGTATTTGCTTCACCCCCATTACTGCCTCACTACCTCACTTACTCACCCATATTTGATTCACCAAGCTAACCGCGCGCAAGACTAGGAATAGAACCTACCAAGCTCCTTGTTCTCCAATATTCCAACCAGGAAACATCGGTGACTATCGGTGAATCTGTGAGAGACGAAGATGGTATGGGCGTCTATTTCGTTTGCCCTCCTTCGGCCCCTCTCCATTCCCCACTGCATGACACACATCTCCCGAAGTCTGGGGAAATGGCGCAACTAACTTTACTGACTTTTTTTAGTTTTCATATTGCAGTCCACCCCCCCAGGCGACATCAACGATGCCCTCATGGAGCTCCTCATCATGATCAATGCATGCAAGACTGCTTCCGCTCGCCGTATTACTGCCGTGTTACCAAACTTTCCGTATGCGCGGCAGGATAAGAAGGACAAGTCTCGAGCTCCAATCACGGCAAAGCTGATGGCAAATATGCTCCAGACAGCCGGTTGCAATCATGTAATAACCATGGACTTGCATGCAAGTCAGATCCAGGGTTTTTTCAATGTGCCAGTGGACAATCTCTATGCCGAGCCGAGTACTTTGAGATGGATACGTGAAAATCTCAACGTCAAGGACTGTGTAATCGTAAGCCCGGATGCTGGAGGAGCTAAGAGGTAAGAGTACCCCACCTTAAGGGACCTTCTCCAACTAGGATTCGCTATTCTCGCGTGCGATCCATCGCGGGACCCGCCGGCCTTGCAGACGCAATTGCAAACTATCACGTGCTAACACACATGCAGGGCAACATCCATTGCCGATGGTCTCGACCTCGGTTTCGCACTCATTCACAAAGAACGCGCCCGGCCCAACGAAGTCTCAAAGATGGTCCTTGTCGGAGATGTCAAGGACCGCACAGCAATCATTGTGGACGACATGGCCGACACTTGTGGAACTCTTGTCAAGGCCGCAGATGTTGTGATACAGCACGGCGCCAAGGACGTCATTGCCATTGTCACTCACGGCATCTTGAGTGGAAACGCTGTGGAAGCCCTTAACGGCAGCAAGCTGAAAAAGATTGTGGTGACTAACACAGTGCCACATTCTGAGAAGAAGGAGCGCTGCGATCGCATTGAAACCATCGACATTAGTCCAACGGTGAGTGTATCCCATAGTGTTTCAGGCCTTAAATTAACAGGTGCCCAGCTCGCAGAAGCCTGTCGTCGTACTCATAATGGCGAAAGCGTTTCCTTCCTCTTCAAGCATGCACCTGTAGACTGAAAGTGACTTGTCTGATCTAGATTCCCCTACATCTTTAGCATGTATTCCTAAGTCGTTTACAATGTAACTTTGGGCGGAGTGGGAAGTTCAAGCTAGATAGCGCAGTATATTGGTGACAATCTTCTGCGTGATCTTGGTACCACATAATACTATTGTTTTTCTTGACACAGCACCCTGGGCTAGGCTGTGGATCGCCTCACCTTACCCTACGACCAACTTCTAGCTTCATTATTTCCCCCGAATCGTGATAGAACCCGATTCCGCGTCGCTGGCCCCACTGTGCCGAAAACCGCCGATCTTAGCAGTGTTCAGAGCAGACTTTCTTGGCGGATGACGCTTGGTCAACGTTGAACTAACTTCGTTGTCTTTGAATGGTGCCATCTCACCTCTACCGGCATCATGCCTTCAACATGACGCCGCACTTTGCATAATCTTCCGAGACATGCAGACAAAATCGGGCTTGAGAGTCGAAACTTTGGTTAGCGCCACTTCCAATATAATTGCCCGCTCCCGTTAAGGAATCGGATCGGGTGACGGTTGATAGCTCCAATGCATTGCTCACCAACAGTGCGTATTTAAGGTTTAGGCGCCTAATGCATATCAGTTTTGGGTTTTTGTTCGGCCGTGCTTGTGGTTAGACTTTCCCTTGGAGGTTTGTGCCGGAGAAACACCGGTCGGGAGCTTCCTTTCAGGACGAGCAAAGTAGAATAACATCGGATGAGTGCAAATGATGTTGGGTCGGGCTGACGGGGAGGACTTTCAGGGAAATTCCCTTTAAGAGAAGAGGATCTACCTAATGCGGGGAATTATACCGATGCTGAGTACTGTTTCGGACGGAACCAATAGTTGCTATTTATATCTTAGGTTCTGAGATGGGGTCTTCAAATCCCTCACGAAACGATTGCACTAAAGAGAAGAACAATTCACACTCCCGAAAGAGGAACTAGGTAGCAGCTCGGAGATCGATCGGGGTGACACAGGGGAAGATGAGCAACAGACACTTCGGGTCGTGGAATATGATGCAATTGCTTTATTCAGGAAACAACTGCCACGCCGAGCAGTCCTTGGTACGAGAGACCATGCTTAGAGAACCCGGAGTTTTCATACCGAAATGACTAACCCACACCTTCTTTTCGACGGATGCTAGTAGATCATTGATCATTGTCGAACCTCATTCTCGCGTCTCGAAAGTGCCCTAATGCCTCATAGAAGATGCCCTCCGCTTCCTGGCCTCCTCGTGGGCGGATTTGGCCTCGCTGATGCGCTTGTGGAGGACCTGGGCGTACTCATTCTAAACCATTTATTAGCAAATGGACTTGTACGACTTGTGGTGGTGGTACGTACAGCAGCATCCTTGGAAGCCTCCGCACGGCGGCGCTTGAGCGCAACGCGGTGACGCTTGTGTTGAAGACGCTGGGGAGTGACGAGACGCTGGATCTTTGGAGCCTTGGTGTATGGCTTCTTGCCCTCGCCCTTTGGCTGGACTTCACGGCGGATGACGAACTTGCGTACCTAGAACAGAAACACGATGTATCAGACTCAATCTTTTGAAGCTCAGACTCAACCCGCGCAGGGGATTGGCGAAGAAGCTATGAGAAAACTCACATCATCTTCCTTGCTGAGACCGAAGAAGCGGCGGATCTTCGTGGCCCTTTTGGGACCTAATCGCTTGGGGTGGACGGTGTCGGTCAGGCCGGGGATCTCGCTATCGCCCTGCTTGACGATGCTAAGAGCGAGGACAGAGAGGTCCATGCCGACAATGCAACCACGAACACTCTTCCTCTTGCGTTCGCCGGTGCGACGGGGTCGGTAGCAGGAGTGGCCTTTTCCTAAGAGGAGCGAGACACGGGTCGGGTGCATGACACCCTGCTTCATCGGGAAGCCCTGCTTGTCGTTACCGCCTGTGATTCTGAAGATGTAGCCCTTGAACTCGTCGCCGACAGTGTCGCCAGGAACTTCCTGACCCATGCGACGGTCCATGAAGACGCGGAGCTTACGCTCATCGTCGACCTCAATCAGCTTCTGCGTGCCATTGCCGGGGTATGAGATGTTCAGCTTCATCTTGACAGACGCTGTCGAGATGCGGGTGCTGAATCTGGGGTTAGTTGTCGAGAAGTGGCCGGTCGAAGTTGAGGGTGTGTAAGGTGGAAATTTCGCGTGGGCTTAGCGAGTAGTGTCGGATTAACTATCAACCGAGCGATGCGATCACTTGTGATTCCTTGTACGCTTAGTTACATGGTGCTTCATTATATCATCAATCCCCGAAACGTCGAAATCAAACACATTATCTTGTTTGTTTCCAGCTCTTTGAGGCCTCCAGCTCCCCTTCTTTGCATCAACAGAACAAATTCCTTTCCGCACGTACAAAAACCGCTCGCGGCAAGGTTTAGAACGCGATGTTAACTCCCTCCTGTCAGAATAAGACAGTTTATTAATTTGACAAGAATCAGACTGTGCTACTGAGCCTATTTCCCCACTGGGTGGGTAGCCTCCCTGTAGCTTCTCTACCGAATAGTCGGATATCCTTCCTTCTCAATTCCGTGTAAGTTCTCCAGAATGTCACTTCCGCCCAGGATCCCAGCACCTTTCCATACACTCTTTTTCTCTTCCGTCCAAATTTCATGGAACCTAATCGCGGAGTCACTTGCTGCCACAACGATGCACCCCTCCTCCACAGTCCTCCCCCACCACACGCCATCCTCACCCTTGTCCCTCCCGGTGTTTGGGCCTCCAGGAAACGATATAGCATATAGTGCGCGATTCTCATCATACCAAGGAATTGCAACGATCTGCTCGCACGAAGGCCAGGCAAAGACTGCGACGCGGAAGGGGTGCTCTGGCTGCGCGAAGCCGAATGTAGCTGCAACCTCCCGACGTGTTGTGCTCCAAATCAACGAAGTTACTTGTGCTGCACAGTCGATGGTTGCTAGACAAGCGCCTGAGACGGTATGGTAAAAGTGGATGCAACGGTCGTTAGATCCACCGCCAATGGCAACAAGCCCTCTCTGCCACGGGCAGAATGCGATTGCTTTGACGGCGGCGTTGAGCTCCCACTTGTGTTTCTCGCGACCTGGTTCAATAGACAAAACAGGCCCGCGATTAGTGGGCGCTGACCAAATGCTGTCGCTGTTGGGATCATATCGGACACTCAACGTATTCAGCGAGTCCGTTGCAACTTGATTTTGCAGTATCTTTTTTGTCTCGAAAAGATAGCATGCGTTGTCGTTGCCACCACTTGCAAAAAGCTCGCCATCGATAGACCAAGAGAGCCCACAGATCTGTTGCGTGTGCATCGTCATACGTGCTAAAAGTGTCAATGCCCCGTTCCAGCCAAATAGAGCAGCATCCGTTTGATTCGGCCACTCTATGGAATAGAGGTACACTTGACCAGCTTCGTCACCAACCAGTAATTCTTCGGTTGGAACTGCTATGGCCATGTCCCTAAGAGAAGGGCGTCGAACCATTGTGGGCCTAAAGGAGACGCATGAGATTGGCTTAGGTTGCTTGGACTGAAAACGAGGCTCTGGATCAAAGGGACTCCATAAATTTATTCGACCATCGGCTCGACCTACAGCAAGAATCGATTGGCCACCCTGAACGGATGAAAACGCCAGAGACGTAACATGTTGTACTTCTGAGGCAGCATCGATCGACAAGGTATTGAGTGACTCCGGGGTATCTACCCCTTTTTGTTCCGACCAAAGGTGGACAAAGTTTCCAAGCCCTACAGCAAGGCATTTAGAGGTGTGGGAATATGCAAGCAAGGAGCAATAGTAGTCGTCCCGCAGCTGTGGCGCATCCAGAACTGTGCTGACTGTTAGTATAGGCTATGAGGTTGTGGTTTTAACATATCTAAAAGGAAGGATCGGGACAGGCCTCCTCGAAGTTGAAGGTGCTCGCCTAGGTGCTTGAAAGGGCTATCAGCATGAAACCCTTCATTGGGATGAGAAACTGGGACAAACGCAAAGTGGATCCATCTTTCATCCAGGCATTGTCTCTCCAAACATGCGTCATCGAATTTGCAAAATTACCATGTAATCCTGTGCTGTTTGATTTTGGCGTTATTGGGCTCTGTGGAGGTGTCGTATGTCCCAAAACTCGATCTGCCTGGTTAACATCTAATGCTAGGGCAAGACGTCGCTCGTAGGCCTCAAGTTCCGCCTCAGGATCAGATCGACTGAGGAACAAAGACGTGTAGAGTGGTGCATTCGTCCCGCTACCAAGCACACCGCCTCTTCCATTGGATACACCAACTACAGTGTCACTAACGGCTGAGGACCCGCCTACATTCCAAACAGCTCCGGCGCTAACTTGACGAACCCCGAGAGAGAAGGGACTGCGTCTGAGGCCGAGATTTGCACCGCGTCGGTTCATATTAGCTCGCCCAGTGATCACTGAATGCGTCTCTCGAAGAGTGCGAAGTTCGGCATTCAGTCTACCACTTCGTCGAAGCCGCCGGCTAAATGGGTCTGCACCAGGGGTAGTGCTACCGCGTGTGATCTTCTCTTCAGGTGTAAGTCGATCTGCCGCCTTGTTTAGTTCGAAACTATCTCTTGCGGTGTTGGGAGGCCGTCGTGAAGGAATGAAACGATCTTGCGCCCGGTTTGATCGTCGCGGAGCTGATAGTAGCCCGCCTCGTGTCGCCCATTGACTCGGTCTCAGGGGCGAGCTGGAGTTACGGAGAGGAATGCGGCTCAATTTGGTTGGTGAAAATCTGCAGCCGGAAATAGTAGCGTGCAGTGGTGGTAATGGGGCCTCGTGATCTGCCTGATATCCACGTGGAGAAAGGGAGTGTGGAGACTGCGTCAGGTCTTCGCTAGTCTGAATTCTGTTTGGAGACCAACGATCGCCGCCTTTCTCGGTGGCGACTTGAGACGTGTGTTCGACGGCGCAGGAATCGGAAACATTAACCAGTTGAGGTGTAGAGGCTCGACGGATCGGTGCTGAACGATTGTTTAAGCGAGCCGAGCGACTGCAGCCACGCGTCGTTAGACTACTGAACCATTCCAAGCCATGGTCTGTCAGTGACGGTGAGGCTGACTGAGAGGATTCATATTCCAAATGGGGAATAGCGGGCCGGGACAAATAAAGCGCTCCACAGCGATCCGTGAAACTAAGCTTCGTGGGGGACGTTGGAGGAGTAGGAGAAAAAGGATCTGCACCGATATCTCGGAAGAAAAAACTGCTACGTGTTTTGCGAGGCGAGACTGGCGTGTTTGGAACCGTCCAGTCTGCAGTACTTGTGCTCTTCGTTGGGGATAGTGGCGGCGTCACAGGCCGTGGAGAGAAAGCGCGTGTACCATGGTCCGATCCGGTCATGTCTGCGTAGAGGCCAATATCAAGAAAGTGAACTGATGATTTTGTTGGGCTACAATGGCTCGACCATAGTCGAGAAGAGCGAAAGTCAGCGACACAATGAGTTGGAGGGGAGGGGCGTTGGTAAGAATGAGGATAAGCCTGGCGGATAGTGTGGTGCTGCGTGGTTAATGCTGTCGTGTTAGTATAGCATGGAAGGTTGCGGGTCCTTAGGATGCTTGCAGGACATTTGAGGGATGACCAAGGATAGCTTCGATCTCTGCAACCGGAGAAGGAGCCGCATGTGAACCTACGTAATCACTTCGGTGAAACAAAAGTCCGATCCGCAATCAGCAACTTCTCAAGATGCACCTACCAAGATGCACTGGAGCCTTTCCCTTTGATTAAACAAGCATGGCAAGTGTACGTGACCATTTGCACCCAGAATCTCACGTGAACTTACAAACTCTCTGACAAGATGCTAGCACGGCGTTGCACGAGTATCAGGCACCAATCCCGCTATACGCTCGGAGGAGTTGCGCCAGAAGGAACTCGAGCAAATCGCCGCTTACAATAATCTCGTAGATTTAGTGAACTTCAAGGTACACTAGGCTTCATGAATCTCTAGTAGGTCTTTGCTGACACGTCAAACTCATCACAGGTTGCTGATAGACAATACACGGTCGAGGTACTGGACCTTACTACGAGGCTTTTGAATGAGAACCCTGAATATTACACAATATGGAACCATCGCCGCCGTATCTTGCTCGACCTGCTCCTCATTCCATCCTCAGATGACCGTCCCTCTACAACCCTCTACCGTCGCGGCGAAGAACTTATTCACGACGACTTGCAGCTCACTTTCGCCCTGCTACGTAAATTTCCCAAATGCTACTGGATATGGAACCATAGAATTTGGATTCTGCAAAAGGGGGAGTTATCGTTTAATAGTGCGTCGGCCCGCAAATTGTGGCTTGGAGAGCTCCAGTTAGTAGGCAAGATGCTTCACTTGGATAGCCGCAACTTTCATGCATGGACTTACCGGCGTTTTGTGGTGGCTCAATTAGAACGCATGCAAGCTTCTGTGACCGATACCTCTCTCGAATCCGTACATTCTACGCAGAGTCTAACGGAATCGGAGTTCGCATACACCACAAAGATGATCAAAACAAATCTGTCCAACTTCTCCGCCTGGCATAATAGGAGCAAACTCATCCCCATGCTTCTAGATGAACGTAGCGCGGACAGTGCCGCAAGGAGAGAATTGCTGGGCGATGAGTTGGCGTTGATTTGCACGGCGATAAACACAGATCCCTTCGATCAGTCTATTTGGTTTTATCACCAATTCCTGATGAGCACTCTGTCACCGAAGTGCGCTTCGCAGAACATGATCGTGCGGGATCTATCTAACCAAGATAGACAGAGGTACTATGCACATGAAATGGAATACATTCAAGACATTCTCGAGGACGAAACTGAATGTAAATGGATCTATGAAGCTCTGCTTCACTGTGCTAGTTGCTACCTTGAGATCGAAGGTAGTACACAGGCTTTCACGGTGCTAGACATGCGAGGATGGCTGCGGGAGCTGAAGAGACTGGATCCTCTGCGTAGAGGTCGGTGGGACGACCTTGGACGGAGTCTAGATATTTCATGATAATATCGATTTGCTATGACGATCGATCCGTTGGTGATTTTGGTTGCAGGTCATTCTTTCCTTGATGGCTTGGGGTCGGAACCATCTTGATTCCGTTTCCATGCCCACAGACCGAGCATCGATGATAATCTTGATGACGCTACCCCCGAAGTGCGGTCGGCTGAATCTTCTGGTTGAGCTTGGGGTATGGTGGGAATACCGTCATTCATCATTGTTGGATGTGCGCCGATATCACTAAGATTCATTAGTACGAACTCAGGGGTGAAAAGAGTCATTTACCTTTTATATTCGTCTTCTAATCTCTTCTTCTGTTGCGCTTTGAAAGCAGGATCGAAGGTCGCCACCGCTGGAAGACATGAGTTTAATTTTACACTGCTTTGACATAACACAATACCGGTTGCAACCCCAATCACGCCAGCCAGAGCGATAGGAAGAACTTTGCCTGCCATATCATACCAAATACAGGGACGAACGATTGCTGATATATCAATGACGATCATCAGGGAGAGTGATGTTGGAACAGATACTTGTCCGATGTTCCGATACCACGTGATCGGCGCGCGAGACTTTCATCCAGCGCGTCAAGGTCCACCTCACCTGGTTCATTTTTCAGCGCCCCACAACATCAACCCCAGCGAAATGCCGAGTCCCAATGTCCCAATGGCGACTCAAAGGATATGTTAAAGATTCAGATGAAGAAGACGAGGATCTTGACACACTTTCTATCAATTCTTCCCCGCCTGTTCGAATCGCTCACGAAGAACGCGTCGCTATCGCTTGCTTAAGTCCTACATCTCCACCACAGGTCCACAGCCCCTGCACCCAGAACCTTGAACCACATGTATATGCCAAAGGCTTGCAGAATACACCTTCGGGACCTTCGTTCATTCGCCAGTGGGCTTCTCCAGCACCATCCCTTGAGGCCGAACAACGCCGCGAAACCGAAAGTCCTGACCCACCCCAAGTCTCGAATAGATCACAACACAGCACGAAGCCACCGGTAACTTCGCAGCCGATCGGGGTTTCAAACCTATTTAAGCTTGAGCTTCTTTCGGAATCAGAAACCGACGACGATTCGTCACGGCCGCCTGCAAATAATCCGCAAGATGTCGTTTTTCTGTCGCCGCAGCGTCGGACAAAGGTACAGGTGGTCATACCCCAGCCGCCGTCTGTTGAGAGGGAGTCTGCCGAGCAGAGAACCTGTCGGTCGTTTCGAGCACGGAGACCCATACAGTTGCATCCATACCTCCTCGAAGGCGAGCGCTATCGCCGCGAATGTCAACGGCGTGGTATTAAGCCAGTGGTTAGAGTGAGATCGCCACCGCGTAGAAGCGGCTCCGTTGGTGCAGAGACACAAGAACAAGACTTTCATCCCGAACAGGAGAGCTTCTCCAACAGTCCATTAGATGTCGTTAGGTCAACACCCAGCGGTAGCCGGGCGAACCATGATGCAAGCTCAAACCGGCGCTCCATTGCATACACCAGATACAACTCTCGCAGGAACTTAGAGACTCACCCCCCTTCCCATGGATCAAATGTTTCGGCTCGTATTAAACGCCGTAAGTTGAGTCGTGTAACGGCTCCTTCTGGGATATCAAGGACAAGGGAAGGCACTTCTAGCACTACTAACTCTGATCACGGTATTGGATCAACCACTCACGGCGATATTTGGGCAATTCCGCACTCCCCCCCATATTCGAGCAGCCCTTTGCTGGATAGGAGCAACTCTGCCCTACGCAGGATAGGAAGACACAGGGCTGCAACACCTCTGCCAAACTTACCAACTCCATCAAATTCATCGAGTGTCCGAAATGATGCTCAACTTGTTGCGGAAGTTGACTCGGATTCCAGCGCCTCCCCGGTGCAGCAAGTAGGAACGCAGCGAAATACACTCATTTCGACGATACTGAGCGATGACTTGTGCTCGGATTCAATCTCGTCTGGAACAGATTCGGAAGGGAGCGAGAGCCAAATCAGACGCGTGGGCAAGAGAATAAAAGGCGTGCTTCCTGCATCATGGCTCCGTCTTAATAGGCAAGCACAGGAGAAACGACAAGAGCAGGCAAGAGAGCGGAAGACGCTCCTATTCTCTCTAGGAAAGGTTGAGGCTCAGCGAGGAGTCGCTCAGAGAGTCACAAAACGTCCCAAAAGTCTAGGAATCACCTCTTCATCAACAGCTCAAGCGAACGAAGTCATTGTTATCTCTGATGAGTCCGATGATGAGCCTGCGATACCTTTTCATGCCGATGCAAATGACATCCAGCAATCGGCTAAGGTAGCCTCCGAGATGGCAGCTACGTTGGATCAACGTTACGCTGTGGACGACGTGGACAATATGGAGAATGACCGTCTACAATTGTTCCCACTTGGCGGAAACGCCAGAAAGCGAAGACGCCAAACAAAGCTCACTGATACATTTTCCAAACCAAGGAAGAAATCAAGATTGTTTGAAGACGATTTTACAGACTTGGTGCCATCAGTTGGGGTTCTTACCTCTAGACGACAACGTCAAAAGGGGGAAACAAAGAGAAATATACATACTCTCCCTTCTCTGAGCATTCTTGACGTGGACGAGACAGCATCGCAAGGCCAGCATTCGGTACCTCAGTTCATCAGATTGGCGAATAGACAAGCCCGACGGCGATCCGACAAAGCTCGACAGAGTCCACACAACAAGTACATTAGGTTACACACCTATCGTGAGACTGAGGAGGCTACTTTGACACTTCGGCGGTGGAGGGCTGGCTCAATAAAACCAACTATAGAGCCTGGAACCCCCACTGAGCAGCGCCCAGACCGCATCCCCCTATCTAATCGAATCGACAATCAGCAACACACTCAACTGCTACCAGATTCTAGCAAGCACTCAGCTGCGTCTCCAAGCACATCTGAAGTACCAAAGTCTTGGCAAGAGCGTAGAAAGAGGTCCTGCGTGGGACTCCTGGTCTCCCGTGGGAATACCCATGTAACTGTCCCCTTTACCCAACTCAACACTCGATCCTCATCTTCTAAGAAAGCTATTTCGAATCACATTCGTCAGCATTCTCCGTTTCGGGCTGCACAACTTGAAGGACTTGAAGTGGAATTCGGTCGGAGCAATCGCAGAATTGCATTTGAAAGAGGACTGCAGAACTTTGACAAGCAATATCGCTTCCAAATGACACATGAACATCTCTCAAGGAACCCACAGCTATTCAAATTCCTTACTAGCAATGCCGTCTTTCCACCGTTACCCACTGTCAAAGATATGGGCGAGAAGCAAACCGCCTCAAGAGACGCAAAGTCCCCTGTTAGAAAGCCTAGAATCGCCCGCAAGTTCCAGGCCCGAAGAATTGACGCTGATACTCGCGAGTTCCGACAGCCAAGTGAACCGACACTGCAGGATCATGTTTTGGACGCCACTGCCAACACGGATACCGTGATCGACCTTCAAGGCCTACAAGGTCTTCCCCCATTTGGCACCCGTTTTCCGACCACTTTCGATGTCACTCCTCTTGCTGTTGGCACTTATTTTGAAACGCGGAGCTTCCTTGGGAGCGAAGAATTTCGTCGATCGCTCCAGACAGGGCACAGAGACCTGGATTTATTTGCTGGCCATCTCATTGTTCACCATGATGAGGAGGAAACCGAATGTGGTCCCTGGAATGAGGCGACGTACTCCAGAATTGCCGAGTGGAGTCATGGTATTTGGCAGACTTTGGACAACCCGTCATTAGGTAGCCATGAGCTGGTCATGGCAATGGAAAAAGCCCTCCAAAGATCTTCTGAAATATTGAGGTCGTTGATCACGTATTTTTCAGCATATTTGAGCTTTTCAGACGTCGTCGATCGCCGGAATTGCACATCGAGAATGAAGCAATTCTTAGAGTCGCTTTTCAGCAGAACGCTGCAGGCCCATGCTCTGCTAACTGCAGAATGCAAATCGACAGCTGAATGCAGCCATCAAAGCGTGCGTACATTGACGTATCTTCTAGTTCTTAGTATGCAAGTTCGCGAGATAGCGAGACATTCTTCAGTAGAGCCTTCAGTACAGACCGGAGTCGCGGCATTTATGAGCAGTACTTTCCAGACTGTTGTCGAACATCTCGTCCGCAAAGGAGTACCCGAGCTAGGGGATTTCCTGGAGAGAATCAAGAGCTACAAGGAGCGAGAAAATGGCATCCGGGATAATGACATTCTCGCGGAATCTCTAGTCATCTGTATGCATATGTCAGATCTCTCAAAAGGCCCTGGAGAGATGTTATGGGATGCTGTCAGCCAAGAACTGTCTCGACAGACAGTCAACGCAACACAATTTAAGGCCTTTGAGTCTATCTGGGTCACGGCTTTTACTTTCCTGCCATTCTCCGAATTCGATCCGTCAGGAATCTTCGTGGTTAATCGCAGGGCATCCACTCCTATCGGGAGCTGGACCTTTGTGAAGGACCTTTTGAAACGACTCTTTTCGTTGTATCCCGACACGGTCAAATTGCACGACTCCTCCATGAACGAATATATCAGGGCAACTTTGACAAGGTGCCACGTCCTCATCCGTATCTGGAACTGGACCAAATGCGAACCCATGTTGAGCGCTGTTTTCGATTTTTTTGGAAAACGTGGCCTCCGACAATTGCAACACGAAGAAGGCAGAGGGTCGCCTCGATTCCTCGAGAACTTTTCAAACCACCCTTCTTTAGACGTGGTCTCGAACGACAGTGCGTTCCATATTTTCCTCAAGTGTTTAGCTCTGGGGCTCAAAGCAATGCCGAATTTGTATCCGGAGAAGAAAATCCGCAGCATTGTTCTTCGATGCACTCCAAATCATGGTCGAGGTTATCCGAAAGATCAGCCCATGGCACAAGCAGATCTGGACTCACTTCGAAATCACCACGATCTACTGTGTACGCTCCATTTGGCGTCCCCTCCCTCTTGCCGACCCAAGGTGGATATCATCCGAGGCTTGGTATATCATGAAACATCGCATCGAGAAGCTTGCAGGTTGAGTGTACGAGCCTGGGCAATCCTGGCTGCATTCCAACTATCGGTCGATGAGCCGTACGCTGAAATGCAACCGCTTGCCCTATGGCACAAAGAAATAATTCAGCACACTCTGAAACAATACAAATTGGCAAATATTGAGGCTGAAGAGTATTTCAAATCTGCACAATCAGACGGGACCACAAAGATATCTGCCCAGATGGTCCGAACAACTGTCAACAAGAATCAAGCCCAAGTCATTGCGACGATTCGAGACTGTATTGCAGGTATGCAAAACGCGATCAAGAGTGGTAGTGGACGAGGCGCAAACTTCCTCACAGAAAGCGGCATTATTCAACTACTCGAGCTTGCTGATGTGGATGATCCTCGCTTAACAATCGTCATTCGGGAAACGCTCTACGTTCTCAAAGAATTTGCCGCGCTCAGGCAGCGGGATACAAATGCAGGTGTTGACCAACAAACGAGTGAAGAAAGTCAAGACTATGGAGAGTTTCCAGAATTGGATGACGTGGAGGGTCTTCAGCAAACCCCTTCCGTTGGTTCCCTTGAATTCATTGAGACTCCTTTGTGGCACCTCCTTTCAAACGCATTTGGTGCAGAACGCCCGCTGGATGATGGTCTTTTGAAGGATTGCGTGGATACCTGGGTTCTAATCGTAGGCAGCCAAGTGTCGGCACGAGAACGATCGTGGGACCACTACATCGACTCTTTCAGCCAGGTGTCGTGGCATCAACTTCGCGATACAATCCAAACACGCAAGTTTACACCTTACTTCATGGCTTCACTAGTGACCTACGATTCGAGATCTATTAAAGAGCATCAACGCGAATTCTTCACCGCTTGGCTTGTATCTCTGGTGGAACGTGAGTCGATGCTCCGATTCCAACATCGCCTGACAAAAGCTATTGTCCAAGTTCAATCTCACCACCCTCTGCTGCAGAATTTGCCTTTCCTCCAAGATCCCCGTACTGGTCACCTTGATGTCACATTTGACACATTACGCACCCGGCGCCTAGCACTGCTCTCCAGTATTCTAGCAAACATGCGCGATGATCTTCACACAGCGATACTTGACGACCCAAGCCGAGTGGCAGACACCAAGCGAGAGTACGCTTCGATGCTCAAAGAATTGATGAACGCAATGAAGAAAAATTATCAAGATCTCAGGCATGGCACCACAGTAATTGGTGCCTATGTCGAGTTCGTCCAGAAAATTGTACAGTTTCTCCAACAATACACTTCCGACATCTGTGCCGTATCGACTTTCTTTACAGACTCGGCCGCTTTCCCTCTGCCAGCAACAGATCCGACATATGTTGTTGGTCGCTTATGCGGCTATGCTCCAAAGCTTGCAAGTCCAGGCGTTGCTAAGCAGCTGTCCACCTTCATACAAACGGTGGCGCAACAAGCAGCCTTAGACAGCCAACAACCATACCTCGTCAATCAGCTATCATCCGCTCTTTCCGCTAATGGCCCTGATTTCGCTGATGGATCAGCCCTGCGAAGGATGCTCCTACAGGGTGTTTTCCCAGCTTACATCAAGGCTTCCTTTGAGAGTGCCATTGGACTGGTCATTGCCAAGCCAATCCTTCAATCGCTCAAGTCAATATTGGATGCACTCTTCTTCGATCTTAGAGTCACGGACACATCAAACGTCCGGTGCTTTACCGAAACAATTTCTGCCGTTCTCCACGCATTCGTTCAAGGTGCAGAAAGGTTGATAGGACGTCCTTTCCTTCTTAATCAAGTACATGTGCTTCAAACGATCGAAATGCTTCTTGATGCCTCTGTCTCCATCCTCCCGATGCTCGACTACATCCAAGGGAGAACCTCACGGTCCGTAGCTCAGCCCCCGTTTATCGCATACCTTGAACAATTCAGCATATTTGTTTCTGCAGCCATACACAACAAAGTACCAGACACAGTGCCCGGCTTCGATGGGCCCACAAACTCAGCTAGTCCGCCATGCTCAGATCTTCTTTTTTTCAGCATACAGGGTCTTCAAGAGAGTATGAACAGCAATTGGAAGGTGGATCAGGGCAGGATCTTCTTTGGTCAAGGCCATGCTAGGAGAGAAGTTTTTGTAGATTTAGGATTGGTGGAAGAGGAAAAAGCGATAACTGAGTCCGCCATTGAGAGATTCCATCAAGCTCTGAGGTGTGTGTACGGTGATGAGTTTAACGAAAGATATCATTATCCAATGTTCAGCTTCGGCTTTATGTAGCGGCATTGTAGGCGTTTTTGGTTGTGGGATAGAATAGCATTATTGGAATGATATGAAAACACACAGTCATGATGAATTCTACATCCTCGGTTTCTAAATTTCAAGAACTTCCATCGACTTTGCCTTTATTGGTCCATGGCCTCAAGGACTCCTTTCAACTTCTCCCAACGCACTCATTCCCCTTTACATCAATTAGACCCTTAACTGAAGTAACATTAAGATATGATAGGGGTGATATCTGGTAGCTGTACCCCGAGAACCTTTTCTCAATCGATAGAATTTGTCCTTGAACCCCATTACATGGGCCATGATAGATGTTTGGATTTGCGGGCAGGCTTTAGCGTAAGAAAAGTGTGAGTGGGGTCAAAATAGAGCGCGCGCGTTGGTGGAGATTCAGTTGCATATGTCAAAAACCGATAGAAGTTCCGGTACTTTCATACGGGAAAACCCAGCACTAACTGTCCGCGCTGCCGTATATCCTTAGCTCTTTTTCCCTTCTAGATAAGAGCGCGGCTTTGTTCTTAATGAACTTGAGCCATATTAGAAAATACGCCGTGGTGCCATATATACCTTGCTGCCCGTGATGCCAACCCCAACCACTCACCCCATTCCTACAGCTAAAGCCTAATATCTAAGACTCTAGTCCCAACATACGCCTTCGTCTGACTCTCTTCTTTTTATCCCCTACCCACTTGGTATCCTCCAAAGAGCTTCTATTAAAGTCAAACAGGTTACTTTTAATTCTTGCTTCTATCTCGCCATGCCGACTATACAGGCATAACAACTCTAGTTTCCCCTCACCAACGTCGTGCGTGTTGACAGCGTTGAGAAGCGGATTCAATTACCCAGTTGCCATGTTTAAAGAGCACAAGCTATATCTCTGGATACGTACGGCCGTATTTGTAGTTTCGAGATAGAAACTCCGTAATTGACAATGAATGATATCACGCTCACTTATCACTTATCTCGCCGAAGGGCTGTACGGAAAGGCGAGAGTGGGGGGTGGTGGTACCAACATGGGAAGCGATGGAAGTCGTAGGGTTGTTGGCTTTAACTGACAAGCCGAAGTGCTCTACTAATATGATATTATTGCTCGATAGCATTCCCTTTCCTCCCCGTATGTTCAGGCACTGGACATATCGATACGATACTTGCCGAGCTTGGTATGGTAATGGTGAACGCCATCTAGAACTAGACCCGTTCTCGTACTGCTGCAGCTACGGAAGTTGAAAGGAACACTGCTGTTTTATTAACGCCAAACCTGTATTCGCGCACGAGGCCATATTCAACGAGATTGCTCTGGTATTATTGCTCGAGGCGACAAAGGATAACAATGATGACTTTGTTGCGTTCGCCAAAAGGTCAACCTTCCAGCTAGCACAGCAGAAGGATATATATAGGCGGATAATTGTACGCGACAGACTTTGTAATAGCTGCCCGCTACTTTGGGTCTTAACTTCCAAATGTCCTGACTCTCGGATCATGATCTCTTATAAACGCTTTGATCTGAGCTGGTGGGATTGTTATAGTCACCTTGGACGTTACGGAGAAGAGGAGGAAGTGAACAGACACACAGAGTTGGATAACTCCCTTAGAAATTGTTGTTCGGAAGACGCTCGGCGATGTGGGATGGCTATCAGTCGTTGTTATTCGCCTCCCGCCTTGACAACTTCTACCGTCGAATTTCCTTCCACTTTTGATGGATATACTTCGGAGGTTTAAAAACTCGGGTAATTATGGACATGCATGCAACATAGCAGTACAGTGGAGAGCATGACAAAAGCAAGTGATTTCCACTTCTGCCTTTAATTTATTAGCTGGTGCCTTATCAATAATTACGTTCTTCGGCATAATCTAGGATCCCGCGAGACAACCAGCCATGTGCAGGTCAGCCCAACAGTTGAAAGTTTCCGATTGACTAGCTCGGCATCAGAGAAGGACTCGGGGTTGCTGCAAGCCATTTCGTAGAAGGGAAGCATGTTCATGGTGTAGTATTCTTGACAGAGTTTATCTTCGATATCTAGAGGCGGAATGCGGGCGATTTGGTTCTTGTCTGCCTGATTCAGCTCGAGAGGATTGGCGATGGCTTTGGCCCGCATGCCTCCTGGAACTACGGCGAAGCTCACTGCATTTTGACTTGGGAGGCGATGATATCCGACAATCCTGGGTTTGATAGCATTTGCCGGCGACGCTTCGTTGGACGGCTCTCTGGGGAGGCTTTCATGGCTATAGTGCCCGTCGTTATGTCTTTGGCTGTGGCTCTCAGTGGAGTGCACGTGCCTATTCAGATGTAGAGTTAGCCTTCAACCGAGATGGCTAGCTCATCTATGGTTTTCCGGGGCGCCATGCTCATGATGGTGGCCATTTAGGTGCAACATGCGCTTGACTGAGTCCATGCCCTTCTTTACATGCGGGTGGTGGGATAGAAACTCCTCTGTGTGTAGCACGCCTTTGTCCATCTTGACGCCTACGATTGCGGCTCTCTTCCTTCCGGCGAGTGGATCCAAAGGCCCCGCTTTGGGAGGCCACTCACCATTGTCTTTCCATCCTTGCACCAGTGCGCGCGTCATGTCGGAGAGGTTGATGGGGACGGAAGGCGTACGCGAGGAGACGACGATCTTGTTGTAGATGTCGGAGTATATCTTAGGCGTAATGGAATTACGGATCGAGTTATTCGCGAGCATCGGGGTGGCCAGCGGCACTCGAGGCTCGGTATCGGGTGAGGGGGAAGGTGTCGCGTTGGTATTGTTAGAAGAAGAAGCTTCTGAGGGTATTGTGGAGTCTGGGCTCTCGACGTCTGTTGCGTTGCTGCCCCTCGTAGCCCTATTCGTACCATACCTCCTCACGGCTGCAGCGCCGGTCCACACATCTCGTCTGACAACAAAGCAGGAGAGGCCCTCATTCCAGGCCATCTCGCTCTCTATAGCCATCCTCCTCTTCCTCTTGCGCGCTTCTGCCTTCGATTCGAGAGCAGCGCCGATGCTGTCAGGTGAGTCGAACTTGTACGGATTCGTGGCATCAGTCTCGCTGTCCGGCTCGGAGGAAGATGTGGTACCGTAATAACGCTCTCTGAACTCGCTCACGCCGCGCACTTCTTCATCCGACGCCGACCAACATTCGGGCGCATTCGGCCAGTCCCAGTCGTCGCGAACTCGGTCGACAAGGAAGCGTCGGGCAGCCCGGGATGCTGACTGGTTGGTTTCCATGCCGGGCCCGCGAGTCGTGGGCTCCAGGATGACGTCGTAAGATATTGAAAACGTGGAACAGTGGAGAGGGAGGTAGTCGTGGTGTTTGAGGTTGAGGTTGAGGTTGAAGTCTAGTTGCAAACAAAATCCGTCTTCCCCAAAGTGGGTGTTGGCGTGACGTAGGTCGAGAAGCCGTGAATTCCGTGTGAATGTGGCGCCCCGCCTGCCACTTGAGGACACAGCCTGATCTTTCTAGGCACCTCGGTACCTGTTCTCTCACTTCCCCAAATTTCAGTTGCCAGGCACACTTCTCTCAAGATATCTTTCACGGACAAAGCCGTTCGTTCCTAATCATTATATTCTTGCAGGGTTCCCCTCTCAATTTACTAGCTCACTACTTGAGTTTCGCGCCTGAAATTAACAATTCGTGCGCGGGTATACTTGGTTCCCAAAGTAAGTCTGAATGGCAAAGCGTTTGTCCTATTAGATAACTAACGTGTTTTACTAGTCATCCGCCAGCCCCAAAACTCACCGAAAGTGGGAAAAATTGTACGATATCTCAATGACATAATAAATTCTAAAACTGTATGACTAGTCTTCTATACCTCTTGTAAGACTCTAGTTTAATCTTGAAAGCTATTCATTCTCTAAATCTTAAGAAGTAGCAATTTAACCAAGGGGTCAGAAACTTAATACCTTAATAACAGCTATGTCTATTACTACAGAACCTGTCGCATACAATTATCCGCCTATATATATCCTTCTGCTGTGCTACCTGGAAGGTTGACCTTTTGGCGACGCAACAGAACCTTTAAGAGGAATCTTAAAATAGGTATTTAAGACTAGGGATAGATTTTTAGACTCTATATTTAAGGCGTTGTTGAGATATCAAGGTACAATTTTTCCCATTTTTGGTGAGTTTTGGGGCTGGCGGATGACTGGTAAAACACGCCAGACAACGCAATCAAAGTATCTGTTCGCAGTACGCCGCCCCAGGAAGTTGTGGCAAACAGGAATGTGATCTCTCATCCTCAAAAGATGGCTAGCGAATGCAATAGCGAGTTAGCTTACCCGCCATTTCGTGAAATTCTACTGCCAAAATTCTACTGCCAAACTAGCTCACTTGTCTAAATCAGGTTAGTGCAGAATGTGAAGGTGAAAGTGCAGAGCATGTGCCCAGTTGGTCCAAGCGCTCCCGAGTTCATCTCGGCATGACGACTGAAGCTTCCCCGTCTTCGCGGGCACGCAACCATGGAGCTTCGAAGCTGTCTCTCGGCCCGGCCTTAATCGCAGAGAGTCGCATACACCTTAAGACACCTCACAATAGCTCTGCGTACTCAGGATGCTGTCAGCATTCACGGCCCGGCCCATAGTCGAGCTCAAGCAACGCGACAAGTCCAAGATCGAGTCAATCCTGGCCTATGGTATGAAGCCTGGAAGAGCTTCAAAAATCAATCCCGCTAATACTTATACAGGCGACAGAGTGCTTGTAGGGCTGAACACAGGCTCGCTGCGCATCTACCGTGTCAACGAGCCTACTGAAGAACCCGAGCCTGCCCCTGCCCAGAATGGCCATGAAACCGGGGAGCAGAACGGCGAGTCGCCGGACCAACCTACGACCCCTAAAATCAAGCCTGCAGACCTCCTTCGCGAAGAAGATAAGTTCTCTCGTCGCCCGATACAGCAGCTAGCTATCATTAAAGAAGCAAACATCCTTGTCTCCCTGTCGGACAGTCATGTGTCTATCCATGATCTACAGAGCTACACATTGCAGGAGAAGCTGGAGAAGACGAGGGGTACCACAACATTCGCCGTCACGAGTAACATCGTTAAAGACCCCAGTACAGGCATACCCTCTATTGTGAGCAGGCTGGCCGTTGCTGTGAAGCGGAAGATCATTCTCTGGACATGGCAGGACATGGAGTTAACTGGGGATGCGGTAGAGATTACGCTCGTTGCGGCAGTCAAGAGTCTGACATGGGCAACTGCTACGAAGATTGTTGCAGGCATGGACCCAGGATTCGTCATGGTGGATATAGAGAGCCAGGAAGTGCAAGACATAAACAAGCCTGGTGCGTTGGGCGAAGCTGGTGGGCAAGGCGGCACAAGATTTGGTGCCGTATCGTCTTCGGGTATGGGGTACATGGGCATGGGGAGTTGGGTGCCGAAGCCCATGTCTACGCGGCTTGGAGAGGGCGAAATGTTGCTCACAAAGGATGTGAACAGCTTGTTCATTGACACAGATGGGAATGCCTTGGATAAGCGGCAGGTCCCGTGGCCAACTGCTCCGGAAGCCATCGCATACTCGTATCCGTACATGCTTGCCCTCCAAGCGCCATCGAAAGGTGGTCTTGAGGTCAGAAACCCCGACACACTCAACCTTCTTCAAACGATCGCCCTCCCGAACGCAAACTTCATGCATGTTCCTCAACCAAACATTAGCTTAGCGCATGCTGGCAAAGGATTCTTAGTCGCCAGCGACCGATGCATATGGAGGATGGGAGCACAGAATTACGAGTCGCAGATCGACGAATTGGTCCTTAACGGGCGATACGATGAAGCTATTAGCTTGCTCGGCATGCTTGAGGATACGCTGCTCCAGGACAAAGAAGGGAGAATGCGCGAAATCAAGATGCTGAAAGCCCAAGGACTCTTCGACCTGCGCAAATACCGTGAATCGCTTGAGCTGTTTTCGGAAGCAAAGGCTCCCCCGGAAAGAGTCATTGCACTATATCCGAAGTCAATTGCTGGTGATCTTTCCTCGATCAAAACCGAGAAGGATGCGGAGCGAGAAGCAGGGCAAGAAGAACCAAACGCCGAAGACAGTGCTGAGGGCAGTAAGGTGGCGCCCTCTACACCGGCATCACTGGTTGGACGATCAATGCTAGGGAGATTCAGGGCGGATCAGAAAAAGGCGGACTCTGATACAGCCTCGGTCAAATCACTTAAACAAGATGATGTTTCCGATGCAGCTGGTACCATTGGCAACCCCTCAGAACCAGCCCAGGCAGACAAACCCCTCGAAGGGAAGGACCTTAAGATCGCTATCAACGAACTAAGAGCTTTTCTAGCACAATGCCGTGTCCAAATAAAGCGCTACCTCAATATCAATGGCACGCTCAAAGAACCCCTGCCAGCTCCGAGCGAAAGTCAGCCAGAAGACTACAAGCCGCCGTTCCACTACTTCATACCTCAATCTGTTCCTCCCGAACAAATAGATTGGGCGGCAAAACTCCTAGAGGTTGCGCAATTGGTTGACACTACCCTCTTCCGCGCATACATGCTCGTTAGCCCCAGCCTTGCTGGGCCGCTCTTCCGTCTCGACAACTTCTGCGACCCAGATGTCGTCAACGAGAAGCTGTATCAGACTGGTCGATACGCCGACCTGATCGACTTTTTGCATGGCAAGAAGCTGCATCGTCACGCGTTGGAGCTGCTGGAGAAATTTGGCAAGAACGAGGCGGACGAGGAAGTCTCACCAGCCCTTCAAGGACCTCGGCGAATAGTCGGATATCTACAGCAACTCCCACCAGAGATGATAGATCTGATTCTCGAGTTCGCCGAGTGGCCGTTGAGGACAGATCCAGGGCTTGGGATGGAGATTTTCCTCGCAGACACGGAGAACGCAGAGACTCTACCACGACATAAGGTCTTGGATTTCCTTCAGCAGATCGACCTCAAGCTGGCTGTGAAATATCTCGAGCACATTGTTGAGGAGCTGAACGATCTCACCCCAGACTTCCATCAACGGCTGATCGACCTTTTTCTGGAGCGGTTAAAGGCCGGGCGGGATCAATTCGAGAATGATGAAGAGAGGGAAAGGTGGCGAGAGCGGCTCCAAACGTTCCTAAAGAGCAGCTCACAATACAACAAAATTCGGGTGTTCAAACAGCTCCCGCCTGATGGTTAGTACGCCATATCAGCTCTCTTGTTTTCACAGTTGACAACGCTTATTAGATCCCGAATACTACGAGTCCCGTGCCATAGTGCTTAGTAAAATGGGCTCGCACAAACAAGCACTCCAAATTTACGTGTTCCAACTGAAAGACTACCAAAAGGCCGAAGAGTAAGCCAGCCTTTACCGCGCTCGGTCTTCATTGACTAACGAAGCACAGATACTGCAACCAGATCTATCTCTCTACACCTCAGCCAATCTCACCAACTAAATCCTTTCAGCCGACCACGACCCTCCCGGCTACATATGATCCCGAAGACTCGGAACCTTCCATCTATCACATACTGCTTTCCCTCTACCTCACCCCACCATCACCTCACCAACCCAACTGGCCACCAGCGCTGGACCTCTTGAGTAAACATGGTGCTCGCCTCCCGGCGGCCACGACCCTCGATCTCGTACCCCCAACACTCCCCGTCAAAGAACTAGAATCCTACTTCCGCGGGCGGATCCGCAATGCAAATTCAGTGATGAACGAAGAACGCATCGTGGCTCGTCTGCGTGGCGTCGAGAAAGTCGAAATCGAGACAGCAGTATTACTAGGCGATGGCAGGGTGGATAAACATGGGAGGAGGGTGCCCGGTGGATTGAATAGAAGAGTAGTGATTGATGAAGATCGACATTGTGCGGTTTGCCATAAGCGGTTTGGAGGCAGTGCGATTAGGGTATATCCTGATAATAGCGTGGTACATTCGGGGTGTTTGAGGGGGAGTGTTGCAGGGAAGAGGAATACTAATTCGTGGAGGTAGAGGGTTTGAGAAGATGGCATGGAAATTGTAGAGCGGGGAATGGGAGGTTGTGGAGATGGAGATGGAGATGGAGATGGAGATGGAGATGTAGATGTAGATGTGTACAAGAACATTGGAATACCCCAGATAGGATAGAGTCATGCCTGCTTGCTACACCAATGCTCTCAGTCGCCCTCAACAACAACCTCCTCCCCGTAATTCTCCTCCTCTTTCGCCTCCTCTGCTTTTGCTATCCCAGCCGCTTTGTCTTGCTCCATCTTCTGCGTCAGGAAAGCGTTTATATCGCCCTGGAGCTGCTTAGTTGCCGAATGCAGAGCGGCGAGGTATGCGACACGATCATCGGTGGATGGGGAGGCGGATATTGCAGGCAGAGAGATGCTTAGGGAGTGTGAGGAGGGTTCATTGCTCGGAGATGTGTATGTCGCAGTGAGGTTGGCCATTTTGTATTGTGTATTGTGTATTTTCTATTTTCTATTTTGAATTTTGTGTTTTGTATTTTGTGTTTTGTATTTTGTATTTTGTGTTTTGCGTTTTGTGCTTTGTATTTCTGGGTGTTGGCAAGAAGATGTGGGGGGGGAGGGAGGAGGTTGAAGTCTCTCGGAGGAAGCTGAAGGATTCGGCGATTTGTCCGCGCTCAGCCACGGCGATCATTTCATCGAACTTCCCCAGCCAAGAGGATTGATCTCAGCCCACTCCTCCGAGATTCTCTCCTCCCTTGATCTTTATTGTTCTCCCTATCTTTCCCGCGCTTCATGCTGGCCATGAATTGCCTATTCTTATAGCCTTAAGCCACTGCGCGAGCCGTTAGCAGCCGGGCCTGTAATAGTACCACAAGAACGGCCCTCGTATCGTCTTATTTGGTAGCACAAGACCTGGGCACAATGCAATCTTCCTCGCCACCACCGCAGACACCCACGCTGCAGCGACCAGATCCCCTCGACGGCTCCGACTCAGACACATCGCAGGTCACGACGCTGCAGCGCCGCTCTCCCTTGCCCCCGCGCCCCGCAGCGAAGTCATCCGCGACCCCCCCAGAGAACTCAGGCTCAACCCTCAACTACTCGCGGCCCACTGCACCTCCCCGCCCCCAAGACCCGAAAGACCCCCCCCTTCGCGCTGACGACTATGCGACACAGAGTCACATCGGCCCCCAGCTAGGCCATCGTCCCAGACAGCGCTCACAAGGTTACTTTGAGCCCAGCCTACCCACGTCCACACAGTCTAATATGAATATACACGCCGCCTCGCTCACGGCGTCCCAGATCGCTGCGCAGACGGCCATGCACAGCCAGACCTCGCAGCACATGAGGAAGCGCTCGACCACGATACCCGAGCCGGGCAGCAATGCGGGGCCCCCAGGCCAGCGCCAACCCTCGAGTCCCCCTCCCACGTCAGGCGGGCACACCGTCACTTTTAGGACTAACGGGATGACGTATCAGAACGGTATCGTAGGAGGAAACAGGATGGCCGCCACAACAGCTGCGAACGTTGCATTTCCAAGGAGTCCGCTGCACTCGCCTGGCATTCCCCAGCCCCAGGAGCATGGCTCGCCGAAGCTGTCCTCAACGCCAGAGCCGCCGCAATCGCAGAAGCCTGTCAAGGAGAAGAGCAAGATGAAGCTCTTCTCGAAGCCGAAGAATATCAGTATTGCGAAGGATAGGGACTTTGATAAGAAGCACCAAGCACTGCCGTCGCCCGGAAAGATGGGCATTGGCATTCACAGCTCGCAGGCCCCCAATCGCTTGATGATGAACCAGTCGACAACGAGCTTGGTCGAGTCGTCTATCAGCAGCAACGCTTCCCTATACTCCTCGGCCAACGGATCCACCTCAACTTTGGTACCGCGGACAGATACATACCAGCCGCAGGAGAAAGAGAAGGAGAAACACAAGCACCACTTCCTATCCCGCCAAAAGCATAAGCTCAAAGACAAGGACGACCACAATCTTCCCCTGTCCTCTGCAAGCAGCAATTCGCGGCCGGTAGATCCCAACGCCCCGCAGCCGTTGTATTCCTTCGCAGCTCCCGCTTCCCCAGGCCACGCGAGCACATTCGCCCAGTCCGTGACGGGACTAGATCTCAGACATGGCGGTCGTCATCTGAGACAGAAGAAAAAGGAAGAAAAGGCTGCTGCATACCTCGATGTGGGGCTCGACCCCCCATTCCGGGAGCGAAATCAGTCTTTCAGTACCGAGCGCTCTGAGTGGCCCACCACGGGTAGTCTGGGGTCCACACCAGGGGCAGGTTTAGGGCCATCGCCAGGCACAGCACTTGCGTATTCAAACGACACTATGATGAATCTTGGAAACTCGTTCGGGATCACAGGACTATCTCCAGACGACGCATGGCCGCTGTTGAAAGCAAGACTTTTGCAAATTTTTGAGGGCGAGGACCCTCGGCCGCCGGTCGAGGATTTCAATGCTTTGGTCAGCGTACACATCAAGCGATGTATACAAAAACGCTCTCCAATCCTCCTCATCGAAGATCTAAACGAACTCCTAACTACCGGTTTCTCCTCCCTCGACCAAACCCTCCGCCACGTCTCCGACGACCGCCTGATTCCCCATCTCGTAGAGATGTGGCTCGTCGTCTTCAGCACCATTCTCCCCTTTTTGCAAGCCGTTTTTCTACCCCTAGATCTCGAGTTCAAAGGCAAAGGGATCATGTCTTCGACAGCAGCCGCCGATTTCTGGGGCGTGCTGTTACCCGATGAAATGAATACCAAATCGCCCGAAAACAAGAACATCCCGATCCTAGGCGAGCTGGATGTCCGCAGAATCACATTGCTTACGTTCAGGGACACTGTCATCCTCCCTCGAAACGACACCCTCATGGCTTTATTTTCCCGTCTGAGTCTCCAAAACCTAAACGCGGGTTTAGAATCTCCGTCCCCTATCCCCGCCGAAAGACCCGGTACTGCCGGCAGCTTGAACGACCCGGGCACGACCATGGGCTCGCTGAACTCACTTGGCAGTTCTAGTGGCGGATACCTCGAATCCACAACCACCCTAACATCTACTTCCTCCCGATCCCGCGCTACGTCCAACACCTCCGCTGGCTCATTCTCTGCATTCTCAACCCACTCTAACCCCACCTCCCTCCACCCCCCTGCTGCGCTTCCCCCAGCTATGCGCGCCCAGCCAATGGATTCCGCAAAAGTAACAGAGACAGTGGGTAGGATGTTGCAATGTGTTTGTGTGCTGGTGAGTTTGCAGTCGGCCGATGAGGCGCAGGAAAAAATGGGGAGGTTGGTGAGGGAGTTGAAGTATAATTGGCTTGGGAGGGGAAGGACGGGGAGGCAGAGACAGGGCTTTGTGGGTCCGAAGAGGGGAGGCGGGATTTTGAATTTAGGGGTTGTGGGGGAGATGGGAGTTGCAGCATAGGGCGGGTTTAAGATAGGGGGAGGATGTGTGAACTGTTGGTTGGCCTGTTTGGGTGACATGGGTGTTTGTTCGGGTTTAGGTTTCGGCGCCAGGTTTCCTTGGATCAAGGAATAGGGACAGGTTCAGACTTGGACTCGACCTGGGTTAGGTTGCGCTTGGGCTCGGTTTGGGTTAGGCTTGGCTCGAAGCTATTGGCGTTTCCTTGTTCACTTTGATATTTCGTACTTCACACCCACAGACAAACAGAATGGGCATAAATGTAGCCAGTATCTTGGCTCTGGCCCTGGCTTGAATGCTTGGATTCATTCGCCTAATCCAGTGCTGCATATTGTATGGATTCGATTGATAAAATACAATCCATGCTTGTGGTCGAATCAATATATACATATGAATGTAAATGGAATCTACCTATAATCTGAAATCGTTCATTTGCTCTACATCTGCCTTCCCTGCTCCACACCTCACATTTGTCTCTGCTACATAAACCCTTAGCTCCTTAATCCGTCCATTACCAGCACTGGCGATGTGGTGTATGCAGTCCCCGCACGCACGAGTGATAGGTGATAGCAGTGGTATATGTGTATCTCCATCTGTTAAAATATGTACGACGTTCATAGCCCCTACTCGTTAAAATCAATATGGTATGAAGACTGGCTAATTCCCCGCTTGAATCATTAGGCATTGCCCAGTCAGGGCCTATTTCTACGCACCTTCCTTTATATAATTACCTATTGACTAGCTCTACTACCTACTTCCTTCCTTCGAAACCAGATAATCTCAATGAATCACCGTCCTGAATCCACCCACCTGCGGTATTCCCTCCTTCATTTATTTATCTATTCTAGACACTCAGCAGCCACCAACCACCACAGATAACATCTCCTCACAAAAACCTGGGAGCTTCGATCTCTAATATCCCCCCCCCCCCCCCTCCCTCTCAATTTTAGGCTAGAATAGCACAGATTGAGGTTATCATTCAATTACGGAATCACGTTTTTGCAGGTTCAAAGCATCCTTAAGATAGCGCACAATCTTAGGGCGTGAGGTTCCTATGTAGAATTTGAACTTTGTTTGTTTGTCCGCCTGACGTCATGTTATAGCCTTGGCCGTTACCGGGTGGTTTGATTGAGTCCTTGTGGTGGTGGTGGTAGGGTGTTGGTGCTCAGGGATACCCCATAGTCAAAGGAACTCCAAGATTTGAAAACACTGCGATTGAGGCCGAGGATAGTGGAGATTGAGGTTGAAATGGCAGGTAGCTAATTGAGATGGAGACCGAAATTGATGGAAGTGGCTTGACTTTTGAGAACTTCTAACCAGCGTCGGTGGTGGAGAGGTATCCGCAAGCTCCGCCCCTTTACACCTATACCCAACATCAGCGGCATATGTTTATCTCTATACATTTATGTATTCACGGCATATATAGCCCTCATTTGTAAGAAATGTAAGAGCCGCTAATATCCCTGCACGCAGATACATGTGGCTAGCTAGTCTATCTCACCAAATGTCTTTGCACTGTCTTCAGTGGCTTATCGTGCTCTACCGCTCTATATTATCTATACAAAGTTCCAGCATGTAGTCCTCGAGCCTGCATGCTCCTATAGTGCGCTATTCCTTTCCATCCTCTATCCTATCCTACCACATTCTCCGGTCATCCACCCAACGTGTTGGTTCCTCAGCTCCCCTACATTATTTCACTTGCATACAAACTCACTCTCACTCATCTGTGGTAACTGAGAACCCCATAGACTTCCGGTTAACTAGCAACAGGTCCCTAGCCCTCACTAGGACTACCTCAGCCTAAACCCCTATGCCATTTTAGAGCCTAGTTGTGGTAGCCATCGCGTAAGATTCCTCAATAGTTGGCACCCCCGTTTTTATAAAGACCCGCCCTGACAGCCGATGTTACGATAGGTCGTCAAGGGTGGTCATAGTGTGTGCGGGAAATGAGGGATCAGGAAAGCTTAGGGTGTTGGCTTAGTGCTGTAGGACTTTGCAAATATGAATCTGATTGTGGTCTACGTGAGTGGCTGGTTTGATGGAGAGTGGAGTGAAGGGAAGGGTGTTGGTGGGAGTGAGATATCAATTTGTCTGTCTGGCATCTACGGTTCTATCATCTGCGTGTGTAACTCTTGTCCAATCTGAACTGCTCTGATCCTAAAACCGCACTCTCCCACAACAATATTTTATGACCAAAGGAGTGACTATCCAACACACCCTTACAATTGCCGCTATCGAATTGAGCAACCACCACCAACCTAATACTCAAGTTCCTGAACTGTCCCCGGGCAAAAGCTGCACACAGGAATCACACAGGAAAACTCCAACCCTACATCCATAGGGACGAGGATAACCTTCAAACCAGCAAACTAGCAATCAACGCATCAGTCTCACCTCACGCTCTACTACCACCTTTCTACCCAGTTCCCAGGTCCCTGGGAGGGAATTGAGGAGAAAAGCGGAGGAGGCGAGGCAGAACGCTCGTTACCGATCAGCAGCTCTACGGAACTCTGTTAGGGGGACGACGCGATTCCTTGAAACAACGACAACAACATCCTGCCCTTACGTTTCGCTTCGGATTCCACAAAAATATTGACGAGAGAGAGAAAGTGGAGGGAAGAGATGATGCGCAAAAGAACAGAAGGAGGAGTGGTACAAAGGAAAAGGGTCACCCCAACACGCTCCACCCCATACACCAGCAACACAGCGGGTCTATCGATACATCGCGCTGGGCTAGCAGGGAATGGGAGTCCTTCAAAAAAATATGAAATATACATAGAGGCGAAATAGAGCAATCATACCCAATATATCCGGTTCATACACGCACGCACATGAATCCGCATCCTTGCATCCTTGACCTGCGCCCCAACGCCACACAACATCTCACTCGCAGCCAACCGGGCAAGCCGCGGGTTGAAAGGCGAGGATAGAGGCTGGATAGGGGTTGGGGGGAGGAGGGGAAAGGAGGGGAAAGGGTTGGTGTAGAGGAACGGGAGGGAAAGGGCCTCGGGAACAGACGTACCAAAGGGGGCGTCCGTATATACAATCTCTAGAGAATTTCCTTCTTATGCATAGTAGAGGAATAGGTTGTGCGAGTAGGGACTTTGAATGAGAGATAATGAAATTGTCTGATGGGGCTACTAGAAACACCCCACTCGCTATGCTGTGCAAAAGATGAAAATGAAAAGATGGTATATGTATCACCCCACAACGCCTCCCTCCAAGATACAACCAAAATGACACAAACCAACAAACCAAAAAATAATACATTGTCCATATCCCTCTCCGAAGATCAGGACAGTAGGAGGAAATTGACTATGAATGCATGGGGTAAAAAAACACCAGTTTTCACCTAGAGAGAAGACTAAGCTCCATCAATCTAGGCGCTTTTTCCCACCCCAGAGCGAAATGAAGCGCGTCAATGGGGGAATTGCGGGAGAAAAGGGGACCTAAGGGACCAAAGTACGTAACCTGAGCAATTACGGCTGCGGTCACAGGCCGATGTAGTTAACGCCCGAGAATATCTAACTAGACTCAGGACACCCGAGAGCGAAAAGGTCAGGGGAAGATAGAGGGCGTTAATCGGCAAAGATATATTTAATTAGAGAACGGATTCCGCTTCTCGTCATGGCGGTCGGAAAAGGGGTTGTTTCTCTCATCGAGGGGCGAAGGGCCTGCAAGGTGGCCGTGGCTACTAGCGCGTAGGTGGCCAGGACGAGCGGATTCCGACACGGTGTGCGAGGCACTGACGTTGCCAACCTTTTCGGTTTGAGATTCGGGTGCTGCGGTTGCAGTAGGCTCGAAGGTGGGGAAAGGTCGGGGTTGGATTGTGTATGGTGCCGCTTTGTTGACAGGGTACTCGTATGGCGGTGCAGCAGTGTCAGGGTATGCTTGGGTACGGGGAGCTTCTTCCATGGCTGGGTCAGTGGTATAAGGATTACCCGCATCAGAGACTTTGCCGCTGCGTAGAAGCGTGCAGGCGCGGATCAGACCGCCGATGGCAAATGCGAGCCAGATGCAAATGATGACGGTTGAAATGAGGGCCTCGTTGCGGATACCATTGAGGAACGAGCGGACGACATGGTCGACGGCTTCGCTAATTTCATCCTTGGTCTTGCCGCCGGGGTTGGCGAGGAGTTCAGCAGCAGTCGAAGAATTACTAACTTTGGCTAGGGTTCCAAGAGAGAACGTGTCGTTCCTCACGCCTGGGAATTCTACGTGGGCGTGATCCTGGACCCATGTCAAACCTTTCTGGAAACCAGCAACCTTCAATCCAACTAAGCAATTGAGAACCTCTTTGATGGGGTCATAGAGAACAGTACCACCAAAGGTATCGTTGAGGGCCTTGCTCATCCTGTCAACGAACTCATTGAGGGTGCCATTGACGGCGCTTGTTGTCGTATTAACCCAGCCAAGAATGTCCTTGTTGATGTCATCGTCGAGACTGGAGATAGCGCCGTTAACGCCACCTGACCAGGACATTGAAGCATTGTTGAGGGAGTTGACAACTTTCTCGGCGAAGTCGGCCACTTGGTTGGTGAGCTCGGGCACTTTCTTCTGGATGCTCCTCAAGAGGAGGTATTGACAAAGACAGGAGAAGAGCCCTGCAAGCCCAAGAGAGAGCAACAGCAGCATGGTTGGGGACGTCGCATAGGCAACAACCCAGCGGACGAGTGTTTGACGGCGGGTAGATCCGAACCGGCGGCCTAACCAAAGGCCCCAAGTGGACGAATGCGGTCGAGAAGCCAGGTAGACGACATCCATGGCATCGTGTCCTTTATTGATGAGTAAAGTACGCTCTTGCATTTTACGATAGCGACGGGTCTCAGACCAAGCCATAGGAACGATGACAAGAATAGCAGCAACGATAAGGACTGCGAGTGCAACCCTCTTGGCTGTGACCTCGAGTTCCGCAAGCTCATCGAAAAACTCATTGATAGAGTTGCCTTCAGAGCAAAACGTAAGTTGTTCCTTTGCAGGTACAGGGAGAAGGGTTCTGTTGAACTCGAAAGAGTCCATGCCAGCGATGAGCTTCTTAACTTCTTCGAAGGGCAGGCGAATGACGTTGTCGGTGAAATTCTGCACGTCTTCGAATGTCGGGATTGACTTGTTGAGATCTTGGAGTCCCTGTTGTAGCTGCGGAGGTACTTCGAGGGCTTTAAGTTTGTTGATGTCATCGTCTAGGTTGATGGATGGCTTTGTGAAGTCCGGCGCGAAGGGCACGCTACTGAGTACACTGATCATCTTGTCGATTCCATCAGTGACTGATTTGACAGCGTTGCCCATACCGTCTGTGACTTCGTCAATGGTCTTGTTGAGGCCACTAGAAATTTCATTGCCGATTTCGACGGCAGCATGGAGACTACCGCTGACAGCAAGAGTGATAAGGCAGAGATATGTGCTTGTCATCATATGAATGACGAAGAGGACGATCTCCTCGACGCCTGTGACGCTGAGACCCAGCATTGACATGAGTCCAGCCACTGCCTTTTCAACACCAGCTGCCGTCATTTCGTTGATACCTTGGGACATGTAATGCGGCATAGAAGCCATGGAGCTTCCGATATTTTCGACTTGGGTGCACGCGCTGAGGGCTTCCCTGCGGGCAGAAGAGAGACTTGATTTGACGCCCGCAATAGCGAAGAGAAGTCGTACGAGTACGAGAAGAAGTAGAATAGTCCAGCGATTAATCACTGCCTGTGAGAGCCTAGCTCGAAAGCCGAGGTATGGTGTTAGGTACGGTGTCTGGTTTATGGTAGGTCGTGGTGCATCCTGGGTGGCGTAGTAGTCTCGCATCTCATGATCGCCAGCGGAGAAAGATGGAGGCACGGCCGGGAAGGAGTGCTGTTGGTTTACTGTGGAAGCCATGATGGAAGTGTATGGCCGGAAAAGCCTGGTCTGAGAGATGTATTAGATCGGAGGCAGCCAGCAGCCAAGGAGTTGTTGGAGAAGAAATAATCCAATAATATGGAGAGAGAGTATATGTACGGAAAGAATATCTGCCTGAGATATCGTGGGAAGGTGAGGGAGGAAGTCTTATTACGCAATTAAGCGGACTATAAAGAACAATAGAAAGGAGACATTGACGCCGCAGAATGCAATAAAGAAAAATTTGAATAGGTGTAGAGTGAAAAGTGAAGAGTGAGAAAGGGCGAGGACTTGAAGGGTTTTGTTCACAATTCACAGCCGACAAAGGTTGATGAAACAAAGCGGCTCTACGTACCGCGAGAAAGAGAGGGACCTATTTGCAGACCTGCTGCAAGGCACCAATGGGACCTCAAACACAGGGCTGCCCGACCAGAACGTTTCAGCGGCGCATACCGTCCATCATGGCTCTATTCTGGAACAAGTGATTTTGGGTTGGGCGAGCGGCCCTAATAGGCGCCCTTGGTTGTGGAACAAGCTCTAGCGACCAGTCATTTGCTTGCAGGCGGTCAGACTGGAGAAGGCCCAAACAACGCGCTTGAAAGGCGCTGAATCCAGCGACTGTTATTTTGGACTCTCTGCCCTCGAGTGGTTGTCGCGAATTGTCTGAGTGGGTGTCCTTTGTTCCTGGACTTGCGCTCAAGTGGACCATAGCGGCCGAGGACGCGTAGAGAGGGCAGCAGAGCGAGTGAACGAACTGGGCGCAACCTCTTCACGTCTCCGGACGTCACAGCTAGCGAAGGTTGTCGGGCGCAAGGGAACACTCCCTCTGATGCCGTTCGCGATGCAGAGGAGGTGCTCAACCTTCGAAAAGATGGAGCGGCCAGCTATTTTGTAGTCGTTCGGGCTTGATGGCTGTGGCGCCGGCAGGGCTACTTCCCTGTTTTTGCGTGCTCGACCCGACGTCATGTCTTCACGATGTCCCAAGATGTCATTCTTCTCTCTTCAACGATCGATATTGTGTCATTTCTCTATGTGAACGATGTTTGAAATAACCTTCATCCTCGTGACACTGCCCTCGCACTGTAATAACTTTCGCCAGAGAGCTTCCAGGGCATGTCTCGGCGCCATCGCAGAGCCTCTCAAGTCGCCAAGTCGGATCTACGAGTGGCTGAGTCACAGCGCTTCAATCCGACTTTGTCAGCAGCTCCTGGCCAATCATTCATCTCCAGCCGCTGCAGCCAAAACGGACCCACTTCCCATCTCAACCTCGTGTCTCTTGCGTACCTTTTAATCTTCCGACAACGTCACCCAGCAGCTCGAACCACAAGTGTTATTTCTACCCTCGTGACCAGATCTGCCTGACTTCATCAGGAATGCTATTTCCGCGCGGCTCGGCGGGCGCTACCTCTCGCAGGCGTCAAAGCATTCAGTGAGCCACCTGTTCGCTCGATGAGACGAATTCTGCTCTTTCTGAAGCAGAATAATGGAGGTGCTCTGTTGTGGTGCTTTGTTCATGTGATGGTATGATCAAACGCATCATACAAATACCGTGTCATCGTTCGTTGACTCCGGGGTTTGGCCCATCATGGGTTTTCCGTTTCTCCATCTAGCTGACGGCCGTACCGAGCTGGTACGATCGGAAGGTGACAAACGTCATCAGTTCCTGTGGGTAAATGGCCCCTCCCGGTGGAATTTGTGCACAGGGCCACGGTAGTGTTGGTATCGAAGCTTGCCGATGTCTCGTCTTCACCTTTCAGGTGACTACTTCTTCTAAGCCCTCTTTCTCTCATTTCTCCTAATTTAGATGTCTGCAGTCAGCCTTTCTGGGCAAATGAAGTAAAATAATACTCCTCTGCCATCGCTATGGTTGGTTCTTTAACACCTAGATGTCAATGGGTGTCAGGCCCCTGTCTGTACAAATTGGCACTTTGTCCTTCTCGAAACATAGTTTCTGTTCAATGTTATCTCGATGTGGCCCAGTCCGGCTGACCTGCTCTGTGGCACTATACTTCTTTTGCTGACTACACCTGGTCTCAAACTTGTAGAAAGATGTGCAATGCAACCTTATCCCCCAGGGGATCTGGCTCATATCTCGTTTTAGTCGGTGGCTCTGGTCGGGCAAACCAAGAGGTAGGTACATCTCGCATACCATCATCGCATCCTATAGTCATTAATATGCCTTGTCCTTCTAAGATTATGCCTAATCCTGCGGCTTGGCACATGATAATCCATAATGGAATACGCAGGTTGTACTATCAGAAAGGAAGAGGGTTGCAGCTTTGCATTCACTGCCTTCGAATCTATGCCTCATGGAAGCTAATTTGCAGAAATCGGCTATGCTCCGAAGCTGGCGACGTGTCGATCGGATCTTGAATGGTTGCATCGTCAGAGTTGTGGCCGCATTGTGAGCTACCCAGCATCACCCGTGAACTCTAGATTTGCACATGCTAATAGCATTCATCTCTTACCCAGGATCTTTAGTTTGTTATGCCACCATGATAGCGCTCCCTCAGTGCCTTGGTGATGGCCGCATAGTCTTTGTCGGTGAAATATTACATTCTTCGCCTTTGACGCTAGGGCATCTTTGCTGCCTCCGCAGTGAAGTTCTTCATGGCAGTGACTGCTCGGTCGTTTTCTGGTACAGCAGTGTAAGGGTCCAATGCTTGGCTTCACTGGGTCCTCGACGACGACCTTAAAGCTAACGGAGCACACTCTCGCAACCTTTCACCCTCCCTTCCTTACAGCAACGCCAACTTCTTCACCCCCGCCAAGGTATCTTCTTCTGCCCTTCTTCTACCTTCTCGCCACCAAGCTTCGAGATAGTCGAAAAGAGACCTGTGCCTGACGCAGACGCTCCGCTTTGTTCGACGTTGATTCGTAAATTCGCGCCTATTTCACGCACCATTGCCATTCATTAGCGTTCCTCGACCATCTTCTAGCATCGAACACTTGTTTGGCTACTGGGGAGCATTGTTTAAACGTCTCACCTGCGTTATTGGTATTGTATTGTCAGAGAATCGCAGCTATAAGACCCGGCACCGGAATATCGCTACCGCAAGCAAGACAGAGTAGGTCTCTCACTTCTTTCTTACCGCAGACTCTACAACTAGACTGCACAATAACAAAGATTAGGGCTCTCTTATTGTGTGCTCCAATTCGAATCAGGCAGCCGCAATTCAGTATTCGATTAATCGCTGACAGCTAGCTCTTGAGAAATCCACATCCTTCAACCGTCTTCGGGTACTCTCTCCCAATATTACGGCCTTGATCTTCTCGCAATCGAGGTATCTCAACATTCAGGCAGTCTCTGTGAGCCTTACTCAACTCGAACTCTTCTACGCCATCTACCTATTCTACCCTTCCCCTTCCTCCGCCTTTCCACTCGACAAAAGCTCTTATCGAGGACGGTAAGGCCTCGCGGCACATTATCCAAGGCTTTAGTTGACCAAGGGAGCTCATCCCCGCTCCGGCTTTCGAGAGTGGTCTATCGGCGTGACCTATTTTGGAGATTGAAGATTGAAGATTGAGGTCTACACCGCGGCTAGTCACTTGTCAGGTACGTTGTCACGTTTCAAACTTTAGCTTGATGGGCGTTTGTGGTGGCATTGAGGCGGCGGTGTAGTGTATGGGTCCTCGATGCTCCGCCATTTCTGCAGGTGATTGTGAAGAAGTGGCTTTCATTGGAAGTTGAATGTGGTTCGGGAGAAGCACATGCTTTAGCTTACTGCGGACACTTGTTATGCGTTCTTAGACAGTGAATGACTTAGAATATTTGACTGACAGAGCAACAGGGTGCAGCAGCTAAAGGCGGTGCAGTCAGTCGTGGGGGTACCGCGCAGTACCGCGCTAGTGGTAGTGGTTGTTAACTATCTTGCTTTACATCAATTTCTGCTCCGACACTTCCAAACACTGACACTCCTACAACACTCATCCTCATATTTCTACTACCTTTCAGGGGGCTTAAATCCTTCGGCCGGCTCTCTTTTAGTTATTTGGTCATTTATTTACCCCCCTGAGGCACTGCGCAGTGGATCTATCGTCTCACTTCAAGACAAGCACTTTTTCAGCCATCTACTTGCTGTCCAAGCCAAAATGGTGTACCGGAACCAGTCTCGCTTCTTCCGTGGCGGTCGCGGCGGTGCAGCCAGCAATGGCTACAACCGTCACACCGCAAATGGCCATGGAGGTTCCAGCGATGGTAGCATCATCGAGACCAACAATGGTGACAGTACCTATCGCCACATCAGTAGCGGACGTGGACGCCCCTCCAACACTTGGGTCTCCGAGGACACGAAGACCTATCAAGAGTTCCTGGTTGTTCGCAATGCGATGCGTCGCCTGTTCAGGCATTCCGAGGTTGCTCAGATGAAGTTCCCCGACTATGTCGCCCACAAGGAGGCGGTCATGGAGGCCAAGCAGAAGGAGCTCGCAATAAAACTCAAGACCAAGGAGGAAGAGAAGGGTGCCAACTACCCGTACGTAAAGCCAATCGATGTTGGTGTGAGTCCTAAGGGCCCGCAGGCCAATCGCGGCCCAGTCCTTGATGAGCCTACGATCTGGTGCCCAGCCTGGCGTAACGGTAAGGACGAGATTGCCCCATGGCCATCCCAAGCCGAGATGAAGTGGGAGGGGGATGATCGCGCGAAGACCGGCGTTGGCCGCTACCTCCCTCTACCTCGCGAGGTTGGTGCGCCGGGCATACATTGGAACCAGCTCGCTGTTCTCGAACAATACCCACTTGATAAGGTCCGAGAGATTCCCACTATGGAGGATATATACCTCCCAGTTGATGAAATCGATGACTCCGTCAAATACGATCTTGTCACTAAAGAGTTGGAGGACGCCGTCGACGCATCCTGCTTCTAAAGTCATCTCTGAAAACCCCTCCTACTCCCATTCTCCTCTTCAAATTCGCTCACTGCTACCAACCTTACGAATCACGACTCATGAAAATCACCGATACTCAGATCAGTAGTAACACACGCAAAGTTTTGGCCCGCCTACGTTGACGAACAAGCGACCCATTTCAACATAACCGATACTTCTAATGTCCTGGGCTCGGGTAGTCCAAGCCTTTCATAGTTGTCGAAGTCAAACGTCAAGAATGAGTGAATGGGCAAGGTTGTTAGTTGACGAGTGTGGATCAAATTAACGGCCTGCAGATGATTCCCCTTTCTCTGGCAATGACTTCTTCAGATGGATATTTTGCAGTTCGCATTCGATCCCATGTAAATTTCTTGGAGATTGACCTATCTACACTCTCCTCTTTCTTCTCTCTCTAGACCGGTTTTCACGACACCCTCTTTAGTGCTTACAGAGGGAAGTTTTCACGGACGATCTTTATCACGGTTTTTGCGGTATCCTACGGTTCGCGATCACTTTATGGCATGGCGGCGGCGATGGTGGTGAATTGCATTTTGATTACTGAGTATCATGGCGGCAGTGACTACAGGGCTCTTGCATTTTGATCACTCACTGGATGGCATGGCATGGTTTTGGCGCTAGCAGATGATTGCGTGCATACCCCACTTCTTTTTCCCTTCCTTTATCTCATTCACGGCTTTCTACTGTTTTACCCTGCATGAATTGCGACGACGGCGGTGAGGGTAGAACTACTTGCTTTTCTTTGGTGTGCAGAACAATCTGCCCACTTCTAACGGACCTTCACTTCCATACAGCACACCCCTGGTACACAGACAAAAGTGGGACCATTTCAAGTCTCATTTACTACTCTGCGCAATATTTCATTCCCATGTGATGTATTGCACTCTTATTGCAGATTTCCTATGTCTATATTCCATGATATTCGTCCATACAGCAGCAGCAGGAGCCTCCCTCTGCCTATCTCAACTGATCCAGTGAGCAGAACTGATAGCTCTCCTTTCTAATTCCATGGATTTCGAGTTAAAAGGGGCTTTGACATACCACTAAACAACCTAGTCATCTAGATCTAATAAATGTGTCGCGGAAACCCGAAATCAATCTCAGTCCTTAATCATATACTTACCTCAGTCCCATTCCTTCTCGAACCTAGCATCCCATAGAAAAAGCACGTGTATCAATCTCTCTTCTGGCGCCTGTCGCAGAGCATCGACCAGAAATACAGCGAGGTGATTGACATAATAAACCCATACATAACGGAACTCACAGCTGTAGGCTTAGATTGCGCCGGCAGCTCCCATGCGGCCGGTTGAAGATTTTCTATGGGGCGTGGACGCAGCGGAATGGGGTAGTGGCAGCTACCCAGACAGATCGAAAGGATGACTCTGTGGATGAGAGGCTTGTGTGTTGTAGCGTGGTGCCAGAGTGCAGAGCGTAGCGGGTGGATTGCGAGATATTGTGAGAAGGATAACGAATAGGAGTGCTGAGGATGTGGCGTTCAAGGAAATGCGGGGGCTGTGGTGGATGTTGGGCGAGGTAAACAGGCAGACGAAACCCGGAAAAATTTGCTTTGAACAAATACAAATCCCTCCCTTAACCTAAAAGTAAGCCGCAATCTAGCGCCCTTCTAGGGCTGCCGATACCCCGCGCGCAAACAAGTTCACATGCATCCATACTTCATACTCTCTTCCCTAGCTCTTCTTGCCATCTCTGAGTAAGACAGAGACATGACAGACATCGACCAGCGCCTCCTCGCTCCCGCTGTCTCTCTATCCGTAAAACCGGAGAGAGATTCCTCCGCTTCTTGGGGACAATCGCCCGCGATTCGAATTCGCGTAGACAATCGGGCGAATATATCGCGGAGGTACTGCATCATATCAAGTCCAGATATATGACTCGCGGAGAAGGAAACACGGTTTGAGAGGTTCAAGACATCTACAGAACCCCGGCGAATAACTGACAAAGCAGAGAGATAGGTAGCCGGCATGGGACGTTGCAGCTTCCTCCTGAGCTCTTGGTCCGCGGGGTTGGACATATTCTGCGTGGCGACGATTCACGCTGCAAAAACACTTTCGGAGTTCAAGATCCGAGAGAACAGGCCTACAAATGCTCTGGTGAAAGACAGTTAGCGCCGATATAACGCGTCTGAGCGATACCACGATCCAGCGGGGAATGCCTTGGAAAAGCTCCGCGTGAGGATGAAGGACACCCACACACCACACTCACAGTTTTCACGGTCTGCCGATGGCGTGTAAGCGTTAGAGATGCTGAAAGAGGCTGGCTAAATACAGGCGAATACAGGCTTACGATCAAACTCAGCCTTGGCCATTCTCTAGCTAAACCAAACTCATTTTGTACAGAATTCGCCACCTCACACACATGTGTGTGTAAGTTCCAATATGGCTATGCACCCGATGGGTATGGGCCGTTACGATGCGCCAGCTACATACATCTACCACAGCTTGCTTCCTCCATTTCAGAAGCCAACCATGAGACCTGCTCATCCATTGTCTAAAACTATGCTTAATATAGGAAATAAAGAGGGAGAGCAAGCCTAAGAGAATGCGTATGCCTAGTTAAAAATCCACCCATTACTTGCCTACATCCGTTAGGACCCCTTAAGAAGCGCCTCTCTAGCCACTATTGCTAACACCTGCAATTTACCTAGTTGTATTGTTCTCAAACAGCGTGATGCTAATAAGCTGGTGAAGAGGGCAGCGGCAATTGCGAGTGAAGGAGGGTCTGGAGCGAAAATTTAATTAGAGATATAGGTGTATCAGGATTCTCTGATTCTCTTTCTAAAACGCTAGGAATTTCTAATTTAATGCCTAATGGTTGTGCTGGGAGTCTACACAGCGTAGGTTAGTTGTCTTGCACTAGCGGTGATTACGATCAGGCTCAAGGAGCCAACTGAGGTCCATAAGATAAAGAAGAACTTGTAGGGTGGCCAGTTGAAAGACTTACCACCACCCAGAGAAGTAACGAGTTTATGGGAAAGGATCCTCTAAAACCTAATAGTAAAGCGCTTAGAAGATATCACCTCACAGCTTCACGTCCCGGGCGATAGAGCCACCACAGAACCGGTCTTATGAATGGCGGGCCTGGAATGTGATCCAGCTACGGATCCGTACAGCATCAAAATACTTGCCGGGAGGAGCAGCTCGTCACACCCAGTGTTGCCCAAGCCAACTGTTTGGATATAAGGCAGTGGAAGCTGATTTAAAAGGATGTTGGTAAAGGAAATACTCCCAAATGAGCTTCCCTTGTGCCAATCTTTAAAGTCACATCCTCAGCGGGTGGGCTTCCACGTCAGCGGTCAGGGCCCGCGACCAGCCAGTAATCCATGTTCACCACGTGCGCCGGATCGTATCCGATCAGGTTACCAGTTATCATTCGCTATTTGATATCCGCTGTTTCCAGACAGCCTTTGGCCTGCCATAGCAGGATTCACCCTTGGCTCTACAGAATTTCACAGCACAATTGGCGGCCCAATCTATGCCGAATGCAAAGTTTCTGGCTGAACAACTGCCCATGGGGTTGTGAACTATCTCTACAAAATTGCAGAACAAATACACACGCTGGAATAAGAATCTTTGGCATCAGACTCTGGTTCAGAAACATCTTCTAGCCCATATTTTGCAGGAACATATGAGGATAAGGAAGGAGACAAATAGTTAGAACAAAGATGGGATGAAGTGGAACTCTCCAAGACACTAGCTTATATCAGTCACGGAACCTCTACCGGTGATTACTCCCTAAAAGATCAACTCCACCTAGGAGAGGTTCACATTGCATTTGCATCCAAAAGACTTCCAATAACTGCACACTTACTGGAGGGAACATCATTTACCATTACCACTGGTAAGGTTAAGCAAACGATGAAGATGATTCAAATATATTCGCCTGAACGTACGTAGCCCCTAAGCTTCCCTAAGTTTCCATACTAATTCTTCCTCCTTACCCTCTGGGATATCAAGTGCCTGGGTCGCCCGTCAAGATAACTTGTGTGGAATCATATACGCAGCATTCAAGGGAAGTCTTTATCTCCAAGTGCTCTACGCCGAATATCTGTTCAAAGGTTTACTCAGCTTCCTGTAACCGAGAGCGGTTCTGCAGGCAGCGACAGGAGGAGGGTATCTCGCAGTCGCCGAGCGGATTCTTCAAGAGAAGTTTAATATCAATACACCCGCGTCACAGTCCAATGAAAGAACGACATTGTAGGCAGCGACAGAAGGAGGGCATTTCGCAGTCGTTGATCAGCATCTTCAAGAGAAGGCTGATTTCGATGCACTACCAGTGGTAACAGGAGGACATCTTGCAGTCAATGAACGGCATCTTCAAGAGAAGGAAGATGTCAATGCAGTAGCAGCAGATTATAAGGGAAGAATGGCGCTGTAGGCAGTGGCAGAAGGAGGACATCTTGCAGTTGTCGAGCGGCTCCTTCAGGAGAAGGCTGATGCAGTAGCATCAAGATCTCATGGAAGAACAGCCTTGCGAGCGGCGGGGGATGGAGGAAATACTGCAATTGTCGAGTGGCTTCTTCAGGAAAAGGCTGATGTCAATGCAGCAGGAGGGTAGTGCGGAGTTTTCTAGAATCCTTTATGTAAGTACTAAGCACTATTAGATCGACATTTAAGAGTACCCTTACTATCTGAACGCAATCGCTCTGAACACAGAGCTCATATTCTATTGTTTACATAATATTCTAAAGGTTTATTGAACGTCGAAGTCTATCGTGCTAGTGTTGTCGGAGGAGGTCGGGGGTCGGCGTTTCGTCGAAATCGTTCACAGCCTCCGGTGGACATCGGAATGACCTTCTTGACACGGTCTATTTTGTCTATCGGCCCTTATTGAGTGGGCCCCGCTCGCAGCGAGATCCTCAGCGGACTTGTGCAATTGTTGTAGCTGTTCAGCCAAACGTTAACCAGGTTGTTCCGAACCCGGAAGGGTCTGCCACCTTGGATTGAAGAAGTACTTCCTGTCGTCAGAACAGGTTGAGTTAGCAATACTACAATACAATTGTTTACTCTGCATCTCCTTGGTCTGTTCCTTTAGCCTGATATATGGCATCTTGATGACTAGGCTCTGAGGTAAAATCATGGTGGATGCAAAAGGAGAAACCCCAGGAGGGGCCAAGCGTTTCGGTTGGTACTTATATGGACTAGTCTTCTCCCTGCTTCATTTCGTGTACAGTTCTATCACTTCTTCCCGCCTCAACTTCCTCACCATGCCCCTCATCATTTCTTATTCTGTTCTACCATGGCCATCTTCTCGCTCACAAAGCTCGCTGTCTCCGCGGCCGCCCTGATTGTCTACCGCATCTATTGGGAAGCTACCACAGGAACATGACGTCGATGCTTCCAAAAAGAGACAGCATGCTTCTCAGCAAAGAGATTGCCCTCGAGAGACCCCTTCCTCGGCCTCGATCTCTTCATCAACAACTTCCGAGCCATCAAAGAGAATAGGTTGCTGAGCCGGTGGCGCGATGGGCTCATCAACAACATCCATACCATCCAGATGGGCCTCCTGCACCAGAACATATTTCTCACTAACAGCCCCGAAAACGTCATTTCAATGCTGTTGCTCAAATTTGACACCTGGAGCATCGGGAAAGATCGCATTGCGCAGATGACCGTGTATCTTGGCTTGGGCATCTTCAATACAAAGGGCGCAGCCTGGAAGCACTCGAGGGCCATGCCTCGACCACGCTTTGAACGCTCATAAATTTCAGATGTCCCAAGAATGGAGAATCATATTCAGCGCCTTATTGAAATTATCCCTAAGGGCGGTTCTGCCATTAATTTTGCAGCCCTTGTTCCATCAACTCACTCTGAATATTGCGACTGAATTCTTATTTGGGCGAAGCACAGATGCTCGGGACAGGAGCAGGACGGATCATAATTGTGAGGCGTTTATCGAGGCTTTCGAGTACTGCTAAAACCCTTTCGAAAGCGAGGTGATCAAAGAATAGGGAATTCTGGACTAGTTTTTGCCAGACCCCTTGTTCAAAAAGAGAGCCAGATATCTCCAAGGCACGCATTCCTCTTAAAGCTGTTTCTTTATGTCTTTTCATTTATGTCCCTAACAGTGTTCGATTGGCTGTTCGGGTTGCATGCGTACCTGCTAAGGTGCTGTGATTTTGAACAAAGGATGAAGTTTCAATTGCAAGTTTATCTAACTACCACTGTTCTATACGCCCTGTTTGAATGCCCATTCTTCTGCTATATCCTTACCTCTCACTCATACCGGGCCTTCCTACCTCTCTATTTTCTTTCTGATTGTCTGAATTCAACCTCACCATCCGTCAGAATTCGTCGACGAACTTGCGTCACACGACTCCACTTCCTCGCATCTCCGGGCATTTTACACCGTTCTCTACGATCCTCCTAGCTTCCTCCACAACCCTCCCCTCAAAACTCCATTTTCTGCCACTCCTCGAGAAGGTTATCCTCCAGAATCTTACCGGTCACCTCCTTCTTCTCCTCCCTCCTCGCCTTCTCAACCCTCCTTCTCGTTACCCCAGCACCCCTCCCTCCTCTACCTCCCCCTATACACCTACTTCGTCCACTACGGTGGCCTCCTCGACAGCCGCACGAATTGCTGTGTCCTGCGCGAGGGTTCTGGGTCTGGGCGCGATTCTGGAGGCGCTGGGAGATTGGAAGCACGCCACGCTCCAACTCTGTCACCAATGCTGCATCCTGCTGCTCACGGACAACAATTATACAGTGCATCGGAAGGAATATGTGTGCCGGGGAGGTTTGGCGTTGTCCGACGAGGTGGCACGTAGCACAGGTGAAGTCGCCGCTAGCCTCGTCCACCAAATTCGTCATGTGCGGCATTCCGGGGTATGTGTGCTTCAATCCAGGGATGGAGTCGGAGACTGCGACGCACAGGTTGAAAATGGACCGGATGCGGTGTTTCTCGCCAGAGGGAAGCTGAGATAGCATGCCTTTGCAATTAGCAGCGCATCTTTCCGCATCTCGCGGTACTGCGACAAAATGTCCGCATTCCAGCTGGTGAATGCGGGACGCCGGCGTGAAACACGGACGCGTCTCCATCTCACGATGAGAGGGAAGGGGGGACCACGTAGTGTACGGCTCAGGAAGAATGGTGAGGGAATAATACCGTCCCAGGTGGCGGTTGTGAACAATACGGGCGTGCATTTGGAAAGGAGTCAGAATTCCGGTGAATTGGTGAATTGGTGCGGCGGGGTTTGCAGAAACGGGCGTTAGCGTCGCCACAAAGGCCGGGAGAGGAGGAATTGGGGCCTGCGCAGGAGGAGAGGCGGCAGCAGTTGCAACTGGGGCGGCATCACCCATCTCAGCGCCGCCGTCCCCAGATTCAGCGTGGTATGTGAGAGGGTTGCAGAAAGTGTCCATTGTAGGGATGATGGACGAAATAGACTGTAAAGAGAAGTATTTTTGACTGGGTGGAGAGGAAGACAAGATGTAGGGTATAGCGTGAGGGCGTTGTAGTGGAGAGGAAGCAACAGGGAGTCCGCAAGAGGCGGATATTTTTTGCCACGACCCACTCAACGAGTCTAATGCTTCCTCCCCGACGATACCCCTCTGCCATTCTGGAAGCACATGTTACGCCATTTCCCCTACCTCGCGTTTGCATGAGCGTGACCGACAACATCACTGCAGCACTACTTCGCAGGGCTCTACAGTGACCAACAGCCGAGCTCCGCCATTTCACAGCCGGCAGCGCAGAGATGAGGACGGGATATCTAGTGCAATTACCGTTGGCACGCTGGGGTTTGAGAATAGCTGGTATGGCATAGGACACTTGCTATGATGCGTCTGAGTATTTAGGGATGGGGGCATCCGTCATAAAAGGATGGGATAGATCGGAGAAACGCAGGGCATATGCTGACAAGGTTGAGTAGACACCATGGTTGCAGTGATCTGGAAAACATACAAGGCCTCCTTAAATACAGGGAACGAATGTTTGGCATCCCAATACGCGTACAGAGCGCTGAGCACGAGCTCAAGTCATCCCCGCACTGTTCTAACCCATTATCTGAACGAAAATGGCAGTAGCTGGTCGGTATGCAATCATGCCCTTAGATCACTTGGATATTAGGTTGGGGATGGGGATAGAGCGTAATAGCCCTTGCTGTAGCTTGATAGTAAAACAAAATATTCACTTCTTATGTATATAAATGAATCATTCAGGCTGCTTCTTAAACAAATCGCCCCTATTCCACGCAACAAGGTAGTGGTGCGGTGAATATAAGCCACATGCCAAGCCGCTAACAAACCCATGTTAACCCTTCCATCTCGACCACAAAACATCACACTCCGCTACCATCTCTCCCATTGCTGCACACATTCCATTCGCCATTTCTTCTTTTGGAAACGGCCAAGATGATACCACCAGTAGATCCGGCCACTCTCTCACGAAATCCGAATTTTGAAAACTTGTATAAAGATCTACGGACCCGAAAATTGAACCCAGATGGTTCCACTCGGGATACGAAGAAACAGAGATTGCATGATGATATACGGAGGGTAGGACTCTGAGGGTTTCTTTACCTTTCCCTATCAATCGAGATTGCTTGAATGAGAGTTTGGTTCTGAAATATGGGGTTTTGCAATATTTTATGCTTTTCTACGCTTGAAATATCTTCATTTTCTTGACGTTGATTGGCTTTCTTCTTTTCGTATTTGCCCTCCTGTAAATCCCCCTCGACATGCTTTCAATATTCCTTTTTCATTGCGGGTCTCTTTCGTCTCTTAAACTCACAACCTCATCTGACACCCCAGTAGAACCTCACAACCGCCCGCACCACCCTCTTCCAATCCCAGCTCCTCATCTCGACCCTGTCGGACCTCCCATCCAAATCCTCCTCCATCTCACCCGAACTTCACGAAGTTATCGAACTCGTCACCGCCCAATTAAGTAATCAAATCCCCGCCTCTGACCGTGAGGTCCTCTCAGGTGACATTTCCTTCTTCCTCACCAACATCTCCGTAATCGCCACCGCCGTGTCACAGCAACTAGCTACCGTGGTATCACATCTGTGTAAGATCGCCGATCCACTGAGACCGCCCTCACCGTCGGGTCTACCGGCCAAAGCGCAAGGTATTGTACAGTCCGCTACTCAAGAGCTGCCTGCCGAACTGGGGTCTTCGCGTGTGGAACTCGCGAATATCGCTTTTCAAGTTCTGGACATGCATCGACAGATTCTAGAAACGAGTATTCAGATCTTAGAACAGACCATGCATGGGTCGCTGGCGAGGAGTGCGAAGGCGAGGGCGGAGTTGTTGCATTCACGGGCGAGTATGCTTGGTTTACAGGCTAGGCATGTTACCCTCTCTCTCATTAAAGTGTTTATTTTGCAAATTTCGCGGCATTTCTTCCCACTGCACCCACGACCTCCTTACACCGAACACTGCACGCGCAGCCGTAGACGTGAATTACCTCCCCCCGCCCCTCAATATCGCCACCTATGTTTATCTGCCTCAATCCGGTCTATCACGGTCACAAACTAACATCCCGCCCAGCATTCACACTCTAACCCACCCGGCTCCCCCTGAATTCCTCACCGCTCTACGTAATTTCAAGAACCACCAGAAGGTTTCGGAGAAAGAACTCCAGGACCGTGAGGGCTTGGCGAAGAAAGCGTTGGAGCTGTACGAGAAGGCTGGCGAGAAGGGGATGAGGGATGCGGCAAGGCGAGCGGAGTACCTGAGGGCTGAGATTGAGAGGACCAAAGCGGAGATAGAGAAATTGGAGCGTGGGGGATGAGAGGAGGTGAGTAAACATAGCAGGGGAACAGAAGCGAAGATGGTAAACGCTGATATGAAGCTACCATTTTTCTCTCTACAGATGTTCGTGCACTCAAGCCCAACTACTCCCTTTTCCCCTTCTCACTAGCTCCTGGCAACCTTAGCCGCCCTTTGCAGCCCCACCCCTGGCTTAACTTCCCAATCAATCGACTCCCTCGCCTTCCCAAACGCGTCTTCAAAATTCTTCCCACCAGGCTTCAACCTCGTCGCTCGCTCCAAATCCCCCGCCGCAAACAGCGGCTCATTAAGCAACAAATGGACAATCCCACACGCATACCACGTTATGCCTTTATCGTCATCAGTAAACCACTCTGCTTTGTTCTGTGGGATGGTTTCGACGGGTAGGCTTTGGACCCAGGGGTTTGAGTTCGGATTTGGAGAGTCGGTGACGAGTGACAAGGCGTGAGAGGTTGCAGTTTCTGCGGCGAGCATGGCTTGGGCTGCTTCTTTTCTCTGAGTTTGATCGAGGGTAGTTGTGGTGAGCCAGTTCTTATCGCTCGTCAGACTCTGCCATTTCTTAAACAGCGCTTTTCCGATGCTCAGTTCATTCCTCCAGCGCAGTCGCTGGATACTTTTTGCAAAATCCTCCGCATTAGGCTGCGAATGCAGCGCTTCCGCACGTGTCAGGTACCCATATGTCATAGCAATAATAACAGACTGCGAATGCTGGATGCCCAGATCCCAATCCCTATTCTCACGCGCCTGGTCCGCGGCAGCCGTCATGGCTGTCAGTGTCGCGAGCCAGTTCTCGGTGCTGAACACCGGCGTCAACATCGACGCTTGAAGCCCTTCCGCATATCCCGGCAGCAGCGCCTCACCCTCGATCTCGACTTTCCCCAAATTCGTGAGGATACGGAAGAGTTCGAGTAAATCGCCCTGCAATTTCGCAATGCCAAAGGAATACGTGTTCAGCAGGGTAATGAAGACGGCGTGCGATGGCGCCCACGATGCTGTTGAGCGGGATGCTTGATCTAGGAAGTTAATAAGCCGTGGGAGGTACTGTGCTGGAAAGAATACAGCTGCGCGTTTCTGCATGCTGTTTTTCTCCACAAGAGAGATGTCCATGGCATGTTGTGTTGATTTCTCAATAGCTTCAGGAGCTGCGACTGAGAACAGCACACCCGAGTCTTCTAGCATCGTCTTCGCGTGCCGTGCATCTGAGCTGTATAACGTGAATCTGACAAACAGATTCTGGGAGTAGAAGTATTGAATTGCCTCCTTCGATATCTGCTTGTTTACGTAGAATAAAGCAGGGGAAATTGGGAATGGTGGACGCGAGGCACTGAATTGGAGTACGTTATCTTTGATTGAGTGCGTGTATGAGACGTTGGGTTTGCCGACGTTCACGAATTCGGTATCGAGGACGTGCTTGTAGATGTTGTTGCGTATAGAGGGAGGGAGTTCTGTGAATCCCAGTTTCTTTTTAAGGGGCGTGGGAGTTGAGAGTTGGGTGTCTTTCATTTTGGTGGAGATGTCGGAGATTGTGGCGTCCATAGAATCTCTTTTGGATATGTTGGTCGTGATGGACGAGGTTAGCCGGCGTATTAGGCTGGGTGCTTTGTGAAGACCATTAGTATAGTATCAACCTAGGCCAAATGTCACCGGAGGAACTGAGACCATTTGGCTTACGACTGGAGTAGCTCTCTTAGAAGTTAGAACCCTATAACAAGTACGGTGAGTTGGAAGGTAGCTCTGGAATCCTCGAGATGTATGTACAAGGATGAGATTCGAGAAGCTGGGGGTAATTCGAGAGAATACAGCGTAAGCCCAGCTCAATTGGCCAGTCGTGGAAAAGGAGGAAACCAAAGAAAGTCATTTTGTATTGCGGGCTTATATACCTGTACCTCGAGCACTGAAGTGCGGGGAGAGCTTGGATGTGGGGTGACGCGGATCCGGCTCTAGTTCGTATTCCCGATTCCCCATTAGGGAGGGCACATCTAGGCACATCTTACTTCTCAGAAAGAGGAGAAACGTTGAATCGTTTGTCGTTTGTCCTTCAACCACATGTCGCCGGTCCCAGGATTTGATAGAGTCCTACTCCACAAAGACTGTGAACGCTTGTAAGCTTCTCGAAGCCTTAAAATCGACGTCAATACCCTGGCCAACGAAAAATATGTACCCTTCTCTCAACCTGTAGTTCTTCCTGTCGGATTTGAGCGTCCCTTTGCCTTTCGTTACGATCATTACTACTTGGCCCGCTTAGAGCCGAAACAGTTTCGCTTTCGGCGTTCCTCAACACCCTCGCAAGCAAACTGAACTTACTCAACAGAGGCGATTAAAGCTAGGTCTTTCCATTTGCACTCTTTCCGGATGACTGAGAATGCAGGGTAGTCTCCTCCGCATCGTGAGGGGTGAATGTCATGGAAGAGCAGAACAGCTTGACAGAGTCACGATCGGCTTGGGGACAGAATCCGGTGTTGAGCGCGTTGTTCGACCAAGCCACACTTCCGATAATGTCACCTAAAAGATAGGCCCAGATTTCGTCCGCCGGAATAAGAATGCCTTTGCCGGCTTTGAGCTGAAGGGAATTCATCATGACCAATGCCACGACGGTTCCGTTATCGCATTTGCCGTATTGCTTCATGTCCAGTATGTATATTTCTTTCCCGAATGATTCCTTGGGAAGCTGCATGAGTGTATCATTTGTTTTCGCATTCGCCTCCTCCGAAGCCTGGTGCATAGTCTTTACGACATATTTGAGAGTCTGGCCATCGAAGAATGGCTTTTTAATTGTTGGCATGAAAGGTTGCAGCGGTGGCAGCTGCACGAGACCGTCAATATCCGCAAGGGCCTTGAAGTCACAAACCCCTTCAAAGTCTATCAGCGCCAGGACAATTTTGGGCTTGTGATTTGGATTGGTGAAGTTTGATGGGTGCTGGTTGTGCAATTTGGCTGCAAGGGTCTTATCCTGCATTTTAGTTAGCTTGCAGGATTGCGGTAGGAAACACAGCGCGTACCGGATGTAGTTGTAGGGGAAGCGCTTTGGATATTAATAAGAGCTTCAATAGATATGGTAACTGAGGTGGTTAAACTTCTGGATCCTTGCCAAGGAAAATTTGAAGGTCTTCATCTGTGCTTAAAACATATGATGGGAGTTCAGGATAGGCCCCCATCCACCTGTAAGAGCTGTCAGAGACTGTCAATCTCGATGTGGCGATTGATTTACATTTCAGCGTTCGCCTTGTTCTTGTCAATTTTGAAGTCTGTTCATTGTGTCTTTGAGCATAATGTTGCTGCAAGAGATTTTGATCTCTGCTTTCCTCACGAAGAATGGATGCAATCGCATTTTAATCGGAGTACTTCCTCGACCATCTGGACGAATTTTGAAGACCTGAAGGAATGAGGCTTACAGCTTGAGGTGGATATTGATATGCTATGACGAGTGGACAGAAAATATACAGCAGTTGAGTATAAATATGGGCATCTTAAGATTCTGCATGTTGTGACATGTCATCAACATCATGGGCCGTTTTTCGCCGTACTTAGGCAGTCTCCATCTTATCAATCTGAGCCTTATGAATCTGAACCACGACGTCGCCTCCTCTTTATCGAACGTAAAATTGCGGTGTTTCGTCCTTGTCGAAAGAAGCACAATCTCGCGGCTAGTTCGACTTGCTTGTCATCTGCGATCTTGGTGATATATTCAACTCATTCGCCGCGCTGACAGAGTCTCAGTCAATCTGCCGAAGTATTGCCTTTGCTATGTATTGGCACGGATCCACCCTTGCGGCTGAAGGCATTCTGATGTTATAGTCTTGCGCCTTGACAGAGCTGGGCCTTGTCATGAGAATTCATATGTTGCGGTTCTCTCAGGAGCGGCGGTCCGCCGCAAGGACAAAATCCCGACGAAAGGTAGAATGGTGAGTGAAAAGGAGTTGCCCTGCGGGAACCGTGAAAGCAAGGGTCGACCGCTTTGGAAGGGGACCCCAGTCACGCCAAGCCTTATCATATAGCCTATCGCGTCTAATTTCGTCCCTTTCCCAAATAATCTACCACATGTTCACAATCACCCTCTCCCACCGCATCTTCGACCTCTCCTTCTCACCGGAATCGCCCCGCATACCCCCAGCATGAATTCGTAGCAATCTTGACGCTTGCGCAATACTCTTCTCCAACTGTGATCCCTCGTTTGACCCCAGCACCACCCCCCTCCCATCTGGCTTGGGCCTCCCTGGCCGTCTAATCCAATCCACACACCATGCACTTCGCCATGCCTCCCCGAAAGACGTCGCGACCTCCGCCCTATGCGGCCCGGAACTCCAAATCGATACCAGTCCCGCCCGCGCTGCGGAACTTGCTCGTGAGGGACAAGCTGCGCTTGATGGTTGTATGCGTCTTGGGCTTTCTTACCATACTATGGTTATGGGGTCGAATGGGCGGCGGCGGGGGAGTAGAATCAGCGGGGATAATAGGATCAGGGGCGCCGGTGGTGATAGTCACGGTGATAGATCCTAAGACCAATCCGGCGTGGATCGAGAAGATCAAAAAGAATCGGGAGGATTATGCAAAGAGGCATGGTATGCTCTCCTCCATCTTTTCTTCATACGCTCCCTCTATCTCTCTATGGTGCTGCAGAACCTGAGAATTGCATTGTCTAGGCTACGCGACCTTCTTCCCCGATAACACAGACTACCCTCTCCGCAACTCGCCAGTTTCATGGGCCAAGGTCCCCGCTATGCGCCACGCCATGACACTCCACCCGACTTCCTCCTTCTTCTGGTACCTCGATTCTACCGCTCTGATAATGAACCCTTCGATCCCTCTGCAGTCGCACGTCCTGACTCCCACTCGCCTCGAGAAGCTCATGATGGTCAATGAGCCTATCGTCCCCCCTGACAGCGTCATCAAGACCTTCGGGAACCTTAAGGGCGATAGAATAGATGTGGTTATCACCCAAGACAAAGACGGACTTAGCCAGAGTAGTTTTATAGTCCGTCGTGGAGAGTGGGCTAAGTACTTTTTGGACGCTTGGTTCGACCCTATTTACCGCAGCTACAATTTCCAGAAAGCGGAAGCGCATGCCTTAGAGCACATTGTACAGTACGTACTTGTTCCATCTACCCCACCGTTTGAGTGCAAGTTATGGCAGGCAGGCAGATGTTGACATTCAACAGGTGGCACGGCACTATCCTCGCTAAACTCGCCCTCATCCCGCAGAACACCATCAATGCTTACGTCCAGGGTCCCGCGAACCACAAAAATGGCCAGTATAAAGAAGGAGACCTGGTTGCCACCTTCCCGGGCTGCGATAAGGATAAACGGAGTTGCGCCGACGAGATGCAGCCTTTCTTCGATATTCTGGGAGGGAAGGATAACGGTAGGCAGAATTAAGCTGGCGCATAGAAAATCGAGAACGCATCGCTTTGGTTTTTATAGTAGGAGGAGCACGCACAGCTATGCTGTAGGCTTGCATGTGTTGGACGGAAGTAAAGAGTTGGAATGCAAACGAAAGCAGCGCATGTGCCGGCCTCGTGAAGGAGCAGCGATGCTGGAGGGTCGAACGGACGCAGGAAGTCTGGATTCGATGATGCCTGATAGCATTCTAGCGTTTCCATCGCTGGAATATCGGCCATCGCATAATTCTAGAGGAGCCTTTGAACTGGGTTGAAATTCAGTTCGGACTGGGATGTCGCATGTGTCTTTGGTGTTTGGGGAGTTTGTGGGCGAGAACAGGAGTCTAGGATGGGCATTATAGTGTACAATTTAATTCAACCATTCTACGTAACATACCAATACCATGATGAACTGGCTCGCCACAGCACCTCAATCGAGTTCGACTCCCTTCTTCTCTTAGAATACAGCACTGAACATTCATTTTACACAACTACTAAGAATATACATGTCTACCTACACGTTTGGTTTTCGCTGAGCCTTCACACTAACCATACTCCGTCTGGGTCTCGTCTTCCTCCCCACCTTCCCCGTAGTCTTCGGTCCCCCAAGCACACTCGCACTCATCGGCATTCTTGCACCGATGAACTTGCCCAATGGACTGAAAACTTCGACTTCAGGATACTCGTCTTCATCCTCATCCTCGTCCCTGCTCTCCTCCCGATCCTCCAACTCCCCCAACCCAGCTCGATCAAAAGCATCTCCCTCGCTCCCAGCTTCCCTTTTTTCAATCCTCGCCCGCACCTTCTCCGCCTTCGCCCGCAATCTATCCTCGCGCTCATACCTCGCATGATGCGGGTCCTTCTTAACATGGCCAACGGGTTTCCAACCACGATGTCTCCTTACCTGCGCAACGACTTCCACCCATCCCACCCCTTCGACCAAAATATCCGTACTCCAGATGCGAAAAGGCAGGTTCTCAGGCTTCATTTTGCCAGCCGTAGGGTCCGTCAGTGGTCCCGCGAGTTTCTTGGTGACGTCCCATTTGAGCTTGAAACGGCCTGCGGATTTGAAGGTTCCGGGGGCGAGGGAGAGGGAAAGGATGGAAGGGACGCCGGAGGAATGCGGGTGGTTTTGCATGGCGGTGGCTTTGTCTGTGGACGTTACGTGTGGGTCTATTGGGACGAAGGGGTGGAGAAGGAAGATGAGGTTGGAGGTGGTGGGTGTGATGCGGATCAGGCCGCCGCCGAGGATGAGAGATTGGCCGGGTTTGAGGACGTGGCGGTATGCGGTGATGCGGTGGTTCATGATGAGGGAGGGGCGATGCAAGGGATGTACAAAGGTGGAGAGGTCTGGGGTTGTGCGTGCGAGCCCTGGGAGGTCGACGAGCTCGCCTCTGTTGCGGCCGAAGGGAATACGGATAGGAGAAGCAGTAGTGCCGGGGAGGGACGATATGAGAGGGAGCACGGGATAAGGGCTGTAGGGTTGGGCTGGTGGTAGGAGGGAGTCTGGGTCATATTCTTGCGGATGCTGTTCGATTTCCGCCTCTTCAGACAGATGGGAAGGTTGGTTCTTCGCGCGCTCGATCTCTGCGTCTTCTTCTGCAAGTTGTTGTTGGATTTTGACCAGCTCGTCCAGGGATTTAGCAGCACCAAGCATTTGCTCTCGTTCTGCAGCACTACGGATCTTCCTTACGTCGTGGAAGTTGGACCCTCGTCCTTTGGGAAACACAGCTTCGAAGAGATTAGATTTCCCAACGTTCGCCTTTCCGACCATCCACCCCGCACCTCCTCGATCCCAGATGTCTTCTTTGACCTGCTTCGTCCACCACCCTCTTTTTGCGCTGACAAGCCTAACATTGCCCAGTCGCGCGTTCTTGTTCACTCTACCAAGTGCTCTGCGCAGGACTTGCTGCATATATGGCATCAAGCGATCTACTTGCTCCTTCAATGGTGCCAGGAGATCCGCCCTAGTGATGATGAAACTGACTTCTGCAATTCTGTCCCCAGAAACCCATCCTTTGTGCCTCGCCCTACGATTCTGTGTCCTCAGTGTCGGCAGACGAAGCGAAGTCTGTAGGTTTGGAATGAGAGAAAGTGGGAAATCGGCGGCATCGAGGACATGGTAGATGTGATTGCGTTTGTGCGGCGATTCAGCGATGGTCTCGTGGATCGAGGCGATGGAGGGGTGGTGGATAGGAGTGCCAGTATGGTGGTGGATCAGGTTATGACAGCGATCGCATACCGGGGTGTCAGGCACGCTTTCTGCGGCTTCGGGGAAAGGGCTCAAGAGGTCCTTGTCAAGGCCTATTTCTTCAAGCAGGGCAGGGTTTGCTTGCAAGGCTCTCGTGTACACATCGTCTTCTTTCTCTTGCCCTTGCTTCTTGGTGGGGTCGTGGTTGAGATAGGCCTTGACGGCATTTCTGTCTATGTTGTAGTATCCAGCTTCGCTCTTGTCAATGGCCTGGGTGGGCGCTCCGCATCCTGGACATGAAATTGGAAGGGCTCGGCGGGAAGGACCTGGGGATGAATGGTTGTTGTTTGATTGGCTATGATATATGTCCGACGCCTGCTGACTGGCGTGTCTGAAAGTTGGAAAACTCGGTGGGGATTTCTGTGCATTGGGATCACCAGGAGTTACGGCGGCTCGCAGGAGTGCCGGGCAAAGAAAAGCCGGAATAGAAGCTTGAGACGCATATACATCATATTGTAAAAGCCTTCTCGCCTGTCGCAAGGCAGGGCGCATAGTGGTGATGATGAAAGTGTTGACTTCCACAGCGATGCGCAACTAATGTCTGCGGCTAACTTTCCCATGAAAATTCCAGACGCTTGTTCGATCGGGTTCCGCTTCCCCGAGCCCCGAAGGAGTTTAGCGATGCCGCGTCGGAGACCAGCGGCGTGGGAGCTTGGACTGTGGACACTCCAAAAAAAAAAACAACGGCGTGGAGTTGCTCTGGGGTAAAATCTCTCGAACCACCACCCCAAATCTCTCACAACTTACCTCTCTGTCTTCGGAATCTTCACTCACCGTATCCTTTTCACACCCCTCTCACCCCAATTCACAATCATGCTCGCCTCCTCCAGAAACGCATTACGTCAAGCTGCATCCAAGCAGTTCTCCATCAAGACCACAGTCAGAGCGGCTTCCGCCTGGTCAAATGTCCCCCAAGGACCTCCCGTAAGTTGAAAATGCTATTGCACGCTCAATTGATCCCATCTTTGCTAAATGGTCCCCAGGATGTAAGTTCACATCCGTTGAAAGATGCTGATCAGTCACTCACCGCCTTCCCTTCGTCCAGGCCATTCTCGGTGAGTCTGCGGCGTTATTATTGCGCGCTTTCGCGAGGTGGTGTCTCTGACAGCCAGCAGGTATCACGGAAGCCTTCAAGGCAGACACCAATGCTGAGAAAATCAACTTGGGTACGTCGCCTACCTCCGACTCGAGGGTTGCGATTGACGAAGAGCAGGCGTCGGCGCATACCGAGATGACAAGGGCAAGCCGTTCGTACTGCCATCAGTCCGGCAGGCTGAGAAGAAGCTTGTAGACTCTGCGTTGGATAAAGAATACGCTGGCATCACTGGTGTTCCAGCTTTCACAAAGGCTGCTCTCCAGTTAGCATATGGTCCAGACTCTGTACCACTCAAGGAGGATCGCATTGCCATCACACAGACCATCTCTGGGACTGGTGCCCTTCGGATTGGAGGAGCTTTCTTGGAACGCTTCTACCCTGGTGCGAAGTCCGTCTACATCCCCAACCCCTCCTGGGCAAACCACAATGCCGTCTTCAAGGACTCGGGCCTGAAGGTGGAGAAGTATCGGTACTATAACAAGGACACTATCGGCCTGGACTTCGATGGAATGGTCGCCGATATTAAGGCTATGCCGAAGGGCAGTATTATCATGCTCCACGCCTGCGCTCACAACCCGACTGGTGTTGACCCGACCGAGGAGCAGTGGCTGAAGATTGCCCAGGCGGTCAAGGAGGGCGAACACTTCCCATTCTTCGACATGGCCTACCAAGGCTTCGCCAGTGGCGACACCAACAAGGATGCCTTTGCTCTTCGACACTTCATCAAGGAGGGTCTGCGTCCTGCTCTTTGCCAGAGTTTTGCGAAGAACATGGCAAGTTCTAGATCCTTACCCCGCCTATAACACCACCACTAACAAGGAACTTCCAGGGGTTGTATGGCGAGCGTGTTGGTGCCTTCTCGATTGTCTGCGAATCCGCAGAGGAGAAGAAGAGGGTCGACTCTCAGATCAAGATTCTTGTCCGACCTCTCTACTCCAACCCTCCCATTCACGGTGCCCGTATCGCCTCCACGATCCTGAACGACCCGGCTCTTAATAAGCAATGGTTGGGCGAAGTCAAGGATATGGCTGACCGTATCATTACTATGCGTGCTCTTCTTAAGGAGAACCTCGAGAAGCTTGGGAGCAAGCATGACTGGAGCCACATCACCTCCCAGATTGGCATGTTCGCATACACGGGCTTGAAGCCGGAGCAGATGGACGTTCTGGCCAAAGAGGTGAGCTACTACATTCATTCTCTGATCCTGCTTCGGCAGGTGTCCCAACTGGATGTTGCACCCTGCTGACTCTAGCATCCGATTCTCCCTTCTCCCTGACGATATGGGCTGACGAAAAGAAGCACTCTGTGTATGCAACAAAGGATGGCAGAATCTCTGTGGCAGGCATTACCAGCGGTAATGTCAAACGCTTGGCAGAGGCCATCTACAAGGTAACCGGCTAGATACCCAATCCGTTCACCGCAACATAGCTCCGCTCGCAAAAAGATTTGGCACGGCATGGGGTACACTGTACTGTACTATGTTCGAGTATACATAGACGCGACAGGTCCGCGAATAGACAACTAGATTGCATTGTGTAGTCGGCGGCAAAATTCGAGCTTCTTCCCTCATATGAATCCGAGCCCTCATTGATGCGCCTGTTGTCCTAGTGTTTGCTTTGGGAAGTCTTTTACTAGACTGATCTCATGACTGAAGGTTCAGCAGTCCCTTCAAATGCTCCCATTTCGGTGCCGGGGCTCCGTCTCCCCACACATCCATGGATCCCCCGCACTCATTACGGAATACCACCTGGGCAAATACTCTGCATGTACTACAATATTTCCCAGAATGCCTTGGCTGATCTCTGCCCACTTCGGCTAGATAGCGCTTTCCCTGCGTGAATTTTCAGGGTCCCCGCTTGCGACTTCCAAACGAGGGTCCAAAAAGCAAGGCCGTGGGAGCGATCAGCAAAGGGGAGGGGGGGTTTAGTGATCTAGCCCGATGGGGTGGGGAAAGGATCATGAATAGGTGGGGGGTTGTGGTGAGAGGAAGAATAGAGAGGAAAGGGCGAAGAAGTTTATAGCTTTTGTACCTGGGTGGGGAAAAGTCATCATCGGGCGTCGTCTTTCACGATCTTCCAACATAGGCCCACCACTAGTCCCCCACAACAACGATGATTCTTTCCCAAACGTAGCATCACATCTGCCACTTTCAATCCGAGAAAGCCCCGGTGCGCGGAATGAGACTTGGGTAGGTTAATAATATAATTGCACAGGCAGCCAGTCGTCGCCTAAACGAGAACAAGGTCATGTTTCCATGGTTGAAGCTGTTGGACATTCGGGCTCGGGACAGGCCGGACATCTGTGCCGATTCCCCCTGCTTGCACTGACTGACCTTGCCGGTTCTCCCGCTTGGCATGTGTGGTCCGAGTCGTCACCAGGTTCCTTCCCAGTTTATTAAAGCAGGAACGTTGGGGATGACCTGACCTCTGCATCGCCCGCAGACCGACACTTTATGAAGATCACATTATCACATCATCCTACGCGGTTTGTGTGAGCAATAATATTAAGCGGACTTAGGGTCAACGCAGGGCCCCAAGCCGGCGTGCAGGCCTCAGGTCGTACATATGCACGGTGACGATGTTGGCGCCATTGACGTAGCACTGTCAGAACTCTACCAGCCATACCGAACGATGCACCATACAAAAGCTCCCAACATCCCAATACAGTCAACGAATATGCTGTCTCACAAAGCCCAACGGGAAGACGTACATTTGGATGCTTCTGGACCGCTTGGCAGAGACTTGTTTGTTCCAAACATGCCTTTGTCCCCTGTTCTGGGAGAAACGTGGTGGTGCAGACAGCGTCTGGGTGTTCAGCGCTGGTGAGGGTTCTTGGAATCCGTCAGCCGCACATTGGAATCCCAGGATACCGAACCTCCTCTACTGGGTCTGTCGCGCCAGCTCTGAGCCCGCCAGGTGGACAAGCTTCGGTGGTGAAAGAGGACGATCCATGGCGTCTGTGTCGAGGCTGGCTTGCGACTTCGACTGGTCTCAGGGCATATAGTGGGGTCAACCTTCAATGTCAAGTGCCATATCCGTCACTCCCCTCTTGTCGTGATCGATCTGTGGGCAGTTCAATTCGTCCGACCGTGGATATTTAACACAGCCGTGCTCCCGTGACAATCATTGCCAGCATCGCTTGTTCTTATCTTCACCGACACGCTTCACAGCACGCTCTCTCGGCATCCTCTTCCGACCGAATCTACAGCCAGTCGGCGAGGGCACGTAAGTCGCAGGACCCTCGCAGCCGTCCGGAGAAAAGAACTAGCTTGCCGCGAGCTAAATTCTGCTCTTTCCCACCGACTTCATCTTCTCAAGGTTCTCTTTTCGACAAGTTCGTCGCTGCATCCGGTCGGTGACATAGACGGGCCGAACCTTCTTTCGTCATAACCGCCAGTCCCAATCGAGCCAGCGCAGTGAATCCGCCGCCGCCACAGGTCCAGGGAGGCAGCGCGCACAAAGATTTCCAATTTCGACGCCGAATTCTGGTCGCTTTGAGATCATCGCCCAGTGCCTCCAAACGGGATTCTGGAGCAGCGCCCATTTTCGTTGCGGAAAGCGACACCAATTCAGCGGCTTCCTAACATAGCGTGGCTCGGATCAATATGGCTAGAGTTGATTCGGTGAAGGACGACGACAGGGTTTGTACCCCTCCATCCGCCAGTTTTCCCGGCGCTGTCCTATTATCATCGCACCACCTCCGTACACACGACCGCTCTACCACCTATCATATCCTTTCATTTTTGGCTTTCTTTGATTCCGATCCCAGCGCGCTCTTCTCTCTTTATTTCACATACAATCTTCTGATTGAGTAGAACAGCGGAGACGACTCCATCATGGCCATCCCCGGCGCTGCCGATAGCATCGATGCCGCGACCTTCGAGCAGATCCTTGAAATGGATGACGACGAAGAGGAGAGAGAGTTCTCCAAGAGCATAGTTTATGACTTTTTCACGCAGGCAGAAAACACGTTTGCCAAGATGGACACGAACCTGTTCGTCACACATTCCAGCCCCATTGTCACCCTACCTCCTAGCAATGCCTCCTTCTGACAGACTCGCGACAGCGACCAGCGAAACCTCAAGACCCTCTCCGACCTCGGCCACTTCCTCAAGGGCTCCTCGGCGACGCTCGGTCTGACAAAAGTCAAAGATTCGTGCGAGAAGATCCAGCATTACGGCCAGAAGAAGGACGAGACAGGCACAAATGACATTACAGACGAGGACGAATGCTTGTCGAAGCTGCGGACAACCATCGAGCAGGCGAAGCAGGAGTTCCACGACGTGGAGAAGGTGCTGAAGAAGTTCTATCATGACGACTCGTGAGGGCGCATCCTGCATGTTGAGCGACAGGCACAATCGAGATTCATTGACGTAGACCATAATGGATCTTGGTCATGACATAGTGCATTTGATGCAGGTGGAGAAGCGGGGGCTTCGCTGGGTAATGGTCTGCATGTGGGCGTTCTCTCGCCAACCCTGCCTGTACCGTCTCCTGCCAACCGACACTTTCTCACGATCTTGCAATTCCCTTTCAATTCCTCATAGCGTCATATTCGTACTTGGGGGCGCAGCTTGCATACATCGCGAGTCGCAGTCGCGAGTCGCAGTGTGGCGACGGCGGCTTTCTCGCGATGCGTAGCAATGCGACGCGATCAGATATGGGTAAGGGATGGGTAAGGGTATCTTCTCTATAGCATTACCAAACCTGCCTATTTTTGGTCTTCACTTCATAAATACCTCCTGAGCTGCAGCAATGTGATGTGCCCATGTAGCTCTACCCATTGTGTATGATCTTTGTCGATCTCAAAAGGCCGAAACCTCCTTCCAAGCCAGGAGTGGCTTTCCACAGAGAATCGTTACGTCATTGTTGTGCGGACGTGTAAGTGCAGTGCTGATAGGCTAGAAGCGGAACCGAGATTGTGCATACTGGAGTAGCTTAGTAAGGACGCTTGCACAATTCTAGGCAGGTGCGAACCTCAGCACCACCAGTATATATCGTGATGTTCGTTCACTAATTTGTACAGACGATTGCTTCTCCTCAGCCTCGTCGTTTTAGCATCTCATCTCGCGCTCCATTTTCTATATCCTATCCCCTATTTATCGCGCACGAATGCATCACCTTTCTCTCCCTCCGGCCCTTTATATCCAGTCCTCCCAATGCACCTTCCATGCTCAAACCCTCATCCTGCACCCGCAGTTTCCTCAGAAATCTGAGAACTAGTTTTTCCCCTCCATCACCTCTTCCACAGTATCTTCACTGTCCCCACCACATCCCCGCCTTTGCCCCCAAATTCAGATCCCACCAGTACCTAACACATCATCCATCAGCCACTCCAGCTGCAACTAGACCCTCCATTCCCTCTCTCCAAACACTCCCCCCACGCCAAACCCAGTTTTCCACAGCATCCATTGCGATGGGTAAGAAAAAAGCAAAAGGCGAATATAACGACTTCCTCGACGGGGAGAAATTGCGTGATAATACTGAGGTGTGGAGGTCAATGCAAGGATCTGCGACAATGTCTTCGCACTCCCAATTTCAATCTAGAGATGTAGATAGAGACTTTTCTTCGCAGATGCAGACGAAAGGTAGGGGAAAGGGGAAGCACGGCAAAGGAAATGGAAAAGGAGTCGGGTCTACAAAACCTCGATTGACGCATTTCTTGTGCCTACCGCTTGTTAATCAGGGGAGTGAACCGCAATTAGAGAGCGCGTTGGGACGATTCAAAGAGGATTTGGAGGGGTTAGGGAAAGCGGACGGAGTGGAAGGTGTTCCTGCGAAGGCTGTTAGGCCAGTTAGAACACTGCATCTAACCCTTGGGGTTATGAGTTTAGATGAGGCGGGTTTGGAGGATATGGGGCGGTGTTTGGAAGACTTGGATTTGAGGGGTTTGGTCAGACACGCTGGTGCTTTGGCATCAGCAGAACAGCGGCAACAACTCCCATCGTTGGATACAAATACGGCTACATCAACCCTATCTATCAACCTCCAAGGCCTAATTCCCATGCACCAACCCCACAAAACCAGCATTCTCTATGCCGAGCCTACGGAATCTACCACCCGACTCTATCCTTTCGCTTCTGCGCTTAGAGATCATTTCATGAAGAAAGGGTTCCTGGTGGAAGATAACAGAGCGTTGAAATTGCACGCTACAATTGTTAATACGATTTATGCGAAACCGGGCGGTCGACGTCAGGGTCGAGGTAAACTAAAACTAAGTACAGAGGAGAAAGGGGAAATTGGCGAAATGATGTCGAAGGGAGAAGTTGAAGAACAAAACGAAGGAGATCGTCCATCCACCACGTCCTTGACCCAAGAACCCACGACCGCGGAACCTAAAGCTACAACGTCAACCGCAGCTCAGGATGGAAGTTCCGGTCACGGCCCAAATGCAAAGAGTTCGCTCCGATTTGACGCTACGAGGTTGATCGAGCGGTATAAGGAGTTTATGTGGGCGGAAAACGTGAGAGTTGATCGAGTGCAGATATGTAAGATGGTGGCGAAGAAGATATTAGGTGATGATGGGGAGGTGTTGAGTGAGGAGTATGAGTGTGTTTTTGAGAAGGGAATATGAGAGTCAGGGAGTGGGAGGAGTTGTTGCACTGACACTGCATTAAAGTACGTTGCCGATAGGACAAGGACACTGTACTGTTCCCACCGCAGTCATAATACCCAATATTTGATGTGAGTGCTTCAAATTGAGGTGAATGAAAGCCAAGAATCGGGCATATAATCGAAAGGCATTGAACTTGGAGGAGGAGTAGGATAATGTGCTCTGTAGTCCCGTTGATGGCAATTGGTTGCATAGTAATTAGGTATGTAATCGCGCCGAGGCGCGGACGTCGGTTGGAACGATGTTGTGATTGTGGGAATCGCCGGCAAAGGATGAGAGACTCTCGGGTCCTCGTTCACATATGCCTTCTCACCTGCTGTCAACCCTTCTGCGCGGAGCCTCCCAGGTTGGTGTCCTTTCAAGGTTCGAGGCACCTGGCTTCGGCGTCGAACCCTGTGAGCCGCCCTTCCCTAGCAGCAAGCAAGTCTCACCTCCTGAATCCACCGAAGCCCAACTGATTCCTCACCGTTTTTAGAGTTAGCGCGTAACCATTCTTTAAATATACATTTTAGGTCCGAAAAATTAAATCTAGTACCATCTCCTCACATGAAGGCGGAATCTACGTGTGCTGTGGCTTTTGTCGGGCAAACTTCTGAGCCAGTTCTAGTTGGTATACCCCGTACATAGGTGTTGGGGGCTTCGAAGGCTCTTTCGATGATGTCTTTCCTGACCTGGTAGTGATCTGCTGGTTGATTTGAGCGCCGTTGGCTGAAAGGTAGACTGATAGAGGTGAGGTTGGTGGGGCTCTTGGTTCCGATTCGAATAGATTGCCTTCGTGAAATTTGGCCGGGGACCTCCAAGGGTTTCATCATCGCTTTCTTGATTGAATCATCTGAAAATCCGACTAGTTGTCGCCCTCTGAGTCGCCATCAACAGAGTTAGCTTTTTCGTACTCAGTGTCGAAAGCACTCTTACTGTAAGTTTCAAAGGAGGTCGAATGTGAGAGAGTAGGAATGTTTCCGTTGTTTTAAGCTCCTATCCGTAGAAGATTAAGATCAGTCTTATGAACAGTATTATGGAGCCGATTGAATTTTCCACTCTAGGGCTATCCTTTCTTCGGATTTCAGTTGTACAGGAGAACTTTCTCTGGCAGCCTGCTCAAGCCCTTTGTAAGCCTTTGTGACTGGGATTTCGTCGTCGTCATTAGGGTAGTCCTCGGCTGTTGGCTGTAAATATCTAGTCGCATCCGGCTTTGACTCGGCGTTGTCTGGAGGCTCCCGCTCTGGTTTTTTTGGTAGTGGTTGTGGGTTCTTGACGTTGACCTTGCTATGCGTTGCCCATTGAAACTAAGTCTAGTAAAGTAACTACTAAATTCTAATAACAATCTAGCTGCATACTGTAGGATTATCCTAGATGCTAATATTTTTAAGCGCTCTAATCTGCGTGCGCTAGATTTACTAGTAAAATACTTTTAAACTAGCAACCCTAATAGCCCAAACAACTAACATGTCACTTATCGAAAAGTCAAAGCCTGCCATTCGTGCGCCGGATAACTTCACCGATCGGGAACGCGGGAGATGCAGGGGCAGTTGTACGCATCATGCAGGCTCGAAGCTAGGATCCAGGACGCAATTCTGCAGTGCAACTGAAGAGGGGCAGCTTGCAGGAGAGGCTGAAGGTCCAACTCAACGGTTCCAAATAGAAACGGTTCGTTTGAAATCCCACTAGAGCCATAGGGCGATTTCCTATCAGCATGATTACAAGACTTAATTGATAATATCGTGGCCTTTTGGCCCTCCTAAAAAGGAAGATTCAGGCTTGGTGGATCGTGTAATTTTCTGTCATTGAATGCGCTTCACCTCTGCGGGGCATCTAGCCTATCCCCACTCAATGTTGGGCTCTTAGCTCCAGTCTCATCATTAAACCTCCGGCGATGTCTTCCACATTGCTAGGCTGTTAAAGAGACACCTCTAGAGACTTGTTAAGGTGCTCGGCAATGACCAGAGAGCGGGCTAATGTACTTGCTTAGATAGCAAGTTCACCGAATATTTTCACTGCGAAGCTCAGAAGGAGGCAATTGACGGTGTACTGTCTATTCCATGCCAAAGATGACCTGGGATATGGACTATAATGGAGTGTTTTCGAAGCATTCAAGGACTTCAAGTTAATTTTTCCCTAATGTCCATTCCTGTTTTCTCTTCCTACATTGTGATATCCCCTTCCAAGTTCATATCCACTTGAATTTCAAATACCTTTCCGCTTCCACTAAGCCTAATTTTCTCTAGGGCGGAAGGAAACCTACGAGGTAGACACAATACTATTCCTTCACTATGCGAAGACTCCATCAATACGTTTAAGCCCAATGCCGTCTACTTACCCTCAACAAGAACGCAATCCCAAATCGTGCTGACTCGAAAGGGAAAGGAGAGTCTCAGCTTATGTAGTGTCCTACTTATGCCACAACGGTTATGACCCTTGGCCTATAGGGAAGTATATTGTAGAATGATAAGAGAGCCAGCTCCTGTATCCCACTCACACTAGTGTTTTCGACGTCCTCGACATGCGCCGATGTGTATACCAGCATTGTGGACGTGGTATCCCCCTTGAAAATACTGTTTATGATTAATTGCAGCCGAAGTCAAGAATCCGGCGGGTTTCGAGACCAACCTGCATTCCAGGGAGCGTTAATGGGAGCAGCGTGACCAACAGGAAGGACTACGATTCGTAGAATACGATACGTTACGATCACGTGCATCGTAGAGTCGTAGTGGGTCTTTGAGTCGTATCGAATCGTACTTAAGCCTGAAAAGTATATCGTATTACGACTTGTATAGACTTTTTTGGTGGTGAGGTTTAAGGTCATTGTACAGAGCACGCAAGGGCTATAGGCAGTGCAACTAGCAGAGTTTTCTGTATCACCTCTTAGTATAATTGTATAAAAAAAACAGTGAGGAATCACCTATTTTCGCATTGTCTATCTCATAGCCTGTTTAATGTATACAGACCCACTAGGTTGGTGGCTCCAGACAGGGCTTCCAACGAGGCGTAGTACTGTACGATTGGGCGATTTTGAGGCCTGTACGGGTGAGATTTTGTGTACGTTCGTACGACAGGGAGGAGGAGAGGTAGGTGTACGTATCGTAACTGTTACGGCTCACGTGATCTGTACGAGTAGTACGATTCGATTAAAGTACGCCGTACTCTAGTCGAAACAGCTAAGACTATGGGTCTCTAGAGACGCAACATTAAGGTCTAATTAACTATAAAATAACTAGTTCTCCCTAGTAACAAGAGCAGATAGGACTAGATGCGGCCTGTAAGGCGGCAAGAGGCGTGGATAGATAACTCTGGAATAGAAAATGGTCTGTAATAGGCATTTTTGAGACATTCGTACTACGTACCGTACCTAGGGCATCATTAATCGTACGGTACGGCTCACGAACTCGGTACGTTCGTACTGAACACGTGACCGTTACGGTTCACTTTGTACGGACCGTAGGTCCGTAGTACGGCCCGTTGGAAGCCCTGGCTCCAGATTGGTCGTTCACGGTACCCTACCGTTTTCAAGATAGCCCTTGATTTCCTCTCCATACCAGCTACTAGTTGCAACTGCAAGAGAGCTTTCTCTAGAGGCAGAAGGACTGTTACTTAGAATCTCCTTAGTGGAGCAACAATTCAAGCGCTGCAGCTGCAAAAGAATTAGCTTTATCATAAGTAAGCTTAGTAAGTTAGTCAATCACATAAAATCTGCCCCATCCAATCGTACTACGAACTAATTCTTGGCAATCGTATTGTAAGTACGGTGAATTGGTTCGTACCGACTACGACTCGTAGTCCCCTCTGCTCCTCTAGTAATCGTATAATCGTACTAACAAACCGAGTCGTAGGGCGGTTGAAAACTCCCAGTCGAATCGTATTACTTCCGATTGGTTACGCTGAATGGGAGATATGTACCACGGGCGACTCGGGGCCGAACTGCTCCGCTCATAGCAGCCATGACAAGTCCTCAAGCCGTAACCAGATTCCCAGCCAGAGAAAGAAAACAGAGAAATTCTCCGAGAACGAGTCGCTCCGTTTATTCAGCTTGTGCACATCCAACATCCGGACCCCGACCCCGACCCGACTCCTGATACCGCTCAAACCCAGCCATGAAATAGTACTACCGACTTTAGCGAAACGCACACCCTAAATGAGTGCAGCAATCCTCCACCCTAGACGTGGTGCCTCATCAAATCTCCCTCCCGCCCAGACACCCGTGATTACACCACTGAACACGTCTACGAACTGCAAGACATAACCCGATTTTCCACCTGCTATCGTGGACAGACCCCGTTTCTAGGGAATGGGGCTTTAAAGACACAGATCCTAGGTACACACATTTATACCCGGCTACGAAGCAGGAAACTATTGAACGAGCGGAGGCTGGATGCACGAGTCCTTAGTGGGTTCGACTCCGCTGCGGAAGTGCCGAGTGATACTCTCTTAAGCAAGGATACCGGTAAGTCTAGGGAATAGTGTACCTCGAGGCGGCGCAATATAGGTTCAAGAGCACCACGTTCGGCAAGCGCGATCTTGGAGTCTTCAACCATGTTCTAGACATTCTATCTGAGCCAGCGAATGCATCGCTGGCGTTTCAGTACCTAAACGCCTCTCGCATTTCCGCGACATGGGGCAAAGTCTGGAGGAGAATAGTGCACTTTTATAATTAAGTGTTTGGATAAGGCGGCTAGGTACGACGACTCGATGTGAGCGTTTGCGAGGAATGTGGAGTGGTAGCGAAGTATATACAGCAGGGAAACGCGTTTTTACAGTATATTATGAATTTGGGGAAGGGGGTGCGCGATTTGGTGCAACAGGTTCAGGCTACGACTGGACGGATGGAGCATGGGTTGTCGAGTCTTTGAATCAAATTTGGGCGAATGAACTTCCAGATACCGTATTTGGTACTAAGAAGTAGGATAGTACCCACACAATAAGATTAGCGTAGGCAATTCAAGTTCATACTTAGCTTTCTATATTTCTACCTACAGACTACACTACCTCCAACTGACATGCTTTCTCACCTTTACGACCACAATTTCGCAAATATGAAAAATCTTCACAACCACTTCTTCGTCCCTAGATGACTTAAGAAAGCCCCCGAATCCTTCAGTGTCATCCCCTCAATAACCTTCAACTGTAAATCTACGCTTGTTTCGGGGCTTATCGGGCCCTCGAAATGTGGGGCGTATTTCTTGAACTTCATACTCAATTTCTCAAGCCCGGCTACGAATTCCGGCGGCGCTGCGAAAAGTCTAGTCAGCTGGTGTTAGAAAGATGCAATCTTGTACAAACTTACTATCCGCATTCAACGCCGAAGTCTGAACGACGCCAGGCGACAAGGCTAAGAAAACAACCCCTTTATCCTTTAGCTCGACGGCGTATTTAGCGACGAGGATGTTCACGGCCGCTTTGCTGATGGCGTAGGGAACTGATTCGGCGACCTCGGATTCGACAATTAGATCCAGATCGCCCATGCCCGAAGATATCACCGTGACTTTCTTGATGCTAGATTTCTTCACCAGCGGTAAAAAGGTGTTGATAGCGTACAACGCGCCCGCAACATTCGTATTCATACTTGTGGTGAATTCATCTTGGAAGTATTTCTCCTTTCCGATGAAGTCTGTAGGAGCGAGGAATACAGTTGATTCTGAGAGGTAGGCGCCGTTGATAATTAGGTAGTCTACTGCACCGCCAGTAATTTCTGCAGCTTTCGTAGCCGCGGCGGAGAGCGAAGCCGCGTCGGTTAGGTCGCCTTGGAGGATGTGGACGTTGGGAAGGGCATCCGCGGTTACTTTGGCCTGGACGGAGGATGGCGTGCGCGCGGTGCCGATAATGATGTTGGAGGGGTTGCGGGAGAGGGTTTGAAGGTATTGGTACTGCAGAGTGAGTGTTAGGGTAGGACGGGATCGACAGGCAGGAATCAGTTGGAGAGGATACTGACTCCAATACCTCGAGAGGCGCCGATGATGACGTAGGATGGCATTTTTTATGTCGGACGACAGGCTCTCTGGAAATTATTCGATATGGTTCGTCTATTCAGTTTTTCCTGCCTCCTATCAAGCCAGAAATCCTAAATATGAATAGTCCTCATCCCCAGGCTAACAAAGGCTTCCATATATACCCCAACCCACTAATCCCATGACTTTCTGTTTCCTCATCCTTCAAAACTCTGCGCACGAGGATTCTCAAGGATAATTTAGATGAGAAAGCAAAGTCCTTACGAGTGGTCGAAGCAAGAATGCAAGTATCTGCGAGAGAAGATCAAATTGAGTGGTATTAGCCAATCAGATGCAAAAGGGACGGGCTGACCCCTGCTAGCGTTCGCAGAATGTTGCCCATCACTTTGGTGCTTATGAATGGGAACGCCAAGAGATGAAATTGAAACAAGCTGAAGTAATTAGTTGGCCAAAAAGTGTCGGACGAATAATAGGGGACTAAATTGGTAAGCGCTGCAAGCTTGGAAAGTTGACTCGTCCTGGGGATGTACAGTCGCCTACTAAAAGTCATTAGCCACTCAACGATCCGAGCTCTGCAGGGGTATAGTCAGCCTATTACCTAAATTAAAAGATTTTTGTTTCTATAAGAAGCCTATGTTTAGGCCTATCTTTTAGTGTTATAGTTAATTAATAGTAAGTTAACCTGCTTTTATTTTAGATAACTTCCTTTATACGCTTTAACTAACTTAGAATACTTTTTCTATAATTAGCTAGTGTAATCTTTGCCTGTTTCTTTTTAAGTATACTTTTAGGTAGCCTTTGCAGTATAAATAGAGGCTCTATCCTGCATTTATATGCTAACACCGCGTTTCTCTATAAGCTGCTTATAGAATAGAATGCTAACATTATGCAGAATCTAGCAGTATTTACTGTAACGATTCTCATGAATCGTTCCATCTCGGGTTGCTCGGAACCTATCCGAAGGGTCCTCGTATCGGTCCCGACCCTAACTCGACCCTGCCCCCCGCAGTTACCCCTATTCCCCCAAGTATTTAGTCGCACCTCTCCCCTTAGCTAGCTTAGTAGTTTTCTGATATCCTTTTGTACAAGGCCTATAGGTGTTAATGGTATTCCCAGGTTATCAAGTCTCCACGCACTCCCATATGCCTCTGAGTGGATTCCTACCGCATTCGGACCCATTGTCTTGCCTGCGCTGTTACATTTACTAGCATTATTCTGCCTACCTTTTGCAATGACGGAGCTCTGTACCAATGCGTTAATACAACTAAGAAGGTGCGAATAATCAACCAACAGTTAATTGTTGCGTATAGAATAGTATATATACCCGTCGCATGTAAGCGCTGTCTCGGCCTTACACTTTTTTAATTAATAAACAGCTCTAATTTAAAATTAAAACAAGATTACACTAAATATAAAGACTGTAGTCCTTCTAGACCTAAATGTAGGCTTTAGGTACTAACTCTTATACGCTTTTCTATGCTACTAATGTACATATAGAGGTCTTGTCACGGTATCCTCCCCGGATCCCAGACATAACTGTATTGGACGCGTACTAGAGTATTATTAGTGCACGTCTAACATAAATATAACATAACATAGATATAAACTTAAGCATAAACTGCCTTAACACTAACTAAACCTAGAATAGGCTTAATTTATACTTAAAGCGCTTAGACTTTTAAGCTAAGTATTTAATTACTAATTTTCTTCTAAACTTTTTTATTTCTTACATAATATCTTATACTTACTATAATACTTTATATAGTAATTAAACTAGACTTTTATAAAGCTTTATAACCTTACTTATGCATAATTATAACATTATGTTGTGTTAAAACTTTAGCTAAAAATAGCTTTTAAATTTAATTTAATAAGCTTAGTACTTATATAACTCTAAGCTATTAAAGTAAGCTAAAAAGCTTTTTAAAAAGCGCTTACTTTATAAAAAAGCTACTATGTTATCAGCTTTAAAGCTTTTTAAAAAGACTTTAAAGAACAGCTTTACATTATTAAGTAGTCTATTTCTGCTTTAACTTTTATTATAGTAGTAGGAACTAAGAACTTACTAGCCTTAAAGCTTACTTAGAAGTCTAGAGATAGCTTAACTTTTTTCTACTTAACACTACTTATAACTTATAACTTTTTTAACTTAGTAATAAAATCTAACTAACTTCTTAATCCTTTACTATTTAATAAAAAATAGAAAAACTTACTTTTTTTTTTATATAAGCTTTAATATAAACTTAAAGGAAATATAGACTAATTTCTTTTTAAACACTTTTAGTTACTATATGCTTACTTTTAACTTAACTATAATATAACAGCCTTAATTAACTTACTAATAAATAAAAATATTATTAACCTAGATTAATTTATAGTGTTTTTATAAGTAACTTATAAAAACTTAAATAAAAAGTTAATAGCTCTAAGTTACCTAAACACTTTATAATAAAAATAAAAAAGCTTTACTTTACACTTTACTAAGTTCTGCTAACTTACATTAGATATAGGCCTAAATAAAATAAGTCTAATTATAGCTTTATATAACTCCCTCTTAACTAAACTATAACGCGCTATAGTAGAAGAACCCCTTTTAAACAACTTTAATGTGTATGTAAACTTAATTACTACCTATAATAATAATATAAGGTTCCTCTCTATATAAGCTTTAATACGCCCCTAAACTAGCGCAGTTGTAAATAAGAACCTTAACATAATAAAAATTAATTTAAATTATGCTTTAGTTAGTTCTAGAAAGTGTAAAAATTATAAAAAAAAAAGTTAATACTTTAAGTATAGTAAGCATAGTTATATTTTTTAAAACTACTTTATTTTTTTTCTTTAAGTCTATGTAAGTAGCGCTACTAGCACTTATTAAAAATTTTTACTATTTTAATTTTATTTTTATAAAGGTTTTAACTTATATTTAAGCTTTAATCTTTTTTACTACTTTTAATGTAGCTGCAGCTATAGCAGTAGAAGCCTATAAAAAGGCTTGTTCTAGAGCTAAGTTGCCTTTTAGAACTAATTTAACACTAGATCTTTACTAACTTATAAGCTAAGTCCCCTACTAATAACTAAAAGTACTAAGTTAATATTCTTATATATTTATAATAAAAAACTATATTAGCTCTAATATAAGCTTTTATTAACTTAGAAGTAAACAGCATAGGTTATATTAATAAAGAATTAGCGTGTAAACTAAATTTCTAATTAACACTACTTACTTAAATAATTTATTTAACTAGATTTAATAAAAAATAACTTAAAAAAAGTTTTATTTTTTATACTATAACTATTATAATTACTTACTAACACTATAAAAAGTAGATTAAGCTCTATGTAATAAATATAAAATGTTATAACTTAATTTTAGAATAACTATAGCTATATTAGTATAAAGTTACCTTTAATTACTAAAAGTAAGTCTTAAACTTTAACTTTTTCTAATGCTAAGATGTATACTTATGCTTACACCTAAACAACACTTAAGTAGCACTTAATATAGAAGGTTTTTAGACCTACTTTTTAATAACCTAAAAAAAAACTACCTAAGTAAGGCTAATAAGCTAGGCCTTTTACTAAAATAAGCTATGTAAAATAATTTAATAACTACTTAAACTTAAAAAAAAAAGCTTTTAAGAAATCTTTACTTACTTAATTTAAACATAAACTAGAACTTAAACAGCAAATAAACATCTGCTATATAAGACCTACTTTATTTATAACTCTAGCTTAATAACTAGATTATAAAATCTACATAGTTATAATTTTTAATATAGACTAAGCTTTAGCTTTTTAAAAACACACTAACTTAAAAATAATAGTCTTTTAAAACTACTATAACTTATTACATGTCTTTTTTTAAAATAAGTCTAATAAGCTTTTAATATAATGTTTATATAATTACTAGATAACTTTTAAGCCTAGTAAACAACCTAGTTATAAGCTACTATATAAAATGTTGCTAAATAAATTAAAAGTGCTTTAAAAATACTTTAATAAAAACTTAAAAAAAAAGTTTATTTAAGCTAGCTTTTTACTAGTAGTGTTACTTATACTATTTATAAAGAAACTTAGAAGTAAGCTTTAATTCTGCATTAACTACTAAAGACTAAATGCTGTTACTATTAAAAACTAATACTTAATTTTTTTTTATAAAAAACTCTAAGCTAACTAAGTAAAGCAAAGTATTTTATAAAGTTAGATATTATTACTACCTTTAATAAGCTAAAAATAGTAAAGGGTAATAAGTAGCTAATAGTGTTTTAGACCTAATATAAACTATTTAAGTACTTAGTAATGCCCTTTAGCTTAGCTAACACACTTAGTACTTTTTAATATTTTATAAATAACTTACTTTAACTCTACCTAAACATGTTTTACACTATGTATATTAATAATATTCTAATCTACAGTAATAGCCTTTTAGAGTATAAACAGCATGTACGCCTAGTACTAAAGGCTATAGAAGAAGTAGGTCTGTAACTTAACATAAATAAATGCAAGTTCTACTAATTAAAAGTTACATATTTAAGATATGTAATCTCTATAGATAGCATTTAAATAGACCTTATTAAGGTTTAGACTATGCTAAATTAGTAATACTTAAAGGACATAAAAAATGTTTAAGCTTTTATAAAATTTACTAACTTCTACTAATAATTTATTAATAACTTTTTATAGTAAGTAAGCTTTATAATTATACTTACTAAAAAAAAATTTAATTTAACTTTAACTTAAATTACTAATAGTTTTTTAACTAGCTAAAAAAAGCTTTTACTAAAGCTTTAATACTCTACTACTTTAACTCTAAACTACTAATACTTATAAAAGCTAATGCCTTAGACTACATAGTAGCAGAAGTTCTTTTCTAGACTAAGCTAGATAAGACTATTAAGCCTATTATATACTTTTTAAAAAAAATAAGTCTTATAAAAGGTAATTATAAGATCTATAACAAGAAATTACTTACTATAGTACACTACTTTAAATAATAGTAACTTAAACTAGAAAGTGTAGTGCATCTAATATAAGTCTTATCTAACTATAAGAACTTATAGTACTTTACAACTATAAAATAACTTAGCTACTAATAAGCTTATTAGTTTAAATACTTATTTTATTTTAATTTTAAAATTACTTATTATTTTAGTTAAAATAAAGAGAAATTAGATGCTTTTATAAGGTAATTCTAAAATGTCTTTACTTAAAAAGAAGTGTAAAAAGCTTAATACTAAACTTTACTTTAACTTAAGCTATTTTTAGACCTTAACTTAAATAAAATAGATTAAATAATTAATTAGATTATTACTAATAAGTATTTAAATAATAAATTTATCTAAGAAACTTTAAACCTACTCTAAAACAGCGCTAGTTAGTTAAAGAAAGTAACACTAGCTAACTATAAAAACTAAAATAGTAAGCTATATTACTATAACTAACTTATAATTTTTAATTTTAACAAACTAAGAATTAAACTACTTTAAATTATACATAACTTGCCTGTTAGAGGACACTTAGGCAGAGGAAAGACTTTTAACCTACTATAAAGAGAGTACTACTAGCCCTGCATGTTCTATACTGTACGCTAATACGTATTATGTTGCTATACTTGCTGTAAAGTAAAGGCCTCTTAAGAAAGGTATAATAGCCTGCCTAACATAATTATATTAGACAGAGGTACGCAGTTTGTCTTAGCCTTCTAAAACAAACTTTATAAACAGCTCTAAATTATTCTCTATCTATCTACAGCTTTTTACTTAGAGACTAACAGCTAGACTAAGAACATAAACACTATAATAAAATAAGTCCTATAAGTGTACACAAACTACTAGTAAAACAACTAGGTAAAATAGTTAGCTATAGCATAGTTTAAAGCTAATAACATAACATCTAAATTAATATAAGTATCTCTGTTTTTAGTAAACTATAAATACTACCCCTAAATAAAATTTAAACTACTTTTAAATACCTTCTAACTAACTTATTAATCTGTATAAGTAACAAACATAAATAGACTTATTAATAAAATCTAAAATATATTTAAATATGTTTATAAAAAGCTTATATAGGCTTAAGCTTTTTAATAAGAGTACATAAACTAATCTTAAACTCTTGCCCCTGCGTATGCAGCTAGCAAGAAGGTCTAGCTAAACGCTAGAAATATCTAAATAAACTAATAATTAAAAAAACTTAATTAAAAGAACCTTAGCCTTTTTATAGTAGCTTATATAGTCTTATTACATGCTTACTAATTAATCCTACCTAACAGCATAAAGATACACCCTGTGTTCTACATATTATTACTGCGCTAAGTAGCCTTTAAATCTAACTATTTACCTAGACAGCTAAACCTGCTACTTAAACCTATTATTATAAATAATAAACTAAAATATGTTATAAAGGACATTAAATAGATCTAGTTTAATAAAAAAAAACATATCTATAAATACCTTATAAAATAGACTAGATATAATAAACTGTTATAGAAACTTATAAAAGCTTTATAAAAAAACTCTATAGTAACTTAATTTTACACTTAATACTTATCTAAACTAAACCTATACTCTAATAAAGACAACTTAATGCTAAAACTACTAATGTAAAGAATTCTTTTTTTAATAAGAGGGGGAGTACTGTTACAGTATCCTCCCTAGATCCTAGACATAACTATATTAGACATGTACTAGAGTATTATTAGTGCACGTCTAACATAAATATAATATAATATAGACATAAACTTAAGCATAAACTACTTTAACACTAACTAAACCTAGAATAGGCTTAATTTATACCTAAAGTGCTTAGACTTCTAAGCTAAGTATTTAATTACTAATTTTTTTCTAAACCTTTCTATTCCTTACACAACGTCTTGTACCTACTATGATACCTCACGTAGTAATTAAACTAGACCTCTGTGAAGCTCTATAACCTTACTCGTGCACAATCGTGACAGGTCTAGTGTCTAATCTAACTTTAAATGTTACTTTATTATAATAGGCTATGCAAGCTATATTACTACTCTTAGTATATTAATAGATTTAAGTAAAGTAAAGTTATTTTTCTTTATGTACAGCTAAAAGCTAAGGCTTATAACTGTCACGGTTATGTTACAGCTATCCAACCCCTGAGTACCCCAAGGGCTTGGCACGGGGTATATAGGCTCCTCGGCCTCCGTACCTCTGCCTCCGACCCTAAGGTTTACTCTCCCTTGTTACCCCCTATCCTGCATTCCCTCTCTGTAACCTGTGTTTCCTGCTCAATACCTTCTACAATAGTTTAGAGTGTAGTAAAGGGATTATTTACTACTTAGTAAATTAAATGCCTTTTAGCGCGTTTATTTAGCTTTAGAGGCTAGCCTGTACACAGGGCTTTTATATAGATAGGCTAGGGCTGCTTGCGCAGCTAGCGGATGTTATATGTAACTGTTAACTTAGGAATGCTAAGATAACTTAAAATTTTGCTAGCGCTCACGCTGTAAAGGTGGAATTGCTATATTATATTAACAGTAGACTTAGATAGCTCTTTGCGCAAGGTTTTATTTGCTTTTGCAACTATTTAAAAAGGTGGTAATTTAATTAAGTTACAATTAATTGAAATTAAAGCATTGTAGGGTGGTCTAGGCCTCTCGCTAAAGTGGCCAATCACTTTTGGTAGGCGACTGTACACCGCCCTGAGCTCAATGTGCATTCGCGTTTACCACAGAGCGTTATCGGGAGGTTGATTACGCAAACTTGTTGTGTTGATAGGGGACGATCTGAGTTTCCGCCCTAAAATGTATTCGGTGGTTTCTTGGAACATGAATGCCACCATAGGAGCTCATATGTGCGTTTCTTTCTGGACAAGGGGCTTTCAGGAACGATTTTTGAGTGCAAGAGATGCAGGGCATTTCTTTCAACACTTCTCAAGAAAAAACAGGTAGACAGTCTGTACGGCTCAGTACGGCGGTGACTCTGGAAGAATAATCGATATCTTGATTAGGATCGAGATCATCCTGCGCCCAGAAGCGTTCGATAAATGCGCGCACCCTAAGTACGTTCGATTCGGCGAATTGGATTTGTGTAGCCTTTAGGATTCCCAAGACTATAGCTCTTCGGCGGTCGCTTCGAGCCTCACAGCCCACGATGAAGAGTGGGAATGACCGTTCGCACGTCTCTAGAGCTTGTAGGACTGTGAATGCTTCTTCCACGAGCCCTTGCAATATATGTTTCACTGTGATCGTTTTCCGTCCTGCTCGATGGAGATATATTAGACCTGCAAGCCGGTACAATTCCGCAATCTTTGGAGATTGCGGGTTAAATTCTAGGACATCGTCAGGTGATTCCACAAACTCTTGTTTTGTAAACTTGAGACGCCGTTCCAGTTTATCAAGTTCGTCAACATGAGGATCATTATCTATTTCCATCTCTAGAACGGTGTCGATTACGCTTGATATTGAGTTCAACACCTCGAGTGAACATCCTAACGTCGGCACCACCTAGATTTCGCAAGTAAGCTTCATCCTATCATCAAGATAAATAAAGACATACGCGTGTTTTGCAGGGCGAATTAAGCTCCACATAGTGGAGATTCTTCTTTCTTGCACAATCTAACATGCTCACTACTCGGCGATCAAAGTGACGCACAGCAAACTTCGAATGAACATCGTAGTAGTACACCCAGTCAAGTACTAAGGCAAGGTCGCCCTCATATGACTTATCTAAGGCATAAGTAGCGATTGTCGCCGTTTTGCAATAACAGATACTAGCGGCCCAAGCTTGGGATGCGTTGGGACTGGCGAAGCTCTGTGGTGGTATGTTAATGGCAATCGAGAGGAAATTGGGGGAGGCTATACCTCGTAAAGAGCTAGTAAGAGAACTGCAACTATACATTGTAGAGTATTTTGGATGCTTGGAGGCTGGGAAGTAGAGGTCCATACTGCAGACCTCGCCAATGACTTGTACTCTAGCGCTCGACTGTGATCTAAGAGATGCTGACTTGATAGTGCATAGACTGCATAAAGAATAGCGTTAGAAGAGGGAGAGGTGTCCGTGAAGGACATTCGAAAGACCAGATTTTGGATGGATGAATTGTTTGCTGAAGTAAGCAATCGAGCAACATTGTGCTGATCTAATTCTATCAGATGAGGCATTGAATCAGTATCAAAGGGGTCTCACAGTAAGAAAAGAGGTCTGCGTGATGGCTATCCAATGAGAAGGGTGCCCAATTAGGGTTGGGATGAAGCTTCGGGGTCAATGGTGTTCTCGTCGGCAAGGCCACTGTAGCTGGTTAAACTGGCATAAAGAAGATCAAGGAGGCTTTTCACACCAGAGTTATGCATGCTGAAGTACATATTGACATCAGATGCATAGACGTTTACGAACTCCGTTGGGTGAAGCAATGTGCACACCGATCCCTCCCGATCCGGATTGTTCGATACTAGAGCTCGTTTCCGGTCATCTTTCCGCGGCCAAGAAAGTCTTATGCCGTAGCCTAGGCATCTCCGTTTCGATCGCAGACAATTTTTGCATCCTGGAATATGCTTATCGCAGGCGATTTTCCGATCTGAGAGTTGACACAGTGAGCTAGTTCATTTTGAGACAAGAGGGCAATCCACGCTACCTTTGCACGTCCAACATCCTTTGGTAGTTGTTAATGAAAGCATGGTATCATTTGTATTGAACTTCCACGCTTCGAAGGCGAAGTTAAGATGTTAGATAATGGAATCGAGCGATGGTGGAGGAATCGCCGTCTGCATGACTAACGCGCTTGGGAACTGCACGGAAAGAGCTTACTGCCTGGTGCCAAGCCTCTGTCCACTTTGTCCACGGGTTTTCATAAAACACTCTATATTATTGCCTTTTACATTTTCATGTCGTCAATCTCATTAATTAGTTTCTCAATGCTCAGGTCTGGATTGTATCGTAGTTCTTACCTTCTCCCCTTAAGTATTGATCTTTGAAAATCCCAACACTCCCTGCAAATGTAGCTGTTTAACCATTAATAAATCGTCGAAGTGAGATATTTGGATCTACCTTGCACATTATTAGCTGACGACTCCCGTAGCCTAGCTTCCCGTTTCATAGTTCTACTGCTTTAGCAGATCATCCATGTCCCAAGAAACAAACATTCAAATCAAGGAAGTTTGTCACCCCCTCGATCTAGGAAAACGAGCCCCTCCCGAGACGGCTTTTTATCGATTTCGCCCTGTTATGCCAAGTACTAGGAACTCCAAGCATAGTAATCCTAGCTTCGAAATTGAGTCAATCACCTACGCTTGGATGAAGGAACATATGGGTCTGGTTTGTGACGGACGTCTGCATCCTTTCGATATATTCTCCAATTCCGGCAAAAGGTGTGTCGGTAGAATCCTCTATGCTAACAGTTTCAGAACAAGTTGGCTATTTCATGGTATCATGACTTGGCCATCGCATCCTTCAGAGGGCGGCAAAGGGTGTAGCACACAAGGTTTGGATTGTATCGTACATTGCTCTCCCCCTCTCCTCTACAGATCCGTAGGCTTTTCTTTCCTTCCATCGAATTCTACGCAGCTAGAGGGCAATTTCTATGATTGTAAACCAAAGGGCTCTCAGCCTTGGGCTTGGCGTCCCACGACGCTATATAAATTACATAGCTCTTCGGACACTCAGTCCACCCTATATGACTACTCTCATAACTCGTGCCCTTGCAAGGTTACAGTTATGAGCCCGGATATTGCTTCAAACATCCACTTGTACTTTAATCTACGTACGTACCTACCTGAACCTATTGAAGGATCGCCTATCCACCCTATCCATTAGCTCTATATCGTCAATATCGTCGTCCAACATATCCTCAAGAACCTCAATGGTACCTATGAAGGTTATCCTCAGGGATCAACCAGATTAGGAGTTTTGGATCTACGTCGTCAAACAAATGACCGAAGGGGTGATGCCTAGGCCTACATAGACCTAAACCAACCTTATCGTTTACTGCAGAAGGCTAAGAAACCAACCCGACCAATCGTCGCCCATCCCAAGAAGATGAAGCAGTACTGTTACTACTGCTCAAGCTGCTCCAACAGCTCTACAACAAGCTCAGTATGCCGCATATCTAGCTGAATATACCATGGAGATCATAGAATGTTGACGATTGAAGGACAAACTGATTCGTAGGTCAAGTAGAAACTCATGTCAAAGTGTGTAATTGAGGACGGACTCATCAAATTCAGAGTCCAGCAAAGATGGTATACGCTTAGATATTTCGGGATGTCGTGAGGGTCGTTGGAGAGGAATTTGATGAGAAAGGATCTAAGCCCAAGCAAACCTTGGGTGTTGGTGATATTCCAGATGGACGCCACGCACGGATCACCACTGCACGTGATATCTATCGACTTCACCTATTCTGTTATATGGACGGAGATACAGGCTTTTATTTTCTTGGAATCATCCAGTTAGCTTATTTGAGTTGCCTTTGGCATGAAGTGCTGGCTTAAAAGACCGGTCTAAAGATGTTAGCTTTGTGGACAGATTATGTTGCACGTGCTCAGGCCGGACCCCACAAATCCAACGCTGACAGCCACTCACAGCTTTCCCCTATTTTTAAACAACATAAACATTCTGTAGAGAGGCGCTAGAACCATCCCGCCATCGACAAGAAGCATTAGGAAGCTATCCAAGGCGGAAAACGAGACGGCTCTGTCTCACGGCTGTTCATTGGCTGAGCGACGGCTGCCTGCTTTCGAGGAGTCAGCCTTGACGCTCGCCCCAAGTAAAGTGCAATGTTAATTGCCCCAGATTTCACCTCATCTCTCATCTCTACTATCTTCTCCTTCATGTCTTCTCCTCTACATTGACCAACTTTGTCCCTGGATGTCACTGTGGCGCGGGGGTGTCGACGTTTATGACCTCATCAACGCTATCTTCGCCTTGGATACTTTTAGGTATTTCCTTATTGTCAAGTGAATGAGCATCCACATATGTGGCACGACAACTAGTTGCAGAATCAGAATCCGCTTGTGTCAATTTTGTTGAGCGCGGTGTGAATAAGCTTTCTGCAAACCACGAATCTAGTGTATGGGCCTCGAGGGCCTGTTCCAGCTCCATTCACCAAAATTAGGTATAACGGGGAAGACTACCACCACCCGACCCGACTTTAATTCTTCGCACAGCGTGGCCGGAACCAAACTCAAGTTAACTCCACTGCGGCCAACATTTTGTCCACTTTCCCGTCCCTCCAACCTTCGCCTCAAACCCACTCCTGCGAACTCCCTGTGTGAATCTCAACATGGCGGAAAAGGTCTGTGTTATCTGCGGTGACGAAGACACCGAATATGCTCCTTTTCAACAGAGCCCTTGCGAGCACCACTGGATTTGTGGTTCTTGTCTGGAGGAGACATTCCAACTGGCATTGAGAGATGAGAAGCACTACCCTCCCCAGTGTTGCAACAACCAATCTGCGGTCTTCATGATCGACGATTATATAGACGTCTTGCCGTTCGACCTGTTCTGGAACTACAAACTCAAGGAACAAGGCGAATATAGTGTGCAATCAAGGTAAGTCAACCCAACTTTCGACAACCTCCATGGAGATTGACTGATCCTGGAAGATTCCGCGTTTACTGTGCCAACACTCAGTGCACAGAATTCCTTCGTCCAGCTACCTACAAAACGGAATCCATTACCTACGCCATTTGCGACACCTGCAAAGCGATCACATGCATCACCTGCAAATTTCTCATTGACGACGACATCGCCAAACACAAATGCGAGATTCCAGAGGCGGAAAGACAGTTCCAAATTACTGTCAAAGAGAATGGGTGGAAGGAATGCTACAGTTGTGGCAAATGGGTTGAACTGGCTGAGGCCTGTAATCACATGATGTAATTCAATATTCAATCCTCCTACATAAAGAGCATAGGCTAATTAGAGTAGATGCACATGCGGATCTAGCTTCTGCTACGTCTGCGGCAAGCCCTGGGAAGGCCAACATGAATGTCCGCAATACGGCCAGGCTAAGTACGACGACGAGGGCTACAACCAGGATGGTTTCCACAAAGATACGGGTCTGAACCGCAATGGGCGAACACGCCGCGAGCAGATGATCCAAGATGGAGCGGGGTCTGATGATGGTGATGAGTTCGATTCAGACGACGACGGCGAGTTAGACCCGGATACCCGCGCTCTCCTCGCGGCATTGAATGATGAGGATAGGGATATTGCGATCCAGATGGCCAGGTTTCAGCAGATGGAGAACGATGAAAGTGCAGGGTTGGAGGTGGATGAAGGCGACCACCAGGAGGGAAGCGAGGACGAAGATGAGGAGGAAAGCGAGGAAGACGAAGACGACGAAGACGATCTCGAACCTTTCCCTGTTCCAGAGTCTGAGTCTGGTAGCTCCGTCAATTCTACAATGACAGTCTATCCAGACTATGTCCCGTCGCCCAATCTCTCCGGTCTCTTTGATGATTTTGAAGATGGCTCCAACAACTTTATGGGTGGCTACCAAAACGGCGATAACGGCACCAATGTTATGGAGGGCATATATGAAACTGCGCTCTATACCGGCACCATGCCCGGCGCATTCCCTCTAAGCGACAATGAACAAGCATACGACGCACACCACATCGCCGCAGATTCCGAGATGAGCGATAACGAGCCGGAAGATCCGTATCGAGACTATTCGAATCTCCGCATGTACCATCCACGGAATGCCTATGATGGCGAGGACTTGTAGGTCCCTTGTCTTCGCTTTACTGCTCTGGTCTCAATATTTCCCCCTTTTCTTGTCTAAGTTTAATGAGCTGGATTGGACAGGTTTTCAGCGGCAAGGTAGGAGAATGGGTGGGATCGCCAATGCTTTTAACTAGCGGTATCAATTTTCTTGGGCTACATAGTATTTCGACAAACGGGCGAAGTTCGTAGATATGGGGCTCCCGGTTGCGCGTATGATCACGAAGGATAATAGAAATAAATACATTTCATCACCCTCTAGCCAAAATATCACACCTATTCAAATATAGCAAGTAATTCGCGGGGACATACTACATGTTTGCAACTGTCACTAAACATTATTAGGTGAATATCTGTTTTCCTCTGGACATAAGTTGAAGAGCAAGGAGCAGCTACTGAGCTTTACTCGCATTTTCTGGCACGAATGAATGCGAGGTATGGTTCATTGACAAGGTGAGTCTGACCTCAAAAGCTTGTTGCTAGAATTAAAGAGAGTGTCGAGAGAATGCAATCCTCAGTCCAAAATTTTAGACATTCTCGTGTTGGGTCTAGTTAACTATTAACATGCCTCGACACGCCATAACAGGCAAGAAAATTCTTAACCAGTAGGCGTATACATTTCCCTCTTCCACCTCTTCGCATTCCTATTCCATCCTTTACCAAAATCCACCTTTTTACTCAAAAACGTCGCTAACATACCTATTCTCCTTAACCCGATCCAGCCACTCCAAAGCAGCCTGCTCATTTCCACCTGTCTTCTCCCTCCAAATCTTCTTACACACCTCCGCCGTACTCTTGGCCAATTTACTCGCACTCCCGCAAACAAATATTTTTGCGCCAGCCTCGCCAAATAACTTCGCTAACTCCTCCCGATCCTCCCACATACGATCGGGTACGTATTTCTGATGGCCCTCTGGCCCGGCTTTAGAGAAACAGGGTCGCACACTGACGATCCCTTCGGCTTCCCACTTGCTGAGCTCGTCAGAGTAGATAAAGTCTTTTTCATAGTGTCGGCAACCGAAATATAGGATGGCGGGACCGAGCGCTTGGTTGCGTGCTTGTTTGATGATAGCGCGTTCTTGGATGAAACCGCGCATGGGCGCTATGCCTGTACCCGCTGCGGCCATGATAATAGGAGTCATGGGATCGAGAGGAAGGTGGAAGTTGGCGTTAGTTGGACGTGTGAAGCAGCGAACTTTATCGCCTGGTTCTTGAAGAGCTAGATAGGTGGAGGCGACGCCAAGGAACTGACCATGACCAGACCAAGCGCCTTCTCTGTGGACATCGTAGGTAACAGAGGCTATTAATTTCTGCACTGACCTTCCATCAGGTTTCCGTACAAAGTCAACGTTCGCTAGTGGTGATGAGGAGATGGAATATTGGCGCGGAGTGAGCGGCTTCAACATGTCGAGGTAGGTGGCAAAAGGAAGCCGCGTGCTGGGGTTGTCTTCTAGGAGGTCGAGGACGGAGAATCGTTTTGATAATACGTCTTTCTTGTATATTTCGTCTTTCACCAGTTCCAATAGTTTCGCGCGTTTTTCCTCTGGCGTTGCCTCTGCGAGGACTTGGATCTGTTTTTGGGATGCCGGAGTGCCGAGTTCGACCCTGGTCGAGATCAAATCGAAGACAGAAATAGGCTCATCAGGGCTAAGAAAGGCTTTGTTTGTTCCCGTTACAGTGATGCTGTCGTCAGGACTGATATCAAAGCGCCTTAAGACTCGCTTAGTAGTGTTAAGAGGATCTGTAGAAGATATTAGATGTGTACCTATGATGGCAGAATGTGAATACTTACTTAGGGGAAGCACGACCAGGTAGTCGCCTGACCGATAGCCGACACCCTCTGGGAGCTCAATCTCCAGATGCTTCTTTGACAGTCCAACATCGGAGCCACCGAGGTCCTTGTTGCCTTTGACGATACCATAACCAATGTCCGCACCACCGAGGTGAGTTGCGAACTTGGGCGGTGTAATCTCAGCTCTGAGCTTACCACCAATGATCTCGGCAATTGTCCCAGATGAACTTCGAAGATCTTTCCACATTACTTCAGTCCAGTCCTCCCAGGGACCCATAATGTCATATTTGACATCAACGAAACCGGTTTTTGTGAGTCTTTGAGCACCCATCTTTTCGAACAGCTCATCGATAAGCTTAGGAACACGATGGAAGGTATTAGCCCAATCGCTATTCCCGACGCTAAAGATAGCGTAATTAACACCTTCTAGAATCTTAGAAGAGGAGTTGCATTCGAGCCACTGAACAAATTTCTTTGCGTTGTCGGCGGGCTTGCCTTCATAGGAAGAGGCAATGATGATGACGGGTTGGTCTTTTGGGACAGCTTCTGTGGCAGAGTCGAGAGTCTCGACTTTAGCCTTTAACCCAAAACGTGGAGCATTGCCCTCCAATTCCTCAGCGTATGATTTGCAGGTGCCTGCCTGCGATCCATAGAGGATTGTGATACCCTTTCTTTGCTCTTTCGGAGCCTCGTTTGGAGCAGCTCCCTTTGCGCTTTGCGATTGCGCTGGCGCAGTGAAGGGTCCGCCAATAGTTGAAAGGTCTCGGCCTAACCTTCTCCGAACCTTAATCTTGAAATCTGCGGGTTTGAGAGTGAGAGAAACTTTAACATGGAACTGGTATCTGGGATCCGCCATCTCGACCTGGAACTTCTGCAGGATTAGTGCAACCACCATTACCATTTCTTGCTCCGCGAATCCGCGACCAATACAAGCCCTTGGACCATCGCCAAAAGCCTTGAACGCGTTAGGTGGCAGTGCCTCATAGCCTCCGTTCAAGAACCGTTCAGGCTTATACTCTTCCGCGTCCTCCCCCCAGATCTTAGGATCATGATGAAATGGTCGAAGATTGCAAAGGATGTGCTCTTCGGGCGTGATATCATATTTTCCAGCAAGCTTTGTTGCATGCTTTGCATGCTTAGCGATGAGACTGATTGGACCTAGGAACCGAAGCGCCTCATAGATACAGTACTTGACGTATTTAAGTTGGGAGAGGTGTTTCATCTCCAGAGGAGCATCACCAAGGACATCATCGACTTCTTTCTGCGCAGCCATGTACTTGTCTGGGTTCTTCAGGAGATGGTAGAAGAGAAAGCCTAAGGTGCCGCTCGTTGTCTCGTGGCCAGCGACCTTTATAAAGTCAGGATCGGGGTTCATAGTGGTGGGTGTGGATCACAGCCTTGGAGAGCTCACCAAGAAAGTAACCATGTTGAACCTGACGTTCTCAAGTGTCATTTTCTCGCCTGTCTCTGGGTCTTTCCCATTTAGCATTGGGTTCAGTAGGTCATTGAGCTCCGGTTGAGGGTGTGCTTGTCGATCAGCAATGATCTCATCGCAAAGTTTGTGCATAGCCGCAACATTTTCTTGGTTCGTCTTCGCCGAAAAGATGCGAAGCCTGTTTTCGATATCGAGTCTGTTTGCCCTTCTGCCACTCTCTATCAGCACATCAGTCATTTGGGTTACGAAGGGATGCGCTTCATCGGTATAAAAGTTGTTAAAGCGAAACCCAAACGCGCAAAGTCCGATCATGTCAAACGTCAACCTGATAATTGGTATCAGCATTTAACAATCCAGAGCTTGGGAGATGTGACTAACCTCGTGAAATCATCGCTGCATAGAATTTCATGATCCGGACCAAAGCGATCCCACCGTAGCAGCATCTGGGAGGCAATGTCCACCATTCCACCAAACATCTATCGAATTGTAAGCATGCTTAAGGGGGAGATCTTTCAGAACCAGAGCCCACCTTACGAATGCCCATCGGGCCAAAGACAGGCATCAAGAGCCGATGTGCGACACCCCAATTCTAATGCGAGATTAGCACATGCGTCCGCAGCTCGGCCTTAGTGGGGGCGCACATGTTCACCGGGGTAAGCTGTAAACAAGCCATCTCCGGTCAATGCTCGCACCTCCTTGAGGGCTCCATTAACTGGTTTTTCAAACCGATTCCAGTCGCACACGTCATTCACAAGTTCGTAGGATGAGACAACAATGACGGTGCGGCCAGGCAAGGAGAGTTTGAAGATTGGGCCATAGATGTCGGCTAAGCGCCAGAAGGACCCCACTGTATTTACCGGATCAATGTCTTGAATATTCCCGAAGAACCATTTGAGCGGCGGCTGAGGAATTGAGAGATATTCCTCGTGGGAGGCCATTGTGGGAGGAGACAATCGGCAAGAATTGAGGTGTACAAACGCCAGTCCTTCGGGGTTATAGAAGCAAAGAACTGTAGTATATATGACTGACTGACAGTGCCTGATGTCGATATTATTTGCAGGAAATAGACGTCATATTTATATTCAACGGAGCAAAGGGACAACCCTGTACCGGTCAATGACAGATCGACTGTGAATGTAATTGAAACTTGCATCATGCATCCCCGTGTTTGCTGATTGATCAAAGATACCTGGTGATGAATCACAGAGCATTGCGAAATACAGTCGTACGAATCCGACTTTGTCGCCCGGTGGGTGCGTGAACTGGCCGCTAAGGGATATGGGCTGAAGCTAGACCGGTGGTGCTGTATGGGTGCGGGGTCCTCGAAGAGCCACTCGAACACACAAGCCTGAGGCAATACATTGCTGAGTCAAAAGTACGTGCATGCTCCCCTGAACCTTAGTAAGGGCCGGAATAGCAGACAGATGGTAGTCAAACCTGAATTCGGGAGTTGTTGCGAGCTCGAATGCCGACGTAATCCGCGCCCCTCTTACATATAGTGTGGGATGGAAAGCGAAGATAGAATGAGAGACCAATCGTGGTGCTGAAGCGTTCCGAGGCATCATGAACGTCGGGAGGGTTGATGTTTCCGCTGGGGGACCGGAGGAGTTTTTTGATCCTCGGCCGAACCGAGCCACACCAGATGCTCGTCCGAGGCGGTGCAATGTTAACAGAAGGGAAAATTAATCGAAAAGGAAAATATGCCTCCAAATTTTCCAGGGCAAAGGAGTAAGAAAGAATAAAGATTGAAGTCAAGAGGTCCATGTGTCCCTCAGGCAGAAGGACGCCCAACTTTGTCCAGGTTGAAGCTGATTGATTGGTCGAAATGCTGAGTAAGTAATCAGCGTCCCCCTTGAATGACCTCACTGACGGGAAAGAGAGAAAACATCGCTCTGAAAGTCCTTCTGTACGCAATCCCCAATCATAGAAGACGGTTACACGTACCTCCACTGTTCGGCGAACAGCGTCTTTTTCTCCAGCAGCTTGGAGCCCCGAGCAGCCACAAGGCTAGTTCTAATGAATGGTCTTGAAAGAAACGGAAGGTGAAAATCATGGGGAAGTGCGGGAATAGTAGAGGGTGGTTTGACGGACAAGATGGATTGTTGGAGGGAGATCAACTTAGCAAGATAAATAAGACAGGATCCATGACGCTCTGCTGAGCCGTCTGTAGCACCTCGGCTGAGGTTGAGAATATTATAAAGAGGATAACTTTATGAGATACGAATCGAAAATTGAGCAGGTTAATTGCGGAGCACTTGAGGTAGACTTACGGTATGTTCGCATTTAAGATGGAATATGATCAACATCTCATTTTAGACAGCAATCGGCCGCTTTTTAATTCTTCGCTTGATTCCAACAACAGACTTGACAGATCAAGTTATCCCTGATCGTCCTCCCGTGTGGGTATAAATATACTGTAAATCCAGCAGCTGATCTGGCAGTTACACGACCGACGTCCTCTAGAACGATCCACCCAGCAGTGCCCAGGCACAGCGAAAATAAAGAGCTGAGGTTTCTACCATTCCAAGGGTTCCTCGTTTTGCCAAAAAAGCCCGGTCTTGTCATTTATGTCCTCGATAGCGAGCATAACCGGTGTCCGTGCCCCTTGATCTGGCGTCTTGTTGCCTCCACCTCTTGTCATGTCGGTTTTCACGTACCCAGGACAGCATGAATTAATCAGAACGGAACAACCCTTCGCTTTCTCTGCGAGTGCCAAGGCTCTTGTCGCGCCGATAAGGCCGGCCTTGGAAGTAGCGTACGCCGCGCTGGGGAAACCTGCTTCTTTCTCTTTCCCGGCCTCGACAGCAGAAGCGAACGTCTGCATGATCCTTGTTACATCTTCCTCGGTTTTTGAAGAGAGGAATTGGTCTCTGACTTCATCAGAATATTTATTGAGCCTGCCAACTGTGCTCGCCACATTCACTAGGCGACCGTTGGGCTTGATATTGGGAAGCAATGCATGGCAAGCTTCAAGAGTTCCATAATAATTGACTCCAAGTGTGGTTTTGACTACATTGGAATCTTGTTGCCAAATAAGTATCCAAGCGAAGGAGATAAAGAGCGATACTCACCGAAGCCTTGCATCGCAATGCCTGCGTTGTTGATGACGAAATCGACACCGCCACCATGGGCTTGCTTCAGGTATGCCGCGAACATGGAGATGCTCTTGCTGTCCGCAATGTCTAGAGAGTAATATCGAATATCCGAGAGCCCGCCGTCAGCAGACAGAGCCTTCGCCTTCTTCAACTGGGCATCTTCAAACAGATCTTTAACAGCAGCTTCTCCTCGACCTCTGTCTCGAGCGGTAAGGTAGATGAGGAGAGGGCCGTTGTTGATGGGAGATTTGGGGTATTCAAGCGCGAGCTGGCGGACTGACCGTCGTTAGGGGGGTGGCAAGGCTCAGGGAGCATTAAGAGTACCTATGGCAAGACCAATTCCCTGACACATGTTAGATCACAGTTGCTGACACATGCTATAGTCAACGATGGAACGCTCACCTTATTTGCACCAGTAACAACACCGACTCGAGTATACGACATGATGAGGGTGGTTACTTCAATCTGGCTGGCAGAAGAAGCGATCGAGGGAAGTCATGACGAACAGCAGCTTCAGTCAACGCCGATGTTGGCAAGAGAGCAATCCATTAATCATCATGGGGGAAATTCTCGGTGATAAGTTCAACTGCTCCGAGTCACGTGGAATTTTAGAAGACAAGCTTTTCTTAGCGGTTGATCGGTTTCACGCGAGGAACTAACTATTGCCCCGCCCTCTCGCGACCTTTATTCACCAAAAACCTCATCGCTCGGACATTAATCTTTCTATGAAAAGCCTAACCCTTTGAATGCTGAAGTTCCTTGAGATAATTGCTTCCTCTTGCCGCTGCCAAGCTCTCGCGACAGCGAATATGGAACATCCCGAAATAACACTTACATCATGCTTTGGATCCTGCTCTCAAAATACCCCGAAGTCTACGGATTATATGCGATCTTAATAAGAGTCGAAGCAAGCTCGACAGACTTCAATAGCTTCACTGGGGTTCCTGATGCGGAGAAATCCCACAATGATCGGATGAACGCTTCATCGGCCGGAGCAAGCCTCCTCCAAAAACTAAGTAACATGACTACTTCAAGAAACACTCCACGAGCGCAGATCCATCCAATCATCAGAGAAAGCTCTTGGCGATGAGTGGCCTGCATAAATCCCCTCCAATCAAACATTGAAGTGGCTGTTTTCGAGACCTCCGCTTAGCCATGCATCCTCAGGTCTCGCCAGCTGTCCGCAAACCACATGCCCTCGCACCACGGCCTGACAACTGTAGACTGGGAAGCCCACGAGCCAGGTTGCCACTAATTTGCCTGCGCTGAAGGTTCAAGCTGAACTGAGATGGAGCTTATTCGCAGTCTCAGCCCTCCACGCAGCTCAAGCTTCCTGGCTTTCAACATGTTTTCTTCTTTGACTCGCCATGCATCCTAGGCTTCAGCCATCCTTCTTAAAGTTCCCTTTCTGATCCTTCCCCTGCGTTGCAGCGCTTATTGCAAGCGAAAACGTTCCGACGGCTACTGTCAACGCTCTCCACAACCCTTTGCTATGGCGATCTTTCCATTTCTTCTCGAGATATCGCTCTTGTTCTTATACCCCATTCTCGCTACGTCTGCTCCAAATCTACAAGATGCGCTCCTAATCACGCCGCCGCCGATACCAGAGCCGACTCATTGTCCGTCTCCAAATCTACTAAAGCGTCAACTGAGCTGCACGTATGGGCAGTGTGGAGACAATTGTCTGTCACAGGGCGCTTTCTGCTGTGGGCCCGCGGGGACCCTGGCGACTTCCCCATATTGTATGTTCAAACCTTCTCTTCACTGTGGAGACATCTGCTGATAGATACTAGGGGTTTGCGACAACGTTCGTCGACTGCCTCTCCTCAAACAATGGAGATACTGAATGATAATTAGGGAGCATGCATAACAAGCGTCCGTGGATCAACTGGCATAGTTGACTGCTACGACCCCGACAACCCATCTGGAACAACTCAGTCCTGCCACGACCATGGAGCGACCTCAAGCTGCAGCTCAACCGATCGCTGCTTTACATGGTCAGCCTACCCCCTCATGCTAAACTCTGCAGTGAATGTTAAGACTAAGACTATCTCTTAAGCGATACCGATGTCCCTTACTGCCATTGGGAAACCTGGATTGACAAACCCACGAACTCGCCAACTCTGAAATGGTTCTCATGCATAGAATCCCGAATCGCAGACGCAACAATCTTCGCCGCAAACATCACAATACCCTCCCAGACCAACCCATCGACTTCGACCACAACTTCAACTTCGACCTCACCATCTGGCAATTCGTCACCTCTCTCCACAGGCGCTATAATCGGCATCGCCGTTGGCGCTGGCATAGCCATCATAGGCGCAGTTGCCATTCTCCTCTATTGCTGCTTCAAGAAACGCCAGACCTCCCGCCTTCGGCCTCAGGAGCTCAGTGCTGAAGAACAAAACAAACAAACAAGTCCCCCGCCAATGATATACCAACCTCCGGTCGAACTTGACGTACCACGACACGATCGCAGCGAGCTCGGCAGCACAACCGCATACTCGCCACATTCACAAATAAGCACACCCTTCACGCCCCACGATGAACGATATGCACAGAATGTCGAGGAAATCGATATGTGGCGAAGAGGGATGGATGCGTCGGAGCTGCCGACTAAGATGCCGAGCTATATGGAGCAGCCTTCTCGAGAGCTCTATGGGGATGCGGGTGTTAGGAGGGAGGTTCAGGATCCGAGGGATAGTTGGGGTCGGGGAGATGATCTGGGTCATATGAGTCCTGGGGGTCAGACGGAGAGGTAGGCTGGCAGGGTGGTTTGTTTCCTTCCTCGTCACTATGATGTTACGAATGGTGATACCAGTATGGCGTTCCAAGGAACCTTCCGGTTTGTATTGCATCAGGAGATGGTTGGGTGATTGGAGCTTCTTCCATCCTCCAGATCTTGGCACTCCCTTTTGACGGGTTACATATTGTATCATTAGTCTAACAGGACCGTCATGTTGGCTGAATGTTGCGGTTGAATTGGGTATCAAACTTAGGCTCCCGACTTTACCACATTAATATATGAACACATTCTATCCTCCAATTCCTTGATGTCCAAGAAGAAGAACTCCCGACAGTATTACCTCCAACTAGCAGTCTCCAAGCCATGTTCACGAGCCCTTCTTACCCCCCGTCCCTCTCAACTTCCACAGCTTGAAATTCCAGTTGAAATACCAATCAAACACCACCCTCGGCATCCACGCCCACGCAAACCAAACAATCCAACTCATATTCCCCTCCCAAATCCAGGGGCTCCTACTAAACCACCCACCCCCCCTCAACACCTGCCTAACGACACTCCGCGCATACTGTTTCGTGTCCATGCCCAATTGCTGGCTGTGTGTCAACCTACGCTCATATTCGGCTGCTAGTGGCTGCATGTAGCTATCCCGCGGAAGTTCGCGAAGCGTGCGCGCGATATTGCTCTTCACACCGCCCGTCACAACCGTCACGACTCGGACTCCCAACGGCGCCAATTCCAGACGCAGAGTGTCGGAATACGCGTGCAACGCCGCTTTGCTTGCATTGTACGGAGCGCCCCATACATACGGCATAACGGCCGCCAGACTACCTATTTGCACGATGGTTCCGTGTCCGGCGATTAGGAGTGGCACGAAGGCTTTGCAGAGCCGCATGATAGAGAATAAGTTTGTATCGAAGGTAGCGAGGAGTTCGTCGTCGGAGAAGTCGAGGGCGGGGACTGTGTAGTTCCGGCCTGCATTGTTGCAGAGGATGTGTAGACGGCCATTTGTAAGCTCCGAGACGCGTTCGCACAGGGAAGTGAGGCTTTCATTGCTTGAGAGTTCAAGGGGGAGGTAGGTTATATTTGGGTGGGGGGAGGGGTATTTGGAGGGATCGCGAACGGTGGAGAGGACAGTGAAACCTGAGTGAGGCTGTCAGAGTGAGGGGTGAGATATTCGGAGACCATATCTGATCAGATCAGATCTGATCTGATTGCGGACATCTGTCAATCTGTCCTCTTTGTCCTCTTTGTCCAAGTTAGGGTAGGGGGATTGGCCCAGAGAAACCCCATACCGTTATCTGCAAATTCAAGCGAAAGGAAATGCCCAATGCCACCAGGAGTGCATCTAGTAGCGTCAGCCGAAGCTTCAATGGCCTCATGCTCATCAGCTGGAGCCAGAGGGGGGAAAGGGGGGTGGGGGGGGGTTTCCAGGCATCAAAGCCAGCACACCCAAAGCCATGCAAGATATCTGACTCACCCCGTAATCAAGGCGTATCCCTGCTCCGCTGGCGGCATCGTAACTCCTAATCGGGCAATTGGCGATTTCAGTGAGGTGTTGAAGTCAGGCCGGGGTCGGCAATTTGGCAAAGCTCGAGCTTGGAGCTCGGACATCTCGGCAACCAGCTGCCCCACGTCAGGAGCGAAGGGCGTGAGGAGGGAAGCTTAAGGAAATGTTGACTAATTTATCATGGGCGAGAATTATCACTTGCTCACGCCTGCCATGGCTAGCCGTGGCGAGGAAGGTTTATCTAGGGCCGGCTGACTGCCTTCATAACTTATCTTTCTCATTCACTCACCTTTCTCCTGTCTTGTCACCCCCCTCTGCACCACCGAAGTCTCCTGTACCAATTGCATATCGGACGGACTGGCCTTGGCCTTAGCATAAACTGGCTAAGAGACAAGAGCATGGCACTGTTTAACTGGCTAGGAACCAAGTTGCCGGCACTCATGCGGCCTTTGCTGCTGCTGAGCTTGGCCAGCTACCGTCCGTTCCCCCTCCCCCTCCCCAAGACGAGAAAGTAACAATTTACTAGACTTCTTCATAACAGTCTTCGAAGTCATCTTCGTCGAACAATCCCTAGGCCAGCTCTTTAACCTCACCAAGCTCCGCTACAAAGCCTTCGCTCGACTCTGGACTCGCAATGGTGCACACTCCCCCACGCACCCTTCCAGCTTACCTTCACATTCTCTTCTGCTAACAACCTCCAGGAGAGGCAATGTCTCAAGAAATGCCTGGGCCTCTCGACGCCCTCCTCCAAAAATGCTCCGGCGTCGTCCTTGACATCGGGCCCGGCTCCGGCGAAATCCTCCCCCGCTTCAACGCGTCCAAAATCCACACCATGTACGGTGCTGAGCCCGCCGTAGACCTGCATCCAGGGCTCCTCCGCAACGCACAGAAAGCAGGGTTTGGGGGCAAATTCCATGCGCTGCTGTGTGGCGGCGAGCCAGAGAGTCTGATCCCCGCGCTGCATAAGTCTGGGGTTCTGGGACGAAGCGGAACGAGAGGCACGGCGGAAAACGGCGTCTTTGATGATATATGCTGTGTCCGAGTTCTCTGCGGTGTTCCACATCCAAAAGAGACAATTAAGGGATTGTACGAGTTGTTGAAGCCAGGCGGCCGCATGGTCATCTGTGAGCATGTCGTCAACCCGTGGAGAAGTGAGGGTAGCATATTGGCCAGACTCGCACAGTTCGTGTATACGGCCATGGGATGGCCATTTTTTATGGGCGGTTGCGAGCTACAGAGGCGTACGCCTGAGTACTTGCGAGAGGCGGCCGGGAAGGAAGGGTGGGCTCAGTTCCAGCTCGAGTATGTGGATCCGAAGGTTGCGGTTCCCTTCGTGATCGGCGAATTAAGGAAAAGAGGCTAGGCTTTGGGAAGCTAAAGAACGGCTCTGACAAGGTGAGCCACAAGCGGGAAGCGGTGGTGTGTGGTAGAAGCGGTTGTATGATATGTGGTGTGAGTAATTTCACGGAAACGGGGTCACAGCTTGTTAAAAAGCGTATGTAGGTGGGGTGGATGCCAAAACGATCAATGTAGATGCATTTGAAAGGGCAACTCACTCCAGTTACGAACTTTGTACTCAACTCAAACGATTATATCCCACCCTTTTGCTTTGTAGTCCATGCGCGCGAAAGTCTCTCCACATTGGAATGAATAGACAAAAAATTATTTCAAACACTCGTAGCAACTTTCATATTCAAGCGCTTCTCTCCATAATGCTTTCTATCTCGCAAGCTCTGTCTACCGTCTCCTCCTTTCACTATCAACTTTGCAGAGATTGCAAAACGTCTGCTGCAGCCTTACCCCCAACAGCCATACTATGACTCGTATCTATCCTTTCTGCTCATTTCATCCCAACTAAGTTGATCCCAGTTCTTTTGTTCATACGGGGTACAGTACGCCCATCTCTTTAGCCATGCCCCCTCGTGCCGAGAGACCTATTCCAAATCTACTATATACTCCTCCATCTCTATCCTCGCCCACCCCCGCCCATCCCGCATTCCTCAGCTCTAGAATCTACGAGGGGATGTATCGAGGCAGCCAGATAGACTGGATATTTCTCACTCGGTCGACCGGAGCGGAGCTATGAGCCCGAGGGAATCGTAATGATCACTATGGCGCTGGACAAGGCTGCGATGTTGGGGTCCGACATTTGCCTGCTAGGTATTGTTTATTGGCTGGGCTGGATTTGAGGATTGGGTTTGGGGGTTTGGTTGAGCTTTGGTTGGGAGAGGTCGAGGGGTAGAAGAAAGATGGACGGAGGTCAAGAGCTGTGGTGCCGAGGAGTCCTAGGAGAGAACACTTGGATGGTATCGAGAATGCGGGTGTATTTGTTCAGTCGGTGCGGGATGGGAGGGAGATGCAACGGAGAGAGAAGCCAATTCGATTCAAAAGAGTTGTGTAATTCTCTGGATCTCAATCCCAAAGTTGTTGCTTGTGTCCCGGCCAAATCATCCAAAGCCTCTCACATCTCCAGCCAAAATCCCAGGCCCCACGTACCTTTATACCCTGTCTCCCCATCTAAATCCTCTCCCTGGTCCCAGTCAGCCCAGTCGAGCCCATCCTCGCACCACAGTCCCCCAAACCGAAGTTCTTCCATCAGCCCCCAAATCCTCGGATCTGTCGACAATTACCGCATCCGGAAATGTGCTGCGAGATTTGCGATAGGCTTGGCGATTAGCGGCTTAAATGGGATTAGAGAAAGCTAGGATTAGGACTAGTGCTGGAAGGAGGCTGCGTAGGGCGGGAGGAGCGATTGGGCAGCCCTGTCAAGTAAGTGGATAGGATTCGGTTGGTTCCGATTAGGATGCGTGGTTGCTTGTTTGCAGGTTGGTGATTGGGGGTTGGTTGTGGGTGGGTGGGTGAGAGGAAGGTTATTGGGATGATGCGAGCTGCGAAATACGAGATCGAGAGGTTCGGGAAGAGAAAGGGGGTTATTGGAATGTGGTGCTTGGTAATGATCATCGTGACTGGAATCGAAGTTGGCGAGGAAGAAGAGGGAGAATACTTTCTCGATTCTTGTATAGGACGTCAGCGATGCCATAGAACATACAGAGTGCGGGTTCGATATGTCAAAGAGCTAATAAGAGCATTAAGCGGATGCAAGCTTCTGTCCTGCATCATCGTCCGCCCTCATTAGAAGCTTAGCATATTCCGCAGCGGCCTCATGTAGAGTGTTTGATTGAAAAGACAAGGACTGTAACCGAAGCGAAGCCAACGAAGGAATTCTGAGCAGTACCGAGGCCGAGATCAGAGAAAATGAGATAGGAATATATTTGGAAGAAAAAATTTCAGAAATCCATGTAATGGAGCTGACAACAACCGTTCATCCTCTTGATAGTGAGATATTTTCCATTCTGGCATCGTCCACTACGAAAGGGAATACCAACAGATCGTCAGCCATAGCCGTTCGTTAAGTCCGTCCTTCCTTATGCCTTCTAACCAGACTCAGGAGCTGGGTCGAAGTATTCATAGATTTTCTCCCCCTTCTCGCCCAGCAAGCCAGGTGCTTTGAACGTCGAAATACCAGTCTGCCGGTCATATATCTCATATGTCGACGCAAGGCGTTTACCTCCACCGCCAGGAAGATCAACAACAAACGACGGGGTATTGAAACCGGCAAGTGTCCCACGAATACGTTGTTCGAGGTCAAGGATTGTGCTAAGGGGGGTGCGAAGGTCTTCGATCCCACGGACGAGATCGCATTGGTAGACATAATACTAATTTCGTCAGCTTGGGTCTTGGAACCGAACCAAGATATGCGTATAGCGCATGGGCTTAAGAGAGATAGCGTGAGGCAGGCTCATGCTAGCTTTGATTCTAGGGTGGCGAAACGGACCGAATCGGATTTTAGTGTACGTACTGGTGTGATATGCATATCTGCAAGGTCCCTGATCAACTTTCTCATAGTTTCAACATTATCATTGACTCCTTTCAATAGCACTGATTGATTCCTGACGATAACGCCCTTTTCGAAGAGAAATTTAGCGGCCTTCCTTGTAACCCAGTTTATCTCATTCGGATGGTTGAAGTGGGTATGAAGAGAAACTTGCTTATTAACCCGTCGCCCGTGGTTACAAACATCGATAAAAGAGCTAGTCCACGCGTCATTAGGATCAAAGATACGACTCGGAGCAACTGCCAGGCCTTTCGTCGCAAACCGAAACCGTTTTATGTGTGGAATGGATAGGAGCCTAGGAAGAGCTGAATCAGCCGTGGTCTCAATAACGAGGGAATTAACGCACCGCTCTCCTATCAGATTGATCTGCTCTGGCTCAAGATAGTACGCATCTCCACCCGACACCACAATATCCTGAAGACTTGGCGTCTGTTCAATGTACTGGAAGACAACTTCCCAGCGCTTACGGATCGGCTTTTGGGGAGATTTCGAAATCGTCTCAGTGTTAGCACCAACCGCATAGGATCGAGTGCAGAAACGGCAGTACACAGGGCATATTGACGTTGCTGTGCCTTCTCATCAACAACGGAGGCAGAGGTAAAAAGTCTTGCTCTCTCAAGTAGGGGTAAGTCTTACCAAGAAACAAGGCCTTATCGGGGTAACGATGCACGAGCCCAGGAACAGCTACCAAGATCAGATCGTTGACAGCCACTGAAGAGCCACTGACACTCACGTGAGTCTGCTTCCTCATGCAGAGAGTCTAGCGTCAGTTTCGGGTGATCCGGTACCATCGCCGACTTGATCGGGAGGAACTGCCGCCGAATGGGGTCGTCAAGGGGGTTGGTCCAGTCAATCACGCTTAGGATATGTGGTGTCAGGCGAATGGACATGGGAGCAGCAGACAGCCCCTGCGTCGCGTCGTTGATGAAGTCATTCCTGGTTTTAATATGCTTCAGCAGAGGATTGGCGGACGAAGCAAGCGTATCAGGGAGGGTTGCAGATAAGAATTTGTCGAGCTGCACCCGGCAAGACACAGTGTTCGCGCGCTGGGCAGTCAGTGATGACTCGCAGGTAGGCCAAGGGTTGCATTAACGAACCTGCCAGTTATAGCTCAGGAAGTCCCTCGGAGGGACATTTGCCCATTTAGGGACTCTGCGCCAGTACGGCTCCTGATTTGGCAACGCTGCGTAGGTGGACTGGCTGCGAGTCTGGTTTTCGAAGGAGGGATTGAGCCAGAAGGCTGACCACCGCGTCCCAGAGCTCCGGGCCGCCGCATTCATCATGCTCAAGCCTAACATAACTCGTATCTTGATCTCCACGCCCGAGACGAGAGGGTTTGGCGTGATGGAGTGATAAGTGCACGATGAAGGGGAAGGGGCGAATTGGCTCAGTATGTCTTCCCCTAATAGCTCCACCTGACACTAAAGGTCACGAAAGCTTTTTCCGACACGTGAAAGACACTGTGGGGAGCAATGTGGAGAAGTCAATTCCGGCTTGCTGCCTCGTGCTCTGGGACTGAGATGCAGTGCGTCTCCGCAGCCAATTTATCTCCACCTCCCTGGTCTGGACGACGAACGAACGGTGGACCTCTTCCACCACAGAATGCGTTGTTATGAAGTCGTTTCCATGCTAATTGCTTCGTCGAGCACTCACACCTTATGCCCACCACGGCGTTGGAGACCGCTGGGGGGCCTACACTCCCGGCCACTTATAGAATCAACGAGAACCACAAAACTGCCAAAACCTGGAATTTGAAGGTAGAGGAAATAAGAGGTCTTAATACCATTATACGGGTGGCAATGGCACAGCTAGGGGGCTAGAGAAGCTAAAGCCACAACGTGTCTGTAAGCTGTAGTAGCGTCTAGAATACTAAACAGAGGCATTGCTAACATGCAGGACTATAGAATCAAACATATCATTGAACAGATGAACTTCCAACAACTGTAAATGGCGTAACCGATCTTTCGACTAAGCCAGACGGGACGTATTGGTCAAGCTTGTGTGCTTGCCGATCTTGAACAACGCCACGGGAACACAACTCGTCGTAACTTTGACCCGCTCCAATTTAAAAGTTGATTGCCGGGTCGGCGCCGACGCAAGTTCATTCTGGCACGTGGTGAGCTTCCGCCTTTGTAGGAAGATTCGTGAACCGTGATGTTTGTGGTGTTGAGTGGCTTGGACGAAGCATAATCCCCTCAACGATTGGACAAGAACCATGTGCTGGACAGGAGAACCGAGGACAAATCCGAAAGCGACAGGGCGAAGCAAAGTTGGAAGAGCTTCACTGCACTGTGAATAGTGCAGGGTTTAAGCATTGAATATCACGTATCGGCTGCATGAAAGCGACGCTGCTGGAGGAAGCCAGCGCGTGACTCGTGAGAAGAAAGAAAAACACGGAGCTGCTGATTCCAGAAAGATCACCCCAGCGAAAGAAGCTCAGCCAACAGTTCAAGCTCGTAATATATAAATGGGGATGAGAAGCAACATGAGATGATATCTACAGTGACGTAAAGTATGCAACGGTAAAAGCAACCTTGTCCGTGTGCAACAGGACACTGGGGAAAAGCTCATGTGTGTGTATCGGAGTGAGGGAAATAGGCGACGGCAGGTGGAGCTCTGAAGTGAAGTTCGCCTGCAATTCTTCACGAGACCGTGCGCCAATCCTTTGCCAAGCCTGATGTCACACAAGGAAAGGCCACCCTCAACACCAGAATGACCATCGTGATATCCACAACGAGTATCAGCCCCTCAGCCCACCACCTCCCGCAAGCATGGCGGACTCCGCTGCCACAGCGACTGCAGAGTCTCCCGCGCAGGAAAAGGCTCGATTACGGCGCGAGCGTCGTGCTGCCAAAATTCAGGCCGGCGGTGCCTCTCGGCTACAGGCCATCTCTCAATTGCAGGGAGGGTCTCACCGAGATGTGGAGAAAGATGTGCCAGGTAACGTTCCCTACTTTCCCAGCAGATTCGTCAGACTCGCTATGGATTTCTGCCTGCTTCAGCTCTGACATACTAAACAGTCAAGCCATCACCAAGTGCTTCCCCCAACCTGGCCACAGCTTCCCCCGCCAATGGAACCTCCACACCAGATCCTGATGAGATTGATATCTCCCAGCACCACTACACACCTGCAGCCCAGCCCCAGCTCCCGTCTCCATTCGCCTTCAACGGAACCGACACCCCGCCATTCCCCCAGCCTGGCCCTGATGCCGACATGTCCCAAGACCCGATGATGGCCATGCTGCAACAAATGATGGGTGGCGGCGCAGGGGGCATTCCGGGGATGCCAGGCGGTCCAGGCCAAGCTGGTCAGAATCCAGGCGACCTTCCTCCCGGCCTTGCCAACCTATTCCAGGCCATGGGGGGCGACTCCTCCACTGCTCAGCCCTCGCCTTCTCAATCCTCCGCTTGGCTATGGCGGCTTGTGCACTCTATCTTTTCCCTCCTGCTCGCTGTATACATAGTCTTCCAAACTCCCTTCAACGGCTCCAAGCTATCCCGCACAAACACCTCCACACCCCAATCTGACGACTGGATCCTCGACTCCTCGTCCACAGAGACATTCAAGCATTTCTTCTACATGTTTGCCACATTTGAAGTCGCGATGCAATCGTCGCGGTATTTCATTGAGAGGGGTCAGTTACCTGGGAGTGGGATCCTCAGTAGCATTGCGCAGATGTTGCCGATGCCGTATGCAGGGTATGTAAGAGTGGTGGGGCGGTACAGTGTTATCTATAAGACAGTGGTGAGTGATGCTATGGTAGTGGTGTTTGTGCTTGGAGTGGCGAGTTGGTGGAGGGGTGGTATTACTTCTTGATAAATGATCTTGAGACGCTCCTGGCCATGAAGACTCACGAGGACATCGCCCAGGATAAGACACGACAAGAATAAAATTCGTCAAGACTTCCCATTCAAAACTCTTAGACTTGGATGGTGCATATCCCATTGTAGCCTCTCTATGCTTTTTGTACAAAACAGATGGTATACACAGGTGACCCCACTGACCTTGTATCATACATACACTCGTTCAACATCGTGGGTTTTATAAATCAACCTACGCAACAGAAGCAACCTCCCCCCTCGCCAACTTGAGCAACTCCTCCTCCCTCCTCCCCGCCAAGAACTTCTCCCTCACTTCCTGTCGATCCTTCTCGCTTCTCTCCTTAAATTCTTCCATATCCCGAATCTCCTCCTTCTCCTGCTCCGTCGCCTCGATCACCCGTGCGCCCGTCGCTTCAATCAGTGCGGTGAGAATCTGCGATTCCTGGATCATCCGGATGTCAATTGTGTAGGTGGGGGCTGCAGCTGTGATTGTCGAGGCGACTGTGGGTGTGGGCTGAGGAGTCGTCTCGGGTTTGGGGGGGTTGGAGGGGGTGGGGTCGAGAGAGGTAGTGTAGATGTAGAGTTTTGCGGGACCAGCGGGGTCGTTGTGACGGATTATTTCGATGGGGATTGAGGGGTTGCGGTATTTAATTCGCGGGAGCATTTCGCGCCAGAATTTCCTGCATATCCAGACCACATTAGCGGGCTGTCATTCCGTCCATCTAGCCATCCATGTATCCATCCACAAATTGTCTCACACTCGACCCTCAGTTGTCGTCACCAAGCCAGGGCGTACGACCGGATTCCCAAAAGGTTGAAATATAACAGCCAATGCAGAGGAAGAGAAGACGATGTAGAAAGCCATTCTTGCCATACCTAGCTCCCCGATGTCCCCCATTGATCTTAGTATTAAACTCCATGCCTATCTTTAATACCTCTTTCGGTAGTATAAGTGCACCTGGCCCGACCCGTATCCATAACAGCTATAATTTATACGTCAATCGTACAACTCAAATTAAACGTAGGCTCTCAATCAACCCTTGACATCAAGTCCGAGGGGAATCGGTCACGCGGCGGAGGTCTTGGGACGGGGAATATACCTTCTATCGAGAGGATTAGAATGCTAAATTAATAAGCATTGGAGGGAGTTTAAGACGTACCTCGCGCAACTTGCGCATTCGTTTTATTATATTCACCATGGTGGATGTGATGAGCGTCTTGCAAATCAGACTTCGCGGAGCTTGAATCCTCGCGAGATTTTGAGATGCACGGGGAATCTTCGGCGAAGGCTCGCGTCCGATTGGCCAATGCGTACGGCCTCATAATTCAGGCCTCAACATTTCAGGCAACTAGAGCAATGCGGCACAGTTCACATATTCTCCTGTGGAAACCTATCGTGGATTCATGCTCAGTGGTGATGATTCAGACTGCCTAGCTATATTCCCAAGAGCTAGGTTTTATTCACCCTAAGCAGCCTGCGCTATCCAAACACCCGTACCCTACCCATAAACAAGCCGTTGGTGATTCCGTCCATCATATTAAAAATAAAAGTAAACCCTCCGAGAATACCAAACCTAGCGAACCCGAATCTACACACCAGGAAAGAACTGCAATTGCTGAAATAGATAGCGGCCTTGGGTGGTGGAAGGGCTGAAGTCTTGACAGGCGCCGTACGGCGCGGAATGTGCTGAATTTATTGCGCCGTCTACTGCGCTGGTGCGGGTGGTGCGCCGGTCTGCGGTTGTCCCTGCGGCATTCTGCGGCTCCTATCTTCTTGTCAGTAAATGACCACATTCCGAATTCGGGAAAAGCTTACATAAACGACCTGCTCATGAACGAGATGAGAATCATGGGCAACCAAGACGGCATCTTCGAAAATCCCCACAGAACGTATCCAACCGGAATGGCCAAGTTGTACTGTTGAAGCAGGCCAGTGAACGGATGCCACGGGCCCTCGTATGGCGCAGTATTCTCGTACTCCTTGTTGGTAACGAGCTTGGTGAGTTGAGGGCCCGTAACAGAGGTGCGGTTCAGAGGGATGAAGCGAACAGTGGGCAGCGGTGCGGACTGATCCGCCAGCGGCTTTGGAATCTGCATGTAGTAGATTGAAGGAGGGCCGGCATACCACGAATTGCAGAGAATAGGCTGCGACTCGCAGTCAAGCACGGCGAAGTTGGGCGCTTTGGGGGTTGCTGAAAGGGCGGCCACTGACTCCTACTTGCCATCAGTACGTTCACAAGTCCGAATATCTAAAATGAGGGATATTGAAGCGAAACCTACATTCCACGCTTTACTCGCATTTCCACAAAAGCCATAGCACGTTACGTTGCCGCCTGTTATGAAGACCATCCAGTCCTGCGTCGTTGGTGCGCTGGCCGTTGGATCTACAGTCAACACCTGCTTCCAGTTCTCAGTCGTCAGGCTGTGCTGCACCTTGGACGCGACCTTGGCGACACCGGCATCGAGAGGTGAAGGTGCGGCGGGGACTGCTGATGAGATAGCATCCTTCGCCATATTTAGATATCCCTTCACCTTGTCGAGAATCGGGACCTGGTCCTCGGCCAGCGCAAGCGCCGGGAGCGCCAGAAGAAGGGCTGATGAGAAGCGCATGGTGATTGCGATGTGAAAGGAGTGGAGGTGAAGAGGTAAGGTTGCCTAGCCGCGAAAGGTGATGTTCAAGCAGGATCCTTCGGTGATAGTTCGCGCAAGAAAATTGTGGGGACCGACCGGTGGGGTAGGAAACGAGTGAGGGAACGGATAAGCACGCGTCTTTTGTGGTCAAGTGACTCCGCGACGGCGACAAGAATAACGAAGATGAGATGAACGCGAAGGTGAAGATGAAGAGAAGAACGGGAAAGGCGACCAAAGGCAGCAACGCGATGGGTGAATTGCTCCACGCCTGTTTTCCTTGGCATGGATCTTGTTTACTCGCGAAATTGAGCTCGTGGAGCTCGGGCCTCTCCCGTTTGTTCACACCAAGCCCCTTTATACCCCATTCGGTGAACATGGGTGAAACTGCGGCATTTCGAGACCGAGTTAGCTTTCTCTTTGTTCTTTTCTCTCCTTCAGTCTCTCTCCTCTGTTTTTCCTCGTTCTCTAGAGAGTCAATTGCTCGTTGAGCGCCCAGACATTCCCTGAATTTATATATTCCCTCCTTGCGTCCTCCACAATGCGATTCGACAGCCTTACCGCGTTGGTCGCGGCTTCTAGTGCCCTGCTTGGCGTGTCTGCCGGGCCGTTGGTAGCCAAGAGGCAAGGTGAGCTTGATTTGAAGCTCCAAAGGATGTCAATTGCTCATGAAACATGAACCAGGTACTACTTCTGCTAGCTCAGGTGCTCCCACGGCTGGTCTGGTCGTTAGCACCATGAGCAATAACAAGCCAACGACATTTGAGGTCGTTGCTCCCCTGCCAACCAAGTCTGGCTCTGCACAGTCCAGTGGAGATTCATCCGCCGTGGCTACTGCCACCGACAGCGAGGTAGCTTCTGCAACAAGTGCTGCCCCAACGCGGACTGGAACACCACTACCTCCCAGTCATGACTTCCCCAGCTGCCACTCAACAGATGCGAAGCCTTTCTGCCTGCCCAACAACGCATCGACTTTATACGTCGACAGCACCTACTACGCGACATGGAATCCAGACGTTTTGCCCATCAATTCGACTGTAACTGTCAAGATACAATTCATCAATAACTCGCTTCAGGAAGTTTGGTCCTCGGCTGAGACTGAAAACTCGTGGGGTTTCGTTTCTGTGACTATGAAGAAGGAATGGATGCAAGGTAAGCGGTACCCTGATATGCCAGCCTAAAAGAATGTACACTAATAAGCAACAGGCTATGATGCCTACAACCTGACTTTCTATGCCATTAGCTTTGAAGCCAATAACCCTTTAAAAAAGTCAATTCCGTACAAAGGTCCTACAGTCCTCCTGACCAATAAGCCCCCATCTCACTACCAGCCACCTCAGCGCACCAAAACCCCCAACAAGCTAGGTCTGATGATTGGTCTGCCCGTTAGTCTCGGCTTCGTCGTCGTAGTTGTCATTGGTCTCTTCGTCGGCATGCGGAAGCACCGCACCATAGGCCTTGGTAACATCATGGGTCGGCGCAACAAGGGATACGGAGTCGGTAAGAGCAGAAGGCAGCGGATGGGACTGGGCAAAACAGGTGCGATAAGACTGGACAACAGAGAAGAGCATCCGAGATCGCAATACCACGATGCTCCAGCGCATACGCGAGGCGATAGTCTGGGCAGTCTCGTAAGTGATGATGGAATTCGTCCGGCCCCGAGGGGAAATCAGTTCAGGGACGAGCTTCAGAGGCAGAAGACCGGGCGGTAAAGAGTTCAATCAGGGGCAAACGAAAACGCACACAGAAAGGACATGAACGAGACTCGACATGACGAATTCTCAGGATTGAGACGGAGCGCATTTAAATTCTGGGATCTATGGTATATGTCAAGATTAAGAGGGAGTGATGTATGCTAATGCACAAATCGTCTGTCCAGCAGGATCTGGATGCTAATATACCCCCGCTGAGGCCGGTACCTCCCACCCGACCGCATTCTCAACAATTCTTTTGTGTTATTATATCCAAGGCATGACTGGTCAAGCGAGGAGTACCATGGATCGAGATAATTTTAGCAAGATCTCTGAACTTCTTCGCACGTATACGCAAATATATAGCAGATAGCGTGCAGTAATTAATATCTAGGTGAGTGGGAGCTTTGCTGAACGCAATGTATCCAATATATTAGATTCAAAACCATGAAAGACTGAAACACATTCCCCTACTCTTGATCCACTCATATCATAAGAGTTGCAGAATCCTTTCTACTCTCCTGCTTAACAACCCTCCGTTTCGTGTCGGCCTCGGATACTGCCAGATTCATCCCCCTACCCGTCGTCTGAATATCCCCCTTTTCACTTGCTCGACAAGACCTGTCCGGTCGACTTCGACGATCAGTCGCGTTCCTGATACCCTGGAGCAATGCAACGGTCTCGGATTCCGACTTCTCGCAATTGAACCTACCATCCACAACCATCTTATGCTCCATACTCCAGTACATATTCCAACGAGTGACAGAAATATTGGGGGTATAGATGCAGGATCTGAAGACGGCTACGCCGAATGAGAGACACGATATCCCGCAGTCGAGACTGCTGTCTGCGAGGAATTCATGCGTGCGCCACAAGAGATGTATCACCCCCATGACAGTCCAGAATCCGGGAGTATGGGGAAGAGGTAGTTGTAGTGGCGAGTGTAGAGCACTGGTGCCACGGCACCAACGTGAGGCTGGGAAAGAGGGAGAAGGGGGAGGGGCAGAAGTTGAATGTTGAAGGCCAGAATTCATAGTCATCGGGGAAGATGAGAGTCGGGTGGTGACGTGGTACATTGAGTGCGTGGTTTTGGTGCGTCAGGATGGGAGGGGTTGGTAGAGAATCTGGATTCGAGGGTTAGGGTAGGGTGGAGGAATTTGGAGATTTAGAGAGGGATGGCTTCGCCTGTAGTGGTGATGGTTAGGGAGGTGATGTTGCAGGCTAAGATGGGCGGACGCATTCGTAGAATGTGGAAGTGCCAATTTTAGTTGTAGGGATTATGATGGGAAGTCTGAGGGACGGCAAACGGGGTTAGTGGAGATTGGAATGGGGTGATAGAAGACGTGTGAGATGTTGATCACACAACACGTGCAGCGGAAGAGGAGGAGAGCGAGGAAGTCCTAGAGATAGTTATTGTGAAGCCATGTATCCGCCATTGATTTGCTGTTCACATTGACTTAATATGTTGGATTTCCTCAGGATTCATTCCTGGAGGTTGTTCTCTGCGGGGTATTAAGTTGATTTTCGATAATAGGACCTATAAATATCGCGGGATATGTACGGAAGAGTGCAAATTGTATCGCAAACTTTCTCCAAATTGTGTCATTGAAATTGCAGGATAGTGAGTCCGCTCCTCTGCTTGATAAGGGATTAGTGTTTAGGGAACTCTTTCCATCACTTAACGTATAGCTTTAGTTGCTTCGTAGTGTTAACACACCCTCGTTTCTTCGTGCTTGAAAGTTGCAGGTACACCAATTGTCCAGGAGAGTACAAGCCGAGCGGAGATGAAGTGATCGTTGCTGTACATAATTTTCCGTGAATAGGTAGAATAAACTGAAATACTGATCTGCTCCTGTAACCACTTGTACTCTACTCGCCCATCGAGCCATTTTAACAACCTCATTCTAAGTATAGATTTCATAAGTTGGTGATGTATGCTGAGTCCTTGAACAGTCGATGATTTGTTCGAGCTCACTAACTGAGCCCGGTATCGAAAATAAAACGTAGAAACCTTACCAAGAGAAAGTTTCGGAGGTGGAAGAAGCGAATAATCCCCGGGTTGCAGGATGGGGGCATTGGAGTTTTGAAAAGAGTCATGTCCGAGAGCCGATTTGCGTTTTCTCAACAAGACTTCAATATTAAGCAGTAGGAAGAAGAAAATGAATGCTAAACCCAGAATATACATGTGAAGAAAGGGAAGAGATGCCCTCCTACCATGATCATTTTGGATTTTGTTAAGTCAGGGAGTGAATGCTAAGTAGAAGCCGAAAGTGAAAGTAAAACATTGAAAAGAAAGGGTATAGTAGGGTAAGAAGTCAGACATATTTTGACAGGCATTTCTTTCGCTCCTGGAAATAGTGTCTTCTGTTACTGTGGTGTGCCTTTATTAATACACGGTCGTAGTACTTCAATCGTGGGATAGCAATATCCCTTATAGCTCTTTCTTTAGGGTATAATTGACTCCTAACTTCTAAATGCCTGGAGACTTTAGTCCGCCAGATATAGGATACGAGAATGCTCGAATCCTTCAATATGTATTATTGAAGCTTTAGCACAAGACATAAAATAGTCCGATGCGTAAAAGAGCGTGGGCCATAGGTGGACTGGAAGGTAACAAGTTGAGATTGCGCTCAGCACTAGGGGTCCCGACCCAGCACTAGCTCTCTTCCCCACCTCATACCTCTTCTAAGGTTCTGCTGATTTCTAACCCATCTTCTACCATAAAATTACTCGCTATATGGATGAATGCGCAAGCTTTCAGCTACCAGCAAACAGACCCTGTGAGGATTTTGACCCTGTACTACAACGTCTATAGTAGCTACCCCCATCCGACTTTTAGCTCCATATCCCTCGACCCTGTGCTCTGGCACCTCATCTTCACTGCGTTCAAAAGCGCACAACAAATGCAGTACACGCAACAAGAACGGATACGTTCTGCCTACTTTCACACACGCCACCATATGATGCTTACCAACTAATTCCTACCATTGAGGTGATACCAATGCACACATTGTCACCTTGCCAAACACTACCCTACAGATTCCACTTCGATCCCTTTTGTAATCTAACTTTTCATATCCAACATACCTCACAACGCGTAGATGCGAGCTTCAGCATTTCGTGCGACCTAGCGGTCATCCAGAACTTGGATTGCAATCGAGGATCCCTGGTTCAGAACAATAGGGCTAGAATAAGGTCTAAATAGTATCAAAACCCCGCATAGATTAACCCTCGTTTGATTCGCTCTCCCAGAGGGTAGGTATGAAACCTCCAGGCCGGCGCGGACAGATAGTCAAGGCCAAGTAAGCACCTGCTAAACCATCGCTGATTATGAATCTCCCATATAGTTAATCAACTCATACACACATGTGAATCGGACGTTTGCGTTTAATGTCTGCCGCTTATTACAGCGACGATCATCTAAAAAGGCGACCATGGCTAGAGCGGTGGGCATCTTCTGCTCGGCCTCGCAAAACTACGGACTCCAAAGCCAATTTTTCGCTCCTTTTTCTGTTCCTTTCAGCCTAGTTGGCACAAGCGGTCAATATCCTATCCTCTCTGCCATATCTTATCAACCAGGAATACGACTTCATAATTGCAGGTGATGGCACAGCTATATGTTGTTTAGCTGAACTTCAACGAGAATATTGATTAAATTCACCCCAGGCGAGCGTGCTCGCCTCGAGACTGCCAGCAAATCCAAACGTCACCGTTCTAGTTGTTGAGGCGGGAGGAGAGTATGCTGTTCGACAGGCTCCTAATTCTCCAAACTTCTAATCGAAGTGGCCTTTTAGTAACCGAGCCTATACGGACTCAATCGCACCCTTTTCTGCTTCCGGACTAGCCAACAGTGGAGCAGGCTGGAAATGGACTACTATCCCTCAGCCAGGCTTTTCCAACCGGTCCGTCGAATTTGAACGTGGGTATGTGTTGGGTGGAAGCAGCAGCAATAGTGAGTGGTGCTCCTATTCCCTTGCAGTAGGATTAAAAAGTCGCCAGCCCCGTCCCAGACTATAAGGCCTCCAATCTCAGATCCAATGATGTCTACGACAAATAGGTCAATTTGACCGTAGATCCTAGTTAGTCTTGGTTAGCAGTTGAGGGGCACTATTCCAAGAGCTCCCGAATGGTTCCTCCAGTCAATGGACACAACAATTCTGAGCAACTCATTCCCTCCGCTCATGGGAATGGGCCTGTTGAAGTCAGTGTTGCAGGTAAGCGAAGCAGGACTGCTGTTGCATATTTGAACCCTCTAATAATTCGAGTCGAACTAACATAGACATTCTCATCCACACTCAAGTGATGACACTCCTTCAGAGTGGGTTTTCTAATGGCCTTCCTGAGCCCAAATCCGTGGTCCTTGGTCAGCCCGGAACAAGTGATATTTCTAATCTAGCGTACTACATTTTAGCCGCATACACCATGAAACATGCTGCGGTCTAAGTCATAATAGAATTCTGCACCTTCCACATATCCTACGTACTTTTAGCGCCTGGCATAAAAAGATCAAAGGACCCCTAGTTATGCTCCGGAGTAGAAGCTAGTATGGTATAACTTGGTTCATTGCAAGCACTGACACCTGCAGCATTCAGCAAGTTGTTTCCTCTAGGAATACTCTCAGCGGGAGTTATTGGCGCCTCAAATTTTTTGCAACTCTCTGGAATCGGGCCAAGAGACCCTCTCCTTCAGGTGGGAGTTGATACAATCGTTGAGCTTGGTAGAGTTGGGAAAGATCTTACAGATCACCCATTTTCCATTGTGTACTTTTCTGTAAAATAGAACACAACGATGGATGCGATACTTCGAAACACGACTCTCTTCGCTGAAGACCTACAACGCTGGAACAAACCCTGACAGGACCGCTTGTTGACAGCGCTGGCAACCCTCTAGCATTCTTACGGCTGCCTACGACTGTTTAATGATTCTGCAATCTTTCAAGATGTTTTAGATCCTTCTAATATCCCACTCTCGGGTCGCACTGTTACTTTTTGGCGTAAGCTCTTTCATATAATTTCTTATTGTTTCCGATTGGTTCTGAATTGGCTGATCTCATTGTGGGAAGGGTTTTTACCATTCCGATTGATTTCTCTTCCGAAATCAGATAACTACCTTACTGTTTTAGTTGCATTGGTGTCTCCTACTTCTCGTTAGTCTCACCAAAAGGTGACCTTAGCAACCCTCACTAACAATGCGTAGGCGGGGAAGTGACACTAAATCCTTGAATCCGTTTGCCGAGCCTGTAATCAATCCCAATTACTTGACGACCGATTTCGACACTTTCGCGATCGTCCAGGTCATGAAGAACGCGCTTGTGTTCTTGAAGAATGGAATCTTCGCAGACTATGTTGCTGCACCATACAGTCCCCTGGCAGACCTCACAACAGATGAGGAATTTCTCAACTACACCGAAAATGGTGGTATAATGATCGATCATGAAGTTGGAACGTCGAGAATGTCCCCTTCTAATGCAAGCTGGGGCGTGGTTGACCGAAAATTGCTAGTGAAAGGTACATCGGGGCTGAGAATCGTTAATGCTTCAATCTTTGTGAGTCTGGCCACTCAGCAGAGCTGTGATCATGGTGAGACTGATACATTGAATTTAGCCCTCTATTCCAGAATGTCACACTCAAGATCCGACTTATATCGTTGCCGAGAAGGGTGCTACTATGATTATAGCTGCCCATAGACTGCGATTTAAGGGTGATAGGACGGATGGGAGTGGGTGAACGAAGTAGGCGAGAAAGCATTCACCCCATCCCTTTCATTCACTCGCTTCGTATTTTATCCAGATTCTATTCGCATACTAGCACATGCGACTGGCCATGATAAGGATCTAATGCAAGACAAAAATTCATTTCCTGTTTATGCTCGTGCGAATTTCAATTTAAGAGTTTGTATGTCCTAGTGGACGTGGCCGTGAAGAATGTTCCCGCGAGCTGTTTAAACCTCCCCTTTCCGTGTCCCGACGTGGATACTAATATACTTGATAGCTGTACTAGGGGGCCTTTAACGTTATTCTTGTTCTTATGCATTGCTCTTATTCCGTTATCACTGTGCTATTTCATCTAACGTATTCCACCAGTCATCCGCCCACCCTAAAACTCACCAAAAATGACCAAAAATGCACCTTACGATCTCCACAACGGCGAAGCAAGAGGTTCTAGAATTCTAGAACCAGCTTCCTATGCGTCTTCTAAGACTTGTATTAGAATTTTAGACTCTAAACATTAGGTATTGTTAAGTTATTTAGTTTTCGTTAATTATGGGGCTAAATCACGAGTAAATTACTCTACATATTTTCTCTACATGCCTATAATCTACTCTAGAGTTAAATAAAAGACTAGATTAATATTGAAGAAGCGTTCTTTCAAGCTGTGGTTAAGACCTGAGGGTTTAATTTTCGTCATTTTTGGTGGTTTCTGAGGGGGCGGATGACTGGTGGAATACGTTTAAGGATGATCACCGCATGAGCTTCCTGAAAGGCCTGTTTGGTAAGGCCTATCGGTTTTAGAAACACTCATGGCGAACCTTTCGCGACAAGTGGGCGGTGGCCAACTCTGAGTCCAAGCGGAAACAACATTTCGTATCGTTTCTGCCGCTAAGTCGTGAACTGGTCACTGCGGGACGCGGCAATGACCGTTCCGCACGTTCCAACGTCGTTACAGTACAACGCATGTTAAAGTAATCGGCCCGAGAGAAAGAACAAGGATCCACAAGCAGGGAAGGACGCTGATCACTTATTGAATATCCCCGAAATTTTCCCTGAAACTGCAAGCTGACAAAAACCTGCCGCTGCAGCTTCGCAGCATCTTATTGGGCTGAGAATAAGATGGTGGTTGAACTTTACCTTCCACACGTTCGGGGCTCAGGGACAAGGCAACAAAAGTCAAGGAAAGGCTCGTTTCAATCACGGAGGAACTGCTTGGCAACTTCATTGGTTTGTGTGGACCTTTGCAGGACCCTGCGCCTACCACTGTTCTTCGGACTATGTACATGCACACCATCGACACTAGCAGAGACCCTGGTTGTGGCAGGCCGCTTTCCTCAAGGATCTAGTTCCTGCTCCTCGGAGTGAACTGCAGTTGGAGAGGAGGAAGTGTTACTGTAAACGTATCCAGGACTTCCTTATCGAAGGCCACCCCGGTCTCCCCAGGAGCGAAAGAAACGTCAAAATTTTGGACAATTGAGGAAAGAGAGGTGCGCAGACTTAGCTGAGCAAGATTCTTGCCAGGACAACTGTAAGCACCTGAGAAAATGTTAGCTTCCAGACACAGGTGGTGTAGAGTAGCACTCGTCAACATACCTAGCGAAAATGGTAGATAAGGTGCCTTCTCAGTTCCCATTTCCTCCCGCTTCTCCCCGAACCGTTCCGGAACGAATTCCTCAGCTTGCTGCCACCATCGAGGGTCTCGGTGGATCAACTGAATGGGTACTAGGACGTTTGTCTTGCCAGGAATGTGCACCTCATCTACTCGGATACCCTGCGCCGGTGTTTCTCGGGGTCCGCCATTCAGTAGTGCTGGCCTCAGTCGCAGGGTCTCACTGATGAAATCGTCAATGTAGGTGACCGACTTTACTTTTTCGTAATTCCAGTCGCTGTATCCTGCTGGCATGGCCTTGTCGACGAGTCTCTGGAGTTTCTTCTGCTTCTCTGGATACTTGGCTAGATAGAAGAGGATACCTGCCAATGTCGTTGCAGTTGTCTCACTAGCACGTATTAATGTATGCACATTGAGTACTCTCTTGGGATCACTTACCTTCCAGCAATGATTACTACTCGGGAATCATCTTCTAAAGCGGCCGGGCTCGGTGAAGCTGAAACGTCTTTGTCTTTGACAGCCTTAAGAAGCCAAGATACAATATCTTGTGGGTACTTATCGCCATCCCAAGTCTGCCATATATCAGCCAAAGACGCCCGGTCGGGTTCATCCCTACAGGAAACTACTAACCTTGTGCTTCTCCCTAATCTGGCCAGCGCAAAAGGAAAAAAACTCTGAATAACCTGCAGCTGCTCCTGGAATTGAGCTGAGAAGGTTCAGCAACCAGGGGACGGTGCTCATTATCCCAAGCATGGTCATATGGGCATGAACTCCCTGAATTGCAGGGTGTTCCACACCGCTGACGAGGTTGTTGAAATCCTTTCCAAACCCGACTTCACCCATAACATCAAAGCTGAAGAACATGGCCCATGCTGACACATCTAAAGGTTTTCCTGCGTTTTTTCGCAACTGACTCATGAAGAGGTCTGCCTTTCCTTTGATTCGGGGCTCATACGTGGCCAGCGCTGACTGGTATTAGGATCTAAGGCGATGTTAATGTAGGGATGCACACCTTTGATGGAAAAACCCCTATCCCACGCTCTTCGTCGCAGGCGATGGTCGTTGTAGTCGCGCGTCATATGAATGGAACATTTCTTTGGGTCGTTCCCCGTTTGGCCGTACCACGTTGATTTCCGACACTCTGAGTTCGGCCCATATATGAGAGGCACAGCTGATTGGCGGAGAACGCTAATTTCTCGAGGGCCTATGCTATATGAGCAGCTGGCTGCGTAAAGCATGTGAGTGACTTCAACTCACCAGTTCGAACAAAGTCGCCGTACTTTTCATGCATCTTGGCAACCTCCTTGTAGTACTGCACATCCTTCGCAGACAATCTGGCGGCGTAGAATCGGGTAAGCTTTGCCCCAAGCGGCCCTGGGAATTTTCGGCAACGGTGGAATATCAGACGATAAATGCCAATGCTCGTGAGAAGACCGGTATTAAAGCTGCTGGCAAAGAGCAATGCTTTCGTCAAGGCTCCGAAGATGTTATATTCCCCCACCTCCACGAAGGCATATATCATCGCAAAGAAGGAAATGATGGAGACCGCCATGAAATGGTACATTATGAACTCGAACTCGATTTTGCGAATCGACAGGTGGAAAAGAACTCCAAGCAGGGCCGCTGTTCCAACTGTGTGAGAGACATCAGCCTGAGCGACACCTTTGGTCGTCTGTAGGATGGAATCCATGGTAGTTTGAAGAGATCTCCAATCTTGCACAAAGGTCAAGGAGGACAAGCAGAAGAGATGCGATAAGAGAATGTTGTTTGAGAGTTCTCAATCCGTGGCCTCTAGAGTGGCCGAGGACCTTTGTAATAGGCAATGAATTGTCGATCAACCCTTTCGAATTACAATTGACCCACTCCAATTCGTGCGAGTCAGGCTGCACCCACTCCTCCCTTTGAGCCTCGTCCCTTTCCAGAATAGTCCGCATTACCCGCATTCCTCGCCGTCCTTTGCACGTTCTTCCATTGCCGCCATTGGCCGTGGTCATGTTCTCCGCCGTTGGGAATCCTTTCTTAGCGGTACGCGGACACGGACCCCCGGCCGAAGGATTTAGCGTTTGTAACCGACCAGGATTAAATATGCACGGGATAACGGGAAAGCCCTTTTATCCCTGTTGCCGCGTATCTCAGAAGATTAATATCCAGATTTCGAAATCCTATTAGGTCTATAAGGTGTACAAGCGGGTACAGAGTAAGTACAAAGATGTTCTATGGTTAGTGCTAACAGATTCCTATCTTCCTTCTGAACAATTTTTAGGTCTCTGGTAACCTTCTTGCGGCGGTTTCGGTGCAGACTTCCCAAAGGAATCCAGTCAACAATAGCACGTCTCAAGATTCCTGCATCCTGGTTCTGCCATTAAAGCCTCTTTTTTGTGGGGATATCAGGAGCAGTGAACCATTCCGTCGGGCTCTCATCTCGCCGAGTGGCTGAAAGAGGCACCGATCAGCGATCCTTCCGCTAAAATTGTGGGCACAGTTTGTTTTGAGTCTGGCGTGTGTCCAGCAATTCCCCGCTGGGACTTGGCTACGCAAGCTTCAAGGATGAATGTGGGGAGGAAAGTTGTCATCCTTTTCCAGGACCCTCCTTGTTTGTCACACCATGAGCACTTGACGGCCCGCGCCATTAACTCCAACGTCGCAGTGAGGCAAATTGGGACCGAAACTTTCAGCTCCATGTGGCTCACTATCAAATTAGCTAACAGTTTTGACAGTTTTGACAGTTTTGACAGGTTTGATCACTCTAATACCCAGCAGTTCCCCACTTGTCCTTGAGAAACGGGTTTTCCAAGCCCCTGCCACGCCTCATCCTTGCATCTTTAGGAGGGACCCGTGTGGACCTGCCGAGCTTCCTCTGAAAGGGAAAGAATCGTCCGGGATGGAGCGTCGGCCTGAAGGAGACTCCTTGCATACAGACCGCCATGCCATTTGGAGACCCTGAGCGTTCCATTCATTGACACCAAAAGGTCCGAATCGGTCAATGGGTACAATTGCCAGCAGCCAATGGAAATACGCTCGTGGGTTTCAGGAGGCGTTGGGCTCAGTGTTCGGCCATGGAGAAGGATGCCCTGCGTGGGAAGAACCAAGCTAAGGAGGAGCTGGGATGAAGCCGCTAGGAATATATTCGCAGAATATCTCTTCTGTGTGAACGTTTTTGTTTTCCTTCTCCTCGCCGCCGCCTCAAGTTATTAGGAGCAAGATCATTTCCTAGGTTTCCACAATGGGTTTGTCCACTTTGCAGCCGCTTGCTTATGCCGTTGCCTATGTTACGTTCTTTTTCGGCACTGCTTCTATCTTTCTGAGGTTCTACTGTCGCATTTTTATTCTAAAGACATGGGGCTTGGATGATTGGGTGGGTGTGGCTGTGCTGGTACGGACGTCCTCACTGCGAAAATATATCTTCCGTACTGGAGCTAATATTGTGGTATTTAGGTTTTTAATACCGGCCAGCAAGCTATTTTGCACATGTTTTTGTACTGGGGATGCGGACTGTAAGTGTATACAACTTTTCCCATCTCAAGCAGACCATTTCTAATTAAACCTAAAGACACATCACTGAACTGAGCCAAAATCAAATCCTCCAAATCCTCAAGGTAACTTTTGATCCGAAACGACTGAGGTGAATCCCCTAAGAATTACTAGTGGCTGTTTATTGAAGAGGTGTTCTATTATACGGTGCATTTTGTTATTAAGATGGCCTTCCTATTCTTCTACCTCCGTTTGTCGCCCAACAAGTTTTTCCGAGGCCTGGTATATGCTGGAATGGGCTTAAATGCAAGTATTTTTATCACCAACATGTAAGCCTCACATACCCTCAATGATGACTTATTTTGGCCTGACTCGTGTGTAGACTTATGGCATGCTTTCAATGCCTTCCATTTGACGAGATCCTTCATCCTGGCACGCATCCAGATGCTGTTTGCATCAGTACGTAACCCCGGGGTACAAACTCCACGGCCTGTTGCAAAGTCTATGAGATGGCACGCAAGTGGCGTTTTCAAGACGCTGCACGGATAAGGCAGTCGTGCCAAACTCTTTTTCTTTAAAGAAGTGTGCTGACGTTGTTCCCCCGACTTCAGACAAGCTAGTTCTTCTCATCGTCCCGTCAATTCTGGTAAGACCACCCCTCACCCATCCTTGCCCTAATCCATTTCTATTACGATGCACCCAAAGCTATAAACCCCAATGCTTCCCTCTACATGAACTCGTTTCTAATAACCACACAGAACATCCTAGAAGATCTCTACATCCTCATCCTCCCGATCTCCACAGTCTGGAATCTCCAAATGTCCCTGCGACGCAAAATTGCCGTTCTCTGCGTCATCGGGTTCGGCGCCTGCGCCGTCATCATCGCATGCTTCCGCCTCATCCCTCTTTTCGAATTAAACAGCTCACCAGATACGTCCTTCGTCCTTGGTAAAATGGTTATTGTCGCTGCCCTCGAGATCCAATTCGCCGTAATCGCTGTAAACCTCCCCTCGCTCAAGGCACTCTGGTTGCGTATCACTGGTGGAAGCTCATCAGGCTCTGGGCCGGGGTACTCGGATCAAAAGGGCTATAAATTATCGTCCATGGAGCGAAAAGCGGGCAATGGATCCGGGATGGGTCGGTCTGGGAGGAATGGGAAGAGTAAGGGATCGAGAGGAAGTATCACGCGTTTGGAGCGCGGGATCACGAGTACTGAGTCTGAGGAAGAGCTGTTTAGACAGGGCGGGACGGCATTGAATATCCCCACCCAGGGGAGTAAGATGGACGCTAATGCTATTAAGGTTACGACCGATGTTAAGATCAGGAGTACGGGGAGACAGGATGAGGACGTGCCCCAGTCGACGCATTTCCTTGGTGGTCATTAGACTGTCCGGAGCGTTGACCAGAAAAGATGTGGAAAAGCTGAAGCATATACATGTGTGCTTTGTGTACAAAATATAGCCTATAGAAGGGAGAAGATATCAGAATTAGATACCTCCCAATGTCAAATTGAGCCAGTCTATGAAAATATCTTCTCCTTCCATGAAAACTGAGCATTGTTTCTGCTTCTTATCTCTTTCACTATCAACTGCACTAGCACCCATCCCATTAAATCCGTTATTCCCCCGCTCTAAATACCTCCACTCTTCTCCTCTCTCTTCAAGTTCTCTACTTCTACTTCGCCCACGCCCTTTGCATCTCCAACACTCTATCGCACACCCTCTCCCCATTTTCCTTCTCCCTCTTCCTCCTCTCCTTCGTCTCCTTGCGTAATTCTTCCCACCGTCGAACAACCTCCTCTTTCCAAAGATCCCGCCATTCCTGCCGCTTAAGCTCCTTGTCCTTCGCCATCGCAGCCAGAAGTTCCGGGTCGGTATTGTTAAGTCGGACACTGCAAATAGGCCAACCCCAGGCACTGAAGAATTGGAGGTAGGAGGCGGCGGCTTTATTCTCAATGACGTAGGGTTGTTCGGGGGATTTTGCGTGGGGAATTAGGACGAGGTAGGGCATTTTCGGCTGCCGTTAGCCGGTTTCTTGAGGCTTAGAGGTAGATTTGCAGCGTTGGAGAATTGGCGTAGCGGTGTGGGGAGGTCGTTTAACTATATTCTGATTGGCTTTTGGAAGGTAAGTCGTCGTTGGATTTGGGAGTGAGGGGCTCTGCAATGATAACGAGCGATACCTTCCCAGAGGGAGTGGGATTAATGAAATATTGTAGTATCACTCAGTGCTCAAGCGGTCTTGGAACCCATCTACAAACTCGGTTTTTGTGTGGGTGTCAAAGCGAATAAATCTCTGCGCAGCCTAGTGGAGCTTGTGGGTAGATGAAGTCTGTAGTGAGGTGTCGTTAGAGCCGTGGTCGATCTGCGAATGGGGACGGTAAGGTTGTGTGGAGAATGGGGAAACCTTGACTTAGTAGAGTGAAGTTGCTATAGAATTTACGTTTGCAGGGAGGGATATGGCGGTGAAAACCGCCAGTAACTGGTAACGCTGTAAGGCGGGAGTCGGGATTGCGTTGGTGGCATGGCTTAGAATGGCAAGAGTGTGAAAAGGCAATAAGAGATATTCACCTCTTGTCTAGGTTTCTGTACGATCATTTGTGTAGGAGGATTGTAATGTGATTGATGATGGACTTGCATACTGTCATCGTCCCGGAAAGGATGATATCCATCCACCAAACCCATTTACCAAAACACGGCCAAGAGATGTGAGCGGAATTTTGTCATCCAAACTATAAGAAATTCATTGAGTTGTAGAATTTTCTTTTAAATATTGAAGGCTGAGAGGAGGGAGGAGCAAGTGTCGTAGTCGCCAGCAAATTATTATTATGTGCAGTTGCCAATCATGAGATGATATGCAAAAAAGGAAAAAAGAAATGGATATACTACGCCGTTTGATGCATACTGGCCGTTCAATGCATACTGACCGTTCAATGCACGATGAAAATTCCAAGCGACATAGATTCGTGAACCCAATGGGGCAAGAGATATAGGAAAAGACGACAACAAGTGGTAAATGTCCAACCCAAGCTTCACCTGCGCTAATTAGCCCAAAACAACTTCAATAAGTTCTTTCTCAGCAGCATCCCATGCACTCTTCAAGACTCGACCTACGGCTTTCCGATATGCTACCTTACCTTTCCATTCGATCCACATCACGCTATAGAACTTATAGAGTCGGCCATTTCTCGGTCTATTAGGATGATTCCATTCTTCAAGTACTGCTGCTTCGCTCCGAGAGTTTTCTGCGACTCCCTTGGATATCGCGATCAGCTCCCAGCGAGTGTTCGACTTCAATTCAGGAACAATGTCGCGTCGTCGGTGATTGAGTCGAAGTGCACCAGCCCACGCTCCCTTTTGGTCGAGAATTTCGATAGATAAGCACTTGTGAGGAGCCCAACAGCGCTCGCCCATTTTGAAGAATGCTCTGTATGTTTCGCAAGCTATATATCTGGGTTGCAGTGTTGGGGATGCATTTATTGGGGTATCAGCCATCGGAACTGGATAGTTGAAAGTCGTATCAGGGTCGGAAGAGTGATAGTAATGGCACTCGTACTTCTCGCCCGAAGATGATCGTTCCTGTCGGTGCCACCCATCCGGGAGCTCGCTATATCGGTCATTTATAAGAGAGCGAAATTTGTAGGCGGTACTGGAAATCGGCACTTTCGTGTTCTTGTCATCAACAAAGTGCCACCGCACAATAGGTCGGATCTTAAGTGAAGTTTTCGGCCATCTCCAAACACCTCGGCCACTCCCTTCCTTCTCACGAACGTAATCATATAAGCCTGCCCAGAAATTGAGATCAAGGTGTCCTTTCCATCCCATCCAAGACCAGCTGGGTAGCACATCTCCGTTACCAGAGTCTAGATCCACTTTCCGTCGCTTTAGAAGACAGAGAGGTTGCCAAAGGAGAGTAAGATCGAAGAACTGTGCTGGTAGCCCATACAAAAAGCCGCCTTGAAACGTGGTAGACAAAGCGGAGGTAATACCAGCGAATGCCGGAACTGTATCGGAAGTCGACGTCAGATTTCTCTTGTTGTATTCCTTCACCAGTTGGTGATACTCTCCCAGATCTGGCAAAGAGCAGTACCGGAACTTCTGAGTTTGTGGAAAGAAAATCTCCTGGTTGGGTTGAGCGGAGGTAGTTTGCACAGGATACGAGTCCTCCCATATCGTAGAATGACATTGCCATGTTATCCTTCCGTTGAAAAAGAAGATTACACGCTTGGAGAAGACCAGTTCTTGGAGCGTCCAACCTCTTTTGTTCCATTCGGACCTTTCCAGAAGATCATGGTGAATGTCTTGCACCCGGTGATCAGTATCATGTCGAGGTACGCGAGGTTTCCGGTTGCTCTTCAACGTGATGTTCCCTGATTCGTGTAGTCCCCAGTCTGCAGAGTTTCCCCCTGCAGCTGCGAAAGTGACAATCGAGTTGGCAAATATGCTTGCTATATTGTTGATCTGTGGATGTTTCGTCGCATCATTGTCTTGAACCATGCACAACTGATCCACCCAAAGGTATCGTTCTCCTATTAATCTTGCGAAGTTCATGGCCTGCCGGATTGTCCTTGGTATGACGAAAACGCAATTCTGTTCACGCAGTACGCCAGGTCTCTGCAACAGCCTGAGGTTATCCTTCATCAATTGCAGAGACCGAACTTGTCCGCATACATAACTGAGGGTAACATATCGCTCGGATTTGCTGGCCTGTACGATGCAGTCATCTTCCACGTCAATAAGCCACATTGGCCAATAGTCGGATATGGTCTTTAACCCTTGGGAGCTGCAGTCGTGGTTGAGGTTGCACTCTCGAAGCCAGCTTTTAATAATGTCCAGGTCAGAAAATGCCGTGCCTGGGCCTTTAAAATCGATACTCTTACACTTCGTTGTGTGATCGAACTCATATGCGATCTTAGACTTTTGGGCAGGTGCAGTGAATCGACGTGGAAGTGGATATACATGGTGACCTTGTTCTGGCGTCTTCGGCGGCGATGGTGGGTACGCGTTATTTGTAGGCTGTAGCGCGCTGTATCGAAAAACTGGGGGAGGAATATCGGTTTGGCGTTTCCTTGGAGAAGGTCTATAGGAAGACCGATAAGTACCAGGGACTAGCCTCTTCCTCGGGGAATGATGGAAGCAGAGCTGGATGTTCCCCTCATCGTCAACGGCCCACGACCAGTCTAGCGGCACAACATCAGAAGCATTTTCGGAGTCCCGGGAAGCACTAGGCATTCTGAATTGGATATTTTTGACGATGTGAGGCACTTCACAGCGAGATGGCTCAGAATTGCAATTTTTTTTTCATATTTTGGAGGAGGTTGGGACATCGGACAAGATTCTTAGCCACACCACGGATCGCTTAAATGGCGGTCTGTCTGGTCTGCTGTACCGTATCCGGTTAGCGAACCCATGGTCTGATGGTTCTTTTGAAGGATGATTCAACTGAGGATTGCTCTCACGATGAGACAATTAGAACAGAAAGCCGATATATTTTCGCTTTGGTTAACGGGTTTTCACGTTCGTAATGCTCCAGGCAATCGCGTCGTTCGACTCTGAAATTCCCAAAAGGTCCGCGGACGAGGATCTGAATCCTTCGGGTAACGCGTGCATCACACGATTGCCTCTCGAAGCATCTTCCTCTTGCCCTTTCCTCAACTAACCTCCTGCATCGTTCTTTATTCTTACATTCATTTATCCAAGCCCTTTCACTATCTCGTGTCATGAAGCTTTCTATCGTCCTCACTAGGGCACTTGCCGCCACTACTATGGCCGCTCCCTATTCCAGGTGCGTGGTCAACGGAAGAGTCGTTGATTGCAACAAAATGGCCAAAAGTAAGTATCGCAACGTCTTTTAATCTTCTTCGATCGTTCGTCGTCCGACGCTTCCGGGTATGGCACGCGATACTACATCGCAATGTCGAGTAACCAGCGCGACGGCATATTTGGAGACTAGCAGCGAAATAGGCTTGGAACGTTATGCCGAAAAATACTACAAAGCGCGTCCAGAGGAAGTCGCGAAGCTGAACGGTCAAAAGAAGATGATGGAAAATACAGGGGCGAAGGCATAACATGGGTGGTAATTGAGAGGAGAGCGAGGATTAAAGGACCTGTGATTGGTGGTTGCGATGACGACATGGCTAAGAATTGAAGGATGGCTTCTTGCAACTCGACACCGCTAGCTATGGCATAATGAAAACATGATAGAAATCTCTGTCTGGCATCTGCACACATTCCCGGCCTAGTTCCTGGACTTGACTGATGCTGCTTCCTTTAGCGTTGTTGCCCGGCTATTAAGACTATTAAGCGTGGGCAGAATTCCACCCGAGCCGCGTCGACAGCCTCATCTAGAAACACCCAAACACACGACATTGTTTCGCTGAGATGATTGAGAATTGTCATCATGTTACTTTGACGCCATGTTTCGGCATTAAGTATTGCCCATTTAACTTCCTCCTTTCCTCATGTTCTCCTCTTTGAGAAGCATGGAGCGCTCCTGTCCCTATTTCTTGCTCTTTATCGGCATTTGTTGCCTAATACATGTGTTTCGTATGTTCATCGTGCTAAAAGGCGTTAATCTCAATTCCAACAGATAGAAAACAATGTGGCAGTGCAGCTCCTTCAGACTTTCTATTCCCTGGCACACGTTGTCCAAGTTTCGCCGAACCGGGCACATATCTCATGTTTCCTTTTAGCCTTTATGTCTCGTCTCCTCAGTCGGTAACGACGAACCCTTCAAATGGAGAAGCTATCAACCCAAAGGAATATGCGCCGATGTCTATCTAGATGTTGCACCGCGATTCGCTCGCTTCGTTTCGAGTTTATTTCCCGGTTGAGATGATATGTACCCCAGAACGCCACTCTTTCCTCGGCATGATTATTAACATGGGTAGCGGAATCATACCCTGTTTGTTTTACATCGCAAGACTACAGTTAGATTGGGTGCGACGGATGAAAGGGCGAAGGGTATAGCTAGCGGCGAAACAGTACCACCTTCTCCACAAAAGAAATATAAGATTTACCTGGCATAGTTTAATTCTGCCTAAAGACAGAAGGCTTCCTCGGTTCTCCCAATTCTTTATATGCACCTGTGGCCGCTACCCAGACATGGCTATCGAGCATCTTGAGCACAGATCCGAACTTCAAACACAATTTCAGAAACTCGTCGATCAATCAGCACAATGAAGGTCACTGCTGCCGCTGCCATCTCCCTTGCTAGTCTCGTTGCCGCCAGCCCAGTTGAAATCACTGAGAGGCAGTCATGCCCCAAGGTTCACATTTTTGGCGCTCGTGAGACCACAGCTCCCGCTGGGTACGGCACTGCTGGCGGTCTCGTTAACCAGTGCCTCTCTGCCTTCTCTGGATCTACCGCGGAGGCGATTGTCTACCCCGCTTGCGGAGGACAGTCATCATGCGGAGGCGCAAGCTACGATAGCTCTGCTACCCAGGGTACCACGGCTGTTGTCAATGCAGTCACTGCCTTCAACAAGAAGTGCCCAGACACTCAGATCATCCTTATCGGCTACTCTCAGGTAGGTCACCCTCTGTATCAAATGGACCTCTTGCTAACATTTTCCAGGGTGGCCAAATCATGGACAATGCTATGTGCGGAGGGGCTGGCGCCACGCTCTCCGGCGCCGCAGCAGATGCCGTCAAAGTAGGCATCTACATGGGCGACCCACATAACCGTGCCGGTCTGCCATATAACGTTGGTACCTGCAAGAACCAAGGCGTATGCTATTTCAATGTTCCGTTGTGTATTAAGATACTAATAAGTGAAAAACAGTTTGCCGCCCGTCCCGCTGGCTTCACCTGCTCTGTAGCATCCAAGATCCAGTCGTACTGCGACTCAACTGACCCATACTGCTGCAACGGCAACGATGCCAACTCTCACCAGCAGTACGTTAACAAGTATGGCTCGCAGGCTATGGCTTTCATCAAGAGCAAGATCACTGCTTAAGGGAGCACTTGAGCGAAACGCGAGGTGTGCACTGGTCCAAATTTTGTAGATTTTTTGTAACTACATCCCTTCCATCTAGCGTAAATACTTGAATGTGACAACATCAGCCGTTGTCTCTGGGTGTAGAGTGTGACCACCTCTCAGTCCACAGATATCGGGCAAGCTTCGAGAAAGGAGGTCACGTGCATACTTCGAGAGGTTTTCTGCCAGATTGCATCTTAAAACTATAGCTTTTTGAAATCTCCTCGGAGATGCAAAGGACCACCCAGCCTTTCGAATCTTACGTGGGATTTGCTGATGCCTATATCAGATACATCACGTGAATTTCGTTCCTCTGAGGGCAGGCATCTGCCTTTAGCTTCCATCGAGCCACTTCCCTGCTAACTGCTTCATCCATTTCACCAGCATTTCCTCTGACTCAACCTTGGAAGCCGTGAAAGCTATATCACAGGACATTCACAATGCCTGCAGGCGATTGGCTTCCTTCCTCGGTAGCTTGGGGCTGAAGTAAAAAAAAAAAAGCACCCGGCATCGCTGACTCCAACCTTTACAAGACACAAACCCTTGGGGTCAACACACCTGGCCCCATCACAGCGCGGACACATTATGGTAGACAATGTATCTCTACTGAGCCTTCCCCTGGACTCTGGGACCAGAAATGCACTCCTACGGCTGCCAGGTGAGCTGCGCAACCAAATATACCGCTTCGTAATTCCCGGCAGCATCTGTGTCATCTCCTGGGATACAGATGTCGAAAACCTCCAAAAGTTGCTCCCAGGCATCTGCAAGACGAGTCGACAAATGCATGATGAGACAATTCCGATCTTCTTCCAGAACATCGTCTGGCTCCTTCCGCATTCGAAATACGTCTGGCCATTCGCACAGTTCCTATATTCATTTCCGAATGGCATAGGATTCCAAAACATCCGTTCTGTGGTCCTGCAAGATCTCTCGATTCTCAACACGAAGCTCCTCCGACGTTGCCCGAAGTTGCGAACGTTAGTCTTGGTCTTTGATGGTCCGGAGATAGCTGGTCGTGACCTCATCAAGCGGGGCAGGTGGAAAACGGAAACGATTGCCAAGACATACGATTTGGATCCTATCTTCGACTTGAAGCTGCTCAAGAGGTTGATCCTGGGATTCAAAACCTCTGGAGGCTGGGCCCACCCCGGAGTTTCAACAAACTTAGAAATCGAGACTTCCTTCATGGACGAGATTCAAAGGCGCGAGAGCCAAGCGAAGGTTATGGCATTGCGAAATCTGCCGTGGAATACGGGGCAATGGGTTGAGGAGCTTCTTTTGGACCAGATCACGAACGAGGAAGAGGACTATGTTGAGGATGAGGAGTAATCGGTGAAAATAAAACATGTCCTGATGCTGCGAACGTTCACTACGTGGATGGAGAAACTCTATCACTGAATCGTTGACATTTTTCGCGAGCTAAGAGCTCTGGAAGGCGGAGGAACGAGGAGAGTAGAAGAAACCAGTGAGATTAGCGTATTCCAGAAATGCTTGGAGTTATTCGAGACCACAACCGATTAGAAGAAGACCTGTTATTTTCCTCAGGGAAATTAGAATTTGCAAACCGGGGCTACAACAAAGCTGGGGAAATAAGAGACACCTAAGGGCTAAGTGATAGAAGCGCCCACAATGCATTTTAGGAGAGGTATTTGGCTATGAGAGGGTCTTACCATAATTTGAGTCCATAATGAGCAAACCAAGGGGAAGCGCTGTGCAATATCAAACTGTTCATGTATATACCACCTCTTTTAAGGCCCTTGGTGGATACTTCTAGATGACCACCAAACACATGGTCATCATCGACCCACACTTTCTGTAGCTGTCATCCAGGTTCAAAGCCTGTCACTCATTTGTGAAGAGACAAATGTGGAGTGTTTTGGTAGTCACCCTTATCATAAGATGTAGATGCATCGGCCTGGATGTCATTTTCGCCGAATTGCTCTCGGAACCATTCAATCAGGTGATTCAAGCCGTGGGAGCAATCTCGCAGACCTCCGCTCCCCACCCGAAGTTTTTTCAGTTAACAAAGTTCTAATATACTATTGAAACCGAAACCTAGCTCAAATTCGTCCACTAGGCGACAACCCATGGATAGAGTCTTGGGGTGATGCCGACTTTGGTGAGATTGGGAAAGTCTTGGATCGTTACACCCATGACCTGAGGGCATCCAATCGGCCAGCCAGAAGGATTCATTCCACGTGTAAAGGTAATTGCTCGGAGGCTCGCCGTGATTGTTGCCGCGAACTCGAGACTCAGCATTACAAAATCTCGCTTTAGGTTAGGGAGCTCTGAGAGCCTATAGAGGACAAAGTGCTTTTGCCGATAAATGAAGGTAAAGTCTCTCTATATCGTCCTTTGCTGCATGCATAGATTTTAGGTCGTGCACATACCGTCGAGAACTGCGGAGTTACTCGGTCGCACTGCCTTGGCTTGAGGGTTCGATGGCAGACTCGTAGATCATGATTCGGATTTCTGGAAGAATACGTATCAAACCATTACCGATGGGCGAACCATGGAACTTAATCAATGCGATTTTGCCACAGGAAGCGTGCAGGGCCGTTTTTCTGCTGCAGCTTACGAGTCGAGAAATATCACCGGAAGAGCTGTGGAAAGTCTAATTTCGTTACCGACTATGGCGAGCAGGAACCTCTTCGAGTTGTCCGTGTTTGAAGGCGGGGTGTGCAGAAGTCCTGTGGGAGGGGCGGATGAAGTGACCTCAAACCCTTCCCTTACTAACCTATGCGGGTTCCTTCCTACCTTTAACTTCAGTTCCTGGAGTTCATCAACCTACTTTGAGATATGAGAGGACGTGCGATTCTTAGGGCTCATTAATTACCCAAACTTCATCTAGCTCTGCTGGTTTTTAGCATAATTGCATACTTCCCTTAAGCTGAACATAAAGCGAAACCCTAGAAGCCTCAGAATCGTAGAGATATTTCTTTGTAAGTAAGGCTACCATATTGCTATTATGAGTATGAAAAGATCATAAGCCTCTCAGGTATCCAATTTAATATCAGACCCTGCAGAAAATCCAAATGACACTCCGGCAATGATTAGACTTGAAGTGGAATAGCACCGGAGAGATAATGGTTACTAAACCCAGCCCAGATATTTAAGAGACCAAACACTCCTAGATCTTGGAACGCCAAATTCAGTCCTCATTCCTAGCATCAGCCACAGGCTCATCCTCATTCCCCACGTTCTCCAGAGGAAGACCATAAGGAAAGATCTCCTCAAGTTTCGGACATCGTACCTCAACGAGCCTCATACGGTCAAGGAATTCCATCTCGAACCATTCCTTCAATCCCCAGAATGACTCCACCCCGAAACTTGAACCCGCCATCTGTTCATCATGGACTCTGTCCCTCTCCATTGACGCCACCCTCTTTTGTAGCGCCATGAATGGCTCCAAGTACAATGTCAATACCTCTAGTTGATCCAAGGCAGTAATTTCTTTGAGGTCGTATTTTTCGGCCATATCTTGCATATCAACTTCTCGGCAACCACGAGTATAGGTGAAGGTCAAGTCCTCTAGATGAATGATGAGAGAGATACCCTTGACATTCGGGCAACGACGAACAAGCGCCGCGGCATCGGAAGAGAATGCACTCGTCTCGAACAATCCCAAGCCGGTGAATTCTAGGCTCGTCACCCTTTCATATCCTTGGTTCTCCGGAAACTCGTTCAAGAAGACCATGAGGTTGTAAATCGCGCAATGAGAAGGAATCGCGAAGGTCGTATTCTGAATGAGTACTTGGGTCGCTTCACTGTAGAACCTATTGTTTACCTCGCAGACTTCTGGGTTGCGAATGTCGCGTACATCAGGAACCTCAGTGATTTGGAACTCGGGATCTGAGAGAACGAAGGCGTATATTCTGTCGCGGATGTGGCGATGAAGGTAAAGGAAGGCATTGCCACGGCGGATTGCCCCTAGGTAAGAGACAATAGTTTTGATCTTGAACGTCTTGCATTCCGCCGATAGGGGGGGGCTTGGAAGGCTTGGACGGTAGTCTGAGAGTCTCATACCTTGTTGGAGATCAAGAATAGGGGTGCCGTGGAAATCCAAATTGAGATCCAGGGCTTCTGGAGCTGAAGGGCCAGTCGAAAATACTGCAGAGGAAGGCCCGAGTGAGTGTGACCCCATGCGAAAATATGGATGGGAAGTGGGGCTGTGAGCCAAACTGAGGGGAACCCCGGGTGGAAGATGGTATTTCATTATAGCGATCGGTCTTTGTTGGGCAGATCTTGTGAGTCAAGTCGAATAGGTGAGAAGAGGAAGCAGGTACAAGAAAGACGTTATATATGTATAGAGCTTGATTTCCGCAACATGGGGATCGGTAACCTAGCCGATAGTCAGAAGTGAAATAGAACGAATCGAAGAGTGAAGGTAGTTGAAGACCCCTACACAATCAAAACCTGGTCAATTATGGTGGTCAGGCCATAAAGGTCAGATGCTCGCGTCAAGCATCCCATCGTCGCTCTCAACACACTTCACTTGGTCATTAGACCACTGCACTGGACAAAGGATTTAGGGGAAATTTGCTGTTAGTACTTGGCTATAGATGCCATTTAATCATGACATGGTCTTTCGAGCCGCTTGCTACTAGACTGCAAAGGGCTGAAGTATGAAGCAATTATAGTGAGTAGTGTTATCGAGTATATTCAAGGCAAGTATAACCTTCAAACTAGAGTAAACAAAAATCTTTCTAAATCCATACATTTCATGTCTCTTTTCTGTTCGATAAGCCTGATCTTGGAGATACCCGTAGCAATGACATTATCCACCCACATCCCCGTCTAACTACCAAGATGTGTCCAAATAAATCCCGTTCGCTTTCCGAACAAAGCGACACAAGAAAACCAAGGAATGACGTCTCGGACCACATTTCTATCAGAATCCAAACGATTTAACTAAGATAGTTCCAGCAAGCTGAGAAGCGGTTCTTAGCTCCACTCATACCATTACTAACCTCGGGAGGGCACTTTTAGGGAAAGAAAGGAAGTGGATAAGGCTTCTCAGAAGTGTAGTTACCGGTGATTTCGACACCTTTCCCTATCTTTCGGAATTCGCCAGCGAGCCATTCCTTCAATCCCCAAACGCCGTTGAGCTGCACTTTGTGTACATGCAATTCGGGAAGCTGCTGGATAAAGCCTATTAAGTTGTATATGAATCGGTTCTCGTATTTCAGGCCATCGTGGTATCGAAGATGGAATTTCAAGTCGTTCAAGCTGCTTATCAAGACGAGGGCTTGGAGGTCGTAGAGTTGAATAACCGCTGGAAGGAGACAGTCAAATTCTCGGAAAAGGTGGCTTGTCAATAGGAATTGCTGCAATTCAATGCCGAGCTCTAGCTTAGAGACATTCGGACACCGTTTCAAAAACTGAACCGCTGGGGGATCTGGCGCGCCTTCTTCAAGCCAGTGTGGATCCGCAACCAAGTTCTGCGACATTTCGTCGGGGTACACGTACGCATCCCTCCACCAATCTCTTGCCACAATCCGTGAAACTCGGCGGAACATGTCAAATCTCGCGAAGACGACAGTTCGTATTTGTTTGAATCCATCACACGTCTGCCTTCTTGCGAGCCATGCCGAAATTTGTTTTAACTTTTCCTCAGTCTCGATAACAATTTTAAGATTCCTAATGAAGCATGTCTCGACCTCACAGTACATCTGTCTTGACGCTAACATGAGAGGAGGTGGGCCTGGGTATGGCTTGTCACCAATGAACCGGAAGATCGTAGGGTTGTCGTTGAAGGCAAGCTGGTAGACCTTGTCGCGAACTTCCTGCGGGAGATAGAGAAGAGTGTTTCCATGACGGCGTGCCTTGCGATAGGGTGTCTCACCCAAAATATCATCGTAATCGTAAAGATGAGTGCAGTAGAATTGCTCGCCAGGGAGAGGCTTGGCGTTACCCATGACAGTGATTGGTGTAGAACCGGCGAGAGGAGAAGATGGAGGAGCTTGGGTGGATATAAAGGGAGTAAATTGAGCTGTAAGAGGCTTTATAATAGAGCTAAGACTAGCTTTATCAACTCGCCAAAGGCCCTGGGTTGACCAGTCCCGGTGAAGGACAAAGGGTGAAAGTGTCCTGGCCAAGAAGCATTGTAATTCTTCGCACAATAGCCGCCAAATCTGACGGAGTAACCCTTAATAATTGATGCCTAGAGGTCGTGAACCATTTGGGGCTTCTGTTTGGCCTTGAAGTTCTTGAGACGCTTTCGATAACGGTATCCTTTAGCGGTCAGGACGACGACGAAGACAGGCTCAGTTTAAGCTCGTCTGCGCTCGTCCTGGGGGAAGGGAGGGTGGGATTTCCGAAAACAACTGGGTTCAGAGTAGAGTCAGCGGTAAGAGAGCCAACATCGACGACCATGACAATTTCGATTGACTTCAAGAACGCCATTTAAGCAGTCCCCTATCGAAAAATATGCTGCGACAAAAATAAAAGATTTCTAAACACTGACACTCAAATCAAGCACTAAATCCATCACTCCTTTGCGGTAAAGTGGAAGGGTTGCCTCCCAGCGGTTGGGCCTACCCTCTCTTTTCCTCTTAGAAGATCCGCACCTTTACGGCTTGCTTCTATAAGCTATGCTCGATATGTTTAAAATAAAAAGGGTATGTAATGCCAAATTACTCTTGCTAACTAATTCATCTTTAGTATATCTCCTGGCTCCGACCTTACTATCTTACTCCTTCACAATGGGCTCAGTGACAGTGACAGTGTCGCCCACCCATGTCAAGATTGCGAATATAGGCATCCTCCCGCCACATACCCAGATGACTGCTGTCTCCCCACAAAGCCACCGCTATTTATTCCCCTCAACGGTCCCTGAGCCTAGCCTTAATTCCCTAAACACTCAATTTTCAAGCGGGTATCGACATCGAACCTCCACCCACCATGCCTGCGGTTCCGAAAACCTATCCTACAGATCTTCCCACGGTCCTATCTGACCTCGAGACTGTTCTCTCACATTTCGTTATTTTTTATGGTATCTAAAACGCCGACGCTCTCAAGCCCGAAACCCTTCAAAAGAACCGAGACCTCTATCCTGTCTTTTAAGATCCCATGCCTCTCGGCGATGTTCCCCAGTCCTTCCCATACCTTATCAACGACAACCTGCTCGCATATCTTCCCGAGGCCGAGAGATTCAGAATATGATCTACTTCGACATCAGGTCCATGACAAAATTTGAACTCCAGTCACGATCAGCCTGCTTCAAGAACGAAGGAAACATCGCAGCCGAACTCATCGCCGGAATCGCGATACCCGGCCTTCCAGTGCCCAACGCCTTCGAGAATATCCTGAGTCTAATGTGCACTAATCTACGGCATCTAGGGTGGGAGGATGATTCGCCCGACAAGTGTCTTTGTCAGTCGCATATCCACTGTGATGTTGTTCCCGCCGCAATGGAGCGGTACTCTCACATGAGGATGATTATATGATGCTGGCTCTGTTGATGTGCTCATTTGTTTGGATCTTCTCGCCGCACACAGATAAGAATGTTTCTTACCTGCAAGACAACTAACTGCACGCATGATAGAGTGGACGACACAAAGCGAGATGTAGTCGAAATCAGGTGGGGGAGTTGAAGCATTTGGCAGCAAGTTACCTGTATAGTCGAGGGATCCCGCCATCAAATTAATTGCGGTGTACCTGTGCCCACTTGCAACTTTCCCTGTGTGGACTGTGTCGGATTCAGGGTAATACATGAACATACATGCCGCATTCGAGTACTGGTCGCCATGCAAGAGAACATTTCAATAGCTGGACTAGAATGCAAACTTGTAAAAGAGAAAATACCAGGACTAGGTTGTCATTCGAGGCAAGGCAGGGGATCAGTTCAAGGTCTAGCTCTCGAAGGTTAGGGAAGGAGGTGATAAAGTAGGCGCAGACTTAGCAGAATGAGAAGTACGAGCAGATTATCCTTCCTTTCCAGGAAGAAAGTGGCTAGTCCCGATTAGGAAGGATAACGGGCTTTGCTTGGAAGGTCTTGGCAGCGCCAATCATATTTAGAGGGAAAAACCACGCAGCAGAAGTGATTTTAACACCCCCAACCGCGTTGTCTTCAATCATAATAAGGAAAAAAGAAGGCCAGATTAACCATGTAGCAGAGCAGAATAATTACTTAAAGCTTAAAAACGTAGAACAACAAAGCTTTTTAGTTATTTAATTTTCTACCAATCAGATCAATAACCGGCTTATATCCAGACCAATAGGAGAGAGGGCTTGGCGGTAGAGATAGTGTATTATTTGATGATGATGATGTATTATTTGATTGAGGTAGTAGCAAAGCGCTAGAACAGAAAGAGTAAAGCGTTTCGCTTCAAACCATTGCAATCAATGCATCTTACCACTTCACTTGGAACATGATAATAGTGGCTTATGACATATGTTCGCGTCCTATTAAATCCCCCCTAATTCCAGTAACACATTTAGTAGAGTACCCCCACCCTGTCTATGTTCCAGCTGGCATACTGTGGGGCTCTTTAGATTCCACGAACCCACCTTGTGCTCTACGTGACTTTGAGCCTGAGTCGATATTTTAGAGAACGACGAGTCAGCTCCAATATTTGTATAGATAAGGAAATGTTCTCATCAGTATTGTATTCTGGCCTAACAAACTCCTCCTATCCTCCCCATCCCACCTAATGCATTCTCCACAACCTAAGCGCCCCCCTCCGTAACCAAAAAGCTAATCATGCCCCTCCCTGGGACACTCGCGCTAGCCGTCCCATCTGTCCCAACCGTAACATCCGTCGCACTCATATCATGCGTATTATCCGTCAACCACGCCTTAACCACCGGATTCGTCAGCGTGCTGCCCGTCAATGAAACGCCCACATTCGCCGCTCCAGTCCCCGAGTTAATCATAACGACCGCAATACTGCCATCCGTGTTAACAAACGCCGCGCTCTTAAGGTTACTGCCGCCACTCGCACCAACGCGAACAGCACCAGGCCGCACAATCCTAAATTGCGCAAAGGCCCAGAGACGCTTGGAGACGGTGTAGCTCTGTCCGTCGACCAGAATCAATTTCTCGTTATTGTTGTTGTTAGTTGCACGGTCTTGAACACCCTCCCAGAAAATATACGCCGTGAGGTTCGAATTCACGATGCCGTTGAACACGGTGTTCGCCCATGTGAAGCCATCTCCCGCACCCCCCGAACTGTACCAACTGGTGCTCCATCCACCATTGAGATCGGAGTATTCGGTCTGCCAGACGCGGCGGGTGGTTTTCATCGTGCCGCTGATACGCGAAGTGTATTCGTGCGATGTGATGGCGTAAACCATGTTTTCAACGCCCGCAGCAGCGATCTGCGATGCGTGTCCCGAGGCGACGGACCAACCAGTGCCTTCACAGCAGTTGATACCTACGTCAGACATGTTGTTTTTCTGGAGAGTTGGGTAGAGAATTTTGATGAAGTCTGCAGCTTGGGTGCCGGAGGAGAGCATGGAGGCGTAGGATGCGCTGTTATGATGGAGTCAATATTGTAATTCATGAGAGAGTAGAGAGGGAAAGTGCGCGTACGTAAAGTCAGGCTCGTTTAAAAATCCTAAATGCGATACCTTCACACCATTCTCAGCGTACAACTGAATGTACTTGACAAGGTAATTCGCAAAGGCCTGACGCCAATCACCAGACTTGCAGGACGAGGTTCCAGTGATCTGATATTTATCTCACTTAGTACAGTGAAATCGGGCAAAGGGTTGAAGGGGACGTACTCCGCAAAGATTTCCTCCATTAGCATCATTTCCATTCGTCTTCATACACCCCGGGGCACTCCAGGCATTTGCATAGAACGATTTCACTCCGTATTTCACTGCCTGCTGGCTCAGCCAAAGCTGCCCGCTATCCTTCCCATCCCACTTATAATCTGGAGTTCCATCGGGAGTACTCGGACACTTCGGCAAGATAGTGTTCATGTGGTCAGAAGAGCTGTCCGGAGACGAGCCAATGCCATTTCTGAGGATAGAGAACCCGGCGCCAGAGGTAGTGTTAAAAAGTAAGTTGAGGACTTCGGTTTGTTTTGGCTCTTTAAGATTGACGACGAGGTTGGCGCGTTGGAAAGCAGCAGAAAAGCCGAAACCATCAATTGTTTGATACTTCTTGGAGAGGTCGACTGTGACCTTTTGCGCCTGTCGAGGGGAGATTGACGAACTGCAAACAAGAGGAGTGGCCGCAAGCGCGGCGAGCGAAAGCGAAAGGTACATGTTGAAGAGGAGGTCGACAAGCGGGATCCACGAGCTCGAAGAAAACTCCGCTTAAAGAGATTATATGCGATTCCACAAATCTCCATTCCATTGTGGGGCCAGGTACTTTCCATAACTAGGGGGCTAAACTTCCATCAACAAGCCCGAATATATTGTCTCGCGATCATGACAACCCGGGACTGATTGATGGGAGACCTCTAAAGTGCGGGTGAGTATAAAGTGGGCACGCGTCTCCAAAAAGAACACTTTATATAAAATGGTATAGTCTTCTAAATGTAGGGCCAAGATCGCCAAGGGTGTTTACCCCACGATTCCTTTGCGCCGGGCGTGAGTGGTAGGGAGGCTCGAACGACCCGATTTAGCCTAAGGATGATCTTCCGATGGAAAATTCTATGCAAGCGAGAACCTGGTGTCACATGGCAGTAGCAATATTCAAAGCGGCAGGAGGCGCATTTGACATACGGAAATAGAAATGCGGAGTTTTCATCCCTAGGATGACCGCTTCGAAACTTAAGTTAACGATAGGCTATACGGTCAAGTATCGAAAGCTTGTATTTGGGAGCAGAATCGAGTATAATGTAGGTGGTCGAGATGATAACTTGTGCATCGTTACAATCTAATTTCGCTCCTCCGACACTTCGAGTACCAGATAGGGGTCGGAGACTATCTAAACAAGGCTAGGGTATCGACAAGGTCAAACTTACATGAACGAATACGTAGGTTTTGATAGTAAAGCAGAGCGGACGGAAATGCGATACTTATCTCAGGATGGCAACAATAGTCTACTATGGGAGTCCAGGTAGTGGACTTGAAAACAAATAGTAGCATACTCACGAACAAGGCCGTCCTGTCTGGTTAGTAAAGACCTCAACGGGGAAGCATACCATCACCGATATAAGTATAGGACAAGCTCTATAGGACAATTGTTCATTAACTGAGCCCCTATGATGCATTCTGTAGATACTACTGACCTTGAAGATGACCGAAACTCCGATCCAACAAGGCGTCTACTGGAGACGAACACCAGCCTGTTTATGCTTCTTGGATTGCTGATCCAAAGCGCTGCCTATTCCACCCTTCACACTAGCCTCCAGGGAACTCTCCGCCATCTTCTTCTTCTCGGCAGCAACCTTTTCAAGATGCTTCTGGGTCTTGTTGTTTCCACTGCCCTTGCCGTGAAATTGGTGGCTCAGGTGTTTGAAGGCTTCTTTTTGGTTCATTTGACGACCGAATTCATCAACATAGTTGAGTTGTACGTTTGGCTTATACTCCTTGTTGAAAATATCGGCCAATTTCCGGCTCTCGGCCACGTCACGTTCAGCGTTCTTTCTGCGGGACCAGTCCTCTCGCTCTTTGGTTGTCATGTAGTTCCACCTGTTAGACTGGCGCTCGCGTTCACGCTGTTCCCTCGCTAAACGCTCTGCTGCACCTTCCGCACGTTGTTTGTCGGCAAGGAATTTTTGACGCTCGCGATAGACAGCATTCAAATCGCCACTCTCGGCATCTTGAACAAGACCGCGGGACTTGAGCAACCGGAGGGTGGCACCAAGGCCACCTTCAACAAGGTCTTCTTGGTCGATACCGTTGGTTGTCACGTTTGCGGAAGCGCTGCGGGCACGAAAATCTGCACGGTCCTCAGCCTCGGCAGCCTCGGCGTAGGACTGTCCCATTTCAACGTCGCCATCTGGGTCCATAGAAGCAATACCGTTGGATGGATGACTGGACTTGCGGCGCTGGCGTCCACGACCCTCTTCTTGTTCTTCCGACCTGGATCGTTGCAGATTCTGAACGAACACGGTGGTTTCGTCAATGACAAGACCTGGTTCTTCCCCATCGTCACCGGCTTCAGTAGTATCCATCACGACTTCTGGGGTAGTAGAGGCTTCTTCGCGGAGCTGGCGTGCTAGATCCTCGGGGCGTGTCCTCTTCCGCTTCTTTAACGCTTCTCGGCGCTGAACAGCAAGCTTGGCTTGAAGATCATCGTCGTCCACAAAAGACTGGTCGAAAAGATTCTTCTTCAACTTTTTAGTAATAGGTTTATCCTCTCCAAGATCCATTGCTTCTTCGGTGGGAGCATCGTCGCCAAGAGTCGGGAAGATATCTTCGTCCTCCTCTACACGCTTCTTGCGCGATGATTTTGACTTCTTCTTCTTTGGCTTCTTGATCTTGACCTCAGAGATGTCCATGTAGTCGTTGACAGGGGCATCGTCCTTGAGAATATCCAGACTGATAGCTACCTGCTTCGGCTTTGATGCTCCTTCGGATGCTAAACGCTGCAGACTTTCGACCGTCCTTCCTTGGCCGTCCAATGTGAAAGCATTGCGCTTCTTGCCGTCAATCTCTTCGTCGTACTGTGCGAGGATCGAGTGCTGACCCGCCTCGTCCACATCATTCGGGTCATATGCCCGTTTGCGCTTCTTCGAGTCGAGCCTCTCTTGCAGCCTCTCCTTCTCCTTAAGTGCGACAGCCTCGAGTTCGTCATCTTCGTCTACATCAACCGCGGTATCTTTCAGCACTAGGATCTGGTCTTCGCCGTCGCCGAAAGCGTCCAATTCATGCCCAACCTTAACGCCTGCCAGATCGGCTTCACCGTACTGGCGGGCGAGCAGCGCCTGCCTCTCTTGCTCTTCGAACTCCTTTTGGATCTGCTCGGCCTTTGCGATCTCCTTCTGGCGTTTCTTAGATTTCTTGAGCCAGGCAACATCATCTATGTCGTCAACGTCGTCGGCAAGACCTTTGCCTTTGAGTTTCGTATAGCGCTGGGCTTTGTCGCGCTCCTTCTTAATGGCGGCGGCTTTCGCCTCGCGCCTTGCTTTAGCATCCTTTTCGTCCTGCAGCCTCTTCCAGTTGTCCCAGCCTGCGGCCTCGCGCGTCTCGAGTGTACTGGCAGGCTCTTCGTCGGAATCGCCGTCTTGCTTGGATGCCTTGAAGGTAGGGCCAGCGGACGATTGACCTGGCATAGGCAGGAGAGCAAGGCCCATGGCCTTGCGGATCTTGTTAGCCTCTTCGATCGCGAGCACGTCCGTCATGATGGCGGTTTGTTAAACAGTGTAGTACAGAAGAGAAAGGGAGGATGAGCTCAAGGGCTTTGATGTTTGCTATGGGCGAAGGCGCGGTCGTCGGAGGTGAAAGTGCTGTCGCGACCGACAACCTGTCGAGCCTCTCCGCGCCAAGCCAGGTTTGTGCTAGCGCGCCAAGATTTCCCGCAGCCTCGACATAAATTTCTCCTCGAGCCTCAAGCCCTTTCTCCCTCCTTCAACGATCTGTGTCCGTCGTCCCGTCCACTCTCCGGGGTGTGTTAGGTGATGACGCGACAGTTTGTCCGCACCTATGGAGCCATCAAATCCCCATGATGTCAATTTCCGGACAACAGGTCGAAGAGAAAGTCGGTGCGTTTCCTACTGCCTGAGCTTGCCTTCGGGTTTGAGCTCGGTTGTGTTAGCGTTGCCAGGGCGTTTGATTCCTAATCCCTTTGCTGAGGCCGTCGGCTGGTGAAGTCAGGGAAGAACCCATTCTTGCCTACATATGTTCAATTCATCCAGTTCTGTTTTGTGACTTCTTGTCATTGTCTATGGAATGGGGAGGCTGTGATGCCTCGAGAGCTTTCGCCTTTCCGAGCCGACTAATCCCCGGCGCAGTGTAACACTGACATGGCCAGCTCTGTGCTTTTCTTTCTGTCGTCATTGCTAGCTCTCTCACAGAAGCTTCAGTGTCCCTGTAACTTGATCTACAATGCTTTTCGGCGCCGGTCCAATTCCCAGCACAGTTGCACTCCCACTGGCAATCTGTGTTCGGCCTGCATCATGAATGATACATGCACACAATCCTAAGCTCAACGCCTGCGCCTGCAACATCTCCAGCTCCTCCTCACTCTTCACTTGTAGAGCCACCTTCATCTGTCCGGATCGTTCCCAACGCTTGAGAATTGGGGAGTTGGGCGAAGTACGGAGGAAAGACTTGTAACAAGCGAGGGTCGCATGGCCACATTGTGCTCCGATTTTGCCTTCAATAACTGTCAGTCAAGGGTCGCGTCAATGGTTGCAGAGTGGAAGCGTACCTTTCGTCATGCCCAAGTCTGTTCGGACAACAAGGACAAGCTTGCACTCCTCGGTGGACCCTGCAAAGTCACTGAGCGCCGCCTCATCATCCTCGTCACTAGATTCTTCTGAGTCCTCGGCCTGCTTCCCGTTACTTGTAGATGGCGGGGAGATTGCACTGCCTCCGAAGAAACCGATTGACTTCGCTTGTCCAAGGAAGTATCCAGTCACGCCTGCAATCAAAGCGCAGGCAAGGGCAATCGCCGCAGTCGTTGGCGGGGAATGGTGGTCCTGCATGGCGACTTCTCAGTCAGCCTCGTTCCTCGGTAGGTGGCGATCGGTGGGGCAATTTCTAAATGAACGGGAAAACTTCAAGGTATGTGTGCAGATGATTGTACCATATTGGCAGTCTATTGTTTGGGCTAAGGTGCTTGACTCTGAGGCGGGCCTTTCACTGAATAGGCGCCACGCGCACAGATCATCTCAAGCGCGCGGCTATTGGAAATCTTCGTCGGACCTCCGTCCCATCCAGTCTCCAGCTGCACGACCTCGCCATCCTCATTGCAGCCAGTTTCGGCATCCGCAGGCTATCAACCCTCGGCCATGGCTCCCCGATTTCAATTGCTTTCGTGGAGCACCGCCATACCCCACAGATTTCTTCGCGCTTCTCAATCGGCCCACCGAACCTTCACATCCTCCACGTCCCTGTCCTCCATCACGGTCAAAATCTGGAGACGTGGTGGCGACACAGGGGCTCACCTCCCAAAACACGTCATTCCCAAAAATCCAGACGTCATAATTCCAGATTATCCCTACGGCCCCTCGCGATTGTTCAAGCAGTCGAACAAGGGGCTGTATGGCGGTTCAAGAATCCAGTTCGGAAACAACGTCTCGCGCAAGAGTGAGACTAAGACTCGGAGACACTGGAAACCAAACGTCTTGAGCAAAAGCCTATATTCGGTAACACTGGACAAGAAGATAAAGTTGCGAGTGACAGCTAGGGTCTTGAAGACGATTGATCGCGAGGGAGGCCTGGACGCATATTTACTTAAGGAAAGCGAGAGTCGGGTCAAAGAGCTAGGGCCTCTTGGATGGTCGCTGAGGTGCGTGCTTCTACAAAAGCCGCTCGTGATTCAGCAGATGAGAGCGAAGGCGCAAGCCTTGGGGCTCCCCCAAGAAGAGATCGAAAAACGGTGGCCATCCCTGGATGATATAGAGTGGGGATTGGAGCTCCGCGCTCGAAGAGGGGAATTGGCGGCGGAAGCGGAAGAATACCTAGCTGCAGGCGATGCGAATATATTAGAGGAGGGATTGAAGCTCGTGGACAAGAGACGCAGACAATCCGAGATCGAGGCAAAGGCTGCAGCATATGTGCGACTTGGCGAGGCGAATTCCCTCGAGGAGGGTCTTCAGCTAGCGAAGGTAGAAGTCGTGAAGGACGAAGTAGAACGACTGAAGTCGGAGAAAACAAAACTAGAAAAGAATGCTCGGAGAACCGCACGATCATATGTCAGGCTCGGGTTGGTGGGGAACCAAAATGAAGGCATGAAGCTGGTCAAGGAGAGGGCAGACAAGTTAAGAGAACGAAAAAGGGAGCAACTGGAGCAAGCACTGCAACTAATCCAGCTAGACGAATTAAAAGATGCGGAGGAGTTGGAAGCTGGGGATTCCTACATATAACCCACCTCAGACAAGAGTTCGCTGCAAGAAACAAAGCGAGATGTGTACGCAAGGATATAGGTGGATGGGTGGTGCTTCTTCCAGCTTTGGCCCATTGTGGGCTTGTATCATATTGCCTCTAAACCTGTGCCCATACCAAATATATATATATATCAAACATCCTTGGGTTTACATTGCCCTTGGATCGTTCTGCCAAGCAGAATGCCGAAGTCCGCCGGAACAACTACAACCCCACTAACCTTGCCCCAATTGAAGTTGATCCCTTGCCGCACGCATCCGACCATCTCCCTCAAACTCTCTATTGCTAAATCAGCAGTTGCCCGCTCAACTATGTCGATTGCCTGCAACTGTGGTGCCTCAAGTGGTCACACGTTCCAAAATGGCGAGCTCAAGCTCGCACCCTATGGTTAATAATACAGAACCGGCATAACTCAGACCATTCCCCCGCGTCGCTGAGAAATCAACCCGAATCCTCCATCTTACTATATAGTCTTTTCGAAGACCTTTCAAAATATAACGCAGCACTCAAAATGCCGACAGCAGTTGTCACTGGAGCTAATTCGGGTATCGGGAATGCCTTGGCCCAAATTCTAGTCAAAGAGGTAATTCCCGCCTTCATTTGAAGTGTAGAGATGCTGATTTGAAGCTAGGGATACAAAGTCATAGGTGCAGACATCACCCTTGGCGATGAGATCAAGAAGCTCGGCTGCCAGTCTGAGCAATTAGACGTTGCTTCTCCGGAATCCATTCAAGCATTCAAGCAGAAGGTCGGCGATCAGTCAGTCGACCTTCTGCTCAACATTGCTGGTAATTATTCTATTCTCCTCTCTAGCAATCAACAAACCTCGCACGGAACTCTAACATAGTTTCCAGGCGTAGCAGCTAGTCCCTCAGACGACAACCTCGAATCCGTCAATGCATCCCTCCTCCACCGCAATTTTACAATCAATACATTCGGTCCGCTCCTTTTAACTCAAGCCCTCCTCCCTAATATCTTGAAATCATCAAATCCCCGTGTCGTCGTCATGTCTTCCCGTATGGGCAGCATCGCGGACAACTCTACGGGTGGGTGGTATGCATATCGCGGGTCTAAAGCAGCTGTGAATGCATTGTTCAAGAGCCTGGCGGTAGATTTGAAGGATAGAAATGTTCCAGTGGTGTTGCTTCATCCGGGTATTGTGAAGACGAATATTTTCCAGGGGCAGTCGTGGGAGGGCATACAGGGTGCGGTGGAGGCGGATCAGGCGGCGGCTGAGTTGTGGAGAGTATTGATGAGTAAAGGGTTGGAGAGTACGGGGAAATGGTGGCATCGGAATGGAGAGGAGTTGCCCTGGTAGAGGTTTAGATTATACGAGAGCAGACGTATTCTTGTTCCTGAAGCCCTCGGAATCAGGAGTTCTGTCTTAGGCTAGCTAATTCCTTATGAATGCCCTGCATGGACTCCTCTCAAGCTTTATCCTGTCATTATTTCCCTTCAAGCCTTACAACCCTCTAATCTTTGAATCGTACGATTCCGTATAATGACATCAAACTACTAGGAGAATCCCTCTCGTCCAAGAATCTCCCACCTATTTAGTCTCCCTTCTTAACCATACCCCTCGAATTTCGTATACAGGCATATACCACCGCCTTCCACGTCCCTTGGGACATGAGTCAGCCACAGAAAATATCGTATTTTCATTGGCCACGATCGCTCCAACGAGAAAGGGCAGTCTCATACCCCCCTCTATGCCGCGTCAACACAGCAAATATATCAAGAAGCGCTGCTTGAGCACACCAAAACCTTAAGATTCGTGTCCAACAATGGCACAGTCCTACCGGAAATTATCCCCTGGATAGAACGGCTTGATGGAAAGGTGAGCCTCTTCTATATTGGATCTAGCGTACTTCCCCCTTTGCCACAGATACATGTCAAGAAAAGCAAAACATATGCAACAAGGCAAAGAAGTATATCGAAGCTTGATATCACAGTGTCCCAAACTTCGCGTTCTTAAGATCGTGATCAACCTCCCCAAAGAACAGCATCCGCATCATACAGCTGACATCATCTCCCTCCACAATCTGAAACAAATCATCACTCTCATCGATATTCCCTTCCTTGCTTTTTCGATCTTTTCAGAGCAACCTGATAGCAATTGGGGTACGAGACCGGCCGATCATCCTGGCGAGAAGCTTGGTGAATTCGCATTATCGTACCTGGGTCTTTAGAACGACGAGTCGACTATGGATAGGGTGAGAGGTTGATTTCAAGAGAGGTTGCGGAAGGAGGAGAGGAGTGTTGTCGTACAAAGAAGACGGATTGGGTTGTGTGTGTGTGGGTCAAGTGTTTAACGTTTATGTAGAAGGAGCATCATCAAGATGGTAGTGAGGGTTCCTGCTAGGGCTGCTAAGAAATTACCTAAGGGCCCGTTCTCAGAGAAAGTAGGAAGTTGCAAGGATAGGTCAAGTGAAAGAAGTGAGGACCTGTAACGGAAATTGGTTATCGGAAGATTGGAGTCAGATATTATATCATGGTGAGAGATGATACAAACCAAGGGACAGCTCAATGCTTGATACAAGCCTCAAATCCTGAGATCCAGCCTTCAATTCTTCGGATTGAAGACATGCACTAGGTAGTTCCAAAGTAGGCATAGATGCCAAGCGATATCTCTCTGCAACCCCCACCTGCGCAGAAACCTCAAATCTCACTCAAACATTATCTTCTCAACCCCAGAAGAATGTCGCCATCACAGCAGCCTTCAGGCAGTGAAATGCAGAGCCTGCTCCTTCAGCTTCCGCGCGAGATAAGAGACGAAATTTGGTCTTTCGTTGTGGCACCACACTCATGGCTTGGAGCTTCCGATGTCCTCATCGGCTTTTGGGGACATTCGTGCTCTGTCACAAGGCCTAGTGCGTTTATTCTCTAAACGTCGATTCTTTGTACTCCTGAAAACTTGTGTGCATCATGGCCTGTAGAATAGGCGTGTTTTGAAATGTATTAAAGTGCGCTTAAGAACGACTCCTAACTTCCCCAGGTTTCCTCCCCGCGATTTGTTCCGTAAACAAACAACTCTACCACGAAGCAGCCCTAGAGTTCACCAAAAGCCGGCGTTTTGTACTCTTCGACAGCGAAAGTACCGAGTTCTTGTTTTCATGGCTTTCCACGCTTAACCGAGGCTTCGACAATGTACGCGCACTGAATTTTTACCATTTCAGGGTCGAGAATATTCCACGTACTTCACTCTCTCGGGATTTAGTTCTCATCATGAAATGCAGAAATATTGAAAGTTTGCACCTAACTCTGAGAGAAGGATATCGCGGGTTTTCAGAGCCGCGGACTACTCCGATGGGAAGGTCGAAGATTGGGACTATGCAGATTTATCATTATGATCGCTTGGTGCGCTCCGATCGCAAGAGGTTAAGAGTGGGCCTAGCTTGGTCTCGACTACAAAGCTTGACTTTCTCAAATTCAGATTATTGAAGAGGAATGGACAATCAACGAGAGTGATAGGATTCGTTAAATATGGAAGTTGCTATGCACTCTCCTGTACAGGTCTTAAATCGGCTCCAAGCTTAGCAAAACCCCAGGCTCCCTTTTACAGACTTCTCTCTCGAACGGTACTTTAGCAGTTGCCTCGAGGGTACAGAGCTAATTCGCTTATTCTCCACTCCTTGCAGCTCAAGCCCTCTCACGCATACTCTCGTAGGCCTCAGCTTCTGGAAACCCTCTTTCTGCACCCTCTACAAACACATACTACGGCTGTAGAGCTGCAATATTCAGTTCAGTTGGAGACCAAATCATCCAGATCACAACTCCGGAAAGCAGGGTGTGGTATGCCCAAAGGTCCGGATTTGCAAGTAGTATTATCCAGCTACACTTCAGGACCTACATATTATCGGAGATTCAGTACGGATCTGTAGTAACCTTCGGAAAGCCGAACCAACGGTTTTCGCTGCGGCAATCAGATTCGGTGCCCTCATATTAAGGATTGAACCCGGGGTGGCGTATTAAGGCTCCTGGGTATGGTTGATGGCGTTCTTGGTCGTATCTAAATCCCCCTGCTCGGTCCCTTAGCTAGAATCGAGAGCCCGTTTCGGTTGGTAGTCTGATACCTCATTACTTCTCACTTTGTTAGTACTTTTGTACTGTTGGGAGGAATGTAGGATGATTTAGGGGAGACACTACTTGTTTTTGTATACTACTATCATAGGAGGTGACACAGAAATCTCTGCTTGCTACACTACAGAAACACATACAACAGCAATACAGAAACCCACCCAATCGCGTAAGAGGCATGCTCCAGTCAATAGGCAACTGTCACTCTAAAAGGTCTATATCAAACGTACTACGGGGCAACTTCTCAGCCTCACCAACCGTAAGTAGCAGCCCACAAAGCTACTACTTTGGTATGGCTCACACGGCCGTAATAGAGTGAAACGCGCCATGAGTAATACGTCCTGTTGATCACCCTGGTTGCGCAGGCGACAGAATGGTTGGAGGTTTCCGGAACCCAAGCTACCAAAAGTAGAGCTTCGCCATAGTTGAACACCTCAACTCATTAGCTATCAATGAGTCGCAAGAAGTGATAGTGCGGAGATTGATTTCGCACTGCTAAGGCATCAGACGCCAGTTGACTTACTCATGAGGGCTTTGGGTAACACTTGTCCGGGCCGAATAGTCACCGAAGCAAACTGCATCTCGTCCCAAGCGCCTCGTCCTTTTAAAGACAGAGCCAAGCAAGTTTGTTCAATCAGCCTATATTGCTGCCTTCTACTCGGAGGGATCAAAGGGCTACCTAATTCTGAAGGTCTTTGCTAGAATAGCAATCACAGCAACAGCAGAGCTAACTCCGCGCCGTAGAGGAAGGTCGCCGATATTCACCTGGATACGCGACTTATATTGCGAAAACCTGTGATTAGCTGATGCTAGTGCAGTCGCTATTGTCGCGTGCAGATAGTAGGCGGTGCGATCGATTGGTAAGGCCGGGACATCCTCGACCAGCTGATCTTGAAGACCTACCATAAGTGGTACCCTGTAATGCTTTTGTTGTCTATAGCTTCGTTGTTATTCACCAAGGAAGAAGAAGTAAGTACAGATACCACGAAACGTATGTCTGGATTCCCCCCATAAGAGCACTAGGCAACTATGACGGACATTGAAGCACAGGACAGCAAACAGGAGTGACCGGGGGTTGTGAAGCAGATGAAAAAGTTGACAAACCTTCCCCTTGTCAAGAAGTAGTCAAAAGGTGGAGCTCCAGTTTCAACGTAGGATTGCTTTAGCGCTTCTTGAGTGTTGCGTGAGGCGACACTTGCTAGCATTGAGCGATTGAGCTACTCAGATTTGAGTTACCAGAACCTAACATACCGTATTTTGGGAAATTCTATGGCATAGTTGGCGTTGAGTAGGATAGAATGTGGGGTGCTTGATTTTTGCGGTGCAAAGTTCCAGGAGTTAAAACAGAAATGCGTCCAATCAGTCATCCATGCTCCAGTCCCTGGACAAGAGCATTGAATAGCTGGGTAGGCATGATTGCTGCGAAAGCGGGTATACACTGAAATATTTACCAGTGGTCCATGAAGCATGGAGCATTGATTACCGCTATTGGATAGGAGTTAGAGTCATGCGATCAGGTGAAGTCAGGCATCTTAGTTTACCTAGAGCTCCTGCTATCGAGTTGTCTTCGATCGCAAATCTTCATATGTTTATGTTGATTCGACCTCACATTAATACCTCCAGGCTTATTCGGGTTATGGATGGTCACGACCAGTATGCATGCCGGGCATGAAAGTAGCACAAGCCAGAGATGAATTTGGAGCTAATTACCTAATGAGGTTAGTCTAATTATGGGGAACAACCGAGGCCGAATCATCACATGCATGTCACGACCGCTCAATATCATCATCATTTGAAGCGTGAGCCACGCACGATGCGCAAGCCTCCGAACGACTGAACGCCAGCCTTCTGTCACGAATGACGGCACCGCAATAGCCATGGCCGTGTTGTCCAAGCTGTCTTCAGCAAATGCCATGTCCAGACGCTCCCTCAAAGGAATAGTAAACGAGCTCACAGATAGATACCTGCAGCACCGCACGAGGATATCGCGCGCGGTTTACCTCACACTCTTTGTCGCCCTCATCAATCGGATTCGCAATGCTATTGCCGAGCAGAAAGCAGCTTCCCTGCGCCAGGCCGAGGTCCGCAGGCGACCCGCAACTGGTACTGCCGAGGGGGAGGCAGCGTCGCGGAAGAAGGTGGAGCTAAACAGAGAGTTTTTCAAAAATCTTCTGAGATTACTGAAAATTGTAATACCGGGATGGAGGAGTAAGGAGCTCCGCTTACTCATCAGCCATAGCATATTCCTGGTTCTTCGGACAATGATCAGTTTGTATGTTGCGGAGCTGGATGGGCGGCTTGTGAGCAGTTTGGTGAGAGGTAAAGGAAAGGACTTCCTCACGGGGCTGGTGTGGTGGATGACGGTTGCTATTCCAGCAACATTCACTAACTCAATGGTAAGAGATATGCTAACCGACCCTTCGGTGACCCGCTGACCTTCTCACAGCTCTCCTACCACCAATGCAAACTCTCCCTTCAATACCGGACCCGCCTCACCCACTACATTCACAACAAATATCTTTCCCACATGACTTTCTACACACTCTCTGCCCTCGACGATCGGATTAAAAACGCAGACCAACTTATCACAGTTGATGTGGCCAAATTCTCAAACAGCCTGGCGGAACTCTACTCCAACATCGCAAAACCCGTCCTAGACATGATAATATACAACTACTCGCTATCCCGAAGTGTCGGAGGCGAAGGCCTCTTCTTCATGAGCTTACTCGTACAGCTCTCAGCAAACGTCATGAGGGCATTGACTCCACCATTCGGGAAATATGTTGCGGACGAGGCAAGGTTGGAGGGAGAATTCAGGTTTCAACATTCGAGGTTGATTGACTATAGTGAAGAAATTGCCTTATATCATGGACATGAGGCAGAGAAAGATACGCTGGATAAGGGATATTTCACACTTATCAAGCATGTGAATAGGATATTAAGGAGACGGTTCTATCATGGGGTCATGGAAGACTTTGTCATCAAATACTTCTGGGGCGCACTAGGGCTCTTGCTCTGCAGTGTACCAGTCTTTTTCAAGATACCTGGTGTAGCAGGCAAGAGCATGGGGGATCGGACAGAAAGTGAGTGAGCTTTACATCGGTCCCTTTGCCGGCTCTAACACATCTCCTTTTAGGCTTCGTAACCAACCGCCGAATGCTACTCATGTCTTCTGACGCCTTCGGCCGAGTCATGTTCTCCTACAAAGAAATTACTGAACTCGCCGGCTATACCTCACGTGTTTCGACCTTGCTCGACGTCATCGACGATATCCAAGCCGGCCGCTTCGAAAAGAAGCTAGTCTCATCCGCTGACACCGAAGAAAATGCTGCTGTCCTGCGAGGCCGAGGTAATGTGACTGAAGGCGAAGACATCGAATTCGTTGGTGTGCCCATCGTATCCCCCAACGGTGATGTTCTGGTCCGCGCTCTAAGCTTTACCGTAAAGCCCGGCGACCACCTCCTCATTGTCGGCCCCAACGGCTGCGGCAAATCCTCCCTCTTCAGAATCCTCGGCGGCCTATGGCCCGTGTATGGTGGAACGGTACGGAAACCACCATTTGAAGACATCTTCTATATCCCACAACGGCCATACCTCTCTCGTGGCACCCTCCGCCAACAAATCATATACCCTGACAGTATCCGAGAAATGCGCGACAAAGGTATCACAGATGCTGATCTCTACCGCATTCTGTCCGTTGTCGAAATCGAATCCATCGTTGACCGCCCAGGAGGCTGGGACGCGGAGCAAGAGTGGACTGATGTCCTTTCCGGAGGTCTACAACAACGTGTTGCAATGGCCCGTTTGTTCTACCATGCACCGAAATATGCAATCCTCGATGAATGCACAAGCTCTGTAACACTGGAGGTTGAAAGAGTTATGTATGATGAAGCGAAGCGCTTGGGTATTACCCTCATGACTGTCAGTCATAGGCGGAGCTTATGGAAGTATCATTGCAGGATACTACAGTTTGATGGCCAGGGCGGGTATTATTTTGGGGTCTTGGAGGCGGAAAAGAGAGCGGAGTTGGAGGATGAGAAAGAGGAGATCGAGTTGCAGCTACGAGCTGTGCCAGAGATTGAGGAGAGAATTCGGGAACTGGAGTCGGCCTGAGGTGGGTGTGCCCCAGAATAAAGGGAACCGATGTGTGGATGGTGTTAATCTTGGTAGGGTTCTTCAGTGATTTGTGGGGGCAATTTGTATAAGTATTGTGCCGTGATGCTTTATAATCTACCCATGTCATATTGATTTGGAAAGAGGAGGCCAATTTGGGTCTAAAGATGTATCTGATCTTGCATTTGCGCGTGGATTGGATAGATTAGATACATAGAATCTTGGAGTTGTGACTTCCGCGCTTACTTTCTACGCTATTTTCAATCCCCTTCTTTCGGCCCCAGGTGGTAATTACTGATGACAGAGATTGATATGGGCTTGTATTTGGGGTAGCAGAGGCCACAGTGAGAAGAACATGTAAATGAGCCTTGGAGAAACACACAGAGGTGACGGGTTCGACGGCTACGTATTCAGTAGACGCGAGAAACGGGAGATAGTATGAGGAAGAGGCCAAAAGGGATCGAGGCTTTGAGGCAACCTTGGACGTTTCCAAAGCCTATCTAGCTGGGCGCCCAGCTGGTGGTGCGGTGAGCGGAGATGCGCAAAGGCTGGTGTGCTGAATCTACTGCATCTTGTCAGCTAATTTGGAACATGACCGAGGAAATTTAGAGCTGAAATCTGCATCCTGTTGTAGTTCTCTCTGATCCCGGTAGGAAGTTCAGCACGCAAATTCTACCTCAGTAGTATCACCACCGCAACCAAAAAAAAAACAGGGATGGTCTCTTGCCCAACCAACTTCCAGATCATCAGTGCGTACTGAAAGTTTTTTTTCAGTTTCACCCAAAAGGTGATGGGATTCATGATCGGTAGAGCCGAAGCAGGTGTCTCCATTGTTCGGGGCATAGGTGCAAATCCAAGATCGCTGTTTCATTCTCCCGTATAGCATCGGAATCGCGACGATTTGGTGGCGTGTGGGAGTCTTGGGTAGGGCCGACAAGTTGACATAGTGTGCGGCAATAAAAGCATGGTTTACTTATTTGGTTGCTCTTACTCATGGATTGGGGAGTGCGCTGTCAGACTTCATATGCGGCAAGAAGTACGTCTTTCTGGAGCAGAACAGAGAGATTCTGACGTGCCTGAAACTAATAATGGTGCTTAGGTGAAGTTGAATGCAGTCCATGAAGCTCCATGAGGGACTCTAAGGGCAGTTGTTGATGAAATTCTGGTGGCTGACTCTCCAATGCATCGTATTTGTCTGTAGGCACGAAATGCTGTAAGGGAGAGAAAGGCGCGCTGGTAAAGAAGAAGACATTTCATTAGAGACTGTTAGAAAGCTTAGCAAGTTGAACGACGCTGGCTTTCCTGAAGACCTCAATGTCGAAGAAGGCGGATATGCATTCTCCCGGCAGGCATAGCTGTGCTGCTGCCGTGGGTCCGTCCTCGGTCAGCACCTGAATGCTGAGTGGCCCTCAGCTAGTTTACCTATGTATGGGTAGAATAGTTATCAAGAGCATTTCTAGTGACGCTGGGAACTGAGGTCTGTTTGGGGACATATGCCCTCCTAGGGGCCTTGGTGAAAGAGGAACAACGGAGACAGTTATCTTAGCAGCAAATGCGCGATATTGCTAACCATGCACCATTCTGGACAATCTTCTCTCGAGTATATCTGCCCAAAGTGATTTGAACATGCTCTCCGAGTTATCAGCAGTGCAAATCTGCAATTGCAGCTCAGCAGTCGCTTTGAGGGGACTGCCCGAGGAGTTTGTCCTTGGTGCCTACTTTTCTTACTCTCCACTCATTGTTCATAGACCTACATTAGCGTCGTGGTCTTTCCTTACCCTCATCATTCACCGGTTGTGCCTCCTTAAAATCACGTGCTAGAAGGACTGCCTTGCTATCTTTCGCCTTCCATCACTCATTACTTCTTATCGGTCCTCGCTAGCTTCGCGATGCTTGTTGTGGTGCCTTCTGATGGAAGCAAATGAAAGCAGCTCGCTGCACAGCTTTCTGCACCACCATGAAACCGCATCCGCCTGCCTATCTTCTCCATTTCTCCTCCATATAACCTTGTTTCTTCTTGCAGCCTCTGGCAACATGATCCGACTAGAGGTTCACTGGTGCACAGACCACTGGTCCCGATCCGCTCCGGGCTTAGCGGGGGTACCAATGCCAGCAGCCGATGCTGGACATCACGTGATACGCGCCAGCACTTGGCAAGCCAATCGCGCTCTGCCAACATCCATTTTCTGGACCTCCTTCTTCCGTCTTCACTCTTCACCATCGATGCTGCCAGTCACCACAACACGCCAGCAACGACCCCAAACGCATTGCAGCTTCTCAAATCCACAACTGCGTTTACTTCTGCTTACTTTCCGGGCTTTTTTTCCCGTTGGTTTTTAGCAGGTCCCGGCCTTTGCACTTGCACGGCGACGCGTCGCGTCTTCCTCCAGCACATCCTCAACAATTTGCCAACTACAGCACAGCAACAACTACCTGCAGCACAGCCGCAACTTCTCTCACCACCTCCGCCGTGGCTGATCCCAAAGTCGCCATGGCTGATCTCAAAGTCGGCCAGACCATTGAGACTAGTGACGGCCGGAAAGGCATCATTCGATTCATCGGCGACGTCCATGTGGCACCTGGTCAGTTCCTCGGCCTCGAGCTCCCAAATGCAACTGGCAAGAACGACGGCTCTGTCGGTGGTGAGCGCTACTTCCAATGCCCTGTCCTTCATGGCCTTTTTGTCCGGCCGGCCACTGTTTCCCGCATCATCTCGCAGCCTGCTCCCAAAGTTGCCACGAAGCCAACCACAGCTCCCCGGCCGAAATCGCAGCCGCCAAAACCAACGCCACAATCAGCAAAGCCACGACCTTCAAGCATGGGCAGGCCAAGCCTGAAGCCGCCATCCACCGCTGCTCCGTCCCCCACTGTCTCTTCCGCCGCTACCTCTCGCCTTTCAATTTCCCAGCCACGCAAATCTAGCGTTGCATCTTCAACATCACTCAGCGCCCTACGACCCACAAAGCCCGCCAGAGTGTCTTCCGTATCCAGCGCGACTTCAAAACCCGACATTGGCGCCTTAGAGACAAAGATCAGGCATCTTGAGCAGAAACAAGCAGAGGACCGTGAGAAACTGAAAGATCTGGACAAATTGCGGCAGGAAAGAGACCGGTTCTCAGCGTTGCTCAAGAAGCTGGAAGGCAAGTGCCAGGAGTTCCACCACTCTAATTCAGAATTGAAGGCCCAACTTCAACAGTCGGAGTCGGAAGTCGAGCGTCTAAGTAGAACCGAGCAGGAGAATGAGTCGATTTTGGAGCTTGCAACATTGGATCGCGAGATGGCTGAGGAGAAGGCGGAAGCTATTGCAGCAGAGCTGGACACAGTACGACAAAAGTTGGAAGAATACGAGCTGGAGTTGGATATTCTACGGTCGGAGGCCGAGATCATGGGTCAGGACGATATATCAGAGGAGGACAAGCGCGCCGCTGGGGTCTACCAGCTCCAGGCTGAGAGGGACCGCCTTCGGCAAGCGCTCATCATGTTGAAGGACATCACAGAACAGAATGAATTGGATCTTCGGACTCGGATCCAAGAGTTGGAATCAGATTCGACGCAGTTAGAGGACACTAGGAGCCGCAACACGGACCTCGAAGCACAACTGGCAAACTCGACCGCCATCATTGAAGACTTGCGGCAACAGCTAGATGCAGCCACAGACTGGGAGGACATAATTGAAGACCTCTCTGATCAAAACCAACAGTTCAAGGACCAACTTGCAGAGAAGGACCAGGCAATTATCGACCTCGAAAACCTCAAAGAACTCAACGATGAGCTTGAGATCCACCATCTTGAGCAAGCAAACGAACTCCGCGCCGAACTCGAAGCTAGAGACGTTGAATTGGCCGAACACGTGCGGAAGGTTACACAACAAGACGCCGCTATCGCGGACCAGGAGATGTTGATCACCAAATTCCGGGATTTGGTTGTGGATCTACAGGGTAAGATGACCGATGTTGAGTCTTCGAAGGTGATGAGCGAGGAACAGGCGAAGGACGTCACTGGTCGCTTCAACGAAGTCATGGAATTGAACCGGCGACTTCGCAATGCCAACATCACGAGCACGGTTAAAACTATCACGGCAGAGCTTCAGAAACTTCAAGCAGACGAAGCAGAGGAGGAGCTAGCGATTGTCAAACATTACCTTCCCGACTCGCCAGAAATTTATAAAAACGATTCTCTCAGGGCTTATTTCCGGGCCAAGCGGATCACTTTCAAGACTTCACTTGTTGGCTCTCTGATGCGGTCCCTTGCTTTGCAATCCTCCACTCCCGAGGGAATAGCGCAGCCTCTCACTGCGCTTGTCCAACACGGTGCCCTTCAGCAGCTCACATACTTGAATCTCAAGAGCGCGCGAATCTGGTCTGCTGTCGCATCTTGCACCCTCGACGAGTTTGTTGCATTTGGGCCTGCCTATGAGGACTTAGACCCTGTTGAGCGGACTTTAGAACGCTGCCTTGATTCTCTCAAGAAGGACGACCTGGATTACGAAGATATCTCGGACTCCTTGCGTCGATCGAACGTCATCATGGACGGTGTGACTTCGACCTATGATGAGGTCTTAGCTACTCACCCTGAGGACGAAATCATCTTCCTGGTCTCATCAATCAAATCCAACTTCCAACTTATTAAATCATCTTTTGACACCATTAAATCTTGCATCCAGATGGTCGGAACCATCGACGGCGAGTGGGAGAATGGCACACAATACGTGTTAGAACGGCTATCGAGACATTCTGATGCCTCCAGTGACAGCATTATCGCTACCGGAAAACTTGTTCGGACTCTAGAGACCTTACGGAGCGACTCCCTGTGCCCTCGATTCCCCTTAGGTGTCAAGGACATTGCAGATCAGAACGCTTTCCTTGAACTCATTGCACAGCGAGTTCAAAAGTTCGCCGCACAACTTACCAACATACTGCTCTCTCACGACGAGGGCGACTCTGAAAGCATATACGCTTCCGAGGTTTCGAAGCACCTCAGTCAGCTGGAAGAAATGTTTTTCCCAGAGGATGAATTGTTTGATATGGGCAACATCATCCCCAAAATCATGTTCTGGAACGAGCATGCGTCAGTTCTTATGAACAACGTTGAGATCGAGCATGGCCCCGCCCCTTGGGTCTTGAAGGCGAACGAGATTGAAGCCAACAAGAAGAAGACGGCAGAGGCCGAACGCCAGCTCCAGGTCCTCACAGTAGAACACCATGCCACGATACTTCAGATTCGAGAGCGTGATGAAATCATCGACACTAAAGAACTTCAGATTGAACATCTGACCGCCAAACACCGTGAGGCTATGAGTCGAGTGGAGGACCTCACCCAGCTCCAGACGGAGCTTCGCGAAGCGACCTCGGATCGTGAGCGTCTCCGGAAGGAGATCAATACCCAACAGAACGAACTTCTACGGCTGAAAGATCAGTCAACCGCATCAGAGCACGCCATTCCCACCCCTTTGCAACCCACAACACCCCCCAAACCAGCCGGGGAACCACCAAAAGAACATACCAGCGGCGCCTTCAAAACATTTATCCAAGCACTCGCCAACGAAAACCATTGGCTCCGTCGACGAGAGAATCACGAGATGTTTAGCTTGAACCTGAAGGCGATGTTTGCAAAGATGCGAGAGTTCCAGGTCGCTGAGGCTAAGAGGGTAGCCCGGTTGCAACAAAAGAAAGCGGATGAGATCTTAGCATTCTCGTTAGGCGTACAGTTTGTTGAGGCGTCTGCTCCGGAGACTCAAAGTCATGTTGGAAGAGATCACCTCTCTCCTGACTCCTCGAAGCAATCCATGTCGAGCGTTTGGGCTAGCATCCCAGTCCAAGCCCGCAACCGGTCACCGCTTTCGCTCTCTCCGCTCCAGATCAGTACACACTGGCGACCGAGCGCAACGTCACCCATGTCCTTCTACGCAGACATGGAAGATTCAATCTTTGAGGATGTCTCCCCAATTTCAGAGGAGTTTGCCACTGAGGAGTTGGAGGGATATAGTATCGTTGGTAACAGCACTGTTCATCGTTTTGTTGAGCGCGCGTTTTGGGGTGGTCCACGCCAGGTAGAGACAGAGTCTGAGCTTGAGGCATTCACTGAGCTGGGAGACCAGACAGTGAATGGTATTGCTGGGCGACACTCCGTAGAGCCCATAGGACATTAGGATAGGAGTTTAGGTCGGTTTTCAGGTCATTATTATTAGCACTATACCCTTGGGTGGCAATCGTTTGTTTTTTGTCAGAAATAAATTTCTTCATGGCTGTATATTGCTCTTTGCTCTTGTGATGTTTATGTGGGTGACTTCACCTGTTCATACTGTCGCACCTTTCGGTACATTATCAGGAAAGTGAGGTCCCTAATACCTAGCTTCATGCTATGTTCACAAGGGCAGCTAGATGGATGGCGTCCTGGGTCTTGAAAACTACTAAAGTTGTGCACTCCTGGTTATGATCATGCAATTGACCTATGATGCACAGTATTTTCACGCCCTTTGAGTATCTTTACAGGATGCAAAGTCGTCTTTCTGCCTGTTGCTAGCTTCTCTGGATGGCTAGGAGGATCGTAGCAGGTGTCGAGAAATTAGTTAATGTTGCGCATTGTAGACGTTTACGTGACTGGTTTGTGTTAGGTAGCGCGTTTACAGTCTGTACAGTGCTTTATTATAGAGAACAGTCTCCTTCCTATATCCTACTACGCTTAGGTGAGGAGCCGACAGAATAGCGTCTTATGTGTTGAATTACTGCTTAATGTATCATCCAGCACCCTGACATAAAGAGAGTTGCCTACTTACTCTTTGCTAGGTTTAGCTAAACTGCTAAAGTAGTAGCGTCTTTGTCGAACTAGGAATTCGTGCATCTTACGGTACTCTAAATGGAAGGAGAGCTAGTCAGTTGCCTATAGCTAGAATTCGGTGAAGAGCTATAGAGGCAGTGTCTGATATGTTGAATTCCTACCAAATACATCTTACGGAATATTAACTTGGAATACAGCTCAGTGCTTGCCCTTTGCTGGGGTTAGGTGAACTGCTAAAGGGGCAGTGTCTTGTGTATCGCGTTACGACGCAATGCATCTTAAGGTACTTTAACCAGATGGAGAGCTTCCCTACTGTCTCCTGCTAGGCGCAGGCGAACGGCTAATGAGTGGACATCTCATGCACGAAATTACGACTCACGCGCTCCCTGGTATCTAATTAGAAAGGAGAGCTGGGTTCTTGCGTCTTGCTAGGTGCGAGAGAGCCACTAGTCAGGTAATATTATATGTTTTGAATTGCTACCCAACGTTTCGAGTGGCTTTCGATTAGGAAGGAGAGTTGTGTGGCATCTCGATAGATGCGACGGAACGGCTCAACAGGTGGCATCACCTGTCTAAAATTCTCTCTTAGCCAGCACTATGCTAGATATAACTGCTCCTCTACTGTATTCACCATCTGGAATACCGGGAGAAGGGCGAACGACTCGGACTGTGGATATTTCCAACCATGTTACATTTACACAAAGTTCACTTCCGGAATGACGATATATTCGAACCCGACGCCACCCACTCAACGGCTGAATTCTGGAACAAGTATGAGGGCTGGACTTTATGGATGAAGCGCCGCGGCGGTCAGTAGATATTTTATCAAACCGATTATTGTTCACCCTGAGCTGCGTATCTTGCCCACGCACTAAGTCAAAGTATTTCTATAATTTGTAAATCTCCGAGAGCAGTTTTCTGTCTACCTCCATCTTTACCTCCGTTCTTCCCTCCCATCTTCTTCTACCTTTCCTGCTATTGGATCCCCAGGCCTTAAATGAGAGGAGAAGTCCACTAGTCGTCCTTAAAACAAAGATAACTCCTAACCTGATCATTCATTCCCTTCGCTAATAGATTACTCTCTCCTGGATACTTGAGCTCGAGGCTGCCATCGAAAAGATCGTCGCAGAAAGCGTTTCTAGAAATCGCGCCTCGTAGTTAGCGTTAAGTGACCTAGCGTTAGGCGAGAGCGGGGAAAAGAAGTACCGAAAAAACAAGCATTTAAGGCCTGGATCAGGGCCAATGCTAGAGGCCTGTCCGTCAAGCTGAATACAGTGTTCTTTCTCACCGCCCAGACATTCGAAGTAATGCTTGCAACCACCAGTCCAGTTTACGTCTTTGCATATGTACACCTATGGAGCTCATCGGAATCGCATCTCAAATCAAGTATAAGAGTGTTGCCAGAGGCGGGTAAGTTTGGGATGGGGATTGTGGAATGGCAAGCCTTGAAGTGGTAGAATTTAGGAGGGGAGATGAGAATATTAAAGGTAAATCAGGTTACGTACACCAGCTTTCTCGCAATCCAGCTTGCTTTGGATGGATCTTGGCGATGGCGACAGTGCTGAGGTCTCGCTGTATGGTGCTTCCAGCGGTGCTTCGGCAGGGGCTGCGACTATGACGGTTGTGAGGAACCATGAGATGAAGAAATGGAGTAAGCGTGTCATGTTGAAAGGCTTGTTCCAGATCGCGGCTGAGCAGAGAGTTTGGACCTCGATTTAGGCGGAAAGACGACCTGAAGGCTGCTGATATAGAATGTAGGCATCTCAGCTCCACTTTATACTCATCCGTCAACGCGACTCCACGAGAAGGACAGCAAGGCACGGCATCATTTGTGGCCGCATCTCGGAGCAAGATGGCATTGGTGATTATGGTGTGTTGTTTTGATGTGTCTGGATCGAATATGGTGAAGGGGCCGTGACAGTTGAGGTTCTTGTCACGTTACACACGAGCTACTCCGTATGTCGTGCGTGCAACGGAGTGGCGTAACGCATCTACGAAGGATTTTGCTAAAACCAGGTCGAATTTGACGGAGAATATTGTTGGGGAGGACCAATAATGTTGTGAGATGGGTTGTGGGGGCGCAGAGATTCTAGTGCGTTTGCTTCCTGATAGGGGAGAGGCTGGTTAAAAGGCCTCAACGAAAGTAAATCATGTGTGCGACTCCCGAACCGCCAACCACATTCGTGTAGTACGAACCAAACACCAAGGCGGACGGAAAACGGGTCACAGACATCCATCTCGTGGTAGCTCCAAGGTGAAACAAGTGACGGTCGCAACAGTCGCAACAGTTGCAGTCCCTTACTCTCTCCTAGCCTCCCTAGTCTATTAGAATACCGTAGCGTATACAAGAATACATACAACGCGATCGAGTTGATTCAGTGGTATCTCCGCGTGCTAAGAGCAAAACAATCCCGTCCCTAGGCTCAACGCCGGGAGCCAAAATGTTGCGCCCAAATGTGTCCACAGATTGGAAAAACGTACCCTCCCTTCCCTCTCCATAGCGCGATTAAATCAATGGAATTATGACGCCGGCCTGTCGGGTTCGTCATGTCGTTCGGGTTCGTAAGTTGTCTCACCGAGCATACTGGAAGCCGTGGGGGCTGCAGGTGGGGCGGGAGCAGATGGCCCTCGAGATGCTGCGGCGTGTAGTCGCTGGTCCAAGGCTTTGAGAGCAAGAGCTCGCCTTCGCTCGGCTTCCGCGCGCGTTGCCCCGCCCCGCCCGCCGCGACCGCTGGGGTTCATTATGCTGGGCAATCCTCCCTCCGCGCGGGCACTCGCCTGCTCATTTCCGGCGTCGATATCCTCTGCAGAGAACGGGGTGCACACTTTCAGCGCTATTAGGGTATTGTACACCTGGTCGGACAGCTTCGCCATGGGCGTGTGGATGGGCTCGGGGAAGAAGTAGGCAAAAGCGAAAGTGTCCGAGGCATCACCCCTGATGACAGAGCCGTCACCGGTGGCGGCTGAGGACAGCGATGGGCTGATACGGTAGAAGCGGAGGTACACCCAGGCGGTAAAGAAGCCGAACCAGGCGAGGAACATGGCGGTCTCTGTTCCCAATGCGATGCCCGAGATAGTGTTCGCGAGGAGGAAGATGGCGGGGAAATGCTTGACGCGCATGCGAACGAGGCCCTTGGCGATTGCGACAGTGTGCTCAGGAACGAGCTCCTTGAAAGAGACGAGGAAGCCGGCCTGGATGGCGATGCCGCCGGAGATGGTTGTAGTCCTAAGAAATTAGCGAGCGCGGGGAGAGTCGCAGGTCTGAACGTACAGAGTAGCAGCATTTTTAGAAAGAAGGTAGCCGAAGATGTAGAGAAGGAAGCTCAGAAGATTGGGGATCATGGAGACGAAGAGGATGAATTTGGTGAACTCGCTGGAGCCCCACGCGCGCTCCAGATACCGCCCGCCATAGAAGACGGTAAGCCCGGTGACGATGAGACCCAGGACATTTTGCTCCACCACGGTTGCCAGAAGGAAGACCCAGGGATATATGACAGACGACCCGGGGACGATGGCGAGGTAGGGGACACCGTTTCCGACGCTGGTCAGCGGCTTCTCGACCTTTTCTACCCAGTTCCCCTGCGGACGCAGCATGGCGTTGAGGACTGTGAAGGTGACGACCGAGGCGAGCAGAGCCCGGGTCAGCGGTGGGAGATTTATTCGGGCCATTTGGAGCGATGTGTAAAGCGTCTCTCCACCGGCAAGGACGCGCGCGCGCTGTAGAGACTGGAGGGAGAGGAGCCAGAGTGGCCGACTCGATTCGGCTGCTGAGGCAGATCGGGCTTGGCGCCTGGCCGTCTCGCCGTCTGTGCCTTGCCGATCCTGGCTTGCCGCTAACTGGAACGTCCGCCTTGGACAGCCCCAAACTACTACTTGCTCTTCTGCGCTCCCTCGTCTACACGCCAGCACGCCCTCACGCTGCTTTCCATCACTCGATTCCCCTGCCAGCCCCCTCGCCTGCCTCGTCTGACTCCCTTGCCGACGCGCCCGCCTGTCGAGTTCCATCGCGCGCGCCTCCGCCCGGCCCCAGCCATGCGCCATGACCGCGGACACCCTTTCGTCTAATGTGGTGAACTACTTGGTGTGGAGGTACCTCCAGGAGGCTGGTATGCCGTCTATTTCTCCCCCTCCATCTGGATGCTGATGTCCCGCAGGCTTCGGTCACGCTGCTCTTCACCTGTCCAAGCACTGGATTCGCGATCCTGAGAGTCTACCCTTTACTAAAAACGTCCCCCGACTCGCCCTCGTCCACCTCCTTCAGGATGGACTCTTCCTCGATCAGCTTCAATCCGAGACTACCAACGTATGCATCAGATCTCCGGCCATCACCTCCTGTTGACGAATGCTGACCCTTGGGCAGTGCCAGCGACGCTTTGATTTCGGTCGCGATCATGGACGGCCCTTCTCAATGCGCAACGGCGCGACCCTGACCCTGGACCAAGGAATTCCTGCCCACGAGCTGGCCGAGCCGTCAAATGGAGCCGTTCCTGGCGCCGTGCAAGATCATGTTCCGCGGAAGGGCCCTGGGAAGAGGAAACGCGCCCCTCCCAAGACGAACGGCATCGAATCCCGCATCCTTCCTCAGATGAACGGCGATGCCATGGACGTGGATCATAATGGGACTAGCCACGTGACTAACAGTGTGCGCGCCGAATCTGAGGCCGTTGCCTCCGACGTCGACTCCCCCACTGTTGACCAGATTCCCATATCGACTCTCACCATCGGCCAAACCAGCTCGACGCAGATCGAGAAGCCAGTAGACCTCACTCCAGACACGAGAATGGTGTCCATCAAAGAGAAAGACAAGCGCGTGACAATAACACAGTGGGCACCCTCGCCTTCTGGATCGTTCCTGTGCACAGTTGGGGATTCTCTCCTGCGCGCTCACGCCATACCTCTCGCTGGCGATGACTCCCAAACTATGTCTGGGGACCTGGCTATCCAGCCTAATAATTTCAGCCCTACTGCATTTTGTTTGGCCTCGCACGACAAGGTTTTCCTTTCGGTCAGCGAGAAGCTTGTCAACGAGGGAGGCGAGACTATGGAGACAGAGAAGTTATACAAAGTGACGACGAGTACGACGGACAATGCTTCTGAATACCGCCTCGTCTCTTCAACTGCTGGAGTAGTCCTCGCCATTATATGGAACGAGTCCACGGAATTGCTTTTGACCTTGTCGACAGACGGAAAAGATGGGTCGATTAAAATCTGGAAGGACGACGACTCCAGCTCCGAACAGATTCCAAAGTGGGCCACCTTCACAGAGTCCTCTCTGCTTGATGCTTGCTGGATTAGCGACTCGGAATTTGTCGTGTGTGGTACCGAAATTTTCCAGGTGTACGAGATTACAGACTCGCTACGCCTAAAACAAACGCACCAAACGAATGTAAAATGGGAGAAGGTCCTCTACGACGCACCATCCGGCATCATTGCGGCTAGATCGATGATCGAACAAACGGGTTTTCTCGGTATAATCTATCCTAACGATCCGGGGAACCTGCAAACACATCGATATCCTGACCAGTACTTGACCGACATTGCCTTTAGACCACAGTCGAAGACAGCTTCCTTCCTGCCCACTTCGCCGGTATTGCTTGCAACCTGCTCAGCAGATGGATTCAGCCGGCTATGGGATGCAAATCAGCCGTTGAGATGCCTCCGGAAACTTACCGCCGAAAATGGAAACAATCAGAAGGAGAATGTGTCTTTCTCTCCCGACGGGTCTTTGCTTGCGGTTGCCGGACCGCATGATGTCATCGTGTGGAATCCGGACAGGACGGTGGCCCCAGTTGCTACTTGGGATGCAACGGAAATAGGCAAAGGCAATTGGGATCCTGATACCGAGGGCCAGTTCACTCTTGGATGGGACCCGGATGGCTCGAGATTTTCGGTCACGCTTGGGAACCAGGTCAGCTACCCAAGAACATGTGCATCCTTCCGCTGCTAACAAGCTTTAGATTGCCATCGTACCTTTCCCGAGGTAGTCCAAGGCGACGCCCAACACAACGGCTTTCTTGGGTACTTGGGCGCCGCATTGGCTAATACACTCGGATATAATAGAATTAACAAGTCGCATCCCGGCCATTGGGAGAAAACACTGAGGCACCTCCCTGGAAGACATTGAAGGAGCCGCAAGCCGCCATAGCCAACTTCGCACAGGGACTTCGACGCCGCAATCCACCGAAGTCGCATGTGAGATGCTTTTGCGCAGAGGAAGGGAGCCGGATGCTCACGTACATTACATTGTACGTCTCTAAGAGAGCGACGTTGTCCGAATCAAGAACATGGGAACGCTTATTGCTTGCAAAGGATGGACTATCCCCTGGCCGAATCATAGTCCTCGTCCTCAAAGTCTGGCGGTGAGATCACGTGCAGCGTGATGCCAAAGCGGGGCAGTCCGAGCTCGAACTTTTGTGGGGGGAACAACTGAGGCGGGGAAACGCGAGCGGAGACGCGGAAGTGCTGATAGGATCACCTCCCCATGACGACTAGGACCACTTCCGCTCTCCAAAGCCGCTTCGGCATCATGAATCCATTCCTGTCGCGCCACCCTCTTTAGATCCTTTCGGCACTTCGACAATGCCTCATAGCCGACTGTCGCATCCCCGAGTCAAGCAATGCCTCGCTTCTAGTCACCACCCTATATGTAGTATGATGCTTTCAATAAATGGCTGTCTTCTCATCTTCGTAGTCCTCCTCGCTCCTTCCGTCATTCCTCTACTCTCGGCTCATCTTGTGAATTCACTCAAGCTAGAGCGATTACTCAGATTCCATTTTCCTTAATCGTCATGTCAGCTATCCCGAACCTTCCTGAAGTTATGCCCGCAATTGATGGTAACGTCGACGGCATAGCGGGTACTCCTAACTTCCCCTTTAAGCTGCACGACACACCCATCGAGAACTTTCGCCCTATAAAAATCATTGTCATCGGCGCTGGCTACTCGGGCATTTATTGCGGTATTCGAATACCCGAGAAGATCAGGAACGTGGAGCTCGTCATCTACGAGAAGAATGAAGGAGTGGGCGGGACGTGGTGGGAGAATAGGTGGGTCCACCTATGTGAACGCCTGCAGAACACCTGCTGACATGCATCGGGGCAGATACTTAGGCTGTGCCTGTGATGTGCCTTGTAAGTTCTTCGCTAAAATCAATTCCATACGCCATGCATATGCGACGTCCATTCATCGCTAACGACCCCACCCAGCACACTCATACCAATTCTCCTTTGAACCAAATCGGAACTGGTCGTCCCTCTATGCTCCCTCGGCAGAAATACAGACGTACCTCGAGGGCGTCGCGAAGAAGTACTCTGCAGATCGGTTTATCAAGCTGAGCCATGAGATCACGGAATGTAGGTGGGATCAGCAGAGTACGAAATGGCAGGTTACGGTAAAGAATTTGAAAACGGGCGAGGTCATTCATGACACAAGCGATGTGTTGATAAGTGCGAGGGGGAACTTAAACAACCCTTCCTGGCCCGAGATCGAGGGGTTCAAGAGTTTCAAAGGGGAAGTTATGCACTCTGCTAGATGGAATGAGAGGTATGGAGCTACCTCTCTTGCATCTAAAAGAACCATAACCTAATTATTTGCAGCTACGATTTCACAAACAAACGCATCGCAGTGATTGGCTCTGGTTCCTCCGCTATCCAAATCGTTCCCTCGTTACAGCGCCTCCCAGGAACCCACATCTCCACTTTCGTCCGCAGCAAGACTTGGATCTCCCCATCTTTCGGTCAGCAAATTTGGGATAAATACGGCTTTGAGGGTTTCTCAATATCCCCGGAGATCCGAGACAAATTCCACTCGAATCCAGAATACTTCCAAAAATTCCGGCTCGCGGTCGAGGAAGACAGCAATAGAATACATGGATACACAATCAAAGGGACGCCTCTTCACATCGGTGCAAAGCAGATGTTTGAAGAGCATATGAAGAAGAGATTAGGAACCCATCCTCATATCTTCGAAGCCCTTCTCCCATCCTTCTCCCCGGGGTGTAGAAGACTGACCCCCGGACCAGGATACCTCGAAGCGCTAACTCAACCAAACGTCGACTTCATCACATCTCCAATATCCCATATCTCCGAACACGCGATCCACACTAAAGATGGGCAAACTCACAAAGTCGACACGCTCGTCTGCGCGACAGGCTTCCAGTCCAGCCGCCCGCCGCCCTTCGAACTTATCGGCGCAAACAACCTCTCAATTAGAAAGAAATGGGAAAAGCGCGCAACAACATACCTGTCGCACTCAATCTCTTCATTCCCAAACCTTTTCACCATGCTTGGTCCCAATGCCGCCATTGGCTCTGGCTCGCTGACTATAATGATCGAATCTGTGGGTGACTACATAGTGAAATCGATCCGCAAGATTCAGAAAGAGAATATTGCCTCCATGGTTGTAAAGGCGGAGCGAGAAGAAGATTTTACCGAATACGTGGATACGTATTTCGAGGGCACGGTTTTCACCGAGGAGTGCAGGAGTTGGTATCGGAATGGCGGGACGGGGGAAGTCGTCGGGTTATGGCCTGGAAGCACGTTGCATTGCATGGAGTGTATGCGGAGTCCCAGGTGGGAGGACTTTGATTACACTTACCTACAGGACTCCGACATGGGAGCAGATTCCTCGGTGGAAGAAGATGGACAGGTTAAGAATCGACGGAAGAAGAAAACCAATAGGTTGGCATGGCTGGGCAATGGTTGGAGTATTAATCAACTGGAAGAGAAGCATCTTGCCTGGTATTTGTATCCTGAGTTTCAGGATAGTCCAGTTTCTCCGCTGCCAGAGGAGAAGGAAAGCTTGAAGATTAGACCATTTTCGAATTGAGATGTAGGTCTCCTTGGTCGTAGAGACTTGAATAAAGATTAAAATAAACGCTTTTATCCTGAAATTCGAAAATTCCATTCTTAATTTTTTATATTTCATAAATATTTTTTTTCTACAAGCCGGATGAAGTAGAATGACGGCCGTGACATCATATACTCGTTCAATTCCAGCATCCCACCCAAACCCAGGTTATGAAACAAAAGCCCAAACGCTTAATCCAAATCGAACCAAGCCACAAGATCTCAATCTGGTCCCCAGCTCGGCGCCCCCTCGATCGCTGGCCTCTCCATCCTCAACCTCGCATGCAACTGGGCCGACTCATCCATCCTCTCAGTTACCGCAACCTGCCTGCTAACATTCCTCTCATACAACTCCTCCTTCTCCTTCAGCATTCGCCTCTCTACACTCGCTCTATACTCTATCTCGTCTTTCCTCTGCTTAATCAACCTCGCCTCTTGCGCAAAGCTAGCGCTAGCCTTGCGATCCTCGATCTGCAGTCGTTCGGCAGCGAAGTTGCGCTCCTGCTCCACCTGCAGAGTATGCCATGCCACTTTCTCCTGCCTCTTCATCCGTTCGGCCTCGCGCACGCGGTGCATCTCAAATTCGTGTTTTTGTGATTCGAGTGTTGTCCACTGCGCCTGTGCTGCGGCCGCAGCCGCCATTTCCGCATCCTGTTGTTCCTGTTTCCGCCGTAGCGCGTCTCGATGCGTCGACTCCTCTAGCATGCGAGCATGCTCGCTTTGTTCCTTTGCCAGCTTGAGAGAGAGCTGGTGTTCCTTTTGCCGGTCTGCAAGCTTCTTGATAGGCACGGGTATGCCAACCGCACCAATTGGTTGCTCGGCGTTCTCGGAGTAGTATTTAGGTTCACATCCTTTGTCCTGAAGCAACTCGATGAGCTCTTGCTTGTAGCGGTTGCGGCTGTGGCTCGGGACTAGTTCGACGTATTTGATAGGCGAGTACCACAGTCCGGCCGCGTCACGGTACATGTGTCTTTCGTCGTTGACATCTTCCCATACTTCAGTTTCGAGCAGAGCATCCGTAACGTCGAGTGGGGAATGGGGGTTGTCGAGGGCGAGGAAGATGGCAGATTTCTCATTGCGCGTTTTGAATTTGGGATTTGCGCCGTTGGAAAGGAGGAGGCTAATTAGTTGGCGGAGCTTGGTGCGTTGGGCGCCATTTGTGACATCTGCGTTTAGACAAAGTTCTCCCAAGGCGTTTCGTCCATTGTGGAGGCGACAGGGAAAATTAGGATTATGCCTTCCACTCTTAATGAGGATAGTAGCGACCTCTAGTTGTAAGCATCTAACTGCCTCGTGCAGACTCCCATCGTCTTTGAGAGCGTGGGCTGATAGGGTTTGTACGATGGAGGTGAGTGAGGTCCTACTGGCATAGAATAGCGCGGACCGATTCCACTTATCACGGACAGAGGCATCTGCCCCTCGTCTAATCAGCTCTTGGATGATGCCCGAGCGGCCTTCACGAGCGGCGAGCGTGATCGGACTGAGCTCGGACTTAGAAGCGGAGCGAGTTGGGGATGCTATAAACGTAGCTAGGTCAGCGATCCGCTAGGTAGCTAAGAAGATGACTAAGGTGAGAGCAATGAAATGCGTATGAATAACTTACCTCCTGCATTCAACAACGCCACTACAACTGGAATCGAGACCATCTTTTGCGGTTGCGCCAATGCCCATACTAGAGCCGTTACACTCTCTTCACCTACCGCTGGCTCAAGAACATAGAGTGTAGTGACATCAGGATTGCAGCCATGATCAAGGAAAAGCTTAACGAGGCTCTCACTACGAGGGTACTCTTGCAAGACCAAGACCATGGCGGGTGTTTTGAACGGGCCACGATTAAGAATCTCAAGGTGTTCTGATGTACATCCTTGATCCAAGCACAATTGCATTGCCTTGAAAATGACAGATTCGTCAAGCCTCGCACGAATTAGAGCCGGAACGAGAGCATTAAAGTCGGGTTCGTGTGCAAGTAATTTTGCAAAAATGTTCAGGTCCCTCCGTCGTGCAGCGGAGACGAAGCATGCCCCATCAGCTACGTTGACGTTAGCTCTATAGTCAAGAAGCAAGCCAATGACTGCCTCCGTTTCATGGTCTTGATTCGCCGGGTCGAGTACGCTCCGTAAAGCCGAGTCTATGACAGATTGCTGGACCCCTCGAAGGAGGAGCTCTGTTGCGATTCCGAGTCGATTCCTTGCTCTGGTGTTCCCTTGGGCCACAGAATCATGGAAGAGAGAACGGAATGCCTTCGTGATACTTGGCTTTGATGGAATCTCCTTTCCTCCCAATAGGATTCGGATAAGCTCGTCTGACCCAGAAGCTACGGCAATACTCAAAGCTTCGCCATCGTTAAAATTGACGGAGGCTCTATGCTCGAGTAGGACTTGAAGAACGGCTGTGTCATTTTGGCTCAGAGCTTGATGTACTTCAGCCACAAGTGCTCTATCAAGATACTCTTGAGCAACGCCCAGGTTGAGAAGAACACCTAAGATTGGGATTTTCTTTTGGCGATCTTGTAAAGCGATAACATACTGAAACCCGGGGCCTAATAATCTCGGGTCAGTACCGAGGAGACGGTTAATTATGTCGAGGTTCTGGGGACCGCCGTTTACCGCTATCTGGAAAGCCTGAAGGACTGGTCTTTCTTCCTTGCCATTAGCAAGGAGAAGGTCTATCATTTGAAGTGTTGTCGAATGCCTACTTCCCGTAGATTCGAATGTCAAAGGTAGAGCAGCCGAGGTTGTGTGGGAATATGGCTTCGATTTGAGAAGCAATTGGAGAATTGGAATATCAGCTTGCCGGGTAGCAAGACTAATAGCTTTTCCATCGTCATAATTGACGTCTGCTTTGTGTCTTACAAGCTCTTCAATTAGGGCCAAGTCTCTTGAGGAGGATGTATCCGCGATTGCGTCAACGAGTGCGGTGTCTATCTCTACGCCTTGAGCACCATGTTCGAGGAGGATACGTGCAGTCTCCAATCGCTCGGATGAAGAGTATCCTTGGCGGAGAAGAGGGAAGACTTTGGCAAGAGCTGATGGCGGTGGTCGCACGCTTAAGAGCTTTTGAAGAGTTCGTATATCCTTTCTCGCTACCGCTGCATAGATGGCTCTATAGTCCCCAAAGTCGAGTGGAGCTCCGGCATCGACGAGAATGTCCGTTAATAACGAGTCGCCTTCATCCACAGCTAATATGAGCCAGCGTCCTAGGGGTGGGCCGCTAGCACCTTTCTGTACTAAAGTGTTTATGAAGCGCGACCTGTCAGATTTAGAGGTATCAGCCGGGAGGACAGCGAGAGCAGCCGATGCATGGGCAGGAGAGATAGGGGTTTCGAGAATCGCATTAGCGAGCGCCCAATTCGAGTTGGCTATGGCATTTCGTAGACACTCGGCCTCGTTCAAAGCTGTTGAAACTCCATAGTGGATCATTAACAGCGCTAGGGGGGTATCGTTGCGCTTTGAAGCTGTGAGGAGAATTCCGGATAGACCAGGACTATCTGGAGGGAGACCACAACAAAACAAAAGTTGGAGGAAGTGGTGAAGCTCTTGAGCAGTTGGCATTCTTAAAACAGGTTCGAGGCAACCCTGGATTGAGAAGACCGTTAATGGTATTGGCCCAGCGACCAAAGCAATGGCTAGCCGGTATTCCCGAGCTGTGAGTGCCATATTGAGAGCACTAGCTCCATTGAAGTTTGGATCAGCACCGTACCCAATGAGCAAAGATATGACCGGCTCGGACTTTTGCTGGACAGCTGCGGGAAGGCATGATGAAATGATCTCCGGGCGAAAAGCTTTCGGAGCCCTTAAAAGCAAGCGAATGAGATTTTGATTATTCGATCTGACAGCATCAGCGAGCGCGTTCGGGAACCTGTTGCAATCTGCACCGTGTCGAAGTAACTCTTGGATACAGGAATAATCATTCGCGGCCAACGCCGCGTTTAGTGCCTCATCCAGTGCTACCTGGTCGGCTCCGGAGCCTGCAAGGAGACTGACAGAGTCGGCCCTTCTCAAAGTAGCAGCACGCTGCAGGACAGTGCTTCGCCGTCGAGCCGCCGCACCAGCCTTCTTCAATCCTTTGTTCTTTTTCTCATCTTCAGGTTCGATGAAATTAACTTTCGCCCCGAGGTTCAGAAAAGCCTGTACTAGTCCAGAACTCGTTGCAGGCTTGTCAATGACCGCCGAAAGCGCCTGGTCAAGTTCCTCCTGGGAGAATTCCCATCTTTCAGTATCCTGGAGCTTCCCCTTCTCTTTCGAGGTCCTAAAAATGTATTTCAGTTGCTTGCCTGGGTCTCGGTAATCTGGATTGTTTCGTCTCTGATCCACGAGTAGGTTTCGGGCTTGCGTATGGTCCTCTTCACTTGCGATATTTGCAGGCTGTGAAGGAGCCGGTAGACAAGGCTGTCGGACAAGGACTGGGGTAATCCCGGCATCTTGGATAAGCTCTTGAAGACTTCGTCGGGCCTTCATGGTGCTTGAAATAGAGTATAGCAATTCATCACCACGTAGAAAATTCTTTGCTACTTTTCATCAATCCTTCTGGTCAAGTTCGTGTTGCACACGTCAGGTTGAGGCTGTGTCGGAAGTTAGGAATGCCTTTGGCGCTAGTCCGGTAAAAGCAAAGTCCGGGAAGGAAGCACGTAAGATCGCTGTTTTCACCAGACCCCACCATTCGTTTCCCTCAACACCCACATGTCCTCTCGGACTTGTGGGGTCTGTCAATTTCTCATCCACTTGCGACTGTTTAGGATTCACTTTCATGCAGCCTACCACGCTCTTCGCATGTTGGGAACGTAACGACACAGGGCTGAACGGATAATATAGTGCACACAAGGTGGGTTGAACTGACCGGTCTGATGCCTCTGTAAACTTTCGCGCGTTTCAACCTAGTTTGAGATTTCTGCAGAAGTTACCACCCCTTTCCTCCCATACAGAAGGACTAGACTTTACACAAGAATAGCACGGCACTGCCATCAACGATTCCATCCCGTTAGGAACCGCGAAGGAACCGCAAACGCTGGCAAATTCCTCCCTAGAGGAACCGCCCTTACGAGTCATTCCCGTTTCTGAAGCGCGGCTGTTTCACCAATGTTGTCAAGCTCCCTGGATTCTTCCTATTGGCTAGCGTACGCTTGGTTTCAACTTGCGCACCAAGTTCTGCAGGTACCGTTTCACCTCGACCAACAGTTCTCAGGCCAGAATGTTGGAACGATGTTTTACGCGCAGGTTTCCGCATCCCCAACGATGTTGACCGAATTGTGGGGCGACGATGCCGAACGTCCCGTGCTATCCTCGCTGAACATCTGTCAAAAACATGATTGAAGTGGACGCCAATCCGAGCTTTTCGACAAGAATGGATTGGCTTCTGTCCATTTGAGTCCAACCTGTAGGGTGCCTCCCTACTTTCTTTCACAGCTGCGCGGTCAGCCTGCAGGTACCACGGCATACGGACCTGCTCTCGGCTGCATTTGACGCATTCCTTAGACATCGTTGGCATGTCTCTAGAGGGTTTCGCGTTTTAGGTCTACATCATTCGGGGCTGTTGATGGTTGCGAGAGAGAAAGAAGCATCATGAAATTGTAACGTGTGGTCCTTGAAGTTAGGGGTCTGAATATCGAATGTCCTAACCTGAGCACAAGTATATATTGAAGGCTTCCCCCTCTCAGTTTGGAGGTCTGTAGCATAAATCGTCCATCCGATAAATATTTCTGCCATTCCTTCTTCCTCCCGCTTTATTTTCTCTCGTTTTATTCTCCTCCGTTTATCCTTTCTTCGAGCTCGGGAAGCTCCATTTTTTGAACGTATCATTTCTCAACCTCTTCACGTTCCCTTAGGTTGTATTGTACATCTTCAATAAACTTACAACATGCATTCTTCGCACATACTCACCGGAATTATCTTTCCACTACTCACGCTCGCTCGGCCCTACCTCTCCAACAAACGCCTACCCCACTCTTTATCCCCCCGCCAAGCCAATACCACCTGCGACCTCAATTCCGTCGACCAGCCAGAGAACACCATGCAAGCACCAGATGAGGGCCTTTCACTTGTGCTCATCGCTCTCGGTCGGGGCACTCAAAACTATACCTGCGCCAACGAAACTGCGGCACCAGCAGCCATCGGCGCTCTCGCACAACTCTTCAACGGCTCTTGCGCCGTTGCAAACAACGAACTGGGGTCAATTGCAGAAGACGCCGCGGCCATCGGGATGCATTTCTTTGTCGATAACACAACTCCCGACTTCGATATTATCGGCTTGGGTAACACTGAGCTGAAAAGGGTTGAAACAGCAGCGGCGCCGGCCGCTACTGACGTGCCCTGGCTGAGGCTCGAGGCTCAAGAAGCAGGCACCACAAGCCCGGTTAAAGAAATTTATCGGTTGAATACACAGGGCGGTGTTGCCCCGTCAAGCTGTACGGGCCAAACTGCTGGAGGAGTGGTCACTGTTGACTATGAGGCACAATACTGGGTGTATGCCAACACTGAGGAAATGGAGGCGCAGAGGAGGAAGAGGAGTTTAGGGTTGTCGTTGGCTTGATTATTGGCCGGTCGGCTAATCACCCATCCCAACAATTGTATTGCAAGCTTATAAACAGTCTCCCGAGTGTCAGAGTCGCGTGACGCCTAAGCTGAGATTCTAGAAGAGATTTATATGAAGTTTCGCGCGAGACATGCACTCTGGAATTGCGGGGTGGTAGCGCATACATATAAAGGTCTTTTGCAAGGCTTTCCTTTAGTGCAAGGTTTTCTCGCCCAACACATCTACTAGCTAGTCTATCCGTTATGAAGATTATTATCGTACTTCTAATCACACTCTCCACGTTCCAAAATGCAATAGCGCACTGTAGGTACCTTCCTAGCCCATCCTCTATTCACTTCTCTTAAATGAATGATGCAAATTCCTGCTAGATGTACTAAGCCGCTTCATTGCCAACGAAACGATCTTTCCAGAATGGAAATACGTCCGGTAAATTCCTTCCCATGCCACAATCCATTTTCCCATCTCATCCAATCAACATGGCAAGCTGAATCTCTCTAGACGTGTCACACCTAACACGACAACACCTCTCGCCGAGCACACATACCCACATTACGACATCTCATCCCCCAACATCCGCTGCGGCCGTGGGGCAGGAACATCTGGTCCCGGCTCGGAAATCGCGACTGTGGTCGCAGGCTCCGTAGTAGGATTTCGTCTTGATCTTTGGAATGCTCCGGTCTGCTCTCCCTCTCTATTCATATCCAAAGTTCCATCAAGTTGAGACAAATACAGTACGTGATGTTCCACGACGGACCACTTCTTGCGTACATGAGCAAAAGTCCAGAACAAACGAGGGATGGGTTGAAAGAATATGATGGGGGAGGGGAATGGTTCAAAATCGCACAAAGAGGACCATATAACAAGACGCGTTGGTTTGCTGAATATAACAAACGCTTCTCGGAGTTTAATTTCACGGTCCCGCCAACGACTCCTCCTGGATTCTATCTCCTCCGCGGCGAAAGTATATACCCGCATGACACATTCAACCGTACGCAGTTTTATATGAATTGCGCGAGTGTGGAAATCGTGGGTGGCATAGAGAGTGAGAGTGAGCCTGGCCCTCTTGTGAGGTTTCCGGGGGCGTATGATGATTATGATGAGGGGATTTGGGTCCCAGGTGAGGTTTGGAATAGGACGGATTTGAGCCGGTATAAGATGCCCGGACCGGAGATCTGGGGAGCTGGAGTGTGAGAGGCTAAGAATTAGGGGTTGGATAGGCTATGAGGTTTTAATGAATTATGGGGCTTAGGAATCTGGGAAGTGGAAGTATCTAGACCTAAAGACACCATCCTCACTCGCTTGGGTACGGCCACGGTGTGAGGCAAACCTAATTGGTACATCACTAAATGTGCGTTGGAGCCCAGTTGTGGTTGTTTCAGCCTCGAAGAGGCACACACCAAGCATATGAAATGAGAGAACTGTGTCTACATCTAATTGCAGTAAGGAAACAAGACCGAAGCTCCACTGGGTACACTCTTAGAGAAATTCCTAATTCTCCTTCACTCCAACCAACTCGTTCGACACCTTCCAAAGCCTTCCTTCCTTCTCTTCATCATAAACATACGATTCGTAGCCAGTATCTAGAAGCGAATACCCAGGCTTCACTGGCTGGGAGACTTGGCAATCCTCCAGATACAGGCCCCCTTTGCCCTCCAACTCCTTATCCAGCGCGGCCCATATCGTCGTCGCAGCGCCCTGTTCCGTAGACTTCATGTATTCTTGAACCGCTGGATTGGCAGCCCACTGGTCCATCTGCTCCTTTGGAGTGTGGATTTGCAGACCAGTCCAGATGCCTCCCGGATGCAAAGAAAAGGCATGCAGGTTCTTCGACCCGTAACGGCGCTCGATTTCGTTAGCCATGTAGATGTTTGATAGCTTAGATTGCCCGTAGCTCTTTCTAGGGTCGTAGATGCCTTCGAGGTTGAGGTTTTCGAATTGCACTTGGCTGTAGCGGTGGCCGGTGGAAGAGACGTTTACGACGCGAGATCCGAATTCTGGAGTGGCGGACTTCAGCATGGTGTCCCTGAGGAGCTGAAAGAGCAGGAAGTGTGCGAGGTGGTTAGTGCCGAACTGAAGTTCGAAGCCGTCTTCGGTGCGGCCTTCCGGGGTCGCCATAATACCCGCGTTGTTGATCAGGATATTAAGCTTGTCGCTCCTTTGGAGAAATTCCTTTGCGCACTTGCGCACGCTTTCGAGAGAGTTATTATCAAGTTCAATGAGCTCGAGGCGGCCCGGTTCAATACTATCCCCCAATGCTTTCTTGGCTTTCTCGAGATTGCGAGCTGCAGCGAAGACATGCATACCAGTCGCTTTCAGCGCTTTAGCGGTGTCGATGCCGATGCCAGAGGAGGTTCCTGTGACTAAGGCGACTTTGCCCTCCATCTTGCCTTCGAGGCCATTGTCTTTAACAATCTGGAGGGCGGTAGGACGGGCATCGCCGGGGCCTTTGGTGTTCTTGTGGGCTTCGACATAGCGGGAAGACATATTTGAGAATGTTGGATAGAATGCAGAGGAATTGAGAAATGTTACTTTTAGTTTAGATGAGAGTAAAGTAGATCGACTGACTCTGTGGATTGATCCGAGCATGCAAATGTATAGGAGATGAAGAAAGAGAGCGATTATATATACTCACGAAGAGTGATTATTGAGGAGCGGGCATACATCCTCAACTGAACACTAAAATTTGAAGCTCTTAAATCCGCCTCGAAGCTAGTGTAGCTTGTATGAACTTTGCTAGGCTCAGATGATTAACTTCTCGTGAATTCGTCCGGAAGTGCATTTGTTCTTCTTAGCCTTGCCTACCTGGAGTCGACTTGGCAAGTTGCATATTTATCTCCGCTGTTGTCCGTGACACGTGATTCTCGCCAAGCTATTCTGCACTTTCATCAGCCCTCTCAGGGTCAGCCGTCCGTCTCGGCGGAGATGATGATGCATTCTCAGCAGCGACTTGATTATACCTCTGGCGGATAGGTCGATAATCTATATGACGTAAGATTATGACCCTGGCATGCATACAAACAAATGCCTATTCCAGACGTTCCTGAAGCCGAATGAACTACCCCATCAGCCAAACGCAAGATCTAAAAGTGCAACCCGGAAGAAAGACCGTGATACAAGGCCTTCATGTATTAAAAGGTATATAGTCCGTGCAATGCCCAATGCTCCCTAATGCCTCTTGGATGTCTTGGTCCAGAAGAACCCCTAATCGTTATGTCGTAGTAGGTACTTTGCAGACCGAAGCTATCCTATATTCCCATATTGAAACAATTCTTGCCTTACTCGTTCTGGGCGGTATGTGGCCGGTCTACCAGGACATATTCAGTGCTGTTGTAAGATGTGGGAGTCTCTGGTAGCGCACCTGGCATGTCCTTTGCGGGCTGGGTCTCGACGCTGGGCTTCTGCTTCTGCCGCGTTTGTGCTTGGACAAGAGGGCTGCTAGGTTCCTCCACATGTGCTTTGTCCTGCTCCGGGAGGGTGCTTTGGAAAGGACTCTGCCGTTCACTATCCTTGCGGGTGTAAGAGGGCGGCGATGATCTGGCTTGCTTCAGCCGCTCCTCGGTTTCACGCAGACGAGCCTCTAAGGCCTCGAGCTCTTGGGCGCGGCTTGTGACTGCTTGCTTCCTATCGAGGGGTCAGCCGGGGAAGGTGGGGAAGGAACGGTGCGGGGAGCACACTTCTGGTGCACCGTCTTGTCGAGCACATCGATAGAGGAATCAATCTTGAAAAGGTCGTCCAATTCGGACAAGAAGTTGCGGGCTACGGTGCTGCAGACGCTGTCAGAATCCGGAGAGGCTTGTCTAGGTAGGGTGGCAGCTCTTACGACTGAGGGCGTCCGTTTGGCTTCCAGCCTCGGTCGGGGTCTTCCATGGCAAGGGGAGATGCGGAGGACTTCCTTTGTAAACCAGAGGAAGCGGGCGCGAATATATATGCAGGACGCAAGACCCCTTTGGCCGTGACCGCTAGAGGAGACGAGATTAGGAGGTCAGCGAAGAGGCTTGGCGAGGATGTTTTTGCTTTCTCAAGACGTAAGGGGAACGGCTCCGGAGATCAAGGGCGTTTCAAAATGCACAGGCGGCGGACTGAAGGGAGAGAGCATGATATGGCCGTCCCTGCTTGAAGTCCTGCGCCGCTTTGGGGGGGGGAGTAATATTAAGAAAAGGAGGCGTCTCCCCATTTCCAGTTGCGTAGCGAGAGCTGATCGGCCGCTTTCCTTGGTGGAGCAAGAGCTGGAGGCCCTTCCACTGGCCACAACACAACAACAACAGCAGCAGCAGCAGCAGCAGCAGCAGCAGCAGCCGCACTGCCGGTTCTCCACGACGCGGAATCCACCACAACGCCTGCACGCCGGCGACCCGCAGCCCTCGTAGCCCCAGCAGTTCATCCAGAGTGCTCTAACAGCTCCCCGTGCGCTGCGCGCTGCGAGATTCGCCGTTTGCACGTGCCATCGCCCTGGGCGGGTTTCTGATTGGCTGCCTCCCAGCGCGTCAAATCCCTCGCAGGCAGCGCTGCAGCGACGGTCGCAGCACACCAGAAAAGCACCACCACGCCTGCCCAAAAATTCATCAACGCGACCGCCCCCCCTCACCCAAACCCCCATTTCCCGTCAGCGCCATCTCCCCCCCGATGCCGCGCGATGCACTGATGCTCATTGTGATCGCAGACCGCCGTCGTGCTGGCTCCCCTCCCACCCTCCTCTCGTCGCCCGCGTGCCCCAGACGCCGTCCAGTGGTACCGGGGGATGAATACTAGCCTGCCCGCATACACCCACCTCGAGTCCCTGCTGCTGTTCCAATCCCTCGCTGCCTATGGCGTAGACCCCTCCATCTTCAGCAGAATCTCGGAGCTGCTGAAGAGGAATCCACACATCACCACCCACGAACGCTTCGAGAGCGGTCGGTTGAGTCCCGATGCACTGCGAAATTTCTACTTGCAAATATTGAAGGACGAGATTAGGAGCGAGCGCCACGATGCCGCGCAGGATGGCGCAGGGCCGAATGGAGATGTTAAGAATTCGCGAAAGCGCAAAGCTCCCAGTCCCAGCCTACCCACCGTCCAGGAAGCAGCCCAGCATGCACACCTCATCCCAAAGCTCGTCGAGAAGCTCTACGCGCGCTACCGCACAGCCATTACCAACCAGATCAGGGAAGAGGAGTACAGGTACGAAAGGCTCCAGAAAGAGTTGCAGGAGATTGAACGCGGCGAGTGGGACAATAGATTTAAGGAAAAGGTCAATGGAACATCGCCCACTTTGCGCAGCCAAAACCTTCCACGGAAGTCACCTCTCCTCCCTCAGAGTCAGCCGCCTCCACTCGGCATTCAGGAGAGCGTGAAACCTACCCTTCTCTCTACGAATGTGCATGTTCCGGACGGGCCCCAACCTGCTCTATTGGAGTTTCCCAAGCCATTACTTCCGCAAAACGGCCAGAAACATGACGAGCGCTCCATGAACAGCGTTCCAAAAGCGTCCCCTCACAAAAAGCAGGTCGCCTTGGACCAGCGGGGCACTTCATCCACGCCTCAACCCCTTGCAGATCATGTCCCTTCTCCACAACCAGATCGGACTGCTCAGCCTCTTCATCCACCACCCAGGTTCCCTCCCCAGGAACTGGCAAACGCTGCACACAATGACTCTCCTCCCCATACCCACAGATCGCCTTATCCTCCCCAAGGACTGCAAACCCAAGCGCAACCTCCCTTAGTTGTGCCGCCATCTCCAAGCCCAATCACGCCAAGTCAAGCAAATCCTCCCAGCCCTCAAGATACTGTTGTCGTGTCTTCTCCCCAAGGGCCGCAATTTCCGTCCCAATCAGTGTCCCAGTACGGAGGAAAAGGTGTGCCTCAATACGGCCCGCCTCCGGCTACTTCTCCGCAGTTTTCTCCAACACAACAACGATTCCCGGGTCCACACCCGCCCGGTTCTCAATCTCCTGGTGTTCAAACACCGCAACAGCAACAACGAAATTATTATGCGCCTTACACAGAACAGCCGCCCTACCCTCCCCCACAGCATCCTCAAATGGGACAATCACAAGGTGGCTTCATGCTACCCCCTTTTCAGGTATCGCTCCAGGATCCATCACGTGCACATCAAACCCCAGCGTCTGCACCACACTTCCCTCGGGTCTCAACTCCCGTCAATGATCGGAAATCCTTGCCTTTAACTAAAATATGCACGCCATCAGTGAGCTCCACCAAGCCCAGCTTTCCACCGCTACATCCACAAGTCATCCAAGCGCTCGCCTCCTTTTCCACGCCTTCAAGCATCCGCACCCCTCGAAGTGCCTTGCAGACACCAAGATCTGCGAAGACAATTTGGAAAGCTTCTGCAATACAATTCGCGCACTCCCCAGCTCCTCGACCATCCGTTAGCCCTATCGATGATATAGGGCCTCCATTCGATCCACCGAAGCAGACCCATTCTAAACCGAAAGCCACCCGCAAGGCAAGGGCAAAAGGCAAAGGAAAGGAAAAGGAGTCGGAACCTGGACCGGTAGAAGAATCTATACCGGAGGTAGAAGGCCGACAGGGTCGAAGTACTCGGAAAACAGCCACGAGAAGAGCAAGGCCTGGCAGTATAGCTTCTTCTCAAGCAGGCACCTCTATTCAAGGACGCAGCAGGAGCCAATCTGTTATGTCTCATACTGAGACCATTGCAGCAGAGACAGAGTTTCAAACTGATTATCAGGTCAAATCTGAACCTGGCACTTCTGTTGATGTTATTGAAGAGGATTCAGCTGGACTTGCCTTACAAACGTCCACTCGCCGGCGAGGCACTACTCAGCCCCTCCAAACCAACAAACGGAAGCGCGCTGCCCGAGAGGCCTCGATACCGGAATCAGAAGACCTACCTGGTACGCCAGGACTACCGAAAACCGTCGTTGCTCCTCGACATTTCTCTCGCATGTGTAATCCAATTATGAATGATATTGGGTCACACAAACATGCATCTACGTTCACCACCGCCGTGAAGGCAAAGGATGCAGAAGGCTATTATGATATCATCAAGCGACCGACAGATCTAAAGTCTATCCAGAAAGCCATTGCAGCTGGAGCGAAAGTTGTAGCAGCTGCCGCTTCTGATACTCCAGCAGGCAGTCCTGGCGGTGGGGGTGGTGTTGTTGAGTTCCCTCTCACTGTCGACGTCATTCCCCCCAAAGCTATCGTTAACTCTGCTCAACTTGAGAAAGAGCTGATGCGGATGTTTGTTAATGCAGTTATGTTCAACGCCGGCGAAGAAGGGGTAGTCGAGGATGCCCGAGAAATGTTTGGAACTGTCGAACAGAGCGTTTCGAATTGGCGCAGTGCTGAACGATCTAGTGGAAGGATGGAGGTCGAAGAGACGCCAGTACCGGATGAAGATGTGCCCACCGCATCCAAACGGAGGAAGCTATGAATGTTGGGTCACATTCCGGGGTCAGCACTGATAGGGACAATAGAATATAGACTTGTAATGTCATTGAATCACTTTTAATGTTCGTTGAAACTTCCTCGTATTGATTCACTGGTCTTGCACCATTTAGCTTATAGAAAGCCATACCGCTTCTCACTAGTTGGACCCTGTGACGTCACCTTTTTCGACATCCAACCTCACCTCAAGCTTCAAACCTTTACTACCACTCATACCTCGGCAGGAGGGAGACCTATAGGACATCCGAACAGTGCGCATAAGAATCTCTCCGAAACTACTACCTCTCTAGGGAAGCCAGCCAGATGCCCTCTTCCATCCTTGCAGAAGAATCCACTCCAAGCATTTCCTGTCAGCGCTTTCATCCTCTCATTCTCTTTCTGATCTACTCGCATTGCCACCCAAGTCACCAGAATGCATCAAATAGAAAGTAAAGAATGTATTACTCAATTTGCTCTCCATTTTACTCTACCTTGGATGGTACTACCTCGTCGTCACCTGACGTATAAAATTTTTATAGCCCCGTTCAGGATAATTCTGACCGGAAAGTGGTCGAGTTCTTTAAGGAATGAGCAACTGATAGTGGCGAAGTGTTGGAAGCCCAACACCAGAGGCTGCACTGCGATACCTGGAGAACTCGGCTCCCACAAATGATATTTCATCCGTCCTCTCGGCCGGAATGGAAGCATCCCTGCGTACATAATCGCCGATAACAACCGCTTCTAAATCGTGCCTCAAACTTCGCGTAACCTCATGAGGATCGCCTGATATTGCCAAGACCCTCAGTCTCGGCCAGCTCCTCCGGCAACATCGAAACTATTCCCTATAGGATTTGCACGCGATTTGGATCTTCCATTCTAGATGAGTTGGGTTTAGGTCTTAGAGGCCTATAACACGTGCCCTGTGGCTGCAAAAAGCCCCTTGCTGTCACCTTCGTCTCGAGACATGTGAACAGCCTGGTACCTTGATTCTGCACGGATACAACGACGACGGAATCGTCCGGATTACTCCCAGAGGCCGTTCCGACTAAAATTCTTTCCCAGGCACATGCCCCGTGCCTGGGTTCCTACATTCGCCCGTTTCTCTCGCTACATCCTCGTAATTAAGTCAGCCGGTTTCAGTCAATCACGCTGTTTTCACATTACAGGCCAAACGAGGCTGCAGTTGTCCAGCTGCCTCGCTGCAGAGGCGGTCAACGAGAATAGATTTCGCGCCAAAATTTGGATGAATATGGGCGGCTTCGGTTACAGTCTTCGGGGACAGCGATACAGCTGTCCTGCTGATTGCAGTGTTCCAGCGCGTGTTGCTGGCGTTTGCTTCTCCGGTCTTGGGTTCGTGCTTGCTCGTAGGTAGATACAGTACGGAATAAATGGCGATAACTAGTAAAACAGCGGGGTGAGCCACCGTGCAGAAAGCCTCTGACATGCTTCATCATGATATCATTCTATGATGCTGTACGAAATACCCTGTTCAAATCTGCTCCCCGCAGTCGCAATCTCTTCACGGACAGTATTGAGTCTCGATCTTGAACCTGGGGATTTTTTTTTCCCGAGTCCCTTTCATCAGATCCTGCAATAATATGCGGTGGAGATAGGAGAGAATGATGCAGATTTCATTCGTTGGTGCAGGAAGCCAACATTTGCCTACCGCTGTGGGACCTCCGTTTCTGCAATCTGGCGCCAAAGCGGCATGACAGGAGAATACCCTCAAGCCGGATCTCGATGGATTGCATATCCTATCCGGGCCGATAAAGAGCCACCCAACATGATTTGGTCGGTGTAAGGCACCGAAAGTTTATCTCAGAATGGTTGAGTCTGATGGGAATTGTTTTTGTTGGAGACAATGTGGTCTCAGAGTGGCATCACTACCAAGACGAGAAGACTAAGCTATCAATGTCGCTTCAAATGCCAGCAGATAGAGAAGACCGAGTTTCGAAAGATAGACCTCCGCATTAGGTATATATTACTCTGACCATTACACACTGGTGCTAGCTGGTACCTTGATAGAGACTTACTCATATGTATCCATCGCTTTAACTCAATCAATAGAGGAAGCCAAGTGGATATCAAACTGAGAAACAGTAACATCGTATTCATCAATCTCCGCTAGCATCAGCACTTGATGAATTATGGAGCTGAGAATTAGGGCTAACAAACCAAATTTAAAAAAAAAACACCACTGCCCACGCTCTTTAGCTGAGACAAAAGACAAATCATAGACAGAGTTTTGGTTGCGAGCCTGGCAACCAACGGAAGAATGAAGGATGGAACTACAAGACGATGTCTCTACGAGTTCATCGACAAGGAGGATGCCGAATTACTTCGTGTCTTACTCCATCCATAGCCCCTAATCTTGGCAGCGTTGGGTCGGATGCCTCTCAGCCTCTCATTCTCTTCCAAAAGCAAGTCTCGCTCGCGCTCGATCTTTTTAATGTAGTCAATAGCACTAGCAAGAACTGTAGCTTTGCTCGGCTTGGGGGGACCGGTCAGGTCACTCGAATCTCGCTGGGGTAGAGTCGGAACGGCACGGCGCAGGCGCTCGAGCTCGGAGTTGAGACCCTCGCGGTACTTGCGTTCTACCTGGTTATGTGGAAGACGGCGGCTAGGCCGCGATTTTGGAGAGTCACCATTGGAGTAGTTGGACGGGTCAGATTCGCTACGGTTCAACTTTGGTCGGCCTCGTTTTCTCTGAACCCGCTTTGGGGCGGGTTCCTCTCCTGCAGCAGTGGGCTCGTCGGGTGACTCACGCTTCAAGGAGCCGTTCGATGGTGCTGGGGAAGCTCGCTGCATTGGGCCATCGCCACAAAGTGAAGGTGTTGGTGATGAATTTCGTGGAGATGGGCAGCTGGATTCGAAAGCGTCGGCTGTGATGGCACCGAATGGGATGCCGTTTGTGAAAGCTTCGTTGTAGTTCCCCAGTCTGCCGAATGGAGCCGGGTTGACCGTAGGCCATTGTGTCATGTTGGCGGTTGCGGACGCGGAAGCGGCGGCTGGCAGAGTGGCGTTAAACACGGCATTGTTTTTTGGGACAAAGCCGGCGGGGAGCTCGACGGAATTGACCGGTCGGTCAAAGAATGAATCACAGTTCAAGAATTCGTCGAGAGAGTAGTCTGGCCGCGAGGTGTAGCTGTCCGCCAAGTAGGCTTTATCGAATGCATCTGGGTAGGAGAAGACCTCGTTGGTGGGAGAATAGTTGGTGTTCGCTACCATGGTGTAAGAAAGTATGTCAGAGGGAACACATTTAAAGGAGAGCTCACGACAGGCTTGTCCTGCATCGACCAAGGGGTCGGGCTGAGTGAAGGGGGCCCAGTCAACGGTCATGATGGTGTTGATATGGTATGGGCGGCAGTAGGAGATGACTGCGCAATCCAAAGTGATGTCAAGTCGACAGGTTGTTGTGTGAAGGACGAAGAGCAGCACAGGATATAGAGGCAATGGTCTTCGTAGAAGTATCTTTGGATAGCTAGCTACCACTCTTCAAGGAGTCGAAGAGTTGAATGAAAAAAGAGCTGAGGTGATGTGGAACTGTCAGTCGAAGATTGAAGCCATTGGACACCTAGGCCTCCTTATATCGTTTGACGGTGCGCCTGCAGAGGAGAGACTTCCCCTCCTCCAGCGCATCCGCCCGCGATACCGAGCAAAGCACCCCTGGCAAACTTGGCGCATCGCGTTCGTCCCGGACGTGCAGCCAGAGGCTTGCAGACTTGGACTCTGGGAAACGTACGATTAACAGCCCATATCTGAGGCCTTGGACGCTGGACAGGGTGCGAGGCCAACCTCGTCGGCAGCGCCCGGTGAAAGGTCTAGATTCTTCGACGGCTTCCCGGGTGCAATCGGCTAAGCCTGAGTGGCACTTGACACCCCGCCGAAACCGATCGCCGATGCGGATAGCACGTGCTCTTGGCAGATTTATTTACGGCTTACGTGGGCGAAAGCTCGTCATAAATCAGCAGATTCATGTGGCGCAAGGCTGGGAGCACACTTCTGGAGCTGCTGCTGTGGAGAATTTTCGTGCTGCGGTGAGTGGATGGCTGAAGGCTGACTTGAATGTCTTTACGTGCGCATATCAACGGTTCAGCAATTCGCGTCAGAGTTTTCTTTGAAGACTCTGATGGACAGCTAAAGAGCATAGTCGGATGGTAGACGAGCCCTCGAGATCTTCCAGTTACCTATCCGGGCAATCCAGTCCTCGTCGCACGAGTGACAATCACGTTGATCGCTGAATCATCTGCCAGTCTCTCCTTACAGTTAAGAATGGAAGACCAGCCCAGTCAGCAGCCCAGATCCTGCAGTCCCCGGAGATCGCTGACCTTGCTAGACGGGTCCAAACGGGTGAGACGATGGAGAATCTGGAGATACTTAGTCAACAGCGCAGCTGTGCTCAAACCTTGATTGGCATAGGAGTTTCTCCCCATAGGGCTCTCTTGATTGTAACGTGACCGATGCCAGTTTTCTTTATATGACCGTCAGAGGACACTTCTGCAGAGAACAGGTGCATGTCACCGTTACTCTGCGTGCAGATGTTCGAGAAATGCGGGAACTTGTTCGGGTTCCCTAGGGTGTTGTGTGCCTTCTTTCTTCCGCATAAATGGTAAGTCAAAGGGAAGAGGATCGCCTGCCGATTTCAGCCAAATCTTACTAAGTGACGACCATTTCACTTCTATTGGGCTGGCTGGCTACCAAAATATTCTGGAACATGCATCGAAAAAACGCACAATTTTTCACTCTACTATTTCAAGTCATGTTCCACTAAGCATTACTGAACGTGTCTCTCATGTTGTGCCTGTCAAGCCTCTATAGCATCAGGATCGAACCACCTAAACCCACAGGTATGGTTCGCTGGACTCCCTTTAGGCGAGATGAAATCGAAATGTCCGTTGCCAAGTATTGCTTGCGAATCAGGACAGGCAAGACTCACATTACGTGGCGCTGAATGGAAGAGATGTGATTGGCAAATGCCCTGCAACCATTCGTCTGGAATGATGTTGCTTTTCAGAAGTTTAAAATTGAATGACATAATGTGGAAGGAGTCTCCCCGTGTTTTCACAAAGCTTGGGTGCCCCACAAGCAGTGAATCCTGGGGATTGTGGAGGTACACTGCTGTTTTGAGATGTGGCGACTTCACCTTTCTTGAGTCCTCAGTACTACAAAAACGTGGTGAACCATCTACAAAACGTGAACGGGCCGCTCAAACTCGGTTTGAAACACTTGAGGAGTCCGGAGCCCTCGGACAAGTGTACGTCGTGCAAGTCAAACATAGCTATTTGCGGGCAAAACTCGGAGTCTCATTCTCGCTGTTGTTGAAATTTTTGAGTGTTCTGCAGGTAGAGCAGCGAAGCGTCTCGAGACAGGGGCACATATTCCGTTCCGAGGCCCTTTGGCGAAGCCACACGAAGCTTTCTTTTGGGTATCCCACGATATTAGCCACTCACCCGAGACAAGACAAGGAAGTCGTCCCAGACTGTTTCTCAAAGATTGCGTGGTGTGACGATGATAGCATGATGTTGCCAAGAACCATTGCCGAGAGCGGGTGGAATGACGGAAGTGTCCGCGGGTGCTTGCAGTTTCGGGATCTGCAGCCGGGAATTGCAGACAAGGCTGGAGTTGATCTTGAAGACTGTAAGACTAGACAGCTTGAGGTTCTGTCCTTAGGGCTTTGAGGGAGATGCTTGTTCACATTCTAGGTGACAAGACCAACACTGATGTTTGGATATAGCTGAGATGTAGCAAACTCAAGCTGTAAATATTTGGAGCCTGGTTACCTTCAGCTTTGATTCTGTGTGGATCATGAACGGTACCGTAAATTACGGGGAGGAACAGTAATCTTTCCACCTGTGGCGGTGCAGATTCTGCGTGACTTAAAATGGCGTGACACTGGACCCATCCTTCTGGAGAAACCTGTTCTTACCAGCCACGAGGTTCCCCATTTTTTTTAGGTATTTCGCTCGCCGCTCGGAGCTATTTCCATGGGCTTCGGCATGATTCCACGATCGCGATTTGGGCGGGACAAGGGAAGAGAGGGAAGATCTACAGGGATTGGCTCTGAATGAGTGGATGTCATGGATGAGAAGGAAACTTGAGTCCTACAGACGGATTTTTGTGCATGCCTTTGACTATGCTCCTGATCCTTCATTAATTCTTCCAAGTCAGCCCCATCCTGAACTCCCACTCCTGTTTGCATAGCCTCTGGTTTGCTTGGCGATGGAGAGTTCGGGCTCGCAACCCATTAATGGCAATTAGATTTCGAAACATAGATTTCGATGAGCACTGCAACAGCAAATGACTGAAGGGGACGATGAGGTTTGTGGGAAGGGGGTTGATATGACAGCAGGGCGAGTCCAAAGCAGGCCAATAGGCCAATAGGCCAATCACACACAACGAAAGTCGCTGTCCGGCTGTTCGAATCTCGATCCGAAGCCCTAGCGCTCTGCATTTGCCTCCACACCGAGAGTTTTCCAAGAAGACGCCGTCTCTTGCAAGCCTCCACGACGATGCGAAACAGCAGGACGGGCATATTGACGTTCCCGCTTTCGGAAGTCAGTGTCGCTGCAGAGGTGGTCTAGACAGGCGCCATCATACGAGTCCTAGTGAGGACAGAGGAGCATGCAGGAATCGTACGGTTCTCACGCAGAGTTCAACGTCTTCACCTTATGTCAGCCCGGTCTCACAGAATTCCATAAATTCCAGCCCACGTCCTGAACGAGCTCTTTGCATTCTTCCACGGAGACTTCTCGGGCGTGCTTCGTGAGAATTTACATCAGTTTTGGCGGCGTGTGTGGACGCACGATGACACCGACAGTCCTGCGGCGCGCTGTCTTTGGAAAAGACCGTGAAACCAAACTCCCTCACATTCTCAAGCTAAGGGAGGGGAACAAGCTGTCAATCTTTGGACCCAGCTTCAGGCCGGGGTTTGTTGGTTGGCGACAAAAATACAGGTATCCCGCATCGCTGACGGGATTCTAGAACTAAACAGTCTCAACCCTCGAGATTGCGCGAATTCCCTTTCACCACGCCCGCATTGAGCTTTACGGCACAAGTGTTCGTGACTCCAGAGAACTCGTGCATCAGATAGCGCGGGCAGCAAGTCTTCGCGTTGCAAGTATTTAGGGTGCCGATCTCTGCTATTATCCGTCTTGGTGTCCCCCGCCGGACGAAGGCTGTCAGCAAGGCATGTCTTGACCAGCGCCATCTAGAACGTCACAGCGCTGCGAGACAATGCACGCCGATACACAGTTAGACATAGGCAGATGACCCAACATACACTGCAGGAACCGGAGACACGAGTGTAAGTGGGTTCCAATGCCTCGATATGCTCTATTGAGCAAATCAACAGGCCAGTTCGCTTTAGCAAGTGAGCAGGACGGCTCCATCTTCGTAGAATCAGAGGAAATCAAGTACCACAGAAATCAATTATGAACGCTTTTTCCATGTTACATGCAATAAATGGTCTCCTAGGCACTGCAGTGATGTCTCGAATGGCATTTGTGAATGCCTTTCGACGCCACACGCCGCTCCACTTCTCCCCGCATTTGAGGCTCCAGCTTCCATCCAGCTTGACCTCTGGCGAGTCACCCTCCCGCGCCTCACGCCATGTCCATAAGAACCCGATTCCTCATCATCTCCGACACCCACGGTGCCACGCTCTCTCCTTCAACCCCAAATAATGTTCGATTTCGTCAATCTCTCCCTAAAGCGGACGTATTGTTGCACTGCGGTGACTTGACCATGGTTGGGCACCTGCACGAATACCAGACGACGCTCGGCATGTTAGCGGACATCGATGCAGAACTGAAGCTCGTGATTGCCGGAAATCATGACATCAGCCTAGATGATAGGTTTTACCGGAGGAGAGGGCAGTCTATGCATAGGTTGAAAGAGCCCGACGACACAATCCCACAGAAAGCGAGAGCCTTGTGGATGGGGGAGGAGGCGAAGCGAAGAGGAATTATGTATTTGGAGGAGGGTGTGCATCAATTTAAATTGAGAAATGGAGCAAGGCTAAATGTACTCTTGATTCTGTTTCCCCAAAGATAGCATTGCTAACGAACCCAAGGTATACGCCTCCCCTTACCAACCCGAGTTCTGTGCCTGGGCCTTTCCTTACTTCCGCAATGAGGACAGATTTAATCTTCCTCACCAGGCCGCCCCAGGCGCAACCTTTATTGCCGAGAACCCCGTCCCGGACTTCCCAGCCATTGATGTTATGATGACCCACGGTCCGCCATACGGGTGTCTGGATAAAACATCTCGTGGAGAGGCTGTTGGGTGCGATCATCTCCTCCGAGCCACTCGACGCTGTAGACCCCGTTTACACTGTTTTGGGCATATCCACGAAGCATGGGGTGCGGGACGGGTCACGTGGAAGTTGGAACAGGAGCTAGGCACAAAGTACAAGGATTATATCGAAAAGACGGAGGATGTAGAGATTCGTGAAGACAGTGTGATTGAAGAGAAAGCCGCGTTCTTGGACATCAGTGGTGGTGGGGCTACGCCACTAGAGTTTGGCAAAGAGACGTTGATGGTGAACGCCTCTGTGATGACACTAAGGTATCGGCCGCAACAAGCCCCTTGGCTAGTGGACTTGGACTTGGAGGGCGCGGAGTAGTAAGGAGATTGGAAGATGTTGATTCTTTCGAAGTATTTCTGTATTCCCTTTTTCCCCTCTTATAGCCGGGTCAATATCTAAGTTAAAATAAGTATCGGGGCAGTTAATGTCAGAATCTGCATTGAGGACTTTCAGAGAATAGTCTTAACCATGTCAGCGACACATCAACTTCATAAGTGTTGTGGGTATCAGATATACCAGAAGGCTTGAAAGACAAATTATTAGAGATGTTAGATGTGTAGGGCCTCTGATAGACCACGTAATACCAAGATCATCGCCTATAAAGCCCACTCCAGTGACTACAAGAACGGTGACAAGATCGAGACCGATGCCATAAGCTTTAGTTAAATAATCGACATCTAGCATAAGCGAACATTTCCGAGCTTAATTTGAGCAGTAGTTAGCTCATTTTGTCGGACAGTCTCGACTCCATTTCTCGGAAGGAACCCATAGTTTCCAGTCGCATTAAGGCCTGGGCACGGTCCTTGTTCGTCGTTTGGCCCTGGAGCACGGAACCAATTTCGGAGCCGTCTCGCATGTTAACAAACTACTCCATAAGATCGAAGATGGTGCAAGGTGCAAGGTGTTGATCCGCAGTTGTTCTCGCCCTCATTGAAAGGGAGTTATCATTTTTCCTGGTCTGTGATGAAGCGGATAGACCGGCAGAGGGGGTGAAGCATAAGAGCTAAATGAGCTTTATGTTTAGGAGACCGCCAAATAGTAGAAATTAGTCAAGAGGACAATGCGGCTTAAATATGGTCGAGTATGAGCGCCTGAGGAGAGTAGAAGGTCAAACTGTATGCTCCCGAAACAAGCGCAGAGCGTGGTTGCACACATATTACGAGTTAGCTAGCATAGCCTTGACCGAAAGTTATTTTTCAATGAACTATCCTAGCAATCTTCTGCGAGTATCCCGAATTAGTAACTCAAGGACCTACAGCCAAACACGATACATAAAAGAAATACACTTTGTGATTCTTCTGACTCCTGGTCTCATACCAACTCAGCTCAAGAAGACAGGAAACGCCTCCTCACCTATCCGATCGTCTGGTTCACTTATGCGTTGCTAAGGTCCATATTTCCCAAACACCCTCAGGTTCTACGATCCCCGCCTCCTTACTCCTTCCCGCCTCCACTCTGTTTTGGCTTGGTTAACCGAAGGAAGGCCTTTACACGCTGCCAGACTCGGCCGTTTCGCTTCTCCACCCTCTCCTTGCCAAGATTCTGCTCGTTGACAAAATCCTCAAATCGATGATCGGGATTGCAGTCGATCGTCTTCCCCGTGACTGGATCGATTTCTATATCCGCCATATTGTCGCTGAACTTGCCATCGCTGCCGCGCTTCGGGCTGAAGAAAGTCTTATCAAACATAGTGGAGAGTCGGTGCTGTCTGAATACGGATTCGGAGCTTGTGGTTGTGCTTTCTTTTGGGTGTCTCGCTTCTCGAGAGTACGCCTCCGGATCTGGGGACAAGTTCGATGGACGGGTGCTTGTTTGAAAGTGTATCTGGTTGCTTGGATGGGTCATCCTGGATGCGGAAAAGAAGGACCATGTGCACGCAAAGAATCAATGGGGACAGCTTGAGGATCCATGACGAAGCAGGAGCAGTAGGTACCGACCACGGCGCGGAAAGAGCAGTACAGTGAGCGAAAAGTCGCGGTGGTTGTGCTGTCCTAAAGCTCGACGTGGACGCCTCTGATGCACCGAGAAAGGATAGACGGAGACGCGATTGGCGTGTTTCTAGAGGACATTGTTGGGGACTATTATAGGATTGAATTGGGTTAGGTTTGTTGCTTAGCCCTGTCAGTCCTGCGCTGCTCATCTGCCAAACATCTATTCATAAAAGTATGCAAAATACGTTGGATAATTTGGTTACATTCCAGTTTTACTCTCCACCTTCAAACGCACGCTGAATGTAACATGTTCAGAAGTCCTCCTCCAGAGGTTCCATTACCAACAAATCCGGACAGGAGCAATCCTCTCCCGATGCGCATCTGAGTTAGACAAGCTCTGGGAGTCAACACTCTTTGATAGGCCAACTTCAGCATTCCTTATCTTCTTTACTTTGAGGGTAGGAATGCTGGCTATCTTACTCACACACTTTGAACTCTGTGTTGTTACCCCGCCGCCAGCCTTCGTGTTCGTCTCAACTTCCTCCTTCATAGCAGCATTCACTGCTCCACGGTAAGCCTCACCCTTCCCAGAAGCGTGCTGGACTACGAAGCTATCAAATGTGACGTGGGGGTTGACGCGGAAGGTGACCTCGTTGGCTAATGGGCTCCTTATACGAGAAGGGATGCGGTTATGTTGAGATGTGTAACGAGCATTGGAGCGTGAGAGATTTCCGTCGCCGCTGACGGCACGGCGAATCTCGCGAGGAGACTCATGTGATGGCGAAAATTGTTGAGAGGCAAGATAGCCGGGAAAGAGCTGTGCAGACACTCGGTTGCCTGGTTGCGAGAAGTAGTCGCCGGCACTGCCAGTGCGGAAATGCAAGGGCTCACGAGGCTCGCCTAGAGACAGCGGTGAAACTGGTGAGATAGGGCTACTGGACGCTCGAAGATGCGTGATCTGCTGTACGTCGGTACCGCGACTAGAGCAGTGATTGACAGGTTCATTCATGGAGAGTGAAGAGATAGGAACGCTGTATGTCGGCAGACCCATGGGCTGGAGAGACTCTCTCAAAGGGTTCTGTGAATCTGGAGATGCTGGACTAGTAGAAGCACGAGCATCCTTTGGCGGGAGATAATTCCCAGAATTAGATGCCTATGACGAGTGTTAGCGGGATATACCCGTGCGAGGGATCCTAAAGAAGCTGGAATGAACCTGTGTCTTCCTCGTATATTCTTCCTCCAACACAGCAAGCCGCTGTAGCTTGAATTTTGCTGCCTCATGCTCAGGACACCCTGGCGGGAAACCCTCCATCTCCTTGTGTGGGTCTGGCTCCAAGTCCTTCCTCGATTCTTCGAACTTGATCATGTCCTCCGCGGCCCACTCACGTGTATTCACTCCTCCTGCAAGGTCAAATTTATCATCCTCAGTAAGGGCAGTCGCGTAGTAACGAGGCTTCTTGGGCTTGGGCTTGGTGCGAGCTTGCCAGGAAAGGATTGGCGACATGTTGAAGGTAGTCCGGCTTCTTCTCCAACAGTGGTTAGTACTCTTCTTAAGGGGCTCTAGGGGCTTTTGAGTGAAAATTGGGCCCATAATTACTTCATATATGGGATATCTATCCCATCATACTGTGCGGGTGTTGACAAATAACGAAAGATTGAATGTAAATGAGAGAATAGGGTACTCCTTCAAGGTTCGTATAGCTATTTTCAACGAGTTGCATAGGCTAACTAGCCAAAGCCGCGCTGGTAAGAAATCTTATCCAGCGTTCATCGGCGGTGAAGGGGAGTGAATCTAGCTTCAGGACGCAATCACTGGACTAGATTTCAGCACGCGGCCATCGACAAGCCCTCAACAACGATCCTTGGCCTTTGGCTTGCTGTATTCACAAATTTATACCCCCCAAAGTACGCCTAACATTGCTAATCAGGCGGTTCGAATTTCTCGCGCGGAAGCTACCCGCTTCATGCTGATGTAGGAAGGAGCGAGTAAACAATGGTCACTTCACTTTCGCTCACCCATAAACACCAACCTGGGTACCTCACCTAGAGATTCCCATTCATTATTATGCATTATTGTCATGAAGTTTAGTCTAGAAATACAGTACATATTTAGACTAGCCAACTTACCAAAGCAGGATAAGCTTATGGTATTCCATCTAACTTGATTCTCAGCCGCTTGCTAAAGGATTTCATAGACCTCCCTTGAGAACCTTGCTAACACACGAAGTCCTCAGAGTGTTTCTTCCAATACCCTATCCAGGTATTTCTTCCCTTCTCCGTCGTCTCGCCCTCCTCTTCATCCCCGCTACTACTCCAGTAAAACGAGCTCCTAACCGGCATCCCCGCATCTGTAACTATCCTAGCTGGCATCCTTTTCACACTCTCCCGATACTGCATCATCTCGTAGACGTCTCCACCATCTGCAGTGCTGAGGGCATGACGGCGGTGAACTTCATGAGAACCCTGGCCGAGATGGGAGAGCGAGTCAGAAGACATGTTCAAGAACGCTTTCTCCTCATAAAGATAGCTCTTTAGAAATATACTTTGCATGGATTTGTCTTGATAACTCTAGCGACGAGAATATTAGCAGAAGCACTAGTATCTTCATTAAAACCAAAGTTTGGCCCCAAAGCTTGACGAGTAACACAACAGATCTTTGAACCCTGCACTCGTTGCACTTTCATACAATGATTCAATATTTTGTTGTCCTCGTAGCTTTGCGTATTCATCAAATGGTACTCCAGACCTGACACATTCCAAGGCAATGTACGAGGTCGGGCGACTATGGATACCAGAAGGATAGTAGGGCGAAGACATGGTTGCTATGCTTGAGTTACGCTGAACCTCGTAGTCGGGATATGGAAGAAACTATGAAGCTTTGAGTAAATTTGAAGTAGGAAGGTGACTCTTGGGCTGAAATATGGAGGGCCCATCGTCCCAGTTGATACAATGCACAGTAAACTTAACGGTGTTAAAAAAGAAAAAGAAATGAGTGATGTTCGTTCACAATCCGGGAGTTGGTCTAATACTCCAGGTTTAATGTTTGAATTAGGGGAGATTAGTTATCTTGGAAATTCACGAGACCATCTCTAGAAAGTAATTCCATTGTGCAAACCATGAGATGAGGCAAATTTTTGATTGAAAGAGAAGTTCCAAATAGAGAATATAAAAGTAAACGCATAGTATTATATCAACCCTCATCTCTCTTCTTTCTACTTAGACTCAACCGTTAATTTTCTTCAACCACCCCAACACATGCTTCTCTAGTCGAAACACCTTCCCCCTCTTTATTCTTCGCCAACTTAGCTCCCTTAATCATAGTTTCTATACTAGAGCTTTTCTTGGTAGACAGCTGTTTAGAGAGTTCTACAAAGCTAGGATAGAACTGAAAAGTCGCCGTCATGAACGAAGGGCAACTCCAAATTCGTGACAAAAAAGGAGTTCTCTCCTCCTTCTCGTCGTATACGTCGTATGCAACCCAGCTCTTCTCGGTGTAATAATCGGTGACGCTATCGCTGATATGCGGGAGGTAGTAGTGGAACTGCATGCCATAATTCGCTACTTACCCTTTCAATGACGCCGAAGTTGACCTAGACGACGGGACTTTTTTTAGGATAAAAAAATTCCAGAATAGGATCGGAATGGCCGCACGAGAGAAACTTATCGCCAGGATGCTCTTCCATGCAGGTGGGAGTATAGAATTCATGTCGAGGCCAGTAGTGCTGTATTTGAAACATTTTGACCGCTTATGTTTCTCGAGGAGACTCTGAACATCGAATGACATGTCAGTTGTCTAAAACGCGCGTTTAGTGGTGGAATGTGCAGTGCAATGTTTCAAGGAACCTTTGACTATATAGACAGCTTTATCTGAATGAAAGCTAGCTAGGGTTAGCAACCCGGCGCGAAAGGAAATAGATCAACAGACAATAAGGAGATTATAAAGTCACAGAGAACAGATATGGAGCAGATAAGTGAGAACAAACTCACAAAAAAGTTACAAACCCATACTGGACGAAGACAAGCCCTCTTTGTTTGACATGATCTGTTTTGCCTTTCACGCCTCCATAATAGCTTAGCTAGTACAACCTCGGTTCTTCATAGGCGTGGAAAATTATTTTTGACGACATACATATAGTTAAGCGATATTTTGGAATTCAAGAGTTTTAGCCACTTTCTCGGCATATTCTGGCCTTTCATCCTGATTTGTTTACTGTTGTCGCGTTTGCGAACCGTGACTAAATGTCCTGGCAGGCAAGAGTTGTCTGGATACCTATGCGACAAAGGTGTCTAATCTTGTCCTAAAGTAGCTTCTTGACTGATTAGTTACACTTGGGTCTCGGGAGGTTAAGTGCATTTGGGAAGTGGTCAGCAGGGACAACTTTCATAATAACTTCTCCCCTCCGAATTAAGTTCCTATGGTGTATTCATAGACTACACTATGTCTCCATCGCCAACTTCCGGTAGCCAATACTCAGATCTGGTTCTGATGCGAGGCCTTTGAAAGTACCCTTTGAAACTCTTCATGACTCGCATTGACCGAGGATTTGGTGCTCTATGGGAGGTCGAGATTATCTTCATTCGTGGCTGATATTGAGAATGATGAATTGCCTTGGCTCTGGTGTTGTTGTTTGCCTAAGAACAGAAAAGAGGGTTGGAAATACTGGCCTCCAAGTGTATCTAATAAATTAGGGCTACATCATTTGAGGCTACACCCTTGGACATGAAATCTCTATGATGCGTATTTCCGCTGCATGATCACATCTGTCCTAAGTCTCATTAAATGCAGCCGTACTATTTTGAGCTCTATTCTCATGAGGGTAAGGGTTGGTCCTTAAATGAGAGTTTTATAGGCCGAATACCAAATACGTGTTAATCTAACCGCTGATGGTTCGAAGCGGATGCAGGTTCTAGTGAAACGTAAGAGGTCTTCATTCTGATAACTGTCCTTTGATAGGTAGCAGTTAGTAGGCATGATCATTGGGGCAAGCACTATATCCCTTCGTTACATTTCAGGTATTCTAATTACAGGAATATTTTGTTTTCGCAAAGTGTAAGGTACTTATCTATTTGGAAACCATATATTTCAAGCCACTATACTTGTGGCGACTTTGGGGACTTAGGAGCCGAGCACAGGATCTTGGACCATCCTAATGGCTGGCCACTTTGAGAAGTGAAAAGCCTTCAAGAGTCTGTCCGCTTGAGCGGAGGATGTTGGCTACCATGTAAGCGAGGGTACCTGTTTAGATGTAAGACTATAGCGAAGACCTGCTGTTGAAATTACCTCTCTATAGGTATGGTGGAGATCAACTTCAGGAGAGCCTAGGAAGCAAAGGTGGGAGGTGTGCAAGGACAGAGATTATAGAGATATACTGGGACGCTCGAGGGATCGTTCTATATGTATTGGAAAGACTTAGATATTGTACACGCTGTGTGTAGGAGGAGGAGCCACGAACAATGAAGTGTTGAACGCGGTCCGCATTCTAGCATTGCCTGCGAACATTGCAAATGGAGAGAGAATATCTAGACATATGGATAAGCCACATCTCTTTATTTATTGTTTTGTAGCTATCTAATACCCTCTTACAGCAGTCCACTCTGTTGATGCGAAGGCTTCGTGAGGTATCGTAGGCTGGGATTTTATCTCTCATTTCTGACAGTTAGTATATATAGGTTACTAGAATGGAAGAATGTACATGTCCATGGTAGTGAGGGTGGGTACTGTGTTGTCGAAACTGGCGGTTTTTCTTAGCGATATGGTGTTCACACTCAAAACTAGCGAAATCAGCCGGTGAATAATTAACCTAACAGCTTGCGATGTCGAGAAAGAAGCGCATTGCGGGCCGAGATCCTCCGTTCTCTTAGCGCACACATGAGGAGCTCCCTTCAAACATTTGAGCCTTTGAAGGTATTTCAAGGTTAGGTTACAAGTTTGGATATCAGAAAATTTTGACATGGGTGAGGGATCATTATCATTGTAAAAGGGCTGGGGAACCGATATGGACAAGCAGCTTTTGGGAAAATAGCAACTGGATATCCGACCCATTGCAACGTGATGCAACAATGGCGAGCAGAAACGCCGCCAGATAAAGTCATTAGCCTGCGAACGCCAGGATACCAGCTCACTCGTATCCTCATGCGATTGATATCTTCCAGTCTTTCAGAAAGCACAGATTCCAGCTCCAACGAACACTACGCAGGAAAGCACCAGGATCTTGTATAGGTACACCGTTAATCTAGATACGCCAGGGTATCAAATTCGACCGTTAATGCCGTCGTAGAAGGCCGGCACGACCAACTGTTGAACGTCTTGCTGGTTTAGCCTCTTCTTCGCTTGCCAATCCATTCTTACCATCTAGGTCATCGTCGCTCATTGGTTCGGACATGTCATCGCCAGTGTCCTGATCGGTTTCCTCTGCTTCATCATCAAGTAGTCCTTCTGAATCTTCACTTGCCCCATCTGAGTCACTTCCTTCAACTTCCACGGTGGTTGGTATTCCACTCACAGAGCTTTCGTCTTCCGGTTCTTCTGAGTCTTGCCGTATTCTTTTCCTTGGGCCGCTAATCACAGCGTCGCTGCCGGCTTCGGATTGATCATCTTCTTCTGCCGACGAAAAGCCATCTTCCCCTTCTACAAATACTATTGCATCATTCTCGTCATCGTTCGCAGCTCTTCTTTGATTTCTCCTCCGGAGCTCAAGCTGGGCATGTAACATGTCTAATCTTCCTTTCAGCGATAGTAGGGGCTGCAGCCCACTCGCACGCTCTTTAAGGACCTTGTTAAGAGTTGCAAGCTGTTTCACTAGCTGCGGCTGGCTGGCTAGGTACCCCCCATGGGCTGCAAGTGACCACTGCACCCACACCATAAGCATTCCGGCACGTCCTGGCTTCTTGTGTAGGCGTTCCGCCAATGTTTGCAAAAGGGTTCCAACAAGAGGTGAAGGAAGGCGCTCGACTGTGGCATAAATGGTGTCCACGTCAATCACTCTGAGACACGATTCCAACAGCTCTTGGTCATTTGTTCTTAGTGCTTGGGTGAGTACAGTGCCCAGCGAAGAAACGGATGGGGCAGATAGCGGCCGATTATTCGATGCACTCGCTAGCGCTCGGGATTCAGCATTGGGACCAACGAAGGTTGCTTCGACGTCGACGATATTCGGCGCTTGGGCTTGCAGTCTTTCCCCGAACGAGGGCTGCTCTGATTCCACGGCCCGGTCTTCCATGAGCCTGTCCTCGTCGTGTATTTTTCCATTTGTAGGGTGAGCAGTCTTGTCTTCATCAACCTGTTCCTCCACACGAGGCGCCATGTCGTCGCCGTCTTCATTTTCTGAGCTCGAGTATTCGCTTTCCTCCATACCACTGCTGATTTCGATGATTTCTTTGCTGGCATGTCCCATATCGACGTCACCAGTCCGGGCCAACGCCTCACCGGCCACGGCTGTAGCCTCATCTACCCTATCCTTCCGGAGGTTCTTAACGCCGTTTATTTTAGCCGTCAGAGGCTGCTTCTTATTTGGGGTGCCATTGAGGAGCGCTTCGATACCATTTGAGCGGGGTGCGGCGGGTGATTGAGACATCTTCATCTTCTTTGTAGGCGGGAGAGGACCGCGGCGGGCGCTGGAATCTTTGGAGCCGTGCTCACGAGCGCGCGGGGCTACGGCGGGCATATTAGCGAGCTCATGCAGTTGCGTCCGGATGGCGACGAGGGAGTGGTCTGGACGGGAAGCAGGCCTCTTTGCTGCCTGAAGAGAGCGAGGAGGGTGGTTGATGATGGCAGCCCAATCGAGGCAGAAAAAAATCAAATGTTTGCGGCCTGGGTGTGGAGAAATTTTGGCGCACAGACCACCACACCCCTGTCGTCAAGGTCGAAGGCTGCGGGAGCGTCACAAAGCATCAGTCGTGCAGTGGATCGACTCTCTTTCGTGAGGACGGCGGAGGAGAATAGTACAGAAGGTTATGTAGCGACTGCGCGCCGCGCACCGTAGGGCTGGGCAGCCTCTGCGAGGGTGTAGTGTTTGATGCGGCACGTGACCGCGGTGGCTCCTGCCTAGTGTATCAAAAAAGGGGTCGTGCCAAGAATCGGACAGTCGGCAGCATTTAAACATGGACTCCGCCCTCATCAATCTTCGTCTCTCTGTTGACCTCCCCGATCTCGCTTCCAATAATACCGCGTCACTGCTCCGAATATTCCCCCCACCACATTCACCCTCCCGCCCCCCCCCGGACCCCTCCTGTGACCCCTCCGGCCAGCCTCGCCGGACGTCACCCTTTCTCGTTGGACTGCGATCCTCCCTTGGGGCTTGCCCAGGCTGTCGCGGCTAGTCCTGCTCACTGACCGGCACCCGCCATCCGTGCGCGCCTGCATTCATTTCGCCGTTTGCGCTTCTGTTGTTTTTGCACCTGCGAGCCGGCGCGCATCTGCAGCGGGTGTTTTGTTATTTCTTTCGCATACGCGCTCCGCCTCAAAACAAACGCGTTGCCGCTCGGTTGGACTCTGACTCATCAGCGCACTCTCTCTTTGATCTCCTCGCCGCCACCGGTACGTCACGTGAGCCAAAGGACGTTTCAGCAGCCCGCAGCATATAACTACCCGCGCCCCCTCTTTGTATTTTCGCAAACACTTTATATTCTCAGCCACACCCCAACCCCAACCCCAACCCCACCCCACCGCTTTTGGCGCATCCAGCACCCAAGCTCCAACCACACTTTTTTTGAGCGAACTTTCAACGCCTACCTACCCGGTCAACTTTGCGCAAGGCACTTTTGCAGCGGTCGCTTGCTGTGCGCCAAGGCATTCAGTGTTGACAAATTGCAGATCGACACTGCTTCCCGGTCGGTGCGCTATTGTCGCGCAGTTATACAGCCTCTCACCAACGCATCACTGCCATCACTTTCATGGCCATATGGCAGTGATGACATCGTCAGCCCTCGAAAAAATTTCTTTTGAGGCTAAGGCGGCGTCCTTTACCTCAGCAGACGAGATGGTGCTTGATACTGAGGCGAATGGGTGAGTCTTCCTCCCCGCCCCGCCACCTGCTCCTTCACTTTCCTTTGCTTTATCTGTCTCACTTAGAGTGTATTTATTAAATGAATTTATTTGCAGCATCTCGCACAAATATGATGTCCTCTTTGGCGGGCCTGACTTCAACACCACCGAACCCACCGCGCAACCGGCCGTCACCGAGTCGGAACCACACCCCACTGTGAACGGTAACCACATGCCTGCGACAGCCGTTTCGAACACCGTAGAACCTTCAATACAGTTCCTTGCTGATAGTCAACCGGATACAAACTCGCTCTTTGACAGTCCCGAGGTTGGCGCGACCTCGTTGGCAACCGTGGTTGGAGCACCTACATCGGATGTACGAGAGGAAGCACTTCCGGGACTGGGTGCACAATCGAGCGATAATACACAGCTAGTCCCAGAAACTCAACAACAGGCAGCAGATTTCGAATTTGGTAGCCTGAGTAACCACAACGCTATGGATGTCTCGCAGGAAGCTTCAGTTACTGCACCGGCTTCTATTCCTCCGACTAATTCAATGACCGAACTTTCAATTCAAACCCAGTCCACCACTGCCGAGCCTTCACAAATGTCTTCTTTCGTACAATCGCCAACAAACCTCGATCTGGATATGGGGGATGCTCCGTTGTCGGGAAGGGTACGGTCGCGGGAGGATGACGATGAGGAAGCGGATGCACCAGAAGCTAAGAGGACGAGGACCGATGAGGAGATGGGAGGGCGGGCTGAGTTCAAGATTCCGGAGCTTCCCGCGCATAGTGAACAAGCTAATGGAAATGGCATTGTTTCTACGGGCACCGCCGATCAGACTCCGGTTCAAGCTGCGGTCAGCGCAGAGGATTGGCCTTTGGCCCCAATGACTACATTACAAAACAAGTTTTTGTTGGAACGTGTTCGAAACACGAAGAAGATTAAGGTCGCACATGCATTCAAGGAGCCGGTGAACCCTGAGGCTATGGGTATCCCTCAATACCGCGAATACGTAAAGAATCCCATGGATCTGTCGACAATGGAGTCAAAGTTGAAGGAAGGAAAGTACTCAACGGTTCGAGATTTCATGGCAGATCTCGACCTCATTATTGACAACAGTGTCACTTTCAACGGAAAAGAACACCCCGTGACACAGGCCGGCTACAATATGCGCGCCTATTTTCTTAAGGGTATGGGCAAAATGCCAAGGGCAGGGATCGAGGAGTCTTCTAAACAGCCCAAGCCCAAGAAGCCAGTAGTTGCAACCTCGACGAAGACGCGACGCGAGTCGAGAACCATTTCAACTACAGCCAAATCACCTGCTCAGCCGACACCTACAGCAGCATCTCCGCAATCAGCGTGGCCGCTAACCGCGGATGGACTTCCACTCATTCGGCGAGACTCATCAAGTGCAAACGATAGGCCCAAGCGAGAGATCCATAGGCCCCCACCGAAAGATCTTCCCTACAATTCTGCCAAGCCAAAGAAGAAGAAGTTTGCCCAGGAGCTTAAGTTCTGTGAAAGCGTCATGACTGAGCTTATGAGACCTAAATATCAGAAGTTCTCATATCCATTTCTGAAGCCGGTGGATCCTGTGGCCTTGAATATTCCAACATATCTCAAGATAATCAAGAAGCCTATGGATTTTGGAACGATAGAGAAGAACCTGCAAGCGGGTCAATATCAGACTGCCAAAGATTTCTACAATGATGCGCAATTGGTGTTTGCCAACTGCTACAAGTTCAACATCGAGGGCGATGACGTCCACAAAATGGGCAAGGAGATGAATCAGCTTTTCGATCGCCTCTGGGCAGAGAAGGCAGCCTGGCTTCAGGAACATGCTCCAGCGTCTGATCATCAGTCTCCAGGCTCTGCTTATTCGGATGAGGATGAAGATGAAGAAGATGACGAGGAGCCTGATGCTCAGGCTCAGATCCTTGCTATCCAGCAGCAAATCGCAGCCCTAAACGAAACCGCGCAGGCTCTTCTTCAGCACAAGCAAGGGAAGCGCACTTCCCCTAAAGTGACTGGAAAGAAGAAAGCTGTGAAGACAACACACCCTAAGAAGAAGGGCAGTCTCGTCGTTCCGCCTCCTCCGAAGGCCGCCAAGTCCAAGGCTCGTTCTAAAGCACCGGCGCCTCTTAGCTTTGCCCAGAAACAGGAAATCTCTGATGGAATTAGTACTCTGGGAGATGCAGATATGAGGAAGGCGGTGCAGATTATCCGTAACGGATGCCCCCATCTTGCAAGCGGAAATGACGACGAAATGGAAATCGATATGGATGAGATCGACGATAATACGCTCCGCGACCTCTTCAAGTTTATCAAGCAAGTTAGAGGTCCGAAAGGGGTCGTTGACGATGACTTTGAACCACCACGGCCTCACAAGGGCGCAGCTCATAGGAAGACTAAGAACAAGCCTATGGGCAAGCAGGAGCAAGAGGACAGCATCAAGAGGATCCAGGAGAAGCTCCGGACCTTTGCAGCGAGTGCTTCCGGCTCCAGCCAATCTCCACCTGGTAAGTGGTCAGCCTTCACATCCGAGTGGCTTATAACTGACCTGAATGTAGCAGCCGCTCAAGATGAATCCAGTGACGACGAGTCAAGCGGATCTGAGAGCGAAGAAGAATAAACTTCCGAACTCTTACCCATCGACATTTCGTCATTGTTTATGACAGCTGACCTGGAGAAAGCCTGACCTCTGCTTTCATGATCCCAAGCTCTTGTCTTTCCGAAAAGTCAACGTGTGTGTATCTGTCACTCGATTTCCCGAGCCTCTGATAATTTGGACCGAATGTGTGTCCTTGCCTTTTGGCTTCCTGCTTGTATCGCTTTTGGTCGACCCAAAATCAGGGCGCTATTTGTGGTCTTGTTTCGAGTTGACCACACCTTCGAAATTGACAGCGTGCCTCCAATGACCTAAGCAACACGATCAGCGCAAGATCAAAATACCAGAGCCATACTCCCTCCCCTCTGTACTCCTCGCACAACCCTTATTCCCATGCCGACCGATGTATTATATCACCTTCGACGACCCGATGCGTTATTATCCCCTCCCTGTGCATAGATTAAGTACCTTGGCGTACCAAGACCGGCAACGGTTATGATTGATGAGGCTTGTGTTTGGATTTCTATTCCTTCTTGAGGGCTCTGCTGGCCACAATGAGCGGTGGCTAGCACAGGAAGGAAAAGTCAAGGCTATTCGGGAGATAGTTTGCTGTACACTAAGCTGAGGTCAACGGCAAGACTGTAATGAAAATAATTAGCAAATTGCATAGTGTTTGTGGTTCGTGACTCAACTCTTGCTCAACTTTGTTCAAATGCGATCAGGCAAGAAGTCGGCCGCAGGAAATACAATAGAGTTTGAGAAAGCGAGGTTAGGCCGTGGAGCGACTTGACGAGACTGACTTGGATTGCAATTCTGCATCAGATGCTGGTCAGCAGAGAACGCTTACTTATAGCTTGCAGCTTCCACCATACCTTGTCAGGGTGTAGAGGCTGGCGAGCAGCACGCGGACACGCGGCTTGTCGAGTCGCCAGCAGATATAGACAGCGACGGTGACGGGAGCAGTTGTTGATGGGATATATTCCTGTCAATGACAGATAGAGTCGTCTGCAGAAGAGAGCGTGTGGGTGATTATGGTCGTTAGGAGTCTAGTTTGGTCAGGAAGGTCCTGTCTGTGGAGGTGAGGAGAGGTGTTGTGGGTGGTGGAGTGAGGAGAACCATGACTTATGGGGTGGCCTCGCCTCGGCTCTGATTGGTTCGCTGATGGGCTGGAGCAAAAAGCTTCGCGAGTCTGAGAGCTTCACCGCGAACTCCAAACGATCCTCACCGCAACCGCAATCCCCCCGCGTCGCCGTCGCCTCTTCACCCCTCCTCTCTCCAGCCTCACACTCTCGGCGCATCGCTCATCTATCCTAGAGACGGATTAAAGCGTCCTAACCGCTACCATGGCGGCGCCTGTTCCCATCAGTGAAGTTAAGGGCAACACCCGCGAGAGTCGGACGGCTGCGCATTCACACATTAAAGGGCTAGGCTTATCAAATGATGGGCGCGCATCCTCAGGTGCGGGAGGCTTCATCGGCCAGGCCGCAGCTCGAGAGGTACCCCATTTCTGCTGTTCTTTCTCTTGCAGGTAATAACATTCCCCTAGGCCTGTGGACTAGTCGTCGACCTCGTTCGCGCAAAGAAGATGTCCGGACGAGCTGTTCTCCTTGCTGGCGGCCCTGGAACGGGCAAGACGGCCCTTGCCCTGGCAGTGAGCCAGGAGTTAGGGACCAAAGTGCCGTTTTGTCCCATCGTCGGCAGCGAGATCTACTCTGCAGAGATAAAGAAGACCGAGGCGCTGATGGAGAACTTCAGACGCGCTATAGGCCTACGTGTCAAGGAAACTAAGGAGGTCTACGAGGGCGAGGTGACTGAGCTCACACCCGAAGAGGCAGAGAACCCGCTCGGGGGCTATGGTCGCACTATTTCCCATCTCCTCATTTCCCTCAAGTCCGCAAGAGGCACGAAGAAGCTACGGCTAGACCCATCCATCTACGAAGCCATCCAAAAAGAACGCGTTCGCCTGGGGGACGTCGTCTACATCGAAGCCAATACCGGCGCTGTGAAACGAGTGGGTCGATCTGATGCCTATGCGACTGAGTTTGACCTGGAGGCTGAGGAATACGTCCCGATTCCTAAAGGAGACGTGCGCAAGAAGAAGGAGATTGTGCAGGATGTGACCTTGCACGATCTAGATGTTGCCAACGCGCGACCACAGGGTGGGCAAGACATAATGAGTATGATGGGCCAATTGATGAAACCGAAGAAGACGGAGATCACGGAAAAGCTGCGGCTAGAGATCAATAAAGTGGTCAACAAGTACATTGATCAAGGTGTGGCAGACCTAGTACCGGGAGTACTATTCATCGACGAGGTGATTCCCCTCTCCATCCATCAAAGAGCAAGCTGATTTTCTGGGAGGTTCACATGCTCGACCTAGAAGCCTTTACTTTTCTAAACCGTGCCCTCGAGTCCCCTCTGTCCCCTCTAGTAATCCTGGCCTCAAATCGCGGCCTCACTCACATCCGCGGAAGCTCTTCCTTGCCTCCTTCAGCGCACGGTATTCCTCCGGACTTGCTTGCTCGTCTCCTGATTATTCCTACGCACCCGTACGCTCCCCCAGAGATTCGATCCATCATCAAGACCCGGGCCAAAACAGAAGGTCTCAACATATCAGAACCTGCTCTTGACAAAGTCAGTTTGCTGGGTGAGAAAGTGAGCCTGAGATATGCGCTGCAGTTGCTTGCGCCTGCAAGCGTGCTGGCCAAGGTTGGCGGAAGGGAGGCTGGACGAATCGATGTGGACGATGTCACTGAATGCGAGGAGTTGTTCTTAGACGCAAAGAGGAGCGCGCAAAACTTGGGAACCGGAGATGGCTACATTGCGTAGGGTTGTTGGCAGGTCTCCTGTTTTGGTCGTGTACGATAGGCGCAATCTGGAAACAAGGGATGGCATAATCTTTGCGAGGATATCCTTTATTAGTTAAAAGGACGTAGTACCAATAGTGAACAAAAACGCAGCGACTTCTCTTACAATTTGATCCAAAGATGACGGGATGGCAACTGGGTCGTATATTTGGATGCACTCCCGTAGCTACTCCGATTGGCTAGGTGAATCCGCAGTCGCATGGTCTCGGCAACACAGTTTCTTTCATCATGTCATCTAAAGTCTTCAACTCTCACACACTGACCAGAAAAGCTAATTTCATTCCGCTCTGTATCACACTCTAGGTGAAATAATCAAACCAAACGTCCGATATGCACCGAACTACTCTCCAGCTACCTCGCCAGTTCTCCTGCCGTCTGGTGCCATATCGCCCCTTCGGTGCATCATGCCGTTACTTGCTCCCCTCGCCTTTCGAAAGCGGACCCGCCCCGCCACGGCTTCCCAAAGAAGAGCAAGAGATCTTTGAGCAACTACAACGACAGAGCACAGGCGCATTCAGCACGCCAAGACCTCAGGCCGACCAGTCTCCGGAGTCCATCACGCCGGCCACTTCCGCTGCGTCCGCAGATGTGAAGATGCGAATAAATCAATCCCCAGACTCACAACAGCCTGAATTACAGCTCACTGGGGATGGCAAAGTTAGAGAGGGAGAGGAGTTGCATCCGAATATTCGGAGAGGAGCCCCGCCCGAGTTTGAGGGAGACGTTAATCCCAAGACTGGGGAGATTGGGGGTCCGAAGAATGAACCGTTGAGGTGGGGGGGAAAGGGTGATTGGAGTTACAATGGGAGGGTTACCGATTTCTAGAAGACTGAGGAAGAGGAAGAGGAAGTGGGAAGGAGAAGCGACCCGCGGTAACAAAGACGCTCGGGGAGCTTCTCTAGAGGCAATCACGACACGGTCTCAATAAATTTCAAAATGAATTGTCGCCTGCACACGATGCGGGAATGGTGTGTGGTTTCTAGAATGGTTTGCAGTTTGAGGCCGCATGGGGCTGGTTGTGAAGGGACGGCATGGTGGTAGTGATGCGAAAGAAGGTCATTAGGCTTGCCAAGGAACCAATTTGCAGAAGGTGCAAGGCGCGATACTGGCCTGCATAGAAAGACCACGGAATTCTACATGAACTGGTGAAAGTCAAAGCTTGGGGATGGAGATTGGCATGTGTTATTGGCGACGGATATCATTGGACACGGATATGATCTCCGCTCGACCATCGAAAAACACAACCTTTTCGCTTGCACCTCCTATACATGCTGTCACTAGATCTCACTTATTCGACAGCTTAATCGAGCCAGAACCAACGAATGACGCCACCCCTCCAACCACTCTTAGCCAGAAGCCAGTAGGCGAGCAACAGATCCTGTGGTGCATTTTCTCTCCAAAAACACAGGACAGAAAATTCAAGGTTTCACCAAAGCTCCGCAAAACCTGAATGTAACGAGAATGAAAACTTCTCATGAGAACGTCGGATGGGTGTTTCATTTTGGGCGAAACAGTGCCATAAACAGATGCGAAAGCTTCATGGAAATCTTTAGGGAAGGTCTGTGCGTCACGCGAAGCCAAGAGGTGAAAGAGTCTTAAACGACTTGGCGACAGGCTTGATCTTTGACCTCATCTTGTCTCATTGTTGGTATTCATCTTCACTTCTGGCTTTATCGACTTCCAACGTGGATCCACCGGTACCTCTGTGATGGCAGCACTCCTGTATTGTGCTCTAGCATAGCACCTACGTGGAGTGATATATTAAATGACAGAATACGACAGGGTCCAATTCGGGACAGAACTCTGCATGGTCTCAGTGCCTTCTCTAATTCCAGCAGTAGTTTTCATAGGTCAAATTCGGGTAGGTGTAAGTGCATGTAGTATGTCACTATCGGCGGACAGAGGTCTCGACCTGCCGATTAGTGCGCTCCAGCACTGTTTCATGCTTTTGCTATCATGTCCATTCTATCTGTAGTGGCCACCCTTTCTTCCGGACTCAATTCCTCGCTTCGCATCTCTGTTGGGAACGCTTTGTTGATAAATGCTTCCTGGTTAGAAGCGCGGAGATGCCGCGTTGTAAACCTTTTCATACTGATGTTTTTTTTTTTTTTACATCAATGTCAATACCCTAGGTGGAAGCCACTGTTCTCCCCTCACAGGTATGTCAACCACACGAACTCCCCATTTATCACTCATGAATCGCACAGCATAGCGAAGGCGCTCATCACGATAAGGTGGTGTCACAGTGCATTTTGCGATTTTCTTGAACCAATAGTGTTTGCCCAGTCTTTGTTGTCACCATAGCATCCTCATAGGTCGTTATTCATTCACAGCGTCAACCGCTTATGCGCGCGGAAGACGCCACCTTTGAAACCTTTACCTCTTCGATCTTTCACAGAGCATCGTGAAGCTCCGATTCATTTATAAGTCCCGTCATTTTCCGTTCGTCTACTGTCGTTGCCTTCTCTAATCTACGATTCCGCAATATCACGTACAATCACCTTGCTGCGCAGGCCTCCGGGTCATAGAAAATGGCCAGTCCAATCATTCTACTAATCTGTCTTTTTGTACAATCTCTCCTTGCCGTGGATCTTACTGTCGACGTCGGTTACACCAAATATCGTGGGACGGATCGGGGCAATGGGATTTATCGCTGGGCTGGAATGCGGTATGCCCGTAGTGCCTCTCGACGTGATGGCATGCGCTTCGCTCCTCCTGCGGAGCCTCCTTCAATAGGAGGCATCGTCGATGCTAAAGAAGTATAATCAAATTCCTAATTCTCTAAAGTTGAATTCTAGGCTAACGGACTTCCAGTTTGGACCAGTATGTATCTCCTCGGGCACTGACCTGAAATCGGAGTTCGGAGTCGACCAATCCGAGGACTGCTTGTTTGTCAACGTCTTCGCCCCAGCCAAAGCGACTGCCACCAGTAACCTCCCCGTCTATGTCTTTATCCAGGGCGGTGGCTTTAATGCTAACGGCAACCCAAACTTTGACGGTGCCTCACTCATCCACGCCGCAAATTTTGAGATGGTTGTGGTGAACTTCAACTACCGAGTTGGGCCGTATGGGTTCCTCGCCGGCCAAGAGATTGTCTCGGACAAGGGCTCGAGTCTTAACAATGGACTGAAAGACCAACGGCAGCTATTGAAATGGGTCAAAACTCATATTCGCCAAGTAATGAAACCTCTCTCCATTGCTAAAATGAGCAAGCTAACTGATGATGTAGTTTGGAGGTGATCCAGATCACGTAACTCTCGGAGGAGCCAGCGCCGGCGGAGGGTCGGTAGTACTTCATCTTACAGCATATGGAGGCCGAGATGACAAGCTTTTCAATGCTGCCGTCGCCGAGTCTCAAGCATTCCCCCCGCTTCGCACCGTCAAGGACAGCCAATTCCAGTACGATGAGCTCTTGAAGCAGACTGGATGCAAAGATCTTAAATGCATGCGCGACATGGATGCAGTCCAGTTCCAAAAAGCTGTGCGGAGCATTAACATGCCTTTCCCGGGTGGGAAGGAAGCTCCGATGTGGTTCTGGAACCCTACATTGGACTACGATTTTATTGGTAACTATACGTACAATGAGATCAAGGCCGGGCATCTTGTGAAGGTTCCTACCATTTTTGGAGATGACACCAATGAAGGAACGCAGTTCATTCCCGACGAAGTGACCTCGATGAGCAAAGCTGAGCAATTCGTTTCTGATCAATATACCACTTTAAGCGAGCAGCAGAAGGCCAGCATTCGAGCCGTATTCCAGGGTCCGACCAACACTGAAAACGACCCAAATTGGAAGAAAGTCGCCGCGGAAGTATTCGGCTCCATCCGCTACGTGTGTCCAGGTATCAATATCTCGGCCGCATACGCCAACAATGGCAGTCCGACCTGGCAGTATAGATGGGACGTGGGTAGTGCTCTTCATGTATCGGAGCTCGGGCCTGTCTGGTTCAATGGCACTTCTGCCGCTGCGGTCTTCATTCACAACTATTTCGCCTCCTTCATCCGCTCATATGACCCGAACAAGTACAAGCATGATTTCTTCGTCGATGGAGGGAAGAAAATCACTTCTCCGACATGGGAGCAGTTCGGCAAAGGCAATGGCAAGCGGATGTTGTTCGCTGACAACAACTTGGTGAAGATGGAGGATATACCGAATGAGCAGCACCAAAAGTGCGGCGTCATCAGCGGGCTCGGCATCTCATTGAAGCAGTAAGTTCGAATCTCATTTAGCTCTGGGTTTGCATAATAGTCGGAAGACGGCGTGCCTTGATCCTTTTTCCTTAGCGTTTTTCGGCCATTGATGGACTTGATGACGGCCTCATGCCTGGTATTTGATGCACACTCACAGACCTAATGAATAATGAACACCGGCCATAGGCCTATGCCGATACTTTGTTGTACTGCATGCGATCACATAACGTGGGACCTGACCAGGATGTGGTCTATCTGTTAATCCACTTGCTGGAGTCTCGAAGAACTTCAACGGGATGTCAACTTCTGTCCTGAATTATCCCCTGTCATGTTTCACGTTAGGTGATAAGATGTAGTACTTTGCCAAGTGAAATGCTTCTCTGGAGACGGCAGTCATGTGTTTTACATACACTCTATATAAATGAAGCCGGCGTTGCATGGCTATTTTAGATACAGAGTACAATTGCTAACAAAGGGCAGGGTTCCTTCTTCACCGTCAACTAGTTCCAATCCAAACTCCAATTCCAATCCAAACCCCAACACCAACTTCCCTACCAAGGCTTCCTCTGGTTCTGGCCCAATGCCATTGTCCCCGTTGCTGAAGTTCTTGGTGCCAATGCTTTGCATGGCATATTGGTTGTATTGTTGAATTCTCCACTGTCGAATGTTTATTGAACAACCCAAAGAAAGCTGGAGAGGAGATGCCAGGAATGAGTGATAGCTGCATGGGCTGTAGGAGATATATCTGTGATACCATTTGGGGTCCCGGCCGACAGAAGCGATGACGCTGCATGCACTCTGGCATTAAGACGATAATTAGTGGTAATTCTAGCCCTGGCTCGGCACAGCTTTCTGGAAGTATGGAGTTCTGGGTGGTTGGATTCGGCAATTTGTCCTTACAACGCTGGGCCCACGCGAACCTGCTGGCAAAAGGAAACGGCGACCCGAGGAGGGCATTATCGCCACGGAAACGTGGGTGTGAAGGTTGTGGTCGGAATTATGTGCGGGCCGGGTGCTCGCGTCCAGCTGACACGAAGTGTGTTATGCAGCTGCTGTGCATCAAAGAGATCAAGAAGCTGGTATCTACGAGACGGGTTGTAAAGCGTCTCAATGCGGCGATACCACAAAGATGTGTTTGATGTGCTCCCCTCCCGAGATCGAGTCTGATATCGGACCCTAAATATTAATTTCATGCTTCATCATGTTATCCGCAATACAAATTGAGTGAGAGAAGGAAAAGACGGAAGTTGCCAACAGCTGGGGGCAGATATTTTTCGCGACAATCCTAGTGGCTGCTCGTGAAATGCTGCGTCCAGGGCTTGTAGCTGGGGTCCTGTTTTGGGCTGCGCAAAACGCGTGAGGACGGCTCAGTCAATTAAGCGGATGCAGGAACGGAGCCATCACGGACGTCCCGTGAACGTTGTGTCAAAACTCTCAGGTTCACGTCCAAGGCGTCGCTCTGCACTCATTCACTCACCCACCGCGCTGCGCTCTGCTCCACCTGGCCATCCTTATCCTGCCGTCATTCGTGCATATCGCCCGCCCCATCTTCCTTTTTGTCCCATTGTGCGTCCGGCAGGCCTCTCTGCGCGCTCGCTCGCCGTGGCCCCGGGTCGGCGTCGTCCACCCCAGGTTTTTTGTGCCTCCGCTCCCGTCACTCGGCACCACCGTCCATCGTCAGGGGCGCTGCTCTTGCCCGACAGCGTCCTCTCTCACGCCGCCAATTGCCTGCGACACTTGCACCCGCTGCCGAACGCGTCCCCCCGTGATGCTTCTCCGCCCTCGCTCCTCAACATAGCGCAACAAGTCTGAGGCGCCATGCCAGGCTGGAGACCGCTTCCGCGCATTGCTTTTGCAATCTGCGTCTATCCTTTTTCGCCCTCGTCGCCCGCCGACCTGCCCCTCGAGATCGGCGACGAGCTGTACATAATTGAGCAGGGAGGCAGAGATGGCTCGTGGTATCGTGGCTACTTGGTTGCCCCGCCGTCGCTGTTGGCTGGCCTGACCAGCGTCAAGGGCCAAACACTCGAGGCACGCGTTTTTTCAGGCATTTTCCCGCGATGCTGTGTCGAGGTGCGCGAGGTGCTCGGCGAAGGCAAGAACCCAGCCCACCTCTCCGACGGTCTTGAGCGACTGCCCCCATCGCGTGGTAGTCATGGTGAGCCCGCCGCCAACGGTGTCATCACTCCCACAGAAAGCACAAGTGCTACCTCTGCCAAAGGCGCCGCCAAAACCTCGTCCAGGCCCGACCATGTCTCCGCCCTACCCTCCTCGGCCTCTCGCCCGCTGTCCAGACGACGCTCCAGCAAGAAGCGCGCCGGTAGCCACGGCTCCCAGTGGACTGCGCGTTCCGACCACCTCCAACAGCTCATGCTGCCACTATCCCCCGTCTCCGTTGGCTCCCACGACCCGACCGCACCGCGACCGCCCGCCCCCGTGCCGATGCTGAAAATTGGCGATGAGACCTCGACCTCCGCCCAGGAGCCGCTGGTAGACGAAATTGCGTCCTGTTTGAGAGAATGGCATTCTACAAAGTTACACGAGCTTCTGCTTGCCAGACGGTACAGCTCGTTGGACAAAATGTCCGCCCTGGTGCAGCGATTGGACACGGCGCGTCGCCAGCTGCTGCACAAGGTTCTGACAGCGCAAGAGTTGGGGAAAGTGCGCGAAATGACAGTCTGGGATCTGGTCACGGGAAATAAGATGCTCTGTGGGGATGTGATTGTGCGAAGCCCCTCGCAGCGGGGAAGGATTCTGACGGGCGACGACTCAGCCATCGAGATCACTAAATTGCAGTCCATGATGAGCCTCCTAGATGCACGGCCGGTTCCGCACGTTGATGAGCACAATCTCCACCACCTGTTTGTCACCCTGAAGAATGTCCTTGGCGACGTTACGCAGGTGGCCGCTCAAGTGAGCATGTACCTATGTCTCAAAACCCCCGGCGAGCCATTGAAACCACTGTCAGAGGTATACTCATTCGACTTGACCTCGCGTGATGGAGCGGCCGTCTCGTTGACCGGAGAGAAAATGAAGTCGCTCTTTGTGGACCTCAGTGCAACAGATATTGGCGAAGGTGCGGGTTCTGGCTCCAGCCTGTACCTTGTGTTCAAGCTGCTAGCCAACGAGCCATTCCGATCCTCTTCGAACGCCCCACAGATGAGTACCCCAAGGGAAAGCACATCAAGCAATGCTCCCCCACTACAACCTTCCCAATTTGGGAGCATCAAAGGCGGGAGGCGGAGCGTAATGTTTGGATCGAAACGCAAGGAATCCGGTCTTTCCAACCGCCAGCCAGAAGCCCGACCGTCGAGCGTAGATACGAATCGAACGCAGAGCCAGGACGGTCGGCCAGATTCTGCAGCTGCGAAAACCAGAACAGCCTCCAGGGACCAGAAGACGTTGAAGAGAACAATAGCCGCTGGAGTCCTCCGCGTAGATGCACTGATGCGAGCTCAATCGGAAGCAGAACAACCCATCACCTTATGGACCCCTCCAGCGCCTTTTGACGAAATCTCCGACGAGGGCGAAGATTGGGACGACATCTTGACTGAAATCTACCCAAGTGGGAGTGGCAAATACAAAAAGAACGCTCAGATAAGCCGCATTACAATCCATTTGAAAGCATTTGCAAATCCAGACGCCGAGTCTTTAATTGAGAAGACCCCTACCCTGCTCCACAATATCAGGCAAACGCGGAAAATAGGATTCTCTGGAGCTCCCACCAAGGGCCGTAGCGATATTTATCTCACACTGAATGAAACATTTCTTCCTCGGAATGCGTTCTTGTCACACCCGAAGTCTGGCACTGTTCCGCTTGCGCAGAATTCCTCAATGAGCAATCTTCAATTGACTATCGAGGTTCGAAAATCTTCTGGAGAACGTATTGATGGATGCATATACCCTTCAAGTAACAGTGCAGGGCATACTGCGTGGCGCACAACTGCCGTGGAGCGAGGCGAGCGTTGGAACTCGACTATTCGGCTCGCCATCAGCCCAGAGGATGTGCCTGGGTCGCATATCGTTATGAGTGTGGCAGATGCTCCTGGCTTTCCTTTTGCATTGTGCTGGATGCCGCTCTGGACTCAGGACGCTTTCGTGCGAGATGGCGATCACTCTTTAGCACTTTATCGGTACGATGAGTATACTTCGAGTATGATAGCTGGAAAAGGCGCTTATCTCGCCCTTCCGTGGAGCTCGAGGAAGAAGGATGAGTCAGTCATGGGACCGATGGCAGCGTTGCACCTGCGGACGTTTCTCTGCAGCACGAAATACTCCCAAGATCCCAACCTACTTGGACTTCTCAAATGGCGAGATCAACCAGCCGGAGAATTGGTTGCGCTGCTCCGGCGATTCCCTTTTGTCCCGGAGATCGAAATTGTCAAACTCCTGAATGAAGTATTCGACTCTCTCTTTGAAGTTCTAGTGGAGTATGCCGGAAGTGACGAGTACGAAGACCTAGTCTTTCATGCTCTCGTTACTGTCCTTGGAATAGTCCACGACCGGAGGTTCAATCTGGGTCCGTTGGTGGATCAATATGCCGAGACAAGGTTCAAGTACCCTTTTGCTACCTCTTGCCTTGTTCGCAGCTATACCCGCCTTCTGTCCAACCCAGTGGAACCAAACTCTTCTCGGAAGTTACGAGCAACGTTTAAAGTCGGAAGCCATGTTCTCAAGTTCATCATGAATGCGCGGCAGCAGCAGAAAGAAAAGGAAGCGGGCATTGGGATTACCAGCCGACAACCAACCTTCACGAAAGATCTGCAAACTATCTTTAAGTCTCTCGAATCGCTTATGATGAACCCATCCCCAGTTCTGATCGGAACGAAGACCATTCTCGTTCAGAACTTCCATACCTGGCTCCCTGAGCTCTCCCCGTCAATGCCCCCAATGGACATTCTGAATTTGACGACCAGCTTTATTGACTCGTGCTGTACAGCGCAGGGAAAGCTAATATTGTACAAACTCCTCTTAGTCCAGCACCTAACTGAGTTGACTATCTTCAAATCCCCGGATACTCGTCGGATCCTCTTAACCAATACCGTCAAATGGTTAGCACCACACTGGGGAAAGGTTGATACAGTCACTGAGCAGTGGAAGGATCAGATTCGGTTCTGCTGCTCAGTGGTCGCTTCTCAGGTTGATGAACTTGGCCAAGAAGCATGCGAATATATTCCAAAGCTGGTGGACTCTTATCGTGCGATTCAAGCTACGCCCCGACCAGCCAAGAACACTCTCTCTCTACTGTTCCCAACATCGTACCCTTTTCATTCTCGTCCGACTACGATCGAAGCCACCTTCGACGAGGCCCTGATTGAGATCTCTGCAGTCCTTGCAGCAATGTCTAGTCTGCCTACAATCATCCACTTAGATTGGCCGAAGTCTGACATCGCTGACTTCCTCTTCTCGGCTTTGCAGGTCTATATTTCCATTCTGGACTGTGAGGCATTCCCGAGCTCTTGGCTGAGTGTTCACATCTACCACCACAAGGCCACAATGCGAACCCTGGAGAAGCTTTCTAGTATCCTAATCGACTCTTTCTTGCCACATCCTGACGAAGCAGATCATTTCAATACCGAGCTCTGGCGTGCATTCTTCGATGCTCTACTGAAACTCGTTGGGAGCGATGCGCTTGCACTGGAGACATTCCCTGAACAGAAGCGTCGCGCTGTGTGGAAGATCGCTGGCGACGTTCGGGAGCATGGCGCAGATTTGCTTCAGAGAAGTTGGGAAGCGATAGGTTGGGAGACTAGCCCAGAGGACAAGAAACAATATGGGCTTGAGAAGATGGGTGGTTTCCAAGTCCAATACGTACCAGGCTTGGTGGCTCCGATAGTCGAGCTCTGTCTCAGTGTTCATGAAGGCTTGCGAAGTGTTGCCATCGAAGTTCTGCAGACTATGATTATTAGCGAGTGGACTTTGAGCGAGGATCTCTCTTTGATTCAGGCGGAGATGATCGACTGCCTGGACCGCCTCTTCAAGTCGAAACTTCTTACCGAGGCTGTCCTGCAGAAACACTTCATTCAGGAGCTTATAGACTTGTTTGAGCCTTTAGCACAGGACCCAGAGGACCCATTATTCGTCGCTGTCAAGAATCTCATCACCACAATTGACGAATTGTTGGATCTTCTCGTTGCTGTTCATAGCACCGAAGCTACTGGCGAGGTTTTCCACATCATGGATACTCTCCATCTTATGGAGTTTCTGAAGGATATGCAGAAAGAAGATATCTACATTCGCTATGTCCACCAACTGGTCGACCTCCAGGCAGAGGCCCAAAACTTTACTGAAGCTGGTCTCGCCCTCTGTCTGCATGCCGCGCTTTACGAATGGGAGCCGTCAACCATCGTGGAGCCGCTCGTTGATCCAAATTTCCCAGCTCAATCCTCATTTGAACGCAAGGAACAATTATACTTCCAAATGATCAAATATTACGAGGATGGCCAGTCTTGGGACAATGCTTTGGGCACTTATATGGAACTCGCGACGCAATATGAACATAACGTCTTTGACTTTTCCAAACTGGCGAGGACACAGCACGCCATGGCCACAATCTATGAAAGCATTGCCAAAGGCGATCGACAAAACTCTCGCTATTTCCGCGTCGCATATAAAGGACTGGGTTTTCCTGTCGGGCTGCGAGACAAACATTTCATCTTTGAAGGCTCTCCAAACGATCGATTAGCAACCTTCACAGATCGCATGCAGCAACAACATCCTGCGGCCCAGATTCTAGCTTCGGGGGCTGAAGAGGATGTGGAAGGCCAATATTTGCAGATCTTCCCTGTTAGCCCACAAAAAGACCTTATGCATCCGATCTATCAACGTGCGAAAGTTGCGCAATCCATCAGGGACTACTACCTCCTATCGAGGCCATCACACTTCACGACAGCGTCTCGTCGTACTACCGGCGATCCAAATGCAAAGGAGCTCACGGTAGAGAAGACTGTTTACACGACGGCAGAATCATTCCCGACAATTTTGCGCCGGAGCGAAATTGTTGCTGTTGGGACGGTGGCCCTAACTCCACTTCAGACTGCCATTGAACGCACATCACGCAAGGCTGCCGAGCTAATAGCCCTAGAAAAAAAAGTGTCGGAAGGAGAAGACGCTGCTCTCACAACCCTGACACAAGAACTGATGGTGGCGATTGATACAAATGCAGATACTAGCGTCGCTAACTACCATGAGCTACTGCCAAATGAACGAGCCTCGATGTTATCGGACATGGAGGAGGACGAACCACAACGTGAGCCGAATTTATTGGAGAATGCTCTTAAGGTTGCTTTGACCGACTACGCGCTGGTAATCAGACGCTGCCTAGCACTATACTCTAGGCCTGCTCAGCAAGCCACCAAAGCGGATCTTACGCAGCGTAAGTGTTCGAACTAGTTCCTCATGTACTGGAGCTAATGCTTTGAAGGGCTTGAATTGGCTTATGCCCAGGAACTGGCAACTCTTATGCCGGTCAATCCTGGCCAGATGATGCGTTCACCTACAGGCTCTTGGCTTGTGAATGCGGCCTCTCCATCCCTCGTGACAAGCCCAGCATCGGTCCCTACAAATCACGTGAACGGCACAAGGGTGGCATCTCCCCCTCCCGAAGGGCGACCGGCACGACAAGACAAGAAACGTCTTAGTCTTGCATTCTTCAAGGGTGGATCCACCAGCGAGCACCAAACAGACCGGAAACCTGAGAAACAAGCTGCAGAAGAGCAGGTGGATGCAGTGTCGACCACTACCTCGTCGCGAAGTCGCAGCAAAGAGAACAGCAGACATCGATTGAGCTTCTTAAATCTCGCTTCACCCGAGGCGATTCCACTACCACCGAGTAGTCAGAGCATTAGCCAAAATAGCCTAGGCCAGACGCACAGCCAACGAAGCCAGAGCACTGATGCCAGGCCGGAGACAAGCAAGAGTGGGAAGAGTGACAAATCAGATCACCAGAAAAAAGGGGGTATGAGAAAGAGGTTGAGCATCTTGAACATTGGGAAAAAGACTAGCAAGACGAGCGTAAAGTCCCGAGTTGATGATACCCTGACAGAGGAGTAGCCTCCCGATACTGATTAAGTTTTCTTCGATTTTGATATATGGGGTGGCAGAGGCGACCGCATGACATTTTTGGCTAAACACGTGTTGTTGCACCGGTTTTAAAGTTGGCTGACAATGGTGGAGTCTTTTTCCAAGTTTGTGTTTTATATCAAAGCGTTTTTAAGCATGGAGCAGGGGGATCTAGATGGGGGGAGTGTGTCCTCATCTGGGATATTTTCGACGGCACGTGCTTGGTTGTATGATTACCTGCTTTTTGGTGGTTGTGTTTATACCCGGACGATAACTTTGGAGATGCGAAAATAGACCGCTAGTTCAAGCTGATTACCAGAATGTGGATGACAGTGTATTGAATTCACGTGACAGGGCCTGCAATTGATAAGGGAGCTCGGTTCATTGCCTTGGCGGAAGGTGGGCAAAATTCAACTCTTAAACTTTTTTGCTCGGCACAACTGCAACACAGCGACGCTTGACAAAGCCAACAAGCTGTCCACCATGGCGCTGACGGAGAAGCTCGCAAGGATTCGAGATTCTCCGAAGCTGCAGAGCCAGCAGCATGTATGTCTACTGTCTCAAAGCGCGCTCTTTTTCCAGGACTAACTTCATCGAGACGGCCGTGGTTCTCTCTGCAATTGAGGACACGCTCCGCGAGCAAAAGTCAGATTTCACCCCGACGGCATATTTTGCTGCCCTTTTATCGCTCCTGAGCCACCAGATCTCACCAAAAGGCATTGCCAACAAGGACACGGCCGCAGCCGTCATCTACTTGCTCGACCTTGTAACCCCGCATGTCCCCGCGCCGCTGCTGCGATCCAAGTTCTCTGAAATCCTCGCCAGTCTTGCCCCCGCCCTTACTCACTCGGATGCCGATGCGCCGCTGCTCAAACCTTCGATTGGCTGTCTAGAGTCGCTTCTCACTATACAGGATGCTCGCGCATGGGATCTTCCCCAGACCCAGATTGGTCCGAGGCGCGCTGTTGCTGGGCTTCTGAACATCGCAGTCGACCATCGGCCTAAGGTCAGGAAGAGGGCACAGGATGCGCTGGCAACGGTGCTAAAGAACCCCCCCCCAAGTCCCTCGCTAGATCATCCAGCCGCCGACATGTGCGCCGAAGCTGCATTGAGGATGCTGAAAGACAATGCAGAGAAGGCTGGGAATACGAAGAAGCACAAGGGACACAAAGATGCCCAAAGAAATGAGCCGGATCTGATGCACAGCCTGCAATTGATTAAAACTGTAGCCACCGCATCAGGGGGCTGGCCGAGCCGGAAAATCGACGTCCTCTGCGAATTGCTGCTCAATATTTCAAAGTCGACCAACGAGTACTTGACCACGGCCGCTTTTGATATATTCGAAATTATCTTTGCGGGCATGGCTGACGAGGTGTCATCAGTCAAGCTCCCTAGACTTCTCGAGGTTGTTGCCGAGCTTCAGCCCTCAAAGAACGACTCGCAGCTCCTGCCACCCTGGATAGCTGTCTTATCGAGAGGCTACGAAGTCTCAGCCCAGATTGAGCCTAGAGATACATTCGCGAGGCTTCCGGAACTCTTCACCATGGTATCAGGATTCCTTACTTCTCCATCGCACAATATTCGTATATCCGCTTCGGAATGTTTAATCTCATTCATGGTCAACCTTGTCCCAGATAATGTCATCCTGGACCCGTCGATTTACGACGAGAAAATTTTAGAGAAAATAGCAAAGATCACTGCAGACCTCCTCAGCGTCAAGTTTCAAGTTGCTTGGATGGAAGTCTTCAGCATGCTTTGCGCCATGTTTGAAACCCTGCGATGGCGCTCAACCCCTATTCTAAATCCTGTTGTAAAAATTGTCGGTGAATTAAGGAGCAATGAAGCGTTCACTGGGGTGAAAGAGGCAGATGAGGTTCTGTCAAAAGCGATTGGTGCCATGGGCCCGGATGTCGTACTCGGTATTCTCCCATTAAACCTGCCGAGGCCACCTCTAGGACAAGCCGGTCGAGTTTGGATGCTTCCAATTCTCCGTGACTCTGTCCACAACACTAGGTTGGCACATTTCAGGGCTGAGATGGTGCCTTTGAGCGAAGCGCTGTACCAGAAAGTTGTCAGTCATGGCCAAAAAGAGAAAACTATGGAAATTAAAGTTTTCGAGACGGTTGTTCAACAGATTTGGTCGATCCTACCCGGTTATTGTGATTTGCCGCTCGACTTGACAGATGCCTTCGACCAGGGCTTCGCAGAGCTTTTAGCAAACCTGCTTTATGGCCAAGCCGATTTGCGAACTGATATCTGCAGAGCCCTACAGAATCTTGTGGATAGCAACAAGGCTATAGTAGGGTTAGAGGGTGAGGAGGATCTTGTCGCACAGGGGCGGATATCCAAAGCGGATGCTCAAAGGAATTTAGAACATCTCGCCGGATTTTCGAGTAACATTCTTGCTGTTCTCTTCAACGTCTACAGTCAGACTTTGCCGCAGTATAGGAGTACTATCCTTCGGACTATTAACGCATATCTTAGCGTCATCCCTGAGAAGGCAAGTCTAGCTAATTTCTAATTCATATTGGCTTGTTCCTAACCTCTAAAATAGGAGCTAGTGGAGACTTTTGAACGAGTTGCGACTAACCTTGAGACTTCACTCGCAGAAGCCACCCCTCAAACACAGGCTGACAAACAAATCCAAGAGAAGTCACAAAGCAAAATGCCACCAATGAGCCACACTCTCTTAGATCTGGTCATCACAATATCACTTTATCTTCCTCGTGAAAGCTTCCCTTCTCTTTTCCGCATGGCCGCTACCATGGTCAACAAGCACGACGATCCGCAGCTCCAAAAGAAGGCCTATAAGTTGATTCCTAGACTTGCTGAGTCTCCCGTCGGTAAAATTGCTCTTCATGAACGCAATGCAGATCTCCAACAGCTCCTTCTCCAGAGTGCTGAGAGGGCATCAGCGCCAGCCCAAAGGGATCGCTTAGCTGCCATCGCTCAGATAATTGAAACCATGCCTCAAACAGATCTCTACTTTATCCCCTCTGTCCTTTCTGAGGTCGTGATCTCCGCCAAAGAAGTCAACGAAAAGGCCCGGGAAGCCGCCTACAACCTCCTCGTGGCAATGGGAGAGAGAATGGATCAAGGCGGGGACATCGTGCAATCCAAAGTGCCTAATATGCCCTCCGACGCACCAACCGTCCAAGCATCATTGGAAGAATATTTCACCATGGTATCAGCCGGCCTCGCAGGCAGCACACCACACATGATCTCTGCATCCATCACGGCCGTAACCCGCATTCTGTATGAATTCCATACCCGGATCTCGCCCGAGACTATCCAACACCTCCTCGAGCTCATGGATATCTTCATACAGAATCCGAACCGCGAAATCGTCCGCAGCGTTTTAGGGTTCGTCAAGGTTGAAGTCATTACTCTGCCTGAGACTATGGTGAAACCACGTCTGAAAACCCTGTTGCAGAATCTCATGATCTGGAGCCATGAACATAAAGCACACTTCAGAGCGAAAGTTAAGCATATCGTCGAGCGCATGATTAGAAAATTTGGGGCGGAGGAAGTAGAAAAGGCGTGTCCGGCTGAGGATAGGAAGCTAATCACTAATGTTAGGAAGGTGAGGGAGCAGAGGAAGAAGAAGAAACAGAACGCCGTAAATGGGGGAGAAGAAAAGAAGGAGAAGCCAAAGGGTAAATTCGAAAGTGAATACGACCAGGCTGTCTATGGCAGTGACAGCGAGGAAAGTGACGGAGACTCCGAAGATGAGTTCGTTAGAAACCAGAAGAGAGCAAGTGGTGCGGGCAAAGTAAATGGTGGGCAGACGTATATCATTGAGGATGATGATGACCCACTCGACCTGCTTTCGAAACGCGCGCTAGGGAATATTTCTAGTACCAAACCGTTGAGAGGGAGGAAATTGGGACAAAAGAAAACGAAAACAAGGACAGATGAGGATGGGAAACTCATTCTCGGTACTGAGGACTCAGAAGATAAACCTAACTCGAAACGGAGCAATAAGCGCAGTTTTGACGCCGGAGACGATGGTAACGATGGTGATGTTCTCATGCACGACGACGATACTAGGACCCTTGAACAAGGCATCAACGCCTACGTTGACGCCATCCGTGGTCGAGATGCGGCGCAACGTGGTCAGAAAGGCAAGCTCAAATTTAGTAATCGCAAACGGAGAGATGACGATGCGATGGAAGTTGATAGCGATAATGATATGAAGAGGCAACCGAGGAAAGAGAATTCGGGTTCCGGCATGGCGAGAGGAGGCAGGTTCCAAGCCCAGAGAAAAGGGCTAGGTGAAGAAAAGACAAGGGGTGGGAGAATTGAGAAAGGAAGATGTGGGAGGGTTGGGAGAGGGAGAGGTGGGAGGGATGCAAGAGGAAGCAGGAGGAGTGCAAGAGGGGGAGGAGGATGGATCGGACCTAAGGCCTAATACGAGTCTAAAAGTGTGGGTATTCAAACAGGCGTTGCAGAGAGTGGTTGAGCATTTATCGGAGGCGTCTGGGAACGAATAGATTTCAGATACCATGGTCACGTTCTTGATATTGTTCTGCCAACGGTAATCTACCGCTCGTATCACGAAAATAGGGTATTCATACAAGCAAGCAGCGGGACTAGATCCAAAATCTCACATCTATCACCCATCAACGCCAAGCGCCAGTATTTCTAAATATCAGCAATCCACAAAGAAGACGCTTTTCAATCCCATCATTTCACTTTGCTCATAATCGTCTCCAGCCCCCTTTCAACATTAACTTCGGCGGCTCTTGCTTTAACCGCGTTCAACATGCTCCTCTCGAAATCATCTCGAGACCTCAACACGGCCTCCACCCATCCAATCTGCACATCCCAATATGCCAATTTAAACTGCTCATATACATCGGGCACACTGGCTTTATCCGCCTCTAGCAAGCTGACAAACCCCTCGACGACACGCCACTGAATCTTGATCTCAGGACCTATGGGATACGCCTCGAAGAAACCGAACACAGTCAAGATATCGTCTCTGATTTTCTCGGTGAAAGGGTCGGATCGACGAAACTTTGCGCCTTTATTGCGCACGGCAGACAGGTAGTGAGCCAAGAGTTCATCGGCGAGTTCTTGCACGAGGATATCTTGGAGTAAGGGAACGAGAACGCGGTCGTAGTCAGCAAGGTAGTCTTGGAATGTCGATACGATAGCGCGTATGCGTTGTGAGCTGTACCATGCTGGGGTGAAGAATTCGGACATGATGGCGCGGAAGTCAACGCAGAAGATCAGCGACGTGAAGATCTTGATGCATGTCGTCCCCAGATCGATGTACCCATTCCGCAGCGTTTCGATTTGGGCGGTTACATTAGGAGTGTAGGCGGCGGAGACTAGGGGAGTGATGTCGCGTTCGAAGGATGTAAGATAGGACACAGTGCCGTCGACTTCCTGGTCGCCGTCATCGATGCAGGCAATTTGGTCGTTGGCAATAGTCACGAGCCAGTCTTGTAGTGCTTGCATGCCATCCTGCTCGGCGGTGGGCAGCGCATATTTGGCCAACTCGGCTTCAGCGAGCGACTGCCACATTCGCTGGCGGGATGAGAGGGCGCGGAACATGGCTTCGATGACGCCTTCGGATACGTCGGTGCGGTCGCTGTTGCTGGCGACGAGGAGTTGTTCGCGCAGCATGCGCCACATATCCCCCAGCGTCTTCGTTCGGAAGTACCCGTTCTCGTCTGTGTCGAGAGCATTTTCGTCCCGCTCGAGGAAGTTCTTCTTGTCGGTGACGGCCATGCGGTCCATCCATTCCTCGACAGCCTTGATGATGACTTGGCGGTATTCGCGGACCAGCTCTGCGCCGCGGTTGTCGATGAGATGGGGGGACAGGTCTTCCTCGGGCACGCCCAGCTTCTGCATCTTAGCATAGTACTTGTCGACCCAGTTGATGATGGCCAGCATCTGGGGGGGGCGCAGTTCGGGATCCTCGATGCGCGCCAGTAGCCAGTCGTGCATGAGCTCGTGGTATATGTTGCAGTAGGTGCGGAAGATCTTCCACTTCTTGGGCATGAGGTTCTCCATGCCGAGCTTGACTGTGTTGAGGTTGTTGAAGTACCACTTGACGCTTTTCTCCAGCCGATCTGGATCCTCGAGGAAGGACTGGTTGGCGGCGTCCATCTTGGCCTGGCAGACGAAGCGGATGGACGCGAGGAACTTGTCCTTGTAGCCGCGCAGCTGCTTCGGGCCCGTGGCAATTGACTTGAGGCGCGAGGCGAGGTCCTTGTACTCGCGCTGGGCGGCCTGCAGGGCCTTGACCTTCTTGTCGGTGCGCTCCTCCTCCTCGACGACCAGGGCGAGACGCACCACCATGCCCTCGTTGCCGGCCTGGACCAGCTCGATCAAGTTGATGCAGGCCTCGCCAACGTGGTTGTCGAACCAGTCGATGACGTCGTCGAGGCGCGCGAAGTAGTCCTGGACTGTGGCGCCGGTGTCCAGGCGCAGGTTCTCGATGAGCTCCGTGGACGTATCTGAGGCGCGCTCCATCTGGTCCACGGCCTCCTCGCGGATCTCGCGCAGGGTGGTCAGCTCATAGTGGATCTGCAGCAGGTTGGGCTGGTTGGCAGGGTCCTGGTCGTCCTGGCCCAGCAGGTACTCCAAGTTATCGAGGCGCTGCTGGAAGGTGTCGATGTCGCGCTTCATCTTCTCGACCTGCTCGAAGTTGCGGTGGGTCTGGGCGACCAAGTTGATGTGCGGGAAGTCATGGATCATGTTCTGGGCCTCGGCGCACAGCTTGTCGATCTTCATCATCTCGTCCTTGATGAGGTTGACAGTGCGCTGGCCGTCGGTGATGCTGGTCATGCCGGCCTGCGTCACCTCGAGCTGGTCCTTGAGGCCATGGCGCAACTGCCCGTCGACGGCCGCCTTCTTGCGCAAGAACTCGGCCTTGAGCGCGGGCAGTTTGTCGAGGTCCTCGGGATGGCGCAGCAGCTCGGCGAGCTTGATCGTGGTGGTGGAGTCGACATCGTTCATGCTGGAGGGAGGGCCGAGGTGAATTGATTCTACATTCTGTCAAGGGGAGACATGATGCACGTCGAGCCTCCAGCGCGGGCTTGGCCTCCTGCCCCGTGCTGCCGTGCTGCTTCTGCTGCTGCTGCTGCCTCCCCCCGCAAAGTCTTAAGCCCGCCAGCGCCCCGGCTGCCCCTCCCCCCCCTGGCCCCCCCCCAGCTTCACAGCCGCACAAGAATTCTTTTCCGCTATGGCCGACGACTACGACGACGCAAACATCTACGACGAGGTCGAGATCGAGGACTGCTTCTTCGACGAGATCCTCCAGATCTACCACCACCCGTGCCCGTGTGGCGACCGCTTCGAAATCTCCATCGCAGACATGCGCGACGGCGCTGACATTGCCCGCTGCCCCAGTTGCAGCCTCATGATCAAGATCGTCTTCGACGTGGTATGTACAAAGTGCCCCTGTATCCCGTGCTCGCCTCCAAGGCCGCCTGCTCACATGACTTGCACATGCACAGTCCGACCTCCCCGTCGAGCAGGCCGACTCGGTCCAGTCCGTTGCCATCTCCGCATAGATGGCCGTGTGTGCGGGAGCGTGGGCTATCACATCTGCATTTTGTTGGCGTTCTGGATACATTAGGGTAGAAGCAATTTTCCCGACATAGCTGCACTATGAACTCGGCCGTCAGCTCGGTACATCGCCGTCTACTCCCAGCTGCACACCCAGCTCCTTCCGCACCAGCTCAGTCAGAGACGTGCCGTCGCGGAGATAAACCCAGTCGCCCATCCCGCTGCCCTCCTTCTCGTTCATCGACTCCCCTGTGACTACCCAATCGAACCGCTTTGGGCCCGACAAGGGCGAGCTGAGCCAGATTTGCTTGTTGGGGGGTTGCTTGTTGAGGACATATGTACCCTTGGATTGAATCGACACTTCGAGCACGCCGGCCTTTGCAGCTAGTTAGCAGTCTTGTCCATGTCCCAGATGCCCCGGGGCGAGCTTACTGAATACTCGACCTCAAGATCCTGCCGCTTCTCTTGCTCCGCCTCCAACCGACTCACCAGCTCGTCCAGATACTCATCTGCCCGCTGATTGTATTCGGAAGTCGTGATGTCGGTCGGGGCGGTGATGCGCTCTGACGGCTCGCTTTCCTTGGGGGCTGGGTTCTCCGCGTCGGGCATGATGCCAGAGAAGCGCACTGAGGCGTGAAATGCTCGGAAAGCCGCTCTTGGAGCGACACTTGGCCGTGACACACCTCGGCCTCTAGAGGTGAAGCGTGCCGGATTGGCGACGGCGCGGAATGGCCGGCGGAGGGTCGCATTGCCCAGGCGAGTGAGTGGCTTCATTGTTCCCGCTGCGGTGGTGGAAATGGCGGATGCGATGGGGAAAGGTCTATGACGGGGAAGCGCTCGGGACGTGATGGCACCCTTGAGGCTTGGATTGAGGAGCTTGCGCTTGGGCCACTCAAAGCCCCCCCCCCTCCCCGCTATTCACCCTCACCGTGCATGCATGGGGTGTTGTGGGCCACGGCAGCTGCAACAACACCACACTACCATGATCAACGCTGTGCTTGTCTTCAACAACGCCGGGCAGCCGCGCCTCACAAAGTTCTACACCCAGCTAGATACCAGTGTGCAGCAGCGGCTGATATCCGAGATCTTCACCCTCGTCGCCAACCGCCCCAATTCCTCATGCAACTTCCTTCCCCTACCCCCCCTCCTGGCCAGCAGCAGCAAGTCTTCCACCCCGACCACCCCCCACAACGACACTCCGTCGCTCGTCACATACCGCCACTATGCCACGCTGTACTTCATCATAATCTCAACCTCGACCGAATCGCCGCTCGCCCTGCTGGACCTGATCCAAGTCTTCGTCGAAGCTCTGGACCGTCTATTTGAGAATGTATGTGAGTTGGACCTCATCTTCAACTTCGAGACACTACACGCCACCCTCGGCGAGCTGATCGTCGGCGGGGTCGTCATCGAGACGCAATTGGATAAAGTAGTCGAGGGAGTCAAGGCACAGGGCAAGGTTGCGAAGCGTCCGGTCAACGAAGGCAAGGGAGCATTGAGCCTAGCTGGGTTTGGAAGAGGAGATGGGGTGTGGGCAGGACGGTGAGGGCATCGCGGTGAGGACATCGCGGTGATCGTGGACAATGTCTGGGATCAGTAGCCCAGCTAGGCTCTCACACCTGGAAGAAGCCTTGGATTCGACTTGTCCCTCGCTGAGGTCTGAGCCGAACGCTCTCAAAGGGTGGCTTCGATGGGGACTTGAAGGGCTTTGCAGACATCGAAGACGAAAAAGCACGGGCCTAAGATCCCCGGCTTCCCTCGAGAGAAGTCCTTCAAACAAGGATATCTTCTTTGATATTTCATGCTCTATTACACCTGTCACACGCATCCTGTGCTAGGACGAGACGATGTACCTTTCGCTACAGTTATCGTCAATGGAGAGGCGCTACTAGACCGCTTTTGACCATGCTTCGGATTTTAAGCCAATCATCTGCTTCCGGTCCGCCTCGCCGAGCATTTACCCAGCCCTTTACGCAGCTCCTCCGCGATCAGAAAAATCTCTGTGAAAGACGGCCCCAATGCATCCATTGAGTATTCAAATGCTCGCGCTTTCTTCATAGTGGCAAGAGACGTAACTGTGCACAGTCTTTGCGCTCCCAGAAGACAAAATGATGCTGGTCCCTGTGGACGATGAGATTGGCCAGATAGCGCGCCGCAATTAATATACATGAACAGCCTCAATCTCTCAAACATGAACCCAAGTTCCTCACTTCACTCCATTAGGTATACTTGGCTATAGATCCACCAACTACACGTGTCCAAATGACATCTCCAAGCCCTTATATCCACGTCTTCTAGGACGATTGTGTGCACGATTATGTGCGCTATCCGTCGTTGTCTTTGAACTTCAGATCATCATGTATTTTCTTAACATCCTCGTGTCGTTGATTTCTGTCGTCTCGTTAACGAAGTATGCGGCTGCCAGTCTTCGAATTAAAGCTGACCATCATTCCTTTGCTGGCGTCAATTATCCAGGTCTGCAGTTTTTGGAGCAGGCGGAAAGGGATGAGGTAATTCGGGCCCTTGTGAGGGCACATGCGAGGGTGATTCGGTTGTTCAGTCAGTGCCCATCGACATCACCCGCAAACTTGTTGGTGGCTAATAGTAGCGCAGTCCGAGGAGATGAGACACACCCAGATGTATGAGCCATTCTGCTTTCGCGGGCCATCTCCCATTGACATTTTGTAGCTCGAAAAGGAACTTGGGATCTTCGATCAATCTCTTCTTGACCAATTTGACGACACCTTAGCTGCTATTCATCGAATATCCAATGGTGTGTTTGTGTACTGTCTCAATTATGTTCAGTTGTTAACAATAAGCAGGCAAGGTCAAAGTTATTATTGCACCGCATGATGCACATGCCCTGCGGGGTTCGAACAACATTCCATGCGATGCATACTGCAAGAAAGTTGACTCTGCGTTCTTGGATTTCTACAGCAACCTCGAAAGTGAGTATAATTTTCTAGAGAAATCACCGCGCCTTGCTAACATAATGTAGTCCGGGAAATATACAAGCACCGCTTGACGCACTTGTTTAGCGACTACAAATCTAAAAACTTCCAGGGCGCCTCATGGGGCACATTGAAGGAAGTCATCATGGTTCGTCACATGACTCTCTATCCTTATTACCACTAGCACTAATCTTTATCCTAGGGAGTTGACCTTCAAAACCAGCCTTGGTCTGGTATCTGGCCCATTGTTGCCGGGGAGCCATGGCTCTGTGACATCGCAACACATCTTAAGGAAACCATTGGCCTTGGTGACAATAACATTGCCGTCATCACAGGCGGAATCTCTAGCCCACAAAGCCCAACTGGAACTGAAAACTTCCCTGACTCGGCCTTTGATTGTAAGGCGGTTGATGTCATTGGAATCCATGGTTACTACTCGGCTAGCAATGATGCGACAGCAGGAACTGCGTGGGCAAACATGTTTCTACCGGGGAACACGCTGACTTCTCGCGCACTGGGGAAGAAGCTTCTTCTTGTTGAAGAGATGGCATACATGAACACTGACAACGGCCTGGTGTACAAGAAGTCAGCAATCTGGGACCAAGGAAATGCACTCAATTACCGCGGGATTCCCTGGGTAAACTCCACCGAAAGTCTACAAAACCACTAGACGCTAATCAATATGTACAGATGTATTCCACAGCTTCAACCGAAGATGAAGGCACCAGCTCCCGCGTAAGCATTCTCCGCGCCCACAATTTCGCCGTTGGCGCCCTCGCATCCATCCTTCAAAGCGCCTACCGCGCTCGCAGCAACTTTGATTGGAGCCCCTATCTGCCTCCCCCTGCATCGGGACTCTCTAATCTCACAGTACTTCCGCTAAACCCCTTCGTCCCAGAGCAAAGCTCCTGCACCTTCGGGTGCCTAGGCTGGTTGTGCGACGCGGCCGACGGCTGCTCGCCAGACCTAATTTGCAAGAACTCCGTGTGTCAGAAGCCTGCAGAAACCCAGCCTGGTTCGGTGGGTGCAAATTGCAATAGTAAGACTGTATGCCAGGAACACCTTGTTTGCGAAGATGGCACATGTCAGAAGTGCGTTGCTCGACCTAGCATCCAGCCTTCCGATCCGAGGAAGCACATGGTTGAGGGCCACATTACCGGACAGTGCCATTTGGATATTTCCTCTCCCTTCAACATGCGCCCGATCTGCACACTGTGCGATCCCTCGAAGCAGACATGTCGGGGCAGCCCATGTCATAGGCCGGGCGACTGCTCTGCGGACGAATTTTGTGACTGGGGGCTTTGCAAACCGTGCACTGAGGGCTGTCTGGGGATGAAGTGCAAGTCCTCCAACAAGTGCAAGACCGGATATTGTAATGTGTATGGACGCTGTGATTACCCTACGAAGGTTAAGAAACCGTCCGGTCCGGGAGCAAATGCAGGAAGGCGAGGCCCGGGCTGGAATAATAAAGGACCCAAGGACCAGCAGCGGGGGCCGGCGAAAGTGAGGGATGAGGCCATGAGAATCAACATTCCTAAGGAGGGGGTTAGGGCTACCGGAAGTCCTGTATCGTGATAAAGTGGGAAACTGTGGGGATGGTGACGATGTACCAATAGTAAAGTTATGGTAGGAAAGGGCTCACAGTCATACCGTATCCGAGAAACACCTGGGCCATTTCGAATCTTTGTAGACCGTGAAGACCATGTTGAAAAGACACAATTGTACATCAACCGAAACCCTTGATCCAAGCATGTGCCACTGAAGACGAACGCTCACTGGAACTCTCGTTCAACCTTTGCACACGCACCAAAAGCTGTTGAATATTCACAGAAAAGCTATATTTGGACCCTCTACATGCGGGGCCACTTTACCTGATGTCACTGTCATTCAACCCCCAACAACCGACGAAAGCATTACCGTTTCGGCACTCCTCGGTTCGAGCAAGCGAAGCCAGCACAGCCACAATGACATTCGCCACATCCATCCCTCTAACCAACCGCCTCTGTGTAATCGAGAACGATGACGAAAATCCCATCCCGTTCCCCACTCTCATTTGCTACGATGTTCAGAATACCCATCACCAAGCATGTGGCAACAACCCTTGCAAGCTGGCGACCCTGATCGTCGCAATACGCTGATGCGGTTCCTGGAATCATGGTAGTGGTGTGTGGCGGAATGTCATGGCGATCAGTTAGGGTGGCAGTTGGAATTAAAAGGCGAGGTTTGGCCACCTCCAGGAGTGAGGCAGCGCCGGTGCACAAACCATGGTTAACTGAAATCAGACGACAGTGGAATTATCCATCTAGAACCATACTTCTTTTCCTTTGTTGATTGTCCTACATTCGTTTGATTACCCATCATGCGTTCGTTTACATGGTTGGTACTGATTACTTGTGTGAGTTGTGCGGTATTGGATGAGTCGATGCCTGCTGTAACTCTGGGACCGAAAGCTCGAGAGGTTGAGGCGATCAAGAGGGACGGGCCGGATGCGTGAGTTACACCCAAAGATCGGATCCAAAAGTATGCTGCTAATTAGAGACCTCTAGTGTATCTCTCGCCAAGGTCCTTCTTACAGCAATACCCGAATCGCTCCGTGAGATTGCAGCCACAAATGTGGCCGCCGTCTCTAGCATTCTATGGGAAGAGTTTCTGGATGATAAGAAGCCATCTTGGTTTACCTCCCTGCCGCCAGATATCCAGAGTTACTTGGTGCAGGAATTCGGGCCGAAGACAGCTGTTCCTTCTGCAACTGCTTCTACCACCAGATCGGCTACTGGTCCTTCAGCCCCGAAACAAGAGTCAAGCAAGCCAGCGGAGACACGTCGGCCTTCCCGGTCGAGCGCGACAACCCCAGCCCCGTTGTCTAGCTCGGTAACGCTTGTTACATCTATCATTACGGTTTCCATGGATTCAATAGGTATTCCAATTGCTGCACCGACTAGCTCATCTGTCTCCTCCACCTCTTCGCCAACATCCTCTCCTGATGATTCCGGTCTCTCGAAACAGCTGAAGATTGGCCTTGGCGTCGGGGTACCGCTGGCCGTAGCTGCAATTGCCGTTCTTGCGTGTGGGTGTTGTCTTCTCCGTCGCCGACGACGGAGCCAAGAGGGATCCGTACCGCCTTCTTCTCCAGGCTTTATTCCTCGATTCGCTTTCCAGGAGAAATCTTACGAAAGCTTAGAACAGCAGCATCCCTTACATCGACGGGATAACTGTTCAACCAATGACTATGGGTTCCCCAGCGCGTCAGAGGCGATCATGGCACCAGCCGTTTACTACACGCACTCGTCGAACAGGGCAAGAGGCAGAAGAACAAGTTATACGAGCCTTCAGTCGGTCACTGAGGTCTCGGAGCCAGATGAGGTAGAACCACCTGTTCTGCCGCACCGAAGCCCGAAACGGCAGAGTGTGACCAACACACCAATTCCAATTGCCCAGCAAGTGAAGAGGAAGCCTTTACCAAGCTCGAGCGGTCAAACCCCGGTAGCAGAGCTTGCTTCCCAGAGTTTACTTCAGCAAACGATGAGTGGGATCACCGTAACTCGATACAGTCCGCCTCGCTTTGCAAAAGGTGCTACCACCACGGCGTCTCCCATGGAAGGGGGAATTGCACAGAGTCCGTCCGTTAATGGACACGATCCTCCCCGCTTGCGAAACAGCACCGGATTTATTAGGTCGTCCGTTCAGGAGCATAACCCTAAGGACCCGTTCAGCAATGACTACAGCTACGTCGAAGACTATGGTCCCGAATTTCACAATGGATATATGGACATCGAGAATGGCCTGTATGGTGGTAATACGAGTTTGTCAAGATACCCGGATTCTAAGCCCTCGAAGATGGAATGGCCACTTCGGAACTGCGGTGTAAAGCAGCAACGAAACAAGAGCCCGCTGTGGGATCGAGTGTATGACGGGACGGGATGATATTGTGGGTTGATATGATTTCTCATTGCACTGTACATGATAACGAGCACTAGGACGTTTGAAGTAAAAGGCGAATTGTTGTGCTTGCTTCATCTAGCTACTTCGAAGCGTACGATAGGACCTACCCGGAGCACCTATTTATAATGTTAGCGACGATCTATGGATTGGTCTTAGAGTCTATTATGCATTCTATAGGATCCTGCAAATAAGTTAAGAATCCCATCAGTCTACCAATATCAACTCGATTTTCTTCCGCCCCGTTGCCCGCGAGATCTTGTCATTCTATCTTCAGGACGCCATGCAAAACATTCCCAAGCACACCACGAACACGCTTCGGATGTCCTTGAGCTGTGGTGAGGACAACAGCAGCACTGATCGTAAATGCAAGGTGCTCTTTCCATCTATGCTCCGGCAGGTACCGTCGTGGAAACCATGTCGCGGCGGCTCGGGGTAAGACGAAAAACAGAATTTCCAATCGTTTTCTCGATTGCTCAATGAGTATGCTTGGACCGCAGAGAAGACAGCCAGATAGAACACACAGGCCCGAGTCCCACATTTGGGGACTGATTGTTGACGAAGAAAACACCTTAGGCCCAAGACGTGTCCGGCTAAGGCAGACTCCGTAATAGAAAAAAGCGATAAAGGCTCCTAGGAAGGCAGAGCTACGTGCCATATCGATAGTTGCACGGAGTAATGCATCCCATGTAAGTCCAGATCGGTTACCGTGTCGACTTCGAGCTCTCGCGCTTCGCACTAGAACAAGGAATTGCAACGGGGCGTACATTTTAGCTGCAAATGCCCAACTTCGACAGAATCGGAGAAAGGCATGCTTCTCGCAGCTTTTACCACCTCGACCCATATGAACGAGCTCACATGGGACTGGAATAGTTAGGGCAGGGTTCCCCCAATCTTCCGAGAAACCATAGTCCCGACACATGGAACCGAGCAGAGGCGCCATGCCCGTGTCTTTCCCGTAAATCCACGTGCCGTACCGAGCATGCCGGAGTGCGAGCAATAAGCGGTGATCAAGTTCCGCAGCTGCGGAGATCCAGCGATCGAAGGTCTGTGGTAGTCGAGACGGGCTGTAAAACCACGCATGCATAATAGTAGCAGCGGAGAAACAGAAGAGAAGGGAAGGAGAACTCCAGGAGATGAAGCGAAGCCTTGAAGAATCTTTAGAGAATGGTGTGGCCCTCCACGCACGACTTACTATTATGTCCAAGGCACGTATTATTGAAAAAAGTGTGAGATCCATCGTTCTTCCAGCGAGATCAGTTCTCGAGAGCGACCTTGCCTGGAGAGTAGTATGGTCAATATCTTGGGAGTATATTTCCGGTGGTTCATCAAAAGGGCCTGGTTCGCATGGTTCTAGATGAGTCGAAGGTTGGGCGAGCTCAGTTCCACTAGGCATAGAGGGCTTGGTTGGAGCAGTGTTCAGCAAGTGGAACGAGACTGCTGCCGATACAATGGCTGCAATGAACTGCGCCGCTTGTCGGGTGGGTATGAAATCAATCGATCTTGACGGGGATCGTAAACTATAACGTAAAAACAGTATTAGGTTCTTAATAGGAATCTGGAGCAAGGTAGAGCCGCCGATTAGAACACCACAAAAGGTAGGAAATCGATGTGGAGCTACCGCTTGTCGCAGGATGGTAGTGAACTGATCGAATACGCCGTTAGCCTCGCGATAATAGAGGATGCATGAAAATGGCACCTCCGTTCACTTACTTGCATCCACGCTGCTCTAATGCCCAATTTTCCCTTTCCAAGTAAGAAGAGAATATGTATCAGGCGCGGGCCTGTGCTCGATAGAAGGCCTAGCATGTAGGCTGTGGCGAGGCTGTTGGAAAGTCGGCGTTAGCGTTGAATTGCTCCTGATGCAACCACTACAGGTGGTAACACTAGGAACGAGGGAAATTTGACGATATTCGGAAGGATAACTGAGAGGAGCGGAACGTACGGCCGAGTAAGGCGCAAGTGTAGCGCTATTCGGCTGGGTTTCTTTGCCATTATTCTCATAATGCGATCAACACGTCCGAAAAACTGCTGAATGTTGGCATAAAAGACACATATGACAGAGTCTAAAACAGAAACATACATCCTCCCGAGTCTCTCCCCGTTTCTTGCAGTAGCTCTAGCAGATCAAGTCCTCTCCGTCAGCATCCTGTGACAGGCGCAGGAAGCTGCAGGACGTCACCTGACAGAAAGTTGGAGAAGGGAGCTTGCAAACCGGCCTTACCGGTGGAGCCGAGGTTGAGCACAGGGGGCGGGTAATTTGAGGATCAGTTTGGAGGGGAAGTTTCGCCGTAGGGGTTGCGAATTGGAGAAGGGCTGCACGCCAGGGATAGACGGATATACCGTGGGCCTGATCAGCACGGCCGGAGCAGCTGCCCTTTTGCTCAACACTGGGGGACACACAGAGATGAAAGGGGGTGAGGGGCGGTTCACACCGGCCGGAGGGGCTGCGTGAAAGAATGCGTAAATAATAACAATTGGGAGAGACTGGAAAAGGAAACGCGGCGAGGAATGAAATAGACAAGTGGGAAAGACGTTTGAAACGGTTTGAGGTTGAAATAGACATGTGGGGAAGTGAATGAACGCGTCGCGGGTTAAACCCTTGGCGGCTGGCCTGTTGACGCAACTGAGAAGGCCCATCCGAACGCTCGGCACGTGTTCGGTATGCCGGGGGTGGCAAGCAGACAAGGTTTGGCATGTGATGGAGATCCACCATCTCAACAGGAACTGAGGCCCTTTCAGCTTCAATATCCCATCAACTCCACCAGGCCCAAGTATTGCGGTGCCGTCATAACGCAGCGTCGCGGTGTACACATCTACACTTGGACTACTACGGCTGCCTTCCTCGACAAACGTTTGCAACACCTGGTCTACCACATTCCGCACGACAGGCAGACTCTGCTCGTCGTCGTGCTGTCTCCGTCCACCCCGCCAACCCTTGAGTTCCCGGTCTGTTAATTCACGTCTCGCTGCTGTCAACAAGGCCAAACAGTCCCAAGGAGCGGGTTCGGTGTGTCTGGCAAGGGCGCCGGACCATGATTCACGCGACCCATTGCCTACACGAGCCACTCGACAACAGGACTACACACACGCTCACAAACTGGAGACGCTCGCGCCGCTGCCGTTTGCGGGGGCGGCGGGTGCTTCGGCCAGAGGCCTCCTTGCCCGTTCGCGGTTGCCAGCCATGGACTCGAAGGACCCTCCGCCGTTTGGCTGTATGCGCCTCACTCTTTCCCTCTCTAGCTTGCGCTCTTGCCTCCCCTCTGCACTCCTTCCCACCTTGGAAGGCCCCCCTCTGCTTGCCCCCCCGCCTACACTGTGGCCGAGTGACTGACTGTGCCTCTAGATACCTTCAACACAGCCGACTTCTTCGGAGGCTCAGAGCCTGCCCTCACTAACAGTGGGCCGTCGCTGCTGAGCGAGAACGAAAATCAGTCTCTCGTTGATTTTTTCACCAACACAGATCCATTCCTCTCCGAAGCCCCTCCCTTCGCTCCTAACCCGGCCAGCAAGGACCTTACCGATGACTTTAATTGGGGCTTCGTCCCTCCTGCAACCATCCACCGTGTCTCCACCACGATCCCAGACCAAGCCCATCTTCACCATGGCTTCCATGTCGACCAACCCTTCAACCCCGATCCCCTCTCTGCAGACCACCTCGCAAATACCCAGGATGATTTACAGGCGGCTTCAACGCTATTCACCAATGCACAATCTTCTCATGTCAATGGCTCTTCATATGACATGCACGGCTTGCCCTCGTCGGGTAGCGACCCGTCTGGTCTCGGCTTCCACAACATCCCTTTGGTAGCCACCTCACATGGCCCGATGAATGAGCAGCTAGCAGCCTTACTACCGAATCATTCTGAGAACGGGTCTATTGACGCTCAGATCGCAGCGCAATTCAGCCAAGTGCATCATCGTCACTTGGCTGAAATGACGCAACTCGAAAGGCAACGGCCCCTATTAAAGAGATCGTACACATATGGAACAGATAACGCGTTTAATCCCACCGGGTTCGTTGTATCTTCGCCCAACGAGACGGAGGATGCGGTAACCCGACGCCTCCTGCAAGATCTGCGCCATGCCCAACCCCTTACCAAAGAAGTCCTTCCTAGTATTGACAACACCAAACCATCGAGCCCTGTTGCTCCGATGAATTTCCCTATTGGTCTGGTGGAGTTGCAATCTGACGAAGATGGGCAGTCAGAAGACGACTCCACCGACGCCGATGAGGATGACGATAGGCCTGCCAAAAAGCGACGGAAATCGAAAAACCCTATAAAACCTGACAAACTGCCAATTTCTACTCGCAAGGGTATCCCAGGGCGTTCTGGGAAGGGGCGCAAAGCATCGCTCGACGAGCCCATGGGCAAGAAGAAGCGACCCTCGTCGGCAGGCCAAAAAGCTCAACGAGAGAATCTGACAGAGGAGCAAAAACGAAATAATCATATCCTTTCAGAGCAGAAACGCCGGAACCTTATCAAACGAGGGTTTGATGATCTGCACGAGCTTGTCCCTGAGATACGCAACGGCGGGTTAAGCAAGAGCAGTGTTCTTATGGAGGCGGCCGCTTTTCTAGACAAAATAATTCAGGACAACACGCAGTTCTCGGCCGAGCTGGCCCAGTCCGCAAATGGCTGAAGGCAAAAAACAACAAGAAACCACATTCATATGTGCTTCTTGGCTTTGACGCGCAAGGCAACTTATGACCAATCTACACTAGGACCCACCTCGGCCCTCGCCAATACTGCCTATCCACGCTGAGAAGCTACTATAGTATATCAATCACAGGTCGGACGTCTCCTCACATGCAGGTTTCGGGATTTAGCACTGTCGACAAGAGCGCCCGCCAAGGTTAATTCTTCAGGGTCCCCGCAACGCTGTTTCCTAGTTAAGCTGCTAATCCTAAACCTCCGGGAATGAGGTCGGTTCTGCAGACCTTAGCGTGTCGTGGGCAGTTTAGATACGGCGTTATATAGATGAGGAGTTCGGAGGGAGAAGTAAGGCTATTGTTCAGTCGCATTTTGGGGGACAGATTGTGAGATACCCAAGTGGAGAATACAAGGTTTACCTCCGTAACGTTCATAATGTAGCCTTTTCTGTCATATATGTGAGTGAGAAGTTGTATACAGCCCGTACTTGGCAGCAGTATGTTCCATGTGTGGCACAGTCTCATCCATGTTCACAGTGGTATGTATTTACATTACATATTGCTTGACGTCTCACCTTGTAGTCTAAGCAAGGCCGAGGTATTTCATGTCGTCTGCACCTCGGATGGGTACAGTGTGCCCAACACCTGTGCATATATATATACATTCCAACATAGAGTCATGGATGACTCTAGTGTATCCGCTCTGGGGACTGTTACTCTTCGTGCTCTCCAGCTTGTCGTAGTTGTATCTCAAGACACCTAAAGCATGTCAATCAGCATTATTCAGCTTAAAATTGGACTTGAAGAAAATCAGAATGGAAGGTGTAGAAAAAGGGGAACATATCAGTCCATTGCTTCATCGTCTCCTTGTAGTTATTCGGTCCTAGTGTGCTATCCGATGAGCACTGGTAGATCTGCATCTTCGATCTCATTCCGTTATAGTTGAGGTACATATCGAACACGCCCTGTGCCCATTTCTGAGTTGTGGCGGTAGATTGGCGGTTGGCACAGGTGCCTCCACGCGTCGACACCGCCTGAAGAAGACATGAAGTGGCTCGTAGGCACACTGGAGTAAACGATGTTGGGAGCAAAACCGTCAGGATAAGTGGCTTCCATGACGTTCTAGGATCTCATAAGTCAGCAAGTTATTCGGGGGTGTCCTAAACATATCGTCATCATGGCTCGCGAAGATGAGCCTGTCACGAAGATCTTAATCTTATCCGCCTTGTAATACTCAATGGTCCACTGCACTACCTGTGCAATTGTCTGGCTATCCCCTCCACTATTGTGCGTTAGTGTATTGCTCGGGAAGCGTCTTGTATGGAGAACTACTGAAGTATGGAGATGCCGATCCAGTGCAGTAGTGAATTGCGACGACAATTCCGAGAGAGTCGGCCAACTTCCTGGGCACAGATGTAGAATCCAGCCTTTGTAGCTGCTCTAAGAAGGGTGACCTGACTAAGGCTTCCTGGTGTTAGAGCACGCACCTGCAGCGAAGCTGCTGAGACTGTAGAGACCGCATGGTTTCTAACAGAATTTTCGATTCTATTCAACAGACGCAATCTGAAGCCTTGCTAGACGAAGATACACCCAGAGGGGTGTTGCACGGTTTTATACCGAACATGATCAAGACCTGTTGAAAGAAATATGATGCGAGGACATGATCCACGACAAAGGGTAAACGGTATAACCCAACAATTATTCACGGCATGGCGTGGCTTCTTAATTCTGCAGAATGAGTTTGTGATTAGCAGAGCGAATGTGATGAGGTTAATTGGAGACTAGGTGAAGGTTAGAGAGGAGCCGAGAGGTATATTGCATTACGATGCCTTTGAACCGATCCTAGCTTGGTTCGGCTATCGGATCGCGAGAGAAAGTCGTGCGGGTACAACAATGTGGGCGTGGAATTTTCATGATCTAGTGAGACGAGTTGTTGTGGGGTGTTGTGGAGAATTATCAAAGCACCCCGCAATAGATAGTATAAATGAGCTAATGCGGGACGTGGGAGAGAGAGGTGTTATTGGGTTTGATATTTCTTAAAATGTCGCTCCTATCAGCGTCGAATCTTCTAACAGAGATATGCGACTCTAAATGGCCATCAGGTCAATGCCACCCATGAAAAACCGGGTTTTAAGACACAATCCGGGGTTTGATGGCACTGCCGTGCGATTTCCCGGCGCGGGGCGGCGAGACCAGAACAATCTTGGAATAAAACCGGGTGGGAATGAAGAAAGGCTAAGAAAGGAGATGCCAGGAAGCCTCCAAAGGGAGTGTTTGTTGGAGTTGGAACATGATTTTGCACATTGATTCCGTCATTACAGAATCCATTGACGATGTATGTAAAGGACAGCCGACATTAGGAAAATGGAATTACGACATTAAGGCTGAACTTAAAGCCCTTGCGGACTAAGACGCAACGGAAATGTCCCGAGGGAGTTTGAGACGAGCTATGGCATTCAGTTTAACTTATTCTGTCCAGGCTCCACGTAACCCTTTTCAGTCATGTCAAGCAATCTATCGACTAGCAGGAGCCTTGAAAGACCGCTTTGGGAGAACAGGCCCCGGGTGGTCGGTAGTGAGGTCCTGGGATGAAATCCTCTGAGCTCTCTCTGCACTCTGCGTTCCTAACTACTTCCGCCTCGGGAAGCGCTCGCTGATTGCGGGTCTTTAAGTCTTAAGACGACAACTTCGGCTAGGAAAGTAAGGATGGTCTAATTCAGACGGCAGATTCAGCACAGGCAGATTCGAGCCTCTTGAGCGTAGCAAGAAGCTCGTCTCCCAGTTCGTCGTCGGTGCCTGGAGACCGGGGGAAGTGGCCGTATCGGAGATCACTCAACCCACCAATGGCGTCCCTGACTTCTGCTCGCACTTTCTGCAGCTCAAGTTCCATGTCGGTGACTTGGACGGCGACGCTGTCGCAGGCTTCTCGGATGAGAGGGCAGATTGAGGGCAGAGTGTGGGGCTTTCCGCGTTGGCTGTGGGTGGACAGCTACGGCGGCATCAGCTACGATGCGGGCAGTAGGAAGCCACGATGCTCTACATACCTCTGCCTCCATGCCCAGCGCAACAGGGTCGAGACCAGCAACGGCGGCACGATCGGCATGTTGCCTGTCCCGGGTAATGCTGCGCTTCAGTTGCTCCGACGCCTTAACCTCCCTCTTGATGCTCTGGCGCACATGGGCGATATCCGCCTCCCTGGCACGATTCAGTTCCTGGTAGAGCTCCTTGATGGCGGGGTTTGAGCGCTGCGCGACGGGGAAGATGTCGGTGAATTGGCTTAGCGACATGAAATTGCGCAGGGGAGCTGGCGCGAGGAGGAAGTCAGCGAGGATAGCACCTTCTGAGGGCGCCATTGTTGCAGCAGCTGGTGCAGCTGGCGGCGGATGTCGTGGGTGTGGGAGCGGTCGTGTGGGTGTTTATGTTCATCAAAGAAGTGGGTGAATGACAAGGCAGCGCGTCGCGTCTGCCAGTGGCCCGTGCTGGTGGTCAACTGCCCGTGAGCAGAGTGGACGGCATCAAGCAAACCTCAACCTAGGACCTCGCACACCACCACCCTATCGCCACTTCTTGTCCGTTCTTCGAGCTGTATAAACGTCGTCACTGCGTCTTGTTCATCCTGTCTCTGCCCTTATTCTCCGGAAGAGCCTTCTACTAAACGTAATTCAGGAGTTGCAAGGTTGTGGCCATTGTGCCACTCAGCTCTTCCTCTTCCTTTCCATCAAACCCATCATTTTCTTCTCCTTGTTCTGCCCGCATCCGTCATGGCGCCCGCTCTTGCCCCAGACCCTCAGTTCAAAAAAGATGAGAAAGCCCTGTGTTTCCACCATGAGCTGCTCTACGATGCTAAGGTCATTGATCTCAAGCCCATTGACCCAGATGACAAGAAGAGCGGCTTCCAGTATAAAGTGCACTACAAGGGCTGGAAGAACACGTACGTTCCATTCGCTTCTTGATTTATCCTCCAGTTCCTCATGTCCTCTACGAGTTAGGTGGACTATGCTCAGCTTGTTTTGATACCTCTTCACTTCTCCACCACTTCTGCACCTGACACTTCTGCGCACTGAAACCCATCCCCGCTTTCCATATTCAACTATAGTAATAAATTTTCCTCACTGTTTGAATGCCTATCTGACGAATGTAGATGGGATGATTGGGTACCAGAAGACCGTCTTCGTAAGCTCACCCAAGAAAACCGTGAGCTGGCGAACAATCTCAGGCACGAAGTGCTTGCCGCTCAACGTGCCGCCAAAGCACCCCCTGCCGCGGGAAAGAAGAAGCCCCAGGGCTCAGCTCGGGGTAGTGAGGAACGACAGATGTCCGTCACCGCTGCTGGCCCTCGTGGGCAGAAGAGGTACAGGGATCAAGATCTTGAGAAAGTACGCCCGCTCCGCTTCTTCCCTATTACCTTTCTTATCTTTCGCCCTCACCCTTGTTTGTAACGAAATGACCAGCTTCCGTTTCCCACTTACAATTCCACAGGAGGAAGCCTTCCAGACCCGCCGTGCCGTCAGGATCTACATGCCTGACCGGCTGAAGAGCCTCCTGGTGGATGACTGGGAGAATGTCACGAAACAATTGCAGCTGGTACAACTGCCATCCAGCAAGCCAGCTGGCCTAATCCTGGATGAGTATTTTGACTACGAGAAACCTCGACGTAGACGGGGCAGCGCAGAGGCCGACATTCTCGAAGAAGTTATAGCTGGCCTTAAGGAATACTTTAACAAGAGCCTTGGACGACTCCTTCTGTATCGCTTCGAGCGTGAGCAATTCTTCGACATCCATACGCGGATGGAAAGCGGTACCTCAGATCTGGCTGGAAAGACCCTCGCGGATATCTACGGCGGTGAACACCTTCTCAGGCTTTTCGGTACGCGTGCCCCGCACTCACTTGAAACAAAATTGCAAAGTTATCTAATCTCAATAGTATCCATGCCCGAGCTCATCGCACAAACCAACATGGACAGTCAATCAGTCAACCGCCTAAAGGAAGAACTAGTGGGTATGCTGACCTGGCTTTCGAAGGAACCTCAAGTCAATACCTTCTTCGCTTCAACGTATGAGAGTCCGGGCCAGGCATATATCGACAAAGTCAAGTCCAGCGTGTAGACGCGAGCTCGCCTCTAGATCTCACATGAGGATTTCCTACCCCTTCTTGCTTTGGTAACACTTTGTGGCCACAATTATTCGTGATCGGAACCCGGATAACATTACTCTCATCCCTGTTCAGGACGGGGCCTGGGTTGGTTCGTATTTCTCTATGGTCATGGGGATATTACAAGTCTCAAGGTATTAGATGTCTACTTCTCTCTTTCAGGCTTTACGGGCTATGCACGGAGTCGGTTCTGGGTAGTCTTCCGCATTACAGATATGGTTTCTTGCCTCACCCTCTTTGTACGAGGGCAGTAGCTAGCTAATCTAACTTACCGCGGAGTACGCGGGTGCGCACTTGCAAGGTTTAGTGTGCCATTGGGACCTTCGAGACGCTAATCTATTTCGTTCCCCAAGGGTGAAGTTTGCTGGATGATACTCTCCAGGATCTGAACTGCCCAAGTCAGACAATCCGTCATGCTCTCTTCAGCATTGCGTGGCATTCCATTGATTCCGATGTCACGGCACACACTTTCATTCAACTCAGCGTGAACATCGTTTCCTTGGAAAAGAAATGCGTGGTCCTTGACATAATTTGGCCACACAATGCGGTCCACGTAGCCCGGGGGGTCTTCCCAAAAGCCTTCTAGAGTCACATAGCCACTCCTGGCTTCCCTTCTCCCCCTCGCAGTTTCGTAGGAGGTTCGCAGGAAAAGCTTAAGGTCGAACATTTGCCTGATGTCAGCCATGGACTCGGAGAAAAGCAGGAAACCGTCCACGATAGCGATCGGAGTGTTCCACCTAGACTTCTCCAGTAGCGTCTGGACGTGCTGCTTCAATTGTTCAATCACGGCTGGTTCCACTCCGTGGTCTCCGACAGAGTTTTGATCTTCTTTTGAGATGAGACTTGGTGGTGAGTTCCCATGGGTTTTGATGAAGGAGAGAGCATCGTGGAGATGATGCAGATTCAGAGACTCAATGCAATCCCAGTCTTGAATGCCATCTCTGACTGGGATGTCGGTGTCTGTAAGGTAGAAGTCGTCGAGATGGAGAATGAAAGTAGAGGGGAAGATGTCGCGGAGTAGGCGAGACAAGGTTGTCTTCCCAGAGGAGGACGGGCCGGAGATGCCAACCAGGAGAACACGCCTCGTCGTGAGGGAGGCAGCGTTTGTCATGTTGAGGTACGTACTCTGCCCAGGTTCGCGCACGTGCGGGTGAAAGGTCCACGGGTTATGTCATACCCACCTCCAATTCCGAGGTCGGCCCGGAGAGCTTGATGCAGATGGCAGCAGGTCTTCTGGCTCCGTGCACATTGTTACCCAGGTAGATATCCCACATTCACGCTCCCATCAAACAAGCCCCGCCAACGGCGAGTGTAACCCATAAGTCCTCGATATGGAGCCGTCACCGCTCACACAGGTCTCGCGGCCGGACTCGTTCCAGCCAAAGATTGTCCATCTGTACGAGACCCTGCTGGACGACGAATACGACCTGTCTGAGGGCTTCTGGGAAGAGTTCTTCCTCCATCGCCCAGACGGCGCAGGATTGAGGCGCCTCCTCGATGGGCTGGGCCCTGACGACATGTTGCAATTGCAGGCGCATTCGCAGCAGCTATTCCTGGGCGCCATCCTCCGCGTGAAGCAGGCCACGACGCCCTCGGACGAGATCGCCCTCGACGTGAGCTACCTCCTCAAAACCACTGCTCTTCCGCTGGCTTACTGGCCAGACCTTGACCGTGTTCCTAGATGCCGCCCTTAGCAAGAGATACACGAACCCCAGCTCCGACATCATCTCGGTGCTCGCAGGTCTGCACAACGCCGATTCGGTGCTGTCCGACTTTGTTGCGACTCTCGACGCCGTGATCCGCAACGGCCGAAGCCCTGCGCTGCGACTCAAGGCGGTGCGTACGGCGCTCTCCGTGACGGCCGCGGCCTTCCACACAGGAATCCCTTCGTACTTTACCCATCGAGACCTGTTCCCTTCGCTGATGAAGGTATGACGTGATCCCTTCCGCTCCTGCCAGCGCTTGCTCATTACCCCAGTACACCCAAGATTGCGAGGACAGCGCCCAGGTCTTGCCTGCCTTTTACCTGCTGGGCCTATTGGTGAACTACAATAAATTTGAGTTCCAGAACCCGTACCGACTGCGGCTCGACGACTTCGTGAATGATGGCATAATACAGAAGATGATCGCGTGCTTTGGGTCCACGTGCTGTACGATGCGGGATGCGTACGTAGCAATCCAGGACGACATGCCCGAGGGGTGGACGTTAGGGTCAACCCTCAATTACATTGGCCTGGGCGTCCTAGCTCCCGGCTCAAGGCCTTCGACCCCGGCACCAGCTGCTGACGAGACCAAGCCTTTGTTCGCCGCTCTGTAAGCCCATGTCCCAGGCAAGTAGGCCTCGCTCACACGCGTGCAGCCCTAGACCAGAGATAGGTGCTCTTCTCTCCACCTACGACTTCGTAAACGCGAATAAGTTGTTCTGCTTCAACCTTGTAACACTTCCCGCTAAGGAGAAGGGCGAGGCTTCACCGCTAGCTGCGTTCCTATCTTTAACCTCTTACCTCTTTCAGCATGCACATCGCTCTCACAGGTCGTCGTTGTATGCGTATTTGAGCCTCTTCGTCCTGCAAATTCTTGTAGAAGACCAAATACTTATCAAGCGACTGTGCAGCGACGACAGCAAGATATCAGTGCGGCTCTGTCGGCAGAGGCAACCATTCCTGCCCCTTGCAAAAGGCGACCGCGTCGCAAGCGCCATTATTGTTGATCTTATGATCGATGGCATCAATCACAACTTACGGAGGCGACTAGATGTGGACTTCTACATGTGAGTGTCGTTGGTCGAGTCGTTGACGTGGATTGCTAAGATGGCTAGGCTTTGCCTTGGCGTCCTCTTACGTGTATTGTCGTACTTGAGTAGGGTCAAGATCCGCATGGGTAAGCAACCTGCTTGATGAACGATATCGGCGCGCTGACCGGAGAAGTGTACCACTGGTCGGAGCTTTGGAGAACCCTCCTCTCCTTTTTCCGTTTCCTGTCAACTTATGCCAATGATGTCCGGCCTCTCCCTGGGTCATCAGCGATGGTTGATCATCTAGTCAATCTGCTAGCGTTTGCCCTTTCAAGCGGAGAAAACTTTTTGCCAGATCCGGCATCCTACGACGATCTGTTCTACAAACTTGTTGAAACAGGAGATATTCTGGTGAAATTTCGAGATGCATTTGGGTTATCCCGTCAGCCGGGGTCCAGCTCCATTGACACGCTGATAAACGTATCATCTCACTACCATGGCCTCCTTGAGGGCACCGAAAAAGGGAAAATGAGAAGCAAGAACCTCAGTCCAAGGGAGGTCAGTAATGTCATTAAGCAGGGTTACGATACCCTTTCCTTTGAAGCGGGCGAGGGCTTAGGTCGTTGGGAGAAATTTCGAGAGGCTGATTCTAAGACTCTTCTAAAGAAGATCGCACGGGCTGCGGTCGATGATGCGAAGACATTTGCCGAAGAAAGATGAACATCCTGCATCACCACACCTCCCAACTTCGATATGCACTAACAAACACAGAATATTATTGATGCGCGGGGAGGCCTTTTTGTGCCTTAGGCTCGAGTCTTAAGAGAAGCTCCTCCGTCGGCGACACGCACGACTTTTCCTTTACTTTAGTCTCAAGCGCAATGTCCACGTATGGTTCTTCATCATACTATCCCCACTCTTTCCAGGTGTATGAGGCTCACCCACGCTGCTTCAAAATCCTGGCTTCTCTGACCCATTCCCATGGTTGTATTTTTTGCGCCTTGGGTACTAATTAGCAAGCCCACTGTGCTTCAACGGTCGCTTTTCGAAATTGACGTTCCACAGGCCTTTGCCCTGACTCCTGATTTCGTCCTGAATGGCGACCAGTGTTGACAAAATCTATCGCCTCCATCTTAATAGCTCATGTTTCAGAGTTACTACGCCGTTGGGCTAGATTTAGATCACACTCGTATGCAGTATCAGGAGTCTAGGACACGGAAACGACGAGCGAATACAAACAAGCATGTTACCAAACAACTTCCGTCGAGTTCGAGGGTAAACGTCAGCTTTACCATGCCAAGAACCTATACATCTCTAAATTGCGACTTCCCTAAATAGTGAAAACACCAACCCAGACAAGGATGACGTCGGCCACGGCTTAGACTCCTCTCTACAGAGGGGCGATCCATCGCAATTGGGCCAAATAAACCCCCTGAGCTACCTCCATTCATCCACAAGCCCTTGTGTCGTTACAAGACTTTGGAAACCAGCCAGGAAGAAGATTTAATCCTGAGTCTCTCTGGACGAAAAGGTTTCGGCTATCTGCTGACAGTGGAGGCGTGCGTGGGTCGCTTCGAAACTTTTCTCAAGTTAAACCAGAACTACTTCTGAAGATGCCTGGAGATTCTCCAGAGACCGCTCAACTAGACGATAATCCTCCCCTAGCCTGCGTGTCTAACTCCGTACATATCTTCGGCGCCACCCAATCATCGCACCAGGCTAAATAAATCTTAAGAGCTCATGATATTCGCGCATTTCCGCAATACGGTTTCGAGGGTAGAATCATCTAGCTGGTAAAAATTAGTGGACAAGGCAATCCTCTAGGTAGTCTTTGCCACTGCGAATGCCAATATGCTAGAGCTCTTAGACATCAGCGAGGGAGAACTGCGACTTTAGAAAGGACCTACAGGGGAGACAAAAGAGATGGATATAGGATTCCGTCAGCTTCTAGATCGAATAAGAAGTCATGTTCACACGGTATCGCCTTAGGGATTATCAGCCCATCTCTAGTAAATAAGCTGGCGAGAATGTCTTCCGAAGAGCCCGAGAGAAGTTTGAATGAGATGGAGGAAACCAATATTCGATAAGTCTTGCGGAGAACAGAGCAAGGAGGGCTCAGAACTTTGTTTTCGCCTATCATTTCATTCCCGTACCTCCAGCCAGTGTCAAGAGATCACAGCCAGGCCTCCATAGTGAGATCCTCCCGTAACCACCAAGCAGGCGCGCTAGATAACCCGAACGAGATCCCCGAATTTGACAACTGCTACTCCCATGCTCAGCCGACGGCTCTGCATGCCAATCATCAATACGGAATGTGTTGAAAGAGGGTAGACAGAACGGTCAGAGATTCCAGAGGGTAAAGTCATGAGGTAGATTCTTCTTGTGTTGGAGAGAGTGGGCATTATTGCCGCCACCCTTGTCCTTCGCCTTTTCAAGCATGGAGGGAAGAAGAACGTGGACTGGGTGGAGTACTCTAGGTAATACCTACTCTGGTTGTGTTCCTGAATCTAGTAGATCTCTTTCGCTTTTGTTCAATATCAAACCCCTCAAGAGCTAGGCTGATGGTTTTTGCTCATTTCAAACCCCTCCATGAACATATCTTCAATAACTAGTTACCATGCAGCTGTGGAAGACTTTCAGATTCCGTTATTAACTATATGGTCGTATCATATTCTTCTTGCTGTTATCCACAAACTACAAGACGAGGGCCAGTTACTATCTTGTGCACTTTCAGCCAACCGCAAAAAGCATCGCGTACGCGAGTCATATAGGCTGAGTTGCTCCGCATCCCCAATATAAAGAGGAGAAAGACTGCCAAGCATGACATATAGGCTCGGCGCATGTTCTTAACAACGATGACGCTCGCTTATGTATATATCCAAGGGCCAAGCGTCGAAGGATTCACATCCTCCACATTTCGGCCACATGGTAAGTACCTCCCCACATTGCCAATTATTAGCGATCTCTACGATGTGGACATTTATAAGTTCTTCCACAGAACCTTGTCTTTTTGTCAACACGCGTTCAAACCCCTGATGTCCTCTTGTATGATCGCCTCTTTTCATTCCTAGCCCTGCAAGCACGTTATCGTGTGTCTCTAGCCCGACATTCTCGCTTCAAATCTCGTCCAAGATGGGCATGAGTAAAGGCCGAGACACGGGTATCAAGGATAATTGGAAATGCATCCTTATCTGCTTGGCTATGTCCCTCGCCAACTGCCAATACGGGTGGCTACTTGCGTGTTCCTCAAGATTGACTCTTGCTGACCTTTCAGGTACGATACTGCGACCATTGCCGGGTTCCAGGCGATGGTAGGCTTTTTAAAGATCTATGGCTACAAAGACAAGAAGGCAAAGATTGGGTGGAACATCCACAGTAAGATACAGCCAACCTTCGGCATTATCTACATCCTGACGCATCCATCAGCAACTCCGCAGCAACTTATTAGCTCGTTCTTGAACATCGGCACGATTATCGGAGTCGTGCTCACCCATCTCTGGGGGCGGCGCTTCGGGCGTAGGCAGTCTATTTGGCTGGCTTCATTGATTAGTTTTGTAGCAGCTGGCTTACAGGTCGGCTCAGAGCACTTGGTCGGCTTATACTTTGGAAGAATCTTGATTGTGAGGCACGCGGTGACGGAAGGGAACACAACGTCTATTCAAAGAATGTCGCTAACTCATAGCTCTTCTAGGGAATCAGCAACGGCTTCTTTATCACATTTGCAAATGTGTACACGGCGGAAGTCAGCCCACCACACCTCCGAGGTTCGATCGTGTCCTTCTTCGGAATTTGGGTAAACATTGGAAGTATGTTGGGAGCTATTGCAAACAACTTTTCCAAGGATTATAAAAGCAAGCTCTGCTACCAGATTCCACTTGCGAGTCTCTACGCGATCCCTTTCATGCTCAGTATCCTAATGGCTTTTCTTCCCGAATCGCCAAGATGGCTCCTAGTCCAGGGTCGACCAGATCAAGCGAGACAAGCACTAGAGAGATTGCGTGGGAACTCTTTCAAGAACAAGCCAGAGCTTTTAGAAGAAGAATTTCTCGAAATGAAACGCGGCATTGAAGAAGAGAAGTCGTTGGCGACCGGCTCGTCCTTTGGGGACATGGGTACTACCCCAGATACAATTACTAAGAATTTTAGCTAACTGCTCGGCAGTAAGCATTCCTTTTCTCGGCTTTACCTTTCCCTATACTAGGGCCAGAATGCCACCTGTGTGGTGTTTACGAATCGTAAGCTCTGTCTATTTGCTCAACTTGCTAATTGCTACTCCACCTTTAGTTCAAGGGTACCGACTTACGCCGCACTATGATCTGCTTCGCAGTCATTCTTAGTCATTCTTCATCCGGCGTATGGCTTGTCATTGGTTATGGCGTAAGTGGAGGCTCCCTCTCTCTGAAATAGACTAACGAAGGGAAGACATTCTTCTTTCAAATGGCTGGCGTAGACAAACCCTTCCTTGCCACGATCCTTAAATCCTTTATGGGATTCCTTGGTGTCTGCCTCGGCATGTCACTTTCCTACAAGGTAATCGGAAGACGATTCTCGATGCTACTAGGACATGGCGGTGCGGCAGTCTTCATGCTAGGCATGGGCATAGCGCATTCGGTTGCACCCGAATCTAAGGAAGCAGGAAAGGCGATAGTCGCTTGTGCCTTGCTCTACCATTTTACATACAATGGCTTCTCTGGCGCTTTAAGCTGGCCAGTCGCGAATGAATTAGTAAGCTCCAGGTTAAGAGTCATCACGATTGGTGTTGGGACGGGAATAAATTATGTCTTGTGAGTTCCAATGTGATTGGGAGACTAGGACCTCTGACCTTGATGCAGTGCCTGGTTGACCTCATTCACAACCCCTTATTTTATTAACTCTTCAGAACTCAATTGGGGGGCTAAGGCGAGTTTCCTAACCCACCACGCCATCAATCCGAGCGCAAGTACACACTGACGTCTTTCTAGTATGCCTACATTTGGGCAGCGTCTAATGCTGTTACTTTTGGTAAGTTTTTCTCGTTCTTCCCCTCGTCCTTCTCCTCGTCTTCCAGACTGATCTAGCGAATAGCATACTTTTACTTCTTCTTACCCGAGATGCGCAATCGCTCACTCGAAGAGATCGACGAAATATTCAACAATAAGGTAGCGACATTCGACTTCCCTAAGTATCAATGCGTTTCGTCGGAAAGGGCGAAGGAACTTGCGCTCAAGAATATTGGGGCTGATAGAGAAAGCGTGGCGGGAAAAGAGAAGCAGAGTGGCGTTGAACTGAGGGAAACTATGGCATGAACACATGCGAGTAACTGCACTTCATACCGGCTAGGGATGAGTCTTATCAAGAACCGAAGCGAAGGGACTATATTTAGGGGGCGATTCCAGCTACCCAGAACTATCATAAATTCTCTGTACAAACCAAGGTACTTACTAAAAATAGGCCTCTACTATTCTCACACCTCTAATTAGGACCAGCGCCGGCAGGAACAAAATATCTCTAGAAAATTTAAGCCAAGCTTTAATGCAAAATTTAGCATACTACGCCAATCTATAAATGTTTTAGAAAAGCAGAGGCTAGGATATTAAGAGGTGTACTGTCACAATCGGGCTTGACCTTAGCCGCTTGCGGCCATATCGGACCAGAATGGACAAAGAATGATCAGCCGGGTGCTGCGAGGTACAGACAAATGCAGCAAGGTATAGAACAAAAAAGTAGAGTGTATATAAGCAGCAACGAATCTCTGCCTTAGAGGGCAGTGATTCGTCTAAGTCTTTTACTAGGATCCTAACCATTTAAGGTCTAAATAAGCTTTATATTTTCTCTATATAAATGAAATTTATTAGACTAATGTCTAGCTAGCTAATCTCTATAGAATTAGAGAATATTTAAAAGCTAATAACTTTAGTAATACTTAATAGAAGATAAAAGTAGATAGATAAGTTTATAGTATAATATTTATTCTATAAATGAAATATAATAAGCTAAATTTAAAAAAAGTAAAGTTAAAAAGTTATTAAAAATTAAAGTAAAAGAATACTTTAATTAAGTAGTTATACGCTATTTATTCTTTATTACTTTACACAAGAGACATAGAGTAGAATGTTAAACTTAAATAGTGTAAAGTAAGCTTACTTATATATCTACTAAACTACTAGAATATCTCTTATCTTAAAAGTATAGATAGCTTTTTTTATAAAAACCTTAGTATTATAAATAATAATTTAATAAAAACTTTAAATGCTAAAAATATAACAGCATAGGCAAGACAATAGGTTTAAATGCGGTGTGAATCTACTTAGAAGCATATAGAAGTGCGTGGGGACTTAGAAACCTAGGAATTCTATTAACACCTATAGGCCTTATACAAGAGAATATTAGAAACTACTAAGCTAGTCAAGAGAAGAGGTGTACCTAAATACTTAGAGGAATAAAGGTATAGCAGAGGCTTGGTTAGAGTTAGAGCAGCTACAAAGAGCCTTTAGATATAGCTTTATTAGATAATTTAAAATAGAATAATTTAAGCACATTATTATACTACCCCCTTTTTTATAGGCTAATAGTCTCTATCTACAGTAGTTAGAGTATAGAAGTATTACTCTCTTCCCTCTATAGCATGTTATAAGTAGTAAGGTCAGCAACTATAGCTTTTATAAGGCCGGATGTCCTAAAACAGGCCAGTATGGCCTCACCTGGCCTGTTTGGAGGTCGCATGACCTGTGCTTCACACATAAGCATGAATCCTGACAAGCGAGGCTTGGCAGCGATTCGTCTCTCTTACAATACACTCCTATCTTTCTCCGAAACCTTGCTCTTAGTGCTATCCGTGCTATCTACTATCCTATCTTTACAGCTTTAAAGAAGCTTTTTTAAGTGTACTTAAAACTTAAGTTTAGTACTTATAAGCTAAGCTATTTTTTTAAAGGTAAAAAAGCTATTTTAATTTAAATATAAATCTTTTAATAGTTACCTACACTAATAAAGTATGCTTTAAAAGGTTAACAATACTAACTAGAGGATTCTTAAGACTTGTAAAGGCTTCCTAGAAACCTTGGAATTATACATTTAAACAGTATAGGTGGAATACGCTTGGTACTCAACATTGCTAGAATAGGGTGTACAACGACATCCTTCCTATAGAACTGTTGCGATTCTTGCATGGGCTGAGATCTTTCAATGCGCCCTGTTCAGCCACGTGCGGCCACCACGCTAAAAGCCACACTAGCCTTCCGCGTGATGGTCACCATCGAAGACACATCCATGGATTATGTTCAGCTGTCGTTGGAAATAGCATAGCGCGCGGGGGGCTAGGCCTGGTAAAACTTCTATTCGACGCCTTAAGACAGACTTGTTCCTAGCCCATCCTAGGGATAATAGTAGCGGCACTGAGGGGCCGACAGTAGAAGAAGAGGTGCAATGAAGAAGAGTGAGTAACGCAAGGCTGAGATTCAGCCTCATTGTGAGGCCACCTATATTTATAGAGGCTCCCATCTCATGCCTTGAATCCTGTCTGCTCTTTGCGCCTGTCGCGTTTCCTTCTGTCCTACCTAGCGATGGCGGACGCTGAAATTGCAATGCAGCATGTTAATATCCCGCAGCCTTATCCGAGACGAAAAAGGTCTTCAATTAACAGAGGCGACGAAATTCAAAGAGTAGGTGATGAGAGAATCGATCGGTGGTCTGGGAATAACAACGGGGGTTATGGATACTACCTCGAGGCTCAGAAGCAAGATGCTTTTGTAGAAGAGAGGCCCCAGGCGAGCTCCAGGAGCTCTTTTGCCGGGCAAAGTGGTAGGTTCACCCCACCACTGTGTGGCTTGATGGATTCAGGCTGACGGTAGACTTCATTTTAACTTCAGGTGACGAAGATCTCATCCCAATCTCAACCCCTCCGGGCCACCCTTCCCTCGACGCCAGACCCTTCATTCTGAAAAAGTGGTGCCTTATCATCATCCTTGTGTTCAACCTCTTAGCTCTCATCGGTGTCTGCCTTCTCCTATGGCGTTCCGACAACAAGAAGCAATTCCATACTTCATACATCAACATCCATTTTATGGTGCGATATGCGCCCAGTATCCTGGGTACAGTAACAACAATCGCGGGCCGAAGCATAACCTACGCGTTCTCGAGGCTTGATCCGTATATTGCCATGGCGGATCAAAAAGGCGAGAAGCCAGGCCGACATGGAAAGGCATCAAGGACGGTGGGGTCCGCCTTTCTTCCTCCACTAGGCCAGCTCGGGTTTGCAGTAATTTCGAGGAACGGGCTGCGCGTGATGCTTTTGGTCAATGGGATATACGTTGGCTTCTTTGTCACCGGCCTCAAAGCGGGCTTTCTTTCGTCACGCGAGACGTCCAGTGGTTGGATCGTCACGGTCCATCCAATCTTCTCGATGGTTTTGATTGTCGTGTATCTCTTGAACGAGGTCGTCTTGCTTTGGATTTACTTTTATCTGAGGAACAGGAACACGGGCCTGAAGTGGGATCCCACAACGCTCGCGGATCAAATTGCCCTTTTTCATGGCTCCAATATCCTAGAGGACTTTGCTAGTCTGGAAGAAGAGTACAATACGTTCGGCGGCAGGCTGCTCCAAGGACGAGAGTATCGACTCGGGTACTGGCAAAAAGGCGCGAATAGAGATATCTGGTATGGTATCGGTCGGGTGACAAGGGCTAAGAGTGAGTGTGCCTCGTTTGTGTTGGAAACCGAAGGAGAGCTAACCTTACCATCCTACAGCCAAGGAGGCATCTTCGGCGACAACTCGAACGTACGACCAAGGTACTACTCCGCCCACGGAACAGAACCAAATCACAAACTGTAGAGATGGTCAACACAGGCCCGCCTGCGACTGCCGGCAGTCGTACTATCGACCCCGTACTCCCTACTTTACCAGCTCTGTAGTGAACGGATGGGTCGTAATAATCTGGATGCCAATCATCCTCGCTGCTCTGATTGCATGCATAGTAGGCCTTGTACAACGAGTAGAGAAAACCGGATTCAGCCTCGAGAACAATTGGTATCGCATCTTCTCCCACAACGACACCATCCCAACAGCACCGGTCAACGTCACCTATGATCCGTCCGCGTCGAGGTTCGACATAATTGGCTCATTTCACCCCAATGCCGCGAACGACCTCGGCCTCTATATAGTCGTATTCCGCACCCTGTTTGTCGTCATTGCGTCCTTGTTCGCGGTTGGTGTGATGGAGAACATCGACCTCTCGATCCGATTCAGTCAGCCATTCGCCAACATGTACAGGAATGACGCTTCGGCTTCCCAGAGCCTCTTGCTGAATTACTTGTGGGGCATACCGGGCGCAGTCACCATCGAAGCGTTGAAGAATCGACACTGGAAAGTGGCCTGGTTTTCCCTTCTCAACCTCATCTCTCCTTTTTTCCCCATCCTTGTCGGTGGCCTTTTCACCATGACGAATACTGGAGCGAGAATCTTGTTCAAAGTCGACGAATCGTCGTTTTATCTCGTATTTGGGTATCTCGTCACATACGCCTTGAGTGTGCCGCTTGTGTGGCCAAGGACGAACAGGCGCCTGCCGAGATTCTGTAGGAGTATTGCGGATGTTATGTCCCTCTTTTACGCAAGTGTTCTTATGACGAACCCGGCTTTAGATATTTCGGGAAAGGACGTCGAGCAGAGACATCTAGAATCGAGATTGTTTCTTCAAGAGGAGCGCTTTCAGATGGGAATCTTTACTGGGGTGGACGGGGCAAAGCATTTTGGCATGGATTATGCGGAGTTAGGTGGGCCTGGAAGCAAGAGGCAACACGTTGTGAAAGTTGGGAAATTGCAGAAGGAAGGGAATAAATACCGAGTGAACGAAGAAAGGGACGGAAGTGCGTAACTACTGTGGCTTATATCGAGATATGATAACCCAACCGCAGCGCCGACCGTTTTTCAGGCAATCTAATATACCGCCACTTGAACTTGCTAGTCGCAATACCAGCTACTAGCACGGCTTTCTTCTCTCCTAGCATAATATCGAATCTATTGTCGCTTAGTTTCATGTCTTGCTCGTCGCTTGTCACGAAGACTTTCTGTTTGGATTAACGGAGCTCTCCAAGCTCCAAAACCTACTCGTATTCAGGAGCTACTGCTGCCTGCTATAGTCATAAAACGCTTACCCTGCTTCCTAGCTCACTCCTCGCGTATATAAACCCTTAGGTACCCCCCTGTTGCAATGGATTAACCAAAGAAAAGCAAGTATAAATAACTTAGTAAAAGGTTACTCTATACTTATACTTTAGTAAAGAAAGAATAGATTTTAAAAGTTACTACTTAAGTAAGCTAGTAGTTATTTTTTAAAGCTTAATTTAAGGTCTCTTTTTATACGTAAAATTAAGCTTTAGAGGGGGGTAATGTAATAGTGTTTTATGCTACATCCTAGAGGCTAGTTCTCTTTTTAGGCCTAGGGCCTTACCTAAACCTTAGCAGGGGTATATCTTCCTCTAAAACAGCACCTCTGTGTAAGGGCAGGGCTCTGTACCACTGCGCTAATACAACTAAAAAGGTGCAAATAATTAACCAACAGTTATCTGCGTACAGACTAGTATATATACCTGTCGCGCGTAAGGACCCGAGTACAGGCCGCTTGCGGCCTTACGGTGCATTATCACCCTTTGCGAGGACCAGCGGCCTTACGGTGCATTATTACCCCTTGTGAGGACTAGTGGCCTGGCTGCAAGGACGGAGCTCTGTACCACTGCGCCAATACAACAAAAAAGGCGCGAATAATCAACCAACAGTTGATCTACGTACAGAATAGTATATATACCTGTCGCGCGTAAGGACCGTCGTCTTAGTGCATAGAGCTTACTCTTAGTGTAAGGACAGGGCTCCGCACCACTCCGCCATCACAATCAAAAAGGTGCAAATAATCAACCAACAGTTGATTCGCGTGCAGAATAGTATATATACCCGTCGCGCGTAAGGACCACCTCGGCCTTACACTTAGCGTCTGAGACTGTCTAGGACGTCACGCGATATGGTTTAGCGAGGCGGTCTTCCCTAAGGCCTTGTTAGAGATAGTTAGTTGTCAACTTCTTATAAGCCAACCTTTCCTTCAGGTATGTTTGTAACAGTGAGGTACTGACTTAACACTTATATAGTTGTGTTAACGTACTCTCTAGGGAACCAATTACAATGCGTGACAGGGTTGCCACTTTTAATTATTTTAAGTAGCATTTAATTGCTAAATAAGCCAGCAACTAGTGTTTAACAAATAGAATTAAACTATAGCTAGGATTAAACTATAGTACTAGGTATACAGGTAGAGGGGTAGAGCGAATCTCTAACATACTGTTGCTACTGATGAGAAAAAGAGTATAGGAATAACTACTATATACAATATGTTAAACCGTAAACACTTACGGTCTCATCTACTTCGATGTATCTACATAACCCTTCCAAGGCCACTCCCCAACAGATGCTCTGCAACATACCTAAGCATGTTCCGCTGAAATCCACTTGGTAGAAGTTACCGTATTGGAGTTGCCCGATTTGGATTTGAAAGTAATGGTATTGTCGGCGTTGATAACAATCGTCGTTACCCGTCCTTCATCCTCGGACCTCAAAATGTGCTGCTTGAACCCGGCCGTCGACTCATTATTGAACATGAGCTTACACATTACTTTTGATGCAATCTGTGCTGCCTTGGCTGCAGGAAGTAGCTGCGGATTCGACCCTTTCGCCGCATTGATAGCCGTCTTGATCAGCGCCGGCGCCGCCTTCTCAAGGAAATCGATGATGCTGCGGAAATTCTCCGGGTCCGAATACCACATCTTGAGCTCGTTTGGGCGCACCGAGGACGCTTGTTCGCTGTGGTACGTCACCATCCACCAGTCACGGCCCGTAGTGAATGCGCCGGTGTTATACTCGACCGTCATGGCCTCTGTGGAAAGCGTGCCGGGTGGGATGATCGACCAGTCGTATTGATTTTTGTAGACGTCGCTATATTTGTGAGAGACGCCGACGCCACTTATGGGGTAGGGGGTGTTGTTTTGAATTTTGACGAGGGCGGTGCGCTTGGTGAGGCAGAAGGCGAGGGGGAGGAAACAGAGGGCAAGAAGGAGCTGGGGGATCTTTGAGGAGCGCATGTTGCTGGTGCGGAGGTTGGATTGGTGGTTGCAGTAACGAAGAGAGAGGAGTAGTCGGATCGGGTGAGATGATTTTAGCAGTGAAGGTGGAATTGTGTTAGTATGCCGGATTTTGCGTGGCTTGAGGGCGTTGGGATATTTCTGAATGGAATGGTGAAGCCGTCAGGGACGACATCTGCCTTTTATACATCTATGAAATTGAGGTCTGGATAGTTAGTCTCATGCATTGACTAAGAGTCACATCTCAGTGAGGCTGCTCGCGCCTGAGGCTGGCTGTGGAAACATGAAAGCTGAACATCGCGTCGAGCGGTGAGGACCTGTGCGGTGCGGCTGTATATCCCTGTCACCTTCCTTTCTCATCGCGAAGGCCGGCAATCGTACATAGTACCCACTGCAAATTGCGTTTTCTCCTTCGATCTTCCTTTTTAAGTCTTGCGACCTTACCCAGTTTGTGAACAACTCTGTAATTATTAAGATGACTTTCAGCCTTTGCAGCTGTGAAAGATTTATTAGAACGGTTAGAGCTAAATGCCATGAGGAGATGCAAACTAGAATTTCAACTGTAGGTGTATTAGGCATAAAAGCTGCTGTTTCGCACAATTTGTTCCTTTTTACACAATTATATTGATTGCTACTGCCTCCCGTTCATCCACGCAGGGAGGAAGAAACACGGTCAATATGGAGTGCAGGCACAGCGGAGCTGTTATTTTAGGTGCGCTATGCGTGATGAGGTAGCGTGGGGAAGGATGAGGTGAGCTAAGATGTGGATTGGTGGAATTCTACTGTAGCTCGTAAGGAGGACACTAGGGGCCACGGTAGGGCCGACTGGAGGGCTTCTAGAAAGGCTACTCAAGCTTGGCATGCTGGCGGTGCAGGAGAAGGCTGGTACATGGGAGACATGTAACAGCATATCCTTCGACCTATCATATATCTCTAAGGAACCGAGGACAGCTTTGCGTGTCAGAAAGGTTCTCCCCTACATACTGCACGCAGAATGTGCATCTTTTCTATTTTCAATCTGCATCACCTTTTCGTTACGGCTCTCCATTGACTCCGGCTCGAGAATACGTTGGCCCAACCTGGGTGCACTTTGACGACTTTGCGAAAGTGATCTTTGAAATCTTGCTTGCCTGTCATAAAGGGTGTGCCACTCGTCAAACCTATACCACGAGCGACAATCCCTATCTCAATCCTTCTTGCTGGAGGCAATGGAGCGCTTGGAATGGCAATAACTGCGCCTCGCTGCACTGCCACAACAGTACAGCGAGGCCTTCAGTTGTCCACCTCTCAAGCTACAAGGAAAATTCGCCTTCGGTTGCTGCAGGTCAGCCTGACAGTGCAGTGCACGCAGTGCGCGACACACTGCAATTTAGCGTATGCAAAATCGACGGAATTCTTGGCGCTCTGTGAGATTTTTCTTCTCCTTTTCTCATATCTGATAAGAACGACGCAATATAAATCAATAAGAGTCCTATAGTATTTTCTCCCCTATCTGTAGAATCTTTCACTATCTTTGATTTTAATTAATATTGCGTAGTTGCTAAAATATACGGATTAAGAGGGTTGCTATTCTACTCCGCTCCAGTTTTAGAAGGCTCACTTGGCGTTTTTGCACAATTTTACAAATCTGCTCTTTACGGCAGCATCTCTTTCTAATATAAAATATAGACGTGAATATTCTATAGAGAACAGCTTATAGAGTTAGGGGTGTTTCTTTTTATTATGGAATATATTTGCATCGCTGAGATATGAAAGAAAATGTGGTTCGAGGAAAGGCAAGTCTCGCAGAGCGCCAAGAATTCCGTCGATTTTTGCCTTCGCTAAATAAATTAGCCGCCCCACCCCGAGTTGATCTTCTCCAAACTCTCCGCAAAACCAACGTTAGCACAGCAGGGTTCGTTCATAAGCCTACCACATCATAGTCGCTTCCAGAAGCGGTTGCGTGGTATAGCTCAACGTCCTCTCCTCCTGTATGCTCAGTTGCCCTGCTCGTTTCCTTCATTTGGCTGCCACGCCATTGGGCCTTCGAGACTTTATTCCTACCACCCGTACAAACTTCCCGCTGAGCAATGTGTCTCCTGCCACGCAGCAACACTGACGAGTTCTGTCTCACGAAGGACTTGGTAACCGATGATACAATCCCTCCCTATGTGATCTGTAAGCCAGAGGGCTCTACGATGGGACGCCAAATCAACCTTGGGCTAGGGTCTCATCATACTATACATATATCATACATAGCTCCTCGGACCCTCAGCACACAATACATCACTTCTTTCATAACTTATGCCCTCTGCAAGGTACAGAAGAGCATCAAAGTTGACTGAGACAATAGTCCCGGTTGTTTGCACTGGGCCTAATTGCATCATTATCGGAGAACCCGCTATTATTAGAGATGTGCAATCACTCATCACAGCTCACATGTGATGGTGCATTCGACCATATTGAGCGTGATGTGGATGCTGTTCTGTACCATTGGCGTGCTTCTATCGAAGAGCATGTCATGTGTCCTAAAGCTGTATGGCTCGACAATCAGAGTCTAGAACATATTCCACTTCCGGAAAACATTGCACTGTGGAATCTCGAAGAAAATGCTGAAATGTAGGTATATTGCTAGCGAATTGGCTGTGGCTACCTAATTAGATATCTCACTGTTCGACTAGAAAATGTTGGATCTTAGAAGTTTCACTTGTAATGCTAGGCAACTCTGAACTGAAGTCGACTCTGACGGGTGACGTCGCTAGTGCTTTCCATTCCCGCAACGACTCGCAGCCCCTTCAAGACTCTATTCTTAGAGGCCTCCCATATATGCTAGCTTGTATCTTGGAATCACTTAGATATCGTCCTCCTCTTCACCTTCTCCGGAACAAGGTTAGCTTCTATTCGCATATAATATTGCGAGGCTATAGAGTCCCAGCTAGTGAGGTGGTAAACCTGAGTTACAGTGCTTGTATAAAGGGAGCTTGTGTCTGGGAGATGTTAGATTCATTCCAGCCTGTGCGGTGGCTGACCGAAGACGAAGACAGACTCACGGTTATGAAGGAAGACTTAGGCATGATCTGGGGCACAGGTCTGTCACAGTATGACAGAGGCGATATTGCTTGCATGTATCTACGTAAGGTCTTATACAAGGTGTGCTGTTCCCACATTAGATATAAGCCTTCATAACAACCTTTAGATGCTTAAACAATCCATCACAGAGATACGTTTCGGGAATATGAGCTGAAGGTCTTATTAGAATGTTTGCAACGCAGGTAAGAACGATTTAGGATTTGGAGGAATATAGATATTGTATGCTCCTGCAGCCCCGAGGCACGATCCTAGATGATAGGCATATTGTGGAAAGAACACTATCACACCGGAGCTACCAACGAGTGTTTTGTTAGTAAAACACGGCATGGACACCCACCAGCAGGGTGCGCACCCGACCTCGATGTTTGATAAGCTCTCTCTCCCATCACCGCTTTTCCAACTTCTGCTTTTAGACCCAGTAGCAGCGCTAGCTTCGAAATAATTCCTTTGTTCTTTAGTTGCATCAAGTCCCACTCACCGTACGCCGGCACAATATCAAACGTCCTTGCCGTTAAGATCTGAACAATGCACATGTCGTTGTGAGCCAGAGCTTGGCCAATGCAGTTCCTTGGTCCTTGCTCAAAGGGGCGGTAGGCACTGGAACTCTGAGAACTATTTAGGTCATGTCTAAGTTCAACAAGCCAATGCTCAGGAAGGAATTCATTGGGTCTTGTCCAAACTCGTGGGTTTCGATGAACAAAATGGTTCATGAGAGTTGTTGCCAAGCCTTCCGTGGGGTAGATATTGCCTAGTTTGTCGATAATCAATACTCCGGGGCGACCTTGGCGAAGCGAAGTTGCTGGAGGGTAGAGGCGGAGAGTGTCTTTAACGACCGCAATGGTGTATTTGCATTGGTTCAAAAGGGCAGGGCTTTCTTTCAAAAGCGTCCCAACATTGGTGTCAGAGCCGAAAACTACGTCATGCTCTTCTCCAGGGCTTCTAACGGGCTGTACTACGGGTCATACAAAGTGAACCGTAACGGTCACGCGATTAGTACGAACGTACCGAGTTTGTGAGCCGTACTGTACGTTTAATAATGCCCTAGGTGCAGTACGTAGTACAGACTATATTAACCTTTTAGAAAGGTTATAGTTATGGTAATTTTAAAAAAGTAAAAAGGCTCTAGTAAGTAGTAAGCATATAACGTACCTCACGGGATGCTATCTACACAGGTGTGTTAGTGTGAGAGCACTGTAATGCAGGAAGCATGAAGCGCAGAAGGGGGTACAGGATAGTATTGATAGACAAATCCTTAAGGAGACTTAAGGGTTTGTAAGAGGATATATATATATATATGTGCTGGGGCACGTGATGGGACGTCATGTGCCCAAGGCCGGGCCGAGGGCTCTCTGGAGAGAGTCCGAGGCATGTCCAAGTTAACCGTGACAGTTAGCTACTCTGCTAAGACCCTACTAAAACTATTCTAACATTATAATTGTCACGGTTAACTGGGACATGCCTCGGATAATGGTATGCGACATATACCTTTTTATATATATTTATATAACTAGCAGTAAGCTGTACTAATAATTATAAGATAGCTATTATATAATTTTTATATAAGTTAAAATAAGTAAATTTATAGTTGTAAGTAAGTTTACACACGCGCAGGGAAAATTGTTGTGTTGCTAAGGAATTCCACTGATTTTTGCACTAGATAGATTGCTAAGAATCTAGCAAATTTTGCACACGACAATAGAGACCCCGATATCGATGATTTAGCAGCGGCGTTACTACTACAACACCTCCCTTTGCGATAAGAGAACGGACCCAGAACTCATCTGATTCCTGCCTATTTTTCTGTCGCAAGAAAGAATGAGTCTACAAAGTAGTCCCTTCACAGTCACAGCCTCTAGTTGCTTTTTTCGTTATTTCTCTCGGCTTCCTTCAATAGGCAAACTCTGTGTTGAGATGCATCTCAGCTCTCTGCGGTATTCCTGAACCCTGCTCCTCTGTTTCACCTCTCCTCAGCTTCGAAAATAACGCGGAAGTTGCCGAGTTGGGCTCTCCTGATTTATGAACTCCATAAACACCCACCATGTCCCAGCTCGGTGGCATAGCTTCGCCAATTTAAGCAACTGAAACTACCTCTTTTCTCTATCTTCACAACGATTGCCATAAACCTCTCCATTATTCCTATCAAGCCCACTGAAGCAATGGGATGGCTGAAAAAGATTCGCGACTTGCCGTGGGAAAAGATCGATCCTACAAACAAAAACTCCGAGGTTCGCAAGGAGCTCCGCAAGATAGATGAGCACGTCTTCCAACCAACCTGGGATTTTCTTGGTGCCGCTGCTGTGTCTCCAATTGTCACAGCTTACATAGAATATTTGGAAGGGCAGGCCAAAGGCAAATACAAGCCTCTTCCCCAATGGCTTAAGCTCGTCCTGCATGAGCTCGGGTCCTACGACATTGACCTGAGCCGTGTCAGCTACGCAGAGGGCATCAACACACTCCAAGATAACAACGCTATTACCTTTGGTTACAACATCCACTTCCCCCAAGCCATTAACCTCGATAGGACCTCGCCATCCCGGGACGACGTCTGGTGGATCCTCCACGAACTCGAACACTGCGTCCAGTATCGGAAGCTGGGCGGAGTCGGCCCCTTCCTCGCCAAATATATCATCAATACCGCAGGCTCTTCCATCGGCGCTGTCTCCGCTGGCTCATGGGAGAAGTTCATCATCAAGACGCACAACGGCATGCAGATCGAGAAGGATGCGTCCAACAAGGCGGACAGCATCCTCGAAACCGTCATGGCCGAACTTGACCAGCTCGCACTCGGGCGGCCGACGGTGCTGGCGCGGAATCTCGGGGCGCGGATCGATTGTACCAACCAGACCATCTATGAGGGTGATTATCTCGAATCAGCGGATGGGAGGCATCAGTTCATTCTGCAGGGGGATGGGAATGTGGTGCTGTACGGGCCGAGCCATACGGTGATGTGGTCCAGCTCGACGGATGGGGTGGGACGTCCGCCGTACAGAATTGTAGCGCAAGACGATCGGAATGTTGTCCAGTATGATCGGGATAACAAGGCTATTTGGAGGACAGACACCAGGGAAGTGGGGCACACTGGCTGCCGGCTTCTCTTGCAGGATGATGGGAACCTTGTGTTGTATCAGCCTCGCGCAGAAGGTTCCGGGCTGGTGGCTATCTGGAATACCCATACTTCTACTTAAAACAGCGCATCAAGTTCATCAAACTCTACAGTAATGTACTCCGCATTCTAACTTAAACTTATGCCTGATATGTAAATACCAAGCACGTCACCCCGTCTTAAGCAAGACGAAGCTGGGAGCGGGCCATCCACACACACTGACCAGTGACGACAACGCAAACTAGGGACAACCATCCCCATTTCATTTCTTCTTTAAATACTGTAGCAAGATGGGAGGTAGAGCAACGGAGCACTGACGCCTTGGCTGCAGGAGGTCTGCTGAAAAGCAGAAGGCATTGAGTGGTCAGACAGAATAAATCTCAGTTGTACGAGCAGATAGTTGCCAAGTTTTCCCGAGGCCACACAAACTCAAGGTATGCCAAGGGCAAGCAACACATGTTTGGGCAGGCATAGGGTGAGGGTAGCTTTATTCGACAAGGCTTGAAAGAAGTCCAGCGAGTGAAAAAGCTGACACCAGTTTTGCCTACTACAGTCGTGATTTTGCTGTATTGAATCGTTCATTCACGCGGGGATATCATAATTGTATGAATCGCCGAAAGCGTCAATGTAGTGGGCTTCAAGTACCGACCTGCGTGGTGGAATTATTTAAACTTGCTTCCAACACCACATGCATATTAGACAGTGGATTTTTAATATATTAGCTGGATTCTGTAGTTTATATTAGTTCTTTTCATTAAATTTCAAATTCAAAGATGACTATGGCGGCGTTGCAGGGCAGAAATATTATCGCGGCTTCTCAGGTGCAATGCATGCACTGCGTAGAAATTAGGCGACTAGTAGGGAGGCTTTCATAATATTTAAGGTATATATAGTTTAATAGAGTAAAGAATAGCTGAATAGTGCAGTTAATATAAAAATTTAATAATGATAACATGTATACAGACTCTGGGTTCGTGCGAAGTCAAAGTATCGTAGATTCGTCCCAGCACGGTGGGGGGTCCCATCACGCAGGGGGGGGGAGGTTACATGGCTATCTTCCCATCTGCAGAAAGGAGCACAAATAAACTATAATAATATATTTACGTGGGTACTCAAATATCACTCATCCCTCGCCAGCGCTTTGGAATAAGACTAACTCAATTCCATGATGCCAATAGATTAGAGACTGGATATACCAATAAAAGCATCTATTGCGTACAGTACACAACATCCAAAACCGAAACTCGCAGGCCCCCATAGCAATAATGCTAACATAGATTCGGTAAAACAAGCCCGATTAACAGAACTTGAGCACGAGGAAAAACAATCAGCAGTTACTACATCAAGTTTAGAGGTGACACGGGAGCCACACCAGATTGAGGAAAGCCTTGATACGCAGAAACACCGTTAGTTATGAATTAAATTATAGTTTTATACATTATGTTTATAATACTAAAAAAAAAGCAGCTAGCTGAATAGAGTAGCGAGGTTACTAGTAGAATATGCTAACTAAAGTGTTACTAAGTGAACCTTAAAAAGATAGTAGCGAATTATAAAAGGTTAAAAAGCGGCATAATAAAGTAACACTTAAAGCATATAATATAATAGCCTTGCTAGAAGTAGAACTTATAATAATAGCTGTTAGCGTAAGTGCTTAAGTGTGAGAGGTATCGAGCAGGAAACACAGGTCACAGAGAGGGAATGCAGGATAGGGGGGTGTAACGAGAGTAAACCTTAGGGTCGGAGGCAGAGGTACGGAGGCCGAGGAGCCTATATACCCCGTGCCAAGCCCAGGGTAATCAGGGGTTGGATAGCTGTAACATAACCGTGACATTATAATGCTTCCAACTACTAAAGTAATTTTAATATATATATAAAGCAAGAATTCTTTTATAGAACTTTTATATTTATTATGTGAACTACTAGCTTAGTATATTAGTTACCTTTAATACTTTTATTAAATTAACTACCTAGTACTATTCTAGTTGTCCGTACGCAGCAGCAGCGTCACAGTCTGGATACGAGCGATCGCGCACGAGCAGGACCACGTATCTATGTCACATGATGCTCGTGCGCGAACCTCCGTGCGCGAACATCTAGATATCCCCCTTTTCCTCCGTACGGAGGAAAGACAAGAGCAATAGAACCAGAAACATGTTGCCCTCACCTTACCTACCTCGTACGCTGTGCACACCGTACACCACTCTTACTCTTGCTACTTAAGTGCTCATACTATAAGCAGCTAGCTGTCGGAGCCCATTCAACACTAGTAATAGTTACTATTTAGAATACTATCTGTTAGATAAATTTCTAGAGAACTAACCTAAGCTCTCTAGCTATACTCTTTTGTATCTACTAAAGTCTTCTAACTACTACGTTTTTACAAGCGGTTAGAGTTCTTAACTAGAACATACAGGTATAGTAGTTGCTAAATTAAAGTAGGTGTTAAGAACAAAGTCTAGAGAAAAAAAGTAGATATAACAATTAGCCTATAAAGCTACTGCTAAGGCTAACTCTATAAAAGAAATACACTAACCTAGGTTAATAAAAAACCTACTAAGGTACTAAATTATAAAACATTCTTGCTAGACTTTAAGTTACATAGTATTCTAAAATAAATATATACGTGTTTAAAAAGTAATAGTAAGTATATTATAGAATAGCAAGCATGGTTAAAGTAAACTCTTCTAGCTGCTTTTAAAGGTTGTAGTTATTATTAATTATTAACTATAGCGCAGCCTAGGTAAATTAATTTGCCTAATATTCTTCTTAACTAAAGTATAATAATCTCTTACTTTACACTTTTATTCCCTCCTTACTTACACCTCACAGTTACCGCCGCAGACCTGATGATTGTACACCCTCCACCACAGATACTAGTAACTATTCCTACCCTTCTCCCCAAATCACGGATTTTAGTCACCGTAACAAAGTCAAGCTGCAACGCCGCTTGGCAAGGTGAGATATCATAATAGTATTATCGACATGCTCGCATAGTGCTATTAATAGGCTTGTAACACAATTAATATGGCAGATTGCAGCGGTATACTCATATAATGGAAGCAATTTACTACAGATTTCAGCAATATGCACCATGTACTGTGGAAATAGTTTACCGCAGTTGCAGCAATAAGCTCTATACCCCTGAGCACCAGCCCATTAAATCAACTCGCTTACCACCTTGGTTATACTTAGCACGAATTAGACAACATTCATATCCTCACCAACAGCACTTTCATCAGTGTGCTCTCTCTCATACAGCTTCTCTGGCTCAACTTTTCTCTGAATAATGTATCGATTAAAGAAGTACGGGATCTGTCGAAGTCCATAGGCAGCATGAACGTGAGTAGGCACCGAGAAGATTTGATCGAGTTCCTCGAGGGTCTTTCCCTTGGTTTCCTAAATTCAAGATTGGCTCAGGCTTCTAGCGAAGCTTTTTGAAAAAGGTAATTAAGACTTACTGGAAGGAACAACAGCACTAAAACCCAACCCACGAGGTTCCAGGCAGCATACCAGCCGAAAGCCCCCTGGGGTTTGAAGGCTGCAAGTAAACTGGGCCAAGTGATAGAAAGTATGAAATTGAAGAACCATGTCGTCGCTGTCGCAAGAGACATACCAATTGTCCTGACATATAATGGATATGCTTCTGCTGAATACGTAAACGGAACCGGCCCTTCACCAGGGGAGTACACAATTCCAAACAGGTAGATGCCGAGGGCGACGCATCCTACATGAGCCTTCGATGTTTCTGGGATGTAGAACGAGAATCCGGTAAAAAGCAGGAAGATTGCCATAAGCGGGAAGGTTGTGAGGAGGAGGTTACGGCGGCCGAATGTATCGATGGTGTACACGGCTGGTAGGGCAAAGAGGAAGTTGATGACCCCGAAGCCGAGGGAAGCACCTAGGGCGGATTGTTCGCTGAAGCCAGAATCGACAAAGATAGAGGAACTGAAGTAGGTGTTAGACTATACAAGGGAGTGATCAGAAATATCACCTACCTGTAGTAAGCGATTACGTTCACACCGCAGAACTACATACTTAATCAGCAGCCGACAGGGTAAATTATACCGAGTGCGAGTAGGGCGGTGGAAAGGATCACATACTTGTTGCATAAACATAACAATCTCACTCGCCAACATAGCTCTCCTGTTTCTAGGCACTGTGTACAGCTCTTTGATCTTATTCTGACCAATCTTCATGTTTTCCTCGGCCTTCAGTAGCTCGGCCATGTAGAAAAGATCCCTGGCAGCTTGTATCTTCTTGTATCTCAGTTTACACATGGCGTGGTAAGCAGAAGCATGTCTACCCTTGGACATGTACCAACGAGGAGACTCCGGGCAGAGAAATACGAAGCAGCATACGATGACAGCCGGCAACATGGCGGACGCCATCATGATGCGCCAGTTGAGGCCAGTAATGTTGGGCTTGTCGGGGACGCCGTAGAAGGCAAGATCGGCCGCATAGCCGACCATTATACCTGGAACTGTTAGTTTGTATAGGGTGGGTAAGATTGTGAAGAGGCTTACCAAAAGCAGTCCACATCTGCCACTGCATCACTAAAGCACCACGGATGGCAGGGGGGGTGCATTCGGCAGCGTAGATCGGAACAGTCGCGGATTTAGGACCGATGCCAAAGCCTAGGGCAAATCGGGCGATGAACATGTGCCACCACGTCTAGCTTCTCATAAGTCGGAGGAAGTGGATGCACCCCAGACGACAGATGCACTTACGTTGACAAACCCCTGCCAAAAGCAGGCTACAGCACTAAAAAGACATGTAATGAAGATCGTTCCTCTTCGTCCAAACCAGTTATTGAACGGAGTAGTGAGCCAGCACCCAATGAATGCACAGCACATGTACGGGGCGCTATTCACTAGGCCGGAGAGCCATGTGGACCGTTGATCATCTCCACCGATACCAAATTGGCCCAGATAGAATAGCTGGGCGCCATTGACGACAGTTTCATCTACGAAAATGTCAGTACAAGATTATAAGTGAGTACGAGATATCATAAACTGACCCATTCCCTGCACAGCCGCACAAGTTGAGCAAAGGATGATAACGAGATACAGTGTCCACGGCTGGCTCCACCTATGATTGATTTCCTTACTAAGTATTTCATACTCTTCATCTGTAACACCCATCTCCTTGCAATGGGTCAAATTCTCCGGGTCTCGGGCAAGCATGGCTCCAATCTCGATGGCTCGGACGTCTTCTTTTTCAGCAAGGGAGTGCTCGTAGGCATATGCCCGGCCCATCTTTCGAAGCTCATCATAGCTGTAACCTTGGAGAGGGTTTGCAAGTTTGGCGTTGATATTTCGGCGAGCACGCTCGACTGCTGAGGCAGCGACAGAGGGCCGATGCGTAGTGCTTGTGCCGACAGAGCGGCACTGCTCCTTGTGGGGTTTGTCTTCAAAGTGAGAGTCTGAGGAGTGTTCCCGCTTTTCTACGGGCTCGGTTTCGTTGGTCGACATTATGATTGAGCTATGAAGTCTTACCAATTGGAAAGAATCTTGACTTCGAGTATCACCTTTTGTCCTTAGTTCCTTGTCAGAAGGTCGAAAGTATGTGAAGTATTTAACTTTTCAAAGCAATATGTTAGCATTCGATCACACGCGAGACATACACTGTTAATAAGTGCTCTCCCAGCCGCTGACGCCTGGGAGTCCGCCTTGCCCTTGCCCTTCGCCTGGTAGAAGCCAATCCCTATTGTTAGGCCACCCGCTTCCGCTACCAAGAACTAAACTTGCCCCACCATTCTGTAGATCCACGGTCTTAACTGCTATAACCGGCTACGCAGTAGCTGCAGGGTGACATCAATCAAATTAGGCCCAAGCGGGTTTCCCTGCGCTGTTTAGGTTCACGCATTTAACATGTATCAGCATATGAGATTGCTCACTATTACAACAGGGCCGAGAATGTATAATTGAAATTTGACTATTCTAAGTTATTGCCGGTGTGAAGTGGGTAATGTGAAATGAGAGGGTAGTGGGGAAGAATATGACATCAGAAATTGGATCTGCAAAATGAAAAAGAACCAACACGATTCAATGCTCCCGGGCAGCAGGGGTCCGCCGAGACCACTTAAGGCGAAAAAAACTAAAGGCGGAGAAATGTTGAGAAATGTTGCTCAGTATCTCTGCATCATAGGTAGATGCGCTGTGATCTTAAAGGTCCTTGCGGATGATACACACCTGGTTGGCGAAGTTGTCATCCCAATTTCAACCTCCCCGATGTTAGGAAACTCTATATAAAGAAAGAGAAGCTGAAGGGAATGCTGAATTACCTTATGCTCGGTGGCACGAATGGTTGGTGTACACACTGATCTCACGCGTTGCTGTTCAATCTTTGGAGTATCCGCATGGCCTCTGCTGATTGTTCTCCAAAACAGAGCGAGACCGACGTGCCGCATCGCGATGCTCGGCTCAGCCCCTCATCATCACGATGCATCACAAAGACGCCAAGTTGAGAACGAGCAGCATCTCCGCCGGCGAGGCAGAATACCACAAGGTGGCATTCCTCCAGCTACAGCCTCGGCCCCCATGGTTGACAGTCGTGCTGCTTCGGCGATCACTTTGCACCTACCTGATGCTCAATATTATCTATTTCGCAACATAGAATCATACTACACAAGAGCACACAAATATAATTTGTAGTCTCAAGCCCCCACCTTTGCGAACTTGAATCCACAAAGCCCAAAACCTAGATCTTTCGAGATCATAGTCAATCAGATGCGGTGACCCATTCGTCCGCCTTGGTCGTCTTCTTGGGATATTTTGATGTACGGAGTACGTCATACCTTACAGAAGCGCTTCCTTCGTACATCGCAAGTATGTTGATGGCTGTGCTATCATTGGTCTTTTGACTCTACACCCTGCGGGAGGATGTTGGAGCACGCTGGGATGACGTCAGTTGAAGACCCTCAAAGAAGCATGTGAGTGCTACTCGCGGAGCTTATAGGCTGGCAGGGTAGTCGAAAAATTGACATTCACATGAGGCAACAACCCTCCATTTGAAGGCACGCCAGTAGGTGCAGGTGAAAGCTCAAAGCCTCTAGAGCTTGGCTACAAGCGTTTTTCAAGTGTCATGAATGCTCTATTAAAAAACAAAACATTAAGAGTTAACCATGGCTTCAGCGCAAGCTTCAGAGCATACTCCTCCTTTTTGCTAGCTTAGCATACTGTCTCGCCGTCCTTGAGCTCCTCTCTCCATCTTCGAGCTCAAATTCCCCTTCGACTACGCTAGCTGGCCTTAGCAATGCTTGGCTTTTCTTTCCCCGGAGGTTCAGACCCCGATCGCGCAATTTATCAACTCTGGAAGATATGGCACTCATAATAGAACTCGCGCCGCCGGGCTTAGCCGTAGGTTGAGTGCGTGTGACACCATGAGGATGCCTGTGTGCAACGGCGTGTTGACCAGGTTCCATGTACAAATGATCCCTTTCTTTGTTAACGAACCAATTCACGACATACTGTTTCCCTTCCGGCCCTCCTCCACAACTACCAGCTAGTAGGTGAGATGGTGGGGAGTTAACAGCGAGTGCGAAAAGATTCGGTGGTTCAGAGAAATCAGTGACGAGACCGCGGTGGAGCAAGAAATAGACGAGGACGAAGATGTTCATGAGGAAGACGAGGAGGAGGACGAGAAGGAAGCCTTTGGAGCCACTATCGACACCACCAGAGGCGTATTGCTGGGCTTTGATTGAGGCGTTGAAGTATTGAGTTGCGGGTTCCTCGAGGATTGTTACGGTGTAGTTCTAAGGCGGTGTTAGTTGAGGCATGGTTGGACGATGCAATTGGGTAGCGCGCAAGAGGGGGCGGCGTAATAACGTACCCAGAATTCTACGAAAGGCGTGTCCTGTGCGCTCATCAATAGCGTACAGCCTGACATGACCGCTAATGCTTCCGCAGGACTCGGAAGCGTGGGGTTCAGATCAAAATCCGCATCATCTCCTTTGCTATCTTCTTTCTTCTGTAAGATGAGCTGCGTTAAGAGTCGCGAATTGCTGGCATCCCCATCCATAATTCCTGTGTTTAGAGACATGCTGTTAGCCCAATCGAAACCGATGTCTCTCCAATCCGGCACATGTCGGACCTCCGTGGCATTAGTGAGACTTTTGATGTACATAAGCCCATCATTCTCGTCTTCACAATTTGCTTCCAGTGACCCGCCAGATCCAGAGGCGTTGTAAGTAGAGCTGCAATATGGCGATATTGAGACTTTGATTTGGCATAGAACAAATTGTCCAGTTAGGTTGGCTCCTGAGTCTTTGCCGCCTTGTCCTAGCAGGTATATCGAGTCTCGTCCGTATCTACCCGGGGTAGTGTGATTCATAATGGTATTGAACGGCCCAGGGAGCCTGGCAAACACGGGAGGGTAGTCTATCCCATTTTTGTCTTTCTTAGTCCACCCGAACAAGTCATCCACTATTGTTGCGTTCTTCGTTGTCGCATTGGCCTGGAGGGTTGTCCATGTTGTAATATTTACAAGCTCGTCGTTCCATTCATCGTAAACAATCGGCTTTAATTCGTCTCGATCCAAATTGGTGCAAAGAACATGCATAACAGGCGATGGTACAGATCCACGCAGCGAGTAGGCTCCTTCGGAATTGAGGTCATCTGGCTGTAGGATGTCATTTCTCGCATCGCGAGCGGCCTGGAAGAGGCCGGAGTGGGGGAAAGCGAGAGAAACGTTGTTGACGGCGCGCTTATAATGTTTTGAGACCTCTTTCGTGTCAATGACATTGATCCATTGAGGTATGACCGTCGTATTCTCGTGCATCAGAGCGAAGCCCGGTGGCCGCTTGGTCTGGTCCGAAGTACCGTTACCATTGTTCGAAGCGGTGTTCCAATAGGCTAGATAACGCTGGTAGTTATGATAGCCCTGTGCGGCATGTTCGATTTGCAAACATGTGCTACCCCCGTATTCACTGTCAGTGCGAATGGGCGTTTCGCATATTCGTTTGACATAGTTCGTGTTTGCAAACGAGGACCTGACTTTGCTTGCTAGAACCATGTTTTCCCACTTTCCGGCTTTAAGTTGGGGTTGGACTGGAAAATTAGTCAGCTCAAAGAAGAACTATAAATCATACAGTCTACTCACCGAGAGCACTTGCAGCTGGTGCGTACAAAGTAGCTAAGGCTGCACTAAGAAGGCTGAGGATACCCAAGACAGTGAACCCAGAATATCTCGCCGTTTCCCAATGCGTGATGAGAGTTCCAGGTTGCACGACCCATCGCCACATGGAAAGCTCAGAAAGAGTGACGCCCCTGCCCTGCTCTTTCATAAAAGCCCTCCTGCTCAGCACTTGACCGAGAAATGCCACAAACGACGTGACAAACGAGAGTTCGATGAGCTTCGCCATCACCGAGGTCAGCACGATGGCAGCTGCTGGGGTTAGAGAGCCATGAGTTGTGATTCTGCGGCCATAGCGCGGCCCCTTCCACGCCAAGCCAAGGAAAATTGCAGAGAAGATGGTAGAGAAGAGGCAAAGGATGATGACGGTGACTGAGAGCCAGGAGAAACGAGACTGGTAGAAGTCCTTCGCGGTCGGACATTCGACCGTAGGGTGGAAGTCATTCTCATAGGCGGACCTTAAGGAGGGAGCTCCCTTGCGTAGCCTTTCCGTGTCTGGAGAATGCAGGTATTGCTGATAATCGCCGCCGTCCTGTGGACTGAACCTTTCCCGTCTCAGGTCTGGCGTGCTGCCTGCAGAATCCTTGGGAAAGCCTCCAAACAGCGGGTCACCTGTGTTTGGGGGGCTGCCGATGCTGCCGATGCTGCTGATGCTCGGGCTTTGTATGGGACTCTTCGCGCCAACGGGGACCCTGGGGATGGTCTGTATCGAGACCCTCCTGCCTTGCGCGGAAGCACCAGCGGGAGCAGAAGTCGCGATGCCAAGACCACTCACACGTGCCCTCGCCCTAGGCTTAAACGTGTGCTCGATACTGTCCTCGCCATCCTCACCATCCTCTCCATTCTCCTCGTGCAGCGTGTGCGACGGACTCCGCTCAAGCCCCGAGGGATCGCTGTGCAGCCTCGTGTAACCGGGGCGCGACTTGGGCGGGCTCGTCGGTGTACGAGCCTGTGAAGTTGGAGTGAAGCCTAGCGGCAGCGAGTGCGAAGTAAAGTCGAGCGGCGGCAATGTGCGCGCGCTGGCAGTCGTGTTCGGCGGGATAGAGACGTCTGAGGACCTGCTGATGAGTGGTCGTCGGTCGGCCATCGTCCATTACCCCACTTCGACGCCTGAGGTTTCAGCCTTCTGGGGAATCTATCTCGTATCGCGAACTGATTCGACGCTGCAACAGCGCAATGGCTGTCGTTGTTTGGCCGGGAGAAGACTTGGGGGTTTGGTGGGGCACGGAAAGAGAAGATCTCACTCGCGGCTGGGTCACATTCACTTGTCAAATGCTACACAAGGGAAGGCTCTCGATCTTGTCTGAGACTCTGCGATCTGTTCGTGGCCAGCCGGGCTGGGGCGCATAAGCTGAAAGCTGCCGCTTCTGTGGCGCACGCCTCGCTCTGGCCCCTTCACTCATCTGGCTTCGGCTCTCCATAACTGGCGTCCATCGCCATCATTATGGTTAGACAAAGAGTGGTGAGATGAGACGACTCGGGGCGGCTTTCTGCAGCCTTGTCGAAAGGTGTAGAGGGTGGGGATCTTTGAGATATGCGGGCCGGGCCTCAGCCACTAAGTCGCTGTCTGTTACCGTCTTCCATTATCAAACACTAGTGTCAGAAGCGAGCGACTGGAAGCTGATCAAAAGGGCGTACTAAACACTCTTATTCATCCGTATAGCTTTGAGCCTTTATGGAACGTATCATAGGAGAAGCACCCGTTCTTGTTAAAACAAATCCATTATTAGAGGCATATATACAGATCAGTACGTGCAGGAGCCATTTCAGAGATCCTATTCTGGCCTATCCAATAGCCTTAACATGATTAGTAACTAGACACGTCCAGTCGCTGCTCCCATAGTAGATAGTATAGCCGTCGTTTGAAGTCTGCGATCCTGTTGATTTGAGGGTGTCTCCTAACTGCCAGAAGAGATCTCCTGCCATTCCACTGTCCTTGGCTGCCAGGCTCGTCGCCTGCCACTCCTTCTCAACCGAGCAGTGGTCATTCTGATTTGGAACACCATACTCCTCGAACAAGCAGGGCTTCTTCAGCTGTTGACAGATCTTTGCATGGGCTGTAGTCCAGTTGTTGCCAAAAGCGTTCGACACACTCCAGCTAGTAGGGTAAAGATGGAATGTTCCGAACGAGATGTTGGCGACAGCGAGGTTGGCTGCCCAGTCAATGCCTTCCGAGAACTGGTAAGGGTAGCTGCCGTCCCCGGCAAGGCCAAATCCCTCGTCACCGGCAGTGATCATATGGTCCGAGTCAAGAGAGCGGATGTAGTCCGACGTCTTTTGAATCCAGGTTGTAAGGATAGCGGTTGCGCATCCTTTGCAACGTGGCTCGTTGGCTAACTCCCAGGCAAATACAGCAGGCGAGGTCCGGTAGCGGGATATTACGGCCTTGATGTAGTTTTGGTATATGTTTTGGCATTTGGCTGCCTGATACCACTGCTCATTGCTGCTCACACCGCAAGCAGAGAAGTAGGCAGCCATACCGCCATAGTCTGTCCAATTGTTGACAAAGTTGATTATCAGTTTAATGCCATATTTCTCGGCAGTCTTAACTACGTAGTCCAGACGCTGCAGGCCGTATGTCCCAGTGTTGATGGTTGCGGAGGACCCGGAGAAAGATTGGAAGTAAACTGTGCCTGCACCTGGGATAGTAGTGACATCGTTGAAACCCCAAATTCTTAGGATTTTGAGACCGGAAGTTTGAAGATGGGACATGATGGTGTCCACGTCGTTGTTGTTGGTTAAAAAGGCAATCCAGTAGCTGTTAGTCCCCGCATAGTCTATAAAGAGGGCATTGGTTAGATAGGGGAGAAGCTAATGTTGTACAAGTCGGTAGCTGACATTTTGTAACTCCGTCAATGTTAAATTTTGTGCCATTGGCCTTTGAGATTATGCCTGAGGCAACGGATGTCGGTGCCGGTTCTGCGGAAGAGGCAACTCTTGTCTTTAGAGTTGTGCTAGCTTGTTTTGAAATAGTTAGCGGTAGTTAATTCTATGTGAAGAGAGTGAGATTTTACCTGGTGCAGCACTGCTTGGTATGCATTGGGAATACCATTCATTACTGATTTGGCAGGTATATCCATTAACGCATGAAGTTTCCCCTGTCCAGCCATTTCCTCCACACTGCCCCCATGCAAGCTGCTGGGCTGCAACGGCAGTGATAATAGAAGTTAAAGAAATCAACTGCATCGTGGAGAGTAAAATTTTGGGTATGCGAGATCCGGACCGTTGGACGACAGACTATTTTATAGCAATATTTAAAATGAACATGAGATGTTCTGACCAAAAGCTATGCGGGAGAAGATCTTCCGCGCCAAATTGAAATAGGTTTCTCCGGAAGATGATTGTCTTCAAAGACAACAGGGTTAGATAGAGGCTAAGAAACTGAGCCGTTTGGGCATCGCTAGCGGTGAAATGTGGAGGTTCTAGAGAGGCACCCTAGACATAAGCATACAAGAATTCGTGAACCTGGGAATTATGGTGCGTTTATTCTAGGTAGTGTTCTGGGCTGGCTTCGGTGTATTTGCCTCTAGTGCTAATGGTAGTGTACCTGCAAGTACTGTGGAAGTCAAAGCCGGGCCTGGGTGTTGAGAGGCGTAAATATTTACGCATGAAACCGCTGTTGGTTCCGTGGACAACGTCTGGAGGACAGAGATGGCTAAACGAGTGAGAGATGGGTTTGCTTACTGGGAATACTCTATCAGCAGCATATGACTATTACTGCATCCAATTTCGAGCGGATGTTTAACTCTCGATCGAGGTGGCGGGCGAATTGGCCTCTCAGGTAGCAGCAGAACGCTCTGCTAACGGCGGGAAAGTTGCCTCCGTGTTGAAATAGGAAATAGGAAAGGAAGGGTTTCGGGAGAGGATACACATCGTACAATATACTTAAACAACGTATGCTAGGCATAAGACGCATGTGGCTAGAATATGGCCTTCAGAACGAGGTAAATTGAGAAATGTTCCACCTGTGAGCCGAGAGGGGAGAGTCGAGGGCGAGGAGCACTAGAGGATTTGATGGTTACCTTATTATGCACTTCGAGAACTTTATCGATAAACATCCGACAACCTCGGCATACTATCCACTGCTGGGCTCTCTTCGACGTTCCATTGTGCACCAACAGTGAGGCCTTTCGGCAAGACCGGCGACTTCTGCTACTTCGATGTTACTTCTGCCTCCTATATTTGAAGGCCTGAAGGTGACGAACAGGCCGTGATGATGCTAGACACCTGATTTCGTAACCTGTTCAGACGTTGAAATCCAGCAATAAGAGAGATTAAAAAGACAATGTGGAAGAGACTGGATTTGTCCTCAAGTTCCGACCCCGCGGCTCGGCTCATATGTCAGAAAAACGAGACACCTTCTCCACTGTCATACTATTGATGTAGCCACCCTTCCTTGAACACGTGTCTGGGATCCTTGATGACTGCAGAGAATAACAGCATCCCTACTGGGTGTCTTCATGTTTGATATTCGCCGCTCTTTTGGGCTAGTCACATCATTTGCTCTCCCATCCTTCGCACCCTTTTGTGTCAAATCCGGCTTAACGCGGCGCCCTCCGCAAAAAGCTTATCTGGATCTGAATCCAGCACTAGGGCTATTTCTGCATGCAAGACGTAAAGGTGGTGGCTGATCTCTCGTGGACAGCTTTTCCACGACATCTCCCAAACTCAGATACCTACTTACCACTCCCACCTCGAAGCATAGGACGACGTACCCCAGCATTCACAATAGAATAGCCGACACGTTACAGCATGTCTACAGATTCTGAATCGGCACGCCGGACGGCAGAGGCCCGCGCTGCAGTGACTGCCTCACTTGCGTCTGTCGGTGGCTCGGTCGACGCTGAAATGAGGACACGGGCCGCGGATCTCCACTCGAACTCAGAGGCCATAGCCAAGCAAGAGAAGGAGCTCACGAAGCAGACGGCTGCCTTGGCCAAGCAAAGCGCCCAGTGGCAGAAGCTGGCTGACACGAGTACGAAGAAACTCAACGAGATCGGGGACATCCAGAACTGGGCCGAGATGATCGAGCGAGATCTTCTGGTGCTGGAGGAGACACTGCGGCTGGTCGAAGGAAAGGCTGCACCTGATTCTGCTAGTGGCACGGGAGGCTGGGCTGGAGATTTTTGAATGGCTTTAGCGCGACGACAGGCTGTCTTGTTTAAGATCGTATTACCTCGCTATGATTGCATCTAACAGCCCTACTTTACAACGCTAATATTAGCGCCGTGCGTTTCTTTAATGTTCGGTATCTGATAATTCGCATCTGCCTCAACGGTCGAATGGATCATACGTGTCACTCCCAAGGGCGTATTAAGCTCGGTGATGTGAGGGGTGGATGGGAATGTGAAGTGGCATGTTTGCCTCTTCTGTAGACTGCGTAGGAGAGTTCGAGATGTCCTGCGGAATGCGTGTGCTGAAAAACCGAATACAGCTGAGCTAATGAATTAATCTGCATCCGCACGCACCCTTACAGTGAATATCATGAGCAAGGCATAACTTGTTTTGAGGTAGCGGTGCCTTTCCCATTTCCGATGGATTCTATATGCCCGTGAATTAAGAGTGTGGTCCTCACCGCAAAGGGTGCAGACAAGCCGTGCTCGTGGGGACTCAAAAGCTCGGACCCTCTCGTGACTGAAGTTGTACGGATTAGCCCTGTCGGTTCGATCGTCGTCGATAAATGGGAAAATACGCGGAAACTGCCATTTTCAAGCTCCATCTACCAACACCACCACCCTCTCCCAACACTCTCCCCCAACACCCACCTCTTCCCTTCTGTCCACACTGCACGAGGCCGTCAACTAGCGTCTTTGGCCACCAACGCCCCGCCAAAGTCCTGTCGCTGCTTTGCTCTTGGAGATCCACGCCTGCACCGTGGTTTCCCGCGAGCAAGCTCCCACCCGCGCCTTCCTACTCCCCCTCCTCAACACCTGCCGCTTTCTTCCCCTCATACGCGCCGACTTTCTCTTACCTCTGAGCGGCAGCTTCACACCAACTGTGCTCACCAGACGGAGCCGCCAGCTCCTTCTCTGGTCTTCTTGTTTCCCTCTGCAAGCTCCTCAGCCTTCACATCTAGCAGGCATTGCCCCCCCCCCTCCCGGTTGCCATCACCACCCATTTCTGGCGTCGCCTTGGACGCTCGCCCGTGCTCCTCGGGCCAACAGATAAGGCATTGCATGTGAGGCCGGCCCGCCTTCCGCGCCCCTCGCTTCGCCATGCCCAAGATCAAGAAGCAGGCCACTTCTCGACATGAGTCGACTCTGGTAAGAAGCTACCGTCATGTGAGAAGGGCGACGTACTGACCTCGCGCAGTCACCTATGATAGCCGACTTTGTCAAGGCCACGGCCTCAATACCGCTCTTCCAGCTGCCCGCCCACCTGGCCTCGTTCCCGAAGCAGTGGCCCTTTCCCCGCGGCGACACGTATCATTGGATCCCCGTGCTGAACCGCTTTGATCGCATCCTAGAACTGTTCAGCCAAGAGTATGGCCTGGTAGATGGACCGCAAACACAGCCCTTTCAGCGGCGCCTGCTGCTCAAAGGCGACGCAGAGGACGGCCAGGCGACAGCAGAACAAGCCGCGACTGATGCCATTCTGGATAAGCTGCACATGCCGCACGATGCCGACCGCGACCTGATCGAGCAAGTCCTCAACTTCACGCGCGTGCTCCTGGAGAACTGCGGCAATCGGAGCCTCTATTCTAGCAGCGGCCACTTGGACAAGCTCCTCAACACAACCTCAGTTTCACTCCTGAAGACAACGCTTCGGCTGAGTCTTCGTCTTGCCCAGAGATATCACGCCGCGCGCATGCGTCTCGCTCCGACGGCTATGCATCCCACGCTTTTAGCAGGTCACTACAACTTTAATCTGGACAAGGTTCAGAAGCTGGCTGCCCCCTTTGCTAAAGGCCCCCAGACTGCAACACCCGCACTTGCCACGCCATCTCACAAGGGCAAAGAAAAGGCATTCGGCGATCGCCGGACTGACTCGGACAAGATGAATTCCGCGGATCTGGTTGCGCTCGTTTCGATGCCCGACGCTGTAGTGAAGCATGAGTTTGGTGGAGTTCTAATCTCTTACTATGAGTCCTCGTCTACTACTAGAGAAGGTAGCAGCAAGTCTGGACCGACGAACGATGTCCCTGCTACGCCAACACCGGTCCGACGAACCTCACACATTCGTCCCACCCAGGTGCCTCGCCAACCGCAGACCCCGCCAGCCATCGATTCTCCACTTTCTCCATTCCATGAGTCCGAGAAGAGCCATCGCTCAGGCCCCAAGACGTTTGAGCTTTCCATAGACACAGTGTCCAAGACCAACGTGCACGAGCTGTTAAAGCAAGGTCTCGCCGAGCTCCCCGAGAGTGTGCACTATGAGTTGCTTCACAAGCTCCGAATTATTCAATCTCTTGATGCAGGCCAGGCTGGCCGGGAGGATGCACTTGCCATCCGGCTGTTGGCTATTGCGAACATGGGCTATGTGCATGGAGAGAAGGACTTCTACCAGAAATTAGGTCAACAAGATTCGGATGAGCCCCGTCGTTTGCAGCTAGCGTATCAGTTGTCCGAACTCGTTCATCCGCCGGGGAACGGGGAAATGGGCGTGTCCAAGGAACTCCAAGCGTTCGCCCTCAATGCGCTAGAGGCTTTGGCAAAACACAAGACTAAGGCCCCCGACGTTTGCTCGGCCCTCAATGTCAATGTCAATCACGGCGTTTTGTTTTACGTTGTCCGAAAGGCCGTGGCTGAACTCGGCAAGGAAGAAGAGCCAAGCGACACTCTGGAAGACGACGAGTGGCGAGATGCGCTGTTCTCTCTTCTCAATACCCTCCCGACAGCCCAGCCACGAACGGGTGAAGGCATGGTTTCCGCTGGACTCCTAGAGATCTTGGTTGACGTGCTGAAGTTTCGAACTACTAAAGCAGAACGAAATCAGCCAAAGGTCCTTAATTTCTTCGACACCTTTGTTCACAACCTGCGTGATGCCTTTCAAGCATTGGTCAATGCCGGTGGACTTACGACTATTGCTGAGCTAACATCCTACGAGGTCGATACATCTAAGAAATTGGCTGAAGAGGGGAGGGGAATACCGGCCGAGTACAAAACCCAGCTCACGGATTATCAGATCCCATTCCACCACCAGCAAACGCTCCGGTGGCTTTTCAAATTTGTGAACCACATGATGTCCCATACCGGCGCCAACTTTGATCGCTTGATGCGGAACCTGATTGAATCTGCACAATTGCTTAGCGGTCTACGCACTGTGCTCTCTAGCTCGTCCATATTTGGATCAACGGTGTGGAGCATGGCTGTTAACATCCTGACAAGTTTCATACATAATGAACCAACAAGTTATGCAGTCATCGCCGAAGCTGGTTTGAGCAGAGCTTTCCTTGAGACTGTCACGCAGCAACCAATTCTGGAGCTTTCCGTAGAGCCCCAACCCAACGAGGATAATAACGAAGCGGAACCACCAGCGAATCCCTCCTCAAATCATCAGCCCCAATTGCGGAACATTTCTCAGCCTTACCCGCCTCGTGATAGGCCCTTAGCCGAAGGCATCTTGCCCGTAGCTGAAGCTATCTCGACCCTACCTCCTGCTTTTGGAGCTATCTGCCTCGCCGAAGCGGGCATGAAGCTCTTCAAATCATCTTCAGCGCTTCAGAGCTTCTTCGAGATATTCGAGAGCGCCGCTCACATCAAAGCCCTCGATGTGGATCCCGACATGCCGACCTTAATCGGGAACTCTTTTGACGAACTAGTTCGTCACCATCCACAACTGAAGACCGAAGTACTCGCATCTTTAAGTGAGATGATTGCACGTGTGGTTCAACTGTGTTCTGCAAAAGCCGAAAAAGATGGTGTCGGCACTAAGCTCTGGATCGAGGACGTGAATGGGCGAATACTTGTATCAGGTGGACGCCAAGCACTTCTTGGCCCAGGCGGCCCAATCCATGAGGAGCTATCCGCAGTCTCGGACAATCGTGATGATATCGAAATGCAAGATGCCGACGCTAGTGAACCCCTCAACGCGTTGAATGAAGAGGTTACCATCAATCAGGTCGTCGAGACAGAGGATAGCACATCTGGACCGACAACGAGCCAATACATCAGCGTTGTATGTCGCTTTCTCGGAGGATTTTTCTCTAACCATCAATTATGTTCGTCATACATTGAATCGGATGGGGTGGAGTCTATCCTCGACTTTGCAACGCTTCCTTGCCTGCCCTATAAGTTCAACGAGCCACACTCTACGAGCGAGGAAGTTGGTCGGGTCATTCAAGTGCTTGTGGATCAGAAACCTCACATTACTGTACCAGCGATACTTAAACGGTCTCAGCGCGCTTTGGATCGACTTGAACCTCTGATGCGACACACTGGAAAGGAAGCCTTCTTTGCGCCTTTTACTTCCCTCACACCTCCTAGCAGTTTGACTTCTCTTGAACGCCAGGAAGTCTTGAGCCATGGAACCGAATTCGCGAAGTCACTTGTTACCGTGCACACCCTTTGCAATGCCTTGACCATAACATTCCAGGCCCAAATCTTCAACCACCGCTCGACGCACAATGTCTTTAGTACAATCAATCTGGCAGATATGTATGCTCGTGTCGTGGACAGCCTCGGGCGACTTCACCGGAGCTGCGTCTGGGAGGAGATCCTTTTGCAAAAGAATATGCCGACTGAATGGGAAAAGGATACCCGCATTAAAAGCTCAGGCTTCGGGACTGACGAAGCAGATGATGTTTTACGGATTGGGAATATAGATGAGACGCCTGAAGAGTTAGTTGAGGGTTCTAGTAGCGACGGTGCCGCATCAACCTCTAACGGGGCAGACGCGGCTGTCACTCAGAATGGCTCTCGTCAGAGCCAAGACAGCGTGCGATTTAGGAATACCCAAACGTTGCGATACCTTCTTAGCAAGGTGCCTACAGGAATCGCGCCCTTCTTTCAGTCACTTGGAAAGCTCCTTTTGTTTCGACGAAGTCTTGACACCTACCAGAGACAATGCGCCGTTATTGTTTCCGACCAGCTAGGCAAAGCCGCCATTGATCAGCTGCAGTTTGAAGGCCCATTGAATTCCAAGTCGCCGGAAGACAAATATGCGTATTGGATTGTCATCCTGTCCTCTGTTTCTCAGTTGATGATAGATAACGGTTTGGAGCGAGGATATTCTCAAGCATTGACACTAATTCTAAATTCTTTCAAGAACCTTGGTGGCTTAAAAGTTCTCGCGGACATCCTTGACACATTTTATGACGCCGCTATATATATTGTCAAACAGCAAGGAAATGAGATGAAGGGAGATACACAGCGGGTCCTCAATCTTTCATTGGGGGGAATCAAGATTATATTGGCATTTTACGGACAGATTACAAGCACTAAGCTTGTCAATGAAGCCCCTCAGACCACTTCAATGCAATCGCGACCGGAACGCGATCTGGATCGACCGGATTTCTTCCTCGCAGCGCCGTTCCTCGTCGAGATGAGATACGCAGTCATCAAACCAGTAGAGAAGATATGGAACTCTGAGCTCATCGATAAAGCCACCACATCGATTGTGAAGACTTCTATAAGTATTCTCAAGACCGTGCTGGATGGCGATACTGAGAATGGAGCGTACAAGAGTGCGGATAAGATTCCAAAACGTAGCAAGCCCAGAATCAAGCCGTGGGAGCCGCGTAGTGAAGACCATTTACAACGTCTTAAAGAAGGAGGCTATGAAGAGAGTCTTGCTCTGGAAGCCCTGTATCGGTGCTGCGACAATTACACGACAGCGCGGGAGTACTGCCAGAACCAAACGCGTCACGCTCGAGCCTCGCGGAACCCTCTTCCGACTTACGAAGTGGAGCGCCGAAGCCTACCTAACACTACCCCAAGCAGGGCAGAAGTCATTGTTCCCGAGACTGTAGATAATGCCAGTGTTTCCACTGGCAACGATGCCGACGACAGTGAAGATCCAGAAGCTCCCGACTCACATTCAGTCGAGATGGAAGATGTCGACGAGCACCAGGACGGCGAGGAAGGGAGTTCAAAGACTCCAGTACCAGACATCCAAGTTCCAGGGCCAGCGGACACATTGTGGAATGGACCAGCCTATCTCACAAGAATGAACGTTGGAAATAGCTCCGACTATGTTGCCGTTGATGCCCTGGACGAAGAGCGAGCAAATCTTCGGAAAACACTTATAGATCGCTCTTTGGATATTCTCAATTCCCATGATGATGTTACCTTTGAGTTAGCCGATTTAATTTCTGCTGCAGTAGCTAAGGCCCCTGAACCGGCAGCCATGCGTACGGAGATTGGTTCAACTCTTGTTCAATCGCTTATCTCCCTACAAACTGGGGACGACTTCCGAGAAAATGGTAAGAAGATTGCTGCGTCTGCTCACTTACTGGCACTTGTCATCCAGGACAAAGAATTTTATAATTCGATTGTAGATGAGCTAAAAGAGAGCTTTGCGGTTCTTCTTGAATTCATCAAGATATTCCCCGACCAGTCACAAGAGGAATGCTCGCCCTGGATTGGGTCTGTGCTTCTAATTGTTGAACGCCTTCTAGCTGAAGACCAACTTCCCTGTCAAATTCAATGGACACCGCCCACAGCCGAAGATCACGAAGAGACAACGGTAGAACAGCTACCAGATCCCATTGTCTCCATGGATGAAAAGAATCAGATGTTTGATGCCATTCTTGAGATCCTCCCACGCATTGGAAAGGACGAGTCCCTTGCTCTGTCGATTATACGCGTCCTCGTGATGCTTACACGCTCTCGGACGATGGGCCTCCGATTGTCGGAGAAGCGTAATATCCAACGACTTTTCCTAATGATCAAACAACTTGCTGGCATCACAAATGAAGGGCTTCGAAGTGCATTCATGCTTGTTTTACGCCATATTATCGAAGACGATATCATAATCCGTCAGATCATGCGAAGCGAGATACAGACAATGTTCGAATCGCGGGATCGGAGACAGACTGACACGACTGGATACACGAGGCAAATGTATTATCTGGCCCTCCGCGCCCCAGAGATTTTCGTGGAAATCACCAATGAGAAGTTGCAGCTTGCACGCTTTGATCCAAACCAGCGACCTCAAACTCTTGTCTTAAAAAAGGAAGAACCTCCTATCCAACATGCTGAGGCTTCTGGTCCTGAAGGCTCGTCTAACGCTAAATCCGAGGAACATGGCACTCCAAAGGCTTCGGATGAGCCAAAGAATGGCCCCTTCATTGAGAGGACTAAGACCTCCGATCTCAAATTGCCGGTTGTTGAAAATCCGGACGGAGTGATTCACTACCTCCTTTGCGAACTATTGGCTTACAAAGAAGTCGACGATAAGGTTGATGTTTCAAAGGATATGGAGAAAACTAACGAGGCACAGGAGTCCTCTCAGCCCGCTTCTGGACCTCCCTCTGGATCTCCCGGTTCCAGCACAGAACAGAGCAAGCCCGAAAAGATTGCATTCAAAGCCGATGCGCATCCGATTTACATCTACCGTTGCTTCATCCTCAAGTGTCTAGCAGAACTACTTCAGAGTTACAATCGTACAAAGATCGAGTTCATCAACTTTTCAAGGAAGGCAGACCCGCACACCATGACACCATCCAAACCTCGATCTGGTGTTCTCAACTACCTCCTCAACGCGCTAGTTCCGGTGGGTACTTTAAACCACGAAGGCGACTTAGTTTTGAAAAAGAAGGTGGCAACCTCGAATTGTGCGATCGATGTTATCGTGTCGCTATGTGCCAAGACTGGGGAGAATGGTTTTCCGAAACTGGGCTTAGGCTCCTCCCCCTACATTGAAACCGAGCCCGACCTCCTATTCGTGCGAAAATTCGTTCTGGAACATGCTTTGAAGGCATTCAGAGATGCGAGTGCCTCCGACGAACCTTTGGACATGAAGTACTCTCGCCTCTTGAATATTGCAGACATCTTCTCAAAAATGGTCTCCCAACGTTCCGATGGGACCATGCTTAGCCAGAATGCTGAACTCACGCCTGCTCTAAAGCAAATGGCGAAGATCATGTACGAGAAGAACTTTATCACCATCCTAAACGCAGCTATTGCGGATATTGACCTCAACTTCCCCAATGCAAAACGCGCGGTGAAGTATATTCTCAAGCCTCTCAAATGGCTCTGTGCTGTTGCTGTGGATCTCAGCACGCAGTACGATACATCTTCGACTCCCGAAACCACGGACGAATATGAGATATCCACAGCGTCTGATGATGATCTGGTCGGCCCCACCCGTGAAGAAACTCCAGATCTCTTCCGTAACTCTACTCTAGGCATGTATGAGCCACCGCACGAGTCTGAATCTGAAACATCAGAGGACGAAGAGGACGACGAAATGTACGACGATCAATATGCCGACGAAATGGAGTACGATGAGGAGATGGGCGACGAGGATGTTATTTCTGACGAAGATGAGGAGATGGGCGACATGGGTCCCATTGAAGGTCTTCCAGGAGACGGCGGTATCAACGTGGAGGTTATGTTAGACGATGGGGAGGACATTATATCTGATGAAGAGGACGGCACTGAGGAAGATGACGAGGATGACGAGGATGAGGGTGATGAAGATGAGGACGACATGAATGACATGGAGGGAATCGAAGATATGGAAGAAATAACAGGGGATGATGAAAACGCTAGCCTCGTAGATGGCGGCGAGGATGATTGGAGTGACGATAACGGCGAAGATTACGTTGGTACTGCTGAGGTAGATGGAGGGGACCTTGGCTCTCCCCATGGTGGCCTCGGCCACTTCATCCCTCCTCCGGAGGTCCTTGAGCAGATAGCTGGTGATATGGGTGTTGACCCAGATGAGTATTTGGAAGACGAGATGCCAGACGAAGGTGTGTGCTCGAGTAACTACGCACGATTGTAATTGTTTACTGACGCTTGTTAGATGAGGAAGATGACGAAGATGACTACGACGAGGAAGACATTGTCTACAACCCAGGTCTTGAAGATGACGATGGCATGCCTGATTTGGGCTGGGGCTGGGACGATCCAGCACCAGTTCGCCATACCCACCGGCTTAACCCATGGATGTTCCCTGGAGGACCCAACGATCGTATTCTTGTTCCGGCATATCGATCGCACAGACCTGGTGCTGGTCCTAGAACAACAGATGACGGAGTAAACCCACTTCTCCAGCGAACAGGCCGTTCATCTGGCCGAGTAATCGCGGATGCCGCGCTCCCTGGTCTCCGCAATGAGGGTATGAGTGACTGGGTACACGCCATTGATGGCCGTGGTCCACGAGTCTTTCCAGCAGACGGACCCGTGTCTTTCATCAGCAACTTACTGAGCGCAATGAGCCAGGGTGCGCCGTCACTTCAGTCACGTGACGGCACATTTAGACTTTCCTTTAACAACGTTCCAATTGGCTTACCCCCACCCTTCGACCCGGGCTTCCGTCGGGAGATGCAACGTGCTAGAGAACAGCAACTTGCCCGCTCTGGTCGTGAGGACCCTCAATCAGCTGTCGCGTTTGCAAAGGCTTTCACTGCTCAGCGGTGGCAAGAGGAAGCCAGGGTTCTCTATGGTGCTGGAGCCATTGAGAAGAGCCAGCGTGTAATTAATTCTATCCTCAAGCTTATGGTTCCTCCCGCAATTGAAGCAGCTAAGAAGCGACAAGCGGAGAAGGAGGCTGAGAATGCGCGTAAAATAAAGGAAGAACAAGAGCGGAAAGAGCAGAAGGAGCGTGAAGAACGGGAAACGAAAGAGCGCGAAGAGCGGGAGCGGCTGGAACGTGAAGTTGCCGAGGCTGAAGCCCTAGTGGCCGAGGGAAGTGCGAGTGGTGAGCCCACAGAAGAGTCAACGTCTATGCCGCAAGACCAGGTAATGGAAGGCGTAGAAGCTCAACCCGCTGCTGAATCAAGCGCAGAGGCAGGCCCTTCTGAGCCAGTGCAGCGTATCACGACGAATATTCGAGGTCGCGAGGTCGACATTACTGGCTTGGGGATTGATTTGGAGTTCTTGGAAGCTTTGCCAGAGGATCTGCGGGAAGAAGTCTTGATGCAGCAGATTCAAGAGCAACGTGCCCAGCAAAATCAAACTGGGCAGCAACAGTCTGACATCGACCAAGACTTCCTCAACGCATTACCTCCAGAGATTCGACAGGAGTTAGTCCAGCAAGAACAAGCGGACCGCCGGCGCCGTGAACGTGAAGAAGCACGCCGCCGGAGCCAGACAAATGGCCCGGCTCGTGGTGAAGATATGGATCCTGCTAGTTTCTTCGCGTCTTTGGACCCAGGTCTACGTCAAGCTGTCCTCATGGAACAGGATGAGGATGTTTTGGCTCAGCTGCCCCCCGAAATCTCAGCAGAAGCTCGAGCATATGGGGGAGACCGTCGTCTAAATCAGTTCAGCGATTTCCTTCCTGGAACCTTCCGTCGGGGAGGAGAGCGGCGCAACCAGCAAGACGATCAGGTTCAAAAGAAGAAGGCTCGCCCATGTGTACAAATGTTGGATAAAGCTGGAGTTGCTACCCTACTTCGGCTTATGTTCATTCCTCAGACTGGTAGTGCCAAAGCTAGCCTCAGCCATATTTTGAGGAATGTCTGTGAGAACCGACAGAATCGCGCCGAAGTTATCAGCATTCTACTCTCGATTTTACAAGACGGCAGTGCCGATGTCAACGCGGTCGAACGTAGCTTTGCGCAGCTCTCCCTTCGGGCGAAACAACCTCAGCAGGGTGCTGACAAGACACCAAAGATCAATACCCGCAAACATGGGACTTTTTCAATCAACTCAGAGGTGTCACCTTTGATGGTAGTTCAGCAATGCCTTCAAACCCTGTGGCAGCTTACAGATAAGAACCCTCCGGTCTGGTCATTCTTCCTAACCGAGCATGAGACCGCTGTGGGTTTCAAGAGCCGGAGCAGTCGCAAAGGAAAGGCGAGAGAGACGAAAGCCACGAGATATCCCCTCAACGCGCTCCTTGGCCTGTTGGATAGGAAGCTGATTATCGAGAGCTCCACTATCATGGAACAGCTCACGACACTTCTGCGAGTTATCACTGGCCCTCTGCAAGTAATCAAAAAAGAAAAGGAGAAAGCCGCAGAAGAAGCTAAAAAGAAAGAGGCAGCTGCCATATCTGGAGAGGGCCAGTCAATTGAAGCGCCCACTCCTTCAGGCGAACAACCTGAACCCCGGCCCGAGGGTTCTCAGCAAGGTGGGGACGCTGAAATGGTCACCGAGTCAGAACCAATCATACAGGAACCACAACAGGGCGAGGGCGATGGTAGCTCAGCTAAACTGGATGAGAAGACAAAGAAGCATCGATCATTTATACCACCGGAGGTTCCTGAGAACAATCTTGGACTTGTGGCAAAGATTCTAGCCGCTCGTGAATGTAACAGCAAGGTGTTCCAGGAGACTCTATCAGTTATCAGCAACCTCTCTCCGATTCCAGGGGCCAAGGAGATATTCGGCAGAGAACTTTTAGGGATTGCTCAAGATCTTGCGCAGTCCACCTTGAAGGATCTCGCAAATCTTACAGTCCAGGTCACGAAATCGGAGTCGCCAACAGATGTGCAGGGCGTGGCTCTATCCAAATTTTCTCCAGCGAGTTCTGACCAGACGAAACTCCTCCGGGCTCTCACTGCGCTTGATTACCTCTTTGACCCAAGTCGCGAGAATAAAGACAGACCTAAGGTTGACGGTGCTGAAGCTCTTGAGCCCTCGCAAAAGGAGGACATTCTCCTTACTCTGTACGAGAACTCGACCTTCGGACCACTATGGAACAAGCTGAGCGAGTGTCTGACCCTCATACGCCAGCGGGGCAACATGCTAAACATTGCCACCATTCTGCTTCCACTTATTGAAGCGCTGATGGTTGTGTGCAAGAATACTACTTTGAAAGATGCCCCGCACGGCAAAATTCTCACCCCTGAACTTGTGCATTTGAGTCCGCCTCCGGAGTTACGCATGGAAAACTTGTTTTTCACGTTTACTGAGGAACACCGTAAGATTCTCAATGATCTCGTTCGTCAGAATCCGAAACTCATGAGTGGGACTTTCTCATTGTTGGTCAAGAATTCTAAGGTACTCGAATTTGACAACAAGCGCAATTACTTTAATCGGCGTCTCCATACACGCACCAACGAGCGAGAGCGACATCCCCATCCCCCATTGCAGCTCGCGGTTCGCCGAGACCAAGTGTTCCTAGATTCATTCAAGTCCCTGTACTTTAAGACCGCTGACGAAATGAAGTACGGAAAGCTCAGCATTCGGTTCCATGGCGAAGAAGGTGTGGATGCAGGAGGTGTCACTCGGGAATGGTTTCAAGTAATTGCACGGCAGATGTTCAACCCAGACTACGCCTTATTCGTACCTGTGGCAGCAGATCGAACTACTTTCCACCCAAATCGGCTGAGTTCCATCAATCCGGAACATCTAATGTTCTTCAAGTTCATTGGTCGAATTATCGGCAAAGCACTCTACGAAGGTCGCGTTCTCGACTGCCACTTTAGTAGGGCAGTCTACAAGCGCATCCTTGGTAGACCGATCAACCTTAAAGATATGGAGTCACTAGATCTCGAGTATTACAAATCTCTCCAGTGGATGCTTGAAAACAGTATCGAGGGTGTGATGAGCGAGACGTTCTCTGTAGACGTTGAGGCTTTTGGCGAAGTTCAGACTGTGGACCTCGTAGAGAATGGTCGGGAAGTCCCTCTCACGAACGAAAATAAGCATGAGTATGCTCGCCTCGTTACGGAACATCGCTTGACGGGATCTGTGCAAGAACAACTGGAAAACTTCCTCAAGGGCTTCCACGACATCGTTCCCGCCGAACTTATCGCGATCTTCAGCGAACAAGAGCTTGAGCTTTTAATCTCAGGTCTGCCGGATGTCAACGTTGACGACTGGAAGAACAACACTGAGTATCACAATTATACGGCTGCATCTCCACAAATCCAGTGGTTCTGGCGTGCTGTCCGATCGTTCGACAAAGAGGAGCGCGCTAAATTGCTCCAATTCGTTACGGGCACCAGCAAGGTCCCTCTCAACGGATTCAAGGAGCTGGAGGGCATGAACGGCTTCTCGAGGTTCAATATTCATCGTGACTATGGCAGCAAAGAACGTCTGCCTTCTTCACATACTTGCTTCAACCGTAAGTTTTTACTTCTAGATATCACCTTTGGATCTACATACTGACTTCATCACAGAACTAGATCTTCCGGAATACGATACCTACGAAGATCTTCGCAAACAATTGTACACTGCCATGACAGCTGGAGGCGAGTACTTCGGCTTTGCCTAAATGCTTTTCTACCGAGAGTGAAAACAGGTTAGAGTTGGCGATGATGGGAGGAAGTTGCAGATTGCGCATACGGGGAGATTCAAAGGCGTCTCGTTCTAGGAGTGGACTATATTGCATTGCAGGCGTCTTTGGAAGGGTACGAGCAACGGGGATATCATTCATGCTCTGCACTTGGAGGATGAGATATCCGGGTCGAGGTTCTACCCAGTCTAGTTGTACGAGCATAAAATGGCGATGGATAGGATGAGTACGGAAGCATAGCGTGGCTTATTTGATGATGAAAGCGAACAGGGAGGATTGGGTGACTACTAGGTTCTGTGGTTTATGGACGATGGCTAGGAGTGCAGGCCTGGATTCATCTGAAGTGGACCTTTGGTGCAGTAGGGGTGTGTATGATTGTTCTTCTCTCTTTGATAGGTAGATAGTTAGAAAGGGCTTCTTGCCTCACTGGTTTGTGCTATAGGCGTCGTGATGTGGATCTGACTTCGCGTCGACAGGATGCGAGTTTGCTCAATTGTATTCTAACAGACAACATCACAATCCCATTAATTCTACACAGCGAGGGCGGCACAAATTGAGCATGTTCGCGCTTAATAGATAGTTTACTTAAGTAGAAAGCCATTAACCTATCCCACCTCTTCCCAGAATTAACGCTCCTGTTAGGCTGGAGCTTCTAATCCAAAACACTACTGAGACTTCCGTAATTGTATTAAATGTCTGCAACCTGTCCAAGTGATTTCGTCGGAGCCTAGGACTAGCCCATGTAGGAAAGATTCATGGCTGTTCCAAATGGATGCAGTATACAGATATCTAGGTAGGTTTAGCGTCTCCCAGCCCAATGGTCAGGTGGACACGCGTCCTAATCAATGCCAAGCGTCATTTCACGTGTCGAGCCGTGTCGCGCCAAGTGTGAGAAGGGATCTCAACAAGGTGAACATACAGCCCTACCGCTTCTCATCTCTTTCACCACCACCTTCCGAGCGCTTTCCATCCCAGATTTTTGGGAAACCAGCACTGCTGCTCTCCCCTAGTCCGTTGATCTTGTCGCGACTTGAAGTACACCGTGTCCCCGCTCCACCATTCCTCCTGTACAGCTGAAGTAGCGGCGGAAGTAGCGTTACGGCTGCCTGCCCCCGAAGCCAGCATGCCCAGCAACGTGTTACATAATTCTTTGGAAGATGGTGAGGCTGAATACGATGCCTAGCCATAATGAGAGTCAGACTCTGAAGATGATGGGCGATGTGACTTGAATAACAATACCGATTGACCATAGCAAAACCGAGTCACTCAGTCTGACAACTAAATATGCGCCCTTCCGGGGTCTTAAGGAAAGCTTTCGAAGTGTGTACGAAGACTGGCATGTCCCTGTGAGGCTTATACTGAGCGCACAAGCTATCTGAGACTTCTCTAGGAGGGACGACAATTTGAGATCGCCCAATCTCGGCCCCCACAGGGTTGGTAGGGATTGAGGGAGTGGAAAGGGTCATATATTGATAACTCAACAATACGATTCCAACCTTCACACCATGCTTCTTCGCAACTTCATTCACAGCCTCATCGTTGAACATCGGCGACCCCGTGCTTCCGAACGGACTATATGCAGTAACATGTATGCCCTTCTCCTTACAGAAATCGACAACTTCCTGTTGCGGGAGATATGGATGGTTCTCAATCTGGTTCACTGCGGATACGATGGTAGCTTGTGCAAGGAGCTTCTCGCGGTATTTTACAGAGTAGTTTGCTACTCCTCCGATGGTTTTGACTTTGGGAGATGGAGATTGGGTTAGTTTTTCGAGGTTCTTCAAGGTTTAGATGTGCGTGGTGCTATGGTCGATGTTACGAGAGCCGTCAGGGAGTTTGGGGAAGAGGGGTGATTTCCTAGTTCGTGGTTAATATACTCTTATATCATTCTTATATTCAAGGAGAAGGAATTCATCATAGAGAAGATTGTACAACGGCAACTCATTATGGTCTAAGTATTCCATCCCACATTCTGCGCGCGTCTTAGATATATTCGTTTTAAATGGGACAAAGATAAGCTGAGCATTCTGGAAGCCACAACTTCAACACACGTCAGTAGAGTTGGCACAAGGGAGAATACGGTTTCGCCCTCAACTTTATGAGAATGCTCAAAGGTTACAATTTAAATCGAGGGTCCAGACGCTGTCATCGTACACCAAACGGCGACATAATCGTTGAAGATAGCGGCCACGGCAAGCTATATCCCCACAACCTCCACCTCCCCAATAGCAACGCGTCTAGCAAACCATTCACGGGGAAAAGAGCCAACCAGTTAGGGTCATCTTGCATTTCTCAAATGCACGTATGAGCCTGAAACATCTTGAAAGAATCCCGTCAACTCCCTTCTCGATACAGTCGAAGAGGGTAAGTATCTGATTGGGGGAATTTTGGCCTGATTGTAATAGTGTACATAAAGGGGAGTCGTACCTGTTGGTCAGAGGTCTCTCTCGTTCGCTGCGCCGGCGTCGCATTCAGAAACCTTGGTCTACAGGCGGAGTGTTTTCTGAAATTTTCGAGGAATATAGAAGAGACTTTCTTTAGAATACCTTCCCAGCGCCTCTGATTTGCCTCAGAAAAGTTAAGGACAATGCCGGTAATCTCTATCCGGGGACTCCCCCTTCAGGTTTAGTGCAGCCCCCGCTGCACGTGCACATTGTTTGCTCATTCCCACTTTAACTTTCGCTCGCCTCAACCACCCTCCCACCACACACTTCTTCGAGTCTTCTTCCCATCGCTAGAAGCCATGGCGAGCGTCAATTCCCCTCAGTCTGAACCTCAGCTTGGCCCACAGCCAGATATGAGGCTTCTAACAGAAGGACTTGAGCAAGCCACGTCGGGACTCCAGCAAGCCACCACGGGACTCCAGCAAGCTGGCACCGAGTTGGCAAATTTTGCCAACCTTCCTCCTATTGCTCAGACCATTGCAATCATACAGCAGATGCAACAGATCCAGCAACAGATGCAACAAAATCATCAACAAATCCAGCAGCAGATCCAGCAACAGATGCAACAAAACCATCAACAAATCCAGCAGCAGATCCAGCAACAGATGCAACAAAACCATCAACAAATCCAGCAGCAGATCCAGCAACAGATCCAGCAACTCCGCACTGATATCACAACAAGTCAGCAGGCAGCGTAAGTGAACACTATTTAGACGTCCTGCAAGCATATTTACTAACTAGTTACGCCTACTCAGCGAATACAACTCTATTGCCCGCCTTCAAAACTCTGGTATTAGAAGACCCGACGCCCCTCTTACCGCACTACGTGAATATACGACAAACGCCGACGTCGAAGGTTTTCCTGCCACACCGGCTCAGCTTTCAAATATGTCAGGTCCCGCGCTAGATCGTGTGTTAACAGTACTAAACCTGCCTACCAACGGCACGTCTGCGGATAAGAAGCAGCGGCTGAGATTCTACGTTGGGTTGGCAGATGCACGTTAGCAATAAGGAAGATGCTAGCATACTAGAATGGATGGTTAGAACGGAATGAATATTGCTTCAGTTGCAGCTTGCAAGGGTTCTTTAGCTACACTTGCTAAGGGTCTCTAACTATACCTGCTCAACCTAACATACGGTTAACGTAATACGGCGACAAAGCCATAAACTTTTTGTACTATTGCTAGAGTTACTGACACTAGAGTTTCTGCTCGCGCGGCGCTTATTCAAAAATGGTTAGAGGTTACTAAAGCTCACTTGCAAGTATTCTCATCGCTGTTGCTGAAGGTATTAACCTAGACCTGCTATTAAGAGTAGCTTAAATGATGACAACAAGCTTTAAGAAAGTAATTCCATGGCTTAAATATCAGTCTAGATCTTGCCACATTAACAAAATAATAATTTAATCAAGTGCAATTACGTATTAGGTTATTAAATTTAGGAATTTAGGATAATGAATGAAGACAGCATAAAGAGCTAGACAAGAAAAGATGATGGTATTGTATGGGTTGGACGTGGCATTTTAAGCGCAAGTGTCTAAAAGCGGCGACGGAAAACCCCCCAAAAAGGAGTCAAACGTCCCCAGACATAGAGTTATTATGGACACGCCCGTTCCGAATTGTCTTGTCTGGCATGCTGCCTGCTGTGACACTTGAGCACCCACTTAGTACTATGCGTGTTAGGAATCATTACCGCCGCTAGGGCTACCAATATTAAGCGAGAAGGTTGCTGTACCAAAGTCCTGGGATCTTTCCGTGCCTGAGTGTCGTGAGTGTGCTAGGATAGGGCGCTTACCCGAGTTTAGGGAACCCAACATTACCACATGTTTTGTTGTGGTTGTGGCAAGGCTCTGAATTATTCGTCTTCATATTCTGCCAAGTATCGCCCCTAATAAGCGGATTTTATCATAGAAACATCATCCGCCTTACTGTAGGAGGTGCCCACAAAGACTTTACCGCAATGTTCGGGGCCTTCATGATAAGTCCCGGTTTGGCTAGTTTACTCTCCAATATCTCGCAGACGTAGAGCATTATCGCCATTTGGCGATTTTTACTCCTTCATTTCTGACACAGACCCCACAAGAGAATATGGTTCCCGTTATGTTCAGTAAAATTGCCAAAGCAGGGCAGACGAACATGCACGTGACTTCTCCTTTCAACTCTAATGCTGCAAGGAGTAGACGAAGGGATGGATATCGTAGATCTTATTTAATATACATTACTATACCGATATACTACTCATCTATGCCATACAAACAGGCCATTACACCTTGTCTCCAACACGTGCCTGGAAATCCCTTCTTGTTCTTCTGACATCTCCCATCAGGAGCGAACTAACCATATTTTGGCCGAAGCATTCTAAATGCCGTCCCATATCCATATCATATCCGTATCATATCCATAAACTCCTAGGTATATCTACTATATCCAGATTTGTAAACCTAACGCCAAGCCCCTACACATTACAATCGTATCGTCAAATCGTAGAATACAAAAAGTATATCGCACATGTTCATGCGATAACTACCCGCTATTTACATCATCAACATGGCAGGGACGGCAAAAGCCAACCACCAAACCTTCTCCCTAACCCGCATCTTTTCCCCGGCTGCTGGTCCACTGGCGCTCGGTGCTAGTGGGGCGCCTGTGGGTTGGTTGGCTGTGGAGGACGTCGCGAAGGTGGCTAGTGTAGTTTGTGAGGCTGTGGAAGTGGTGCGGGCGCTAGAGCCAGCAACTGTTACGCTGGAGACTTCTATGGTAGTGGCGGAGGACGTGTGCGGTGGTGTAGCGGTCAAAGACGATTCGCTAGTGGGGGGTGTGGAGGTCGAAGAGGCGAGAGACGAGGGTGGAGCTTCTGATTGGATGGAAGAGGGCTCGGCCCTGATAGTGCTAGAGGCTTCTGGTGGAATGGAGACGGATGTGGTCACTGGGATAATCGTTGTTGGCGCTGAAGGCGCGGATACTTCGCTGGAGGGATATGGGAGGATGGATGTTGGGATTGGAACCGAGGGTGCCGGAACCGATGTGGGATTTTCGGGAGTAGAAGATGGTCCAGGGGACGAAGAGGGTACCAATGGTGAAGAACTGGCCGGTGGCGGAACAATGATGGTTACAGTTTTGGTAGCCGAGCGAATGGTCGAAGGTAGAGGAATAGCCACGGTCTCCGAGGTCGAAGGAATCGGATACGTTGCTGTTGCTGAGCTCGCTGGGGGAGGAACTACCACAGTTCCTGAAGCCGAAGGGATGGGATAGGAGATCGGGACTGAGCTGGCAGGAGGAACGATAACAGTCTTCGACCCATCAGGGACGGAATAGGACACCGGAAGCGAGGATGCAGCAGGGACAGATGATGGTGCTGCAGGAGGCGTGTAGACAGGAATCGTAACAACAAGAGAGCTTGCCGGATATCCTAATGAACTCGGTGGGGGATTTGGTGCCACGTAACTTGCCGAATAGGCCGAAGAAGCCGGATTCTGGACACTTGAAGATCCATATCCAAGGCCAGAGGATTTCGGAGGCGGACTCGGGATTGGGGTTTCCGTGGAACAAGGCTGCTCGACTGAGGCAGACGATAGCGAAGGGCCAGCTGTCAGCGGTGCGGAGAGGGAGCTTTGGCTTGGCCAGTATGGGAGTGTGATGGATGTTACGGATGCTATGGATGTTAATCAGCTTCAATAATTACTCGAGAAGCTATGCAGCTAGGAATGAAAACTTACTGTTCACAGTAATGGGGATCACGGGCCCGTTAGTATATCCCTGACCCAAGACACCCACCGCCATCGCGGCCAGTATCCAGTTTCTTGAAAGAGGCGACATGATGTGCTCCGCTAAACCTTTTCACAGATTACTTTATTCAACAATATTCTTCTTGAATGGGACACAATGAGGGAGCGACCGTCTTCCAGAATGCTAGTGTGTAGCCAAGGGTTCAGCGATCACTATCCAGGATATAATGAACGAACGAGGTTGAAGAGTGGAAGATATATCGGAATGCAAGAAGTCCTTTATGATAAGATGCAAAAACTAGGGGGTTGTCCAAAAGTCGCGAGGTTGAGGTTCACGTGGCTGGGCAAACGAAACCACCCCAGCCTCTTCACGAAAAGCCGACTTGTTCCACAGCAACGGTGATGTCGTGGTCGAAATGTACGGTAGATGCATTTCTCCATCTTGCATACTCTGTAACCCGCCTAGTGACCCCGGGGTTTGTACGATTCTCGATGAATTTCGATTGAACTTATGGATCCGTAATGATGCGCAGATGCCGCGAGGCTTGGCATTGAGTGGCGGGGAGTCCCAGCCACCAGAAACTGGAACATTAAAGGATTATCACATTCAACAGCTCCGTCCGTGGGCCACAACATGGATTTCACACGGACTCCTGTAGCGAAAAGAAATTTCCGATATTGCATGCGCATGGTGAATACAGCAGATGCAGTACTTTGGCTCTGGCCGATCTGTGCAGCGCCTAAGGTTACACATTCGCAACGCTATCGAATAGAGAGCCTCCACATACAACGAGAAGAAATAGTATTGGGTAAGATACCCACAAGAGAAGAAGGTAAATATATCCAAGAAGAGTAAGAAATCATCGAAGGGTATAAAAGTGTGAAGCAAATCCACAATGGCCTCCCAAAAAGCAAAACTTGGCATCACTGCCAACAACTTCAACCGCAAACACCACAACCCAAATCGAGCCAAACGCCGAGCAAAAATCCAGGTAGCCCTCCCTCTTCAAGCCATCATACATAAAAGATACAACTCACCCGCCCGCTTACTGTATCATCTCTCTTCATCGAACGTCTTCATCTCATTCTGCTCCGCAGCCGACTCTTGCGTGACAAACACGGCCTTGGTAAAGAAGCTTACTACTAACGCAGTTCCGGCCAAAGCAGCCATGATGATCCAAATAGTCCTCATGGAATCAACATATGCATCTGCTAGATCCGTCTTCAGCGTTCCCTCGCCGCCGGGCATCGCTCGGATGGTTTGGATGAGTGCGATGGAATCCTTCGCATACACTATCGCAAGTCTCTCGAGCATCTTGTTCTCGAGCAACTGCTCATGGAGCTGGTTCTGGAAAACCGCGCTACCAATGGCAACACCCAGCGTTTGTCCCAGAGTTTGAAAGAACCCATAGTTTGTAACAGCCGAAGTCATACTCCCGCTCCGAGCAGCTGCCTGCAAAGCTGCCCTCAAACTGGGATACAAGATCCCAAGTCCGACTCCCAAGAGCATCGCAATGCACACCCACAACGGCGTTGCTGAACCTCTCTTGAAAAGCGTCGTTAATGCAGTCCCAATAATGACAAAGGACCAACCAAGCCAAATCGCTGGACGCCACCAGGTCGTATTGCTGACGGCAACAGCCGTAACTGTTGCGATGGTGCAGAGTGCAAAGGTCCACGGGAACAGGCTTATCCCGGTTTCAACGAGGCTGAGGTCGGGCTTGGCAACCTCAAAATACAACGGCTGGTTGGGTGGTAAGCAATAAATTTGTGATACTAGCCTTGCAAATCTCTTACCAAAAAGTACAAGGCTGTGAAAGCGATTGTTCCTTGCATTGTTGCCCCGAAATATGTTGCCAGGCTTGTAGAGTCCATGAAAGAGTCGAGATTAAGAATGGGTGTAAAAGGCGAGAAACGTGACCATAGGAGGAAGACAACGAATCCTACGAGTCCGACTTGGATGGGAAGTGTAGTCCGGAAGTTAGACCAGGGATGCTGGATTCCTCCCTGTTCAGGAAGTGCCATCAGCGCTCGGGAATCATGATATTGAGAAATTCTCTGTACAACTTGATCTGGATAATTAACTTACCCACGTCAGGCCCAGTAGAACGGAGATCAGAGATCCGCTGAAGAGGACGATTCCAAGCCAGTCCACTTTTCTAAGCCCTCGGAGGATGTCACCTTCCGCGAGTTTAAGCTGAGCGAATGCTGGAAGAACGATGAATGCGAATCCGCAAAAGGGAAGGTTGATCCAAAAGATCCACCGCTATTAGTTGTTATTCTTGGTGGCACAGAATAATAGATGGGAGCAATCCCTTACCCACTGCCCTCTTTCTGCTAGCGCACTGCCGATAACTGGACCTGTAACGATACCGACAACCCAGCTATGAAGATATATTAGCAAGACGCGTTTCGAGAGCGACATGACAACATACGTTGCTCCAATAAATGCAGACCACCGTTTTCTATCTTCTGCGTATATCAAATCCGCGAGAATCAAGTCGGTCATAACGTAGAACCCACCGGCACCGATGCCTTGAAGAGACCGCCCGAGCAGTAATCCGGTGAAGTTTCCGGTGACTGCAGCAATGAATGTTCCAATCGTAAAGAAGGTAAGAGCAGTGATAAGCATAGCTTTGCGGCCGAAGATCCCAGCGCAAGAAGCATATAGTGGCTGGAGGGCAGTGGCAGCCACGAGAAACGAGATACTCAGCCAAAATGACTGAACAGCTGAGCCATGTAGGGCACTCGCTATTGTCTGCAAAATCAATTGGAAAATGCCTTCGTGTTTTGGTAAGGGAACTCACGGGAAGAATGATGGAGAGAGAGGTAGCATCCCATGCCGCAACTAGATTTAGCATACATATACACGCCAACGTAATGTGAAACCTCCAATCAACTTTCCTCACTCTGTCCACCTCTTTCAGCAATATCTCAGTAGTAGGTGTTGTGCTCCTCGTTACACTCCTTGTGGCCTTCTGCCTCGCCGCAAGATCCAGCACATCGAACGTGAACCTCTTCGGTACCGGTGGTCGCCGTGGCTCTTCAAGGAATTGTGAGAAGCGTTCAGGTGCATCTTTTGACGGGACGCTGTACTGAAGGTGATGAAGCTGTTGCGGCGACAGTCCATGTAGGAACTGGGCAGCTCCTGGATCGGATGTATCTGAGTTTGATCGTTCTGAACGACTCATATTGAGTGTATAATGGTGAACAAGACATGACAATACTATGATGAAGCAAGGGGCATAATGACAGCAAAGACCTCAACGAAAGAAGGATTCAAAGAAACTAGTCTTTTTAACCTGTATATGCGAGAAATCAGCGGACATTCAAAAGTACGGCGTGAACCCCGGGTGGGGTGTACCTAATGATTGGAAGTGCAAGCCATTGGGGCTGAGAAGGGCGACGACCCTGGCATGCATGAGGACCGAAAGTGGCACATTTGTTCGCGCGAGCCATCCGAATACGAAGTTTGCAGATTCCGGATCGTGTTTCAGAATAGATGGTCCGTCTGATTGGCTTTGCGCCAACTTCTCGCTCGACAATGCCATGGTGTGCCTGCTGCAATCTATTTTGTCTGCTTCAGCCTTTCGTTTTCCTGCTCATGGAAGAGTACGAGTGCGACAGGAGCCAGCAGAAGTTTGCTGTTCCCGGTACGACGAGGCCAGCGACTTCGGAGTGATCACAAGTCGTTCTGGAGTTGGTACCATGAGGGGTGAGAGAGTGAGAGGCTTCCTTCGCCCCAAGTCCGAAGTCTGACAGGCTGATCCCCATTGCTCCTCTCCACGCCCCTCCACTGTCTCGCGGTAACCGTCCACCGTATTCCTAGACCAAATATTTGAAGTCCAGCACCACATTTCAAACAGTATCTAGAGAGCGGAGCCCCAGGATGGGCTTGAGCCTCGCCGTCCGTTGCCAACTGTCTCACTGAACACTTTCCTTCCACGACAATTGACGCAGGGCGTCGTGTCGATCGCATTATTTTCCTCACCAGCCATCTTACAAACCCACCGACATCTCCCGTCCGTCACCTCACATCGAAGCACCCAGTGAAGAGGTCCCAGGCTCCACCTCACTCAGCCTTGCAAATCCCGAACGCTTAACCTCTTCGTCCAGCACCTATTCCCTTTGCATCTCAAATGTGCTTTCTAAATGCAGCGCTGGTGTCGGACCATTGGCCTGCGTAGCTGTTTTTAACATCTCTTCGGCGCTTATTAAAATGGGTCTTTACTAGGACCGGCCCGTCGCGATCAGTGGCGATGAGGCTCAGCAGCAATTGTTCACACAGACCCAGCCATTCACAGCCCATCGCTGGGGCTTGGAACAGTTCTACATAGGCATGTTCGCTTTTACGTTCATTTTTTGCCAAAAGCGCTTTTCTCGCATTGCGCTACATGACATGCTACACCATCCGCGTGAGCATAAACACATTGCCACCAAGCATGCTCTCACGTGCCGACTATCCATCCTGCCGGAATATCGCTCTCTTGACTACTTGCGGTTAGGACGCAGGTAAAACGTGAGGAGCGAGTGAACAGATCCTTCTTACCTCTTGACACAAAATATATTGGCTCACGCATCCACCCACCTGTAAGCTGAGCCATCACCTCTTAACCCTCCATCCACGCTGCATGCGGCAGGAGATATTTGAAGACACCTTATGAAACTAAAAGCCATCTCTCCTCAGGAATACTTTAAAAGCGCCGATGAGTCACCGATATGTGAAAGATGACGATAAATGTTAAGGGGTGATGACAATGTCCAGTAGAAAGGACAGCGCAAGACATAATTGTCCTATTTTCCTGCTGACTATCCAGGTTCTACATTCTCAGTTCTCGACCTATCATTGAGAAGCGCTCAAGGCAGCTCAGGAGTCCCTGCAGAGAAGAAGCTCACAGGATTCAATGTTGAATGCAAACCAACAATTGCGGCGAGATCTGCAAAAGGCTACCGTACGGGAATCCTTCAAGCAATCCGAACCCGTCTCGCCGCGCGCTTGTTTCGATGTGGCCTTATCCACTGCCCCATGGCGGACTTTTTTCCTCGTGGCGTTCGCATTCGCGAGATTATTCCATGTTGAGAAACGGACTTCATCACGTTGCGATAGCTCCGTGCTGTAAGACAGAGATCCTCGAGTCTTCTCTGGACGAAAGTCTGCAACCTCGGGTCGGGGAACGTGCGCGGAGCGTGCGTCTCTGGATTATCTGGGGTAGAATGCAAGGGCGTGCGGAAGACTTTGCGTCTCTCGATTAATCCAATTGTATGGGAGTGTGAACACAAAAGGTGCTGATAGATGATCTGAGCTTTAGTCTCAACGTGTTCATTAATTCTTAGACATGGCCTAAAATCTGATATCATCAGGCAGCCAACGCCATTACCGTTACCCGCTGATGATCGTTAAGAATAGTGAAAGCTTGTGTAGAGCACAAGGGGTATACTACGAGGGTGGAAGGTGTCACCAGAAAAGCAGTAGCAATCATCAGCGGTACGAGACTTCCCAACCTTGGGGAATACAGCTCGTTGCTCTTACAACGAGATATGGAAGTAATTTGAATCAGAACAGAACATCTGCAACATTATAGACTTCCCCTGTTCAAACAACAGGCTCAACCGCTCAATTCCTTTCCATGCATGTTCCGTGGGAGGGGGCACCATGCCGTAAGAAGGAACATGGATTCCGAGGGGCCGGATCTATGAGCACGGGTGAGCAAAGCGCCGATGCAGTGGAGCGAGCAACTAAATTTGGGCAATAGGTCGAGATCAGACAGCAGTTGGAACAATTGGTAGTCCACATATTGAGTTCAGAACAGGTCTGTGAATAGTTGTGGTATCATCATTCGACGGAGAGGAAGTGGAAGGAGCTGTTTCAGCTTACCAAATCGCATCAAGTCCGGTGGGCTTGCTGCACGCAACATGAGCGACCGGTCGAATTCAATCGCGCTTTCTCCGCTTGAAAAAGGTTTCGATGTTCCTTTGGGAAGCGTCATGTCGAGCGCTCCCAAGACCGCCACCAGCGCGTTTTAGGCCTTTGAGATGGTCTCTACCATTGATGGTCTGGATGGTCGTTCTCCATTCCCCAGGGAGCTTGATCAACGCCGATTGAGCGTCCAACACTCTATGTTTAGTGATTCTATCGGGAGCGCCCTGCCGTATATCTGGACGGGCAATTTCTCCCTTCGCGCTATCAAGCTTGACCTTGGACGGCTGCAGTGCGGAGGCTGGAGGCAACGGAAGGGTCGAGTCTTCAGCTGAAAAGGGCTCCAGCAGTGTCGCCTTCTCCATGAGTAGCTCAAGATAGCCGGTGTTGGACCAACCCCCGAGGCGCTCCAATGAGTAGTCACGGATGTTGGCTGATAGCTCGGGTGAGAATGCCACGCTTTTCGGCGGGAGTCGCAGAAGGAGTCGCTTCCATAGGACCGAGAGGATGATGCCGTGGGAGACAATAGCGACGGCATCGCTGGTGGATGCCGTGGGACCACTAAATAACGGCAGGAGATGTGTGTCGATGAACGCGTCGATGCGTTGTACCATTGAGCTAAAAGACTCCATTTCCACGAAGCCCGACGTACTTCCGTGGTCGTGGTTATGGCGGTGCTTGCCGGTGACTCTGGCGTCAGCTGGCCTCTCGTCCCACTTCTTACCCTCGTAGAAGCCAAAGTCCTGCTCCATCAGCGCTGGCAGTTGTACCACGTCGGGCACCGCGCCCGCACCGCTCTGGTCCGCCGACTGTGTAATCTGAGCGTCTCGTATCAGGCCCGCTGTCTTGGAGGCTCGCTGCAGATGCGACGAGAAGATGTGCGTGAAGGCAAGCCCAAGGGCGTTGAAGTGAACGCCGAGGCGAGCGGCCTGCTGGTAGCCATGATTTGTGAGCTCGGAGTCTCTGCTCCCTGCGCTGAATTGGTCAACTCGTGTGCTCAGGAACAGCTAGGCCTCGCGTACTAGACCTGGGCAATGTTGTCGACTGTCTCGCCATGTCGAATGAGAAAGAGCCTCATGGTGCGAGCCGGGGCCGTAGCCGGGGCGGGGGAAGTTCGTTGGGGAGCATGCAGACAGGTCAATTGAAGCCGTAAAAAATGGCTGAAATATCTTCGTGCGAGGGTTGGTCTGTGCAACGATATGACTAAGCGTCCCTTGCTGCAACAAGAACACACTCCACCCCCATCCTTGACCATGACTTTTCTGACCCTTCCTATCCGTCAGAACACCAATACTGCACAGAATCTGGTACTACTCCGTCCAATCATACGGAGTCAATTTTGGAATAATGGACGAGGCCACTGCTTTAACCCAGAAACACTCCGGTGCCAGATCGCATTCTATTCGCGGAGGGGATTGAGTTGTGGATGCCTAGCCGTTGGGGAAGATGGCAGAAGATTCTAATTGCATTTTGGTTGTGGTGGCAAATGCTGCATTTCTTACTTTTTTAAAGCAAGCTCATTCTTGCAGGAGCATGCGATCCTCGAGTTGGGATGCGCATCTGAAAAACAGCAAGCGTGATGCCTTCAAACAGCCCTGACGAGCACCAACTTTGTCAGACCCATGACAAGATACAAGTACCGTGTTTGAAAAAAATTCACCAGAGCTCTCATTGCGTTCGTCGCATATAAAAGCAATTGTCTTTGTAGTCTCGGCCTTCAATCACTCTCCTTGATCGCTCACTTTAGTCTCGACCTACTCCGTCGGCCCTTTCGACCTCATGCTCCATCACCCTCAGCCGTACACCCCATTACTTTTCCTCATCGGAAAGCATATCCGTGATCCAACCCGGTGCTGCACCGCCGTTTGTTTCCTTGGGGCGGAGTGCCACCCGTGACCTCACCGCTACACTTTGTCTCCTGCAATTCCACGAATGATAGCGTGTAGTCATTCTAGGTTCCCTTCAAGCTGCAGCACTCTCTTACCACCAACTTTACTCCCAAGGGGCCCCTCCTTCACAGCTCTCTCACAGCAATTATCGAATCTGTCGATGGACGCATAGTGAGTAGTCGACCCCCCATGTCCTTGGGATCATTCCCAACCATCACTCACCACCATCCCAAATTTTCTAACTCTACTTCCTTTCTCCTTCCATTTTCTTCTATTAATTGTCTTTATGCTTCAAAGAGGCAAGGCAACCCATACAGCTCACGCAAACGGCTAGCGACACACCAAACCGACGCCCTATTACTACAGCAGTCTCCTCACTATGGGATAAGAACACACTTGAGTTCTTAGTACCCACACACTTATTGATCGAGCCCGACTTCTTGGACCATACCTCAACTGCAGCCATTGAAAACTGTCCCTCAATTGCCAAATTTCAACAGTGAGTTGATGTTTGGAAAACACTTTACCTCATAAATCACCCTTGTGTTAGCAACATAGTTTCTCTTCGATCGCCCTGGTCTCTTAAGCTACACTGCCTGGAGCATGCACTAATCCTCACTCTCTGTTGCCCATCTCCAACCCACGGTCAATAATCAGACAATACATGTCATATTTTACCCTTGAATAGGTGCCAATAACCCTCTCTTTCTGACAAGATGGCTGCGACCACGTCTCGAGCGCCTCCGTGCACTCAAGTCTCGTGGACTTTCGACACTTACTCAGACTCTGATTCAGAAGGGAGTGCGGGCCCGGTCAAGGATATGCTCATGGAAGGAGTTTCTCATACCTCGGCCAGCACCTTCGACAAAATACAGCCACATGATGTCACGGCCGCTCCCCACTCCTCGTTTGGGAAGCATCTTGATGCTCACCTCAGCAATGATAGTGGCGATGGCGATGGCACGGGATCTCTATTTGGCGAAGACGAGCAGTGTCCTGACACTAGCTACAAACTCTTGAAAGATACTAAAGCCACGAACGATGGACAACATTTCACACTACAAAGCTTATTCCCGGAAGGATTCTCTGAGGATGAGGGTGACGATGACCACGAGGAGAATCGCCGACCTGTGTTCCCTGACGAAACCGGCCTTGGGCAGAAGAAGAAGAATCTGCGCGATGGGCATGACACTGAAGCAACAGAAGGGAGCCCAAAGCCGAAGAAGTCGCGATCTTTGTTTGGAGGCACTCTTCCTTCTGACGCCAACGAGCAGGTTGAAAGTCCAGCCCGGAAGGCCCAGGAGCGGACGGCCATGCGAGATCAACTGTCCCGATTAGTCTTGACTCGGGGAGAAGATGGCCGAGACAAGAGTCAGTCGGAGCGCCTCTTCGACTTTGATTTTAGGCAGTCTCCTAGGCCTAGAGCTAGTCAGCAGGCTCCCAATTTGCAGGACGACAGTGGCCTGCACCAGCTCAAGAATCCATTCGACTTGGGCGTAGGGAACACCTCAAATTCAAACCCTTTTCGGCTAGATCCAAACTACCGCCAGTATAATAATACAGCCCAGTCTGGTCACTCCTTCAACATCGGTCTTGGGAACTCACGTGAAGGTTCCCCAACCCCAAGTGAGCGCAGCAGTGCATTTAGTGAAGGTCTTGCCGTTCAAATCCTCCCAGAGGTACCCTATGAGCTCCGACAGAACGTTGACCGTAATGTTGCGACGACCTGGATCGATAGAGACAACACCGGGAATTATGACCCCGAGGAAGAGGTCAAGAAAGAGAAGCTTCGCAAGGCGAGGGCCAAGACGAAAAAGCAAGGCAAACACCCAGCGCCAAAGCAGCCGAAAGAGAAGGTCCAGAAGCTTATTGTCCGACTCCGAGTCGAAAGCTTCGGCAATGTCCTCAATATTACAGACAATGAGGATAACTGGCCGAGTGGCTGGTCTGAAGTTGACCCTGAGGAGGAGATGGAGAGGCAGTCGCGACGTGCCTTTCACCGCCAGAACACCCCGGGCTTGCAAACTCAGACGCCAATTCCGGATCCAAAGACGGACAGTAGCACGGACGGTCTGGCTGGACACCCCACCGCTCGTGGCTGTGAGGATTGTGATGCTGGTCCAACCCCAAACCACGAGCCCAAACGTACCCATCTCAACACCATCCTGTACAGCGTTGAACGGAAGCACATAGAGTGCACCTTGTGCCGAAAAGAAGGGAGGCGATGTTCTCTTAAAACAAAGTCCGACAGGCCACCTTGCAAAGCCTGCCAACGCTTGAAGATTAGCTGCACATTCCATGATACGAGGTATGAACCAGCGAAGGAAAGCCAGAGGAAGAAAAGTTCTACGAAGTTTAGCAGATCCACAAAGGGGAATTTTGAGAAGCCTGCAAACGCTTACACTCACCTGTTCACGGAGGCAGATCTGGCTGATTTAGAGGAGATGGATCATGTGGAACTGGAACGGGAGGACACACCTGAACTTTTTATGGAGGATTCTGAAGGGCATCACGGCGTAGTGACAACCCTCCTGACTTCCTACGCTCACCCGATCGTCTTTAACGCTGTTTCTGCCTCAGCCTTGGATTGCAGTTGGTGCCACATGCCAACTTTTGGCCTTTTTGGTCTTTGGGAGCGAAAAGTTCACGTGCTGCGATGGAATAACGGCCTCGGCTACACAGAGCTGCAAGGCGGACATCGAGAAAGCAATGATAAAAGTATCATGTGCCAAGCGTGCACGTTGTCTCGAATCCAAATAGTCCTCTGTCTAGGTCATCAAGTGACACAGAGTCCCAGCAAGGATCCCGATGACGATTTCGCCGTAGTGGTCGATCACCTTCTCTCCGCGGAGCCTCGATCTGAAGAGCTGAAATATCAACACCAGCGCTGGTGCACCATGTGCTTTGCGGTAGCGACGTTCAAGTGTTGCACACCTCAGCCCCCAATCTGCGACAGCGCGGAAGATGATGGAATGATATTTGGCTGCGGTCTTCGTTTCTGCGATTGCTGTGAGAGGAGGTACCGGGAAGAATTCAAAGGAGACGTTGATGAGATGGCGACTGCCCTTGAAAAAGAGCCGAAGGCGAGGGAGACAACAGAGGATACATGCGGAACGGTGGCGAGAGCGGATGTGGGATTCTTGAGGCAGGATGGCTTACTCATGGCCAACGTCGTCAAAGAGGCTGAAATGGTTGGAGGGGAGGATGAGGGAAGGTTTGCCTAGGCTCTGGTTATGGGCATGGGGCTCTGACTTGGTGCGTTTGTGAGAACTTAAATCGGGGTGATATTGGATGTAATCTTTCGTGTTTTTCAGTCCCAAGTGCTGAATTCTGCACTCGACACTGATCTAGGCTAACAGACTTAATAGAGGTTCTCGTCGTGGGCACTTCCTGCCACGGTCTTTGGGTCATTTCGGCATTTGGTACTTTCGGGAGTAGTTGTTCCTTCTTGCTGATCTTCAGATATGGCAAGTCTATGAAGGGTGAGCATCACTTCTTTCTTCTAGATCTATCCCCGTTCTGCTCTCTGGGTATCCCCAATTTGCGATGGTCACCTAGGCGAACGACAGATATTTTATTTACTATTGTCTTGTAGTCGTACGAATTGTAATTGTAAAGAGAACAGCAGAGTAGACAATCTGCTGAATTTAGGAGCCCTTAAAATCTAAGAATGAAGGGAAAGAAAAAGGACCTTGCAGGAACTGCGGGAGTTGTAGGTAACCCCTTCTCTGATTTCCTTCCTTAAATTGTGATGATATCTTGGTAAATTGCCCCTAGGTTCCCTTTGATAACTTCGAGATTCAACTGACAATAAACCAAATACTAAGCACATCTCACTTTGCAATAACTAGGAACCCTGCTGTTGCATGCTCTCTAGAAGGAATATGGGGCACCTAGGGACGGAGCGGTCTCAAAAGCAATGTAGCTGCATTGGGAACAGTTCACTTTGGCAACTGTCAACCTGAAAATGCGTTACAACACCTGCGAAGCCTCTTTTGAGAAAAGCCCCGCCCCACTATTTGCGGGCCATATTACCATTTTGGTGGACACTATGTCTCATTCAATGATTGGAATCATCGGCTTGGCATTTCCATAGCTTTGTCGTAATTCTGCATTGGTAGGGTCACTCTCGCCTACTTCTCAAATGGAGTCTCAGTCGGAGGCTCGGCCTGCGGGGTTATTCTAGCCATATGCCTGCGCTGACCATCGTCCCAATCTAGGAGTGCTGAGTGCGCCGTCACTCGGTTATCCCAGACAACGACAGTTCCAGGAGCCCACTTAACGCGAGCCTGGAAGTCCTGACCCTTTGCGATATGATCAAAAAGAAACTTCAAAAGGAAGTCACTCTCATCCTTCTTGTATCCAACGATGCGGCGCGTGAATTGCGGGTTTACGAAGAGCGCCTTCTCTCCCGTAGCTGGATGAGTCCGGACGAGGGGGTGGATTGATGTCACCGGCTCTCGACGGACAACACCTCCACGGTTCTTACTGTTGTCGGCTTGCTCGATTGCTGTGTCTAGTCAACCATTCAGATTGTTCAACTTCGTCGCTTCTTCTTACCAGAATGGATGGCCTTCAAGCCATGCAACCTCTTCTGGAACTCTGGAGATAGTCTTCGGTATGCCTCCGACTGGTTCGCGAACAAAGTGTCTCCACCAGCAACCGGTCCGTCGAGAAGGTATAAGAATGTAATGCCCGGAGGCTGCTTTTCGTATGTCACATCAGAGTGCCATGTCACAGAGTTAGTGCGCTCCTCAAAAAAGTCCCGCGCTGTGGTGTCGTCAGCACCTCGATGGACAAGATGAACCTCTGGATGTCCTGCGGGAGCTCCTGATGTTGGGTGGATGTGGTGGCGGCCAAAGTATCCTCCAAAGTCGAGAGCCGCTTGGATTGGAATATCTGCAAGATCCTGTTCGCGGAAGGCTACACTGTATTAGTACCGAATTATTCAAGCCTCCAGGTGAGGGTGCGGCTTACCAACGACCTTCCTCTGAGCCACAAATAGAGCTAGCTCATCCTTGCCCTTGTCCGTGAGCTTGCTCAATTGAGCCCCGTGGATCTCAGCTCCAGTGTTCGCGGTCAATTCCGTTACTTGAGCTTTCTGGAGGAGGTTGGGAAAACTGGGATCTGCATCCTTTCCGTGCTCGTAGTGCTCAAACAGCTGCAACGGAGGATATCTGCCACGAATTTAGATACGAGCTTGCGGTTTTGCTTGAAAAATCACTAACTTTTTCTCAGGGTCCCACGTCGGCAGGTAGTGAGGATACTTCGCTGGAGGTTGTTTTTCCGTACCCTTCAATTCTGCGTCCTGCCTGAACGCCTTCGGTCCTCCAATGTACGCCTCCTTGTACTCTCCGGTTCCATTCCTTACATAAGTTGCAGCCGGTTGTGGGGTTTCAACAAAAGCGGGAGCCATGATGTTTTATCTGAAATTTCGAAGTCTATTCTGTCTAGGTTGAGGATTTCCACCTTTATATACGGATGAGCTGCGCTCACTCCGAATAATGTCCTCTTTTTTGGGTACCACTGCCTGAAACTCGTATCAGTATCGTCCGACCCCTCTTTCAACCTCGTCATAACTGTTCCTATCAAGCTGTGGATCCATCATCAAGCACGTGGATCCAAAATTAAGCACGCTGGGATGTTTGTTTGCGAGGGGTAGCAACCACCACAGCTCTACCACCAAGAGAAGATTTGACACTCCTCTAGAATTCCATTCAATCAGAATGAGTTTAGATGGCATCAAACATGCATGGTATTGTATCATGGCCCATCAGCCAAGCCAAAATCTAACGTCTAGGGATTTGCGCTAGCATTCCAGTCTGCACCCACAATTGCTTAGCAATTTCAAGGACATTTCTCCACACTAGTCAAGGACACTAGCAGATTCCTGCCGCAACTTTGGCCTTATCTTTGTGAAGAGCGTTACCGCCAGCGTTGATGTTCCACCTGCCATGTTGTCAAATGCCCGGCCAATTACGCAATCCCTTAACATCCACCCTGGCAACGAATCAACCTCAGGCATTCAATCATCAACACCCACCACGGAATTCATCATCGATTATCAATTTTGCGTGCTTCAGGATAGGATGTGTCGCCTCGGCTTGTCGGCAGCGGAATCGATACATTCCCGTCGCCTCGACCGAGCTCGAACGGAACCCTTCCTCATAAAAACACTACGGCTATATACTAGACGGCATCTAAATACCCACGGCCAAGAAATGGCTCCACGATGGCGTTGTTCCGTCTCTCGGAGGCCCCACCACCTAGTAGTAGGGTTGAAGAATATCTTTTGTTGGATTTCCAGAATGTCATTGTATAAGAAGCGGAGACTTGCCATTCTGAAATGTCAAAGAACACACGAAATAAGAACCTTAACGTTTGCGACTTAATTGACCGTGCTCTACGACATGGCCGAACCACCTCTCAGAATTGTGCCTGAAGTTGCTAAGCCGGACTTCGATGTTAGTGGGAGCGAAACGAACTTAACTAGCAAACCTCACCAAAGATTTGGAGCGCGTGAGGGCGTTACCTTTGATGTGGCGGGCCTGGAATCGTATTACAAGCCAATTGACACGTATGAGGGTAGGCACAGATACGACCCTAAGTTTGAGTGGGAATCAGAGGAAGAGAGAAAGATTGTGAGGAAGGCAAGTGTGCGTCCAAAATAAAATAAATTCCATCTATAAGCTAATAGCTTCCAGATTGATAAGAGGATATGCACCTTTGTGTGTCTTTGCTTCTTTGCGCTCCAATTAGATCGTGGCAACATCTCTCAAGCCTTGAGTGATAACATGCTCAAAGACCTGAAAATGAATACAAACGACTACAATTATGGCCAGACAATATTCTACCTCTGCTTTCTCTTCGCAGAGCTTCCTTCGCAGCTTATCAGCAAGAAACTTGGTCCGGACAACTGGATCCCAATTCAAATGCAAGTGAGCGATGACGTCATAATGTTGTATCGTACTAAAATCTTGGTAGGGTGTCTTGGAGTCTTGTTGCCAGTATGCAAGCTTTCTTAAGTGGTCGAAAATCCTTTTTTGCTTGCCGAGTGCTCTTAGGTCTCTTCGAGGGTGGGTTCATTGTAAGCCACCTCTCGCAGCATATTGGTGAAGGACGTGACATCACTAACCGCTAACAGCCAGACAATATACTTTACCTAAGCTACTTCTACACGGGGTGGGAACTGCCGGCGAGATTGAGCTGGTTCTGGGTGTCCTACCAATCAACTCAAATTGTTTCAGCGTTCTTCGCTTATGGAATATTGCATCTTAGGGACTACAATGGGATGGAAGGTTGGGTAAGTGCATCAAATTGGTATTCCTGGAGTTTTCTCACTCTCCCATATAGCGGTGGCTATTCGCCCTTGAAGGAATGCTGACCGGAGTCATTGGCATCTTCGCTTGGTTTTACCTCCCTCCATCACCAACTCAGACTGCTAGCCGGTTCCGCGGGAAGGACGGATGGTTCAATGAGCGAGAGGAGAAGATCAGTAAGTACCGTGCAAACTAACAACGCTTTCGCTCCATTAACTATGTCACAGTGGTCAACCGTATCCTTCGAGATGATCCTTCTAAAGGCGATATGCACAATCGCCAAGCACTCTCTTTCACCATGATTTGGGAGTGTCTCAATGACTACCATATGTGGCCCATCTACCTCCTTGGGCTCTCATGGTTGATTCCATCAACACCTATGACCGCTTATCTGACCCTTCAATTGAAAGCAATTGGCTTCAATACTTTTCAAACCAATTTACTCACGGTTAGACCTTACTCCATCCTCTTAACATCCATGGTTTTCTTTCTAACTCTCTATAGATTCCTGCGTATGTGCTCTTCATTTTCCAACTCCTGTTCTGGACATGGCTCTCCGAGAGACAGAACTCCCGGTTCCTCACTGGCCTGGCTTCCCAGATATGGGCTATGCCCCTCCTTATTGCTCTAGAACTCATCCCCAATCGTGCTTCCGCATGGGCTAAATGGACCATTTCCACTCTACTAGTCGGCCACCCATACGTTCACGCCATACTTGTAGCCATAACATCTCGCAATGCAGGTACCGTTAGAACGCGCACCGTCGCATCAGCATTGTACAATATGTGCGTACAAGCGAGCAACATCATTTCTCAGAACATTTACCGTGACGACGATAAGCCGATGTATAGGAGAGGCAATAAAGTTTTGATTGCAATTTGCTCATACAATTTTGTATTATTTGTTGGGACGAAGTTGTATTATGTGAGGCTTAATAGAAAGAGGGAGAAGATTTGGATTGAGATGAGTGAGGAAGAGAAGGAAACCTATTTGGAGACGACAAAGGACAGGGGGAATAAGAGGCTAGACTTTCGGTTTGCGCACTAAATCAGGTTGTTATTTGAAGCAATCGACCCCTACTGTCAATAGCAGGAACAAGCTCTTAGCAAATGCACAGTTTTTAGGCGATAAGTTAGAGATCTCGCTTGCTTCTTGGTTATATGACCTTTTTATGCGGACTTCCATCTCCGATAGTTATAGACTATCCTAATCTCTTTCTCTTCATTTACAAGGATCCTCTGAGATGTGGTGATATTAGAGCTGTTCTAACCCAGTATATGTATGTGATTCCCAAATAGATAGGTAGTAGCATGACGCTTCCACCAGGCCTTTCCTACGTCATCTCGTTACGCTGGACCATCAAACAAAGCCGGCAATTGAAAATTCAGTCCTATTAAACCAGGACCCACCGCTCAGGCAAGCAAATTCCACGCTCACCCAATAGCCCTCACTTAACTACTGACTTTATGAAAAGGAGACCTTGTCTTCATTCAGTCTATTCTACTTTCACATTTGCTTGATTTGCGGGACTAGATAATCCCACTGGTTCCCGCGTCAGACAAGCAGATTCTGCTTTCCTTCCAGGAGATTCCAAGCGATAGCGACGTTCTTGTGATAATCTGAGTGGAGGAGGTTGTAAGTTGTCCGTCTTTCTGGTCTGTCCATTCGATGAGTATTTCTTCGCGATTACTCTTATATGGTTGGAGTGTGTGCCCAATAATGCATAGGGGTTCTTTGATAAGTTCCCGTGCTGTCACCCTCGCCTAATGTTTCCATGACTAGATCCTTTTGGTGATACCGTAATCCTAGTTAGACGTGCTCCAGAATTGTATTGACGGTATCGCTTGCGGCCTGCATAGGGGCATCTTCCTATTCTTGAACTTGAGTCTAAGCTTATCGGAATATCTAGCGAAGAGCCACTGCAGGCGTTTGAGCATGGACTCACCGAGGTAAAGATAATATTCATTATCTTCAATCCGGAAATCGAGAAGGACAGGGTAGGAGTGACCTTTTTACGGCATCTAGTTTGGAATAGAGGCGAATGTTGCCGCAAACCTTAACCCTTGCATTGAGCTTTTGGGAGAAGTTGATGGTAAATGTGTGGATGTACTTTATTAATTGAGATTTTAGCCCCCGTGTCTTCTGTTCCTACCCGACCAAGAGGTCTGCCGGACCTAACTGGCAGATTCCTGGATTTCTCGGCCTGCAGGACCAGACCAAACAGATAGACCAACAGCCTGAACACCCTAGTATTATACCCCTAGTGTCTCTAATATGGACACTCGAGGACGCTCTGCGGAAGATTCCCCCGCAAATGGTGCGCTCCCTAGAGATACTATATACTGTGGAACCCACCCTCGTGAGTATGCAGATTATAGACGAGGAGACAGCAACAATGAACCTTTCCGGGAAGACCTGGAACGAAATTTCGCTTGCACAACAACGCCGCTAAGGCCTCGATTTGTGTGTGTACATCGAGCTGACTCACTAAGCTAACGGGACGATACATATCGATCCCCTGATGTATCCGAATGTCTCCGATATACGGGCTGTCTTCAATTATGATTTGAGATTCGCTGGGCCGAATTCATACCGTGAGGAATTTAACATTAGTACAAGTTGTTTACACACTCTAGAACCTTACGTCGCCTACGAGCCAACTGAAGTGGTTACTAACAAAGATATAACCTGGAATATTGAACGTGTTTGATTTCAGCACAGTTCTCTATAGCTCTCGCGTACCAAATCTTTCTTCGGCAGACACCGATTCTTGTTTGATAAAATCTAAAGAAATCCTTTCTTCGGCCGGAAAAGTGAAAACCTATGCTGCGAGAAGTCATTCTTTTCTCCTTGAACCATTGCAGTCCAAGCTGGAGCAATACTGTACATGGAATCCAGGGAACGTAAACCTATGAATCCCAGTGTCAAGAAAACTATCCTCATATGTATACCAAGTGAATGAGACCAGATTCTGCCAACCTCAGTACTGTGCCAAGCCCGGTCTTAAACATGGATTGTGCTAGTATATTCGAGGATTGTTCGGTGCACACTCGTTTCGCACACCCTGTCTAGATTCTAAACTATCAGAGCTACTAAAAGCTGAACTCTAGGGCCCTTCAAGCGCTTTTTAGTGGCGCTGGAATAGTTCAAATTTGTTCAAATTTGAGAGAGATATAGGGCTTTGAAGTAGGTAACTCGTGGGAGCTCCATGACGTTCCTGGGCTTTGGGGAGTCCTACCACCCCGACCAAAATCAAATAAACAAATTCTTAAATATTCGATATAAAAACAAATACCACATCCAGTTAAGTGCCAGACATCACGTTCTCTAACTCTCGCATGGTTCTACCTCCTCCATGTAAGGATATCTCACTTGCAAGGCTGAGGGTGCTGACCCTAAATTCACCTAATCTACTTTAGTCGCCTTCCACCAAGCCAAACCATCCATCTACACATCAATCAAGTTATCGCTCTGCCCCTGACTCCCCCCTTCGACAGTATTATCCCTGGTATCCTTATTGCCCTTCCTCTCCCGCTTCCTTCCCTCTGCAGAACGCTGGTAATATTGATCCAAAACTTTGGCTGGTATACGATTCAACAACTCCTTTGGATAAATCCTGAGCAGTGACCATGCCAAATCCAAGGATTCATAGATGGTTCTGCTCTCATATGCAGACTGGTTGATGAAAGTGCGCTCGAACTTCTCTAGGAATTCTAGAGACAATTTGTCTTCAGAGGACAAGGCCTCCTCACCGACGACGGCTTTCATGGCAGCGGCATCACGACCGATGGCATATTTGGCGTAGAGCTGGTTGGAAACGTCACCATGGTCGTTTCGTGTGCGACCTTCGCCAATAGCAGATTTCATGAGACGGGAGAGGGAGGGGAGGACGTTTATGGGTGGGTAGATACCCTTGTTGTATAGCTGACGGTCGATGAAGATTTGGCCTTCTGTGATGTAGCCTGTCAAGTCGGGAATGGGGTGGGTGATATCTGCACGTGATAAGTGATTCTGTAAGGAGGTAGGGATCGTGGGGACATACCATCATTAGGCATAGTCAAGATGGGTATTTGGGTAATAGAACCGTTGCGACCCTCGACACGGCCGGCTCGCTCGTAGATGGTAGACAAATCAGTGTACATGTATCCTGGATAACCTCGCCGACCTGGAACTTCTTCTCGGGCTGCGGAGACTTCGCGGAGGGCGTCGCAGTATGAGGAGAGATCGGTGAGAATAACCAAGACATGTTTCTCGAGCTGGTAAGCGTAGTATTCGGCAGTGGTAAGGGCAAGACGAGGGGTAATAATTCGTTCGATGCTGGAGCGAAGTTAGCCAGGGTTCTCTGGGCACATTTCCTAAGACCCACGTTGGATCATTGGCCAAGTTCAAGAACAGCGTGACGCGCTCCATACTGCCGTTCTCCTCAAAGTCTCGGGTGAAGAAGCGACTCGTTTCTAAGTTGACACCCATGGCGCCAAAGACAATGGAGAAGTTCTCCTCATGGCCATCATGGACATCCTTTGTAGGTTTCGCAACTAGACCAGCTTGCCGACATATCTGGGCAGCAATTTCGTTGTGTGGCAGACCAGCGGCCGAGAAGATGGGGATCTTTTGTCCACGGGCGATGGAGTTCATGGTGTCGATGGCTGAGATGCCGGTCGAGATCATTTCTTCAGGATACACCTATACATTGTTACCATGCGCTCCGGAGCTCGGCAGTGCAAGCCTTCTTACTCGAGAGTACGGGTTGATGGGGCTGCCGTTGATGTCTAGGTACTCCTCCGCAAGCACCTTGGGGCCTTTGTCGATGGCCCGGCCTGATCCATCGAAGATGCGGCCAAGCATATCCTCGGACACACCGAGCTTCAAGCTATGGCCTGTGAATTCGACTTTTGTCTGCGCCTGTTAGTCCGACTCGATGCAGGGGGGCTGGAGTCGCTACCTTCTTCACATCGATGCCGGTCGTGCCTTCGAAGACCTGCGCTGGAATCAGAGCTGTGTTCAAGCGGGGAGTGTGGATCCGTGTCTACCTGGACGACTGCTCTGTTTCCTAGTTTATGAGTGAGCACACAGCACTAAACTGCGGTGGTTTCTGCCTCACCTCGAGCTTCCAAGACTTGGCCAGACCGCTCCGTGCCATCGGGCAGAGTCAAGGACACGATCTCGTTGTACTTGGGGAATTTGACCTGTTCCCGATATTCATGAGCTTTAGGGATTCCAGAGCAGCGACCGAAGAGCTACTGACACTCTCCAAAATGACCAATGGACCGTTGACACCGCCGATGGTGTTGTACCGTATCCTTGGCTGCACCTTCATCATCCGGGGATCCACGACGTCAGGCATGGTGGGCGAGGGCGGGGCGACTCAGGATAAGGTTTGCTGTCGCTTAGAAATCAGCAAGGCTTGCAACAGCAGTCGGAGCTTGTGGGGTGGTGGAGGTCGGAGCTGTGCGGTCGAGGTGTGAGGCAGCTCTCACTGGGGTTGCGAGTAGCTTGCACGTCAGTGCGGGATGCGATGACTAAGCTGCCGATCGATAAGACCGTGCGCATCAAAAAGAAGCAATGCCATGGTGCTTTTTCGAGATACATGTCCCCTCCTGTCGATGCACAGCCTGTTGTCGCATGCAACAGGTGAAACCCTGGGCTCATACTGATACTGTCCCTGCAGACTTCACATACCTAGTGTTGAATCATCACTCACGTGGCAAAAGGGCTCGGAGGGGTAGAAATTTGCATTGGCTATCTAATTCAACCTGATGACGGTGACTCCCCAAGACGCACACAATCAGTTGGCGAGCTTCTTGAATCTCGAACTGGGCCTGCGTATGCCCGTTAGTGAACAGAACAACAGCGATTGTGAGCAGAATTAGGCATGAGAGGGCAAAAATCAGACATCCAAGGAAGAATTGCGCTCACCGACCATCTACATTAGGTTCAGGCGATGGCTAGCGTGGAAACTGCGAATGTGGAAATGTTTCATCATAGAGGATTGGGGGTGGAGAGGAAAATGAGAATGAACTGACCCAGTAGTCCGTCGAGCCCTCCCTCCAACTAAGATCTGTAAGCCTGTAGTCCAAACTATCGTGTGCCTACGTGTCGACGTGTAGCTCGCATGCACCCCAGAGCTGACCCAATTGAAGTTCTTACGACGCGCTTCTAGGAGAGCACTGAGGCATGGAGAATACTCAAATAAGACGTGGCAATAGGTTCTGGAAGGCGTCAGCATGCTGCTCAGCGGACGTGTGCTGCGGTTTCGGAAGCGACAAGATGAGGTCAGACGAAAGTACTGGCTAGTAGCAGGCGCCTTGCGAGAGGCACCCGGACAGACAAATTTCTTCAAGGTCGACTCGGTTGGGAAAAGAAGACATATTTGGGGTATCATCACTCGAAAGGCGTTCTGGGGCAAGGAAAAAAAACTACGGGAGCTCACCTGGGGTCAAGACGCAGGGACCGAGGGCTGAATTACCGCCTCCTGCGCAGGGCCGGCGCGATGTAAGCTTCAGAGTTGAAGCGATGCTGCTACACTCACGCGGAGAGGGCGTGGTGGAGTGGCGTGCAGTGCGAAGAACAAGTTGGAGAGGAAGAGAAACTGTCCGGCAGAAGAGTTTGTTGCGGCGGCCTGCTGGCCCAATATTAGCGTCTCACGTGTGGCGGCTTGGCAAGGACAGAACTAGACAAGCGGTAATTTTGCAATTTCTCATTGACCGTCGGCCTCGCAGCATCACCCAGCACGCGTCCTGGCAGATTAATCACGCAGCATCGCTGTGCTGCCGTAGCACGGGACCCTAGAGTTAATGCGTTTCGTGCAGGCTGTTTGAGGGTTGTTTCTGCTGCGAAGAAGTCCAGCACTCGGCGGCGATACAAAGATAGATTACCACCAGCCATCTTTTTGCGCTGCACGGAGTTCGGTATCGAAAGCCCCCCTTTAGGCGAGCGCAGCGCCCGGATCAGCGCTCTCGCTCCTCCAGCGCATGAGGGCCTCTCCATCACCCACCAACACCACCATCTCCCAACGCCAGCTCTCCCACGACGACTCCCCGCGTGTCCGCTGCGAATGTCTCGACGCTTCCGACGCGGCCTGTAGACGACACTGCTACCCCCATTGCAGCCCCCTCTCCAGGACGATCGTTTCCTCGCCCGCTCTGCCCGCGGACCGCATGCGCGACACTCCACGCCCACACTCGGCGCTATCCTGGGTCGCGGTCCTCACAGCGGCTTCAGAGTCTTGCTGATCGCGTGTGCCGCTTTTATCCTCGCAACGAGACATCAGGAACCGCCCTCGCACCTCAGCCCCGGCACCTGCCGGCAGGCTCTTCCACGTTTCCCTCCTCATCTGCACACATCTGCCGCCATCGCAGCCCAGGGAACAACCTCGGCGCGGCGCTGCTCTCAAGAGTTGAAAGTGTCGTTTGCGCGTCTGATCGCTCTCCGCCTGGTCGCAAACGGTGACCGATAGCGTTCAACGTTCGAAATCTCATCGCCCAGCACCCCTCGGGCATGCACCGCCGGTGAGGCACTGCTCCTAAACACTGTAACCCAGCCTGGTGTTCTCTGGCCGCTCCTTCCTGAACCCTCGCGTCGTTTCCCCCTCTCCTCGAACCCCACCATCGCGCCTTCTGAACATATCCCACGTCTGAAAATCCCCAGAACGAGCCACCAGGTCCTGGGCCGCTTCTACCCGCGTAAGCAAAATGATTACAACGAGCTATCCGCACCATGCTGGAATGCAGCAGCCGGGAATGCCTCATGGCCACCCCATGGCGGGTCCAGGTCCGACTCCAGGCCAGCCCATGGCCCAGGCCATGCAGATGCACCCTGGCGTATCAGGTCCCAATGGTCCTGTCAGCCAGGCCGGGCCTATGATGGGCGGTATGCAGGCCGGTGTACCCAATGCTCATGCGCTTTCACATCTCCAGCCTCAAGCCGCGCACATGTTCCAGCAGCAGCAACATCAACACATGCAGAGTATGTTTATTCATCCCCAGGCAGACTCTGCTCGTTCATAAAGCCTAGCTTCTGACGTCCGTTATAGTGAACCCGCAAACCATGATGCAGACTCGCCAAGCTCAACAGGCTTTCATGCACCAGCAGCGCCAGCAGCAGATGCTCGCACAGCAGAATGGCAGCATGGGCATGGGCTTCCCCAACGGCATGAATGCCAATATGACGCCGCAACAAATGGCAGCGTTAGGGGGAGCACCAGCCATGGGACAACCCTTTGTGAATCTACCACCTCATATGCGCCAGCAACTCCAGCAACAGCAGACTATGCACCAGCAAGCCGGTGCCAACTCTCAAGCGCAGGTTGCTTTGGCTCACGCACAAGCCGCTCAAGCTCAGGCCCAGCAACAACAAGCCCAGCATCAACATCAGATGCAGCATCAACACAGTCAGCAGCAGCAGCAGGCTATTGCCATGCAGCATGCCGCCTCGCAGTCGAGTAACCAAAGCCAGCCAGGTAACCAAGGCCCCCCAACGACTACTCAACCCCAGCAAGGACCCTTACGCCCTCCATCCGCGATTGGTAGTCATCAAGGCCAGGCATCTCCAGCTCCTCAGCCAACCCCCCAGCAACCACAACAGCAAGGGCCGCAGCCTCAGCAACAACCCCCAGCGCAACCTGCTCCACAGAACGCCCCACAGCAGCCAAATCCGCAGTCTCAAAACCAGCAAATGCAACAGCAACAGCAGCAGCAACAGCAGCAGCAACAACAGCAGCAACAACAGCAACAGCAACAACAGCAGCAACAGCAGCAACAACAACAGCAACAGCAACAGCAACAGCAACAACAGCAACAGCAGCAGCAGCAGCAGCAGCAGCAGCAACAGCAACAGCAGCAACAGCAACAACAACAGCAGCAGCATCAGCAGCAACAACAACAACAGAACCGTGTTTTGGCCCAGAATCAACAGGCGCGACTAGCGATGATGCAAAAATCCACACAAGGAGGGCAGGGAGCCTTGAGGCTTATGAACTTCATAGATCAAATTGGGAAATTCAACGTAAGTCCTGTGTTGATATCTATAGAGTTTGCGTTCCTAACATCACGCAGAGCTCTCGGGGTGTTAATAGTATTGGAGTATGGCAATCTTTTGTGGACAAATTCTTTACCGAGAGCGGCTCTTTCATACATGTCCTTTCCTCTCCGGCAAGCGCAAGGCCCAAGTTGTTCGAGGTCGTGTATGCTGCACTGCCTCGATATTTCTACACCCAATTCAACACAGAAGTCGAAAACCTCCAAATCACCATGGACGGGGCGAGTGAAAAGGCAACACCCACAGAAATCAAGATCTCTTGTGATCGGGCAAAATTTGTCTACACTTACAAGAACCAATGTCAAGTAAGTCGTGAGTAGGATCATGTAGCGACCTTTACTAATCTCTGTAGGTCGTGTGTAATGGAAAGTTAACGGCATTCTGGGCTGGCTCCGATAAAATGGAATGGCTACAATTCGAAACGGAGAAACACGAGCAGTTTATTCCACGATCTGTTCTGGAACCGTTGTTTATGCAACCCTCGCCGAGCCAGATGAGTCAAACCCAGTCTCCGCGGATGAACAAATCTTCGGCCAAGCAAAGGCAACAACAACGACTGGTAAAGCCGGAGAACATTGAGCCATCCTTGATGCTTTCGAATCTCCCACAAGCCCCGATACTCGATTGGGGCATCCCGGCTCCTTTGCTGACTTATCTTGAAGTGAGTGCAAGGGATACCCAAGTATTGTTCGAAGGCTCACATCGCCAGATATACGAAACCATGAACAACATGTCCAGCCTCATGGCTCACTATCAGGAGAACCCCAGCCTAAACCCCGCCCAAGCAATGAACAGTTGGGTGAGCAGCATGTCTTCCAACCCTACTCTGGCACAGCAACAGAATGCTGCCAACCAAATGCAAGGGCATATGGCCCAGAACCCACAGCAAATGCTCCAACAACAGGGCATGCAGCAACCGCAAAACATTCCACCAGGAGCACGAACGCCTTCTGGCGTGGGTCAGCCTGGGGGCCCGCCTAACCATCAATTCATGTCACCCGCCATGGCCAACCAACTCCTCCCAAATGCCATGAATGGATCTCCGCATTTGATGCACCAGAACCACACGCCCTCGCCGGCATCACACCCAATGGCGGCTCACAACAGCCAGCAAGGCACGAATAGCTCTGCAACCGCGAGTGTGAACACGTCCCCAAACGTCAGCAACAAGCGACGACGAAGTACAGCCAAAATCGAAGGCGATGATGGCGGCGGTGTGGATGTCAATGGTACCGGAGGAGGGCAGAAGGTGAAACAAAGCCCTCGGGTGGGCGGCAACAAAAGAGTGAAAGCAAATAACTAACCGATTTCGTCTGGATGCAGATCCTGCATGTATCAGTTGCGTTTATTACACATCCTCTTTGAGCCAGAAAGGCAAGATGGTAGCGGCAAGTGATGGACGAATACCGCTCACACGCAGTCTCGCTTCACCTGTCAGGCTCCTCCTTTACGGTATCCCCGGCACCAAGGACACCGTGCGTCGTGTCCTCACATCGAAATTTCCTCACTGCATTCCGGCATCTCCGGACCGGCTCTTCGCTCGAGGTTCTGCTTCATGTCGGTTTGATGGAGTCGGATCTCTCACCTGTATAGCGTGGCGTTCATATTTCTGCACATTCTTCAACTCTTATCTACTATCAGGGGTCTATGCGTTTGGGTAAAGCAGGCCTGCTTGATATTATCCTCTCTGGAGTTGTAGGATCGCCGGGGGGCTTTCGACAGCATGCTCATATCTCCTCAACTTTTCCCTTTATATCCGACTTCTGATATCTCTGTGTTTTTCTTCCTCTTGATAAGTCGAGGGCCAAAGAATGGGTTACATAATTTCTTGTATATTATGGGTCGTGGGTTGGATGGGAAGGTGGCTAGTTGAATGGCGGGTCGTCGTGTTGTGTTTGAGCGCATTGGGTACCAAGGTTTATGGTGCACCAAGAATGGGATGGATGGAGAGTGCTATATGCAATCAAGACGTTATGACTTTAAGTCTCTTCCTAGTGTTTCTCTTGCTTTTCTTCTGACATGCTCCCCACTCCTTCCCATATCACGTGGGACGCCACGTTCTACTGCCCTGGATTATCTAAAGGATGCTCCTACATGTGCCGATCTTTTCTTGGCATCTACCCGCGGTACGAACGACAAATTCACACTGACTTAGATTTCGTTAATTTCTGCATGTCTCGAATGATTCCCTTGAATGACTATTATGAAGCATTCCCGTCTCATCTCGTCGCCAGAATTAGAGGCTTCATGCAATTCCCAAACAACCCAACTCTTAAATGTCCCTCCAAGACTGTAATCATCTGACTGCTGAATCCATTCTATATGAATCTATATTTGCCACTGTCCGGCGGAAAGAGGAAGTTGAGAGCCTCCTTAATGCTGATAGCGACGCTCGGCACCGCGCCAGATCCAGAGAGTAGCAAGGACCTGAGCTAGGGCTCAGTTTTCTGGGAACCAGGAAGCTAGCTTGCTTTTGGCTTCCGGTGTCTTTGATGCTGTCCGGAATATGAGAGATATGATTGATTTGCAGAATTTTAGTCATGTCGCGTTTTAGTCTGAAAGAACAGCACCTGAAAGAAATCTCTTTGCATGACTTTTAGATTTGATTGAAGGAAGAGACTACGTCAACGTGGACACTGATTTTAGATACTAAAGTGCCTCTATTCTGAGCTGCAAGAGAGAGACCGCCACCCTATCAGAATATTGCTTTCGGAATGGTTGAAAATGAATGGGATCCAAGCTATCATCGGCTGTTTTTATTCCAGTCTAGATTTTTGGCCACCAAGAATTGGGCTAACACTAATCAAGAAACCATTCTTGATTGCACTTCGATCTTCTACCAGACCTAGTCTAACCCGATTATGGTCATGATTCTGGTAGAGATATGTGCTTCAAATGCAGTTCCGGAGTTCAATTACATAACGGTCCTGATGTTTTTGAGTCTGACAATTTTACAGGTCCTGTTTTTGAAGCAATGGGGTTTTCCATGAACGGAACCGTGCCGGCGCCGTTTTTGAGTAGTGATGGGGTATAATAATTCCGTGATGTCCTCGCAGCTACCATGCCCCAACCCAGTGTTTTTTTCACTAGCAGCCAAAGGCTTTCACTCCTGAAGAGCACGGAGCGTCAACCTCGCGGTGAGGAGCGCCAAACGCGTCTCAAGGCACCACCAAAACATGCAAACATGGCAGGTTTAGCGTGGGTTGCTGGGCGAATGGTCCGTGCTCACCGTAGATATATACACAATTTTGATCCTGCTTGACTTTCTCTCTTCAAGTCTAAAGTCTACGAGAGACTAGGGAAGATATGTCCAGCCAGTAAGTATCCTTTTTTTTGTGCCTATTCATCGCCCAACCCAAACCTGCCTGTTCGCCTATGTGTATATATGTCTCCCTCAGAGCAGAGAGTGGTGGAGGTGAAGGTAAGTATTGCATCTTTTTTGCTTGTTTTTCCTGCAAGATTGGGACATTTAGTCTTCCCTAGAGGATGTTTATAGGAATTGGCTTGTGTATGTAAGAGGGGTGGAGAACTGGTTGAGCGAAACATCGGGATGGACAGAAAGAGCTGAATTCAACACTGGGTGGGAAGCGAGCAGTCTTTGCCAACCTGGCTTTGGTATCAAGGTATGCTTCCCTTTCTGGGTCACTTCTCATGGCGCACTACTGGTGGGCGGCGTAACATTCGATGGCCAGAGGAGCAATCAGCTACTACTCCTTCAACATGCTCGTATCCAAACACCTGCACAAGTAGCTCTAAGATTCGAATTATCGCGGCATGGCACATACGATTTCGACAAGCAACAGTCTCCCCAGCTTATAGGGCATCAATTTGAGCGGTTGGGAAATATCTCTAAGGAAAGTCTCGACATCAATCCCATCCTAAATGGAGGAAGGCTGACATTCTGTGCAGATTCTCTGCGCTTCTTAGCAGGTTATCTAGTCGTCCCCATCATCCTCGATAACTTGTCAACGTTCTATCCTTTTCCGAAATGACTGGAATTGGAAGACCCTGTGGAAGTCCTCGATGCATGCTCTGGAAGATTCATCATAGCCGTATTGGACCGCCGCGCACACCACAGGGAGTGTCCTGTAGAGGCCACCCTCGAGTGCTCTTGGTTAGGCTTTAGAACAGACGTGGTCTTTTAGGTGGCTTGCCTGCCTGGATTGGAAAACAAAAGAGTGTCCATGCCTGCTCCCAAGGTCTGAGGCAGCTGCTTTAATAGAGCATACATACCTTCTTTAGCCTTCTACAATTTATCAACCCCAAGGCTACCCGAAAGGGTGATCTAAAGCGTTCACCTGCAATCTCAGCAGCTACGGATTCAGTTCTTGTGCCAGCGGCTTGAAGCACCGGCATTGAGGAGGGGTCTCTGGCGGTACCACCTTCAAGATCTCTGAGCCAGAAAACTGTCTTCAGAAGGGTCCTCTAGGAACCCCACCAGCTCACTGGCGAGCCCCCGCATTACCTGCTCAAGCAATCGCAAAACTCCAGCTCTCGAGCTCGACTAGTTCGACCTCTCCAACCCTACGAACACCACCCACTACGATGGTACTGAGCTTCCGAGGCACTTGCAACACCATGTTTCCCTACAAACCACCTTAAAATCGACATAACGGAATCACTCAAACTTCATGAAGTTTTCCTAGTAGTCCGTTGGCAGGCTTGCCAAGAAGGATTGAACAATAGAAGAGTGTTAATGTCTTCTCCGGACTAGCGGCCTTGAAATCTTATACTCGGAATGGTAGACCCCCTAGCTACGCTCTCGGTAACTCCTTTCGACAACACCTTAAGAGCAGTTAGCAGACATTACAGAACAGTTGAAGCCCTTTAGGAATGCTTGCTAGACAGGCTGGAACGGCAGAACGGTCCTCACTCACCCTACGAAATATGAAAAATCGCACACACGTCGGTCCTATTCAAGCAACTCTCCCTTCTCACTGTATCGCCCCTCGCGTTCCCCTATAATTTCTGTCTCACGCTGGAGAGGAGAAGATGTACCTCAAGCTGATCAGAGAGGTCACTGAGTACGAGGACTGGATCGAAGACATGATCAAGAGTGATCACGGGGTGCCATTCATCAGCAAGGACATCTTCAAGCTCACCGAGAGGGTATTGAATCTAGAGATGTACTGGACACGACTGCAGGAGCTGAAGGTAGAGTAGGAACTAGTTTGCAACATGACCGACGCTGAGAAGAAGGGGTGACACGCGCAGAACGAGATTATGCTGTTCGTCCCGGAACTTGATCCAATTGTGGTGTGGGCTCTGGTCGTGCCCAAGTTCGTGTTCAAGAGCACGACTGGGATGTGGTGGATGATGAGGAGGACCACTCAAGCCATGAAAGGGGACGCTACATTCGGCACGAACCCGGATGATCCTATGCGAGCGTTATTTCCGGACCTTGTTGGTAACATGCTCCCGGACCCCGACGCCCTCGTAGAGGAGTTTACGGCCCTGTCAGATAGCGAACGTCTGCTGCCCTTGCTGTAAGCAGATGGATACTCCCATATGTGGTGGCGCAAGCCTGAAAAACCGCATGAGCAGTCTTGCTGATGTTACAGAACAGTTATAGCTCTCTTGGAGCCTTGCCATAATGCCGGACAGTAGAGGGATGTTAATGTTTACATCCTTGCCTATGAGCAGTGAATACCCAGGTAGATGGCGGCGCTAGTTTAAAACACAGCATGAGCAGTTTTGCTGGTGTTACAGAACAGGTGTCGTCATTGGGAGGCTTGCCCCGCCAAGTTCAGCATCATACGGATTTCAAGGTCTGCTGTCCTTGCTGTGAGCAGATGGATGCTCAGGTAGGTCGCAGCGCCAGCCACGTAATACTACATGAGAAGCTTAGCTAATGTAATAGAACGGGTATAATCCTTTGAAAGGCTTGCTTGGTGGAGTTGAAGAGCAGAAGACTGATAACATCTGTTGTCCTCTATGTAAGCGAGAGATTGTTTAGGTAGGCAGTAGCACACTAGTAACGCTACAAGAGCAGCTTGGCTGACATTACAGGATGATTGGGGTCTTTTGAGAGGCTTGCTAATTGGAGTTGAATAGAAAAAGAATGTCCAGTTCCGCTGCCTGTTGTCTGGGCAAAAGGCTACCGAGGCAGGTAGCAATACTCCTGGTAACATTGCAAAAGTAGCTTGGCTGACTCCACAGAACAATTGAAGTCTTTGAGAGGCTTGCCGGACAGGGTTGAACATCAGAAGGATGCGGATCCATGCTCTGGGGGAGACTGAAATGTACTACTAACATAAACTTGATTTGAGACTCGCGGTTTGATCCCTTTGAGAATTTACTAATCCATGGACGTGTAGTATTCTCTGGAAAAACCGACTCACGGACAGAGAGAAATTGGCAGTAATTACTGCCCTGGAAGACCTTGACCAATTTTCTGTCATAAAACAATTTTATACGGGTAGTGTTACCCACCCTACTGGGGGCCGGCCAGTGGTCCAAATAGTGAGGGGGTGGCACCAGGATCATGCGAGGAGGCACATAACATTATCTCCGATCTTTGTGGACGCTGAGGGGTAAGCCGTCTAGGTTTCAGAGGGGAGAAGAGAGGATTGTTAAATGACTCACTTTTAGGGGGGAAATTGAGAACCTAGGTACGTGTCATCTGTACCTACGGTGGGAGTCCCGGGTCTACCAGGGGCTGGCCAGCTGGAAGAGGAGGGGAGATGAGGAGTACACCTTCTTGGAGGTAAGAATTGTGATCCTTTCCACAATTGAGGAGAATCTAGCTACAGCTCGTTGCTAGGAGGATTTATTCCGCCTAGAAACCGACGACTACTTTGAAGCTCTAGGCCAACCAGCTAGGGCCCGCCCCCGCCCCCGCCCCCGCCCCGCCCTCCCTCCGCCTCACGCCGCCGCTCCTGCGGTCCCGGCCTTTGGGTTCTTTCTACCCCCGCTGGGTCTTCCGTATGTGTCCAAAGCTGCTTTCCTATACTCCTCATCCAGACTCGTGGCTAACGTCGAAATTAGGGCCAGCTCCCAGGTAAGCTCAGTGTGTACTCACCCCCTCGAACGGCTCCTTCCCAGCGCCAGGACGATGCGGATCGTGTGGCCAGTCGTAGAAGAAGATGCCATAGACCAGGATGAAGCTTATCAGCGACCACTGGACGAGGGCCAGCGACTTGTCCCAGACTGGCCGTATCGACTTCAGCAGCGCGCGCCGTTTGTATTTGCGTTCGAATCGGAATTGCTGTTTGGCGGAGAGCTCGCGCACGTTGGGGGGCCATTTTTTTTTTGCAGGGAAACGATTCCTTGCGAAATTGAACGGCGGGATCTCTACGGCGGGGCCGCGCCGGAATATACGTTTCAGGATCGAGAGCATGGTGGTGGCGCGCGCAATGGGCCGTCGACGTGGTGGATTCGTGAGTTGGAGATTTGCAGTGCCTGGGCTGACTTTTACCGCAGACTACCACCGCCGCTGTCCCGCCCGCACGGACCCGCCCTTGGCGCTTCCTGTCTGCTCTGACTCTGATCCCAAACCTCTTCCCTGACGACGACGACGACAAGGACAAACCTCCCTCCCCTCAATAGTTTGCTCCCAGGCCGCCCTTGTTCTGTGTCCTACATAACAACCTTCACTATGGCGCAGTCATCAGCTTCACCTTCTCTTCCCGAAAACGCTGTCATGGCCACGCTCACAGTCCTCGACCCAAGCCACAGCTCGAAAAACACTATGAAAATCGAAAATACAGAGAAGCGAGACACATTGATCCAGAGCGAGAAAAAATACCAGCAGCAATGGCAAGAAGGTGGCGTTTTCCAGCCAGATGCACCCACCATCGATGAAGAGCCTTTCGAAACCACTACCCCCGCACACCTTCACCAGAAATATCCCAAATACTTCGGCAACTTTGCTTACCCCTACATGAACGGTACCCTTCATGCCGGCCACGGTTTCACCGCAAGCAAAGTCGAGTTCACTGTAGGCTTTGCGAGGATGCAAGGCAAGAGAACCTTGTTTCCACTTGGATACCACGTGACCGGCATGCCGATTAAAGCATGCGCAGACAAACTCGTCAGGGAGATTGAACAGTTCGGTCCCACGTTTGAGCGCTGCCCCGTCGGCGATATCATTGAAGACGGCGCGACCAATGGCGCCGTTCCTCCAGCACCGACGCAGTCAGAAGCCAAAACTGACTTGGGCAAATTTTCCGCGAAGAAGGGCAAAGCCACAGCGAAGACGGTCAAAACCAAATACCAATTCCAAATCATGCTGGCACAGGGTATTCCTCTCGAAGAAATCCAGAAGTTTGCAGACCCCAGCCATTGGATACAGTACTTTCCACCGCTAGCGAAGCGTGACTTAACCAACTTCGGAGCGAGAATCGACTGGAGGCGGCAGTTCGTCACCACTGACGCAAATCCATACTACGATTCATTCGTCTCATGGCAGATGCGCAAACTCAAAGAGATGGGCAAAATAAAGTTCGGTAAGAGATACACCATCTACAGTCCCAAAGATGGCCAAGCGTGTCTCGATCACGACAGACAGTCTGGCGAAGGCGTCGGCGTTCAAGAATACACCGCTCTTAAGCTGAAGGTCAAAGAGTGGTCTCCGTCCGCTAAGAAGGTTCTGGATGGAAAGCTCTCCGAAGGCTCGAACGTCTACTTTATTCCTGCTACTCTCCGTCCCGAAACCATGTATGGCCAGACCTGTTGTTTCGTCGGGCCTAACATCGATTACGGCATCTTTAAAGTTTCTGAGAATGAGTACTTTGTTTGCAGTGAGCGTGCTGCTCGCAACATGTCTTTCCAACCTGGCATCTTCCCCGAGTGGGCCCAATATCCACGAGCTGCGAGCTTCAAGGGAAAGGACGTCATTGGCACTGTCATCAATGCTCCCCTCTCAGTTCACAAGGAAGGTGTCCGGATCTTACCCATGGAGACTGTCAAAGACACTAAAGGCACAGCAGTCGTTACTTGCGTGCCCAGCGATTCACCGGATGACTACGCCACTGTCACAGATCTTGCCAAAAAGGCGGAATACTATGGCATCCAGAAAGAGTGGGCTGAGCTAGAGATCATCCCAATCATTGACACCCCATCATATGGCAACCTCACCGCAAAGAAGCTGGTCGAGGAACTCAAAATCCAATCTCCCAAAGACACCAAGAATCTCGAAGAAGCAAAAGAAAGAGCCTACAAAGAAGGTTTCTACAAGGGGACAATGATCTACGGCGAATTCAAGGGCAAACCCGTCGAACAGGCCAAAGACCTCGTAAAACAGCAGCTTATCGATTCTGGCGACGCTTTCAACTATGCTGAACCAGACGGCAAGGTCATCAGCCGAAGTGGAGACGACTGTGTGGCAGCTCTTCTTGATCAGTGGTATATGAACTACGGAACTGCCGAGAATGGAGGTGACGGCGAGTGGGCACAAGCTGTCCTCGATCACATCAACGGCGAGTTGAATCTGTATTATCCCGAAGCTAAGCACGCATTAATCCAGGTTATTGCTTGGTTAACTACCTGGGCTTGCGCACGAAGCTACGGTCTCGGAACGAAGCTGCCGTGGGACCACTCTGTCATGGTTGAATCTCTCAGCGACTCGACAATCTACCAGGCTTACTATTCCTTCGCACACTTGTTACACAAAGACCTGTTCGGCAAAGAAGTCGGTCCGCTCGGAGTAAAGCCAGAGCAGATGACAGACGATGTCTGGGACTATGTCTTTGCACGTCGGGATCGCAATGATTTTGACTTCAAGACTGACATCCCCAAGAAGAGTCTCGAAGTCCTGCGCCGACAATTCGACTACTGGTACCCTCTTGACATGCGGACAAGCGGCAAGGACTTGATTCAAAACCATCTCACCTTCAACCTCTACGTCCACACCGCCATCTTCGACTCATCAAACTGGCCGCGCAGTTTCCGCGTCAATGGACATCTCATGCTGAACGGAGAGAAGATGAGCAAGAGCACGGGTAACTTCCTTACCGTCGAGCAAGCTGTTAGCAAGTTCGGTGCAGACGCTACTCGCATTGCTCTCGCCGATGCAGGTGATGGCATTGAGGACGCCAACTTTGAAGAAACTGTCGCCAACAGCAACATCCTCAAACTCTTCGAGCTACGCAAGTGGTGTGAAGAAATGGTACGCGATGCGGTTATCGTCGACGACGGCGAGAAATACAAGCACGTCCGCGACAATGAACGTATCAAGAACGGCGATACTATTCAGCGCAAGTCTGGAAGCCCAAAGCTACTGTGGGACGACATTTTCGATAACGAGATGAACGTTTTAGTTGCGGAGACGAAGCGCCATTACGAAGAGACCATGTATAAATCGGCCCTTAAGTCCGGATACTACGACTTCACCGCCGCCCGGGACTTCTATCGTGAGGTTACCAAGGCTGCGGGACTAGGCATGCACGAGGGTCTTGCGAAACGTTACATCGAACTGCAGGCCTTGCTTCTAACGCCTATTGCACCGCATTGGGCAGACTACATCTGGCAGGAAGTTCTCAGCAAGTCGGACACTATCCAGAACGCCTTGTACCCCGACGTTCCAACGGCGATTCCTTCTCTTACTGCCGCTCGCGAATACGTGCGCATAACATCGTCGAACATCACATCCGCAGAAGGCGCCCAAGTCAAGCGTCTCGCGAAGGGTAAAGTCGCGCTGTTTGATCCCAAGAAAGACAAGAAAATCACTGTGTTCGCGGCGAAGTCATACCCGGAGTGGCAGAAGAAGTACATTGAGCTCCTCCGCACGTCGTACCCCAACATCGATATCAAAGCCTTGTCTAAAACTATTGACAAGTCCGAGTCCAAGAAAGCAATGCCGTTCATCAATGGCTTGAAGCGCCGCCTTGATAACGGAGAGTCGATTGACAAGGTCTTGAACCGCGAGCTGCCTTTCGATGAACTAGCAACGCTAAAAGCCATGGTACCAGGGTTGAAGCAGACCGTCCGCAACTGTGTTGCTGTGGAGATTGTCTTGGTGCAGGAGGGTGGCAAGGAGGGAGTTGTGGTTAGTGCCGGGGATGAGAAGCGGACTGACCTACCACCAAATGCTGCCAATGCGGAGCCGGGTTCCCCATCGTTTGCTTTCGAGAATGTCTAGGACTTCTTGGGTGCTGTCGGGAGTAGTGGGGAATTTTCTGGGGCTAGATATGATAGATTAATGAGACATGATGACACTGATGACAGTGTTGTGATAGAATTTCTGAATGACAAAAGTTTGTTTTGATGATGTGTGCAGTGATTCTTGTCTGCTGTTGCGAAGAATGTGCCAGGCTGACGGGTTAAGTAAGAGTCTTTGACAAAGCAGAACTCCTCTTTAAGGACCAATGGAGGGTTTGGAATTGTTAACAGAACAGGAAAGAAGGTGTAAGGGCCTTGCTGGAGCATGCTTACGAGCTAGAAGATTCCACTAGTTATGTCCTTTCACAATAGACGACACCCTGTTTCAACTCTCGTGATAAGATTCCTAAAGCGGCACTTAGATAAATATCGAGGCTTAACTTCACTTTGTGTCTATATCTGAACCCCTTACAAGTCGAAGTAGTGTTTGCAGAACAACAGCCTCTAAAGCAATGTACGGGTTGCTGGTGATTTATTTCGAAGATGTAAAGACTCTTCTGCTACTAAAAGAGAATATATTTGAGGTTTCTAGATGCTTGCTTCGTACAATAACAAGCTAAGAGACTTAGGATCTGTGCTTAGTAGTAAAGGAGATAACCTCTAAGCATATCTTTCAAAGGCGAAGAGACTGCTACTAGAAAATAATAGGAAAATGGCATAGGCACGCTTGGCACGCCGACAAGCCAAGGGGCTTCGGGTTCGTGTTTGATCTCACGAGAGAGGACATCAAGCAAAAGTTCGGAGAGTGAATGTACACATCACGTGATCATTTCTATGTGAACATCTCCATAGATATTGAATTCTGTGCATACCCAATTGAAATACTTCACTCTTACTACGTCTTTTATAATCCCATATTCCACTAAAACAAACCCGGCTCCACCTCGATTTCCTTCCTCCTATCCCCCTACTCCCTTCAATCTTTTCAAGCGTCCCTTACAATCTAACCCCAACCATCCTCTCCTCATCCACCCTCCTCCCCTCCCGATCAAACCAAATCTTCTTCCCACTCCTCACACTCTCCTGCAACGCACACCCAATCCTAACCGCCTCAACGCTACTTTCCAAATCCACCGGCACCTCCCCCCCATCCAACACCGCATCTGTAAACTGCCGCGCCTCCTCCACAAACGCGTGTTCAAACCTTTCGTAATAATTCTGCGGGATATCGCGATGGATGCCGGTGGGTAAGTGCGATTCAAGGAGATTTGTGGTGGGATTTGCGTTGATGGAGAGTTTACCTTTGGTGCCGATTATTTCGGTGGTGTCGTGTTGACCAGGCGGGTTCATGCGCGAGGAGTAGAAGTAGGCGATTTGATGGGAGTAGAATTCTACGACGCCGATCCCGTTATCGACGTCTCCGTGTTTAGCAAGGTCCGGTTCTAGCGCTGTGACGCCGAATGCCACGGCGGATTTTACTCGTGGGAGTTCGAAATCGTTGGAGGAGAAGAACCACAAGGCCAGGCCGATGTCGTGGACGTTGCAGTCAACGAAGATGCCGCCAGAGAATTGGGCGTATTGGACGAAGAAGCCAGAAGGGTCGTATTTGTCGCAGGTTTGGCTACGGAGGATTGTGGGGCGGCCGATGGAGCCGGAGGAGGCGAGGGCGTGGGCCCGGATGTAGGAGGAGTCGAAGCGGCGAGAGAAACCGCACATTACTTTCTGGGTAGGGTGGGCGCGGGCGGTTGTGAGGACTTTTTCGCACTGGTGGTTGGTGATGTTAGTATTCACTGTGAGCAGAAAATTGTATCTGTACCAGGAGACAGTGTATTGTAAGACAACTGTTGATGAGAGAAAGTGGAGGGACAAACGATATCCAACTGGGTGCTCAGAGGCTTCTCAGAAAGCACATGCATCCCTGATTCAATCGCCTGAATTGTCTGCTCGGCATGGACAGTTGTTACCGTTGCTACAACCACCGCCTCAAGACTCTCATGCCTCAGCATCTTCTCATAATCTGTGTACAGCGTCACACCCCATGGTTCGAGATGTTCTTTGGCCCAGGAGATTTCTTTGGGGTCGGGACTGAAGACAGCAACTAGTTCTGCCCGTGGAACTCGATGTAGGAAGTGTAAAGCATGGCGTGATCCCATACGGCCAAGACCAGATACTGCGGTACGAAGACGCCGGGGAGAGGACATTTTAAGAGACGGATGCGATGGGAGAAAGTAGCAAAGATAAATTATGGGAAGAGAGGGTAGAGTTGAGAGGTACGAGCGGAAAGAGACAGCAGACTGAGAAGTTGAAGACAAAAGAGATATGGAAGCTTCGCAAACTATCCAACTTTAGGGTCTGTTGACACTAAATATCCCACCGAGTAAGAGCAAGTCAAAAGCCCAGCACACAGCACTTCTTCTTCTCCCTCAAATCCCTGAAAGTTCATCGATTGACAATCGCAAAATGGAGGTATTTGCCCTATTCCCCAAAATTCAAGCGGTTTCAGCGCCGATTTTGTCCAAATTTGCCTTCATCAGCTTCCGCTTCCTTGACTGCCCCGCGTCCTCACCTCGAGGCCCCGTCTCCTATAAAGATATCCGAAAATATGCAAGGCCAAGCATCGTGAAGACAATCGGCCGCAAAATAGTGGGACGAATTATGGAGAACAACAAAGTACACGGGATTTCCAACTTGGGACTCAAGATGTTGGAGTTGATCCCTAAGGGTTTTCCAGTCCTGAATTAATGGGGAAATTGTCCCCGACGTCTCGGCAAATGTGCCGGCGGGCTAGTGGTTGTGGGCTATTTTCTGAGTTTCTCAAAAAGAAATTTCTTCTTGGGATAGGGTAGCATGGGGCCCGACGCGCAAAAGTGCCGAGCGTAAATATTGGTTTGCAGAGGGAGATTTTCAACCGGTGTGGAGATGAGGGAAAGTTTCTCAAGGGAGAGTGGTAGGAACAGTCGAGTGAACGCACGTGCTAGATCTACCCCGCATACGTCAGTTTAGACGGGTACTCTTCACAAAGTTCACGGACACGCTTTTGATACAGGAAATGGCGAACTCGGTAGTAATGTCATCCTACTAAGGCGATTCTACCCCAAACTCTGCGTTTCAAATACTTCACAGATTGGCCTTCTCCCCCTCATCCGTCTCAATTACCACCTTAATCACGAGATTCCCTTTATCATCCTTCGTCTTGGCAGCCATCTCAAACGCTGCCTCTGCAGACTCCAGCCCTCGGTATCTGTGTGTGACAATCTTTGAGAAATCGGGGTAGTCGGGGTCTTTCTTTGATACGACTTCGATTCCCGTTGGATAGGTGTTTGCATATCGGAAGACGCCTACGAGGTCGACTTCTCGGAGGGCTGCAGCAGATATTGGGAGAGTTTGGATTGGTGTGCCCATGCCGATGATGAGGACTTTGCCTCCGGGTCGGTTTGCCTGTAATATTCGATTAGCAACGGCCTGGGGGAGTGGGAGGCGAGATGTCTTACATATATTGCGGCTTGCAGACAAGATGGAACACCAGTACATTCGAACACAGCATCCACCTCACCCACTGGCTCTCCACTCTCCTTCGCAATTTTCCCAATCTCCGCAGCAGTCTCTCTTGCAATTGCGAGGTTCTCGTCTACCGTGTTGCCGCGCTTCATCGGGACCGTGAACCCTATGTGTGAGAATTTGTTTTGGACCGCAAAATTGACTCGCCCGGCGTCAATGTCTGCTATTACCACAGTACTTGCTCCGGATATCTTCGCCATTGCTGCGACTAGTAATCCCACTGCGCCTGCGCCGAACACCAGAACGGAGGCGCCGGCCGGAAGCCGTGCTCTTCTTGAGGCATGGATGGCAACGCTCAAAGGCTCGAGTATAGCTCCGAGGTCTAATGGAACATCTTCCGGCAGTCTTTCAGATGTTAGTTCTATGGTAATTTGTGAGAATCGTGAAATGCACCCACTTATGACACCAAGCAGCGGGGTGATTAATCCGATCCTGCAGTGTCCCTTGCGCGTGCGGAAATGCCTTTGCCGAGCTCCTGAAGTTCATCCCTTTGCAAATATTGTACCTTCCTTCTTTACACCTCTCGCACTGCTCACACGGCAATCCAACCTCTAGCGCAACCTTGTCTCCCACTTTGAAGTTCTTTACGTCAGAGCCAACCCCCACCACGACACCGGCCGATTCATGGCCCAGCGACATGGGCTCTCGCACAATGATGTCGCCATTGCGGTAGTGTCTGTAGTAGTGTAGGTCGGAGCCGCAGAGCCCAGTGGAACGCACGGCAATTTGGAGGTCGGCAGGCCCAGGAGGGAAGAGAGATCTAGTTTCCTGAGAGGCCGTGAGCTGCTTGTTCTTGAGATGGAAGGATGGAGTTCGTACAACTCTCAGGTCGTTTGCACCGTGCAAGACAGAGGCTCGGATCTGCCGTGTATTTGGTGCAAGATCCGGTTTCTTCTCTGTAGTCATGGTACCAAATCTATAGATAGAGGAAATGAGGGGTAGCTAAAGCAGTGAATCAGAAAAGTTGAAGAAGGCAAATAAGAAATTAAAGATATCGGGACAAATCATAAAAAGAGAAGGAGAGGCCATCCATAAAAAGCTGCCAAATGATCGGAGCAGCCCAATGTCCCCATATCCGCCATCGGGCAGAGTTTGCCAGATGCAAAAGTCTGAAGGAAAGGCCGGCCGTGGTGGGTGGTCGGCATTTGAAAAATGCGGTACAACAGACGCCGAAACAGGAGGTAAGCTTCTTCCGTCCACGAACCTCAGTCTTCGTCACCGCAACGCCAAAGCCCGACCACTGGCCGCCACGCTGATTGCGACATAATTGCCGACCATTTCTGAGGTACTGCTTTCCGATGGCTCCATTACTCCCACCAAACAGGCCTTGTGCTCATGGTTTCCGAGCAACTGCAGCAGATTCGCCACCACCTGGAACACCCCTCTTCTGATACAATCAAGATGACTTCTGTAAAGCAATTGTTTTCTCTGGAGGGCCAAACGGCTCTGGTAACAGGTGGGACGAGAGGCATTGGACAGGCCATGGCATTGGCGTTGGCAGAAGCTGGAGCAGACATTCTTCTCGTGCAGGTGAATTAATCCCAGCCCCTTCCAAATGGCAATCACAAGGCCTAACATCTCCAGCGAGACACGTCCAACTCCTCTACAAAGCAAAAAATCGAAGCCCTCAGCCGCAAAGCCACTATATATACCGCAGACCTATCCTCCCCTTCTGCCGTCTCCGCTGTCGTTCCCTCCATCCTCAAAGACGGCTACAAGATCCACATCCTTCTCAATTGCGGCGGGATACAAAAGCGGCATCCCGCGCACCAATTCCCAGACGAAGACTGGCAAGCCGTGCTCCAAGTCAACCTCACCGCTGTCTTCACCCTCTGCCGCGACGTCGGCGCACACATGCTCTCACAACAACCTTCCCTCCCGTGCAACCGTCGCGGCGCCATCATAAACGTGGCCAGCCTTCTATCTTTCCAAGGCGGCATCACAGTTCCCGCATACGCAGCTAGCAAAGGCGGAGTCGCGCAATTGACGAAAGCCCTGTCAAATGAGTGGGCGAGCAAAGGGATAAGCGTGAATGCAATTGCGCCAGGGTATATCGCTACGGAGATGAACACAGCATTGATGGAGGATAATGAGAGAGCTGCAAGTATTCTGGCAAGAATACCAGCCGGTCGGTGGGGTGCCCCAGAGGATTTCAAGGGTGCCATTGTGTATTTAGCAAGCGCGGCGAGCGCATATGTGAGTGGGGAAGTGCTGACGGTTGATGGAGGCTGGATGGGAAGGTAGAAGCGGTTTGGTGGAGCACTCGACTTTGGTCTGGCTTTATATTAGAGGATAGAGTTATAAATCATTTGAAAGTGCGCAATCACTTCACCCCACGTTCTAGTGGGTTATGTTGACTTGATCTAAATATTTGATCATGCTAGGGACATCGAACAGAGGTGACGCTAGCATGTCCTAATCCAGCATTCCACCAACGCTGACTTCTCTCCAGATTTGGTGCATCGTCAATCGCTATGATTTCTTGTTGCTACAGATCGATATCACACTTTCGTCATAGAAGAGTCGTGAAAGTCCCACACTGACCTCTAAAGAAACTCACGCAAGCCTGATGCTAATGCAAATATTGTTTAAATTTTATTAAGAGGAATACCTACCCAGCGCGTCATGGTACTTTTAAGGTAAGATGGTATCATAATGGACCGCTCAGCTCTACTGTGGTCTTGCCTTAGATGTGTCTAGCCTAGTACCAAGCGGCGGAATACTTGAGCTAGGAAGAATCCCGGAACCACCTAAAGGACAAAACTTAATCCGGATTAAGCTTCTGCGAGGTCTCCTGCTGAAAAGAGCAAGAAACAAGAGGGCATGGTAGTGCTATCAACCCAATCGCCGTCCAAGCAATCAATGCATTACCCCACCGACGAGGAAGACTTTTCTCAAGAACAACAAAAAAAAAGGCGTCTGTGGATACTGATATTACCTTAGTTCCTAACTCCGTGAGATATGAGCATGCCCTTGGTCAGTACCATAACGCAATATCAAGGTAAAGCAACTGCTAATTCTTACAAAGTCAAGAGTGATGTCCTGGTCCCAGGGCTCTCGGACCCATAGCTGTTCGTCAGCGTAATAGAGCACTGATTCTAAGTCATCTTCGAACAAGTTGGCGAGACCCTACAGAAGTACACTATTACCGACAAGTTAATACTACTCAGGATCTAAGAGAGGTGGATTAACGTCAGCGAGCTCCACGCTAGCTCTGTCTGTCCACCACAATTCAATGGTAACGTGGCGGTTTGCCTCCTGGTGTCACCTCTTGGCCACCACTGCTTTCGCCCCTTATCCGGATAGCCGGGATATCCTCTGGTAGGCAAATTGGCTTACATATGAGCCGGCGACAATGTGGTTGGTGATGAGGCAATAAAGGTCATCTACATCGCGGGATGGTACCCAGGCGGGGATAGCAAGAGCAATTCTAGATAAATCCCAGCTTAAAAAGTAGCATTATTTGCTTTAAATGCTAGGGAAGGGAGAATTTGCTTACAGAACATTCATAGTAAGTTTGCTGAAAAGTTAGATGTTAGCAAATAGCTTTTGTGTTGCCCAAGCTGTTCCTAAGGAAACAAGTTAGATGTTGAATCCAAGAGACGCACGCATCTATGATATTCCTCAAAATCTTGGAAAGTTGATTTCTCAACATAGTAGCATTCGTCCAAGTCAATCAAGCCTCCACACTAATGTCTTGCAATCACGCCAATTTCAGCTTCTTGCCTCTCATGCTCCGCAATTAGCGATGCTTCAATTGCCCATGAGCTTTCCCAGATGCAGCAGAGAATGGTGGGGATAAATGAGACCTGTGTAGAATCAGGAGCCAATTCTGCAAATTAGGGAGGGCTCTAGGGCTCCCAACGGGGCGAACTACTGTCCGTACAAAGTGAGCCGTACTGGTCACGTGTTCAGTACGAGCGTACCCAGCTCGTGAGCTACACCGTACGTTTAATAAAGTTCTAGGTACGGTACATAGTACAGATCGCATAACCATTTTAGGAGGGTTGTATAGCGACTCTAGGGTTGTAAGAGGGCTCTTAACCTCTGCAGCCTAGGTAAGGGACTGCGCAAAACAGATAACAGAGGTAGCTAATTAATTAGATGAACCCTATAAGTATCTGAGCTATTTCGGCTTGAGAACGGCGTGCTTCAATCGAAACGTACTACTCGTACAGATCACCTGAGCCGTAGCAGTTACGATTCGTACACCTACCTCTCATCCTCCCTGCCATACGAACGTACACAAAATCTCGCCCGTACAAGCACCAAAACCACCCAATCGTACTACGGCTCGTTGGAAGCGCTGGAGGGCGCCTGCGACCTTAGAAGAGCCACAGACCTTAAAATGGAACATCGCAGGCGTTTGCTCCCACCACTCACAAAGGCTTATTACGCTCAAATATACGACGAGCACGAGAGGAAAGGGCAATACGTGGGCGTATTATAGAGATATGCAAAGCATCTCACATCCCATTTTCATTTATGCATTATCCCCTGCTCTCACACCCAAACCCCAAAGTTATCAGAGTCGGAGCCTAGTTGAATAGACCGAAACCTCACCAGTACAACGCCCAAATAAATCACCACTTAATCTTCTTATCCTTGCCTACAAACTCATCGATTAAATCCACATAATAGTCCTACTTAATAATTAGCATGAATGTCCATACTTAGAGAATTCGGAAGGAAACATACCTTAAGGTCCTCAACCTTAGGCACTTCATCGCTCTTGCTATAGAGATCATAAGGGTTAAACGCCCTAACAGCTTCTAGCATGCGTTCATCCTTCTTGTTCATCATCCACCTGTACGCATTCTCTTTATGCCAGGGGTAGAAGCTGTGGTACCGGATCATTGCCAGACCCTCGTCTGGGAGGGTGCTTTGCTCCTTCATGATGTGGTAGAGATATTCGTCGTGGCCCCAAGACAACATGACATTATCCATACCGCAGCCGGGGTTGTAGATACCGTGTTCAGTGCTATATATTTCGTTGCTGGAGTCTGGATTTCCAACGAAGGTGTCTGGGTAAATGATTCGACAATCAAAGGCACATCCAACAGGGAAGGTGTCGCCAACGACATCCCATTGACCTTGGGCGTCGAAGAAGAAGAGAAGTTTGCCAAGATCATGGACTAGACCTGTGAGTTGCATCCATCGGGGCTTTCCATCCCGTCGAATCGCCTCAGCAGATTGGAGAAGATGCTCGATTTGGGAGAGGGAGGTGTCGGGGTCAGATTCATCAATGAGTGTATTCAACTTCTCCATGGCTTCCCAGATCGTCATCTCTGCTCGCGTCTTCGAATGAAACTGGTTCCTCGCCTTTAGGTTATAAGCAACAGTCTGCTTCTCATGCTGCTCACGGTAAAAGTTCTTGACGCGGTCGCAGGCCTCCGCGTACTGCCGGAACTGGGTCTTGTCTTTTTCGGAGTCGAATTGAGAGGCATCGTAGATGTCCTTTTCGCACTGGGTTGCGGTGCCGTTTTTGACTTTCAATGTAGCTCTGAGAACGTTGACATCGTCGATAGCGTCCGAGGTGACCTCGAGGGCAAGGCCGTCACGCTTGTTAAAAGGCTCAGCAATGTTGGGTTGTTCGAAGATGGCGCCTGGAGCCATTTTGGATTGCTGGTGCGGGTACGGGTATCGCAAGCGATTCGTATACAAAGTAGAGATAAAATAGGGCGGAGCAGTAGTCGCGCCCCGAGGAAAGTTGGAAAGGAGAGAGGTTGAATCCGCTGATGAGAAGCGTTGAAAATATGAATAGATGTAAGATGCTAGATATCAACGGGGAATTGATGCAATGATTGAAATACCTGAAGAGCGATGAGACACAGAATACTTATCCTCTTCCGCTCAACAGAAGCAACTCCACCACGCAATGTCGCATCACAGAAAAAACCCTACATTACTCCACAGTCCGAGATAAGGCCAACCTACCATTACGAATTATTCCCTTACTCTTCGCCATCTAGTCCCACAGTACTCGGGGTAGCTCCGCGTTTGTGAGATCAATTGGCAAATGTCTAGAAAATAAGGCAAAGAATCCCGCTCTTTGACCTGTCTTCATGTAGGAAGGGATGGATCAGGCGAAACGTCCCCGGCTTCTGGAAAATGGAGAAGGCGGTTAGTTGGGATGGTGGTTGGATGCTAAAGTGTTCGGACTAGGAAAGGGAAGAGTGCTGATGCAGTTCGAGGGATCCCCGCGTGTTCGTGAATGCATTTCCGCGATTGGGTTCCTCTTCTGTCCCAAAGGAGGAATTCTCGCCGCACTCTGAAATCTCAGCATTCGTTGAGTGGCTGGAGATCACACGGACCCTGGACCAATGCATGATGACGCCTTCAACGAGACCAAGATCTCTCACAGCTGGCATGCGTGGAGACGGTTATGCATGCCTCTCGTGAAGAAGGGTTGAAAATTCTTCACCATCGCCGTGGGCCGCAACAACATTCACCCGAGGACAGCGGGCCGAAAATCTTCCGGCGGGGCATCGGCGCGAATTAATTCATCAATCAACGTCACTCGTGACAGCCGCATTTTACCCCATTCAAGCACGGGAGAACTCAACGCCTGCAGCCCAGCCCAGCCCAGCATGTACAAGCACCCACCGCAATATCCCCATGCCCAAACACCCGCCGGTTGTGAGTACAAATATCGTGATCTTCCGCTCCCACCATGAATCCTTCTCTCTCCAAGTTTATGCTCGCCCACACTCCTCCATCTATCCTCCATCCCACCCCTACCATGACAACTGAGCTCCCCCTGAACACTGGTGCCTCGATTCCTGCTCTGGGACTGGGAACGTGGCAGTCTGCGCCAGGCGAGGTGAAAGCGGCCGTTGTCCATGCAATTGAGGCGGGGTATAGACATATTGACTGCGCATTCTGCTATCAGAATGAGGATGAGGTCGGTGAGGCCCTTCAAGATGTCCTATCGAGAGGAATTGTGAAGAGAGAGGATCTATTCATCACGAGTAAACTGTGGTGCACGTTTCATACAAGGGTGGAAGAAGGCTTACAAAAGAGTTTGGATTTATTGAAATTGGATTATGTGGATCTGTATTTGATGCATTGGCCTGTGCCTATGAATCCGAGTGGTACGAGCTTCCTTATTCTCCTTGGATATAAGAATGATACAAGAGTATACTAACCACGAACTAGGAAACCACCCCCTCTTCCCCAAACTCCCTGACGGCTCTCGTGACATCGACCATAGCACTACGCACGTCCAAACCTGGAAGAACCTCGAAAAACTAACTCAATCTCCATCCCCCAAAGTCAAGGCCATCGGAGTAGCAAACTACTCCGTAAAATACCTTGAGAAGCTCCTCGCACAAGCTACCATCGTACCCGCAGTGAACCAGATCGAGAACCATCCATATCTCCCGCAACAGGAGGTTGTCGATTTCTGCAAGGAGAAGGGCATACATGTTACTGCATATAGTCCGTTCGGAAGCACGGGGTCGCCAATGTTCAACGATGAGGCTGTGAATGAAGTTGCGAAAAAGCATGGTGTAAAGGTTGGAACCGTGTTGTTGAGTTATCATTGTACGGTCCTTTCCACCCTCCCCTCACTCCCTACTAACCCTACCTCTAACACGAGAACTAAACTGACAGCCATATTTATTACAGTGGCACGCAATTCCTCCGTCCTCGCCAAATCAGTAACACCCTCTCGCATCGACGAAAACCGCAAGCTTATCGCCCTCGACAATGAAGACATGCAGAAGCTCGAGTCTATCTCCAAGACAAAGGGACTGACGCGGTTTGTATACCCACCATTCGGAGTGAACTGCGGATTCCCAGACAAGCCTGATGGGATGGATTTGAGCGGTTGAGGGGCTTAGGATTCGTGTTAAGAAGTAGGACAGGGGAGAAACAATTCGAACGACTAGGGAGGAGATATTAAAGCATACCGACGAATACCCCATATCGTATACAGATAGAGATTCGAAACGTGCTTTTAACTAGGTTAAAAACAGCATTTGCAAAATTCCGCCAAGTTTCAAGGACTTTATAGCTGTATTTTATCATATAGCGTGAAATAAAGTAGGATATTTTTTGAATAGAAAATCACATTCTACTAACGCATCCCTTCGTTCTTGCAAGAAATTTAACAGAGAGAATCCACCCTAGCTATGTTCTACGATGTGTGAAAAGATGCAGTACAATCTGAACGCTCTGAAATTTCCATGCACTACACTGCCTTGTATCCGAATGCACTGAAGCATTCGAATTGGTCATGAAGCTACTATATCCAAAAAAAAAAAAAAAAGGCCCCGTAGCATTTGTCTGGAATAAGTCCCAAACCAAGACAATGTCAATTCCGAATACCGTGCCATCCAATACCGTCACCATATATGTTTCTCCTTTAAATTAAACACTTTCATACAGACGCATCACGTCACCAGAGTACCGCGCTATGAATCCTCTTCCCCAAAGACAAGCATTGGAGGAAACCTCAAGTCGCCTTATCCTCTTCACTGTCCTTATTCTTATCGTTCTCGTCGTTCTTCGTATTCTCATTCTCTTCTTCTTCTTCTTCTTTGACCTCACTATCTCCCTTGGCCTTATCATCTCCCTTCTCCTTCTCATCCTCCTGACCTCGGGCTCCAGATCCAAAGAGACTTACTCCACCAAGCGGAATTGTAGTCGTCGCCGTCGTAGTATTCCTCTCATCGCCTAGACCAGAAAACAGGCGGTGTGTAGACGGAGATGCGCCGCGGAGACCACCCAAGCTAAGGGAAGGGCCTTGTGGATCATCACCTAGGTTCCTCTGGACTGGAGAGCCCTGAGCAGCTCGTGTAGAGAACAAGCTAGTCGTAGACGCGTTGGAGGGAGCCGGGGAGTTCTTGTCACTGCCTGGAATGCTGAATAGACTGTATGAAGATTGGTTAGCGGGTGCGGATGTGTTCCTGTTGCTACCGACACCAGCGAACAGAGAGGGTACGGATGAAGTCGTAGGAGGCGGTGTGTTCCTGTCGTTTCTGAGATTGGCAAATAGACTGGATGGGTTTTGGTTCGTAGGTATAGAAGTATCCCTGTTGCTGCCTGGACGCGAAAACAGACTAGGCGTAGCTGAAGTCGTAGGAACTGGCGCCCCATCGGAGGGGGGTGGGGGGAGGAAACTAGACGTCGCTGGTGATTCCCCAGGTGCGACACCAAACGGGTTCGGTCTTGGATGTGAGGCTGGAGACTGATCCGGACGGCTGAATAAGCCTGATTCAGGAGTCTTAGATGGATTGGGGCTTCCGAACTGAGAAGAGCTCTGACTAAAAGCTGCAGTGGTTTTGGTGTCGCTGAAAGGGTTGGGTCGGCTGAGTACATTCTGATCAGCCAACCTGAGTTCCTCGAACGAAAGATGGCGGTACTGAGGGTGGAAGTTGATGGATTGAAAGTGTTCTTCTCGGTTGGTGGGTACTATTTCCTTGTACGGGGTGAATGTACCTGCATTGATACTGTTCGCCGCAGGCTGACATCCGAAGGAGCTTGGAGTGATTTGATTCGGCTGACCAAAGAGCCCAGTATTCGTGTTCTGAGCCCGGCTGAAGATTCCTCCGCCATTGTTAGTCTGATTGCCAAAGAGACTCTGACGATAGTTGTTGAGGGCAGGGTTGCCGAACAAGCCTCCACTAGTATTGTTTTGGGACGGGCTGCCGAACAAGCCTCGACCAGTATTGTTCTGTGTAGGGTTGCCGAACACGCCTCCACCACTGCTGTTCTGGGGAGGATTACCAAACAAGCCTCCACCATGACTAGACTGGGCTAGTTGACCAAAAAGTCCTCCAGAGTTGCTGTACTGCGGGTTGCCGAAAGAGAGTCCAGAATTGTTATTGTTCTGAGGTGGACAACCAAAAAGCCCTCCTTCGTTGTTATTCCGGCCTGGACGGCCGAACAAGCTATCCTCATTGTTACTTTGGCCGAATCTACTAAAGCCCGTATTGTTATTTTGGCCGAACCCGCCAAAGCCAGTGTTGTTATTTTGGCCAACCCCACCAAAGCCCGTATTGTTATTTTGGCCGAACCCGCCAAAGCCCGTGTTGTTATTCTGGCCGAACCCCCCAAAGCCAGTGTTATTATTTTGACAGAACTGACCAAAGCCGGTATTGTTGTTTTGGCTGAACCTGTCAAAGCCTGTATTGTTGTTTTGGCCGAACGCCCCAATGCCTGTATTGTTGTTTTGGCCGAACGCTCCAAAGCCTGTATTGTTGTTTTGG